CCGTCTACCAAATCGATCTGCTAGAAAACCTGCTATGATAGCACCTGCAAAGCACCCGGCTTGCAAGGTTGAGACGATATTGGCTTGTAGATTTGCTAAACGTGCTTTGTTTTCAATGCCATCGAGGCCGAAACGGGTGAGAAACGCTGGAAGAACCACGACGCCTGAGATGATGGAGCTATCCATGCCAAATAACATGGCACCGAACCCTGACTTTTCGGCGACTGTTAGGGGAGTTTTTGTATTTGATCAAGTCTGACCTACCGACAAAGCCAAGAAAAATGCCCTCCATCCGTAGATCTCAGGCGGATCTTGTCGCATCGAATCATTGTGAACAACCTTCTTGAAGAAGTTGTAGCCTCGGTGCTTAACAGCCATGGTAACTAGTAGTAAAAGGTAACGCTCGCAAGCACTGTATCGTTATGCGAAACTCTTGGAAAGAGGAGCAGGGTAAAATGCAGATATGGATTGATATATGGTGTTTACACTGGCTACGGTCTTCCCATTCGTTGCATGGTACGCAACGAGGCAGATCTCGTTAGTTTGTCACATTGTTGTATTGCGGGGTGAGGATCAATCAAGGCTGGACGATCCCGCAGTCACCAGAGGATCCTGGCGTCATCAGACAAGTACTTTTCGTTGTAGGATGCAACATCGCTCTGAGCGAACGAACTGCCGTTGGCGGGGTTGACAATCATCAGCAGGGTCGTCGCAAATAGCCTAAGAAGTAAATGTAACTTGAGCGTCAGAGGTGGTTTTGAAACTTGGACGCGGTTTTTGGGGGCAAGGTTTGGGGGCACAAGGTGGGCCGAGGGGGGCCAGCGCCTCCAAGCAGGTTCTGTTTCGTGGCAGAAGTTAGGAGATGAATACATCTGTAAGTAGATTGTTGGGTTGCCCTTCCAAATCTGGGGTAAACGGGGGAGCAAGCAGTAGGTAGAATCCCTTTACAGGCCTAAATTCGACTGGATGCCAAAGAGAGAGTGATGATTGGGGGCGACCAGCATAGACATGCAGACAGGCCACAGAGCAAAGTCGCCTTGATTTTGACAAGATCGTAGCCGAGAACTACTGCCTGACCTTGCTGCAACGGACAAAATCCTCGAATGGAGGATCGGCCTCCGGAGGGTGTGACGAAAGCAGCCCGAGAGGCTCATCTCCTCAGGCATTCCATGTTCACATGAACGTTATGTGGAAGAGCCCATCACATGCTGATCTGCACACCAACCATTTACACAGAAACAACACTCCCGCCCAGCTAACAGAAGCCAAGGTCAAAACAAATGGAGGTGAAGCCCCGACCGCACTGGTCTTGGTTAAAGCCCAAACTATACAGCAAACTACAGTTGTGATAGTGGGAGCGGACCTCTCGCAGACCTAGATTTAACTGTTTACTCAATCGGTTCCCCCAACCCGTCGCCTGAGGCTTCAAAAAGTGGACAAAAGTACCTATACATAAGTTGTCGAACATCGAATGGCTGTGTGGAAGGCAATCCACGAGGCCCTCCTAACCAATTCTGACTGTTCTGGCGCCCCCACCCTCTGGTATCTGGCTGCAAACCTGCCCCCTAACTACTTAGATGTGGCCACAGAGCAATCCCCCCACTGACAAATCTGGCTACCTAATGTCTCGATGCTGGTTAATTTGTGTAACTACTGGTCAAAGTCTAGTAACATGGTAATTGACTAAACAAGAGATTGCCATTCTCAAGACCAAACCTTGCCCATCAGATTTGTTTCCTCTTCAGGAGGACATTCTCACTGGGACTTTCATAGATGCACCCGTGGACTTCTGCTTGGTGGATGTTATCTCTGCTTCAATTCACCACCATTCTTCAATCAGTGTGCAGCCGCTAAGTGCACGTGATCTCTCACAACTGAGACATGGCCCCATTTGTGTAGGCTTGCCGGGGTCGTAGTAATTGAATCGACATTTTGGAGATACCGCAAGATGTTATGTGGGCTGATCGAGCTCGCCAGCCTTTCCAACAGTGGAGACCGGTGTGTTTACTCATTGGCTCTTATAGCGATCTCTCGCGGGCAGCTCTGTGAGCATGAAGAGAAGTGCTTATGAAACGGCCCCCCTCGTTTGTAGTATGGTCCAAGTGTGAAATCAGGTGATTGAAGACGAAGAGGACATTGTCAATCCTTTCCTCTTTTAGTCGAATTGCAAGGCCGTATTATGTTGGACTAGTATCACCCCAAAGGCATGCCTCTAAGCCTTGAACATTCCGCGATTTGGATTTCAGGCGGGACATGGTCCTGCGAACCTATTCAACCGCCATGACGGCGGGATTGAGAGGTCTGTCATCCTCATGAGTTGCTTCAACAGGTAAAGGCCATGGCCGACTCAAACGTTCCAGCTTGGTCTCGGGAATTCGACAGGCTCTTCAGTCGCGGCAATGTCGTGCTGCATTTCCGGAAACTTTTTGAAGAAACCGGGTTTCATGGTCCAGTTCTTAAAGTTGTACGCATGCTCAAGAAATATCTTTGAGATCTCATATCGATTATGCTCGGGGCTGTATGCAAAGATGTCGCGATCCGAGTATGGCCAGTAGAAATTGAAATTTGCCACAAACGCAGCGCTGAAGGCTCCTGTAGAGGTGTATTTCCTGTATTCAAAGACCAATCGATCACGGAGTCCCGGCCAGATTAAAAAGTCAATCACTGCCGGGTGCTGAATGCTCTCTTGAGAAGGTCTGGCTGGGGTCAATAGGTTTGCGGCATAAGACGGGTTGAAGAGAATGCAATCTTACCGAGGACGTAGGAATACAGGAACACGATCCAAATTTTCTTTGGTTGGATGCTCTCGGTATTGGATCAAGGTTTGACACACATACATTAGCGCGACTCTTTGGGCTTTGGAGGTCCAGGTGCCAAAGACTTGTTGATCGACTTGTCGTAGAGCAGCCCAAACGGGGTGTTGAGCCTCGGGGCCAACATTGTCCCAACCCCAAATGGCAGCCTTGAAGGGCACGTGGAGGTCGGGGCTAGATGTAGAGGCAGAGTCCTTGCGGCGCTTGACAGTATTGAGGCAGGATATGAATGCGCCATTAGAAACATCCCACTTATCAAGATCTGGGACAACACGAGTACTCGTCTCGGTCGTAGGGAAATGGAAATCAAAGGGAGAGGGGGACGTGTGGCTCCAGGCGGTGGGACCCATTTCGAAGGTTTCAAGCAGCGAGGTGGGGCTGAAGTCGAAGAAATCCTCCAGTCCAGTAAAATGATTGATAGTGTCCGGACAAGGTGCAGAAATATTGAGATTCGCGCCGACACTGTGACCATTGATGACCTCTGTTGTATCGGACTCCGTAGAAATGGAGCCAAGCCGCTCGGACTTGGGGTTGAATGGCTCGGAGTGGTGGTATGGGCTCTGGGCACATGAGCAGTCTGATTTGGCTCCACAGCCACAGGGTTTTGTCTCTAGAGCTACGTTGCGAGACTGGTCCTCAGTGGTGAGAATTGCTTGGTCAATATTGGTACGCATTTTGAGCAGGGCATTCCGCAGGCGATTGTTATCCTGGCGGAGATTGTCGATGATGCGTGTCAAGCTAGCAATTTCGCCTTGTTTGTCACCGGATTCCAGGCTACTGAGGCGCTCTTCGAGATAGGCGATGCGGTTCTTGGTCCGCTCACGGGTGGCTCGCTGAGCCAGACGATCCTGGATTCGTTTCCGCTCGGCCCTAGTGTCGTCAGGGTCTCGTCGACGAGGCTTGACCTTTGCTGGCGTTGATTCGTCCATGGCGGGGTGGTGGCTACAGCAGACTTGGGTCAGTTGTGTAAGCAACTACCTCAGGCAAGGCTGGTCACCGGGGCACGTTCTTGACATGAAGTTTGAAGAGTCAGGAAAAAGGAGATTGAGTGCGGCGGTGTTGATGGTGGGCGAGTTCGGCTGGTCGGCTGCATATTATTATTAGACGAAGTGGAGGAGGAGCAATTGCCAAGCCCGATACCCGAGGCGTAACTTTTAGGTTTCATTACCCCAAGTTTGTACAGTAGCAGAGTACGATGTTCAACTACGGAGTAGGTTAGTAATAAGATGTAAAGGCTGTTGGCAATAGGTTGAAGAGAGGAGAGAAGAGAGAGTTCTCTGGTGGGTGATCTCTAGTAGTCTCCAGCTACGCCAGTAGTAGAGAGAGGTGCGCCCCATAGCTTGAGTACTCCGTAGATACCTACAGTATCAAGCCTCAGCCTAACCACATCTTCCTCTATTGGCTCAGCCAATGACCATCCATACAAGAGTCTCCACCTCCTTCTCCTGGAGACTCTCTCTTCTACATATTGTTTATTGATTTGTTGGATCATCAGTCACTACACCTGCATTACTAGGCAACACCGATAATGTCGTAAGTTTTGATTGTTGATTGCATACCCAAAGATTATTGCTGTTTAGACTGCTTTGGTGCGCTAGACATTTATACGGACTCTAATTGTATACGTCAGCCAGACAACATCTGGGCCCGCCATCAGATCAATTTGCCTCAAACATGAGATATATACTTTGGCCAAAGGACAAATACTGTGGTCTCGGTCGACGGCATTGAATGATAATTGGGCGCATGACAAGGATGCGGGTTTGGGAAATGGAGTTGAATAGAACTCTCAAGAGAATATGTGAGGGCCGATCTCGTCGGAGTCTGAAATCTGAACTTTGCTGCCTGAACCAAACATCATGATATGGAGCATCTAGCTGAGGTCCTCAGTCTTCTAAGTATATCTGTCTCTCGCTTTCCTTCACAATATTCCCATTCTCTCACGCTCTTCCAACACACATCAAACATATCAAATCAATCTTCTCACATCTTTCCAACACACATCAAAACACATCAAATCAATCCTCTCACATTTTCCAACACACATTAAAACACATCAAATCAAACGTGCTTTTTAAAATCTCCTTTACTCAAAGCCATTCACTACATAAATGTAAGCAATCCACCGATCTCCAACCACAAATTGTCTAACTTGATCGTTGCAGCCTTTCCAACACATACATCAACATGAAGTTCTCCACTACTTTCGCATTGTTGAGCATGGCTACGTCCATCTTTGCCCGACCAACTACTTGGGACCCAAATCAGGCACCAGCCGAAATAGCTCCTCCTTTTGCACCATTAATGGCCACACCTGGTCCATTCGTTTCGGATATCACCAAAGAGCACAGAGACGCGGAGGTATCAAAAGTCCCCGAGCATCTTGAACGTCGTGGAGACTTCCTGGACATTGCGTTGGGAATAGCTATGCTCATCGAGGATCTTCTCCCGGGCATCTCCTTTCCCGATTTCAGTGATGACCCGAAATGATCATCACCTTGGATGAGGGAAACTCTAAGAAACCTTTCGTCTAGAATTAGTAGGGCCGGGCTCGCGGCCTGACACGATGGTTGAACCCTCAAGCATGAGGTTATGTCAAGCAACACTTAGCTTGTGATTAGTCCATCAATACATCCCACCACCACCTGTTGCACTCTAGTTTGCCTAGCTCCATTGAAGTGACTCTCAGACCTCGCGTGTATTACATCGGTGAGAGGTGTTGTCCGTCTGTAGAAGTCAACTCAAAGGCTGGAAAGAGACATATTACACAGGCTTAGGGAACGAAGCCATCCTTGGTCGCCTGCATTTATGAGAGAAAAGCCATCGATCATCATTGTTCTAAAGAAAAAAAAAGCCGCCTATTCGATACTGATGTCTTCATTGCGTCACACGCCGCTGACTTTGACCTTCTTTGTCTCTCGACTGGTCTTTCCTGACAACATACACTGGTCCTTAAAGGTGAAGTTTTTCATTTACATCTGCCTTTCCAAAGGCCAAGGACAAGAAGTATGGATCCCAAACCTCCCAACCCTAACCACCCGCGGTCCTGCTCATGTCTTCTCTGCATAGAGCGCACCAACTTTACTTCACCGCAAGACCCCAGTGTCTTCCCACCACTCTCGTGATGGCTCTCAAATCACTCCGCATTCTCGTTAATTGTAAACCCTCTTGAAAAGGAAAAAAGTCAGTGATCGCTCTCATCTGATCAGCGAATTTGGCGGGGCCCGTGGGCGCAACAGAGTCAACAATATGGAGGATGACGTACCCATCAATTACCAAGTTGTGGCCCACCACTAAACTCATGCGTGGCAAACTTAGCAACACGACGACATCACCGATTTCGTCATATGTGGCCTTCCGGCCCTGTCTGGCCTCGTACTTCTCCCAGACATCGTCTGGGCTTGTTGTACCACCCTCGGGTTTCATAAAGTCGTCCAGGAGTTTTGTCAAGAGAAATCCCGGTGACACAGCATTGACGCGTATGCCGTGAGATCGAGCTTCAAGAGCTGCCTGAGAGAGAATGAATTAGAGCTTGTAGAAAAGTGGATTGGGACAGGTCTGATGCGAAAAGAGCAAGAAGACACATACAGCTTTTGTGATGCCCATGACTGCGTGTTTCGACGCCGAGTATCCAGTTGTTCCGGCACCAGCCTGGATAGAATTGACTGAAGCGCAATTGACGATAGACCCTCGTTGAGGAGGTCGGTGCTCCTCCCTGGTCCTTTGTTAGACCAATGGCCGGAGCAATTGTCGATTGTTGAGTGTCAACTCACACTTCGATGCTTTCCTGCTTCATCATCTGCCTGAGAAGATGCTTGTTGCAGAGCCAAAGGCCGATGGTGTTCACATCGATAACCCGTTGCCAGTCGCGCAGACTGATGTCCCATGTATTTCCGAGAGGACCAATGATTCCGGCAAAATTCCTGGCCAAGAGGGAGAATTAGTCGAAATTCTGAGTGAATTGAGTGTCGTGGGGTCCAACTTACGCAGCGTAATCTATGCGACCAAACTCATTCACGGCCTCAGCGATGGCTCTCTCGACGTCAGCTTCTTTGGTGACGTCGGCTCGAATGGCTAAACACTAGAGATTGAGGAACAACGATGGTCAACCAACATCCTCCGTGTGGTATACAAGTCCACTGCTTCTTCTGGGGTCCCATCACTACACCGACCTACCTTTGCACCATACTTCTCAACATTGGCCTTGCCCTCGGCAAACGTCTTCTCGTCCTGGATGTCGACGAGCACGACACCGCGAGACCCTTCTTTGGAGAATGAAACCGCAATCGCATTTCCCAAACCCCGGGCACCTCCTGTAATGAATGCAACGCCTGGAGCATTGGGCCCCGATCGGAAAACCATACTTATAACTGATTGGAGCGAGCGGCTGATGACAGTCGAATATGGTATATAGTGAACCACAAAGCTCGAGGGGTGTTTTAAACTCTACGGCGACGTCAACCACAACCAACGTTGTGGTTAGAGGTGATTTGAGGAATTGGTTGTGTTATGAGAACCTACTACCGCGATTGGGCACTATGTGAATTGTGTTCTGCTCGCAGACTGAGCTTACCAAGAGTCAACTATCACGATACTTATTTGACAGTCTTTTCTCAGTGACATACTCATACCCCCATGATATAGGCGTTCCTTGCCATCTACAGTGTAAATCCCCCCTCGTTGCTTTCCCCACCAATCGACCCCCAGGCCCGCCTGAAAACCGAGACCAGACCTCGGGTAAGCACAAAGTTTATCTTGCCTCTTCACCTGGGCAATGTCACGCTGGGAACTACAGATCCAAAAATACGAGTCATTGATAATGATTCACTGTTGATCGTGCTCTACCCTGGCTTCCACCCAGTCTTCTCTGCGCACAGCGACAGTGGAATGCTGGATCTCACTCAAAGTTGTCCTCTCGCCTGGTTCCAAATGTTACAAGCATAAAAGATAAATACCTGAACAAGTATGACTAGACATGTTTAGCATACTTGTTCAATTAGTTGGGAAGTACTTATTAAGCTTGCAAAATATGAGTGTTAGTGGCTTCCGAGTCAATGTCACTAGATATGACAAGGCATGAACTCATCATCTAAACTACAGCATCGTTGCTGTATATTCCGAATTGCACAGTCGCGCCATGGTGTCGATCTGTAAATAGATGCCCTTCTCTTCGGACTTCTGAAGGTTTACGTGATGGTCAGAGGGTAGAGCTCCTAATTAAGGCTTCACCACGACACACGGAGTTATATTCATGCCGTATCCAGCTAGCATCCATTCGATGAACTCTGCTAATGTCTCTCTGAATATTTCTGTAGATCCATATCCACATCTCAGGGTAATGAGCGAGTGAGCGGGGCACGGCCTAGATTCAAACCCATCACCTCGGCAGATCCTGAATCAGGAATTTCTCGTCATATACAAGTCTCGATAAGCCACGCAATTCAACTCGTCTCGGAGTGGATACCCTGACCTGTCACCAATTCATTACATATCTCAAGCCAGTTGCCTTTCGATTTACGCGGGGCATGAATATACAGGCAGTCGCTGACTCAAAAGAGCAAGGATGAAGGCTGCACGATTTTACGGAAATCGTGACATTCGAGTGGAAGAGGTTGAGGTGCCTCAGATTCGAGATGGGCAGGTCCTGGTCGAGATTGAATGGTGTGGAATCTGCGGATCAGATCTCCACGAGTATCTCGTCGGTGAGTCGACAAGTGGTGGCATTGTCACGCAGAAGAGCACTACTGACAATGGCGGGCAGGTCCTGGGACCATTCCGACTAAAGACAAACCCCATCCTTCAACAGGGGCATTTTTGCCAGTTACCATGGGCCATGAGTTCTGTGGGAGAGTGAGCAAGGTTGGGAACAACAGCAAATTGAAACTCGGACAGGCTGTCATGATAGACCCGCGATTGCGGTGTTCCAACTGTCACGCTTGCAAGGCCTCAAACACCAACATCTGCAGCCAATGGGGCTTCCTCGGCCTGCACTCTTTCGACGGCGGCGGGTATTCTGAGTATGTGGCAGTCAAGGAGGACATGTGCTACGTACTCCCGGAGCATGTGCCCTTGAAGGATGCCGCGTTGATTGAACCACTGGTTGTCGCGAATCATGCTGTGAGAAGTTCCGGGGTTGATTCGTACCGTGGCGAAACAGTCTTGATTCTCGGGGGAGGGCCTGTTGGGCTTGCAATGATGGCTGTGCTCAAAGCCAAAGGTGTGGGGAGGTTGATCGTGAGCGAACCTACAGCCAAACGTCAGCAACAGACGAAACAATTTGTGGACGTGGTTTTAAACCCCAGAGATGTCAAAGTCGGCGATGAGTGTCGCAAAATGACCGACGGCAACGGCGTTGACCTAGTGTTTGATTGTGCCGGGATCATGCCTGGCCTAAGGGACGGTATGGACGCCTTACGACGAGGCGGCACTTATGTCAATGTGGCTGGATGGGAGAAGGATGTATGGGAGTCAAACCATGCCAACCAATCGAGGAAGACACAATTTGCTAACTTGAGCCGCAGTGTATCGTGCCGATGGAACATTTCATGCTGAAAGAGATCATCTTCCGAGCGTCTATGAGCTATACCGAACGAGACTTTGACGAAATCGTGCAAGGCTGGATTGCAGGTAGGTCCAAGCCTTTTGAGTTCCTTCGACTCTAGCTTCGGAGTTGGCTGAGTCGTCTTTAGGCGCATACAAAGGTTTCGAGAAATTGATTACCGCCCGGATAGCCTTGGACGATGTGGTCACCAAGGGGTTCGAAGAATTGGTTAACAACAAGGATGACCATGTCAAGATTCTGGTTACGCCAAAGCCAGAGCTTCTTCTGAAGTAATCTCGTGGCAATTCGGTCCCATTGCATCTAACCTAGGCCAACTTCCAAGTGGATGATGTTATGTTTGAGTACAAGATCTGAATCTCGTGCCAGTATACTGGTTGAATGTCCATTATATTGACCCACCCGTGGTATATGATTGTTGCATGGCTCGGTACTGCACGAGACCTTGCTCAGCGACGTCGCCATATGACTGAGATTATCATGTACAGCCTGTTCAAGTGACAGGAATAGAATTACCATCGTGCACATAGTGGCGACACGTTTAGGGCCGCCGTGCTATCATCCCTTCCTCTTTAATGGTGCTAAAGTCGCGTCAGAAAATCCTCATTATCGCCTTCGTATAAATATACCCTCCCGAAAACTAATGTTTCAAGGGACCGTCCTTGCAAAACCCGCTCAGTATTGGAACCTGGTGATTTCCGCATTTCAACCCTTGGACGCAATGATCTCTTCCACTTTCTGATGTTTGGCTGTAGTCGGTTCAGGCTCGGCCATATTTGCTCTTTCCATTAATATCGTCAATTGGTCAACATCAGCTTCTGTTGAGGCTTTGCCTTTGTTGCTCCGTAAAGTTTGGATCCCAGCGGGTTTTTCCTTGCGCCCAAGGATAGTTTTCATCGTCATGTTGACCTCGTTCTCCAGCTCCTCGAGATCGATCATTTCTCGACTGTCGATCAACTTTTTACGATATGTTCTCAACATTCGACAAGCTTGTTCCGTTGCCATGCCCAAACTCCCATATTCAGGTACCCCGCTCATGCTTCGCCTCCGGCCTTGAAGATTGGCCTGGCCTCGCAAATCGGTCGGAACCGAGGGTGGCCGTCGTAAGCGGATGTTGTTAGACCTCTGCCTGCTTTTCGGGGTAGTTGGCACAGAGAGAACAGGTGCTGGCGGCGAGGGTGATCGTTCAAAAACACTGATCATTCCATTGCCACTGACTCGAGTGGAATCGGTCCTTGATCGTTGTGGCTTGGGTCTTAGTGAGGACCGAGCTGGAGGGGAAGGGGACCGACGAAGGTCTCGTCCGTTCAATGTCGTCAGCCTATTCGAAGGACTCGTGGTCTCAGCTAACCGAATGGTGCCCTCCTCGATGTCCTCTATCGTAGTTGAGAGAGCTAGCCTGGATTTCTTCCTTTTCAAACGGGCTGGAGATAGAGATCTTGGGGAAGATGGCGACGGAGGCACACTAGGACGTGTCAAGTCTGCGATATCCATCTTAGTCAAGACTTTCCTCAATGGAGGGAGAGATGTGGGGATTTGCTTCGTCAGCGGTGAATCAGGATCGTCTGAACCACTTCCGATCCCACAAGGTCGCTCCGGAGAGGTCTCTCCAGGCACCAGGACCGTTATCTTTGCGAGGTTCCATATCATAATCGTACCATCAAGGCCGGTAGAGACTATCGTGGTTTGGTGCTCTGACCCGGCTTCTGCACTTTGTTGGAGACAGGCAATATCACTCACCCCCTCTGTATGTCCTGATTCCCGTCCAACTAAACTGAGGGATTTCTCGTTGTACACCCGAATCGATTTGTCCAGGGAACAATAACCGATGACCACTCGTTCAGAAGTTTCACCAGCCCCAGGGCCTTGCGCGCTGATGATGGAATTCAGGAAGACTGTGTCGTCATTTTCGTAATCTCCGAGCTTGAAGGATTCGGTGAATGCACCAGCTTCGCAGTCAATCTTTGTGATCTTGCGATCCATGGTGGCAATAAGCACTAGATTGTTAGTTGAAGGGGTGATTGAAAGTGGCGAGGCCTTCAATGTTAGGACCTTGGTGGACAGATATGCGGGAACATCAACACCATCCTGATGTCGGAGAACTCGATCTCTGATCACTAGTGACCTATCGGTGGCGCATGACAATAGACGCTCCCCTGTGGGCGAGAACATGACATCGCTGACTGATCCGGCATGATCATCCATAGTTTGCAGAAGCTCGAAAGAATCTTGCAACACCTTGAACAGCTGGACCATGCGATCGCGACTACAGGTAGCGACCAGAGAGTCGGGAGCATGAACGGACATGCCGCTTATTTCGGCGCTGTGCGCACGGATAGAATTTGTCACTTTCCAATCCGCACTGTTGACTAGTTTCAAAATACCGTAGCGGTCGCCAGCAACGAAACTGGCGGTACTTGGAATATATCGAATGCGACATAACTCATTCTCATAGTTTTCGTCGGCACCTCCTGGTTGATCAAGGTTGAGGTCTTGCTGGAGGAGCAGCCGTCCCTCAGTGTTCCAGAATTTGACCTCCCCGTTCTTGGACCAAGTGATGAAATCTCCTAGGTCGGCGGATACCGGTAGACTAAGGACGCCCTGCACAGCAGAATTCTGAGCCGTGGACAAAGGATGGTCCTGATACTGCGAATTGTCAATGGCGTGCTGGAGATTTAGCCCGCCTTCGCTGTCCAGTGTGATTGTATGAGTTTCAATCCTGCCAATAGCTGTTACGTGGCGTGATTCACGAGACGCAAATCCCAGGGATCGTCGGACAGCTGAGTGTCGGGACGACCTTCGAGGGCCATTACCGAAGCCTGCTGGCTTCGCATTCGCACCTGGGGACTTGTCTGTGTTGGTCAGTGCCACGTAATCTTCATGCTGCAAACCCAAAGTAGTCCCCACAAGAAGCTGTTTGGCACCGGCGTCGTAGACAAGGGATGTAATGCCAAGCTCTGTCCGCTTCAAGACCTTGAGTTCAAGAGTGCTCTGAGATGCGTCTGCGGTGCAGAGATGGCCCGTTTCCGTACCAACGACAAAGGTCACGTCATCAATATTCACTGCACAGGTGAAAGTTGAATCAGCCATAGAGCCCAGCAAGCAGTTTCGACCTTGAAGAGGAGCAGGACCAGGGCTGGCCATGTACACATCAGAGCGGCGAAAGCGAGGTTGGCGGGTGGGTGACCTTTTGGAAGGGTCGGCCAGATGCCATAGCTTGATGTGTCGAGTGCCGACTGTCACAAGAGTATTGCCGCACCATGCCATGTCGCAGATGGCCGTGGTACACTTGTTGACAGAATGGAGAGTCAACTGGCCGGTTCTTGAATTCAGAGCCCAGATAAAAAGAAAGCCATCGTTCAGATTGCCTAGGGTGGCTAGATACTTCATGTCCGGGCTGAATGCGATGCAGCGAACGCCATGGGTATGGTCGGACACGATCGAGGTAGGGATTTCGGTAGAAGCATCGTCGGCGGTGGAGAATAGCAGGACCCGTGGGTTGTAGCCTGCTTCTCCGATTGCGAGCCACCTACCATCGCGACTCAAGGCCACACACGATGCAGCTTTAATTCTCTCCCTCGCGGTCCAAGTCTGGGCCCCTGAATCTTCTAGCCATTCGCGGCCAAGAGAGACAGAAGTCAGGGTGTCATCGCCCTTTCGTGGTGTGAATGTGGAGGTCCTCCTCCTTGAAGGGGTGGTTGCAGGAGAATTGTCATAGTAGGAGGTGGGAGGGTTCAATGAAGGTGCTGTAGGACGGGCCCTGAAGTACCTGTGAGAGAGGAGGCCTCGTTCATCGACTCTGGCCAGGACGGCGACGGCGCCGGCGCAGTAGGCATAGGAGTTGATGGCGGTGGAACAGGCGAGCCCAGAGGGGCCGGCGGTGGTTGTTCCTATTATTTTGTGGAGCACCAAGGCGACATCGGGGTGTCTCCGGGATCGAAAGCCACCAGCAGGAGGGAGTTTTGCTATAGGTGAGCCCGCAGGAGTAGTTCGGGCGGAGGGGGACTGGGAGTTTAGTCTGCTGCGAAGGCCATATGGGTGAGAAGCCATTGCTCCAGCCATCCACTCATACAGAAGTGATGGCGGGGCCGACGAGGAGATGTAGTATATCTTGCAGATGCCTGGTGTGGCTGCTTGTGAATTTGCGCCGAGCGACCGCAGGCAATCTCATTGGAAACAGATGTCGTCGCGTGATGATACAGAAAAGGAGAATAGCCAGATGGTATCAAGGTGCAATGCGATGCATTGCTGGTTGCGGAGTATACAAGGCAACGCTGCCCATGCTGGGTCAGGTGTGGGGTGAGCGCACCGTGCCTGTATCGCGGGGGGTGATGTCGTCGCCGGCGTGACAACGAGCTTTGGTCTGTCGCGGACGCTGTGCTGTGGCGTTGGTTAAAGTGTCTGGGTGTTTACATGGCTTACCGCATATGGAAAGGCGTGAAATGTCACAAAGGGTGGACGTATCTGCACTTGGTTGTCAACACTCCGCGGTAGAGCAGCTATGCCACATTGAGGCTGAAAGCAGGGGAGACTTGTGGCTGGGGCATCTCCAGAAAGCAGCCGCGATTTGCACCTCTGCGCCTTCTACCACCTACCTTGCCGTGCGTCCCTCCCTCAGGTCACCACGATAAGGTAAGGTACTCATAGAAAGGTGCCTCTCCTCTCATCTTCTGTAACTTCATACATCAAACTCCACAGTCATCGGCTACGGGTGTACTCCGTAGACTTGTGCAGCACAGACCAGGCAAAGGACCCACCACGGTGTGGAACAAAAAGATCGTTTGCATGGATCCACTTGATCCGATGGTGTATCCCATCTCGAATGCAACGTACCCGGTGCAGCCTGAGGAGTGACAATAAATGTAACTGTGGTCTGGTAAAATAAAGTCGAAAGTTAAAATTTGGCTGTCAAGATTGGGCTCAAGGAAAATTTTAGCCGCAAGCGCTGGTTCAGCCTAGGCAAGCGGATAAAAGAATCAATAATAGGGCATCTCCGCGAAGGGGGAAGTGACTGCCAGAAATCGGAAAGGGCTGCTTTGATCCCATGGCTTAGGACATCTCAAGAAAATCTTGGACATGTGTGGATATGGGAGAGGAAACTCGTCATCGTCACACATGTTTAGAATATCCAAGTCGATGGTTGTGCTGTTTCAGAATTGGGAATGCTGGGGGCGACTTATCTTCACGACCTTTTGATCCGACTGCGAAGATACCTTGTAACCCACATGCTACCCGAGTACTGTAGACCATCATCTGAAAATTATCTTGCCAAAACTTCAATTTGTGCAAGTGAAAACAATTGACGGTTTTGGACTTGAGATTTTGTTATATTGGCGATGGACCATGGGACCTAGGTGGAGGACGATGGAAGACGAGGACGATTCCAATACGAGGTCTAATCGACCTTGCTATCATCTGCAGACACATGCATCTACTACCTCGTACATAGGGAATGATGAACCGTGACGTGGTCAATCTACTCGTACGTACGATAGTGAGGTCACGACGTAGGGTTACGCGAACGGTGCTCCGTAGATGAGATGAGATTAGCCTGTGGAGTACCTATGGACTACTTTCTTACCAAAGCAAAAAATGCAAGTCAGCAGAATGGATGGCGTGCGTGACATCCATGGAGAGTCATCAGGTTGTTTCAAGTCTGACGTCGCAGGCTTCTGGGTACATCCGACCTAGTAGTAGGTACCTACATACCTAGGTACCTTGTACCTACCTAACTAGGCACCTACCAGGGTAGGGAGGCGGGGCGTTGGGGCTCTGGTAGACCTTCGGCTGTCACGCTTGAGTACTCCGTACCCAAGCAGCTAAGGCATGCATAGAAGGACTTGGACCAAAAGTCATGCCAACTCACTCCATATGGAACTTTACCCAATGGACGGATCTAGATGAAAGTTACTACTCCGTAAATGTGCTCGATAAGCCGAACAAGAATGGATTCAAAACTCGGTGTAAATCTATGGCAGATTTGCAAGGGCCCACCTAAGGAGTAGAACACCGGAGACCCCCCTTACGAACACGAATACTATGGAGTACGGAGTAGAACATCATGCGTAAAAGGCCAAGGTTGCACACAACTTGAAGTTTGAATTTCCATGGTCCGGGGTGCTAGTAAAAATGCGTGGTTGAGTGAGTACTAGGTAGGTAGTGACGAAAGACCAGTCGACAAAGTGACAAGATCTCTCGGACTCTACGCTCCGGATCCTCGGCTTCGGCCTGGGGTTCAGATCCGCAGAGTGGCCCGGTCATGCAGAGAACAGAAGACTAAGCGAGCACGAAGCAGATCATCGTCGGCAAAAACCACAAATGCAGGCTGACTGATGAAGAGTCGCTTGTGGTGTTCGGGGTGGGGGGGAGGCAGAGGGAAGGGGGGATTGGGGGTAAACGCAGGGTCTGGTGGAGGATAAAGCCACGTGTGGTGTGGTAAACTTTGGTTTACGAGGACTCACTCGTACAGGGGACCCAGAACCTAACCTAATGGAAGATTTGGATCTGGTTATGGGTCCAGGCTTAGTTGGGGGTGTGGGTGAGGTAATTCCTAACTAAGTACAAAGGGACCCTGGGAAAAAGAGTGAGTGGAGGTGCCTGTGCAGAACCACATAGTGTGGGTGGGTTAACAGTCGGCCTTTTGAGTGCCCACGAACCCTGTATTCTTGGTGCATCCACTCGTGATGGTCCCCGGCGGACATCTGCAGATGACTCTTTTCCATCATCTTCGTCTCCCTCTTCGTCATGCTTCCCTGCCCTTCATGTCCAAGGCACTGGTGATGGTAGGTTACGACCGGATCACGGAATCAACAAGAATTCGTAGCGGCCCTTGGCTGTTTTGCTTTACCATCTTCCGTACTCGTATGCGGACAAGACTTAAATTCCCTTGGTACCATAGTGCCATGATGCCTACACATTCACGACAGCTCAGTTGCCTATGTAGGTAGGCGTCCCAGTATGATTTCTTTACCTACCTAAGGCACAGACTTATCCTTATGGTTACTCGAAGGACACAGTTCTGTCGACAGTACCTGCTATCCTGATTCTTAACCCCTAATGCGCCTAACCCTGCAAAACTAGCCCTGGAGGGATCGTCCACTTCAAGCGATCCCCCGCCTCGTATCTGTCAAGTTGGTTGTATGGTAGTACCCTTTTCCCTGGAACAATCATGTATGTGTCCAAGCCCATTGCATGCTGGAATCTCACAGTCAGTTCCGTCCCAGAGATCCTTGGCAACGTGACATGGCACCATCGTCTTTGGCTAGGGCCTGGCACGGCTGGCTAGGTACCTACCTCAGGTACTCCGTAGTGTTCTCGAATTTCTCACTGGCTTCGTGCCGTTCCCCAGGACTCTTGTGCCCTCTTCCCATCACTCGAATTGCCCATAAATTCTTGTGCCTAGACCTGATACAACCTGTAATGCTATAGTCGACGATCTTCTGGCACCCAGCTTTGCACCCAGCTTTGTCAACCTCTCACCCATGCTTCTATTTACCTTGTCCATCTCACTCGTCTTAGCTCTTCTACCATTGTCCCAGTCTCTTGAGAAATTTTACACGCCACCCGTTGATCAACCCGTGCATGCGATGGCCGCCGTAGTCGTCTCACTCAAATCTTAGCTACCCTCACCCTCTGCTTCACCGGTAAGCATGTCGGCGTGGAAGAACTTCGGGGCTTGCGGCACTACTCTCCGATTTCCACGATTTTTAATGGGCCTGAGATATGGATAGCGGATGGCCCTAACCATCCATCAAATTCCGTCGCACTGTCCACACGCGGTTCTGACTAAAGCTTAATCCGTTCAATGATGCTGGTTATGATTGAACCGTAGCTTTTTCTACGAGTAGACGAGCCACTCGCTACCTTGCTGTACCAAAAATCACTCTCCCAAGTACCTACATGGCAATAATGCCGTGACAACAGCCGCCAACCTGGCGTCACATTCACTTAAGCACCCCTGCCGGACCCGGATCAGATGTGAACACCGACTGTTGTCGTTGGTAGCCCTGAATCTTTACTACTGTATGATTTCTGGCTAATATGCAGCTATCGAGTGGCTGCTCAGAACACCGGGTTTTATTTCCCCAGTGTTCGTTCGGTTCTTCTGCATCATGATTTTGCCAATACATTACACTCATGGTTCTGCCTATTGTGCATGGCAAACCAGAACTAGCCTCAACGCAATCATCGACCATCACCTTGGCAAAGATGCAGATTTCCCAATGTTTCCCGCCGCATGCCATCCCACTCCGCCCATGCTGCGCAGTCTGCGCGAGTCGCTAAATTGCAAGTCAAAGTGAAGCAAAGACACCGCCTCCTCGTGAAGCATCTCTGGCTTCACACCCACAACGCCGGTCCCTCAATACATCATAACCCTTTCAAGACACACGTAGTCATGGCAATTCGTTCTCGTCACAGAGAATCCTCAAACGAGTGCAACGCAAACTCGGAATTTAGATCAACCACATTCTTGTCAAAGTACCCGTCCCGACCTGCGTAAATCATGTCTTGAGCTGAGAAAGCGTCAAACTTGTCAAACTTTTCCGGCATGAGCATCTCGCTGAACGTCTGGTCCTGACATGACCGCAGAGTGCCCAGCTCTGAAGTCAGCTCAGCTATCCGGTTGTTGAGTTTGGTGACTTCGTCGGCTTGCCGGGTGTAAGACTGTAGCAGATCTTGGTGCTTTTCGTGGAGGTCTTCTAGCTGATGCTCTAGCCCTTTGACATGCTTCTCTTTGCGCTCTCGAAAGGCGCGCTGCGAAGCTCTGTTTTGCGCCCGTCTCCTCTGTTGCAAGTTAGTCAAGGCCAAACCCAAGACCAAAGCTAGGACCTCAAAGGTCCAACTCACCAAGTGCATGTTAGGAATGGTATCCTTATCCTTGACCGAAGTCGAGGTGCTATCCGATCGCCGTCGTCTGCGGTCTGACGAGTCTAGAGTGGTGGATTGGCTGTATTCGACTGGCGCCTTGTTGGTCTGAGTTGTCGGGTAGAAGGTCGCAGGAGTGGCGGCATATTGAAAGATATCATACGGCATCGCCGTGTTATTGAACATCATGGGGCCCATTTGCTACCAGGCGGTCAGAGTTGCCATCGACAGGCTGGCTTGCCACTGTGTCGACTTACATGAGGTGAATTGGGACTTGAGCCTTCTGAAGTGCTATCAAAGTATGGGCCAGCAGTGAAGAGGGATTGATTAGGCGACTGCGAAGGCGAGCTCACATAACCAAAGTCCATCGTGGGGGGAGCTAGGATGCAACGTCACGCCGCGGTGGTCCGACGTTGGTATGGCAAGTTATATAGGACTGTGCTCGAAATAGAAGGTCGAAAAACTTGAGTCAGCGATGGATGATATAGTCGAATGGAAGATGGAATCTCTGTCGGTTTCCAGGACAAGAGCCATGCCTTAAACACACTGGCAAAGATGTAATTTAATCATGTCTTTCTGCTTGGGGCTATTCGGGCATAGACCAACTAGTCTATGGAACGTGGTGAATTGTTCTGCCAGGACGTGCCATGCTCAAGAACGGGTGGGTGGATGGTTCCAATCAACCCCATGCCCTCATGATGGTGGAATGCAGGGGTCTTGCAGCACCCGGACAGGCTCCAAAACAGCTAGATCCAACGGGCATGGATCTGAGTTGGAGGGCTAGGTAGAGCAACCAGGATTGCCGTCGGGAAAAGTTGAGAGGCTCCATACCCTGGTCGGGCTCCCGTGGTTGATAAAAAGGTGGCCAATGACGGTTCGAGTTCCGACTACCCAGAAAGGGATGGCCTTCCTCACGATCTCTCTAGCAGCCGAGCATGATTGGAAGCGAAGAGAGGCTCCAAACAAGCTGTTCTCTTGTCAGCAAATTGCGGGTCCCAATGGCATCAGTCTATCGTGCCCGGACAATTATTTTAAGCCAGTCACTACTCCGTACAAACCTGCGACTCGGTGGTTGAGGCTACTAGCCAGGGTGCATGAGTCGCCGTGGACGGTCATCGGGTGACTTGGAGGATCACCGGTCATTTTTGGACAACTCGGGAAATGCTGTGGGACAAGAAGGCAAGCAGCTCAAGAAAACCACCTGCTGTAGTAAGGCAGGCTGGAATTCGCGACTCACTTGGCAGCCCACCATGCTTGTTGTTTCGTTCGGTTGTGGACTGCGGGCATTGAGGCCAGCAACCAGCACTGGGCGCACGCACGAGTCAATTGGAGGGTGCGGGTTGGGTTACGACGAGAAGATTGTGCAGACGCAGACGCGCCAAGGCCAACTTACTGCATTGAGGATCTCACAAGTGGGCAGTATGTGGCAGGATCCAGGCGGCAAGGCGGCAGGAAAGACCATGTTGCCAAGAGGATTTCCCTAAACAGAAGGTGCCCTACGATTTTACGACTTTGGGCAAGAGCACTCAACCCTACCCCCAGGCACGACAGGCACGACCGGCCCTTGCTAAAGGAAAGGTACGCAGGCAAGGCCGTTGGCACGCGGGCTCACCTCCCTCTTCCTCGTATCCTCCGCAGCCAGTCGACCAGTCGTCGCCAGCCGTGCCAATTCGGCCCTGGACTCATGAACGCGCTACTTGATTTTCTACGACTTCCCAACACAGGGTAGGCCGGTGCACGCCTGTCCTCAAGCGAGAAGTTCTTACTGGTCCCTATTCTGGGCCCCTCCTCAATCTCCTAGCTTCTTGCACATGTCCATCCCAAGACACACGCCTGCCTGCAACGGAAGGAGTACCACACCTTCTCTACCGCCGTAGATCTTGGTTCAAGCTTGACCTTCAAGCAGATCACCCGGCGCACGCCCGAGAGATCCCCCAGTGCCCCATCAAGGGACGCCTCGAGCCCCTCTTCCCAGCCCCTCACCCTCTCCTTTTGGCCTCGAGAAGGTACCCTCAGACCTAGGTTGTCCATTTTCTCAAGAGAACTCTCGGTCGTGCAGCGAGACAAGTCATCTCCTTATTGAACCTGCACACGGCAGACTGATCATTAGAGAATATTGTTGTGGGTAATGATTTCCTCTGCGCTGGAAGGCTTGACCTCCTCGCGAATGGCACTCTCCTTGATGGCATGCACCTATACTGAAAGCCACCCATACACCGACTGGCCACTTGTTGCCCCTCCTCAACGCACGATGTCGGTTCCCTGACCCCTCAGTGCACTATTCGCTCGAGTTTCCATGGGCCACACCCTTCTCAAAGGGGAAATTTGTGGCGTCTCAAACGTTTCGTCATCTGGCATGACTCTATTGAAAGCGATGGCTGGCTATGCGTATGCATACAGTAGAATGCCGCGACCGATCCTCCAAACCCTTTTGAGTAACGGGTTATCGCCTGTTTCATTGGTGGGCTGTCCTCGCCGACAACGACCGGACCAGACTTCGTCCCTCGGCTGATCGCGAAAAGGCTTGGTTCCAAGGGCAACTAATGGTCCACTTTTACCTCTGACCCTTCTACTCGTGCCTGGCGAGCGCGACTTATTAGGTGTAGAGCCAAGATTGTGGACGAGAAGCGTTTATACGTTCCAGGTATACGTACAGCAGGTATCTCTTGAGACCTAGAAAGAGAGCATGTGTTTTCTCTGGGGTAGATGAAGTGCCAAAGTCAAACCTAGTGCTTCTAAACAGGCCACAAGGCCACCGAGAGCTCGAGGGTCCTTGCACGGTTAGCCATGGAGGCTGTGGTCGCTGATCAGGATGGCCGGCCCTGATTGTTCGATGCCTATCGCCCGTCCTTTCCAGATGCCAATTCGGTTCAAAGGGAGCCATGGAATACCTTCGCATGCTGTTCTATTGTCTTCCTGGTTAGATAAGTCCGAACATTATATTGGTGTCGGATGTTTCTCTGGTCTTGTCACGCCAATGCACGCCAAGATGCCTCTTCACCAGAACACGAACAAAGCCACCGGCGCAGGTGACTTGTTGATAGCTGAGTGAGCTCTCAATTCCAACCGGCGATACTGGGCACCTTCCCAAATCGGAAATACAAAATCGCATTTTCCGCTGGTTTGTTACCGCCCACTCTTTTGACGCCAACGAGCTCCCAGAGTCGATTACTGGCCGGCTTCCGGCGTGCGAAGATGGGGCCAGGATCACAGATAGAATTGCTTATCAAAGCAAGGAGGCTGGCCTATCAGCCTTTCCATCATCCGCGTTTCGTCCCCACTGCTCGCAACATGGGCACCTCGATGTCTGAAGATCCGAGTTTTCGACGACACACGGAGTACTTGAGATTCACCTTAACTTGATTCGAAAGTGCAGTCTGAATATGCTTGCCTACGCCATACTTATGCCCCAGATGATGTGGGATACCTGCATATCCGGCTAGGATGCATTCCTAGGGACCTCCATCTCGTGCGCTTGTTTTCGTAACTCCCTGAGACTGTAGTAACAGTTGTGTACAGATCATCCATGACAAAGCATCTTTGTCCTGTGATCCAATTGAGAATGTCATGTGTCCCAATCCAGCGCATACCCATACACGATGTCCTTGTTGAGTGAAAAGTCGCAATGGCCAGGGGTCAGAACAACCAATTTACGTGCAGGACCTCGTGGTGTCTGTTGCCAAAACATATGGAACTTGTCCGCAGCCCAATTTGAAGCCATTGAAGCGACTCAATTGTCGTAGAAGTGCACTTCCAACGGCTACAAACTGACTGAGTACAACATATCGAACGGCGGGTTCGAAACAGCAACTTTAGCCTAGCCCGACACACCATGGTATAGTGGTCGATACCAGCTTTCCGGGTGACCTTTTATCGTCTTCACAGTTGCGATCACGAGGAGCTCGCTATTGCATTGCCATGCCTTGACATCTTTCACGGTCAACCCCGACCGCTCCTGGCATAGGCAGCCTTACCACTCTGCAGGTACGACGCATGCAGGACAACACCCGGCACCATGATGTCATCATTCAGGCGGAATCAGAGGTGCTGAATTTGGGGCTAGCAATCTTAACCGGATCCCATCTGGAAAAGCACTCTTACATACGCATCGACTTGATTTGTTTGACTGGTCAGTGGTCTCATACCTGGAACATCAGCATCGCGTTCGCGTCCAGCAGACAATCGCTGGCTTTATCGAACCTATCCCGTGCCTATGCAGTCGCAGGCTTTGCCGCTATGTCCAAATAAGAAGACAGCTTTTTCTTCTCGAGGGTTCGGTGTGAAGGCCTCGCGAGGCTCGGATCTCTTGACACCTCTGAGACCAATCTTCATCCTGCATTGGAATTGATACTGTCGAATGGAATGTCCTTGAAGTGGAGTTGAGCGATGCCCTCAGTGATCTCGGAAATGACAGCACTAGCAGTGCCGTGGATTAGGAGGGAGACGATTGGTACAACGAGCAATGAATGATTGTTCCTCCATACCTGAGGATTGTAACGGAGTGAACGAGGAGGTAGGTAAGTGATATGAGAGTGGTGAGAGTTTCCTTGCCTCTATAGAGGTTTAAGCAGGCTCGGATGGCATGACAATAGTGACCAAAGTGTATCAAAGGTTATTGAACCTTATAGGGGTACGGTGCCATGAAATGTCGACCCAAGTTCTCGTGGCATCACGTGGCTTTAGCTGAGAAAAGCTTGGCCCTGACCCACGTGACCCACTGTTCCCCTTAAAAGGATACGAGTCTGGAGGTCAGTTATGAAGCAGTAAGCCAGTGCAAGTCTGGAAGGGAATTACTTTTAAAGTAGCGATTCTTTTATTATTCGTAGACATGATACTTTCATTAGCTTTGTAGATACGCATGATAACCGTGGCGTTGAGCCACCCACATGCGGCTTTGGGAGATATTGTCACCTCACCAGGGTCATCTCAAACCTCTCGGGCCCTGACATGAAGCGCGAACCTTACTGTTGCCGGTGCATTTGGGTCAGTGCAGTTGGCAGATATGATGGCTGTTCGTAACCGCCACGTGCCAGTGATCGGCCGGTAAGCCGGGAGGTTTGAAGTCATAAACCAGACTCTGAAAATGGCTGTGGGAGGCGTCGGCTTATCCCAAACTCAAGAGTCATCGCCAGCGCAGGTGATTGTCCATAGTCTCCGGTCCATAGATGTTTTTATTTTGCCGGATCTGTGTTCCCAGATCTTCTGACATCTCACATCAGTCGTAATTTCATAATATGTGTCCAGGGCAAAGCAGATTGCATTGGTGCGTAACAGACTCAGTGTCCCTTTTCCTACGCGAGCACGCCAGTGTTTCCAGCTACGGTGCTATTTATAAAGGGGGAGTCCTGATACTTCCAATACCGGTTATTTGGCCGATCCTTGACTCTGCACTGTGTTTGGAGTGACACTGCTACAGTCCCTTAACAATCATAGATGGCAGTTCATGTGATCAGACGATCCTGTACCAGAGTTCTAGAAGTATGATTGTTCAAAAAGTGCCACATCTAACTGTTGATTAGATGTGTGGTGGACGGAAATAGCTTGGCTAATAAGGTTTAATGGAGATGTAGGGGCTAGACTGCATTTTAAGGGGATAATTGTCAGGCTAAGTCGAGGAGCCAGGCGCCAGGAGTTGGTGGCCTAATGCACCCAAATACTCCGTACACCGGTAACCAGATCACCTACTCCGTACATCAATAATGACCCCAGTGGCCCCTATGATGATAATTATCTCTAGCAATCCATCTCCACGTGGATTCTTCGAAATGCAGCCAGTGTTTCAACCTTGATACTACATGCTGTATCTGCAAACAAATTCGTACGCGCATGCAGTCTGCGATCCTTGGCCAAGAAGGACGGCTTCCACTCCCAAGGGTTCATGGGCTTGTAGTCTGTGTTATGGGCCGGTTCGAGATGTCAAGGACGAGTGGAAGCCATGTGCCGAGGCGGCTGAGACTCGTGGTGGACATGGCTAACCAAACAAGCTCAGTCCTTGATGGATTCTCGGGGCTAGCAGCATATCGATCCAAGCCGAATGAGTGCCTAGAGAAAGCCTATGTTCCACTTAACACGTTCCACTTGGTACGCCCAGCGGCGACTTGAGTTCCTAAGTGCCACTAAAATTGACCTTTAACTCTCGGGAGGCCGCCCACGGCCGAGTGGCCCAAGCCTAATACTGTTCATCCGCAACTTTCGCCCAGTGTCAAGAGTACTCCGGAGGTACTTCAGGTCGTGGCAACACTGTTCGTTACCTCGTTCGATCCACCATCATGCTCTCGCGTCTGGAGTAGTAGCGGTAGTCCTTCTGCGTAGTCGCTGAGGGTCATCTCTTCAACTCCACTTGTCACTCTCAGATCCTTTTCATACTGGTCACTTTTGGGTCAATTCCTCCGCCTCCGGGATGCTCCTACTCCCCTTGCGGACCCCTCTCACAAATCCACCATTCACACACCTTGATCCCATCTTCCCCGGCCCATTCGCAGCCCTCGGACGACTCTATGGGAGCAAGCTGCGAGCCTCCTCAAACCACACTCCCTCTCCCCTAGGTACTCTTCAGTGGCTCGTCTAATAATTTGCGCACTACCACCAACATCCAGAAATCATCATCGCCTGCGTCGAGCTAACATTGCTCGTCGACGTCTACCTCTGTCGACAACCCCGTGGCATGTGAGTTCTCATCCCCCCCTTTGAGCGTGATTCTCTTCATGACCTAGTACTGACCTCTGCATCGGCGCCAGTCTCGCGATCCTGTCATCACCAGTACCTTCCCCTTAGATCTCGACCCTGAAGCCTTTTTAGTTTTCCCTGGTCCGAATAATGAACACCAAGTGAGCTACAACACCCGAGGGCAGCTATATCCCTGCCTTTGTCGTCGGCACAAAGATCGACGCAGGTTAAGATGGGTTGTACCGGGTCAAAGCCTGACCCTCGAGAGAAGGAGGCGTCTCACCAAAATTCAAGAATTGAACGACAACTCCGAGCAGACAGAAAAGCAGAGGCCCGAACTGTCAAAATCTTGCTGCTAGGTATCGTCACCCCAACAAGTCCTTTGAATGGACGAGTCTCGCTGCTGACCCCAAGTTGATAGGAGCTGGCGAATCAGGAAAGTCCACGATCATCAAGCAGATGCGAATCATACACTCGAGTGGCTTTCAAGATGATGAACGGATACAGGTTCGAGCAGTAATATACTCCAACCTCATCATTGCCTTTCGAGTCTTGTACGAGATCATACGGGATGAGCGAATCGCTTTTGAGAATGAAGAGAGTGAGGCATTCGCAGACCTGTTGGCCAACACCGAAGCAGATGTCGACGCCCATGAGGCTTTCAAGGATCAAATGGTCAAAGAAGCCATGATTGGTCTCTGGAGAGATACGGGGGTGCAGAAAGCCCTGACCAAAGGCCATGAGTTTGCTCTCCACGACAACCTGAACTTCTACTTCAAGAACATCAACCGAATGTTTGAGCCGGACTGGATTCCCGATGACCAAGATATGCTTCACGCGCGACTTCGTACCACTGGCATCACCGAGACAGTCTTTGAGCTTCGAGAAATGACTTTTCGGATGATGGACGTGGGTGGGCAAAGATCGGAACGGAAGAAGTGGATCCACTGCTTCGATGGAGTCCAATGCCTTTTGTTTATGGCTTCTCTGTCGGGATACGACCAATGCTTGGTGGAAGACGTCAATGCCAACCAGATGCATGAAGCACTCATGCTCTTCGAGTCTTTGGTCAACGGTGAGTGGTTCAAGGACAAGCCGATCATCCTGTTTTTGAACAAGATCGATCTATTCCGAGCAAAATTACCCATCTCGCCAGTGTCGGTACATTTCCCCGACTTCCAAGGCAAGGATGGTGACGAGGAGGCTGCCAAACAATTCTTTGCAAATCGCTTCCGGTCAATCAACCGAAACAATGATCGCGAGATCTACATTCACTTCACCAACGCCACCGACACCAACCTCTTGAAAGCAACCATGGAGGATGTTCAAGATATCTTGATTCAAAAGAATCTTCAGCGACTTGTATTGTGATCAGGTCAGAGCCACAAAAGAGTCTTTTCCTGCGGCTCGATAGATGGGACGGTTGCAGTGGTCCACTCTTTCAGACTGCCACAAAGGGATTGGCCCAGAGAGCCTGGCCATGGACATGAAGACGTCGTTGAGAGATGAAAGTCGTCGAGGCAAGGACTCTTCACTACTGGACATACAATAGAATCTGCGAATCTGCATTGCGGGCACAATCTAGTTCTTTTTGCAGATGGCAGCACTGCGGCTTTGCAAATACTTGGTTGCATGTTGGTTATGCCTTGGACAGCGATGGCACCAGGGAGCGGTCCGCAGGCGGGGCGGAAGATTTGATACCTGGCTCGCCACAAATGTCAAGGTGGTTCCGCTCAAAGTTGTTTCTCCTTGTTCTTTCGGACATTGTCAGTCCTGTGTCGCATAGGGGAAAGGTTTTCATGTGCATTCATTGGAGCCAAACAGCGGGGAGGAGTTTCTTGTACAGGGTAGGCCGTGATTCGACAAAAATGAGAGCGTCTGATGTGGAAAGAGGAGGGCAGGATCACACTTTGCCGTGGGATCTGTCTGTACGGGGATTGAAAGCTGAAGATACCATAATAACGAACGAACAGAGTTCAATAGGCCGCACATTGTCATGCTTTAGTAGCTCGCTATAGTTGCAGTGATGAGGGGCAGCGATCGAAGTCCCTGGTTGAGTCTCGTCGATGTAAGTGTGGAGTGTGGCGCAAGGCCGAGGGCTGACTGCGTGCTTACATGGAGGACGTTGGACCCTGTGCTGCAGGTGCCTGTGCCGGTACAGTATACGTGTACCTAGGTAGTCTAGTGTAGCGAGCGAGTGAAGGAGCACCTGAACACCTGGTCGACTGATAAGAGAGTCGGATAGATGAGCTAGGATGACACAATGGATGGGGCACACAGGCAGGCACGTCAGATCAAGGCTGGGGCGAGAGATGTATGGTTGCATAGTATCTACCTCAATTACTCGAGAGCGAAAACCCCAACTGCTATGTAAGGTCCGGTTCGATCTGAGTGGATGAGCGAAGGCCGCTTTAGCCTGAGGTATGACTGAATCCTTTAGCTGAGCATCACTGAGCAAATACACTGCCGCATCATGCCTAGATACAAGGAGAGCAGCAAAAAAGAATGGCAGCCAAAAAGAGAAAGATGAACCCCACCTGAGTTGCAGAGATGACTTTTCGATATTGCGATTAAAGAGGAAGAACGAAGACCAAGTGCTTAGGTCGACCTCAGGGAACGGCAGGTAAGTCGAGGGTGAGCAAAGCGGCGAGAGGCTAATCGTAAAGAGAAGAAGGATAGGGACGATAGGTTAATCGTCTGAGGCTACCCAAGTAGACACTGGGACTGGAAACTAGTACCTGGGACCTGGGACCTGGGACTTGGGATCTTGGATCTGGGACGGCGTGGTGCAGGGAAGCGAGTTCGACTATATGCACCGATCAGTACGGCCCACTCTGGAAGGCGGGGAGAAGTATACACTGTAATGTCCCAGGCACCTTGGTTACATAAGGAGCTATGTGGAATGAAATTGTGTTGAGTCAGCGGTTGACAAAATGAGTTGTCCACGGCATGCGGCAACTTAGTCACGAACGCACGTTGGAGGATCAGGGCCTATATGGCACTGGACAAGGTATCAATTCATCTGCATAACACCATGGGTCGACCAGATGCGTAGGATATTCATTATTGTACTCAGTCTGCGCCGCGCATCGTAGAACGAGACATGCAGCGGGTAGAGAAAGTGTGGAATCTTGACATTACACCGGCTCAGGCAACCCTACTTAATCTCCTAATATTATCCTCTGCCTCTGCTCTCAGCTTCTGACCAGCTGCCTATTGAAAGCAAATGACCAATCGATCATTGATGGCGCGTGGAGTAAGGATCAAGGCAGTGGAGTAGGTCCATGTGCCGTGTCAAGAGAGGACATCACTTTTCACCCTTGATCTTGTGATAGAGATCACTGGCCAAGGAGGTACTGGGCCGACGATTTTCGTTCAGGCGAGTGCCACCAGTAGCCTCAAGTCCGAAGATACTGTCTTTTCTGGTGACGTCGCTGGCTACGGCGACACTTCCCTTTCTCGCATTAGCGGTTGCAGCGCCGCCGCCAGCAATGGTAACGGAACCACGCCTGTTGGCATTGGCAACATTTTCCACAGCCTGCTGGGCGGCGGCGGCGTTCGCGTCGGTATTCAGCGAGGCACGCCGGTCATCTTCCATGGCGTTACTCGCCGCACTGTGTCGTCTGTAGAACCCCGAATGCCGGCGTAGAAATTCGTCGTAGCTACCGTTTGCTTTGTAGCCGGCACCACCGGTCAGGGCATGCGGCATGGTAAAGGCGCCAGACATGGTGGAATGATTGGACAAATGGTTAAAGTGGGGGCAGCTTAGTCGTCGTGTTGCAGTGTCCGGGGTTCTCTACTCGTAGTCGACCAGATCGGGTAGTGCGAACGGATGTCTGGTTCGTAGAGATGAATTTCCGACTAACGTGATCAAGATTCGTGGACGATTGGATGACCTAAGCACTCGGTTGCTTGAATCGATCAAGGTTTGGTGAGAATGCAGATTCGGCTGGATCTGATGTATTTGGTGGGTGCTGGGGGCGGGTACGAGGGTGGAATAGGCGGAGGATTAGTCAATGGCGCCTAGGCTCGAGTCTCAGGCGAATAGATGTTTACAATGGATTGGTTGATCGAACAATTTGAGGGTGAACTGGGATTCATTCGATCAAGGATGGATAGAGATATGAGACGAGTCAGTAAATGCTCTCGAGAAGGAGTGCGAGACAGGAAGAGGGACAGCAAGAGGAGCGCTTGCGAGGAAGGCACGGGTAGTTGTATGTGATTGCTTTGATATACTTCGTGTCGCCAAATGATGCCTCTGGTGAAAATACCTCTTGATTACGTCGACTGGTCGTCCGTGCTCACATGGACAACCATAACCACAAGCATCGCAGAAGAGGTGGTCCACCCCGCACTTCTCTAGGATACAAGGGTATAGGAGCGAATGATAGGGCTGGTGAGCGAAAATAGAATTTCGAGACGACAGGTGGAAAAAGGGTTGGTAGAGGAAATGAAGCAGAAATCCCGAGCCAATGGTTGATGACCCAGGGTCAGCCTCGAACGAGAATGAGTTCGAGGGGTGTCTCAAGGACCTGGAATGTCAGGTCTGGGGCCATGACATGTGAAAAGGCGAGGTCGACGAGGAATTATGAGAGTCTGGCCATGGTCTGTGGTAGCTAGTAACAAGGTGTGCAAGGTTGAAGGCGCAGGCAGGTCAACATTATCAAAGTTGGGAACATGGTAGACATGAAGGTGATTGATGACTGGGGCTATGAGGTGATGCAGACCAGTCACGTGAGAATTGAGATATCACGTGTGTAGCTTACGGAGTAGCTGCTGCACTGGTAGGCGACAAGCGACAGGCGCTAGGCGTGACTACCTACGGAGTATGTACGGAGTATAACCTCCATTACCCAATAAGCAACCGAGTCTTCGAGCGTTGACCTTGAGAAGAACTGAGAAAGGGAGCACAAAGGCGATTGATACGCTATTTGTCATAGCAAAGGAAAGATTATCTCTCCTAACGCTCTAGGCTATTTGATAATTTTGAGATATTGAAGTACTGGCTTGACTTGGTATTCACAACTAATAATGATCAACGGCGTTAACAGCCTGAGAAGGATTGCCAGAGGAGGGGTTTCTCGGGGGTTGACCCCGAAGAGTTTCAGTTTCGCATTTAGCGAGCTTTGAACTAAGAAAGTATTTGGAAGCTCCTGCAGCTCGGACTTTGTTCATGAGAGATAAGTTATCTAAGTTACTAAGGTAGTACCTAGGTGCCTTGGGTACCTAAGGCAAGGATGGCATGGATTGGGTGCCTGGGTGCCTAGGCTTCCCCCGGGTTCAACACTCGTCACCATCTTTCAAGCCCGAGGGGATCTTCGACCAACCAGTCGGAGTGACCAAGCCTCCACTCTATCCATCTGTTCAATCAATGAGCAAGTCAATCATGGCGTCACCCATCCAAGCCTCAAGGAACCTCGGGATCTTTGAAACGACATCTGGTCAAGCGACACAATAGAAAGTTGTGCAGGCACCAAAACCCCAACGAGGGCCGAGGGGGCCATCAGAAACCTTCACAGGCGTGCCCATGGATGTTGGATGGTCATGGCACAGACGTGGTTACAGTCATTGTCGCCATCACAGTCTCGCAGTAGTCGCAGTAGCAGTTGTAGTCGTAGTCGCAGTCATGCTTTCCTCCCTAACCTGCACACATCATTCCACGCCACTCGGTCACTCTCCCACAACAAACGATCCATGCCAACCTACCCTACCTTACTTACCTAGGTAGGCTCTGAGAGTATTAAGTCTCGGGGCTGTCTTCTCCTTCGTTCCATCTCCTCCCATTCTCAATGTTCACTGACCGTCTCATAATCCAAACTACTCGATCTCGCTGCGGCCATCCTCAAGTCCCAATACTCTCGGTTATCCTCCCACGTGTTCTCACAACCTCCCCCGCGGCTATCCGCTTCATCGATCGCCCACGCTACAATTCCACTACCCCTGGGTTGCACCCAAACCACTCGTCCATAATGGCTTCCGCCACTTCTTTCTTCACCTTCACTCCCAAAGACAAAAAGAGTCAAGACTATCCACTGTCCCAACATAAGGGCAAGGTTGTCCTGGCCGTCAACACCGCCTCCAAATGTGGTTTCACTCCCCAATTCCAAGGCCTTGAAGCCCTGTACCAGAACCTGCAGAAGAAGTACCCCGATCAGTTCATCATTCTGGGTTTCCCCTGCAACCAGTTTGGCGGCCAAGACCCCGGGTCAGACGATCAGATTCAAGAATTCTGCCAGGTCAACTATGGCGTTTCCTTCCCCGTCCTTGGCAAGACCAATGTCAACGGTGACAAAGCGGAACCTGTCTTCGAGTGGCTCAAAAATGAGAAGCCTGGTCTCCTCGGCCTGAAGAGAGTGAAATGGAATTTTGAAAAGTTCTTGGTCGGAAAAGACGGCCAGGTCGTCCAGAGATATGCAAGCACCACCAAGCCTGAAAGCATAGAAAAGGATATTGTGGCGCTGCTTAACAAGGAATGAGTATACATCCTCCCTCTCTTTGAGATTGGAATGATACCTCATATTTGTTGGTTGCCTCCTTCTTGTTCGGCCAGGATCAAATAGAGGACCACTTCGTCTGCGATCTTTAACCCATGTACTCGTGGAAACCTTTACGGTTTTCAACTGATACCCCAAACATGAACAGAGATACCCTTTTCCTCTTTGTTTTTTCCTTGTTGCTTATCTCTCTCCTCACCTTTGTCAACAAGTCAATCGACTTTTTGGTTTGATGATGAAAGAGAAAGCGTCGCATGTCAGATCTACCTCAGATCTACCGATCAAATCGATCGACTCGTGCGTAAACATTCATAGCCGAACTGCGAAGCGAACCGTTTGAGCTAAACTTGAAACGATCTCGTGGGATTGCTACATCAGCCAGCCACCCATCCTGATCATCTGGACAGGCAATGTGCATGCCTCTCCACGTAACACACGCCCATCACAACAGGCCATCCATCCTCGGAACCAAACTGCTACTGTACTCGCAAAAGGGGGGTAGAATCTCAATCCAACCATACATCCGTCACAGGGTCCTCCTTTGGCCCCCATTGTGACTCGTCTCTTCAACACGGACCCAGGACAAGGCTGTCCTTTCATCCTGTTCCCCTGGTCCATCTTTGCGGGAATCTCATGTTCTCGTCCTGTCAATCAAAGCCACTGTTTCAACTGACAGGCTACAGCCTGATGTGAATCCGCCTTTCGACCAACCAGGCCTTGGCCACTATAAAACCTGGACACAAACCGCCTGATGAGTAAATGAGTCAAGGCGGGTGTTGCAACTAGACAAGGACATTGCCTGCTTCCTCACGCAGCCTGACAACCTACAAGCGCCCGAAAGATCAATAAGTATGTCGCGTTGACTGGAGAAAGGCTCTTGATAGCCAATTACTTCTTTCATCACCACCCTTGGTCACTTGTCAATATTCAGCCAACACCTCCTTGCCCCTTTCGACCTCCTCATCTGGCCAATTGACCATCTAACAGGGTCTACAACGTTGCTCGATTGCCAGAATCGAATTTCGAGCCTGATTGCACTCTTAGCTCGCTAGGGTTTGGCTCAACCAAGTGCAGGTATCATGCAAGACTTGCAAGTCAGCACCGACCCAGGCTCTTCCATAACCAGGGCCAGTCGACAAGGTCTGCTGAGGTTTTAAGGCACTCTGGTCCCTCGACTTCAGTTCTTACCTGCATCATTACTCTGCTCTCTTGGACTGTTCACACCTGTTCAATCATTATCGTCCTCTCTCCTCATCTGTCAGGACAGACTTGGCTCAAGATGACTCAACCATACCAGAGCCTGTCCCCACCACTGCCGGGTTGGTTGCGCTTTGTTCGCATCGCTCAGCTGGCCCTGGCTGTGCTCATTCTTGTTCTCAGCGCAGTGGCAGCTCATAAATATCTCGGCGGTCTGGATCCAACATATCTGGTAAGCCAGAGCTGAAAAGTCCGGCAGGGCACCTCGTGCTCTGGACGCTGATGATTACAGGTCACACCCTTCCCGTCCTTTGGCTTCGTCTGGTTTGCCTTTGCCTGGACCATCGTCTATTTGCCCCTTGCCAGATTCGTGATCCCTCGCCTGAGACTGGCAGTTCGTCCAGTCCTCATTCTTACCACTTTGGACGGCTTCAGTACTCTGTGGTGGCTCGTTGCCTTTGCTCTGCTCGCAGACGATAGTCGCAAGCTGGGCGTCGTCCTCACCGCCATCGGTCTCACGTATGGTGAGGCAACCGAGGTCTATGATCAGAGTAAATTGATGGTAGACCTCACCAGAGCATGCGCTGGTTTGGGCGCTGGAGAATTGTAAGTAGACTGTCCTCTACTTCTCCCTCTCGCCCTTGTCGCCTCACCCGCGCCATGCATGACCAGTTGTCAAGTTTATGCTCACTGCTCGTTCATAGTCTTCTATTCGGGGTTAGCTTCGGGGTTCTCTGCGCAACTGTCTTCCGCAATACCAAGGGCGATGACGCCGGATTCGCGCCACCGCATGGTACCGTCATCTCTGTACACGAGTACCCAAAGGGGTCGACAGCGCAGACACAACACGATCAGACCGTGCCTCGACCTCAAGGATCTGAATTGTCTGCCAGTCAATACGCTTGAGCCATGTTTGCGAAGGACGGTCTTAGGGTCGGATTGTCGTGAAGAATCATGTCTCATGGCGCAGCCTTTGAGTGGATCTCTTAGGGGTTTTAAAAGAGATGAAAGAGAAGGGACCAACATGCTTCACAGAGCTCGAAGCCCATTTGTTATTGCCATCTATGTAGCATAAAGTTCTTGCCCTATTCAAGAGTTTCGCCACGCTCCACTCAACTAGCGGCTGGGGCTTCCCCGAACCTGGTCCGTATCATAGCACCGGGATTGTGGACTATTATACATCATGCGTAGCACATAGCAAGTGTCTGTAGGCCACCAACTGTTCCACTACCTAGATCATCAGACGCTCAACACGGTTCTTGAGTTCTCGAATCTGGGGGGTCAGGTCGCTCGATTCGTTCGTGGTGATACTGGCTGCGATTACCGGGCGTGACACACCACACGCACGGCCGAGAGCAGCCTTGCTTGGCCTATTGGACGAAACAAAAGATGTCAGCAAGTCAAGCTCTGTATGGGATTATGAAATACTGATAACACAAATGACTTGTATCACTTACACATAGACGTAGGGTACGTTCTTGTCCTCGCACAAGAGGGGAATGTGCAACAAGATTGCCAAAGGGCTAGTGTCAGCAGCGAGCACAACGATCTCAGAGGTGCCTCGATTTAGCCTACGCAGAGAGAAGGATTAGCGTTGAACATAAGCAGAACTGTACGACACCCGGCAACACTGGGTGAGCGCGGCGGGAAACTTACGTCTTGGTAGCCTCGTTGGCGCCTTTTTTCAGCTGTCGGTAATGACTTGCTTGTTGAGTGATGTCCAGAATCTTCTGCGACAAAGCCTCATCGGCGATAGGCCAAGCAGCATTTGGTTCGGCCATTTTATTCACTTGAAAGAAACCGCGATATGGGGTATCTCAACGCGAATAGAAAACGATGGGTTTGATGGAAGATCGAGGTTGGTATAGAATGCGTAACGGCTCAGGGCAAGGAAGATGGAGGAGGTCGAGGAGAATTTGAGTTCCGAGGCCGTGGAAAGGGTTCCTTGCGTTGGCTCGCCCTTTGAGGAGGTGTTGGAGGAGAGGATGAGAAAGTAATCGTCGCAGACACAAAAAACCCAGGTCTTTGCGGATGGAATCAAAAAGTTTTAGATGCACTCGGCTAACTTTCTTTTATTCCCTTCCGAGTAACTAACTGTACTAGCGTGTGCCAGTGTGGCTGCTAACTATCTTTGCCAAGACCATTCCCCTAGTCGAGGGGGTTTGAGCGAGGGAAGGTGCTCGTTTGGTTGGTCGAAGCTCAATCTCCAACCAAGAAGAAGAAAGGACACCAGCGCCGCCAACTCCAGCATCATCATCATCTCAATCATCCTCCTTCAGATCGAGCTCACCCACTACCCTTTGTCCCATCAATCTCATCAACCTCCTCGCCTCAACTTCAACCTCGAGACTCTCATCCCCTTGCAATAACCACATCTCCTCCAAAATGTCTTCAGATCTTTGGTAAGTTTGCCTCCCATCTATCAATGCAGGCAACCTCAATGTCCTAGACCCCATTCCTCCCAGCTACCTCCTGTTAGCAGCTGCTTCGCTACGCGATGCCATCACGTCAACAACAAAATTCTTGATTGAATTAACATGCTGACACTTCATTCTCTACAGTCCCGTCTATGCGGTATGCCTCCCCTTTGATTTCACCCTATCCATAAAGCACGATTCCAATACCTCCCTGCGCCTTCTTCTCCAAGCTCCCAGCCACGAGACGTCCAAATATACTGATCAGATATGCTTCTAGCCCTTCTTCGGAGCAATGGGCTGTACCTCGGCCATTGTCTTCACTTGCTTCGGTGCCGCATATGGAACTGCAAAGTCTGGTGTTGGTATCTCTGCCATGGGTGTTCTACGACCCGATCTTATCGTCAAGAGTATGCTCGCCGTTTAATCACTTCAACGTATTCCCTAGTCCTGACAACCCAAAACAGACATTGTCCCTGTCATCATGGCTGGTATCATTGGTATCTACGGCTTGGTGGTTTCCGTCCTGATCTCCGACAATCTTTCTCAAAAGGAGGCCCTCTTCACGAGCTTCATCCAGCTTGGTGCTGGTCTGTCAGTGGGTCTGTCAGGTCTTGCTGCTGGCTTCGCCATTGGCATTGTGGGTGATGCCGGCGTCCGTGGCACTGCGCAACAACCTCGTCTGTTCGTCGGCATGATCCTTATCCTCATTTTCGCCGAAGTCCTGGGTCTTTACGGCCTGATCGTTGCCCTGTTGATGAACTCGAAAGCCCAGACTGATGTCCATTGCTAGATGGCTGGTCTCAGACTCCTGTTCGTGGACAATAACAGATGTGAGCCAGATGGCTCCGATGAAGCATTTTTGGGGACCACATCCATGAACACGATAGCCAGGAGCAGCTTTCGGAGATGGGTTATAAGTGAGACACGAATGGCAAGAATACCGGCACTCCATTCTCCTACAAGAGTGGAGGCCAGCCGGTTACGATTACCGTGCTGACAACATGCGAGACCGAGTTACCCCCTTGGTACCAAGTGGTTCTGTGTTTCTCGGTCGAAGGATTGTATTATCTTTGCAAGCGCGTCATCAGGGTTGATGCTCGCAAATGGTGGTAACAGGGATGGGAGGATTAGCCTCTGGGTGCACACGTGGTGTGGAGCGATACGTGAGCATCTGTCACGTACAATGTTAGGGCAAATAGATAATGCTTTTTTGTATTTTGTATGATTTCACGAGGTCGCTGTGGGCGGAATTTGTAGGCTGTTCCTCTGAGCAACTCGACTGTAGAGACCAAACATATCTGAGTTGTTGGTTCGTGACTCGATCCAATACCAACAAACATGCCATGCACTGTGACCAAGCCGGAGGGGAATATCCTATCCTGGAGATCAGCCAGCGGTGACTGATGATGGGATCTCTGTACACGGGGTAAAGAAGGGGAAGAAGGAGAAGAAGAAATCGGGCATGTCAAGCATGCGGACGCCTGGTCCTTCGCGACGAGGAATATTGGTCATTATTGCAACATCAGAGAGATTGTATTATCAGCTGGAATAGTCTCCTTTGGTAGACTGCGGCAATGCCATGTTCCCTGACTCTACACGCGTAAGGCTGGCACGATGCTCTGCCCATCGTAGGCAGTGAACGGACAACTATCTATGTAAACGCCAAACAGGAGAGAGAAGAATCCGTGGAGAATGTATGGATTGAGTTTATGATGTGTTTGGTTCGTTGCAGCATTGCATTGCCACGCCTGGAGACGAAGAGCAATGCCATGAACCAAGTGAGCAAATCGCAAAACGATTGATGCATATGCAGGAGTGCCTTTCCTCCCGCAATAACGCCTCCGTAACAATGCAGCGACTAGAGGGCCAAGACGAATGATTGCCAGCTACAGCATCCGCACTGCAACCATGTTCTCTTTCATCCACGCAGACAACGGGGGCGAGAGTTCAGATCTTGCCCTGGCGCATCTTCAGGTTGCGGACTCGACGAGTCAATTTCTTGAACTTGTGCTTCTTCATCTTCAGTCGCCTTTGCCTCTTGACACTTATCGCCATCATGGTCGGTGTCCTGCTTCGGTTGGTAATTCGGTAAAGCCCAGGGCCTCGACGACGGCCCATGGACGGTTGAATAGAGGGATCCTGGATATGATAAGGATTCTCGGGATTCTCAATCTCATAGGACTGTAGAGGGTGCTCAATCTCAGCGAGACGAGCTTCGTGGCTGGTGAAAAAGTCACCAGTACGTAGGGCAGAGCCCTTTGGCACGTTCAGGACGGCCTGTTCAATATACAGATCGTATTCCTGCTCTTGAACCTCCGTCTCGAGGGCTTGGGCTTGCATTTCCTCTGCGGCAGCATCTTGTACCTCTGAAGATCCAGGCTCAATATCCTGGGCAGGAGTGGGCGCGGGCGGAGCATTGTAGGGCCGGAAACGTCTGGCAATCTCTTGCAGCGCAATCTTGACATTTCCGCCTTGAATGGCCATTGATTGAGGGTTTCCATCGAGATGATGTGTTTGGTCGGGGTCAAGGTTGGCATTACCCGATACCAAGGCTTTAATCAGGTGTGCTTTTTGCTCGGCGGTGTGAGAGGCTCGTTTGGAGGAGATTTGCTCATCGAGGTTTTCCAGTGTGGATGATAAGGTATAGATGACTTCCTGGGGAACAGGACGGGTTCTTTTGGGCTTAGGCTGGAACATCTTATCGATGTTGTCCATGGAGGCCTCTGGGGTTATAGGTCCTGATATGGAGATGGGTCGGTGGGTGCCGAAGAAGGCGGCAACATAGACATCTGTGCTAGTGTTAAGATCACGGTCAGACGCAGATGGTTCACACTCGACTGACCTTTGGGATTCAAGTGTTGTAAGCTTGGGACGCTGGGAAGAGTCGTTGTCCAGTTGTAGTACTGAGAATCGGCCTTTGCCTCCTTTGCTATCTTTCGTCTTGATAACCTCAAGTCGGCGGCAGCGCGTTTGGAGTCGGAAGCAGGAGAAGCGACTTGCTTGACAGCATTGGGGAGGGTGGTAGAGCCATTGTTAGGAGGAACAGGAGGCTTAGAAGAAGAGTGCCGTCTCTGGTGAGCATACGATGTGAAGGAAGCAACGGCGGGCGTTGTTGGGCGGGCTGGAGCGGCTGGTGAAGAGGTTGTGGAACAAGTGCGCGCCACCCGGCGCAGGGAGTGGTTGAGCATCGCTGTGGTGGTGAGCAATCCGACAGGAACCCTCGAGAGATGAGGTCAAGTCGAGATGAGACCGACGACAGGCACGAGTGAGGTGAGGAGGATGTTGACTGAGAGAAGGGTCTGAAATGACGAAGAATCCAAGTTACGATATCAGGCGAGGATGAAGGTTGCAGTTTGGCCACTAAACCATATTTGGCCAAGTCTGGTGGCGTGGTACTGCGCACAGAGGTGCCTAGTACTTGCCTATCACTGGTCATATGTTTAACTAACGAGCGACGTGATCATGCCTGTAAGTAGTCGACCCGGGTGGCACTCTAGGGGGTCAATGCCCATAATATGCCTATTTTTCTTCCCTATTGTCGCTTACCAGACGCAACACCCCCAATAGAGTGCCAAGGATCATCCCACCGACTCTGGCCGATATTCACACAACAGACGAGCGTTTGCTTGATTCAAGGAGAGGAAACGCCGACTTCGCTCCCATCTACTGAGCATCTCCAAGTTCAAGTCCCGGCTCGAGACTAAAAGTACCTACCCATCTCCACCACGTACCGGGTGACTCAATTCACTACTATGACTACCGCTGGTCACGGTCCGAGAGTGTCATCTCCCCTCACAGGTTGATATTGGTAGCAAGAACCAGGTTTCCAATCATGTCCACCAATTCAGAAACTGAGTGTAGTCGTTCGTCAAAACCTCCACTGGGTGCGGAAATGCGGAAAATAGATGTCTGAGTGGTATGGAGTATATCTCTGCTCATTATTTTTTCGTTTCCCTTGAGAAACTCTCGCTCTCTGCATTCTCAAGAATGGAAATTTGAATTCAAATATTATTCTAAAATACATACATACATATATCTCTATATAAATTCTGTCCCTCCCCCGTCATGTCGTCCAATTACGTCAAACGAATTACTCTGTTCAAGATTCCCAAGGAGGAGGATGTTTCAGCACTTCTCGAGCAGTACGATATCCTACGATCCACGGCGACCAAGGTATGAACTTTATGTCGCGATGCCTGCCCCCTACTTAAGGCATGCCATCCTCTCTAACTGCTGTCTGCTGTAGAATGGAGCGCCTTATATCGTCTCGAATGAGGCCCATCGCATCGCAAACCACACCGAAGAACGAGCTCAAGGTTATACCCTAGTGTCCATAACAGTCTTCAAGTCTGAAGAAGACTTTGTTTACTACGACAAGGAATGCGCTGCACACGCCAAGTTGCGCGAGTTTGCTACGGCAATTCGAACAGGCTTTGCGACCTTGCGATTTGAAAGCAACCTGGCGTAGCGAAGGCTAGCCAAAGTTCATAATCAAAACCCCGTTTACTTGACCCTCTCTTATCTGTTAATCCGCAAGACGTTATTGATCACGCTGTGTCTTTTCATGATATGGTTCCATTGCAGAATATGTCGTCCTATATAAAAGCCTACATCAGCTGCAGACGTGCCAACCGATGCAAAGAATCCATGATGGCCCAATCAGAACTCAAGGAGGAACTTCTCGTCGAGCTCCAGCTGGATCCCGAGCTCCTGGTCTATCACTTGTTCAATCCCATCCAGCACACTTTCTATCACTTGATCACTATGAAAGCTTTTATTCCAGTGAATCTCGAGATTCAACATCCCCTTGAAGGACCACAGGCCAAAGACTACGCCAGGCCCCAAAGGATCAGCAAAGACGAAAACATCGTCGACCTGTAGGTCACCATGGCGCGCCATGAGAATCTCCCGGTCCAGAACTCCATGGCTTGTGATCCACGGCATACTGGCTGGCGCGGCGTGCATGCTAGCTAGATGATTTAGCATTTGAGCACTTGTCTCACGTGTATCTTCAAAGAGCCAGGTTTGTTGGTCTGCTAGAGTGTATTGAGACTTGAGACTCTTCGCCCGTGACATATAATCTTGCCCAACTCGAGCCGTCAGCATGAGGAACTGTGCCGCCGACCAGCAACCTTGAGATCGATAAGGGGATGACTTGGGCAGCCTCGTGCGCACTTGTGCTGGCATCAAGCTGGCATAGTTCTTCTGCCGGCTATCGGGACTGGCAATCGACCAAACTGCAGACAGATATGCTGAGTGGATTGCCGCAGTCAAGGAGATTGAATGTGATCTACACTCTCCAACGAGTCCACTAGTCGAGGCTGTCGTGTATCTCCGCCGCGAAAGCTTGGTGCTTGAAGGAGGATTGCCCACGTCTCCTTGTACAGGAAAGTCAAGCTGTGGTAGATGAGCATTAAAGTTATCAAAGTGCTGTCGCACTCGCGTTTTTGATGCATCCGTGGATTCCTTGTCGGGCATAAGAATATCTTCGAGGCTAGGCGTGAGGAGATGGACCTCGCTTCCAAGAGTATGACTGTTCAGAGCTTGGCTTGTCACTGTCCCGTGAAGCAAGTCGTCCGTGTAGTCAAATATTTGATCGAGCATCTTGAACGTTCCTGCGGCCTCGGTCCTCCAGTGGCTGATGAACAGGATAAGCGAGCCGCAGAAAGCTTCACCTGCATTTGATTGCGGCACTAGATACAACACAGGAAGATAGTCTCGATTGCTTTGCATTTCCCTGACCACATCTTCCGTGGTACTCTTTGGTTCCGCAACCAAAAACGTCTGTTCCAACCACTGGTCCAGCTCCAACCCCATACATGGCCGATACCGTTTAAAGCCGTCGCCGAATGTGGTGGCGATATCTGGAGACTTGAGCAAGCGTAGAGCCTTCCACGCGTTACGGACTGCAGGTATGACCTTCTCAGTGGGTTGAGAGGAGCGAAAGTCGGCGAATGTGTGAATTCGGATGAGTTCGCGAATGCTTGGTTGCTCAATCCCAAAAATCATGCCGCGTTCGCCATCTGTGAGAGGTCTTTGGTAGAGCCCAGAGCCCGGCGGATCTTCAGTGTAGGATGACGATGCAGTTGGGACCTCCATGAGAGACCAAGGGTTCAGGCGAAGGATTTGTCGATGAAATGCGGTTGTGAGGATGAAGTATGTCGTTGGCCAGTTGTAACCGAGGGAGTATACCTACCTAGTATTTATTCCATTATTCCAATCACAAAAAAGACAAGGCCAAGCGCCATTATTGTCGAGGCAATACGTCACTAACTTGGGTATACAGACCCAACAGTTTCCAGACATTAACAATCTGGCTTGCCACACGTCTTGAGTCGTCAATAAGCAACATGATTACCTTGCTCTCATTGTGCTTGACGAGTCTAGGAAGTACGATGTATTCAAAACGTGAGATAGTCATGGACGATGCCGGGATCTCGCCACGGTGCGTCATTGGCCGCTTTCCGAGAGCACGAGGGGCGAGGGCTGCTCGGGCGCCTTGGGCCGTGCGTTCTGCCCGGTGGGTTACTAAAATAACTTTATGAGTTTTGTCTACTGGGTCTACCTAACGAAAATTGACAAGAATGTACGACCAGATTGCCGGTTGCAGCTGGTAATCCATGATTTATCTGCCCCTGATTGAAAAAAAAACTTCACCTAGCTGACATTCGCCTAAAGATCTTTGCCAAGGGTACGTTGAGGAAGAAAAAGGTCGAGGTCTGCTCCTCAGCATCTCGATAGGCGAACGGTTGGGGCCATCGGGCTGGCGTTCTAGATTTCTTGGCTGTCTCGCACGAAACTCCATGCCCAAATGTTGGATTGGTTGGCGATGTAAAGCTTCCTCCGCTTGTAGCGAGGCACGATTCTTTTTCGGACTCACGTCGGCTGGAGAGGGAATAGCCACCTTGTGGCACCGATTAGACTCATAAGATATGGAGGCAAGGACAGGAGCCGGTTGGTACAGTACTCCGTAATGGAGCCGAGGCGTCGACTATACTTGATAGCGATGTCTCGACCTTCGATGGTGGGGTCCTTTCATCCAGACCATTCACTTCGGTGCGTCCAGAGTCTCGCATGGCATGCAAATGAGACACTTTGCGGCTGGCTGACAGCCATAATGATGTTTTCACTGTCACGACTAGCTTGACCTCAGGGTGAGGCTTTATTACCCTGGTGAGCCTGCCTCAAAATGGCTTTTGTGGTCAACTCCTATGACCATCAGGATCGGTTCCCAACTTCTTCCTACGGAGGCTTTTCACTATGGCTGATGTTGATGAGAAGACCAAGGTCTCGCCGCCACAGGCGACGGTGAGCGAAGTCGTCCCTTTAGATGACTCGCAAGCAGATGCGCCCCACAACTCTCAGTGCTGTGAACCAGAGCGTATGGATGGTGCCTTCTTCTCAATCATTTTTGGTGCAGCCATACCATGTCTGACAATCTTGTCGATCGTTGGTGCTGTTCTTGGTATCATCTTCGTGAACCTTGTCGACCTTGACCGAGGCTGGCCAGAACTACGAAGCAGCACGGCTTTAACCACGAGTGTCAGCGGTGTTTGGGCCACTCTGAACGACTGGAAGAAGCGTGGCGGCAATGCAGCCTTTTATATCGACTTCAACCCTTCCTCGTTGACCGCAGTGGCTTCTTTGTCGAGCAAGATTATTCCTTACCTGTCGAGCACCATCATGGCCTTGGTGTCTTTCTTCGCTGCACGTCAAATCATCAAAATGTCTCAAGAGCAGACGCAGGGGGACTTGTTGTCGCCTCATCAGCTTTCCATCCTCATACAGCTGTTGGGAGGGAACAGTTTTGCCCCGATCAAAGACTGTGTTCACTTTCATGTCAAGAAGAAGCAGAGATGGATTTCCCCAATAACTCACGCATTTGCGGCGTTGGTCATTGTCACTACTCTTGGGTGAGATCTCTTTCGTCCGAGAAACCAACGTGGCTAACATCACATTCAGGATCGTTATTCCAATTGCTGATACGTGGTTCAGCACGACTGTCACACCAGTCAAGGTGGTTCTCTTGAACAAGACGGAAACCACTTCTCTGTGGGGCAGGCAGCTAGGCTGCGAAAAGGCGGCTGAGCAAGGAGTCGGCTTGGATGGACGGATGTTACCATGTAATCTGGATTGGGTCGAGAATTCCCAGAAAACCAACCAGTCTGTCTTCTTCATCTGGGGAGCTGAAGAGTCGATTGCTACCATGAACGATATCTCGGACGTGAACGAGGTATGGTATTATCGACCAGCCAACACGTCGCGTGAGATTCGTTTCATGGCAGACCAAATGTACGACCACAATCGAGATTTCAGAACAAAGTCCATCGCCATTGAGACCCAATGCACCCCAATGACGTCGGAATGTCTTCCCCTTGATGCGGAATATCCAGGCTACATTGATGTCGAGTATGATTTCAACTGCAGCTCTGGGTTCCGTGGAAGTCTCCTCTCCAACGGCGCAACTAGCGCGGCCCATTTCAACCAAACCACCCATATTGGCGGTACCATGGCCGGAATTTCATTTGCTTCTGATGCAGCATTGTCCAGCCAGGTCGCCGACTCTGAATTTGCCTCTTTTACGAACCCACTCCATTTCGGCGCTTGGTCGATTGGCTGGCAAACACCCGCTACTTGGAACGAAGACGGTCTCTCGCAATCGTGGGACAACGATACGGAGATTTATTATGACTATTACTGGAATTACGCGTGGATGTTGAATTGCACCGCCACCATTTACGATGTCACGTTCTCCGTCATCAACGGTAGCAAGATCCAAAACTGGGAGCAGGTCCTTGCACCAGCCGACTTGGGAGGAGTGGTCTCGTATCCATTTGTTTCGGGTCTACCTGCAGCATCGTTGTGCTTGGACTCGATTTCGACTGAGATTGCAAGAACAAACAACTCGGATCACCTGGCAGATGCCTGGGGCACACGGTTTTCACGATGCGCCATGTCAATGATTGCTGGCGTGCTTGATCCAACTTCCAATATTCTGGAACAGACACGGGACAATGCATATGGTGCTACCAGAGTTCCCATGGTTCCTTTGTTCATTCTCCTGGGCTTGCAAGTCCTGTACTGTGCGGCGGTGCTCATCTTGGCCATTGCCGCCTGGCACTTTACGGATCCCACCGTGACACAGTCGGTCAAGGAACGTCTGAGCGTCAAGGGATTGGCAGCGGCGTGCTTTGCCGAAGGTCCTTCCAGCCAAAGTGTCGCCGTGAAGAACGTCGAGGAGCTCTTCCAGGATTCCGACCCATCAAGAGGCAAGCCCAAAGATGCCGAGGCCGCCCCGCAAACTGACTCGGCACCCGCTGGGGTCGCCATGAAGCAGACCGAGCTTGGAGGCTGGCAGTTCGTTAAGGTCGTGTCTGGCACTGTTTGGACCAAGGTCGCTCCAATTGCGGAATCTCATGTGCTATCGCAAGCAGGCTCTGGCGCCTTTGGCTCCGAGGGACAATCTGTGGCCAACTGGGTCAGCCTCGTCAAGAAATAGAGGTTACAATGGGCTGATTATTGCGAGAAAGATTTTCGGATAGAACATTCATGAGTCACACGAATCAATAATAAAACTCTACGCTACAGAGATGAAGATTACAACAGGAAATACCTGAAAGCCACTAAGTATGCTTTCTGGATTGATCCCGTAATGTAGTAAATCGTCCCAAATGACAAAGAATAGCCCCATTCAACCCGGTTTTTACGCACCGTCAAGCACTAAAAGGCTTTGAATACTGACTCTGCCTAACCCATGTCGCTATAACAGTTCCGGGCCAAGGTGAACCGGAAACTCGGCCAAGGCCATATAAGGGTTGGATGCGTCAAGATCACAAGCTAGCTTCTCGTGCAGCTACTGAATAGCCGTGTTGAAAACAAAAGACTCACAGGGAAGTAATTTACGGATATTGAAGGCCTGGATGATGCAGGATTCAACAGGAGACCACCTACAGTACCGAAGCTAGCAGCCCGAGCCAAGGGCGCTTACGAAACCCATAACTACTCCGTATGATCTCAGCTGCCCCTAACGTTGCTGTAGAGGGGCCTCTGAGACCGATCTCAGAAGGCGCCCAGCTCTTCGTTGACGGCCAGAAAACATATGGCATTTTTGACAAATATGGTTTGCGGAAGAGCTATGGAGCGAGGCTAACAAGAGAGCAGTAATGCAAAGAGAACAGACTAGAAGAAGCCGACAACCACGCTGCTAGTCGATGCAGCAATCCCATGCCCAATCCTAAGAGTTATGAATTATGTGCACCTAGAACGTAGTTCTATGCCAGTCTGGCTTATTGTGGCGGGAGATATGGAGTGACATCGTACGGAGGAGGCAAGGTTGGAAGGCCGATAGAAGAGCCAACATTGACTGCAAAAGACCCCAAGAGATTTCCTGAGACAGGTTACATTAGTAAGTCAGCGGGGTGAGAGAGCTGTACCGCAATAATATCGCAAGTCGCAGACTGGGTACCAAGGAATCAAACTTGAGGGCTTGACTTACCGGGAGGTGAATAGTTACACACGGTGAAGAATGGTAAAACGCCGGCAGCCTTTGCGAGACCGGTTGCACTGCAGTCATTTGTGTAGCAACCAACACTTGTGGTCGCCTTCCAGACAATCTGGGTGAAATGGCCCCATTTGGTGAAGTCGTCCATGTTGGGTTCGCTGCCGTAGGCTGTGTAGAAACCCACTTCGCCGTTGTACAGGCTCCCAGAAACAAAGTTTCGCATCTGGGCTGGTGTTGCATCGAATCCAGCTCCGATATTCTGACCGTATCCCCCACCATCAGTCGCACTAAAGTGCAGGCTTGAGTTAGCAATGGCCGGGGACTAATACACCGTCGTGAGCGAGATAAACCTACGTGTCGTGCTCGTAGACACATCTTTCGGCAGTCTTCCTTGCTGTTGCTGCCAGGCTTGGGGACCAATTCAGGAACGGGGCCGAATGATTGTATCTGTGTGCATTGTGATTTTGCACAATGGCATCAATGTAGGCTTGATTTGTGACCACCGGGCCAGACCCTATAGAGGTAGACGAGCTGGCAACGGAGATGCTGCTGCTTGGCAGTTGGGTGGAGATCGACATGGATGAACTGAGCTGCGTGCTTGTTCCAGGCAAAGTGGACAATGTCGGGCTTAGGCTTGTAGATGTAACTGGAAGATCGCCATTGGTGGTGACAGCGGTCGTGCTGCTAGTAGTAGTAGTTGTTGTTGTTGATGACGACGACGACTGCGTGAGAGTAGGATCCACTGATGCTGATGCAGACGATGACGAAGTACAGTCGCAGGTTGTGGTAGTAGTGAACTCCCAAATGGTCACGGTAGAGGTTGATGTGTAAACATAACTGACTTGCGACAAGGTCGTAGTGCTCTGTGCCGCCGCCAGGCTAGCGAAGAGCAAAACTGCTTCTTTTCGCATGATAAGCTGCTGTAGAAGAAAAGCCCAACAAGAAAACCCTCAGGTAAAGAACGACTATGGTCAGTGAGGTTCCCGAGGGGAAGATGGCAAAAAGTTGGGGACAAGTCGGGGGTTGTATGGACGAGCGGTCAATGGTGAGGCCCACATTCCTGGAAACCAACAATTCACCCCTTGAATGAACATTCCTCAGCTTGAAGAGCATTGGAATTCGCGCGACGCATCTCCAGGAGAACGGTAGGAGAAAGGCTAGAAACGAGGGCATCTCACGTGGGCTGCAAGATTTCAACCTGCTCATGTTGATTCTCAAGCGGGAGAGAAAACCACAAATGGTAGAGAGGGAGTTGGGGTCACTGCGTGCTTCGGGCTGTTAGGATAAGATACCTGTAGAATGGCATTCAACTCATAGTCTGAGTCGGCCCCGTTGGCATAATGCTGTTGCAGACATGGCAAATAGCCATGATGGGATGAGAAGCATCTCAATATCAGATGGTTGATACTGAGTCTGTGGCTCGTAGGAGGACCAGTTCCTAATGGGAAGGTCTGATCTGCAAGGTAGCAAGGCTGAACGTGCATGCATCTCCACAGACACGGTTACTCCGATGTATGTACCAGACTGCAAGGTTAATCTAACTCATAGAAGGCTATGGTCGAGATCAGAGTGACAACAGGCATGTGGTTCTGAATGTGGGTTCCAAGTGCTGTGAAAAGCGGGTTTGAGAACATGCCTGCATTGCCCACAACGGCGACACCGTTGGTAAAGAATGATAGTCGGGAGTTAGATGTCGGAGATGTGAATCTTAGCCTGTAGTTTTGATATACTTGAGGTATATAGATGTATATCAGATGATTGATCTGGTCTGAATGCGCCATCGGTTGTTGTTGTTGATTAGGCGTGCCAAGAGGCTAGTCTGAATTGGGTGTGTGCTTACTTGCATAAGTCACATGGCTGTTCTACTTTTAGCAACAGCGCAATGCGCAATGCGGAGAATTTCCAATGCTTAGCTCGCCATGTCAGCAAATGCAACTCAATGGGAACGCCGACTAAGAGTGGATTACTGATGACTCGGGGAGGACGATGTGCACTGAGTGCTTATCCATGAATCTCGAAGTGTTGAAATCTGCCTTGTAGTGACTCAAATTTGCCTTACTCGGGGCAGACGTGCTGAAGTCAGGCGGGCGAATCAGGAACCGGAGCTACTGCACCCCGCGCATTAAAGATGATCCAGATCCGGAGGCTGAGTACGAGTAGATACGGAGCGCTGCCACCACTGGCGACTAGCTATTGTATTAGTTTGATGTGTAGAATGGGTACATACTGACTGGTGATCCAAGGATGATGAATGATGCAGCGAGATGGTAAGGACAATCCAGTATGTGCCTGACTAGGATTTTACCACGTCATGCTAGAGAATGGAAACCCCGATGGATACAGCCATGCAGACGAGTATGTTCTGACAGGGACTCGACTGTGGATCGCGGGAGTCTTTTCTTAGAAGCCGTCTGAGAGATTCTCCAAGGCGGGCCCTTGCATGAAAGTCAGAAAAATAATGTACGCATCTGCTACAGTACTGTGGTCATGCACTGCAAATCCATGCATTGCGCTGTTCTACAGGATATTGTGTATCACAATGATTGGTGTCATGCAGAATTGCTAGATTCTCGGGTACTGTCGCCGACCACATGGAATCGAATCAAAGACTATAGGACCCGATACATGCAACGAGTAAAGTAGTAGATGTTGAGTAATTGTAGGGGTGTAGGGTCATGTTGGACAGAATCTCCTCATCAATTCATGATTATCCGTCACTTTGTGTGGCAGGGACTTTGTTCAGGCCTTTGACAACTGCGCCTTCCACCCCTTGAATTTGTTTGGGGGTGTAATTGGCCATTTTGGTCTTGGCAGTAAGCCAAGCATTCTTTAGGCCGCACGCTAAATGAATTGAAGTCAGCACTAAGAAGAAAAGAAAACGCGTTGTTGGTGGGTTGACGAGAATTAACTCCCTCGCATCCATGGAATCCTTGCTCTGCCTCATTGTGGGCTGGGCGGGGCCTTGTATCTTTTCCCATCCCCGATCCAACTGATGAATTTAGCACAACACCACCACCACTCGATGGCTTCAAGCTTGACCTTGTTCGCTTCACTGCCCTCTCGACATTGCAACATGGATTTGGTCCACAGTCATGACATGCACAAGGCAGAGGCACAGGAACAGAAGCAGGAACACCACACCGTCACATCCACGTCCACATGGTCACATTGCTCTCTACCCTGTGGCCCTCGACCTTCCGGTATAGGACCATGAACCATGGCATGGATCATGATCATCGGTCCATCGGTCATGGGGTCCTGAGTTTATGGCGTGCCTGAACGGTGGATCTGGTTTTGTCCTCCTGTGTCCCTTTTGCAAAAGTCCATTTCCTTCCAATCCATTTCCACGCCCTCAGCCCTACGGCTTCCCATGTCCAAAATCTTTTCACATGGCCATGGCTTGGTCCACATGGTTGAACAGCCCCCAAATTTATCCCATCGCCGAACCGTCCCGTAAGCTTGGGTCTTGGGTCTTGTGTTTCGATCCATTGTTCCAATTCCATTCGCATTCGCCCAACCCACAGACTCGCATCCCAATTTCTGGCATTTTGGTTTACTGCCACTACTGTCCGCTCCGTCCCTTCTTTAGTGGATCCTCTCTGACTTCCTACCATGTGCGATATATGATATATACCCCCATCCTGCCTCAGTCATCAGCCCTGTTCTTTTCTGGTCTCCATCCCTCCAAACCATTCATTCACCAATTCATTGTCCTTGTTTTTTATTTCCTATCGTCAGCATCACCAGTCTATTTCATTTAAATCAATTCCTTCTATACGGCAATCAACAACATCAGTCTCAACAATTTTCAAAGCTTCCAGGCAAACACGACTCAAGGTATAGAATACATTTCTTTATATCTGTCTCTCTCATTTCCCACCCAGGCACCCAGAGTGTCGCCCGGTGTCGCCCACTTCGACACCACTCAGCCCATTTCCTATCTCTATTTCCTTTGTCTTATTTCCTTTTGTCAACATCTCTCTTTCCTTTTTTGTCTTGGTCATTCAAGCCCGGATCGTTCCATCCAACCAACCCAACGCGACCGCCATCATTCTTTCCATCGCCCTATACTTCCAATCCATTATCGAAATGGCCATGGGTCGAGGTGGTTACAATACCCCTGCAGATTCTGCTCCTCAGAAGGGCCGAGGCGGTTACAACAAGCAAGGTCGTGGAGGATACAACCGCACCCCCATTGTTCAAGGCCGTGGAGGTTACAACAGACAACAACAGCAGCAGGCTGCTCTTGGCCGCGGTGGTTACAACTGATCCCCCCGCGTTCGTTGCGCTTCTCTTACGGCAACCCTTGACTTCATCCGCGAATATCCTCACCCCATCGATGCTCAAGATTCCCTTTCGACCCAAGTTCATTCGTTCGACATTGCAGGACAAACAACCAATTTTGACTTGAAGCCCGCCGCTCGACAACCTGCTTTCATTTCCCCACGCAGAATCTGTACAAGCAAGTCTCATCAGCATCAGTCTTTATCATATCAAGCGGCATCCACGGGAGTTTTTGCTTTTTTTGTTTTTCTGGTTTATTTCCGACGAGGCTTGTCGGAAATAGGTATTATGCTCTGAGAGTATTGGGTGACAGCGCAGGACGCATGTCACCGCCACCAACAATAGCATAGCGAGGATTTCTAGCATTTTCAGGAGTTTCGGGCTTTTTATGGATAGACAGGATGGGGAAGATATATTCCCATGTGGGCAACCACTTTGGTGCAGGGGCAGAGCCCTTTGCACATAAATAGTCAATGGAACAACAGGACCTGACATTGCAACAGTGCCAGAAATAGTGCATCATCTTGATCCGCTCGATCATAAGGCCTCAACATGATCAAACAAATAAATGCGTATCTTCTTCAACATGCAACTTCACTTGTATTCCACTTGTGCATCAGATGAATGACAGGTCACATGGCTGGTGGGTCAAGGTGTCGCGTAAGGGCATGAGAAATGCAAACCATCTATTTTTGATTTGCAATGTAATTGCGGCGGCATCTGATGGTCGCACTGGGAAATAATGACCCGGGGGGGGAGGGGCAAAAGAAAAAGCCGCGTACTTACTTTTCAAATACAACACCAAGAACGTCTTCGACGTCGCCGCCTTCGCCACGCCCAGTGATCCTAGCGAGACATTGCGCGGCGAAACGTAGATGTTCGGCAGCAGTAACAATATCAACGCTGCCCGATCCGGGAGTAATAGTGAGAGAGGTGTCCTTATTCCGACGTGTCAAACGACCGTCATGGGAGTCAACGTTTTCCACCGAAGCCTCTGTATTCGGCCGCCAATCACCGTCATCATTGTCGAGGTCTCCTTCAGATTGGGCGAGGAACTCGTCGAGGTAGCCACGGCATTCTTCGAGATAAATACTTTGTCGATGTGTGACCGAGAGCGATGCTGTCCAGTAGGATTGAGCTTCGGCAGGAGTCATGGCCTTGGTACTGGCGTCGCTGCCAGAGCTTGCAGTGGTCAAGTCGGTGAATGTGCCGGTCAACGACGAAAGAAAGGCTTGGATCCCTCCTGGATCGCCATTTCCTGTCGCACTGTTTTCCATTGCTGCATTTCGGCAGGAGACCAACGAGATCTTGGTCGAAGGGATATTGGGGAAGGTCTTTCTAATCTTGCTCTGGAGACATTCAAGTTCTGACTTGTCATCCTGGGCAAGGTCGGTCTTGTTGAGCGCAATAAGAATTGTCTTGCCCGCGGCGTGGCACTCCTCAAATGCTTCGAGAACCTGGCCATTAACCGGAATGAAAAGGCCATCATCTTTTGTACGTTCGAGTGAGAGCAGCACTACGACCACATCGGACTGTAGTGCCCGCTCGCGGGCGCGGCGAATGCCCTCTTGCTCAACATGGCCAATCGGCAATTGGTTTTCATATGGAACATCAACCCCATGACCCCGTAAGCCGGCCATATCGCCCAGCCTGCACAGCCATCCTGCGATATCAACTGTCACATCGACAATATCGCGAGTGGTTCCTTCTTCTGCACTGACAATGGCCGCCTCGCGCCCAACGATTCGATTGAGAAGCGAGCTCTTACCAGCATTGGGGGCCCCAAGAAGAGCAATGCTGATGCCGTTCCGCAGCAACTCACCTTTTGACGCATTCCTGAGGTGTAGATCTATCTGACTCTTGAGAGTCCGGACTTGCTCTGTTACAGACCTCATAAATTCTGCTGGAGACTCGTCGAAATGCTGATCCTCGGAAAAATCGATCAAAGCTTCCAGCTCGCCACGAGCGTATAGCAGTTGGTGGCGCCAGTCATCATACCTCTTCGCAAGCCCGCTTTGGGCACCACTAACGGCCAGCCGACGCTGTTGTTCCGTCTCTGCAGCCAGAGTCTCGCCCAAAGCTTCGGCTTGGGTGAGGTCCAGACGGCCATTGTAGAATGCTCTTTTTGTGAATTCGCCGGGCTCGGCGTGGCGGAGCTTGGTTCTTGACCCATCCATGTCTCTTGATTGACCACATTGTGATATTGCTCTGAGAGTAGATCGTACGATCGCCGGCCCACCGTGCAGATGAAGCTCCAGGATATCCTCGCCGGTGACCGTGTTTGGGGCAGGAAAGTACAGGACAAGGGCCCCATGGTCAAGGATTCGATCTTTCAAAGATAATGCGCCGTCTGGATCAGGAGAATGGAGTCTTCGCAAGGTAGCTCTTCGTGGGGATAGGGCCGTCTTTCCGGGGCATAATTGACCGTAAACGTGGAGGCATGCTGGGCCAGAAATTCGAATCACGGCAACGGCAGCACGTCCATGAGCAGTGGATAGAGCATAGATTGTGTCACACGGCTCGACATTCAACCGGCCAGTACGCCAGTCGACGTTTCGGGGGGTCAAGGTTGTGAAGGCATGGTGCGGCGCGGCGGTGCAAAGAGGGAACCACCGCTGGTAAACGTGGACGGATGGCGCGGACGTGCGAATGCTATGATGAGCAGTTGTTGAGAGCAGGTATCTGCCCACTTTCTGGCGACATGTCATTTACGACTAAATGACGGAGCAGAGGTATCTCAGTGCTGATAACAAAGCAGAGGAGCAGAACTTGTTGATTTTGGGAGACGAGAATGAGATGTGCACTGGGTTGAAAGGTCACGTGGTTGTAGATGACTCAAACTGCGTCTCCAGAAAAGCTGAAAAGAGACATAATCTTCTCAATACGCTGTGCTACGAGTTGGATCCAATGATGGTCGTGAACATGATGATTTTATTACATACAAATGAGAGACTCCTCCTTATGGGTGAAATGCAACCCAAGTCAACGCCACTAGCCAATTCTTTAACATCAGAACAAGTCATCTGGCACGGCGCCGAACACCAAGGGGTACCTTGGTAAGCTTGGTAAGACATGCTCTCGATGGGCGTGACGGGAACACACAGTACGCGATCATGCGCTAGTTTCTGTGAGACGTTAGCATTCGCCTTAGTTGGAGTCCGGAACACGTACAATAGGCCTAGAGTGAGATCACCATGGATCTTCGCTTTCAGTTGAACTTCAATGTCCAAGTTGAGGTCGAGTCTCAACCTAAGTTGCTCGTTCTCTCCCTCGTCCTGCTCCTCGCCTTCCTGGCCCTGGACTTGATTGCCTCCCTTCTTCTTCTTGTTGTTCAGGAGTCCGCCGAGTGCTTCATGAGGAGCGCTGAGAGTCTTGCCGACAGTATCGTTGACAGTATCACCGACACCGCCAGTGACGCCATCCAGGGTCTCACCGACCTCATCCACCGCTCCAAGCGGACTGCCACCTCCTAGGAGGCCGCCGTCTTGGTCTTGGGACTGGGCTTGGGACTGGGCTTGTGCTTGTGCTTTGCCTCGGTTGCGGTTTCTATTTCGTTTGGCCTTTTGCGAGACATCACTTCGATAAGCGCTGTCTGTGTCACTAGGGGGTTGGCTTGAACCCCGGCCACGGGTGCGACTGCCGCGTGACTTGGAGCGAGATGCCTGGGTTGACTGTTGATCCGACATTTTGGAGGGTGTTGACGGGGCTTCGGCTTCACCGTTGACTTCTGCGTCGGCTTCTTCTTTGGATGGGGTTCCGTTGGCTCTTTTCTGGCCCAACTTTTTGGGTTTTCGTCTTTCTTCTGATTTTTTGGAAGAAGCAGAGGCACCTATACTACCAGCACCAGAGGCAGATCCAGCAGCGTCAAGGTTTCCTCCAAGGCTGGTTTCTTCAGTAGATTTTGTTTCTTGCTCAGACATGGTGAGAGATCAGAAGGGAGGATGGTGTGTGAGGGGGGATGTGAAGGTGAGTAGTATGCAGGATAGAAAAGAATCGACGTAAGAATAACGGGTCTAAGTTGTCTCGAATGCTAACAGAAAGTAGGCAGGATGCAGGGCATCAAGAACCAAGGGAGAACGACGTCAGATGGATAGACATGGTGCAGGAATCTGGAGGCGAGCAACCAAGGTGAACACGCATGCAATGACGTCGAAACTTGCTGCTTTTGAGAGGAAGCATGGAGATGCCATGTGCGATGTAGGCGACATGGCTGGTAGATCGGCGAGATCGGCCGGAGAAGAGGCTCTGGAGCCAAGTTTTGACCATGTGTGATGCGGAAAGGCATGGATTGTGAAGAATGGGATTTCCAGAGACAGGGATCAAGACAGGCACAAGCTGCTTCCAAGTTGCGGGATGACATACATGCAAAAGAAGGAGGGCGGGGAATGAGAGGCGATGTGGCTGTCCAGCTAGCCATCCACACCATCCACGCCATATGTAGTGCAGGCTGGAGGAGAAGAGGAAGATAGGACAGGGATGTTGAAGGTGTGGAGAAGTGGGAGGGATGGTGGCAGTTCATTCAGGTACCTGCCTTGGTTGTGTTTCGCTAGAGAAACAGCTGGTATAGAGGAATGTACGGTAGTACTGTACTGTAGTCGTACTTGCCTTGATACACTCGACACAGTCGTAAGCATGAGCGGAGTCGGAGTAGGACATACTCCGTACTTTCCCTTAGCATCCTGGCACCTTCCCTGCAAGTTCATGTCAATCACATACAGGAGTGGATGCAACTTCCCACTCTGCTTGTCTCCAACATTCCTAGGTCTACGGAGTACAGCGTGATCCCCCTCCGGATTCCCTCCGGGTTTTGGCATACTGTTGTGGCATATCGCACAAAAGAGTGAAGCCGATTGTTGTGTCACGATTCTACTCGACATTATCATCGCCCTCAGCTGCCAGGCTTACTGGATTTGAAACTGATACATGTATACTCCGTAATTGTGTCAAAGGAGCACAGAGAAACATCAGGGCAGGAAGGACTTGATTCAAGGTTCAGCTCCAGCTTCGTCATTGGTTGCTTGGTCTGCCTGGCGTCATGGCCACGCGTGCCTTCCAGTCTTTGATAAACTCTGACGCCACAACAACAACGGGAATCTGGGGCTCCATCAGGCAGGAAGGACGGAGTAACCAGTTGGCGGCTGGCGGGCTACATGATTGGATACCCAAGCCACCAACAGCCACTCAAGCATTTCGACTCCGCTAAACGCCGGTTCATGTCTCCATCACTCATGCAGCTCGATACCAGGATTCTTCCAACTTCCTCATCCTGACGTTTGTGTCCACCAACTCTTGAATCTGATCCACCATTACATCGTCGTGTTTGACACAATCAGTTAGTTGTCCATGAGGTAACCCTCACATCCCAACATCACGCTGCTTTGACAGCATGTCTGCCAATCCATGCACACACGCAAGGATTTCGCCTATCAATCAAGCCTCGAACAGGTCCTGTGGTCTCGATCGATCTTGTATCCTGGACCCTATGATGTCGTTATACATCATATCAAACACCCAACACGAATACTGCCCCCTTCCCACCTCGACCTTTGTCCCTACGCCTGATTCAAGGTAGAATACGTGTCCGAATTCTCTGTTGACCACTTCTCCAGCCCCAAATTATTCTCCCTTTTGACCTCTCATCTCCACTGTTGAACTTGACTTTTCGTCTTCCCCCGTTTTCCCATCTTCACCCTTAATCTACCCATCAGACGTTTTACACACCATTCACCATGGCCGATGAAGAACCAAAGCAGACACCTACCCCCGAAAAGACTCCAGCCAACAAGAAGAAAGGTCGGCCACAAGTAGAGCGCAGTAATTCAGAAGCCTCAACCACCACTGTCGACGAAGAAGATCAGGGTTACGAATCTCGCTCGCGATCCCAGTCGAGAAGACGACGTCGACAGAATCAACGCCAGCGGCAAGCCCAAGCAAAGGCATCAGCTGGCAATGGCAACGCGTCTGCACAGTCCATGACCGCCATCGGCGAGGAGGATGAGCCCCAGCAGCAACAGCAAGTGGCCCGTCGGAACCAACAGGCGCAACCCCAGCAGCAAGAAGAACAACAGCTCCCTCCTAAACAGTACGTCGATAAAGAAAACCCACAATGGCTGAAAAACCCAGCCCCGCAAGACATCACCGACACCCAGCCCTTTGAGTACATTAAACCACCCTCACAGTCGATGATGGGGCCGGTATCGTACGCCAGAATGCTCCGGGGAGAAATCCCTTGGGTTGGGCCACCGCCCTCACAGCCGCTGGAGAGTGCTCAGTCATTTGACGCCAAGGATTCCAGCGGTCGTGATCCGATGGATCAAGACGGGCTCAAGTTACGAATAGAATTGAATCTCGACATTGAAATCGAGCTAAAGGCGCACATCCATGGTGATTTGACCTTGGCCTTATTGTGAGTACATGACCTCCCCATCCGCGGAGGCTGTCTTGTATCTTGGAGCGGCCATGTTTGTTGTGTCGATAGACGCACGCTCGGCTTCCCTTGACGCAATACGCCCCAATCTTTGAAATATCCGTCCTAAAAGCTAACCAAGGAATTGATCCTCAGGGCTTGATCTCGCCATCCCTAAGGTCAAGCTGCCAAAAGTCAAACTCCCCAAAGTCAAACTGCCCACGGCCAAGCTACCGAAACTGCCGACCCCTGGACTTTGATTCTCTAAGGCCAAAACCGCGAGGGACACGTCCGTTTCGTTCTAGAGATCCCGGTGGCTTACGGAGCACGGGCAGGCGACCGCTCGTCAGGGACATTCAGGTTTTGGCATCTCGGCCGACCTGTGATTGTAAAATCTGGCGTTGCAGGCAGAAAGCATTGGTTGGTACTAAGGATCATTATGTTATTAGCGTCATTCGTCGTGATGACAGTCATAGTCTCTGTAAGCCTAAAGTTGAAGAATTTTCATCTGTCTTTCCCCAAACATACACTCTCATGCAACACCGACGATGACGTCAAACATGCTGCTCAGCCTGACCTTGGGTTTTCCACCGATACACCGGGCTCCTTGGCGACCCAGCCTCGGACTCGTCCTGAATGGCGCTGTCGTCGAAAGCAAAGTCGCCTCTTGCTCGCTTCACCACCCTCTCAATGCCATCTAGGCCCAGCTTGAGGACGTCAAGCTTAGGGCCATAACTGATGCGGACAAAGTGGTGGCAAGGGCTGTCAAAGAGATCCCTCCTCTTGGCCGGGTTCAGGTCAAAGAAGATGCCGGGCACCACGATCGTCTTCTCTTGCAGTAATGCGTCAAAAAATGCCAGTCCATTAGACAGGTCAAGCGCACTGTTCGGGGGCAGTGGAGGATGCAGTGTCGTGAGATCCAGCCAGATGTAAAATGTACTGTCGGGCACGGATTGATCGCCTTGAGTGAAACCAATCTCGCTCAACCGCTTTAGGACATAGTCTCGCTTCATCTTGAAATGGGTCTGAAGTGCCTTCATCTCAGCCTTGACCTTGGGAGGGTCGAGCATTGCAACGGCGGCTTCCTGGAACGGTACATTCGTCCCTCCGTCGAGGTAGCTACCGCAAGAGCTTAAAGCTTTGATAAATTCTTTGGGGCCCACAATCCAGGCCACACGCCATCCCGGCAGCCGGAACCTCTTGGTCAAGCCGTCAATCAGAATGACATCGTCTCGGTTGACGTCAATAACGTTGCTGGCCGCCGACACGGTGGATCCATCACAATTGCTGCTGTAATTGTATCCGGCATAGAACTCGTCGAAGATCAGAGTAGCTCGGTCGCGGCAGATGTCTTGTATCAGCGCAAGTTCTTCAGGGTCTAGAGCATGACCGGTGGGATTTCTGGGGTTGGAGGTGAGTATAACTGAGGTGCCACGAGCCAGCTCCTCGGCAATCTTATCCGCATGGATATGATACCCATCCTGTGCGGACAAGGGACTGGGAATGGCAACAAAATTCTTGAACAAACTCAACATCTGATGGGGGAGCTGGTCAGCGCTTTAGGTCATGGATTAAATGGACACTCCCATGCAAGACACACCTCATTATAAGCAGTATAGTCGGGAATAAAGAAGCCCAAGTAAGCGCTTCCTAGCACCGCAGCGATGCGGATCAGGCCGGCTCTTCCTCCAGGAACGACGCAGACATTCTCCCAAGAATACTGGCTGTCTTTGCCCTTACGGTAGTTGTCATTGTATAGTTTGGCAATGGCAGCCCTCAGTGGTTTGATGCCGGCAGTAGGACCATACTCTCGACCATTGAGGGTGAGCTCGATAGACGTGGGGCGGGGAAAGCAGCCTTCGATATCATCGTCGACCTCAGGTGCACCTTGGCCTAGATTGGCCCACTTGTGAGGTTCATCGAGGAAGCCGTGTTTGGAAGCTTGTTCGGTGCACCTGGCATTGATAAAAGGTGAGAAAGAAGTGTATATCAGTTGGGCAATAAGAGAGTATCAACTACCAGATCACACCTGTGCTACCTCTTGTAGTGTCCAGACCAGCATGAGGCCGACCATGTGCAGGGTGAGCTCTCAGGGCTCTATGTGAGCTGGAAGACTCCTCTTCCTCGGTATGAACGGAGAATCGACGGCCATCGGCGCTTTGCTGTAGGGCAGACCTTAGGGTCGAAATTCGTCTACCGGAGAAGCTCATCCTCGATTATCTCGCGGCTGATAAGCCTTCGACCGGGAGGGGAAATGAAGAGTGGGAACAATTGCTTGGCTGACGGTGGAAATAGGATTGATTCAGCGTGGCACGGTGGATGAATTGAGGGGAGAACGGAGGGGAGAACTGAGGGGCTCAAGGGTATCGAGATGCCTATAAACACAAAGTGTGAAGTGGAAGACAGAGCCAGGAATTTATTTTGGTGGTGGCACTCATTAATTGGAAGTCAGTGACCTTACGTACCTACCTACCTAGGTACTGTATGGGCATGGGCCTATATGTACCTAAGGTAGATGGGTAAGTTCATGAGCACAGGCCTTCTTTAGCAAATTGAAACCAATATTAAGTAGGTTGAGGCGCCTTTTTAATCAAGTAAACACCTGGAGTGCTGCCTAAGCTTATGACGACTCGCCTGGAAAATAAACTATTGACTGAGGACTGTGACTGGACATTGCCCATTGGCACTAATAAGCAGTTAGCACCTATTTGCGCCTATAGTGCAGCAAGGTTAGCCCCCGTGCACACATCCCCCGCCACTTCCATACCTAGGTCAGTAAACATTGCGCCTCAATCACCATGGCCTAAACACCGACCCATCAGTGATAGTGAAAAGGAACATTGCCGCATTCGAACGTTTTGACCTCAACAAGAGTACTCCCGAATGTCCATAAAAACCAAGGAAGCGCCAATCTTGATCCTGGGCAACAAAGAACCGAGAATAGAATTTTATAGCGAAGGTTGTTCCCCGCAGTCGCCACCCGCCACCACCACCTTAGTACCTTGGTACGCATCCGTGGCATCGTATCGATACCCTCGTCAAGAGACGCATCACAAGGCGTGGGAGTTTCTAGGGTTCTCTGATACACATCAAAATAGCATGTCAATACGTTCGACCCCCAGCCTGCCCCAACATGTTAAAGAATTAGCCAGGCATGTTCCTGCGACCACCGAGTCCTCGTCAACTTTATCTAGACACTTGACCCCAGCACGCATACATCATGGGTTCTCTGGAGAAGAGCAGCTCTCAAGTCCTGGCTGAGGCCCTGGTTGATGCCCACCAGAACTATACCACCAAAAATCCTCTATCAAAGGCCCAGAATGAACGGGCTTGCGAATATCTCCCAGGAGGCAACACTCGCACCGTCCTTCACACAACGCCATTCCCACTCACAATGTCATCTGGGTCTGGTCCAACTTTGACCACCCTCGATGGAGACACATATCTCGATTTCCTCGGTGAATACACTGCTGGAATTTATGGCCACAACCACCCTGCCATCAAGTCGGCTATCTCCACTGCCGTTGAGTCAGGGTGGAATTACGGTGCCCATAATGCGTATGAAGCCGAGTTTGCCCAACTCATTGTATCCCGTTTCCCAGCGCTGGAGCTGGTCCGGTTCGTCAACTCGGGCACCGAGGCTAACATGATGGCATTGGCCACTGCTCTTGCATACACTGATAAAACACAAGTTCTCCTATTCACCAAAGGATACCACGGCTCCACCATCTCCGGTCGCACACCTTCGACGAAGAAGTCGATCAATCTGCCTCACAATTTTCTGGTTGGGACATACAACGATGTTGCTGGGACTGAGTCACTCGTTTCGTCGCTGGACAACCCCAAGGAATCTCTAGCTGCCATCCTCGTCGAGCCCATGCTAGGCTCCGGTGGTTGCTATGCAGCCACCCGCGACTTCTTGCACACACTGCGCCGACTGGCCACAGAGAATAATGCCCTGTTGATCTTTGACGAGGTCATGACCTCTCGTTTGTCGTACAACGGCCTGGGCGCCACCACGGGAGTGACACCAGATCTAATGACCTTGGGCAAATGGGTCGGTGGCGGCATGTCGTTTGGCCTATTTGGCGGCAAACGTGAAATTATGCAGTTATACGATCCACGGTCTGGCCGGCTCGAGCATCCGGGCACGTTCAACAACAATGTCTTTACGACCAGAGCAGGCATTGCCGGGTGTCAGTTGTTGACCCAAGACGTGGTTGACACGCTGAACAAGACGGGCGAGTTGATGACTAGCCGTGTGGAGGAGGTCTTGACCAGCTACGGAATCAGCGGCACAATCCCAACGCAGCCCATCCTGGACGACAGCCTCCACTCTGTCTCGCACCCAGATCGACCACCCAAGATGTTTATCAAAGGAGTGGGCAGTCTAATGGCAATCCATTTTGCAGGCCCTGATCGCGATGTGTTGCAGGGCTTGTTCTATCATGCCATGCTGGACCGTGGAATCTACCTAGCTCAAAGAGGATTTATTGCTCTCAACATTTTGATCACTGAGGAACACGTCGCTAAATTCGTCGCTGCTTTGGAAGACTTTGTCAATAGCTGGGCCAAAGCGTTACGCTGGTAGGCCCGAGAGGACTAGTAATGCACAACTCACAAGAGTCAATGATGAAAAATGCTGTGTGACGAATTCTCGCCGGCAATTGCCAGAATTATCTCTTTCGATAAACTTGACTAGATATATAGTAAGGTTTTGTAGTGAGTTGAGAATTGGTGCCTCGACATTCGAACCATAGCGACGGATAGATTGCTGCAGTGCAAACAGCCATATCATCCACACCGAGACCTTGATCTGTACTCATCGATGGGCCATCACCGTTACAACGTGAATAGCTAGCCCTCTTATCCCTGGTGACATCTGACACTGTCGCAATCAACACCATTCGAGTCGACAGTGCTCGGAACTAACTGTAGGGGGCACTCGGATATTTGTTTGTTCGGCCCTCGAAGCTTTCGCCAATATCTAGTCCAAAACATTCTTCAAAGCGCCTGGGCGACATGATGTAGCCAGTACTCGCCACCAAAGCCTTCTCGGCGCCAGTGATATCATACGTGGTTTGCATCCCACGCCGATATGTTCCATTAACAATTCGCCCCAGTGCCGTTACAGGACGGCCCAAATATTGAGCTAGGGAAAATCCCACCGAAGTGGATTCGCCTTCCTTGGTGCCAATTCTTCGTTGAGGAAGTAGGACCTCGATGGCAGTCAAAGTCCGATGTTGGACGTTTGGATAATGGCCCATTGGTCTGTTGGGACATTGCCTCGATTTCCGAGCTTCGTTCCACGATTCCAGATGATTTCTGCGCAACCTGACCTCTGCGACCGGGCCAAGGCATCAATGGTGATGGCCAGGAGACCGTGGCCGTGACTTAGAGCGTGGCGGAGCTGGGTCAATCGCTTCCTGTACCGAGAATTCAAGACGCCGGAATGCGCCTGCCCCTAGGTCTATAGAATTCGGTGGAACGACGACATGATCATTTCCCCCAAAACCAGCCTTTTTTTGGCTCGTTGTTGATAGCATCTGGTGACTCATTCCGTTTTTGTGACTGCTTTGTCGAATTTTGAGCTCTGGTTCTCTCGGCCTCCAGTCTTTCCTTCTCCTCTTGCCTTCTCGTCATTTCAATAATCTCGGCCCTTCGCTTCTCAATTTCGATGGCTTCGGCATCCCTTTTACTTTTCTGCTCCATGCGTCCAGCGAACCATTCTTCTCGCGCGGCATCAGATTCGGCCTTGGTGGCGTGAGCAATCATGCAACTGTTCATGGCGAATTGCTGAGCACGACATGTCCAAGGAATAGTGAAGGTGCGGCCAGCGGCACAAGCGGCAAAATCTGTGAGCATTGAGCTTGCATCAATACATGGACTCGGAAAACTGAGTGGTGAGTGCGGGAAAAGGCGTTCACTGCATACCTTTAATTTCATCGGCACATCTTGAGCGGACTCGCTTGTAATAAATGTCTCGAACTTGAGCTTCTTGAGATGCCGAGAGGGGGAGAGGATTTAATAGGTTACGTTGTGGTTGAGAGGAGGGAACAGGTGCGGTGGTCTGAGGTCGTGATTCTGGAATGACAGGAGGAGCCATGTCCATAGCTCAAGAAGTGATCAAGGAAAGGTAGGCTGGAGTGGGATATGGGACAAGACAAAAATTGTCATCAGTGGCTCATCGTCGTATGTGCAGCATGGCAGGATAAATAGAAATCGACATTAGATGAAGCTTTGAGGCGAGTCTGGTGGATGGTGGATGGTGGATGGTTGATACTCGAGGATTGGAGGTCGTTTTCCCAGGTAGTGCAGCATGGCAGGTACGTTTACTAACCGTAGCGGTACTAACTTCTTCCCTCGTGCCTGCCGCTGACTTGCAAATGTCAGGCGTGATTTGTGGAGAAATAAAACTGCGGTGCAGGTGCGGAGACAAAATATTCCAACCTAAGAAACAAGACAAACAGCAAATCCGTGATTCATTCTTCCGACACACCCGTCCTCCAACTGGGTGACCCTCGTTCATTCATCTTGATCATTAGAAGGGCAGTATCGAGTCACACAAGTCCACTGACTGGCAATCCTTCAACATGTCTTCTATGCGAAATGCCGTCTCTCGGCGCCCTCACAAAGAACGGTCGCAGATATCATCCAGGCAAAAATGGGGTTTATTAGAGAAACACAAAGACTATTCTCTGCGTGCACAGGACTACAACACCAAGAAAAAGAAGATCTCACAATTGTCTCAGAAGGCCCGCGAGAGGAACCCCGATGAGTTCGCCTTTGGCATGATCAGCCAGGGTAAAGCAGGCTTGGGAAAACACAAAAGTGGACTAGGTCCTAATGGCGAAAAAGCGGCAAGTCTGAGTGTTGATGCAGTGAAACTGTTGAAGACGCAGGACGCAGGATATTTGAAGACACTTGCTGCAAGGGGAAGGAAGGAGATTGCAAAGGTCGGACAGGAGATCGAAATGGATGATGTTATGCTCGGCGACAAAACGACATCGAGGAGGATTGTATTGAAGGACGAAAGCAACCAGGAAAAGCAGTCGCCGAATGGAACAAAACGCAGATGGAATGGCGAAGTTTTGGAAGCCCCCTCTCAAGAGATTACCTACCCCCAACTCCCACCTGTCAGTGCCGACCAGGTCGATATTCCCGAGTCGCCCGACACACAAATCCCCCCCTCTAAGCCAAAGTCCAAAAAAGCTCTTGCGGCGGAGCTAGATGCTGCTGCACGATTGCGGCTCGAGAGAAAAAAACGAAAGAGACTGCAGGAAATTCGAGTGGCCAAGTTGGAGGCCTTGAAGAAACGACAAAGGGAAGTTCTGGCAGCCGCAGACGAAGTGGACTTGCAGAGAGCGAAAATGGCCCGAACGGTGGGAGGCGTCAATAAAAATGGGGTCAAGTTCAAGATCAGAGAACGAAAGAGATGAAGCCAAGGAGCTGATCCCTCTCCTGAATACATTTACGCTCACACGACGGGGCAATTAGGCATCGTATATTGAACTTTTGCTGGTGCGTCTATCTCTAGCTCTGACTTCTATCTACTCAGAAACTGGAATCAAACACCAGCGGGCACGGATGTGGTTTGCACCTTTGTGAAATCGGGTGTCCTGCCCAACAACCAGCCAATGCCATTGACTTGGTCCTTGCGGAATTTGTCGGAGCTGCTCAGGAATGGGAAGAATGACCAGTGGCCGTGTGGCAGACCAGGATACAAGTCGAGTTTGGTCTTGATCCCATATTCCTCACGAAGAACTCGCTCATAGATGATGCCTTCATCCCGTAGCGGGTCCATGCCGTCTACCTGGAAATATGCCGGAGGGAGATCTTTATGGCCCTTGGGATGGTTGAAAGTGGCATACAAGACTCCATCCTTGTCATCGGGTTGATATCCGTCCATGAACATGTCAATGGCAGCCACAGGTAGAACCGGCACGTTTCTATTCTGCTCATATGACAGGAAGTATTCCTTATATTTGTCTGGGACTTCCTTGGCTGGTAGAACAGCGGGGATGGCGAGATATTGGCCGGTCAAGGGAGGGGATAGCTTCTCATCACGTGCCAAGTGTGCCAGGACGGCGGAAAGATTGCCACCAGCCGAAGTGCCCCCAACGATAAAGCCAACGGAAGGGTCGGCGCCCCAGGATTTGGCGTTGGCCGCAGCCCATTTCAGGGCAGCCCAGGCATCCTTGGGTGCATACGGGAATTTGAACTCTGGGGCTAGTCGATAGGAAGCCGAGATGGCGACAGCACCAAATGCCTGGACTAGGTTGCGGGCCGTCTGTTCTTCTCCTTCTGGAGCGCCAATGCAGAAACCTCCTCCGTGGAAGAGGACGACCAAGGGGCTACCTTCCTTGGGAGGATTGGTAGGCTGATACAACTTGGCCCTTAACTGAGTGCCATCCTCGGCTGGGTATTGGAGTTCGGTTTGTTTGATCTCGGCCGGTGGCTCGCCCAAAAGAGCCATGGCGGCCTCATTGCGCTTGGCGACCAATTCCTTGAAAACCTTCAAATTGCCATAGTCGGGAGGTGGCAGATTGGCTTTTTCGAGGAACTGGATAGCGCAGCTAGGTCAGAATTGGCTGTTTCTGAGTGATACAAGGCCAGCGTACCGCTTTGAGTTCTGGGTCAATCTGCCCAAGTGAGAGTAGGTAGTCTTTGTCTAGATAGTTTGCCATTTTGTACAGTATCCGACGTCGGATGAATGTTCACTCTCGCTGGTCGGGGAGGGTAAGTGTGTTAGCAGGATAAAGGCGAGCAACAAGACTCCAGGAGATGGTACACTGCAGGCAGACAGTCTTCAAGTCAGACAACTCACGGTTTGCCGGCAAGCAGCCTGGATGGGGAGCATGGCATGTTTATAGATGTACCATGGACAGAGCCCCATCGCGGGGTTACGTCGTGGTGAATGGACCCCCAGGCAGCTGCGGGCATGGGTCGCAATTCTATTGGAGTGCACAGATCCATCGACCTCGGCTCTCCGAATGGTCTCCGAACAAATTGCGGATATCTCTAATTCCATGGGCAAAATGGCCTTTGGCTTGAACGAGAGGGTCTTTGATCTTAGGTCAGAAAACTAATCGGAACTGGCGGATGATAGCAAGATAGGTGCCTCAAGGTCTGGTGGTCCGGGAATGACGAGATGGGTGCTTCTATGGCTCGTTGAGCCGTCGAAGCCGTGGGCCGGGATTGAGGTGATGGCAGAAAGACGTGAAGGAAGAGTGGGTGGTGGTGGTGACGGTGCCCCCCTCGGCCGTAGTGGGAGGGAGAGGAGGAGAGGTGGTGATGGTGGGTCACATCCATCCACCGCCTTCTTCCGCAGGCAGTATGAAAACTCACACGTGACATCACAGCAACTGGCTGTTCAATTTCCACAGTTCGCTCTTTCCGAGATCCCACAACCACATCCCACCTTCCCACGAAGCAACCTACTTTTTGGGACCGTACCTTACACACAGTTGTCTGGCTCTGTAGATTACCAAGGGAGTAGGAGAGAAGAGAGCGCAGCCAAGGTGTGGCTAGTGAGTTTATGCAATATCTTCGAATTTGCGAGGGTGGAAGCTTCAATGGCGCTCACCTCCACATGGCTGTATCGGATAGTCAAGACGTTCTTTAATAATATGGTTTGTAGTTCTCTGTCTGTTTCGAATTCTCGGACCTTGCCCTAAGCGCAACTACAGTAAGTACTTCGTACAGTAAAGCTGCGTCTGGTTTGGAGCAGTGGAGACTGGGTACTTTTTGGTCTAGTGAAACGCACAAGAGGTGATGATCTTTCTCAAATGATATGGCACATATTTTGACGGAGTTCACTTCCAGAAGAGCTGCTTGAGGTCCTGTTTGAGGTCCAGCCACAAGCTCCACCATACCATTTTCAGGGTTTGGAAAGAGAAGCTTTGGTCATGGGTGGAATGGCGAGACGCCCAAAGCTTTCGCACGTGATCAGAGGAATATCAGAGGAATGTCGCACTTGGGCCCAGCCACAACAAAGTGAGCAGGAACCGAAGCTGGCGGTGGGCATGTTTGGACGCACCAGTATAGGTACATTGTCTACCTAAGCGTGCCAGTATAGGATGTATCCTGCACAATAATAATAACAAAGACGATCACGAAGTTACGCATGCTGTATGAAGGGTGCGTTGGAAAGGGAAACAGCTTTACAGTCAAGCGTCAAACTCTTGGGGAAGGAAGGGCTGTCCGGGCGTACTACTAGAAATTGCTAGGCTTGAAAGAGACAGGCAGAGGATGCAAGATGAACCCAGGAATGGGGCACCAGTGGGCCGAAGAGGCACCCTACAGCCCACACCTACAGTTTCGCATAGCGCCAAATAGGCAGGTACCCAAGCCCTGGTAGCCCACTCGGCCGAATTCTACGCATACGAAGTAGGGATCCCCAGGGCCACCGACAGGGCCGAGGGGTAATTGATAGGCCCGAGGGACGCTACCAGTTAAGACTTTCGCGACGGTAGGGCGGTTTGACCCTGCCGATGGGCCCAGGCGTGCCAGGGTCGCCCTGGAGCTACTTAATAAGTAGCAACACTGGCCTGGCCGCCAACGCTTGACCCAACTTGGTGCCTTCTCAGCGAAGGGGCGTGTTTGAGGTGCTTGTTCTAACAAGAGCGGCCAACTACAGAATGTTGGGAGACTCTGATGAATCAAGGGCAGTGTCGTGGGTGTGTACCCTGGTGGAGTGACAAGATCCCAGGTGTCTACGCTACGTACTGCAGTATTGTGTTATCGTAGTCAACTGTGGTCTGCCTGTTGTGACTGAGCTTCCTTATTTCACCAATACTAACAAGTAGTAGTAATTTACCAACATAATAGCGTCTTTCAACAACGTCGGTGCGGCACATGCTCGTGCCTACCCTTGGCTCGAAATCTACGAGCACGAGTCCAATGCCCAGCGACCAGGATTCGCGAGATAAGAGATGGAGGCGCGGAGACGGTCTCAAGGATGGTGCTGCGAACTGCAATAATGGTTCATGGTTCGGCTAGCCAGTGACTTTTGAAAGCGTTTCTAAATTCTTTGGGATTGGGGTTGCTACTGTATCTCGTGGTTTCGAGTATCGACGAGACTCTGGACGCGTTGCTGCTGAAAAAGTAATGAACCCCTGACACGGTTTTGGTGGCCTGGACAAACCATAACCTTCATAACTCGGTCTGTATCGCTGCTTCGTATTTTGTTTAGTGTGATGAAGAAATCGACAGGCATCAATTGTTGACCTCCAGATTTGGTTGATAGATGGCTGATTACTTTGCTCAATCACATCACAACATGGCGCTGGGGCTGATAGCCGTCGTCCAAACGTCAACCTTTCAGCATTATTACCCTGGCAGGAGGGGATGTCTGGGTGGATTGTGTAATACTGTGCTTTTAGGTCGCTCAAACGGTGGTTTCGTTGAACATGATGATACTACTGTACTCGATCATGTACATACTCGTACTCTTTACTTTCTCTCTATTATTACTGTTCTCGAGACAGCCATGGTTGATTCTGCTGGGTGGATTGTTGAAGATGACATCTGATTGGTATTGGCACTTCAACCAGGGTGTCGGATTAACTAGCTCTGGTTGGCTTGAGGACCCTGTGCACCTGGACAAGCCCCCTCGGCCCCAAAGCCAATCCACGTTTCAGTGCCGGGGCGAGCGCCCGCGGGTCCCCGTGGCGGTACTTGGTCATAGCTAATGCTGCTAGTATTTTCTAGGTACTCGTGGAACTCTTCTGAGCCTCTCAAGCCTCTGTTCTTGTCTCGGGGTCTTCTTCCTCCTGCTGGGGAATCTTCCGTGGACTAGAAAGTGCAGCCAAAGTTACAGGCAAAGGCGCAAAGGTGCAAAGGTGCAGGTAAAAAGCTGCAGGGAAAATGGAAAAGGCTTGCGAATCACCAACGCAGAGTTGAAACCCAGTTGAAGCCCACACATTTTGGCCTCCTTGTTCTCTTGTCCTCTAAGTAGGTACTCCTACCGAAAGTCGTCTTGAATTCTATCTACCACTTTCACGCTCACACTCTCACTCTCGCCATCCCTCACACACCCACTCACACACACACTCTCTCTACACCGACACCTCCAACATTAATCTTTGATTGCACAACGAAATAGTTGATCGTGGTAATGCTCGCCACCGCTAGTATCGGTCCTTACTTGCCATTGTCACCCACACATCTTGTCTGTCGAGCCATTTGATTTTGCTCCCACCCACCCTCCTACCACATCTGACACCTCGCCGTCCACTGTCACTCAGTCTCGACGCGTCAACTTCACGACGCTTCTGCTCCTCGTCTCAGCCGTGCTGTCTTTTCTGTCTTCTCATCAGCAGGTACACCACACAACCGTCACAGACCCAGACTTCGTGAGAGGTGTGAGTTTCTCTGTCCTTCTGCCACCCCCACCTCTCATCTTCCTCCTCTTCGCGCCTGGCCTCTGCATCCTCAACCTCCCACACCACCATTGGTTCTCCTTCCACCTGGTCCACCAACCACCGCTTCGAATTTCGGTTTCAATCATCAACCCGCCGTTAACCCATCCCACCATCTCCAACAATAGTACCCAACTCTCGCAGCCTCGCTCTCGTCCTATCGTTCTGGCCTCTTGCTGTGTTATCGCCGTTCACCAATCCGTGGAACCTGGGGAACCTCTCTATCCATCCTTCCCTCCCCACGCCAGCCAACATCATCCATTGCTTTTCAACAACCCTCCCTTGTCATGACCATCTCGACTCCCTTTCTGACTGAATTGTCTCAGACTGCCCTGTCCTCACTCTGAGTCCCTGCTAAACCTCTCTTTGGCCAACTTACTCTACTGCGACCTCCCTTGAAAGACCCGCTTCTCCACCTCCCCCGTTGACGCCCTCAACCCTCTACCAAACCTCTCCAAAAGAATCTCAATCCATCCTCGCCCATCTACATGCGACACCTACCGCGTGTTTCTGTTCGCCTTTTGCTGCCGCTTGATCAGTTGACCAAGACTTGCGATCCAAATCATGGTCGCCAGCCCTGCAGGCCTCAATGCCGACCAAGGCCCCATCCTCGATAAGAATAATATTATCAATGTAAGAGATGGAGAATCATTATACCAGATATGTATTAAGCTGCGCCGGCGGCTGTCTGGCGTCCCCGGCTTCCGCACCTATATCGATGAAATGGAAGAGCGCGAGGCGGAAGGCCTGACCGACCCTGTTTCCTCTCTGTGGCAATGTTTTCGTTCGGGCTACCCCCTACTCACCATCTTCAACGCATCAAATCCCGAGGACGGCGATGTCGTTCTCCCCCCGACTCGTCCGGAAAAGGTCGGCAAAGCCGCAACTGCCTTGTTCCTCAAGTGTTGCATGCAACAAATGAATATTGCCAGTCAAGACACCTTCATGCTCACCGAGCTATTCTCAGACAATACCACCGGCTTCGTCAAGGTCACAAAAACCGTCAACAAGGTATTGGACATCTTGGAAATGAGTGGCAAATTGCCCGAGCCCAATGACAGCGAGGACTCGCGCGAAGGCACCGACAGTGGCGCCAGCCTCAATGACCAGTCACCCAAGACTATGACCCGCAGAATGTATATCTTGAAAGAGCTCGTTGAGACCGAAAGACAATATGTCCACCATTTACAGAATCTGCAGGCCTTGAAGAAGGAACTTGAAGAGGTCGGTGCCCTCAAAGGCGACGCCATCCACAATATCTTTCTGAATCTCAACAACCTCCTGGATTTCGCACAAAGATTTTTGATCCGCATCGAACAACAAAACGAGATCCCCGCTGAACAACAGAACTGGGGTAGACTCTTTGTGCATTACAAGGACCCTTTTAGACAATACGAGCCTTTTATCGCCAATCAGAGAAGGTGTGAACAGACCTGCCAGCAGGAATGGGATACCATGGTCATGACGACCAACTCGCCCTTAACCAAACAGATGCTGGCCAACCCAACTATCCTCAACGGCTTTCTCCTCAAACCCTTCCAGCGTTTGACCAAGTACCCACTTCTCCTCAAGGTATGTGTGCTGTCGCCAGCTACCTCCTCTTAGCGCTAATTTGTTAGGATCTGCAAAGTCAGACAGAGGACCCAGTTCTCAAGGACGACCTCAACAGTGCCATCGCCATCATTCAGGATGTTCTAATGCAAGCCGACGCCTCCATCGACAAGGAGACCAGGGACGATGCACTGCAGGACTTACAAGAGCGCATCGATGATTGGAAGCAACTTCAAATCACCAGTTTCGGCGAGCTTTTGCTTCTGGGCACCTTTAATGTCATGAAGGACAGTGGAATGCGATCCGACGAAAAGGAATACCATATTTACCTTTTCAGTCGCATTCTAATCATGTGCAAAGACGTCAACGCCAACAAGCCCAAAAATCGCTTGGCGAATAACAAAGCATCGATGAGCTTGCGTGGAAAGCCAAAGATGAACCTCAAAGGGCGAATCTACTTCACCAATGTCACCGCCGTCAGCTCCCAGTCAACGCCCGGCAACTACGCCTTGCAAATCTCGTGGAAAGGCGAACCTGCGGTGGAGACTTTCATCATCAAGTTCAAAAACGACGACACCTTACGCAAATGGCATACCATGATAGAGACCCAGCGATCCTCATGCATGTTAGAAGCTAGAAACAGAGGAACTTCGGATACACAGCTCCTCTCTTTACAAGGCATGACCATGGAAAACCCCTACCTACAGGAAGATGAAGAAGACTACAGTCGAGTTTCCGGCACAACTTATGGTGGCACTGATGTTAGTGGCTACTCAGAATTCAGCATGAGCCGAAACGCTTCAAGTACCAGCCTCCGGTCTAGGTCGGCTACAGGCGGGAGTGGAAGCTCAGGCCCACGCATGCGCGTTCCAACGTCAGAGATGAATGGGCTCTCGCTCAACACACGCGGGCTACCGATGCAATCCCCCCAAGAGTACCCAGCAGGCTCATATTTCTCGCCCATCGAACGAGAGTCTACCATTCACCCGCCAATGTCATCAAGGTCGAGCTCTCAGTCTGCATTTGCGGGTTATAGCCGTGGTGCAACTCCAGTCAACGGCGGTCCTTATCGACCTGAAGAATCCCATCGGAACACTGCTCCAGCAATGGCTAGAAACCCCAATGGTCAACCTACCGGAAACCCATACTTGAACAACGGTCGAAGTCGTGGGCCCTCTAGCGCTGGCGGCATGGGCCCGCCTCGGATGCGATCTGCGAGTAGCCCAGATGTTCAACCCATCATTCAAGGCCGGAAGTATGTATCAGGTGAACATGCTCCATCTGTACCACCAATCCCGGCGCACGTAAAACAGATGAGCGGTCCAAACCGCAGCCAAAACAATTCCCCTATCAATAGACCGCCGTCGCGTGGAGGAACCCCTCATCAGGTGTATGGTCTTCCAACTAGCCAGCGACCAGCGGTGCAGAATGGTTACAGCTACGATGCTGGCTATGGTGGCCATGACCCCAGGAAACCGGGTCATCAACCATCCTTGTCACAGAGTCGACCATTTTCTCCACCGGTGTCGTCGCCATCCAGTGAGGGCGATGGTTATTTACCCAGTCAACTAAAGGCCAAGGTATGCTTCGATGAAAATTATGTGTCGATGATCATCGCCACAAACATCCAATTCCGTTCCCTGGCTGAGAGGATTGATGCCAAACTCGCACGATTTACCAGCCATTCCATCTCTTCAGGATCGGTCCGCTTAAGGTATCGGGACGAGGATGGCGACTATCTCTTGATTGATACCGATGATGATGTGCACGAGGCACTCTTGGACTGGCGTGAGAATCAGGCATCCACTGCCAGTGCGCAGAATGCAGAGTTACTACTCTTTGCCCACGTGGTCTCTAACAACGAACCGCCTTCTGTGACATAAGAGTGATTGTCCTCTGCAAAACAGCAACACTGAGTAGATGAACCCCAGTACTCGGTGACGAGGCGCTGTCCCAGCAACTGCCAGCGCTGCCCAATGCATGACCGGTAGATTATCGATTCATGCAAGGTGGCAACAAAAACAAATTTGAAAGGAACGTTCGACATGAAGATTACGAAATGACGGTTAATGAGGTTGGATATGACATTATAAGCCCTGAAAGGGTTCGATCAGTGGTGATTTGACCATGGCTCGCAGCGAGACCATGGAGAGGGAAGGCGTCGGGGCGTGAATGTGAACGTGAACGGGCACAACACGGCACGGAAATGGGAGTTGATGGAGTTTTTACATTGCAATAGCAGGAGGCAGGGTTGAAAAGTGTTCAAGCATGGCGGACGGTGGGCAGCGGACCTTGGCGCTGGCGAATTGAGATGGATGGCATCGCATGGTATGCATGGTCTTTGTTCGTTCTTCCATCCCATCATCCATCTATCCACCTTTGGCATTCTCAATCGCATCCTCTCTGCTTTTCCTCCCTCGTTCCAGTCGGTCTATCAGAAACTTCTTGCCTTTAGTGGAGCATTTGGAAAGCAGTGTCTACGCAACATGTGACCTCGTACTAGATAGCTTGCTTGTGTAAACATGAACATGGCCCTTGATAAAACGCAGTTATTTTTCTCAATTGGTCTTGTCTCCATGGATAAACTATGGAATACAATCTAGCTCACCGACTGGTCCATGCTACCTGGGTGTGCACATTTCATGGGTTCATTCCTTCGAGTCATTTCTGATCAATCAACTCTAATTCGCCATTCAAAGCCTTGCTTTGCCAGTAGTGCCCGACGAGGCCAGATCAAATCTGTCCAGATTCATCACCTTGTCCCAAGCAGCCACAAAGTCCTTAGTGAATTTTTCAGCTCCGTCGGCACTGGCATAAACCTCTGCCAAAGCACGAAGCTCGGCGTGAGAACCGAAAACCAAGTCGTTACGAGTGGCAGTCCACTTCTTTTGACCCGTCTTGCGGTCAACTCCTTCGAACAGCTCGTTGTCACTGCCGGTGGCCTTCCACGCGGTGCCCATATCCAGGAGGTTGACGAAAAAGTCGTTGGTCAACTGACCTGGGCGCTTGGTGAGAACACCATGAGACGATCCGTCGTAGTTCTGGCCGAGTGCACGAAGACCGCCGATTAGAACTGTGAGCTCTGGCGCAGAAAGGTTCAGGAGGTGGGCTCGGTCAACGAGGAATTGTTCGGTGAGAACTCTGGGGGTTCCCTTGCCGTAGTTGCGGAATCCGTCGATGAATGGCTCAAGATGCTGGAAGGACTCAACATCGGTCTGTTCCTGAGAAGCATCGGTACGACCGGGGGTGAAAGGCACAGACAAGCCGGAGGCCTTCTCGAGAGCGGCAACACCAGCCAGGACAATCAAGTCTGCAATGGAGACCTTCTTTCCGCTGTTCTTTTGCACGCCTTCGAGAGCGCTGAGCACTTCTTTGAGTTGTGTCGGGTTGTTGACCTTCCAGTCCTTTTGAGGCGCAAGACGAATGCGAGCACCGTTGGCACCGCCACGCTTGTCACTTCCTCGGAAAGTTGAAGCAGATGCCCAAGCAGTCTGGATGAATTTGCCTGGCTCAATACCGGTGGCAAGGATATCCTTCTTCAATTGAGAGATATCGCTGCTGTCGATGCTAGGGCGGCTGGCAGCTGGGATGGGGTCCTCCCATAGCAGCTCCTCGGATGGGATCTCAGGACCGAGCCATCGAGATCGGGGACCCATATCTCTGTGGAGGAGCTTGAACCAAGCACGAGCAAAAGCATCGGCGAATTGGTCTGGGTTCTCAAGGAATCGGCGAGAGATCTTCTCGTATGCAGGATCAAAGCGCAGAGAAAGATCGGTGGTCAACATTCTGGGTTTATGCTTCTTGTTGGAGTCATAGGCATCGGGGATGAAGTCATCGGCGCCCTTGGCAACCCATTGGTTTGCGCCGGCTGGAGACTTGGTGAGCTCCCAGTCGTACTTGAAGAGGTATTCGAAAAAGGTATTGCCCCATTTGGTCGGCGTCTTGGTCCAGATAACCTCCAGTCCACTGGTAATGGTATCTGGGCCCTTGCCGGAACCATATTTGTTGTTCCAGCCGAAACCTTGCTGTTCCAGGCCAGCAGCTTCGGGTTCCTCACCAACGTTGTCAGAAGGGGCAGCACCATGAGTCTTTCCAAAAGTGTGGCCACCAGCGATCAAAGCAACGGTCTCTTCATCATTCATTGCCATGCGGCCAAAGGTAGTGCGGATGTCGCGAGCGGCAGCGACTGGATCAGGGTTGCCATCCGGGCCTTCGGGGTTGACATAGATCAGACCCATGTGGGCAGCACCGAGAGGTTCCTCCAAGTTACGCTTATGGATGTCCTTGTGATCATTCTTGGATTCGTCTCCATCGATGACACCAGATCCAGTGACACCAGCTTTGCCGTCTGAGTAGCGGACATCGTTGCCCAACCATGTAGTCTCACCACCCCAGTAGACGGATTCATCAGCTTCCCAGGTATCGGGACGACCACCAGCAAATCCAAAGGTCTTGAAGCCCATGGACTCGAGCGCGACGTTTCCACTGAGCAAGAAGAGATCAGCCCAGGAGATCTTGTTGCCATATTTTTGCTTGATGGGCCAGAGGAGACGGCGACCCTTGTCCAGGCTGACATTGTCGGGCCAGCTGTTGAGGGGGGCAAAACGCTGTTGACCGCCACCGCCGCCACCTCGACCATCGGCAACACGATATGTTCCAGCACTGTGCCAGGCCAATCTAATAAACAGACCACCATAATGACCGAAATCAGCGGGCCACCAATCTTGAGAATCGGTCATCAGGGCGGTGAGATCTTTCTTCAGTCCTTCATAGTCGAGGGTCTTGAAGGCGGCAGCATAGTCGAAATCGGCCGGGTTGGGATTGCTGACTGGAGTGTGCTGGCGCAGGATGTTCAACTTCAACGAGTTGGGCCACCAGTCCTTGTTTCTGGTTCCACCGCCACCGGTGTTGACCGTCTTATAGTCGGCGTGGACTGGACATTTACTCATGGTGCTGATCGACTGGGGTGAGGGAGGGAATCGTTCAGTGTCAAAGAGGAGTCGTGGGAGAAGAATTGAACAGGAGAAGATGAGTTGTAGTAAGGAAAAGTCAAGAGAAGCAGAGGGAAGGTAGTACCCCGCGGCAGGTTAAATATTCTACGGGAAGGAACGATGGCAGGACCCCCTCTCGACTTCCCTGATGTCGTAGCTTCGAGCATCGCCCATGGATACAAAAGTTACTGGAGAACCCCTCTAAGGACGAGCCAATCGCAACTTAGTAATTATCATCTCCTGATTGCCTCGTTGTTGGTCAGTGTCGCGCCATCTCCGCCAATGTGAGGGATGGTGTCCACTGCCCGCATCATAGAACCGAGTCCTGCGTATTATGAGGTTCCCACGGTTCCCCACATCGGTAGCTGGACGAATCGTGGTGAGGGGCAGCTGGAGACCACTAGTCTTGATTAGGAGACGCAGGGCGAGCTCGCTGTTCAATTACCTAATTAGGACTAAATCTCCAAACTTCCCGTTGACCTCTTGTTTCTGGCCGACACACAATACGGAGTACTGGGCTCGGTCACTCAAGGATTGCATCACTCTCTACCTGAAGATCATTGGTGCGTTGAGCCCGGTGCCACTCTCAACACTTCAATGCCGCGATGCCAGTTGTGGGTATTGACTTTGACAGTACCTCGGAATCTGATTCAGCATCTGATAACTGAATCGAGGTCAAAAGTGCCATCAGGGCAACTCGCCCAGATCACGTGTATGGGACTTGGGACGACCACAGGTGCAAGGGTATCGTGACACCCACGCAACATCCCACCTCGCGCCTTGGCAACAAACTGCGCCAGATCAGTGACTGAACCCAGTGACTGAACCCAGTGACTGTACCAAGAAGAGATTGTTTCTTCTTTCACCGTCCGAAATCGGTCCAACACCTGGCGGTGTGCTTGGTCATAAAACTACCTCTTTCGCGTTCGATATTGACACCTGACTGTCTCTTACACATACCACCACCGTCAGCTGAGTACAGGGGGTCAAATCTCTCTCATTTGGCACAGCTTTTACCATCACCACCGCAAGCAGGAAATCCCACCCCCCGCTCCAATCCAATCCTCCTCCTCCCCGTTCTCTCCCCATTCCGAATCCCTCACGCCACCGTAGAACCCCCGCGTCATGTCTCAGTCGGCGTCAGCAACAGTTAGCCCCGTTGTGGCTCGAGGACCCCCGGACCCTGCCGCCATGAAAGCTCGTATTATCTCACACATGAATGCGGATCATCAATTGAGCCTCCGAGCATATCTCCAGCTATATGCCAATGTTCCATCATTGAGTACCAGGTCCAGCAAATTGGAGGACATCACCAACGAGCATATGATCCTCACCTCCTCTTTCGGTCGTCATGTCATCCCCTTCTCTCCCCCATTAAAATCGCTGGCCGAAGCAAGGGAACGTTTGGTGGCCATGCATAATGATTGCTTGCAGGCTCTAGACTTGTCGGACATTGTCATAGACAGTTACTACTGGCCAGACAAACTTTGGCAGTACCCGGCAACCGCGTTCATCCTCTTGATCTTGATCACCTTTCCTTTCCCTGACTCCCTACTGCCCCACTCAAACTCTCTCATCTATCAGATTTGGTCACTCGGTGGCCTTGCACCGGGTCTTGCAGCTCTCTGCCATACGCTCGCATTCCCTGTCTGGTTCTTTATTGTCGCCGTTCATGCTGCCGAGTCAGTCTGGCTGTCCAAAACCCGTCTGAGGAAGCACTGGATCGAGCCAGGTACGGGGGTCTGGATGGCTTGGATGGCAGACTGTGCCCTCAAGGGGTTCAGTGCATTTCAAAGGTTCGACCAAGTTGTCAAAGAAAAGGAGGCAGCAAAGCGAGGCCGTGGACAGCATTAGAGCTGACACTGTTTCGTCTACTGGAACCAGCCAATCTGCGTTGTACGCCGCTCCTGAGTTTGATACATCTCCTCTCTTGTTGATGCAAGGTATATAGAGTCCAGATCACGGCAAAGATCCTGTTATAACCAGCATCATGCATTCCTACCGTCATCAAGTCCCGAATCTTGGCCATGTATAGCTTTTGAAAAAGGATCGTACACAATGGACACAGCTGTTGACGCCTCGCAATTGGCCTTGCCGAGCTGCACTATTGGGATTGGTTTGTCGATCGATGCCTCTACCACTTGTCCCGTCAGGGAGGGTTCGTCTAAGAACCGCATGTACCCAGCAACCACGGTCAACATTGGGGTCAGGCTTCACAGGTTAGTTACAGGTAACAGACTCTCCATCCTCGATCAATCGCCAACTTAGTTATTGTTGCCGACAAAGTCGCACATCTCTTGTGGAACATTCCGAGTGGGCACTATTCCCGGGCACACAGCATTTAACTTTGTATTCACTCCAAGGGCCACACAATCATACGATCTGGCCGGCAACATGGCAAATCCTCACACTCAAAAGAAGATCCAATCCAACCAACAATGATCAGCGATATATATTGAGAGCGGATGGGCTGCAATATACTGTCAAACTATACTACCTAGGGAGAGGACGGCAAAGGGATGGCCTCCCTGCAATCAAGAGTTGCCTAATGTACAAGACCCTCGGCTTGAAGCTGGTTGACATATTTCCAGTATCGAGGTATGCTTGCCTTTCGAAGGCTCTTGCCGTATTTTATGAAGACAAAGAAAAGGCAAATTTGTGCCATTGCAACAAACGCTGCCAGGATAAAGGCATTCTGGTAGCCCATGTTGGTCATCCAAGGGGTCACACTATCTCAAAGTCAACACTGGTCGCTTCGGTGGCACGCTCGAGGAACAAGGGACACTTACCCGTAGCTGACTGCGAAGCTCATGGTGTTGCGGATCAAAATGACTGTGACGATAGCATCTCCGCTCATGTCCTTGTAAGAGTCGATGCAATAGCTGATTGGTAGCTGACATCCTATGGTGATGGCTGCGGCCAGCATTCCCATTGCAAACACAAGGCCGAACCAATGGACGTGATGTGCTGCACCGATGCCCCAGATAAAAAATCCACCGGGAATAAGGATGAAGAGACTCATGTAGAGCCACAGACGGTGCTCAGGCTCCATCACGCCATTGTTCCTCCTCGCTTTCCACAGGATGAACTTGTCACCCAGTGGGCCAGAGAAATAAGCCCTGGCATTCTAGTCAGCTCCCTCACGTCCACGTAAAAGATAGATTCCAGCAAGTCTGGAGATATAGAACATACCCAAGGAAGACCCCAATGAGGCATGACACGTAAGAGAGACCAACCATGCTTGCGGAAAAGTTGTACGGTGGACTGGACAGGATCACCGAGGCCGTACCGTTGAGAATATTGAAGTAACAAACGATGGACCCGTACATGAAACCCGAGAAGAAAATGACTGGAAAAGAGAAGAAGATCAATGGTCGAAGAATCATGCCTTTGAAGTTTGCCCGTCGTTGGAAAACATCCGCTCGGAATATGGCCAACTTTTGCCAATAAGACATTTTAGTCACTGAAAGCTCGTAGGTGACACCTTCTTCAACGACTCTGTGAGGTTGGGCACTCGCAGTCTTTTCAGAGTCGACTGGTTGCTTCTCATTGCCAGAAAGGCTTTCGTTTTCGATTCCAGCGTCAGGTTCGACAGAGGTGGTCGGAGCACGGCGGAAGTTAGTCTCTTCCATGAAGAAAAATAGGATGATGAAGCCGACGCCATTGAAGATGGCACACCAGTGCTGACCACAGTGTCAATTCTCACACATTTCTTGATATATAGGAGAATGCTGAAGACTTACCAGAACCCATTTCCATCCTTGGCCGTCATTGATGAAGCCTGAGATGATGGGAGCAAAGAAGTTGCTTCCTGCCAGAAACAACGCGTATAGACCCACATACGTTCCCCGTTCATGAGTAAAGAACTACAGTATACCTCGTCAAGACAGAACTTATAGAAGTTGAACGAGGTTCTCAGTACTTACAACATCTGCAACTGAAATTTCGCAGAGGGATTCAATGATAGCTCCAAAGAAGCCCTGCAGGCACTTGTTGGCAATCCACTGGCCCCTTGTTAGGCAATAAGGAGCCCAAATCATCATTCCCTATATCATCGACGGTCAGAATCTTCAACCGCTTGTCCCATAAGGAATTCCTGGGGTCTTACCACTGTTCCCAGAGTTGAAAGCAGGTAGATTGGACGTTTTCCATAGTTCATGGCCAGGGGCTGCATGATCAGGCATCCCCATCCAAGGACCAAGAACATGTATCCAGTCCCTTCTACCAAGGTACTGATACTGAGTCCACTATCGACTGAGATGGGAACTAGAATCGAATAGATGGCGGCGGTCGGAATGCCTACAACCAGAATATAGCTAAAGCTCTGTCAGATATCTGATCCAATCGAACGAGGATTCAGGAGCGCCTCACGTGCAGAGACAGAATACAAACAACAGTTTCCGGCGTGGGCTCCAGTTCAACGGATCGTCAGGGTCCTTTGAAGGAGTGGGAACCAACACAACATCGTTCTGTTTGCCCTTTGCGTGAGCCGCATGAACAGTGCCATCCAAGTCCACCAGGTGCACAGTTCCAGGGACGAAGTCTGGAGCTCCGACCGTATGCGCCGATGCTACCATTTTGTTCGCTTTGTAGCTATGATGTCTCGATAAGATAAAAACGTTCAACTCAGGCAGGTAGTAATCAGCGGGATTAAGATGACAACTGAGACTTAGCTCTGCGGTAATGTCTCTCTTCGATGGGTGACACGGTCCTTAAGTACATTAACACTCGCTACAATCACGGAGCCGAGATCATGTCCTGTGGCAATAGTTACCTATCGAGGAATCAGGAGGTATCCCTCGCGATCCAAGGGATGAGAGTAATCGTATCGATATTCCGCGAATGAGAATAGATTCCGGACTTGACAAGATATCGCATGATTTGGGTTCCCATAGTGCAGCTTGCGATAAGCCACGAACATGAAGATGGCACTACCATAATAGATTGGACAAACTCACAGTTCTTCAGCCACGAGCAGCATTGTCTGCGTAGGAGTCTATTGCCAAATGGACGAGGTCTAGTTCATAGATTGACTTAAGGCTTCGCTGATACCCCGGGTTTTAGAGGTCAGGAGCCCTTCCAATGGGAATGAATTGCGAGCGCACAGACCACGTTAGGGGAGCCAGTGAAATGCATTTGCGGGACTAGCGTTATCAACACGAGATAAAGGCGTCGTTGAGCAGGGGTTCCACATGAAGATCTTCAATGAGTCCTTCCGCCGTTGCCAGAGGACAGAGAGAGACTGTCGACGACGATAACAGGAGTCTAATATCATAGGATCCATAAGGGTAGTGCTATGTGTATCGCCTAGTCCGGTTGTGAACCTTTCTGCCGCATCAAGCGGCTCGGAAGACTTCACGGAATTATCAATCAGCATGTCTATCCGCAATTCCTATTCATTGGTTAGATAACTACGGAGTAAGTTGGTTCTTGGAAGTCATGAGAAGCTCGACCACAGTTCCAGTCGGACCCAGTGTCTTAGTATGCATTGAATACTGTCTATAAAGGGGTAGATGTAGGTACGCAAGATGGCATCATTCTGTGGTCAACATCTCACCTAACTTGTTTCCTTGTCTTTCTTTTAGTTGAGTACATACAGCCACCATGGTCAAGGAACTCTGGCAATTGAAGGCTGAAAAATGCCGACAAATTCTCAAGGACTCGCTGAATCCTGCCTGGCTGCTTTCCGAGAAAGACCTGCCTCCTGCTAGTCAGCTGGATGTCTCTACTTTCGTAGAAACGTCCCAGGTCTTAACACCGAAAGAGCTAAGCATCACCAAACTCACAGCATCAGAGCTAGTGGAACAAATGGCCGCAGGCAGCCTGACTGCCGTGGAGACGGCCACGGCCTTTCTGAAACGCGCACACCTTGGTCATCAACTCTTAAACTTTGCTACCGAGTTCCTAGTGGATGAGGCCCTAGCCCGTGCTGCTGAATTGGACGCTCACTTCAAGACGACAGGTAAACTAGTGGGACCGCTCCATGGTGTTCCAATCTCTGTGAAGGAGCACATAGGGCTGAAAGGGCGAATCTGCCACTCTGCCTACATTGCCTGGACCGACAACATTCCCAGTGAGGATGCCTTGCTTGTCAGATGCCTTCGAGCAGCGGGAGCTATCATCCACGTTAGGACGAATGAGCCCCAGAGTCTAATGGTATGGGTCATGCTGATACCTGACTCTGTGCTTGCCTAGACGACTAACGATATCTCAGCATGCGGATACAAACAATGTCATTTATGGCTCAACGTGCAACCCTTACAATCGCAAACTGACCTCTGGAGGATCCAGTGGAGGTGAAGGAGCTTCTATCGGCTTCCGCTGTGCGGCCATTGGCATTGGCACAGACATTGGAGGCTCAGTTCGTATCCCTGCCGCCTTCTGTGGAGTTTTTGGACTTCGCACAACAGCGCTGAGAAACCCTTATAAGGGTGTTTTGTTGGCTGGGGAGGGGCAAGAAAGCATCCGCTGCGTCATTTCACCTTTGGCCAACAGCACCGCGGATTTGAACTTGGTCCAGCGAGCGATTCTTGACCAGGAGCCATGGGACGAGGAAACTTCTCTGTGCCCTCTTCCATGGAGAAAGATTGAGCCGTATACTCCGACACAGATCACTGTGGGGGTTATGTGGGATGATGGGTATGTCAACAATTCTTGTCATGTCTGAGACGACACACATAGCTATAGATTTCACTAACGCCCATGCAGGATGGTCCATCCACACCCTCCGATCACTCGTGGCCTGAAATATGCGAAAGCCAAACTCGAATCTGCAGGTGTCAAGGTCGTTGACTTTGAAGCCTATGAGCACGCACGTGGGTGGGACATACTTACTCAACTATACTTCCCGGACGCTGCAAAGACCCAGAAGGACCTTCTCGAGAGCGCAGGCGAGCCTGTGCTTCCGTTGACTGAATGGGCTTTCAGTGTGGCTAAACCGGAACCAATCACTGTAACTGAAAACTGGGAACTTAACGCCCGCCGAGAGGCCTATCGAGAAGAGTGAGTGTTGTCCATTGACCAAAGCCTTCTTATTTACTAAGGCACTCTAGCTACCACCGTATCATGAAAGAACGTGGCGTGGATGTCATTCTTTGCCCAGCTGCTCCGGGAGTTGCCGCAGAGCTCAGCGTGGGCAAGTATTGGCCCTATACTGCAATCTGGAATATCCTTGATCAACCAGCGGTTTCATTTCCCACCGGGTTGAAAGCAGATCCAAGCATAGATCTGGTTGAGTCTGATTACAAGCCCCAGGAAGGGCACGATGAACGCGAGTATAACAGATGTGAGTCCAACCATTTCGTGGTGCAGTTGCTTGAGGTTTCACAGTGTTGACTGATCTCTTGTAGACACTCCTGAGCTCTATGTGAATGCGCCTATTGCGTTGCAAGTTGTCGGTAAACATTTCCGAGACGAAGAGGTGGTTGCTGCCACAGAGCTCATTTCTAAGATTGTCCAGGCTTAGCCTCGATGACGACTACGTTGGATTGATAGGATGAGATGTATTACTTTCAACGCAGATGTATTGTGCTATAAGATATACATCAAGAACAAGATTGTTTCTCAGAATAATGCAAGATTATGGATCTAGCTCCAGACATCGCGCGTTGTTGCCAGTATTCGACAGATTCCGGTATTCATTTCAGGCAGCGCATCTCGACAACTTATTCATCGATCATCACCCAGGCATTGTCCCTGTCTTATCTACTGTAGAAACAGAACAAGAAAGTCTGATTTTCCATGGCTGGTTTGGTTGGTGCAAAATGTGGACCCGGGAAGACTCACTAGCAGCCCGGGTTCGATGCAAAGACCTGCCGGGGCCCTCGGCCGAAGGGTCTGATAACCAAACGGTGGCTTGGATCCTTGGAAGCTTTCTGTGCATGAAGATAGGCCCCCCGCAGTTAATTACTATCTCTTCTGCTTGGACCCAAACCTGCTGTCAAACAACCTCATCTCTACCGCAAAGCCGTGTCAATGTTCTCAAATGCGCTGTGAAAAGACCACGACGTCGAACAAGCATGTCGAAAGCAAAGTTGAGAACGAAAAGCGGCTGTCTCACCTGTAAGTGTACCAAAAGCTCATAACGCGTTCTGGACTGAGTAATTCGATGCCCAGGTCGCAAGCGAAAAATGAAATGTGACGAGGTCAAACCAAGCTGTTGTAATTGTTCCCTTTCAAATCGAGCATGTCTTTGGCCATCGGTCTCTGATTTGTACGATCGCCGAAATCGACGACGGTTTGAACTCGAATCAATCAACTCGGCGGGTGATAGTGCCCACGGCTGCAGCGACGACCTGACTTTGGTTGACGGCATTGGACTTTGCGCCAGTCTTCTCAGACCATCACCACAGCTGCAAACATCAATCTCTTCTGAATGCGAAAACTCGCTGCTGAACTACTACGTCGACTCTTTTCTCTCTATCATTCTTCTACCTACAACCCAGCCCAAGGACTACAGCGAGTTCCGGTCATACACTTTGGTCCTTGCGCTAGAATGTGAAAGCGTCAAACACACGATCCTGTGTAGCAGTGCCGCTAACAAGTTCATGCTGACGGGGAATGACTATTTTCGGCAAATTTCTCTTAAGCATTACGCCGAGGCCCTGAAATCAGTCAATCAAAGTCTAGCATCTATTGACTACTCCCGCGAGAGTTGGGCAGACCCGTTGATTGTTAGCGTCGCTTATTTATACATCTCTGCGGTACGTTGCCTAAAGGGTGTTTGCAAGCACCAAAGGAAATCTCGCGCTGACAGCAGTCGTATTCCTAGTTCTGGGGCCCAGACGCAAATAAAGACGCCGCCAAACACGTGGCTGGGATGCAGCAGTTGTTCAAGCTTCGGTATTCGACAAAGACCTCGCCGGTCAACGTTGATCGATCATTTGATCGCATCATGGCAGAGAGCGCACTGTACCACTCGTTTCTTCTCACCATGAGAGATCCTTTCGCCTCTAGTTTCCACAATGACTGGAGTTTCTTATCCAGTACACTGGATCTTCTCGAGTCCCAAGTCTATGTCGATCCTGGTGAGGCGGCGAAAAGTCCTGTTATAGGTGCTCCGCCTTCGATATACCGTTTGATCTTAGACATCATTCACATGTTCAATTCACCCTCACGTGGCAACGCTGAGGAGCACGCAAAAATTCGACGCTCCATGGACTATTGGGAACGTCTCCTTGACTCTGATGCGTCGATATTTCGAGATACTGGATATGGAGACGCCATTGAGCTTTACATACTTTCCGCGTCCCTGCTGCTCGACTGGATATCAGAGCTTACCCAGGTTAGTGGTCCAATCACATTGCTGAATCTTTCGATGCATTGTGGCTCCACCACGACCGGTTTTGATGGAGAACCAAGACTCAGATGGCAGATTGCTCGTGCAATCTCAGTTCTTCGACGGCCGGACAACAAATACTACTGGACTTGGTGCTACCTCAGCTCTTGGCCACTCACGGTGCTTGGATATGCAGTCGACTATGAAGAGGGCATAAATCTTATCAAGGAAGTCCTGCACGATTCACGTTATTGTATCGGATATGCTGAGATGGAGCGGGTCAAGAACGAGTTGGAAGGAGTTTGGCACATCCGACAACGGAAAAGCAAGCCTCTAGTGTCCCAGCCGATAACACAACAATTGAGTCTGGCCCACGTCAACGGGTAGTGAACTTCCACGGTTGTGATATCTCCAGTATCACAAAGAGCACGATCCTTATCAGGATTTAAATACGGGGCTTTGGTGGTCAAACAACGGCCACTTCAACAGCCATGTCTGGCTCGTTGAGCTATGGACCTTTTGGTTGGTCTGGAAATGGGTCGGCATCTATTCCCCTTTACCCAGTTGGTACAAGATGTTAATTCGACTCTGCACCACTGTGTTTGAGACTCCAGCCCCTCTTCCTCCAGTCTAGGCCTTCCAGTCGATATCGATGCCGGCTCAAGAGTCGTTGCCACTTGCCGGAATCTCGCCTTCACTTCGCCCTAGATATTCTCGAAGGGGCTGACCATTGACCAAGACCGGCTGGCAGTCTTGCAGGATATAGACGACTCTGGTCCACTCGTCGGCACTAGGGTTCCTCCAAGCATGGTTCGTCCCTCTCTGGACACAGACATCCCCTCTTTGCAGGAGCTGTTTCTCTCCCGAATCGAGGATCAGTTCAATGCTACCTTCGACCACAATGCCATAATCGAGGCTCTGAGTCCTGTGCATCATGGACTCGAACCCTGGCGCAAAGTCTACAAATCTCAACACTGTACCACGAGGATTGACGATACCGAGCTTTTTCGAGCCCAATAGTTCGTCATGCTTGGTGATGTCGACATCGTCATTCAATGATACTGGGAACTGGGATGTGGTGAAGGGGACATTGAACGCCATTCCTCCATGGTCAATCGATTGCCATGTGGCTGGTCTTGCTTCTTGGATGGTTGTTGCTCCATCAGATCGTTTATGACCTGTAATGAATGCTTTGATCCCCGGAAGATGGGGTGCCAGCTGGCCTTGTGTTGGAGGGCGGGATGCAGAGGCCATTACGATTCCGTGACGTGAGTTGTAATCTGTACCCAAGGTCAAAGTTGGAGTTTAGTTTTGTATATTCGCAAAGATTCTCAGGATCTTGAGTTATGTTCAACAGTTCAAAGGTCTATTCCACACAAGTGAAGTCAGGTGCCTGTTCATTCTCGGCTCTGGGGGAGATGATGGCAGCCTCTTATTGGTGACGAGATTGATCCCATACCCTATTAGCCGTTTTACGGTACCCCCAGCCCTGCGGCTTGGCTGAAATTGGTGGCACTGGGGCCCGAGGCGCCCCTCGGATGCCAGAAGTTATGGAAACTAAGCTTGTAGATCCATGCATGACGGCCCCATGTACGAGCCGGGGTGGGGACATGGGGTAGCAACACTTCCGGCTTCAACTTCATAACCCCGGAACCAAACAACAGCTTTTAGCCCGGGGAAAGTTACATACAATATCGCCTTGGTCCTCAGGATACTGTGTGAGTGCCTTAACGACATTTACTTGACGATATGGGTAAGTAATCACCAATCTCATCTGGCTGTCATGACCAGATTGAAAGATGAACAAGCAGGCTAAAATGAGCCCAGGGCTAACACCGGTGCACTTTTTCTCTCATGGATCAACTCGGATGCTAGAGGCCGAGACGGAAGCGGGCTCGTACTGGCATCGCTGTGGACAGGAGGCGCTCAAACACAATGTCAAAGGGGTCATCATGATGGTACGGCACTAGCGCTCTGGCGATTCGATCAAAAATGGTCAGGTTCTAGCGACTAATTTTCATCTAGGGTGCACATTGGGCGTGCAAAGGGGACAAGATCGAGGTTGCCACAAATCCGAACCCGGACAAGAGTGCATGTCCATTCGTTACACCATCACTCTACACTGAGTGGAAGTGCAATCCAGACATCAAGACAGCGGAGAGATGCATCAAGATGCTTTCTGCCGAAGGCTTCAACGTGAGCGCAAACCCAACCTTCGACTGGATCCATGATACATACATGATCTTGATACGCATGTTTCCGGATTGGAGAGATTGTCCGCCGGTCACCATCATCTCCATGAATGCTCGGTACGATCCATATTATCATGTCAAGGTGGGAGCGACGCTTCGCTCCCTGCGAAAGGAGAACTATCTCTTGGTTGGCACTGGTGGTGCTGTCCATAACTTGTATCGAAACCACTGGACCGACATGCTCCTCTATCGAGAGTCTCTAGGCCAGGAGCACCCACCTGAGACTTGGGCTCTCGAATTCCGTCAGGCTGTCGAAGATGCTGTAACAAAGAACCGCGGTCCGGCCTTGCGTAAGGCCATGCTCCGGTTGATGCAGCACCCTGCATACCGCAGTGCTCAAGCGACTGATGACCATTGGATGCCAGCTCTGTTTGCAGCTGGTGCCGCAGGCGATTGGGAGGATGAGAAGTTTTCCAATATACTCGGTGCTGAAACATGGGAATTGGTCAACATGTGCAACTCCCAGTTCACATTTGGAAAATATACCACAATGGAGGAGGATCAAATCACATCTAGGGTCATTGAACATGCCCCAGTTGCAAAGGCAATTCAGGCTGGTGCATAAGAGAATTGAATCAACAGTTGTTGGCATCCAATAAGCAGCACATAAGTTTAACATACTGGTAGGAAATCACATCGTATCCATCATGCCTTGATGGGACATTCAATGAATAGCCTTTTAGTGTTTGTGACACCTTTCGCATGCATTCGGTTTGTTTAGACAAGAACGCAACCAGTCTGAAGAATTATCTGCGTGTAACTGCTCAGTTGTTCGAATTGTCACATGCTATGCGACTCCCTCTAGGTATCTACTTTCTCGATCTCCAAACCATCAACGCCCCTCCAGCCGCCAGTGAGATGAAACCCACACCAAATACCGCAAAGCCGAGCCCGAAGAAGTCACCCGAGTTCTCTTCTTTCTGCCCAATTGCTGGAAGGGACAACCCTGTGGTCGACCGATACCACTTCTTGATTGGATCACTCGTGCCCAGAAGGGTTGCTCTTTGCAGAGCCTTGGTCAGAGCTGTAGTGCGTGAAAGACGTGGTCGAGGAGAGCGAAACAAATCTGCTGGATATCGCGGGCTTAAACTAGGTGGGACAGAAGGATGGCCTGGTGCCAGTGGACCAACTAACAGAAACTTGTTGTTAGTTCTGTTCTTGCATGCAAGAGAGCATGGTCGTGCGGAGCATTTTAGCGGCTTACCCAAGAGCTCTGCAGGAATTTGGTTCACGAAAGAAATACGGGATTCAATATACTTCGATAGGTAGATTGCTTCGCTTGGATCCGCAAAAAGATAGGAAGCTTCTGTCGGCCCCGAGATACTAGAAATGGTTAGCGAGTCGGCGGTTTCTGGCGTACAGCCTGGGTTTGCCCTGGCTTACTTGTTGCTGATATCGACAGCATCGTCTAGACTGGTTGTCCGATATATTACAAAAACTGGTGCGGTGATCTTGTAGCCGGTAGAGGCTTTCGTTCTGGTCGTGATTCGTACGGATTAGCTTCGATATCACTTTTGAAAGCACCCGCTTACACGGCCGATCCACACTTACCGGTCGGCGATTTCAACAATGCTTCCGTGGTCACCTGCGAAGAGCACGCTCCCGTCTTGAGATTTCTCAAGTTCTCGTAAGATCTGGTTGATGTTGTCTGACCTCGAGTCCCGAACCTGAGTTTCTGGACGCGGTAGTAATCCTTTTGGGGCTGCCAGTGCCTGCTTCAGACACCGAAGGAACTCGTTTGCCACGAATTCATTGACCAAAATGAGATCGGGTGCATAGGCTGAATGCCCTCGAAATGCGAGCCGCGCTGTTGTTATGGCTTTTGCTGTTGCGTTTATATCGGCTGATCGCTCGACAATCGCCACCGCATTCCCCGAAGGCCTGGAAAGAGCTGCGTTGGCGCTATTATAAGGTACTTTCGCGCGATCATCTGTCTGGGAAACGAGATGACATGTAGACAAAAACTCTGCCGAAGGTCTCGAATTGCTGAAAGCGAATAGATCTCGATCTAATACTGGCGTAAGGATGCTCTGAAGCAATTCGACTATAGGACTCGACTGGGGGGGTAACTTGAAAAGGCATGTAAGTAACAAAGACTAGACACCCGTAATATTGTTTCAGGACAAAGCATACCTCGACCACGACACAATTTCCAGCCGCCAGTGCCGATGTAAGAACAGATATCACTGAATAAAATGGGTTCTGCTTTGTAGGAATCAAATAAACGATTCCTACGCCTGTCGTAGCACTGAGATCCTCGATAGAATGAGAGAGCTCTACCGATCTCTTGAGGTTCAGAGAGAGATAGTGAGTTCGTAGCTCCGAGAGAGCCAGGGCGTATTCCAATCCACTTTCGTCCTCGCCATAGCCGTGGCTTTCGATCAAACACCCCTTGATTGCTCCTTCAGAAGATGTCAGAGCATCCTGCAGACGATGGAATTGGTTCTGACGAAGGCGGATAGACGATGCCCTGCCTTCCAATCTGGATATCTCGATTCGCGATAGAGAATCGATCGACATGGCGAAGTAAACACAAATCAACGACAAAAAAGTCGTGTGCGTCAGAGGCACGGTCTGTGGTAGGTTGCCGTTTGATATGCAAAAGCGGTCCGGGGCAATTAGCCAAGTACTCCAGTGGATGAACGAGTCCGGCTGCCCAAGACCACTAGAAGCTCCGGGGTCGCATCGAGCCTGACGTTTCAAAGTAGATAGCACTCCACCATCCTCATTCCGTCGAGGTTCCGTCAGGTGGGATGTGATTGAAGAGGTGGAGCACGAATGGTGGTGATGGGGTAATGAATGGCTGGCGGTACTTCAAGGGGATAACCCCATCAGCCCCATCCGTCCCCCGGATCCGCCAGCTCTCATGGTTCGCCGCCTAATGTAGGGGCATTACTTCACCAAGAGTTCTTTCGTAGCCGGCTGCCATGTCATCTGGCATACAATTTCTGAGGGAGTCTAATACCGACAATTGCCGGCTGTGGCGGGAGTTCTTAGGTCGATCTTCAAGTGTTGAACACAGAACCCTATCCCTTTGCTTTTCCAGCCGCCTCAACCACCTCACAACCTAAACATTCTTCGAACATGTCCTCAAACGCGACCTTACTTGCTCCAACTACTGTGCGCGATGTCCTGCGAGTTTATACGGTTCATGAGACTGGTGTCGACCAAGAGACAACAACCCGAATTCGGGGGAAGACATCTCTGAAGACGCAGCAGATACAAGCTGAAGCGAAACGAGATGCAAATTGGCCACAAGATTGGCGTGGCATGCCATCATACCGCGAGACTAGTCGATCACATCGTTTGGCCGACCGACCGGCTGGGAAAGATCTCGCAGAGAGTGTGGTCGTGACAGTCATGTTCACGGGTGTCTTCGTTACAGGTGTAAGTCATGTTGTCCTGCTTCTCATCATACTCGTCTATAACATGTGCTAATAGAAATCTGGTGATTTCAGAGACTAAATGCCCTATGGCGGTCCACAATAGGGAGATGGAATGAGAATATCATGAGATATGATGTTGGAGGAGAGTGGTAGTGGTCGCAGACATGCGTTTTGTGCGTTTTCTTACGACCTCACTTATTGGTAGAGGATACCTGGCGTTCATCATCCATAAAACCGAATCGCTCTGTCTGGCTCTGTGTAATCACTACCCAATACAATAGATGAGCATCCCTTCCTCCTTAAGAGCGGTGACCATCTTGCCGTCAAATTGGTAAACTTGGTAGGAGTGACATTGAAACGATCATGAGTTAAACACTTCTATTTTCCTCCTTTTATCTATTTAGACTGCAGGGATCAGAGGCATCATGAGGAAATTCTCCCGATCTGGTCCAAAATGGATATGATTCAAACCCTTGAACGTGGCTTCGTCTCGATCTTCCTTTGAGGTATGCTCGAATAGTCCAGCACCCTGCGTGTCCCCAGAGGAAATCTCGAATACCAGGCGGTCACCTGGTTGCATGACCACATTTGAAGGCCAGATCTCAACGTCCACGGGGTATACCTCTTCAAGCTTTAGAGGTGAATGGTCTGTCGAAAGGTATTCGCGGTGTGGGTGCCAATCATGATGTCTGGGACTCTTCTCGTTGACCTTGCGCAGACTGACGCGCAACCAGCCTTTGGATATGGGCACCGGATCTCCCACTGTACCAGTATACCAAATTTCCTTTCCTGTTGCGTCCAGATGTCTGATAGTCAGGAACAGATCTATGTCTGAAGGTTTCGAGGATCCCTCGGAAGACAGTGACACGTTCAAGTGAGCCTTGATGTGGCCTGTGAACTCAGTCTCTTCCTCAAACGGGCTGGTGGTAAATTGCACAAGTTGCTGATTTTTCAAATCTCCCAGTGCTTTGTATGAGACATGCTTCGGACTGTCCACCGAAGGCTTTGACGTTGAGAGGCTATTATCTGGGCCGAGATAGTATCGAGTATACTTGGTGGAAGGTATTGGCCACTGGGTGGCGTTCTTGGTTGGATATGCCTCCTCTGCCTTGACATCGTCGTAACCAACATCGCCGACTCGGACTTTGTAGGCAACCTTAGGTGGCTTATCTTCAGACCATCCTTCAGTGTCATGGCCTTTGAGAAACGCATCAAGAAAGCTGCGCTGCATATCCACGCATTCTTTAGTATAGAATGGAAGATCATGCCGACCGGTAATAAATCGAAGATACTTATGACTAGACCCAGCATTCATAAAGCCTTCGACGTTGCCTCTCAAATGAAGGAGTATCCCACCCCAATTTCCGACCGATAACATGGGGACTTTGATGTCGGCCAAATTGTAGTCCTTTGTCGCATAGTATTCGTCGTCAAGGAATCTGTTTTTAACATTGTCTAGGTTTTGATCATGGCAATTGGCGGCGAGCTCCTCCTCGGGCAGATTGCCTTCAATCGTGTCTAATCCCCATTTTCGCGCGCTCCTCCCTGGTCTACCATATTGATTGACTATCACCTATTGGAGAAATCCAATTAGCTAGAAGCACACAAGTCTTTTTAAGTAGACTCACCTGACGATTCCACCAGAAATCGATGAAGGTATTGGACAAGATTCCTCCGTGTCGACAACGATCGCGATAATAGTCAGACATTCCCTCCCAAGGAATGATGCACGCAAGGCCTTTGGGCTGGCGAGCTGCCACGCGCCATTGGCTGCCGGCATAATAACTGATGCCCAGCAGTCCAATCTTTCCAGTGGACCATGGCTGGTCCGCCGTCCACTCAATGACATCCTTGAATGCTAGGCTCGTATCCCTCGACATGGTATTGAGCACCCCTGGAGACTGACCAAGTCCCACTTCATCAGCTCGGACGATTGCATATCCATGGCGAGTCCAGTATCCGGGATCAGGTGTTTCCCAGGCAGAATGAGGTGAATGGTGCTCAGCTGGAACCTCGGAAAATGACTGTGCGTGGAATCTACCAGCTGTTACTGGGGTGCTCGCGACTCGCAATTTGCACCACAAGGTCTTGCACTTACACTGAATAATGGACATCCTTGCCATATGGCCCATAAGTCACAAGCACGGGGGATTTGGCCTGTTGTTTGGGTCGGAAGATATTGGCCCTCACAATGCCACGACCTTCTTGGAGTGGTATGGTAATATTCTCCTCGTAGATGTAGTCAAATGACTGATCATCTATCTTGTGAAGATCGTTTCGTATCGGATTAGGCATCTTGGTGGCAGATGGACTAAAGGTGTTGTCAGTTGTCAGTGGTAGAATTTGATCTACAGCCACTGCACTCCGAAACGATCATGAGACTGGCGATGGAACTCGGCCGTTTTCAATAATTTTTTAATAAAGTCCATGTTTACCATCTGTTCGAGATCCCTTCGGCACTAGTCCGAACGATGTCACCAGTGGCATCTTGTCCGTAGGCCGCATGTTACCAACATCCGTGCTCCATCCGCCGGACAGGGGTCACTTCGGAACCCCAACGGCTCCAAGCCAGGAACGTGCTGTCACATACCCACCAGCAAAGCATTTGTACGAAGTCTTTGCGTTAGACCCACCTCCGTGAGTGTCATGGAATGCCACGGATGCTTCATGTTCTGAAATCGAAGAAACATACAGCCTATATCACCTCGTGACCAAAAACGCAATGAGGCATAATGACATTCTTTCTCGCAGGAGACAGCACTCATATTACTAATTTTATCTCAATTCAATCTCATCATTAATTCTAATGTTGTCTTACGATACAGGTACTGCCTTGGTGCTCCTAGAGAGCACAGAGTCCATCACCAACTTCAACATCGAAGCACTTTCCTCTTGCCATTTCTGGGATCTCCAGGCCACAAAGTAATCTGGTCGCACAAGCACACAACCTGACTCGTCTACATCTCGGATCTTGGTCCAGTCCAGATACATGTCTTCGTAGTCTTGTCTGTATCCGATCGTGTAAGCCTTGATTTCAATACCAGTCTCGGCGGAGATTTTCTTCGCAGCTTCCTTCCAGCCTTGTCCGCCAATGCCCGTGAACAGAGTGAAGTGGCCCTTTCCTGCCAAATCAAGGGTTGAGATGGGCTTGCCTGGTACGGCGTGGTTGAGCCAGACATGTGGCACTCTTGCGCCTGGATATGTGGTCGGATGGTAGTTCTCGAGCGCGTCGGTCGTGAAAACCGGAGCGTCGCCTTGATCAGCTTTGTAAACTGCTGACGATGTGTATCTTTGGTTCATCTCAATCCCCAAACCGTGTTCTTCTCTGTTGATCATTCTTAGCGCTTCTTGCAAGTCCGCTCGTCGTTTGCGACCGGCCGGTGAATCCTCATTGAGTTCTTTCACAACAGCCACCCGTTGCTCCACGGTAGGCTCTAGATTACCAAGAACCCTCCAGATTTCTTTGTGATTTCGAAGAGATGCATTTGCCCTAGATTTTGATGTGTCAGTCATGCGCTAGAGAATCCTTCCGGTGTCTCAATGGAGGGTAGGTGTCATACATGGTAACCACGTCAAGACCGACAGGTTGACGCTCTTCGCTGTAAGAGTCCAATATCCGTGGACTAGCTAGGCCTGGGTCGCCGTCAGCAGCTGCACAACTCTTAGAAGACTCCAGTTCATTGATACCTTTATGGACATAAGCAACCTTCCACGCGAGGTTATGAGCATCTTGGATGCAGGTATTTGATCCAAGACCATGGTTCGGGGGATGTCGATGAACAGCATCCCCAAGGCAATGCCTGTTTAGCCATGGAGTCAGCACGGGGTGGATATCGACATCTGGCCAGACTTACACGCGGCCTTTCGAATAATATTCGGCTGCCGTTTCGTTGATTGCCCAAGTCGAAATTCCCTTTATTTTAATGTCAATGGAGTCATCGCCGATGAACTCTCGTACTCGATCCATGTATTCCTCGGGTGTTCGGGCCTTTCGCTCAGCCGTGGCCTCTGGGAAGATGATGCATAGCCACTCATGCCATGGTTTGACCATTCTAATACACCCAATCCACGCGAAGTCGGGATGCTGTTTATCCGGCGTCAAAATCCAGTGTAGATTACCCATCCGACTATCCATGAGGTGTGCCATGTCGGCCTCCATCAGGATATTGATGGCAAAGCCTTGACCAGGTCTCCTGATCAAGGGTATTCCAACCTGTTTGACAATCTCACTGCGTGCGCCGTCGGCTCCGAACAAATATCGAGATCGGACTCGAAATTGCTGATTGGTGACTTTGTCAAGTAGAGTCGTGGTTACCCCGCCATCCTCGCCCTCATCTTGAGTGACTGACACGAATGTCGTATCCCAACGTACTTGGAAGCCGTTCAGAGTTGCGTACCGCATCAGAATTGGTTCCAGCAGAGTTTGTGGCAGATCAAGCGGTTCAGATGGGCTAGCTAGCTCATAGTCCCCCTACAGCCGACCTCAGTCTACGTCATCCGCAAATGTTGGATGTTGAACTCACCTTGCGCCTGGGGTCATTTCCCCATGAGTAGATGCGCGCATACTCCTCTCCAGCAAAACTGTTTGACCATCGCGTGTGCACCATTGAGTCTCCTGTGGTGCCCAATTGGTAGCATTCAGTGTCAAGGCCAATGTCACGAAGGCAATCTTTATTTTGACGACATGCGTTAGCTGTACCCAAAATGTCTGGAACCGACAAACTCACCCAATGCCGCCATGTTGGTAATGTGTGCTCGAGGAGTGTCAGCGCTGCCAGGAGCACTGCTCACGATGAGACCAGTCAAGCCTGATACAAAGTTTAGCTCTCTCTTGTAAGTGCTCGCTGCAACTAGGTTACTTACCATGTTGTGTCAGGAAACATGCCAAAGATGCGCCAGCAGGCCCAGTGCCGACAATGAGATAATCGGCATAGACATCGTAAGCAGAGTTTCCTGACGTTCCATTTGTCGTTGTTGAGTTGTGGTCAACTCCATTTGGTTGCAACATGTTGAAAATGTGAGTTAGATTGTCAGAGGGTACAGGTTGTGGTGAATACGACGCTTGACGTCGGATGCTTGTCTGCGAATCAAGGGTTTATATTTGAACGTATGTCGTCTCTGTCGCGAGATGACCCACGCGTGTTCGCTCGGCGCCTCATCAATACGTCCTACCAGGTTGCAATTTGTTTCGCAGCATTGGGGTCAGCGAAGATGAACCTGATATCGATTGGAACAAGGTTTCCCAGGCGTCGCCTGGGCGAGACTAGAAACCCTTTTGGAGACCTCATGGTAATTATTTTGCAAGGTCCCAAGGTCCAGTAGAATCTCTCGAGTGGACCTCGTTTCTACCTGGAGTTCCGCTTCATGCCCTTGGGGTACCCCACAAGAGGCGAAGACTCGCTTCACTAGTTACTACTGTACGGAACCCCGTTCCGACCAGGGGACGCATGACTCCTTTGGTAGCCAGGCCTGGTTGCAAACCTAGTCAGTCATATTGGTGTAGTGAGAGCCCAAGAAGAGTTCGAGGCTTTAGATGTACGATCTATGGGCTATTTGCCACATTCCTTGGGGAAACTTGGAGATACTCATGCGATCAATCACCTGTCAACATCGTTACAGAACAAGGTGCTGAGGAAACGATTGGTGCGGAGGAGTTGATTGATTACTATGAAATTGATTGGATAAACCGACGACTGCCCAAAATATCATCGACATGTAGTTTTTGTACCGACGCAAGACCCCATTTTCCTAACTTCAAGGCTATTGTATTCTTCCAGATGATTCTTCGTCGCTATTCAGGTTCATGACCCAAAACTCCTTCCTTGCGCGCAAAAGTCATTGGCTTGTTTTTGGTATCTGGTTGACTGTCAGTATCGAGAAATGCAGGAGAACATCTCCAGAAGAAGGTATTGGGGTATAATACCGTTGAGGACGGGCTCCTGTTTAGCGAACATTTTGAGTATTTGTGTCTCAAGCATCATGGGCTGCATCGTGTTTGGAATCCTCCCCATGATTGTTGGGGTTAAGGTGTGCCCACTCAGCCATCACGGCTGCTAGATGGGACATATTTGCCCCGCCGTGATAAAGAAACGATGTTGTGTTGTGATGAAGCTTCATATTGCGAATGTTTTCCTCCAGGTTGGTGCGATTGTGGCCATGTTTGGAGATAAAGGAATCCATGGCCTTGAAGAATTTGTGTTTGAGTTCAGCGGTGACGTTGGGCTGGCCCTCATGGTTGTGAAGAAAGGTGCCGACTGCCTTATGGAAGCTTGGGCTGCGGCTGCCCAGGTGATTATGGTTGAGGTGAACACCACCGAGAGTACTGTCGACGGGTGGAGAAGCAGTATTGTCTACTGGTTGACGAGGGAGTTTGAGGTGGTGGAAGGGTTCCTCAGGTTTGGCTTCCTGGAAGCTTGGGCTGCCGAGGTGATCGTGGTGATCGTGGTTGAGGTGTACACCACCAAGACTATTGTCGACGGGTGGAGAAGCAGTATTGTCTACTGGTTGACGAGGGAGTTTGAGGTGGTGGAAGGGTTCCTCAGATTTGGCTTCCTGGAAGCTTGGGCTGCCAGGGTGATTGTGGTTGAGGTGTACACCACCCAGAGTGTTGTCGACGGGTGGAGCAGCAGCATGGTCTGCAGCTTGATGAGGGAGTTTGAGGTTGTGGGAGGCTTTTTCAGGTTTGGCTTCCTTGTTCAAAGGGATTGCAAATGTGCCGCTGATGGACAGACATGTAAGGAGCAGAGTGAACTTCATGGTGGCTAAGTTCGAAGGAGATGTGTTAGTCTTTCAAACGTATCTGTCAAGTGAAATAAGGTGATGAAACGTATGTGTGAGAGGATATGAGAGAGTGAAGACGGTCATACTGGGAATGAAGGTGGCTTATATAGACTGATGCCTTGGTGATTAATGGGCGAGAGGGAAAAGATTTTCGGCCAAAGTCATAAGCCAAAGAATGTTTTCACGATACTTTTTCAAAAGAAGGTAGCAGTGTATATCAACGTGCTAGCAATGAGCGGTTTGATATCTGGTTGGCGAACCCTCGCGGTATGGCACCATTTCGCGACCCACGATATCGTCGCGGTGGAGTTTAATCTACAAAAGTGCCAGGCAGAAGGCAAAGGGCGAGGGATGAAGATGTGGAAGATAGTACTATTTGTTTGAGTACGGACATGATCCACTTGTTGAAAGTCCTCATCAAGAGAAAACCTTGGAAAGAAAAGGTGATTTTCGAGTTTCATGAAGCAACACCGTTGGTCGACTGATGTACACACCGGACTCCACAAAAATGCTAATTTACAGTTCCTCAAATCCGTCATGCTTCTCCTGCCCTTCAGGCTCTCGTCCAAAGTCGTCTGCAAGTGGCTAGCTATGCAGTGAAGTTGAGGTTCGTGATGTGGTTGAGTGAACAATGAGTGAAAATGGTGATACACCTACATGCCGCGTTGCCCCATAATGACACTCCGCGAATCCTATCGCTTGGAGCCAACACTGCGGCTGTGCAAAGTCCGAGTAGTGGGGACAGGTGTTTGTGACTCGGACTTGGTCCTTGTTCGAATGCTGCTGTGGGCCAGATGATCATCCGTGGTGTCCTCTTCTGCGAGTGGCTTTTCTTCGCCTAGCTCGTTCCATTTTGATTGCTCAAGGTTCTCAGCAAGATCGTCAACCTCGATAGATTCACGAATTGACTCTCCTAGGGCGGATTCATCCACGCTGTCTCTGGAGAAATAGCTGTCGCCCATCGCGTTTAGTGACTCGACTTCCGCTTCTTCTTCGTCCTCCTCTTCCTCATCGTCTGTCTCCTCTTCTGAATCTGTGGGGACAAAGTTTTCTAGGTTTGCCGGATCATCGCGCCAATATGTGAAATCCGTATACTTTTCCCCTCCTTCTCTAACTAGAGTGGAAACTGGTGGGAAGAAATGGTCCACAACTTCACGCATGGTGACGTAGCTGCTCCGATACTTGTTCAAGGTCAACAAATCGAGGGAGACTTCGGCATTCGTGTTGATGGTGAAGATGCGTGTCGAAGGTATTTGAACAGTGCGATAGCTCAGGGCATCGGTGAGTCGATTTCCGAAGCCTGCATAAAAAGGGCTCGACTTTCCAGGAAACAGGCTGTATATGTCGCGGAGGCATGCCATCTTGAACACCTCGGGCTTGCGGAGATAAATCTCTCGACGCAGCGCGGCGATCGTGCGATCTGGACTCATGATTACAGGTCCGCGCGGCAACTTCCAGCCATCCTGGACCACGCCATTCAAATATGCTCGGGTAGTATCTGCTTGACCGACGGAGCGGCTGGTTAGGTAGAGGATGTTGAACCCATTGGCTACAATGTCAGAATACAGCTTGGCAACACCAACATGGGTCCAATCTCTGCCCACCATGTTCAAGATGTGTCCAAGAGCATCGGATTTGGTGATGGTGCCGTCAATGTCAGAGATGACGATGGGAACATCTGAGCTCCAGTAATACATGTACGCTGTGCAGGTGGCTCGGTTGACAGTAAATGACATTGTGTTCTCGCCTCGCTTTAGGTCAAGCGCTTTCAACTGGTCACTGGTTAGACGCAAGGTTTTAGCGAAATTGCGGTTCAGATCGCCCGAGCTACGTGGTTGTGGCTCAATGTCCTCGGATTGGGCACGCTGGTGGGCATGGGGCGGAGGTTTCGCCGTCAAGACAGGAGATGGGCTCCGATCGCTGTCGCTATGGTACCCAGGATCCGAGGCCGTATCACTAGTCACCATGGAACCAGGTGGGTCGAGGCTCTGGCCGGTGGCTTTCTGGCTCGCAGCCTCGCGGGCTTCTTCACTGCTGTATATCCAAAGATTGCCCTTTTCATCGGTCCCAATTAGTGAACCAATGTCGTAGTTGCCCTCTAGCTCCTCGGATAGGAGTTTGCGAGCGACAGCCTCGGCTCTTAGGGCGTCATCCTCGCTTGTCTTATAACCCGTCATATCCAGCATGAGATCACCAGACTCGGTGACTTTGGATCGGATATTGGAAGAAGATAGCTTCTTTGACAGGGTTACCGCTCGATCGTATGCTTCTCTGGGCTGCAGGGCCGGGGGACTTGACCCGGACCTGGCGGTATAAGTACCGTCAGCATTCTTCTGGGGTGAGACCAGCATGCCATTATAGCGGAAAGCCCCGCTCACTAGATCGAGATGCTCTCTCGCTGCCACAGGAAGGACTTCCTCCGAAGCAGAGCGATCGAGCGGCGGATGAGTGAGGGACGGCTCAGTTAAAGACTCCGGGGCAAGATCTGTTGTCGAAGGTGGTATGGCGCCATAGACGGCCTGGTCACTTAGATTGGTACCTTCACGGCGGATTGTTAGGATTGAACGATTTGGCGAGAGCAAGTCTGGGGCGGAGGCGACTTTCTCAGCTTCGGTGATATCGAGATACGACGGTTCGAGAAGGCCCGGTGAAGGTGGACGGTCGGAAGCAGCCACAGGGGGGCTGCTGGCTGGGGAGACAAGCGGGGAGGTTTGCAGGGCCTCAGGGATGTCGTTGGAAGTCTCAAAGACAAAAAAGGCTTCACCACCGTCACCAAGTTTCATGGCATAGGGTTGCTTGTTGCCATTGACCTTGAACTCGACCTTCTTTTCGGAGGGTCGCAGCAATGAAAACTTTCCAAATCTGACATGGAATGGGGAGCAAGCTAAAGTTCCATCTTCTTGCTCGACCACGATCACATCAATGGCACCGGACAGAGTTGCGGGATTGATCGAGTTCCAGGTTTTGGAGACTCCGCTCCCTAAGCTGCGTACGTACTGCATCTCAACGATGGGACAAATCCAGAATGATTCCAGACCATCAATGCTGGCCGACCGACAGGTGGATGTTGGTTGGTGGTCAACACATGGAATACGAAGTGAGGGAATGAGAACAGATGACGATGCAGATGACGATGACGCGCAAGCAGAACGGATGCCGAGGTACAGGTTGCCAATGCTAGTAGCGCCAAGTGGGACTGTGATGCAGAATATAATGGCAGAAATGGAAAGAAATGGAAATTAGCAGATGAGGACGCGTGAAGCAACAACAAGAAGGTCTAAGTTGAAGGAAGATGGATGCAGCATGACAAGGGTTTGAAGTGGTGAGAATGAAGGGAAGATGGAGGAAGATGGATGAGGATGTGTTGCATGTGTTGAGAAAGGCCGCTAGTCTCTTTGTGGTAGTGGGCGAAACCAGATTATTTCAGCCTGCGCCTCCGTCATGTATACCTACGTGCCGGATAATCGCGGGTTTGAATTCCCAGGGAGTCAGGTTCGGCCCCAACAGTGGTGATTTGTGATTTGCTAGGGGATGACATGTAGATATATGTGGTTATAGGGTAGAATATGGCCCTCGACATGACTTGTTCTTCCTCTACACCAAATCAGACCAACAGTACTTTCGCACTATGTTAAGTGGCACTAAGGCCTTGGCATCAGAATTCGGCGTATATCTCACATCTACTCCGACGAAGGACGAACTACAACAAACTGTCTACCAACCTCAGAATCAACCAACACGTCGACATCTCTACGTCCCACGACAGCCAATCAACTCTTTACCGTGATTCTCCGTTCCGCTTTCAAAATCGGTAACTGAGGCTGCTTTGTGTTTGGAGGAGCTGGCGCTGCTTCCTGCGCGTTGCGCTCTCCCCTCCCTTTCTTGACACCTTTCCACCTCCCTTCTCTCACCTGGATTCCTCGACATGAGTTCGCCAGCAAATCCTCCTGGCCCTCTGACGCCGCCAGCGGAACCAGCACAATCCCTTCCTCCAGCAGTACAGGCTGCTCAACCGTCGGCGAGCCAAGTCGAGGCACTACTATCCCAACCCTTGACATCCCTCTCAGATAATGGCAATTCTCGCCGACCGCGGGATCATCGATTGATCCACCTCTTACTCGTGTCACATGGAATTGCCGCATACCAACAGCGAGTTCCACTTCAGTTAATGGACTTTGCATATCGGTACACAAGCTCCGTTTTGTCGGATGCGTTACATATTCAGAACGAAGCGTATGACCAAGCAGACACAGGCACGAGTGGCAAAGGTCGAGGGTCAAAACAGAACCCTAAACACGGCGAGGAAGGCGATGTCAGCCTTGCAGCATTGCGCATGGCGATCGGATCCAAAATGGGCCATCAATTCCAGAGCAGTCTGCCCAAAGAGTTCCTCAAGACATTAGCGGACGAGCGCAATCGGATATCACTAAGCTCACAAGCGCGCGACGGGGACCGAGGGGGTCCTATGGTAGGAGGAGTCAAGCTACCACACGAGAAATACTGTCTTACAGGAATGGGTTGGGGCTTGAAGGACGAATGGGACAGTGAAGGGGAGGAGACAGCGGAAGAGCTCGAGGCAGATAAAGATGCGGAGCCGGAAGATCTGTTAATGGAGGATCGGCAAGATGGAGAGGATGATGAGGAAGGGTTGGGAACTATGGAAGACGTTTTCGGGCCTGATGACGGCGGTGGTGACAAAGATGGAGATGCAGACATGCAAGACCTCTGAGCATTCAATTTGGTTTGGTTTGGATGGCGGACAATTGATGGCGCCTTTGACAAAGCATGATACCCCGGGCCAGTGAATGAATGGTAAATGGAATCAATGACTTTATGTGTAGACCTGACTTGGTCTCGAGGGTTCTTCTGTTGATGATCACGAGTGAATGGTTTCTTGTTTGCACGTGACATGGCCGGCTGGCATCGACCATCAATGCTGTTGACTAATAATGGAGAAGCGGTTCGGTCTTCGCTTCATGGTCATTGCAGTATTGTTCCCCGAATAGAACTGATTAGTGAGATTGGTTCTCGTGGTGAGTCTCCAATTCAGAGACATAGCAGACCATAGGCTTTGGTGGATTATGTACGAGTACGAGACTGATATTTCTCTACTTTTTATTAGTCCATAACCGAACTCCAACAAATGATAAGATGCAGGTGCGAATGGGGGACGTTGGGGAAGCACGGGAAGGTGCGTGGGTGATGCACCTGCTGCAGGAAGTTGGGGTCAGGGACCTTGAATTGGGAGAAAGTATGAATCCAACTGCCAGTATCGCCTTCCGTGGCGATTCCATGGCATCATCTCCGCACCCACCAGATCAACATCTGCAACCTCACAACTGCCAACCCTCACACTCTTGCTCCCTCACTTCCACTGCTGATCACCTTCAAGTACAGGTCTAGAGGACATCGCTTGAGCTGTCTAGTCATCTGTACGTCTTATAGGTTGGCAGACGAGCCAAGATTCCAAAAGTCTCGTCGGCCCCCCGAAAATACCTGAGTCATCGAGGATCCCTTTGCTTGCTTCGGCCTCTTCTCCGAGTTTTTTGACACTGCAACCTTGCTCAATGCTCAAACCTCCTTCTGGTGGCACAGGACTACCCACTTGCCGATATTACACCACCTTGAGCATCTCTATTTGATGCCCTGGATGCTCCTGATGTCTGCAGAAGCATAGCCTGCTCGGGCCTCAGCACCTCACCATGCTATCCTCGTCTCCGCCACCAAATGGTGACCTCAAGCAGCCCACAGGAGACAATTCGAGTCACCAAAACAGTCAACAAAGGCACGAGGAACAGAACCCTCTCCGGCGAAGCGCTTTTCGTGCCTTGGTCCAGGATTTCAGTCCAATCTGGTACAGTCCCCAATCCTGCAAACACAAACTCTGCTAAAACCCCTTGGTCAGGTTCACATGGTGTATGAACTCTGGCATCATTTCCATCCTCATTTGGTCCTCCCCATACCACTTCCGCGGTCAGGAGATCATCTCAACCGTTGGATTCACCATCGACCTGGTCCTCTACGTCGCCTTCTCCCTTTGCTTCATCCTCCATTTCTTGCTTTACCGTCGCAGAGCATTCGATGAGCTCGTTGCCAGCGTGCCTGAGATTTGCTTTTTCCCCTGCTGGGGCATCGCGTGGATGACCTTAGTGGCCTTTGTCAGCATCACCATCAGCAATGCCCACTGGGGTGGACATGCCTTCACCATCTTGGCTGTAGTCATGTGGTGGATTTCAACTGCGTGGAGCTTCTGCTTGTTGTTCTTCTGCTTCGTCACCCTCATCCAGCGCCACACAATTCTCGACCGCCAACTTCCCGCGGCCATTATCATTCCCGCCGTCGGGGTTGCCACTCTTGCGGCGGTAGGCGGCCTTCTGGTTACCCACGCTCATGGCCTTTCCTCCCGCCTTGCCGTCCCTATTATCATCACCTCTTTCTGCGCTAACGGGGTGGGGCTGATTCTCGGACTGATCCTGTACACCTACCTCTTCCACCAGCTCCTGGCCAAAGGCTGGCCCCCTCCTGCTCAAACCCCGACGTTATTCATCCTCGTCGGCCCTATGGGTCAATGTGCAGCCGCCTTGCTCTTGCTCGGTGCCGCCGCCAACACAGGTGGACGATTTGCCGAGTACAATTCAGGAATATTCCTTACTGCCCAGGCAGCGCAACCATTGCACGTGGCATGTTGGCTCCTGGCTTTACTCATGACAGGGCTTGCTTTCATCTGGGTTTTCCTTGCCATTTGTGCCATGCTCGATCGGGCTTACCACCGACAGTTGGTTTGGACCCCGGCATGGAATGCGGTCATATTTCCCACGGGTACCCTGGCCACAAGCACGACTCTGTTGGGTGACCAAATGGACAGTCCATTCTTCCGTGTGGTCTCAGTGGTATTGTTGCTGGGGTTGATCATGGTGTTTTTGACCAATGCGGGGTTCACAGGGTATAGAATTTGGAAGGGTCAGTTGTTGATTGTGAGGGAAGATTGGCGGATGAAGCAAGAGGTGGAGGACTTGAGGAAAGTGAGATAAGACTGTTTATTGACGATGTAATGTACAATATGACTTTTAGCGAAGATCTTGCGCTACCAACAACGGTAGAGAAGGCCATGACACAGGCTTGCTGGCTTGGTGTGGGGATTGCAGCTCCATGAACTTACCTTTCTGTCGGTCTCTAGCTCCCGTTGAGTAGTGGACGACAGATTTCGATCAGAGGATTAGCTGAAATTGAGATAACATGAAGAGTGCAATGTGTGTGTAGTCGCGGTGAATCCCCTGACGAGTTGTTGAAGTGTCAGATTGAACAGTACTTACTACGTGCCTGGTGGTGGTTCCTTCCTCCTGGAAAGGCTCTTGCCTGATCTGGGGGCGCAGGCACTTTCCACATTTCAATTCCAAGGAAATATTCATTTGCAGCAACCATTCACCCACAATTCATTGTGTGTATAGGCAATCATCTACACATGTACTGGTCCTCATACATCATGTTTTGATCACTATGGAGTAGCCATTAGAAAGGACCTTGTCAAAGCTTCGACAAGGCACGACCCCCGCAGCCCTTGGGCCAACCCTATTGGCAAGTCTCCAACCTCCAACGTTTGCAATGGTCTGCCAACACTACAAACGCCACCATTCTCTCCCGTCTTGGAACCATTTCTTAACCTGCCCTAACCAGTCCAGGAGCCCTTCCAAATTCCTACCAAGCCAACGTTTACCGAGTCGACCTGACGCCCATTCTTTCTCGCATGTCGGCCGCCGTCGATTCCATCCTCAACTTTTCCTCTACCGTCGAACATCTTCATAAACGCATGCCCGCCATTCCCTCATTGTGGATGGACACATCTAGATGGCAGCAAGAGTCTTTCCACTGGGCCACATATGCCTACCATCTACTCGCTCCACGAGTTAACGTGCAAGGTCGCATGGCGCTGCTACTTCTCGTCGCCGTCATATGGGCCTTTGGATGGCATGTCTCCTTCAGCACCCCGCTCTCATTATCCCTGCTGCTGACTGACTCTTCTTTTCCCAGGCTTCTCTGGCGTGCCTACTCCGTCATCCAGACCCCAAACAACATCTTGATTGAAAAACTCGGCCTAGACATCCCCCCCACACCGCTCGTCACCCTAGAAGAAATATCCTCTCGCGAGGTCCAGCTGACATGGAAACACGCCGAGCCGACCTCGTCCGTCACCGAACACCATGTCGAGGTCAACGGGAGAATTGTCGGTTCCACTCGCAAACACGAGATGGGCGCCACTATATCAAACCTCTCACCCGGCACTCTCTACGACATCCGCATCTTCTGCCTTAGTGCTGGCTCCTTCCAGACCCCGAGCTCTCCTCTACGCATCCGTACTCACCATGATTCCTCCACCTCATCCCAAGACGAGGCTTCCGATCCTTTCCCGACCGTCCGCGCCATATCTGTCCGCAATCCCACTATCGCCATGCCCACCTCGGCACCCATGGCTCGGGAACTGAGCGGTGGTCATCCCACGGGCCGGCGGGGCACAATGAACCGTAGGTCATCTCCCGCCAGCAATGTTGTCGAATCGCAACATGCCCATGAGGCCTCTTCCCAAGCCTCCGAGTCTGAACAAGATGGTAATTTGGTGGAGCTGTCCAAAAAACTCCAAGAAAAGCAGCAAGAGACGGAAAATATCGAGTCCCAAGTTCTCGAAGAAGAAATCGCTCACGAAACCAGATTGAAGGAGCTCACGGCCACAGCCAACGATTACAAACAACGATTGAAGGAGCGCGACGAAGAAAGCAATGATCTCCGCAAAAAAGTCAACAAAGCCGAAACTGCGAGTCGAACTGCTCAGAACGAAAAGCTCAAGAAGGAACGACTGATCGCGCAGAAGGACATTCTACGGCGAAAACAAATTGACGAGATCGCAAAGTGGGAGGATCAAATTGTATCCATGAAGGAAGAAATGGCCGGGATTGAAACTCAAAAAGCCGCTATTGAGCGTAGAACGCAATCCGAGCTCCGAGAAATCCGCAAAAAGGTCGAGGAGGAGCAAAAGGAAGTCGCCATGCTCGAGGAGGATAACAAGGAGAAAGCCCTGCAGATCAAAGCACTTGAAGAGGAGCGCCAACAGCTGAATGTCGAGGATGAGACCGACGAGTCCCGTGAAGCCGACCGGCTTGAGTACGAAAGAAATATGAGGTGGCGCCTGCGGTTTGACACCTTGCAACATCAATACACCAGGATCTGGAACGATTTGCAGCTGATCAACCAGCAAGTTAGCTACACCCGCGAGCAGATTACTCAGTACGAAGCCCGACGCGCGCATTCCTTGGCCTTTGCACCACAGGTTCCACCGCTCGACTTTGACACACACCGTCGTCCCATCAGGCCTTTCCGACGACCACGACAGACTGGCTCTCATGGGAGTAGCATCTCTTCACCGCGCGGTCCGTTCGTTGGAGTGGAACCCTTCTCGACAGGACCACAATTTACCTCGGCCCCGACGAGCTCACCGACCACAGTTGGCGGCGGCTACTTCAATCCCCAAAACGGCATGTCGTGGATGCCAACCGACATATCGCCTGGGGTGCCAGAAGACTTTGAAGCCATTGCGTCGATTCCAATGAGCCCCAGAGCAGACTCACTTTTACCAGCCGATCTCCTAGGAGATGAATCAGCCGATGAACTCCCCGAAACCGAGGGTCCCATACCTGTAACCAGCACAAGCGACAGTGGCACGACTCCATTTCCCAAGGTCACTTCACCCGTCATCCAAGACACTACCCGGCGTGTGGACACTCCCTCGGCAGGTTCGTCGTCCAGTCGATCATTCTCGAGCCCACTCCAAACCTCGGTCCCCAACCCAGCACCGCCACAAGAGCAAGCCGAATCTGAACATGGATCAGACGATCAAGAGGAAGACGAGGAAGACGAGATGGCGCAGCAGCCGAGCAAACCCAAGTATTCCATGTCATCCATGTTTGGCCTTAATCGACAACGAGGGAAAACTCTGGCCGATCAGCCACCTCTGTTGGGCTCTCTCAAACCAGGGCAGAGCCAATCATTCCCGCGAAATGTTGACGAGTTTGATGCAACCACACAGCCTCGACGGCGATTGAGTTATGGAGGGAATTGGGCATTCCCAGTTCTCCGATCAGGCGGCGAAGATAAGGAACAAGAAGCCACCCGACTGTCGGCCACGAGACGTGCCTTTCAGTTTCCTGGCTTTGGCAAGTCTTCTGCCGCTAGCGGATTTGATCCCTTTGGCATGAGATCGGGGTCACTGGATCCAGGCCTTCGCGGCGAAACCTCTTCGCCTCGACCGTCGTCAACATACTCCTTTGACAAAATGCCTCGCCCGTCTATGGAAAGCCAATTCCGGGCTTGGGCCACGGACAAGCAACCCATCCGAAACAGTCCATTGGTCCCTGAGTGGGGGTCGCTCCATTCATTCTCTCGCAGCCACTCGCGTCGGCCGTCGATCGTCTATGGTTCCACCAGCAACCTGTCTCTGCCTCAGACTGAGGAGGAGGTCATTGAGGATCGCAAACCCTCTCGACCTCTCCAGGCACCAATCGGAACCCGGCCAACGTCTTCGCAGCTGAATGCAACGCCCAAGTTAAATCCTGCGGCGCCATCCTTTACCATGTTCTTTGGTAAGAGAGGAGAGAAGGTCAAGGAAAGGAGCAAACCCAAGGATTCAAAGGAAAGGGTTGGTGATCTGGAATCGGGCTCGCCTCCAGACTCTCGGAAGTCCAAAGACACCGGTTCGATCGCGGCGACCATTTCCACTATGGAATCCGATACATTGGATCGCACCATGTCGTCATCCAGCGCTCAGCTGTCGCTCGAGAGCACGCCTGTCAAACCTACGTTCATTTCCAAGATTACTCGGAAAGCCAGCTCTAACAAATTTGGCTCGTGGAAGGACAAGGGTGGATTATTCTCGCGAAAGGAGCCTACAACGCCGAACGGAGAGCAGGAAGATGAAACTGGATCCACTGAGCAACTAGGCAAGAGTGTGGAGAGTATTCCAACCACTCCTGGGGCAGATGACAAGAAATCGAGCCGAACAAGCCTGACGAACTGGAACTTTATGCGCAAGACCAAGAAGGGACAGAAGGAAGACTTGACGGCGAGTGAAATCAGCGAAAGTAGTGAGCGGGCGAGTTATACTGGCGACGAGAGAGAGGACGAAGACGAGGATCGGAAGTAAAAGGCGGTCTCGAGTGGCCAAGCCATGCAGTCAAACGAGTTCCTATCGGTAGCAGGTAGCTTTTGGAAATAGCAGTAACGTTCCCATGCAAATTGTTGTCGATTCTGATTGCGGGGGATTATATACATTGTGTAGGTGGAATCGTGATCTCGCGAATAAATTTTTGACTTTGGGCGACGAGTCCGTCAGCTGGATGACTCACGTGAAAAGATCAAACAACGAGCCTTGAATCAATCCATGACCAACAATTCTTTGACATTACTACAAGAGACTTGAACTGTAAATTGCCCACCACAACCTAAAACGACATCTACCGAGTCGAAATGCCGTGAGGGTGCCTCAGTCTAAAAGCTGTAACGAAGAGAAGCACACGCAAAATGACTGGAAATGTGGATTGACGGGCTCGACACGAAACACTCAAGTCACGTTCGATAATGGCGAACTCAAAGTGCGTGTGACCCCATATTCCATACTGGCGAGATCATGTCTCTGTTTTATTAGGTGTTCCTTGTGGCAACCTCAAAAGCTGTGGATCAAACCTCTGTCAATCAAGGACCTTCACCCGCATTTGACGACACAACTGACACCAATGACCTGTCTAATTTAGATACGAATATGTGCGCGCATTTGAGCGCGACGAGATGTTACTACCTAACACGTGGATTGTGGTTCGAGTAGATGGAAGAGGCTTTCATAAGTGAGTCTTTGACCCATGAGGCCAATATCTGAGAATTCCTTCCCATACTCGGCAAAACTGACATGCATGCGCTGAGAAAGACTGTCGAATCACTACCAGTTCGCCAAACCCAATGACCAACGGGCTCTGGAACTCATGAATGCCGCTGCCGTCCATGTAGTGACCACGATCCCAGACATGATCATCGCCTATGGTGTGTCGGACGAGTTCAGCTTCGTCTTCCACCGGTCAACCACCCTGTTTGAGCGCCGAGCCGCGAAACTCGTCAGTACCGTCGTCAGTACCTTCACGGCCGCATATGTGGCTCTTTGGGGCACGATGTTTGGGGGTAGAAGCGTCGGTGGGACTGGGAAGGGGGATAGTGGTGCTGCATTCTCGTCCGCCGCCCTTGTCTCTACAGGACCAGATCTCACAATGCTACCGACGTTCGACGGTCGAGCTGTCTGCTACCCGACGTGGGAGAATCTACGAGACTATCTGAATTGGAGACAGGTTGACTGTGAGTATCTCATTCCTGTTTCGTCAAGCCAGTAATCTTTTGGTCACTCACCATCTTTACGCAGGCCACATCAACAATCTGTACAACACGACATTTTGGGCCATGGTGCAACAAGGTGGCATGACGGCGACAGCGGCAGAAGAAGAACTCAAGGGCACGGTTGCGGCGGACAAGAACGAGATCTTGTTCTCACGCTTCCAAATCAATTACAACAACGAACCTGACATGTATAAAAAGGGTAGTGTGGTAGTCAGGGATTATGAATTGGTCATGGCTGGGGCGGAAAAGGGACGAGGCAATGGTAATGCCGATGACGACGATGGCGAAGGCGAAAGAGGTCAGGCCGTGTACGCCTTATCCAAAACACAAAAGGAAAAAGACAACAAGGCCAGGCAAAAGGCAAAGGTAGTAGTGCTGCATGTGGACATAATCAAGGATGAATTTTGGGATACCAGACCCTGGTTGAAGACAGGTCGACCCGGTAAAGTCCTTTGACTGGGTCTTGAAGAGGCACATGATGAATAAACCAGACATATCAATGCATTCAATCATTAGACGTTATATTTATACGCTCAATGCTCAATGTTGGATCCCCAGGTCAGGCAAGGCAAGATTCATGTATCCTCCACATTTCTTGCTGCCTTGTCGGCTTTCCGCTTCTTACGCTCAGCGCGTCTCGTAGCTTTTGCAGAAGCACTTTCTTCCTCGAGTTCTGTTTCAGGCCGACTATCCGCCTCGCCGTTGACAAGTCGTGCTGCGCGTCTTTTGGCTTTGTCTTCTCTTCGCTGCCTCCTTCGTTCTCTCCTCTCCTCTTTGGTCTCAACTTTTTCAACGGGCATCTTCTCTTCATCGTGGGTATTCGCTTCTGAGTCTCCCTCCTTGTGCTTATTCTTTTTCTTTTTGCTCTTCTCCGACCTCGCGGCAAGGTACTCACCGACCTGGCGAAACTCTTCAACAGGACTCGGTCTTACTGGGCGAGAGGTGCGTTTCTCGTGTTGATCGCGCAGGGCGATGTATTGCGACACCTGTTCAAAGTCTTGGGCGGTTTTTTGTTTCTTGGATGACTTAGCTGACTTGGGATTATGGACTCCATTGCCATCATCAGCTTTTCGTTTTCTGGGACTAGTTGTCGTCTGGTTCTCCTTCTTGCCTTCTCTTGTTGACAGGGAGGAGTTGGAGTCATCGCCGCTCTCGTCGACCGTGGCCTTTCCAATTGTCCCTTCCATGTGCTGGCCCTTGACAAAGAAACTGTATAATCCGCCGTGTTTTCCCACCGAATGGACTATGGGAGTCGATGTCCCACTGCTCCTCTCGCTCTCGCTCTTGCCAATGTTTCCTAACGCACTCTCGAATCCCTTTAACCACCAATCATTGCCGGCCTGGGGTTCATGGGCCTTTTTGCCGATGCCCAGATTACCTTTTCGTTGGGAGATAAGGAGGGGTCTGATGAGGCCATTGCCAGTGTTGGCTGTGGCCTGGGAAGGGTCATAGGCTAGCCCACGGTGACCCTTTTGTTTATATGGTCTGGAATCGAGAGCGTGACCGGGTCCAGCCCAGCCAAGGGAGATGAGATGGGCATGGGCGTCCATGGATGGATGGATGAATGAAGGGATAAGGTATCGAGTGATTAAGGAGTTAGGACATATTCTTCAAAGTGACATGGTTACTATAATTCATGAGGGTCGTTTGCGCTCTGTCCAAGTGAAACTTGTTATGTTTGGGTTTTGCAGTCTATCATTCATGGATGAGACTCGGCCTGTGCAACTTTTTTAGAGTTTCAAATTCCGCCGCCCACTTAAAAGGATTTTAGCGTTGACGCTAGGAGACCCTCTAAAAAGTCCATGAATGCTAAGGGCTTGCGTTCCCTGGAAAAGAAAAGAGTTATCCTGAACATTATTATTGCACAATCTTACTGTCTGCATGGGGAATGTGCCTTGACACTGCAATATGAACAAGAAAGTAAAACTGGCTGTGTGCAGCTAGTACTCCGTAGATTGAAGTTCCCAACTACCTAGTAGTATTCTCTTTAGTTCTGAGAAAATGTAATAAAATAATAAGGTCGTGGAAGGCACCATTCCAAGCCTGGGTGGCTCTTTCCTCGGTTTCAACAACAATCGACGTCATTCTTTTCTCAGACAACAAAGGACGGAAGGAACGAACCTCACTTTGTCCTCAACTCCAAATCTATTCATCTCATTCACCGGATATTACTACACTACTACTATTATATTGGACATAGGTCCTTTGCCTATCCTCTGCCTCAAGACTGCCGCCGAGTTAGAGTCAAGCACAACATTCTTGATGTCGAACAACTCACCCCACCATCTCCATTACCTTAGACATGCACTCTCCCTAGCACAACAATCACCACCCAAACCCACAAACTTCCGTGTTGGATGTGTCATTGTTTCCTATCCTGCTAGCGACGGCGATTCCTCTCCCCTCACTACAAGCCAAACAGTCCCCGGAACAGTGCTGGAGACAGGATACACGCTTGAACTCGAGGGAAATACCCATGCAGAACAGAACGCACTGAGCAAACTACAGGCGTCGCAGGGTTCAGCAAACGTGCAAGACTGGTCTCTCGTCCTCCCTCAATCCTCCAACGTCACCCTGTACACTACCCTTGAGCCGTGCGGCCTGCGTCTCAGTGGAAACCTCCCTTGCGTCGATCGGATCATTGCCACACGACGGGGACTACACGGCGAACAGGACTCGGGCGCTGGTATTAGGAAGGTGATATTTGGCGCTAGAGAACCCGGCACATTTGTCGCCGACTCTAAAAGTTTGCAGAAACTCGACCAGGCCGGTGTTTCTTGGGAATTTGTGCCCGGTCTAGAGGAGGATATTCTCAAAGTCGCCATGGAAGGGCATGTTACGCAGGCTAGTGCTCAGGGCCACGGTCAGGACCAGACTGAAAAGCCGGAGAATGCGACAACAGGTGCAAAAAATCAGGGCCAGATGGAAACAAATGTTGACGACATCAGCGAAGAGGAAAGGAAGCGACAGGCCGCTCTTCCACGCAATCCTAAGAAAAGGATGATGGAAGTTGATGTCCCTCCTTGAAATGCATTGCTTTGTTAAAACCTGTGCACATTTATGGGCTCGCCAACTCAAGAGAAATCACAACAGCTCCGCTTCGGCACAAATGGTTGAATTGTGTATTCTGCAATTTCTACGGCGCATGAACCGCTCTCACGGTCACCTCGGACAGCAGCTGACCCTTGGTTGGCCCCGCCATCGACGAGGGACCACAGGCCTTCCTCCTTATAGTGGCCAATCCTCTTTAATCAATCCGGGCTTGCGTCAAACTCTTCCGTTGGGTCGGGAGGTGACTTGCCGTCAGGTTGTTGGACAACCGAATCTTGCTACTGCTCACCTTGACTTGTGATCGAGGTTTCTTAAGTCGTCTTCGTGCCACCATCACTGGAACCGAGGACTTGGTCACCAGATAGTTGGAAAATGAGCCAAGCAAGACTCCCTTGAGAGAACTTCGTCCCCGCGTGCCCACCACGCACAGCGTAGGGTCCAGGGTATCAATCTAGCTCCGTCAGTACAAAGGTCGGTGTCTCCGGCTCAGGTCGCAAACTCACCGCGCCAAGTATCAAATGTTTCGGACTTTTGCAATGTATCACTTCCACCATGCATCGGACTTGTAGTGTTGTTTTCCGCACCAATTTGATAAAGTTGCCTGTAATCTCCTCCACCGCTCGCAGCCGCTCCATCTGCTTTTTGGATGTTTTGCGTGCATCCACCGACCCTGTCAGGCTCTGAGCCTCGGTCGCCGGAATGTACTTGTTCCTCAAGTCGAGCCCGACGCTGGTGCCTCCTCCTTGGGTCGTCTGTCTCGTGAGAGTGGCCATGACATCAGTCGCGTCCTTACCGGCCTGCGTGCCTTCTGCTTGCAAGATCTCTCGATCCGCCTCGGTCGTCTTGCCCGCGTTCTCGTCCTCGATCGCGTACACCGCCAGTAACGTGTCCCCGTCCCTCAACATAGTCCCTACCACCCACTCCATCGCATAGCTGGCCTCTGTACTAAGATCGCTGCACACCAGGTACAGTCTCCCGGCCCGCCCACCAACCTCAGCCTCCTGCTGAAAACGAATCCAGTCGCCTCGTAGCACCACTCGCACATGTCGATCCGGCACGCTCGAGTCCAGTGGTGACATATTGAGGGCCAGACTCTTGGCCTTCTGAATAGCTGCCAGGTCTTCGTCCTCTTCGTCCCCAGAGACCGTTGATACCGGCGTCACAAAGTTGTTTGGTGGTTGGACCTCGACTTTATCTTTCTTTTGCACTACGTTGTCTCCACTGGGACTCGTGACAGAAATCGAGGGTTCCGATGGTGACTTGACCTCTTGCGACGCTTCCGATGCTCCCGTTCCTGGCGTTGACTGCACGCCTGACTGGGACATGCCAGTCGTGCCATCGGGTTCCGGCGTATCAGATGCCTTGCGTCGATCCGTTCGACCTCTAGTCTCGTCATCATCACTGCTCACAGAAGCATCGTCTTCGCTGTATTCAGCAAGCGCATCCTCGTCGCCAACCCCATCTTGCAGGACTCTACCCTGCCCCTCTTCTGAATCATCACCCACGGTAGAGAAGCTGTTTGACTTGTTGGAAAGTCTGCGTTGGGACGCCGATAGCCCGGTCTGGGTGCCCGGTACCTTAGAAGGGCTTAATAGACTGGGGGATTTGGTTCCTTCCGCTTTGCGGGTTCGGGAGGCGGGTGACCTGGAATGGGATTGGGAGGAATGTGTGGAATGCTTGCGAGGGCTGGATCCTAGGTTGAGATACGAGAAGTCTCCAGACATAGCAGCAGCCATGGCAGAGCTCGAGCCTTCGCGGGTATGCCCTGGCGCGGGAGGGTGTGATATGCTCGTGCCAGCCTCGTTCGAAGTTGCGGTAAATGGATCACTGTGGGAACTTTGTTCAGGCCCGCTCTTATCTTCTGGCATCTTAATTTGTGGGAGATCGGCAGGTATATCGTGCGCTGAGGAAGAATCCTGAGACATGACAGGGGTGGCCTTTGCAAGGACTGGTGAACTCGGTTTGCTGCTGTGACGAGTGGTGTAGGTTGAAGGATCCGAGGGGTCAAGTTGGACGGAACGACGTCTGGTGGCGTCGGGACTGGACGTGCCAGAAGCAAGACCGGCTGCTGAGCCACGTCTTGAAGAGGAACCGCCGACGTCAAGCATGTTTCGAAAGGGTGGTGGGGTGGCAGTTCGAGAAGGTCTGGATCTGGACATTGGGCTCGAGGGCCGCCTGCGCTCGAGAGAAGCCAGGACTTCTCTGTTGTCTTCGTCCAATGACTCTGCAAGGCTTCTAGCCGCTCCCCGAGCTCGAGAGGAGGGCCGTGACATGGTCGTTGAACGCCTGAGTGAGGCTCTTTTAGTGTGCTCGGTGGGGGGAAACGCGAGGGAAAAGAGTCGAGATACAGACGACTAATAAGGGAGCGACAGGAAGGATCGAAGGTAAAGAAACAAACGAAGGAGGACAGAGTAAGATATATAAGAAAATGAGGCAAATGTAGTTTTATGAGATTAAAGACAGTGTCCGTTGGACTGGCCACTTGAGAGAGTGTTTTGAAGAGTGAAGATGTAGTGAAGATGCCGTGGTGTCGTCTGCGACATTCTTTCTTTGCACTTGGCGCGGAATTGACTGCGAAGAGTCCGTAGCCGTTTGCTATATTGGAAGGCGCGCAGGATGGTGGGGGTCCAATGATAGGGTTTGGGTTTGGGGAGGGGAAGGAGCACAAGAGCACTGAAAACGCATGGGCACAGCCCCCCTGCCTACTCCGCAAGTAGGATTTAGAGTGCCTACCTACCTACTACCTAGAGATACCTGCCGTGGGTACAAGTAGGTACACTGATAGTGTGTGGCCTTTAACCTTGGGTACCTTAAACTTATTAACCACATGCTCGCGTTGTGGGCATCTTCAAAAGCAATGACCCTGGGGTGTGATCTTATTAGGTTAAAATTTGATACCTTATCGCTTACCAGGTAGTAGAAGTGAGTGCCTGTACCTGACCTTTGCGAAAGCAGGTACACTACACATGAGACAACCCTTCCAGACACCACACACACATGTTCTCTGGTGCAACGCCCATATAAAATAAGGTACCTACCTAGGTAGGTTAGTTCTTTCAGAGCCTAGGTCAGCAGCTAGGTCAGGAGCTCTTATGCCAGTAGAATCTTTAGGCTTTGCAATGGGGCCCTCGGGCGCGGGGTAGTGGGCAAGTGGCAGTTTCCGGGCTGCCGGATTAACTAAGGTATCTACCTAGCTAAGGTACCTAGTACCTAACCAGACTCGACTTGAATTGTCAGTAGTGGATCATCAGTGACTGTCCGTCCTTATCTTTATCAGCAAACAGGCCCACTGAGTTAAAGCTGCGCCTGTGGATGCCTCGCATGCCTGTAATTGCAACCCGGCGAATGAATGGACAAGCCCCTCGGCCACCCAACCCCAGTAAACGAGGCGTGAGAGGTCAGCTTCCAGGCGAGGATTTGCCCTGAGCTCCATCTCCGAAGGTTTCCTCATGCGGGTGCGTCGTCATCTCTTCCATGCCCCTCACCCTCACATCCTCTCTCCCTCTCTTTTCCCCCAATGCCCCTCGTTACTCGCTTGCTTTACACGGCTACGGCCACGGCTGCGGGCCTCAATCACTCGTATGCATTTGCTCGAGCTCCAACATGACATGAACAGGTCATTGTCATTGATGATGCTGCATGCACCTCACCCGCGCATTAGTTCCCGTCTGCAGTCCCTATCCAAGAGCTCTCCAAGCTCACCTATTGGCCTTCAATCCATGACCTTTCCTTGATTCAATCAATCCAGTCCATTCATCATCTATCAGCCTTGGGCTCTGCTTCTTGGAGTCGGGCAAACCTTGAAATAGAATGCTGAGTTACTCCATACTACCTGTACGTACAGGCACTGACAAGTCCCGTGTCATACTTGATTCCAGCTTGCGAGATCCATCGTGCATTTTCCAAGCTACAAAATCCCCAGCCTTCCCATTTTCCTCGTCATGCCTAGTCTCTTTCCTGGCTGTCGCATCGAGCCCCATGCAATACCATGTCGGTCCCATCACTGTTGCTTCTCTGTGTCGCGTTCCTGTTGAACTTGGTCACCATTTGTAGGGCGAGTGGTCCGTGCGAAACCGACCAGAATCCTTATTGCGCCGGCGATGCAATCTTCGAGCAGATCTGCTGTACCTATCCTGACGTTTGCTACTGGGCTAACCGAGACGGCCAGCCTGCATGTTGTCCACATGGTCAGGTTTGCAGTGGCCTGGCGCCTTATTCTACTAGAACCACTTGGAAGGCCCCAATCACTACAACCATCCGACCAACAACCGTCACGACTGTGATTGAACCCTCTACCATAACGAGTGATGAAGGTGGCGGAGCTGTGATTGTGACTATCACCTCTCAAAATCCTGTGGTCACAGTAACCACCGAGAACTGGTGTCACAAGAACCCATGTGACGCTGTCACCTCGGCCGTTGTCAGTGTATACTCCACTATAACACAAGGCGCTGGAGGTGTCGTGACCGTCATCACTGAAGAAGCGGGACAAGCATATGCGACTGTCTCGGGACTTTTGGTGGGTAATGGTGCTTCTGTCTCAGAGCCCACGGCTTTCATCGTCCTCGTTTCCCTGATACCATCCATTGTCTTCCTGGCGTCAATATTCTGACATGGATTTGGATGAGCCAATGAGACACAACACAGGAAAATCATGATCAGTGGTCCAATTTGACTCGTCTAAATGGCCAGTAGAAGGCTGTGGGTTACTTTCACCGAGAGCCATCTACATATTTGGACCAAGCGAATGCGCGAATGCGACCGAAGTCCCTAAGCACACCGGCCCCAGACACACTCTGAAGATTCAACCTCAATTCAGCAGTATGAATCTGGAGACGTGCTCGAAGATTGACCGGCGGCAAGTATCAGCAACGAGTCCTCCATGCACAATCATTAGTTGTCGCATCAACCACCGTCGGCATGTGGTGAACTTCAAGTATAAACACATATATACATCTACGCAACAATTGGCCAGTCCTCGAAGCACACTCTCCTGGGCCTGGACTGCGCTGCCGCAATTGATATCATCCGGTCGAATGAGCCTGCATTATATCTGTCACATCTGTAGTGACTTGGTGGATACTGTCTGGTCAACCAGTGGGTTATCTCTTCGCTGTGCCTTCCTCCTCTTCAATCGACTTGGGCACAGAGACGGCAATAGGGACTGTGACGCTGTTGAGGTTCCGAAAGGCCTGATGTCAAAACTGTTAGGGGATATTGTCCGAGGGCTGCAGAACGACATACCTTGGCAAAGGCGTTGTCCGGGATCTTCCCATCCCAACGGTCTTCAACCTTGACGATTCTTTGGCCATCACCATCCAGGTGCACCAATACATGCGAATCAATGACCTGCTCTGAACCGATTCCTTTGACTTTGTATAACGTCTTGAGTTTCAGCTCGATGGGATTCCCCGCTCGGACTACCTCGACATGCTGCTGATGGATCTCGCTCATCACTGACTTGAGTCCATACCATTGTGATTCGTACTGCTTCCTACCCTCAGCTATGGTCAAGGGGTCGTGGAAGCTGGCTTCGTCGATCCACAGTGCAAGTTTACGTTTGGTTGGATATCCCGCAAAGAGATCAAGGACAGAGTTGGTCAGGAGAGACTGGCGTGAGTCAAGAGATGTCGATGAAGAGGACGGTAACTTGGTCTGGAAGTTATAGTCTGCGACGTTGGCGCTAATGGACCCCGCAACCGAGCTCGGTGCAGCTCCACTGGACATAATGGGGCGAGTGTGAGGTGTACTTGTGTTCAGAAGGAGTGGTTTGACAGTGTTGCGAACGATGCGAGGAAATGTTTCAAAGATGGTAGGTGGTACAATACGAGTTGACATAGCAATATCAAGCAGAAATGTGAGGCTATTGTTAGGGTATAAAAAGAAGTGAACGAGCTGAACCCAGACGATTTGGACCTCGCTTGCTGTCGTCAGGATTAGAGGAATATAAGGTATCTGGATAGGCTGGCAATGTCGCCGATCAAAGCATGATGATGACACTAAGACCGTGGGAACTGTCAGTCGTGGGTAGGAAGACGTAGAGCAGCCTTGGATGTGCAGGTTTCCGCGTGGAAGCATAGAACAAGCCGTCCAACCATTTGACCAACCTGTCAAGTACCACAGAATAGTAAAGGGGAAACGCGGGCAGACCAAAAGTGGTGATGAAATATCATGACGGTTGTCACCGGATTCAATCGCGAATGATGTCAGGCATTTCCCGCTCAGAGTTTGATCTGTGGTAGTCTTTGATTTGGTGGAGGAGATGGTACTTTGTGGAATCGGTCGACACCACGTTTCTGGTGGATCGATCTTTTGGGGTTAGATCTGCTACACGGGGATAAATGCTCCCCATGACATACGGCGGATCTTTACACAAATACGCAACACAGCGAACCTCACAAACCTGACAGGGACCAAAGCAGAACCTAGAGACCACATGATGTCATTTGAACGCGCGTGAGAAGTGAGAGTCTGAATGCTCACGAGGCTGTCGCGTCTTCCCGTGCCGTCCCTGGCCTGCGCTTGGGCCATTTATTTACCTCCGACTTTGAACTTTTGATTTGATCGTGACTTTCTCGCAATTGTCTTGAACCGCTGGACATCCTCGGCTTATCAATCACTCATCTCCCTTCCTTTCTGTTGAGACAAATCTCACAATGCCGCGTTCTACCCGAGCAAAGGTCGCCCCAGCCCAGCCAATCTTCTCAGAAGACTCAGACTCGGAGAATGACAAGAACGGGGAAGACATCACGCTGTCCGATCCGCTGTCTGCAATCAATCCTTACACTGTGCTCTCTGTTCCCATCACAGCATCTGAGTCAGATATCAAGTCCGCCTACCGTAAACTCGCCTTAAAGCACCACCCCGACAAAGTATCCCCTTCCGAACGCGAGGCAGCACACCAGAAATTCCAGGAAATTGCCTTTGCCTATGCCATCCTCAGCGACGAACGCCGCCGAAAGAGATACGATGCTACAGGAAACACAGCCGAGTCGGCAAATGTTGATGACGATGACTTCAATTGGACAGACTTCTTCCGGGAGATGAGTGCTCAGGTTGTGAGCGGAGATCTTATCAATCAAGTCAAAAAGGAGTATCAAGGCAGTGAAGAGGAGAGGCGCGATGTATTACAGGCCTACACAGACTTTGAGGGTGACATGGACGCCGTGTTTGAAACCGTCATGTGTAGCGAAGTACTGGCGGACGAGGATCGCTTCCGAGCTATGATCGATGCGGCCATTGCAGAAGGCCAAGTCGAGTCATATTCCACGTATGTCAAGGAAAATAAGTCATCTCGAGACAAAAGAAAGGCGCGTGCGCGAGCAGAGGCCGCCGAAGCCATGGAAATGGCCGAAGAGCTGGGCATCAAGGACAAATTGTTTGGTACAAGTAACAAAGACGGGAGCAGTAAGATGAAAAAGAAAAGAGACGGTGCAAACGACGGGGACGACGCGCTCAAAGCCCTCATAATGCAAAGACAGCAGTCTCGAGCTCAAAACTTCTTTGACGATCTCGAGGCCAAGTATGGAGGTGCAGCCAAGGGCGGCAAACGAAAGAAGGCGGATGAGCCGCCAGAAGAGGCCTTTCAGAAGAACGCGAAAAAGGGCAAGAGGTCGACCAAGACATGACGGCTTACAGAACAGTTGCCACTATTTGCCATTGGTGATGGGCCCTCTTGAGGAATACATTTGCAGGCATGAGACAAAGACAGCAGAGCCGCGTTGGAGTTAGCATCTTGCGCTTGTTGCAGGCAGAAGCACATGCTGACGAGTTGGAATTCCCAGCACGGAGTTGGCAGAGAAATGTACCTGGCTGCAAATACGCCATGCCGACAAGACGACAACTGTTATGGTTGCTATTGGCGAATTTGAAGACCACCAAGAGCCGTAACCGAACGTCTCGGTATGAACATCAACCACGCCGCAAACGGCTGGGACGGCACGAGCATCAGGGAGTGTGCCCGCCCACCCCAAGTCATTGGGGCTGATGAGCTAGACGATTAATGATTTTCTGGTGCCTCCAATACAAATCTAGTGTACCACAACACTTGCTCGGTTCCATAAAGGAAGGTTGCTTGTGATGGCTGAATCTTCTGCTAGGTGAGCGTGGGAATCTAGTGCTATTGTACCAGATACACTAGATTATCATTATTAATAGGCTATACAAAAATTGGTGGAGACGGTGTTTGCCCGAGGCCTCTCGGCCCCTAGAGCAAGCACTAGAAGGCACCCAGAATAACGATGGCAGGGATGAGCCTCGCACGTATGGGCACTGGTGGGTAAGCCTGATTTGAATGGGAGAACCCAAGCACCCCGGACTTAAGCCGCGTCAGACCTCTTCTCCGGTGGATCAACCAAGGTCTAGGCACCGTGTCACAGACATCAGAGAAGGTCGCCTAGTAGAGTAGAGCCATGTAATTACTTTGTATCTACCGACAGATGAGGTTTATTGGCTTCCAGACATTGTTATCCGTTGAAATATGATGGAACCATGAAGCCGGTAGATAAATTGATTGTGAGATCTTTTTAATTTCATCCCAATTGGTGACGGATCGGGTCAGTTAGCCTAGCCTGGACTTCCGCCGATCTTGACAGGGTACAACTAAAGTAGGCAGAGACCAGTGAAATGAAAGCCGAATGTTTAAAGTACTTAATCCGTACTGTACGTAGCAGTGTGGGCGTGACTGGTAGGCTTCCACTTGATTCGACAAGGGGTTGGTGTTAGTGGACAGTGAGTCATGGTCTCGTCACCTGCAGGGTTGATCAGGCATCGTTCTGCATCGCCTACGTCGCGGTGGGGGGAAGAGTGTGCATGAGATGCAGGTGTCAGATGTCAGAGCAGGGACACGAGTGACATGTTAGGGTCAGAGGAATGTGCCCGACATGCAGACCATGTAAGAATGCGACGTCTCGGACCAAACTCTGTTGGTGGGCAAGGGAAATGCCAACGTGGGAGAAGAGAGAAAAAAGGAGTCATGGTGGCATGGTTTGGTTTGGGATGGGATGGAATTTTTCAACTATGATTGGAACTGAGGTCAAGTTTTTGGGGCGAGAGAAGGGCGAAAGAGCCAACAAAGGCAACAGAGCCAGCAAAGCGAGAGGTCAAACGGTAGAAAGAATCAGAATCAGCAGACTGACAGTGGCGACCACTGTAATCATGAGCACCACACGTTCAACACGTTGAAGTGCCCTCTGCCCTCTGCTCTCGGCAATTGGTAGGCTCTCTTCGACCGTGTAGCACCATTCACAGGCAGAAGCTTCAATGGACAATGTTTTGTGGTACGACAAATGAGGAGATGGGGAGATGGGAAACCCTCTGCACGCTCATCATGGAGATGCCCTTTTTTTAAGTGGTTGCAGTTTGCGTACAAACCAACTTGTGTGGAGCAACAAAAAGAAAAATAGGGTTGTTCCTCTACACTCCTCTCTAGTAGAAATGACGTTGACTGTGCTAATAGAAATCATACCGGTATAACTTTGATGGTTTGCAAGTACTAACTAATAATTCTTCTTGTGGCATTGAAGAAGCAAACGAGTGGGGCTGAATCATGAATGCCGTTGGGATGACTGTTGAGTTGAGTCCGAAGTCGAGTTGTGTGGTCATGGTGTTTGTATGGCATATAGTAGGACGGACACGATGGGGGCAGTCACGGCAGCCTAACAGGTCCTCTCGGTCCAAGGATGGTGCACAAAATCTCAACCCAAGGGTGACCAGACCGGAAAGTTTAACAGAAAATGTAGTGAGTCTTTCGTCTTTGAACTGGAGCCAAAGCCCAAACTTGTCCGTAGCAACAACCCGAAATCCGTAGATTAGTGACCAAATTCCAAGTGCCATGGGGGCATTTTGGCTTGCGGGTGGTTCACGGGGCGCTAAAAGTTAAGCAGTGTGGCAGTCGAGTGGCTGTTTGTGCCGGGTGTTGGGTGATGGATGATGGATGGCGGACAATGGAGTATGTTAGTGAGTACCTAGTGAGGAGTGAGTGCTCCGTAGTGCCCCAGCTCGCCCAGTCAACTTTCACTCGTCAAGTCAAATCGTCAAGTCGCGCCGTCTGGCAGAAATGGCTTGGCACCTGCCTTCCCCTTTCAAAATTTCTACTACTTCCACCTTCTGAACTGCGCCTTTTCTGGTTTCTATCCTCCATCTCACTTATCCAAATTTCAACCACTCTGCGCCTCTTCTTCGCGTAAGAGGTTCCCCTGGTACTGTCGACCTTGTTGTTGTCGTACCCCCATCCCCTTGAGACGGGTTTATTTTTCTCAATTTTTTCCATTACGCCGCAGTCTTGTTCCCAGCTCAACCGCTCGGATCACCCTCTGCGTGCTCTTTGGAATCTCCTCTCTGGTCCTCGCACCAAATTCATCATCCTTTCGCATCATTCCACGAGCTCAAGAGCGGCTTCCGTTGACTCGAGACAGTCGCCGCTTGTTGGTCAAGCAAAGTGTATTCACCTTTGAATCATTCTTCCTCACCTGCCGGCTCGGGCGACTTTTTCATTCACTACCTGTGTTTGTCATCGCTTTCTGCCTCAGCCTTTTCATCCACCACTTGACCTTCCACCTCATTCATCCTGATTCATTCGCACTCGCCCTCGATCGAATCTGATGACATCGACATCCCAACCAAAGCCTTCGATTCAATCCAAACAATCTTCTGCGACCGGATCGAACTTGGCGACCCAAGGCCGAACCTCGCTTCCCACCGCCACCAAGGCTTTGTCCACTTCCTCAAATGCATCCGAGCCCCACAACATGTCTGCAGCAGTTGGAGGCGCTCCGCCTTCTCACGGTCACAATGACTCGGTAAATGGAAGGCCTCAAACCATCCCAGCTATCCCTTCGGTCAATGGCAATGTTGCTGTCCCAGAGCACCTACGCAAGTCTTCCAACGCAACCTCTCCTGCCTCCACCCCCGGCTTCACAGCCAACGGCGGTGCTTCAAACCCTCCTCAAACCAAGCCACAGGTGCAATTTGGCTCTCTCAATGCTGCAAACGCATCTCCAATTCCTGCACATGGCACCCCCAGTCAAACCCAGGCCAATTTGAACATCAATCAGCTCCACGCTAGAGGCCCATCCCCTTCAAATTCGCCCAACCCTATCCCCCAACCTGCTGTGGTCAGCGGTGGACGACCTCCCTCCAATTTTCCAGGCCAGGGAGCGGGCTATCAATTCGGACAGTACGATCCAAACGATTCGAGTGTGAGTGTTTCAAAGCCCCACGATACACCTACACATACTGACTGTCGACAGGGTCCTGCGAGGCCCAACTCTCAAATGCAGTTTGGTCCGAACCAGGAGCACATGAGACGAGGCTCATCACAGTCCATCCACAGCGATGTCGGCAATCCTGGTCTTCCCACGGGACCTACTCGTGGAGGCTTCGGCGGCCCTGCTGGTCGTGACCGTGGCTTCAATCCCAACTTTCAACAACAGGTTCCCTACGGTTCGCCCCAGTCATATCGTCCCCAAGGTAATGGCAGAGGTTTACAGGGAGGATATCCCGGTCGTGGCCAACAAATCCCCTACCAAGGATCGCCGGCTATGAGCACGAGAAGCCCAGCACTCTCACACGTGCAGCCTGGCACACCCAACATGGCCCCCGTACACATGATGCCCGGAGTGCAAGGACACGGTGGATATTACGCAGGCGGACCCCAACATGTAATCAATCACCCTCTTCCCGTTTCGAGAGAACCCGCAAAGGAAAGAGGCAGACCTACAGGAGCTCGTGGCCGTGGCCGTGCCAGTCGTGGCACTGGTCGTGGTAGACCCTCTGGTAGAAGTGGCCCTGATGACCGCTCTTTTTTCAGCAAAGACCCGGCCTCAAACCACTACCGCTCTGACCTTGCGGCTCTCAACACATCTCCCCCTGTTTTTGCTGTCCCTGATCTTTCCCCCGAGAGCGGCAATTTTGAGCATTTTCTGACACAACGAACACAGGGCTTCGGTTTTCCCACCCAAGCTGATCCTAGTATCCAAATGATGTACAATCAGCAATTCTACGGCCCAGGCGGTATGCAGGGTGCGCAATACCCTCCCCAGTACATGCCACCACAACAGTCACCGAAACCCTCATACCCGAACAACGCCTATGCCACGAACATGCAACCCTCCTTCAGCAATCAAGGCGGCCCTCCTTCCATGTCGAGACAGTCCTCCCAGATCTCCGGACCCGATCGACCGGGATCTAGCGTAGGCCAGCAGCCACATACTCCTGTGCCTTCCAATGTCGGTCATGCAAACAACCGTACTCCAAGCATCTCCGCATCGAAGCCAAGCTACACCATTCCTCCCAAGAAGAGTGCTGCCATCATCATCAAAAATACTGCTGGCGAAGTTGTTTCTTTCAACAAGCCCCCACCGTCACCTGCTGTCTCGACGCCTGTGATTCCTCCTCAGTCGGCCCCGACTCCTCCGAGCCGGACTGCGAGTGCCGCTGAGACCACACACAGCCGTACTGAAAGCGCGAGTGCTTCCAAAACCGCCGAAGAGGCCAAGAAGTCCATGCAAGAGGCCATTGCCAAGAAGATCGCGGAAAATGAAGCCAAGCAGAAGGCTGAGAAGGAAGCTGCCGAAAAGGTGCAAATGGACAAAGAAAAGGCTGATGCTGCTGCTCGTGAGGCCGAGGAGGCAAAGGCTAGGGCTTCTGCGTTAGAGAAGGAGGCCAAAGAGTCTGAAGCTCGTCAAGCAGCGGAAGCTGAAGACGCGGCCAAGAAAGCCGAACAAGAGCAGACGAAACAAGCCGCCACAGAATCTGCCAAGCCCCAACAAGAGGAAGAGGAGATTGATTTCGATGCAATTGAACGTGAGCTCGCAGAGAAGGAAGCCGAGGAAGAACGCCGCCAGGAAGAGTACAACCGGAAGAAGGCAGCTGCTCTAGAAGCCAAACGAAAGGCTGAAAAAGAAGAAGCTGCAGCTTATGAAGCCAACATGAAGGAAGCGGAGCGGAAAGCCGAAGAAGAAGAGCTTGCTCGAGAAAAGGACAAGGCAGAAGGAGGCTCTACAGATGATGTTAGCAAGAAGCTCTTCGCTGAACTCAAGGCCAACCCCTTTGGTACTCCTGCTTCGGCCGACAGCCCTGCAGACAACACTCCCGCTGCAAGTGGAACGGCAACTCCTGTCTCGGACGCATCTATGCCACCTCCAGCCAAAGCCACCGGCCGACGAGCCAAGGTTGCAGACCTGACCCTCGACACCAAGAAATCTGTCGACCCGCCCGAGCCTAGCGCCACGCTGAAGGCATTGCAAGCATCCAAGAAGTTGGTTGACCTTTCCAAGGTCTCATATCCTGCGGATGTCGCCTCTCCAAATCCCGCCCTCAACGCCAATGCTCCCGCCGATCGTCGGTTCAAGTATGACAAGGAATTCCTCCTTCAATTCCAAGCTGTCTTCAAAGAGAAGCCTTCTCTTGACTGGGATGCTCGCCTTCGGGATGTCATGGGTGACGGTGATTCCGCGCGCCCAGCAGGTTCGGCGAGAACCCCCTCTGGTATGGGCAATCGCAGTGCCTCAAACCGTGGACCTTCAGGAATGGGCACCTTTGGACCCATGGGAAGCTTTGTTGGCGCTCGCCCGTCTCTACCACCCGGCTCCACCTCAGAGCAACGCTTTGCGGCCTCCAACGCAGCTATGAGAAGTGGCGCTGTTTCCAGCAACCCGTTCGCACAATTTGGCCGCCCCGGTCAAATGGCTCCGCCCATGGGCAGAACACCATCGAACAACCCCATGGGACCTATCCCTGGCTCCCCCCGAGTCGGTGGCTCTAGCCGTGGTGGGTCTCGTGCTGAGAGCAAGCGCGGTAAACACTCAACTAAGCAGTTGGCCGAAGAGAACAAAGCTATGCCGCTGACGGCTGGCATGCAGGTGACCAATTTGGAGATCTCTGCTACAGGCTGGAAGCCACGTAGTATCGGTCAACAAGGCCAAGTTGGTCCAGCTCCCGGCGGCGATGGTCTCATGGAACCTGATATGGTTCAGCGCAAGGTCAAGGCAGCTCTCAACAAGATGACTCCCGAGAAATTCGACAAAATTGCCGACCAGATTTTGGACATCGCCGCCCAATCCAAGCATGAAAACGATGGCCGGACCCTGCGTCAAGTCATCCAACTCACATTTGAAAAGGCGACTGACGAGGCTCACTGGGCTCCAATGTATGCAGCATTTGCTCGCAAGATGTTGGAGAGCATGAGTCCCGAGATCAAGGACGAGAACATCAAGGACAAGAACGGCAATGTCGTCACTGGTGGAAACCTATTCCGAAAGTACCTTCTCAACCGTTGCCAAGAAGAGTTCGAGCGCGGCTGGAAGGTCAATCTTCCACCGCGGCCAGAGGGCGTGACCGAAGAAGCAGCATTGATGTCGGACGAATACTATGTCGCCGCAGCCGCTAAGCGAAGAGGTCTTGGCCTGGTCAAGTTCATTGGTGAACTTTTCAAGTTGTCCATGCTGACAGAGCGCATCATGCATGAGTGTGTCAAGAAGCTTGTCGATTATGAAGGTCTCCCCGATGAGGCCGAGGTTGAAAGTTTGACCAGTCTGCTCAAGACCATCGGCAAACAGCTGGATAGCTCAGAGAGCAAGGCACAGGGTCGAATGGATATCTACTTCGAACGCATCAACCAGGTCATCGCAATGCCTGATCTACCGAGTCGATTGAGATTCATGCTCATGGATATCGTTGATCTGCGACGAAAGGGATGGGTCTCGAAAGAAGACGACAAAGGTCCAAAGACCATTACCGAGATCCATGAGGAGGCGCAGCGCAAAGCTCATGAGGACGAGCTCAAACGAATCACGAACCAGCAAAACCGTTCAGGAGGTGGCCGGATGCCGATGGGCCGTGGCGATGCTCGAAGCTTCAGTCAATACGGCCAAGTCCCTCCACCAGACAATTCCAACCGACTTGGGACAGATGAGTTGCGCAAGCTTGGTGCGCGCAATAGTCGCAATCCCAGTAGCACAGGCCCTGGGTCTTTGGGACCGCCCAGCATGCTCGGCGCGCGGACGAATAGTGGACGTCGTGGCCTTGGCCCTGGCACCCTCTTGAACCGAGACGACAGCAATGCTAGCAGTAGAACGGGCACTCCTCCGGCAGGCAAGGACAAGGAGAAAAAGGATGAGTCCAGCACAAATGCATTCAGGTAAGCAGGTTATTGTCTAAGTGGATGAGGCGATGCTAACATGACTTCAGTGCATTGGCCGCGCTTGAGAACGACGCACCAGGATCCCCACCATCAAACCCAGCCTCCCCACCGACACAAAAAGCTCAGCCAATCGAACGAGAACGATCGAGATCACCCGAAAAGACAAGCGGGTGAAGGAGATAGAATCGGTCACTCTGTACAACATTAATATGTTTGAACCATAATCATTGACTGACGGCCGCTTGTGGGGAGGTTAAGAAAGGTGCATTGATACCCCGGCGCGAGCCAACATGTTAAGCATTTCCAGCACAGCGGAAGCATGATCATTTCCCGCACCACTGAAGGTGTGACGCAGCTCATAATGCTGTCACGGAATGATCGGTCCAGTTTTCTTTAAGCGCGACACATAGAAGATGTGTTTTGGGCCACAAGCACATGCACAGACCGACAGTGAGCCGCGTGTTTTGCGTTTTTTCTGACGCATGAAGCGATCATCATCCTCTTCATTTTCATTTCGGCGTTGTCTTCTTACCAAAACCAAAAGTGCTGACGGGTTCCGGCGACAAGAATGGAGTTTCGATGGTTGGGGGTCGATCTGGGGTCATTATCCTGACCATCACTGGCGTGCCGCGCGCCCTGGTACTGGCATGGGTCGTTATGCACAGAGACGGGTGCGATGGGAAGAGTCATACAACAGGAGCAGCCAGTGGGGATCAGACAGGGTAGTGGGCTCTCATTCACGCCAGGCCGCTTCGTGGATTGACCTTGTTCTGTCAGTTGGTGGGCGAGATAGATGGGCTATGGGAAGTAGAGCCGCGTCTCAGATGAGGTATGGTGAGCAGGGGAGACGGGAAGAAGGGATCGTGCACTTCTTACTGTACATTGCTGAGAATTTCTTTAATATACAAGATTTCAGACAAATGGTTCTGGTCGTAACTGTGCAGTGTAGTGCAAGCGTGGGCGATGGCTCTTAAGTGACTCTCAGGCCGTCGATTCGCAATGTGAAACAGGTTCCCAGTATTGATTATGCTTTTCGTCTTGACGCAAGACTCATACCCTGTCTTGGTATATACTAGTAGCTACAAAGTTACAATGGCCATCATGAACTTGAGTCATTCTTGGCCTGTAGTGCGTTACCTGAGAGGTTGGCCTCTAGAGCGTCCTTCTCCCTGGTCTTTTCCTCCTCTTCCCATTGCCGAACAATGAGTTGTTGATCAAGGATCTCTTGCTGTTCGCGGGCGAGTTGTCTCTTACGTCGTCTTTTCTCTCGATCACGTCGGGTCACAGCCTCCTCATTGGCTTGTCTAAGCAGATGTCTCTGGCGGCGTTCCGACAAGGCCCATGGGATGGAAAGGGTGGATCGAAAGAAATCGTTGCGGGAACGTATGTGGGCAAGTTCGTGAGCCGTGCTGGGGACGAGGAAGATGCGTTTGAGGTTTATTTGGAGCGTTTTGCGGAAACTACTCAACGTGCCTTTAACTTGGACCGTGGTGCCTAGGTCAAGGACGGGGAGAAGCGCAGTCAATAGAGCGCTTGGACTGTGCGGGTCTGGCGACTTCGAGACGGATGTGGTCGGTCCTGGATCAGCGTCTTCATCAGGCTTCGGACACAGGACGTCGATGGTGCTCCCGCTAGCATCGTCGAGGGTGAAGATCCAGAATCTCTTATTGTCGCCGTCAAAGGCAACAATGACGCCCACTACCTGAACGAATTGGATGGGATGGTTGAGGTAGAAAAGGAGTAGTCCATCATTCGCGACATGACGCTTTGGTTTGCCTACGCTGGTGGTGTACTGAGAGAACTGGTTGTGTGGCTTCAGGTCCTGGTGGATGGACGAGGCTGTGATGTTGACCCACTTGTGATATGTTGGCGAGGACGGGAAGCAGTATGCAGGGTAAAAGGTGAGGTTCTTGTATACACTTGCGGTGGGCTCGGTGGGTAAGGCTGTCGCTGTCGCTGTCGTATCTGGGACCTTGGATGTGCGGGTTCGTTGGACATGTCTGGCGTCTGTGGCTGACGACGCGTCGTCGAGAACATTCAGGGTGTTTGGTGGTTGGGCATGTTCCAGGCTGTGCGCCTTACTGGGGCCATGATGTCCATATCCATGTCCATCTCGATTGTTATGGTGGTGATGAGTGGCGGATGGTCTAGGCTGCAGTGTTGAGTGAGCCGAGTCCTGCATTCACCTGACCACGCATCGTTTGCAACTTTGGTCGACGTGTTGTACTATCTGGGGAAATCTTTCAAGGTGCAGGGATCCACGGACCGACATCGGTCGGTTAGAATGATTAAAATGATTGTTGATGAGGGAGATGGTGAAGACAACCAAACAGATACAGAGGAGGGAGATGAAGCGCAGGTGGGCGATCGGATAGAACGGCATTTGGTCCGATTACGGTCCATTTGTAATGACGGTGATATTGACTTGGTTAAGCGGTGAATGTTGACGGAAGTCTCTATTTTACTGTGACATGACAAATGAATTACCCCGGAAGGCGCGTCACAACCCCGATCAAGTGCGATCCTCAAGCTTCAGTAGAAACCGACGGGCCGAGAGGAAGTGAAAGTGGATTTATCAAGGTGGCATTGGGCAGTTCAATCATGGCTAATGGTGTCAAGGCCCATCAAACATCTATCTTTTCACTGGTCAAGTTCTATCTCTCATCGATGGGGGTAAACCATGTCAGTCGAGTCACTGTTGATATATGATCGACACTCGCTAGACAATGCTTGATATCAACACACTCACTCACTCACTCACTCCACTCAATACCTTATCCATCCTGTCATCACTGACCCTATTGTAGCCATAAATTTATCTCGATAAAAAACCAGCTCATCATTCTCCTTCTGTGGAGATTCTGATGATTACCTCGAAGCAAACAAAGACCAGTTCCTCGGCGCATAAAAGCCCGTGGACAGCGTGAACTTCCAATTCATGTCGAGCCTGGTCAACGGCTCTGATGGAAATGCTCAGACTCGCGCCGTAGCATCGACGGAACCCCAGGATATACAGGACCATGATGTTCGACCCTATTCAAATCCATCAGAGACGTTGGCTGTTGACCAGACAGTACATCTGAGCAAGATCGCCACAAATCAGGATGAGAGTCACGCGACATCACAGCTGCAAAGGACAGTCACCACAGCATCAGCAGCTGGTCCTGTCTATTCAGTCTTCTCAAAAAATCAAAAGCGGTTCATCATCTTTATGGCATCATGGGCAGGGTTCTTCAGCCCTATCTCTGGTACCATCTATTATCCCGCCTTGAATCCTCTGGCCGCCGACTTGAATGTATCCAACACACTGATCAATTTGACCTTGACCTCTTACATGGTACGTGCGGCGTCTCTGTGGTGCAATCTAAACCCATGTCTTGCTCACCACTGTTTTTGCAGATTTTCCAAGGACTGGCACCCAGTTTCTTTGGGGATTTTTCAGATGCCGCCGGTCGACGTCCGGCCTATGCCATATGTTTCTCCATCTATATCGCCGCCAACATCGGTCTAGCATTGCAGAATAGCTTCCCCGCCCTGTTCATACTACGATGTATTCAAAGCACTGGCAGCAGCGCCACCATCGCCATGTGTAGTGCTGTCGTCGCCGACATTGCTACTCCTGCTGAGCGTGGAACATATATGGGCGTCGCCTATTCGGGGTCCCTCCTTGGCCCGGCTATTGGGCCAGTCATTGGTGGTCTCCTGGCCGACTTTGTTGGTTGGAGAGCAATCTTTTGGTTTCTCCTGGCGTTAGGGGCCGCTTTCATGATTGTCTTTGGAGTATTTCTCCCAGAGACGGCTCGAACTCAGGTTGGCAACGGATCCATTCCTCCCAAAGGTTGGAATATGTCGTTGATCAATATATTGGCCATGCGCAAATCTCGACAGCTTGACCCAAAAGAAACCAGCGAACGTGTCGAGGACGAGGCAGCACTGCCTCGGAAGAAAGTCACCTTCCCCAACCCTCTGAGATCAGTCTCCGTGATTTTCGACAAGGCAAATGCCCTACTCCTCTTCTACAACGGCTTCATCTTTGCCGCATTTTATGCTGTCTCGGCTGTAATCCCTTCTCAGTTCGCTGAGATCTACCACTTCAACGAATTCCAGATTGGCTTGTGTTATATTCCGTGCGGAGCTGGCGCAATGACAGCCGTCCTTGTCAATGGGAGAATTTTGGACGGCAACTTTTCCCGTTGGTGTAAGAAATTGGGTATTAAGATTCGCAAAGGTCGAGATCAGGATCTCAGCAACTTTCCAATTGAGAAGGTGAGATTACAGATCGGCATCCCGGCGGCTTATGCATCAGTTGCATTTACATGCATTTTCGGCTGGCTGATTCACGTTGACGGGCCTTTGGCTGCTGTGCTCGTCGTCTTGTTTTTCACAAACTTTGCCATCAGCGTCAGTTACAACGTTACCACAACGCTCCTCGTTGACCTTTACCCAAAGAGTCCCGCAACAGCTGGAGCAGCCAACAATTTGGTGAGATGCTTGCTGGGAGCTGGCTTCACAGCAGCGGTGATCCCACTGGTCAATGCCATTGGCCGGGGGTGGACGTTCACAGCATTCTCTGTATTTCTATTCATCACCAGCCCCATGTTGTGGTTGCTCTATTTTCGAGGCATGGACTTGAGAGCCGATCGACACAGGCGACAGGAGCAGAAGAAAATCCTCAAGGAAGAGGGAAAGATTCTGGCAACCGGTGGTGAAGGTGGTGGTGCCCACGAGAGTCGTCAGGCTGGAGGCGAGCTTCCTCAAGGGCCGGTTGAGGTGAAAATAGAGCAAGGGTCGACAGATATTCATAGATGAGGTGGGATCGACATTAGAATTATTTAGCGATATCTATCATATGCTCGCTCATCATCGTGTCTCCGTCTCACCCGCGCAAGAACATCAGGTCCATATGCCTCCTCGGGCGTAGCTTCACCACTCAAGACCATTTTCTCGTGCTTGGTGGCCTCCTCTTTTGTCATCAAGACCAGGTCGGTCAACGACAGTTGGATCATCTTCTGGCCTTCTTGCAGGTAAGTTTCCTCCAACCTGAAGCCACCACTCGGACGCCGCCATCGGATAAGAGCCAGACGAGTGCCCAATCCACTAATGACACTCTTGCCACGGAAGACTTCCTCGACAAGGTACGAGACATCATCTCGTCCAATGGGAATTCGCAGTCCAAGCACGTCCTGGCCACTAGAAGATCGCACGAGACGTGACTCTAGACCCTGCAAGGTAGAGAGAATGCTGTCGTACATCTTCTCCCGCCCCTTGTCTCCTATCCGATAATCCATGGGATAGCCAGCAATGCTACAGATGACATGATTTGCCACCGTATATCCAAAGATGGCTGGCATGGTACCCAGAACAGGTAATATCCGAACTCGGAAATCGGGTAGCACACCCAGCTTGTCCACGTTGCCCTTGTGGAACTCCTCGTCGGTGATGGGCAGAAGATCTGCCTTGCCTTCTCCGGGCTTTTCGGTAGAAAAGACAACAGGAATACCCTCTTTTACGCCTAATGCTCGTAGCCGTCGTCGAGTCGATTTGGACAGCGGGTCTTCGACACTTGTCGAGATATCACCCACTTGAATGTGGGTCGGATCACTCTTGCAACCGGCGCCCATAGAGCTAATGACCTTGATGCCGTGCATCACACAATATTGTAACAGAGAAACTTTGGAATCGATGTTGTCAATGGCGTCCACCACCCAGTCCGGGGTCGTCGCGTCATCGTCGTCGCGAAGCTCATAGTCCCAGGGTGCTAGCAAAGTGGGAGTAGACTGCGAGTTCAACAATTCGTTGCGACAGTCTATTCTCGTCCAGGGACTGATTTGCTCTAACCGCTTCCTCACGCAGTGCACCTTTGGGGTACCAACGTCCGCCAGTGTTGCCAGCGCATGACGATTGAGACTACTCAGAGTGACCTGATCAAAGTCCACGATCCGGATCTTGGTCACGCCACTTCTGGCGAGAGCAGCAACACAATGGCTTCCCACGCCACCAAGACCCACGACAACAACAAATGAGCCTCTTAATTTGGCCAGTCCTTCGTCCTTGAGGAAGACTCGATTCCTAGCCAATTGTTCCAGGATCAAATCCTCGTCATAGTCTCCTTTTCTTGCCCTTGCAGCAATCATAGCTGTCCTCTCGTCATCTTTGCTTGAGAAAGTCGGCCGACTCGCTCCACCGTATTCTGTAAGTTGCGCCGACAAGTGGTCCGGGGATAGTTGAGGGATCGAGGCTTTGAGATCTGCGGTCACGCGGCGTCGATGAATGGCAGATACACTGAAGATGACGGTTGTAGCAGCCACGGCACCGCAGGTGGCGGCTATGCCGAGTTGTATTGATGGAGTGACATGGCGTTCAAACCATTGGGCCATGATGCGCAAGCAAAGTTGCGCCCAGGGCAAGTCGCAAGTAGGAGAGGGGATATGAGAGGTTAGGCTAGGTCAGTCGATCAAGGCTGTATGGCGATCTTCATGATGAGTCTTCAGGACTGAAATAATCCCACAGAATTAGTTGAAATGGGTGTAGATAACTATTATATGGTATATAGAGATGGGGTTCCAGTAGAAAAAAGTGATTCCTGCATCGAAGAGAATATGGCACGTGGATATGATATGATTCTCCGCAGTCAGCCTTGTCGGTCCAGAAACTATGCTTCTCAGTAATTACAACGGTAAACCAAAGGAGTTTTATACGCAGACCACAGGATGTCATCAAAGTAATCCTCACTTGTATGCATGATCATCTCTCAATCCACCACCACACTCTCATTCCGATCTGTCTCCTCGTTCTGGTAAGTGGCGCTACGATGCTTCAATGATTTCTGAATCCACAAGGCAAGGCCAGTCTGTCCGTGGGCTTTTGCATTGTGGCTGCGCTAAAGAAGACAAGGAGACAATTCAACTCGCATCAAACCCAACTCACGCCTAACCCAACTCGCATAAACCCAATGAGAGCTGCAGCCTCAAGGTCCATCGCCATTGGATTGCTACTGCATGGCTTACACTACTGTAGCTCACCTCTCCTCAATCCTCTTCTGTCTACATCAAAATACAATCTCCACACTGGCTCTGTTCCCTCGTCCTTCTCGTCAACGCCATACAGTATCTTTCCTCGCCTCTATATTCCCAGCAGTGTAGCGCTCCTCTGCTCATATCGATGCGGTCAAGGGTGGCTGTGCCAACTCGACAGCCTTTCTGGGAAATTGCCATGGTTTGATAAGGCATCCGTTTCTGCCTGGCCCGTGAACTTGCGTCAACAAGTCCCAGCCAAAATGTCGACGTTGTCCAGAAAGTGATTGTATCTTGTATAAGGTGGCGCAGCTCCTTACTGGACATCAGCGTGGCGCAGCGATATACTGGGATGCCTTTCATTATGCTGGGCTTACTATGTTCGCCACGTTTGATGTTCTTTGTGGCCGTGGACCTCCTTGTATCGGCGTCTTGCTTACAAGGCAACTGCATGCCAATGTTCTCCCCCAAGGCAAGTTTTCACGGTCTTTGTGACAGATCCATGGGGTCGCCAGGCTACTTGTCGTCCATGGGACCTCGATCCGCCCATCATCAGATGACACAAGCAAGTCTGGCACGATATCACGATATCTTTGGAATTCCTGTCAGGCCGATTCAGACGAGAAATCACTCCGCACATTCTAATGTTGACATCTACATGGCCACAGGTATGGATCCATTCGCCAGACAAGGCGAGCATTGTGATGGTTCCAACTGGCCACACCTGTTAGGTAGGCCTTATACGGTTTGTTAACATACATGCCTTTCCGATTTGAATGCTACCAATAGCGTCTTCCCCAAGGGCGGTGTGTCCCAAAAGCTATTGTTCGGATTTTTGAGTCACTCCCTCTCTCGCCTTTGTGCACGTCCCGTATTCTCTGCGCCACGGTCAAAAGTTCTTGAACCAGTCTCAAAGATACCTATCTCATCAGCATTACTTGGAAGATGCAATGTGATTGGACTTCTGAGAAGGCAACATGAGCAATTACTATCCCAAATGTACCAAATGTACCGGACTCTCCATTCCCACAGCTAGGTCCTTGCCCTAGGATATCCACTTGGTGATGATTATGGTCCATCTTTCTCTGGCAGTTGCATTCACCGTGGACAAATAAAGGTTTGGAGGTTTCTCTCGTCGAGTTCACTATGCTGGTGTAATTTTGCAATTTCTTGATCATATCTACAATTGATCTATCTCGACAGTCTTCCCGAAGTAAGGTCGACAGCTATCATGTCCTCAATCATCATGAACGACCCAATGATCAGAAAGTGGTAAGACGATCCCCTGAACGGCCAAACACTACTGTGACCTGAGTCTTTTGTTCTCCAGCTCCCACCCTGCCTCTGATACGGGTCCAGTATTGTCGAATGCATGCGCTTTGGCACCGAGTGCCGCCGACACTTGCCTCACTCGACGCACTCGACGCACTCGACGCACTTCCATGCATCCCTCCGATTCACCAACACACTCCTCGGGAACCCCCTTGGCCAAAGATTCCTTTGTCTGGTGGTGCTGCAAGTGCGGCGACGGTCCCCAAAATTACCATCTCAACAAAAGATGCATCGAAGCCAACTGCCAACATGTCAGGTGCGCCACGTGCAGAGTCAGACGCAGCTAATTCCGTCTCGGTTGCTTTTTGTCTTTCCTTCATGGCGTCGGTATCCGAGTCGAAGTGGTGTGCCGGGCATAACGGTCGTTCCTCACAATTTGTCAGGGAAGATGTTGTCGGAGTTGGGACTCACTCTTTTATTGTTTTATCGGGTTACCACGGTTAGCGGGCGTTTGCAAGGGCTCACTGTGTGATAGTATTAGATCTTCAGGTGCTTCGGTGCTCAGTGCCTGCATTTTCACGTTCGCTTCAACTAGTACTTTGTGGTGGAACAGAGCAATCAAGAGCTTCGTCGTCTTAGTCTAAAATACTCGCTTCCAATCCTCATCCTTGACCACATCGATCACAACAAAATGTTCCATGAATTTGTTGAGCAGCTTCTAGTGCTTAAGACTAAGCTAGCTAGACCAGACCATGGTAATTGCAAGATCCCTGGATATATTATGAACGGTGTTTTATGGAAGAAGTGGAACTGGAGCATTCCCAATTGGGAGTGGAAAGTGGAGTGAATCTGGTCAAACGGGCTGCATCTGGAGAGACTATGTTCCGCCGGTTTAAAAAAGGCTTGGCGTATCGCATCTCCCCAGATTCTCAAAGATGGCTTCACATCCTCACAAGTTTTCCATCCATCTGCACAAGTTTTCCAACCACACAACTTCCACGACCGCACACAATTTCTTCAAGTATCTCCCGATATGATCTCTCCGACAACATCCGATTGTCCATCTCAGGCTTAATTCGAGACCTGCGGGTCATCTGCCATCTTAGGCTCCTTGTCCGCAGCACACTCCGCCAAACCCAACTCCGCCCATCTTTCCCCGTCCTCCAACCACAACCATGGCGCGTAATTCAGAAAAGGCGCAGTCCATGCTCTTCCGATTTCGAGCAGCCCAAGCTGCCGAATCAGGACTCCTCCCTACCGCCGGTCTCCGTCGACCCAAAGCCCCCAGTACCATCAATACAATTCCAATGTGCGAGAAGTGGCGCGGACAGATTCTTAAAGAAGTCAGCCGCAAGGTCACAAAGATTCAAGATGAAAGCCTTTCGGACTTTCAAATCCGGGATCTCAATGACGAAATCAATAAACTGATGAAGGAGAAATGGGGATGGGAAAGACGGATTCGGGAACTGGGCGGACCAAACTACATGCGGAGCGGTGGAACTGTCTTTGACGACCAGGGGAGAGAGGTTCCTGGTGGCGGAAAGGGCTATCGATATTTTGGCCGAGCCAAAGAACTTCCAGGCGTCAAAGAGATGTTTGAGCGGGCGGCCAAGAGGCGCGTCCGTGGAGATGCAGATGACGACAAACCCCGAGCTGGCCAGGACATCTCGAGGAAACAACTGGATGCTACATATTTCGGATTTGGTGTGGACCAAGAAGACGTCGCTTTAGCAAAGTATGAAAAGAAAAAAGAGAAAGAGGCAGTGGAAAGGATCAGCCGAGGAGTTCAAGACGACAACGACGACCCTACGTGGGAACCTCTCCCTGGCGATACAGGCGATGGCATCGGCTGGCGCTTACCCACGCTCGAGGAAGTCCAGGATGAGCTCGTCGATAGACGAAGGCGGCAATTACTGCAGAATCTTGGATGAGGCACAAGTCTGAGAACAAGCACGCCGAGCAAATATGGAACACTGGACATTGTGATTGACGATATCGACATTGGCAAGTCTAGCAACTTTTCCTATGAAGTGGCCCGGCCCACACGATGGAAGCCATCGTCGTCTGTTGATGCTTGGGATTTACTCAGTGACAGCTGACATTTGCGGGTTCACGGGTCCCGTTCATCAAGCAGCGTCGAAATTGACTTTTCGACAACGGAATCCTTTCCACCCAATCTGGGCATCTCCACGTCCAATGCCTTGAGCGATCATGTCAACATCGAAGAATTGGAATCCTCCCTCCGGGTATACCACCCTCACTCGGGAGTTTTTAATCCTCTGCTCTTTCGTATTTCTCGCGTTGACCAGCGTTGTATTGAGTTGAAGACCCAACTTGTTGGGCTGTTCACCCCACGGCGCGTACCCTGAGTCACAGATGACTGATACGTCATACATGAGTCCTTTTTTTGTCACATGGCTATAGAATTCTTCGCAATGCTTGTCTCCGCCCTTTTGCCCCCGCTTGAGCCGGCGAACTGCTTGCCAACCACATTCGAACCCGGTGAGAATCGGCTCGTCGAAGCGATACACGCCGTTTTCATAGTCCTTGGGATTTTGGAGCTCGCGAGCTTCATGCTCATGAACGTGCTCCACTTCCACGTCTGGGGAATCTGCTTGGGCACGGGCGGGGCTGAGAGTGATGGCAACAAAAAACAACACCAGGAACTTGAGTGAAATCATGCTGAGATATTGGATGGACGGTGTAAATTGTTCTCAGAGAGTATGGTGAAGATCAAGGGGGAGTTCAAGAGCTAGGAGGGCAAGAAGCGACATATAATTTTGTCCATGGTCATCAATGGGGTTCCAGACAAAGGAGAAATTCTCTGCAAACGGGCAAGCATTGCTATTATGATTATCTTACGAGGAACAACGAGTGAATACAGATAGGTTAGTATTGTGTTCTATCTGAAAGCAGCTATGCAAGTGAGGTGATCTGTCTCGATTGGCGGCTCATCAGAATATCTCTTGTCCTGTGGCGATCCAGATCTCGAGGCTCGATCACGTGATAGCGGAAGACCATAAATGCCTCGAGTCATATTCATACGTTCAGGGGCTGCACATGATTCAAGATCAGGCTCCGGTACACGTGATCTTCTCCGCCCTCCATCTCGTCCGCCCCTTGAACCTTTTTTTGGTCTTGCGCGTCTCTCCCATCGTCCGTCGTCGTACGACTGTTTTATGGCCCCAAGACATGTCATCTCTAGGAAACGCTACATATCTTGTCCTCCCTCCACTTCGATGTACCCCCTGAAAATGCCTTGATCGTCCAAATTCCGTCCATCCAGCCGTCCCTCATTCTCTCCCGCTGTGGCAATGCAACCACAGGTCGATGGACGTGGAGAGGCTCTGTCTCTGCAATGTTCCTACGCACCTATCGCCGCTCTCCCCGGCGCCGTCTCTTCCGATTCCTCTTCTATCTCCTCACCATCTTCCTCTGCTATGATCTCCTGACCATCCTCAAACACCACCGTGAATTCTCCCGAAGCCTCGAGGCCCATACCTATACCGACATTGCTACCCTTCCTTCTCCTGTCAAGGATCAAAAAATCTTCATCGTTGCTCAGTTCTGGACCAGTGCAAAGGTCATCCAGGATCGATGGGGCCAGGCCTTGTTGGATTTGATCCGAACACTGGGCAAGGAGAATGTTTATGTGAGCATCTATGAGAGTGGTAGCCTCGATCGGACTAAAGACGTCCTCAAAGTCCTCGACGACATTCTCGCCGAGAACAAGATCTCACGCTCTGTCATTCTTGACCCCACGACTCATGCCGATGAAATCAATGTCGGTCCAATAGATCGACAAGGCAATCCACGCTCAGGCTGGATACAGACCACTACCGTTGGCGTGGGCAAAGAGTTACGCCGAATTCCGTATCTTGCTCGCCTCCGCAACACTTCCCTGAAACCACTGTTTGATCACAAGGCACAAGGCATCACCTATGACAAGATCCTCTATCTCAATGACGTTGTCTTCAAACCATCAGATGTCCTCACCCTCCTGGCCACCAACCAAGGATCCTATGCCTCGGCCTGCGCCATGGATTTCCATTATCCTCCCGCCTACTACGACACTTTTGTCCTACGTGACAGCCTCGGTGACAGCACCGTCATGAAGACTTTTCCTTTCTTCCGTTCCCAAGAATCCCGTGAGGCCATGCTTCAAGGCCGACCTACCAAAGTTCAATCATGCTGGAACGGCATGATTATTCTAGACACAGCTCCCTTCTATGAAGGCCTCAGATTCCGTGCTCTGTCCGACAGTTTGGCTTCCAAACATCTCGAGGCGAGTGAGTGCTGCCTGATTCACACAGATATGGCCGCCATGGGCGCCACCAGCAAGGGCATTTACGTCAATCCTTCTGTCCGAGTAGGCTATACCGTCAACGCCTACAACTTGACCCATTTTGGGCCTGATCAAAATTTCGTATCAGGGACCCAATACCTAGCAGGCGTTTGGCTCAACAGACTCAAGCGTAATGTTATCGCGAGAGTATCCACGACCATGAAAGAGACGGATCGAAAAGTGGCCCAGTGGAAAGAGGATGCTTCCAACTCACTAGAGAAGCGGGAGGAAAACGGCCAGATTTGTATTATTGATGAACAACATATTTTGATCTGGAATGGCTGGAAACATGTATGATAAGACAAAAGTTGAATGCTGGTATAATGAGACTCAACATTGGAGCCAACCTAGAACTTGCTCATCCTGGAATGGTACCGCATGAGGGCCATGAAAAAGCACTTCCAACCTCGAAAATGGTTCAATCTTGTACAGACAAGCAGACATGTCTTATATATCGCACAGCATGCTTGTCTACGCTGTGACCATATGGCGCCCTCATCAATAGAAATTTGGAAAACCCCACAAGGAGAAGGGGTTCAGAAGACCTGGCCTCGAAACATATTTTAAATATAAATCTCTCCAGCCTACAACCATCGTTAGGTCAAGGGCGACAACCAATTTGCATACAGATCCAGACCAAAAAGCACATCAATCCTCCAGCCTCATCAGGGACTCAACGATCCTGATTTGGCCCCCACTTGTTGTCTCACGTCTTTACCTTTTCTAAGTAGTCAACACCAACGGTCGTCCTCGAGGATTCGATCAACATCTCGCTTATGTATCACGCTAAGGTAAGGTAACGATGCCCCTGCCTATAAGACCAAAGGCAAGCCCAGCCTACCTCGAACTTCTTCTCGCATTTGGCACAGCCTGACTATTCTGCCCACCCTGACTTTTGCCCACCTAGTACATTAGAATCCGGGGAGTGCTGGAAGACACTGCCTCCGCAAAAAATGGATCATGTGCCACAGCACGAGCAGCTCGACTATATTTCCAAGTTCAAGGTTCCATACCTCTGCGACGACCGCCATATTGCCCAATCCAAGATTCGTTTCGAGGAACTTCCTATGACACTTGGATTCGACAAGCAGAAGCTCGTGCTTGGCGACTATTCCAACCATTCGGCTACCGACATTGCTTCATTCTTGCAATCGTGGCTATTTTTCGGCCTATTGGAAGAATTCCTCGGATACAAAATTGATCGAGATCCATTTATCGTTCAGAATGACGACGGTGGCCTTTTCGTTTCCACTCGTGAAGCCTTGCCAGCGTGCCTAACGCAATGGGCCAAGAAGAGACCTGTTGCCAGGACACACTATGACCGTATCGAGGCTTGTCTCGTCGAAGCAAAGGCATTTGTCCCGGTATTGATGGACCCCAACTGCCCCCTTCCACCCGAGGTTGCTCTCTCCATTCAACTCCTCGGCGCAACACTTGAGATTGTCAGCGAACAGAAGTTTCCCAGGTTTCCTCCACGAAGGTTTAGTCAACCGGCAAAGACAGGCTGGGGGATGCCAAAAATCGTGGAAAACTGGCTTACTCAGGCAGCGTGGTGTCGCAACGATATCGCTCGTGCTTCGGAGACGTTGAGTCTACCCACTTTGATCTACGCAGCTAGTATCGTGAGACGAGAAGAGGTGGCGTTTGATACTCATGGCCCATGTACTGTGGATGCTTGTGTGGCCAGGGATTTCAGAGGTAAACCTTATCATACACGACATGCACATGATGAATCCTACGATTGTGGCGGCTTCGTTGGCTGGTCTGAAAAGCAGATGGATCGTATGCGTCAAATCTTGGATGATAAAGGAGTTCCGGTGCTGATTCTTGATGTTGACGAGACGCCGAGTGCGTCGCCTCCTTCAGTGAAGATTGATGTTGTCGACTCAACTCAAACTCGTTACATTGCATTCTCACATGTCTGGGCTGACGGGTTGGGAAATCAAGATGGCAATGCACTCCCAGTGTGCCAATTGCTCCGATTGCAAAAGCTGGCCAACACGTTGCTGGGCCCCGAAACCGAGTCAAAATCTATATTGTCGAAATTTCGCACCAAGAAACCCATGGCGATATGGATCGATACATTATGTGTCCCAAGGACGAAACCTCATAAATCGATTGCCATATCCCGCATGAACCAAACATATGCACAGGCAGAGAAGGTCCTGATTCTCGACTCGGAGATATATTCACAGCCGTACAATGATGACCCACAAGTTCACCTATTGCGTCTGTTGGCGTCAGGATGGGCACGGAGAGTGTGGACAATGCAAGAAGGCGCTCTTGGATCATCCAATCTACACATTCAAACATCCTCACAGACCATTGATGTTACAGCCACAGCCAAATCGTTATCCAAAGCCTGGGCAAAGCAAAAAGTGGTAATGGATGGTATTGACATTGACTGTGCTTCAATGTGGAAAATGTTCTCGGACCTTCGAGCCGCACATTCCAACGATTACTGGCGCGATCGTGTCCCAGCCATGGCTGTGTCACTCAATCTTCTCAATGGCCGTGCTTGCACCAATGAAGGCGATGCGTATCTTTGTCTGTCGGGAATGATTGGTCTCAGTCCGGAAGTGACGCGTGAGATTGCCGATTTGCCTGTCGCAGAGCGATCCATGACTTTGCTGCGAAAACTCGAATATTTACCCAAGGGCATCATCTTCTCCCCTGGGCCAAAGTTGAAGACAACTGGTTATCGTTGGGCATGTGAGTCATTCTGGAAGTCTCAAGCTTATAATGACGATGAAGTCGCTGTGTTCAAGGAGGGACTTGGTTTACATTTGGAATATCAAGGGTTTGTGTTGAATCCATTTAATATGCTAGCAGATCCCGATTATTTCGTCCTCGAATACACCGCCGCCAAAACATGTTTCAAAGTTCAGTTTGACCAGTCTTCTGGTCCAATTGGAGATATTCTAACAGATATGGGATACGACCCTCGCACCTCGCGTCTAGGAATCCTTTGTCCTGAGAGAGATATGGTTAGGAAGCGGCCCAGCTTGATTCGAAACCCTGGAGCACTGGTTCTGGTCGATTCTGAACCCTGGAATTTGATGGAAAAGTTGTCTAAGCCTCCAATCAAGTCAAGGTACATCTGCCATGTCACATTGACTGCTCCGTCCCAAGTCGAGGTGCAAATGGCACGGGATAATGCTTGTCTGGCGGTCGCTGATCGACCCAACATTCAACTCACAATGTTCGGTGCTGATGAGGGCGTCTCATATATTCCGTTGCATTGGGTGGTCGGCTGATAAACCACTGGGCGGTGGAACTGAGATACCACAACTCTGAACTACCTTTACGTTTGTCTTCGTGGTCTTTTTATCCTCGCCTGGTGTCTTTGGAGGCACACGGACACGCACCCTTCTCGAATCTGGTTCTGGATGCGGGACGTGGTCAGAGTCGAAGCATTTTTGAGAGTACTCCAGGAGGCCTGTCGTCGAGGACATTGGGGCTTGATCACTTGCTGTGATGTTTGGATTAACTGGTTCCACCGTATTAGGAGGAACCAGTTTCAATAGATCTTTTGCGTACGCAGAGGCAATAGCAGCTGCGAAAGCCTGCCATTCGTCGTTTTTGTGAGTGTCGGCGTAGTTGGAGATTCCTCTGATCACCAAGGAGGGAAGAACATTGACCAGACCAGCGGCTTCCATTTCAAAGCAGAGGACATCATATTTCTCAGCCATGCTGTCCCTGAAAGTGGCGTCTTTGATCACACGGTCAGCTGAAGCGACAAGGCCATGGTGGACATGAGGGTTTCGAATATCACGCCACGGACGCTTGACTATAATCTCGGGTTTGAGTCCACAAGAAAATGCACACCCCGACGAGTCGGTCTCTGTAGGTGGATGGACGTGAGAAGATTGGTATAGATTCTCTGGTTTTGGCAATGATCCGATGTAGGTGGATCTGAGGCGAGCATTCTTTCCCATCATCTCGGTCACCGTGTCGAACAGGCCATTTCCATGTCGAGCATACGACACCTCGAGCCGCTGGACTGCCATCAACAGCACCTGAGGCGGCTTGTTGAGGTGGCTGCAGCTCGCGGCAAATGGCTGGTCCTGGATCATTTTGCCTGCCGTGTAGTGAACCACTCCCGCGAACCTGTCGGTAGGCATACTGACAACCACGTCTCCGAGACGAATGTCGTGCTTGCGACTCGGTGCTCCCCCTGCTGTTCCGACCAGGAGTCCGAATGAAAGATAGGGGAAGCTGTGGATGAGATCGACTGCCATCATGGCTGTTGATATTGTTCCGTATAGTCCCTTGGGCAGGCAGACTACCACGACCTTGATTTCCCCGATTCGTCCACATGTATAGATATTGTTGTCTGTTGCCGACGTCAATTGTGGTGTCGAGTACATTTCATCCAGAAGCTCACACGCCGCCACATACTCGATGCTAAGAGCACAGATCCATGCCACGCGGTAGGCTGAGGCTGGTGGACAGGTGGACATGTTGTGTATTCTTGTTGATTATTGTGGTAGCTGATATAACGTACTGATACTATACACCGTCCCTGGGACTCTTTTGAATGAAGGGACCCATGATTGCAGTTGCTGATGCGGCAGTCTTCTATATAATTGATAGATGGCCATGAAGAGGGCCGCGAAGACATCTCATAGGCGCTTCCGCTTGTTGGCGGTAAGACTCCAAGTAAGCGATTCGATTCAGCGAAATAAAAACCACACTCAGAAAAGGCGGTCGGCGCGTATTTTGTTTTAAACACCTACCGCTTCAGAAATTGGTCTTGGACAGCATGCGACTGGTTCAAAAATTATAATGATAACAGTTGACACGATTAGACGCCCATTACAACGCCCACTCACTTCTTGAGGACACGACTTTTATGGAATACTGATAGATTCATGACTTGTATACTCAATTCTAGTTAGCTACACGACAACTACACTGTCTCATCTCTATCGACAGAGGTTGCCTTAATGGCCGAGGCGGCCACTTCCCAAGACCCAATGAATAAATAACCAGCAACTCCAATGCCTGCCATGCCCTAGTGGTAGAATTGTAAGCATTCGAATCAAAAAAGAACATGCTGTATCCAACAAGGAGCAATGGCGAGAGGAAGTCAGTTGTCCATCCCACGTTTCCTATCAAGCCATCAAAGACAGTGACTTTGACTAATAACACAGAAAATGAAACCCGTAATCTTTTACCTCAATTCCGTCTACTCTCTATCTCCAGAGGCGGTCTGTTCTCCTTCCTCCAGTAAATCCGTGACCTTGGCCAGATTTCCAATTGTTTCCTTGCCTTGTCCAATCAACAACAACTTATCAGCATTTGCTGGAAGACCAAGATATGCCGGTGGCTCGCGCTCTGGAAGTCTATCCACCCATTGCAAGAAATCTCGCATGGTCGTTCCAGATGGAACCTTGAGTGCCTGTCCATCTGGAACGTGCACCAATTCATGGTCGTTTTCGTACGCTGCGGCATCAAACACCCTGCCCACAATTTCGCTCAATAGTGAAAAATCGCCCTCGTCATCGATCTTGCCTCCGTACATCTCTGTGACCAGTGTTCGAATCATATCCCATGGTAGTTTCACAGGAGGGATGTTGGATCTGCCTTGTGCAACGGCATCAATCCATGAATCAATGATATATGAACAGCATTCGTAATCGCTGTCGTTGAACTCCCACAGTCCCTTCCAGCCCAATGTTGGTGCATATCTGAGGCGTTCTTGGAGCACTGCATGCAGGAAGCAAAGCAGGAGATACAGCCGTCCCTTTTCCACGGGACTGCGAGTGCCTCGGTCAGACAGCACTTGTAACGTGTCCTTCATATTTGCACGCATTCCAGCTGGCTGTTCATAGACAAGCGATCTTGATGCCCGAATGAGATTGACAGGGATTTTGGGGCTTGTCTCCATTGACAAGAACAGTCTAAAGTCACTGTGTGGTCGTAGAGCTGACAATCTCTTCTCCAGACTCTGCAACCATTGAGGTGCAAGGTGGACGTTCTTGATCAACACCCAGCTGCCATTAGCAGCAGCACTTGTGATGGCTTTGTCGGCACTGGCAACGCTTTCGTCCGAGCCCATGGCAACATTGGCACATGTGGCCTTCTGTTTCTCCACCAGAGCATCCACTTTATAACTGGCATCGAATCCAGGGTTGGAACTGAGCGCAATAGGGACTAAAGATGTCACCTGTTGCACAATCGTTCCGAGGTCGTCAGTACCCTGGAAGATCTCCGGTCCAAAAACACTTGTGACCAAGATTTCTGCTGCAGGCAGGAATCGATCAGGCCGAACCAGTTTGATGAGAAGCAACTTGTACAAGTTTTGACTGATCGTGTTCTCAGTTTCACCCCAGACATTTGGTACTGCCAGTTCAGGCCGATCGTCAGAAAGAAGATGCTGCCAGCTTGCACTGGAAGGCTTGACAAGCTCCTGGTTGAACACACTCTGTCGTTTCACGAGATCCAACACCTCTTGTTGCTTCAACTCAAGCTGTACACCTGCAGGTGACTGCAAATGATCATCCAAGATAAGATCCAATGCCGACCTATCGAACTCGTATGGAGTCGCCCGGACTAGAAGAATCGCCAGGGTAATGCGATCCTTCTGCAGAAGTGAAAGAGAGGTCCGTCGATAGGTCTCTACGAATATGTCCTTGAGAATAATCTCGGATCGCTCTTCGTGATTGGTCTTGTTCGTCAGATGATGATTGTGGTGCAGTACAAAATTGAAGATGTCGATAAAGTATTGGAGCGAGAAGCGATAGGCATGGTTGAGATGATGAAGCTGCTCGAGGAGCGCAAAGATGGCACTGCAAGCTCGGGCAATGCGACTGTACCCTAGAGTGATACGTTGGACTTCGGCCATGACGCCCTCAGTCTCTGCCACCTTCTTCGTGATCACAGCGGCCTCCTTCTTGAGAGTCTCTAGGGTCTGGATCACATTGTCATCGTCAAGAATGTTGCCACGAGATTCATTCAATGCTTGCAGCAGTCTCTTCTCCAGCTGTCGGAGGTTGGTATCAAATTCGCCTTGCATCTTGACCAGATTCGTGCGTCTCTTGTCCACGTCGGGCCTCTCAGCCTTGAGAACGTCGTTGAGCGATTGCGTCTCAAGACTGCTTCGTGTGACCGTAAAGTTAATAAACGTAGTTCGACTGCAGACATCCGGGGCAAACTTCGCAGATGGATCCCGTGTAGAAAGGTACAGTTGGAAGCTCGGTGAGAAATCGATCTCTTGCTTTCCCAATTGGATCAATACACGGCCACCAGTCTTCTGATATTCCTTGTTTAACACATGTGTCAAGATTGGGTCAAGGTACTCAGCATCTTGAATCAAGATGGGATTGCCGAAACGCAATGCACTCTCCAATTGTTTGGTAAATGCATCGTCCAAGAAGCTTGTGACTGTCAGCTTACGTCCTTGATGCTCTTGTTTTAGGAACTCAGTAACTCTGCCAGGCGGATCAATGATCAACGGGTATCGGTTGAAGCGGTTGAGCATGATGGCATTTTCCATGCACAAGTCGTCGACGGGTAACGAGTGCCGTTGCCATTGCAGTCTTTCATCAGCCGTGGAGAGATAGCCCAACATAGAGCCGTCTGCTTTGCAAGATATACCCGATAGAGACATGTGGTGCAGCCAGTCGTCTACCATTGCCTTTCTGAATTGTTGGTCATACAGACCAGCGTAGGCGAGGAACGCAGAAGCAATAACAACATCGCCAACCAAAGTCTGAATCTGCGTCTCGAATGACTTGCTTGCTGCGTCCCATCTCACACGTTCGGACGAAAGGCTGTCTAAGAGACTGACACTTCGAACCACTTTGCTCTGTACACGTGCCATCTCGCTCTTGATCGCTTCCGTCTCGCTAATGAGGGCGGCATACTCGGTTTTGTAGACACCTATGCTTTCTGCAAGTTTCTGGATGGTGTTTTCGATGGCCTTTGCTTGGGCCTTTGTCTGCAACGCCGCTTCTTCCAAGTCAGTGACTTCTTTTCTCAAGGGCCCAACTCTGTCAAGAATCTCAGAGAAGTTAACCTGTGCTTCCACCCACTGTACCAGGGGCCCGCAGGCTTTGCTGGCGCGGTTGACTTTCTCAAAGGTGAAATCTTCATTGGACAAAAACTCGTTTCGCATCTTCTGTCGAAGAGATGAAGTCATTTGTCTTTCGTTATCGTAGTTGACGATAGTGGCGATGAAGTCGTCCTTCCGAACAACACCTTGAATGCTCTTCCAGCTATCAACCTTGTGGCCAAGCAATGTACAGACCGATTCAAGGGCGAGTTTGACACCAGCTGGCGGATTGGCCATCGATCTGACTTCAGTCAGATGTTGTCGCTTGATGTTGCTGACACTTCGTTGTGCTTCAAGCACCGCCGGCTCAGCCCTGGCTAAATCATTGAGCACAATCTCTTTGCGTTCAGCCACTTGCTTCTCTTGTGTTTCCAGGGCTGCTTGGACTTCTTTAGATGTCGCTTGTTTTGTCTCCGCCTCGCGTTGGTCGGCGACCATACGTTGAAGCTTCTCGTTTGCCTCCGCATCTTTAAGTTCGAGTTGTTGCTTCTTCTGGGCCAAGCTCTGTCGCAAGTCCTTTACTTTGTCGACAGTGTCTCGAAGCTTCTCAAGACCAACATTTAGATGGCGTTGCTGATCTTCAAGTTCGCCACGCTTCTCGCTAAATAAATTGCCGAAATGAGTGACAAAGTCAAGGTAATGGCGAGGCGTCAGATAGGTGACAATGCCTTGCTGGTGCTCGAGACGCTCATTCGTCTTCTGGACGGAATAATGTGTGTGAACCAAAGCATTGACGATCGTGTCACGATGAGACGCAGGTAGAGGAATACCACTGTAAGCCACTGGTAGACTATCAGGGGCCGTAAAATCCGGTCTGTCCAAGTCGAGGGACTGTGTAAGTTCGTATCCCACTTGATAGAGAGCTTGATCTGACCAGTCACCCATCCAATTAAGAACGCAACGATTGAAGAGAGCCGGACTTGTTGCAGCTCGCGAGGAAAGGCCGTCCTGGGGGGGATTCATCGTGAAAACGACGTGAAGATTATGAACAACCTGTTGTGTGAACCATTTGTACAGTTCTTCCTGGGAATCTAGGTGACGACCCTGTCGTTGAGCACCTTCTTTGCATGCAGTCAACAGAGCCGAATACTCGTCCCCTTCAAACAGACCAGGGACTTCTCCGTTAGCCAAGAGAGTATTCATGCGTTCAAGGAAGCCTGAGTCAAGAACATTAGATTCATCCATGATGAAACAGATCTTTTGGCCCCTGCATCCGCAAGCTCGGAGAACACTCCGAAGATCATCGTCAAAATCCTCGGCTGAGTAGCGTCCGTGGACCTTGATCTGGAAAATGCTTAGGCCATTCATCCAGGCAACGAATCTTGACAGAGTTGTTTTTCCACTTCCACTGGTACCGATCAGAATCAGATGACCTTGTGGTTGTCTGAAGACTCTGTCAATGCGGAGAGCATGCTCAAGGACGTCGTTGAAGAGAACAAGAGGAACATCGACTTCCTCTTCACAGAAGGTTTTCAGACGAGCCTTGACAAACTCCCGAAGCTGTTCTTGTTCCACAGATACATAATTCTTGGACAACCAGTTTGAAAACAAAATCGGGCCCTGGAGGGCAGAGTCGATGTCGGCGGTCGGGAAATGTTCCAAGGCAGTTTGTCTGACCATGTTGCTAGTCCAAGCTCGTTCTTCAGGTTCGACCAAACGGTCTTGGAATAGGCGCAGCGCCTCATGTGCCCAGAGCCGGATGAGACCTTCAAGAGTAAGGTGTTCCAATGGCGCAATTGCTTCGTATATGCCTCGGACCCATCTTGTAAGTTCTCTGGGAGAGTAAACATAATGAGGTTGGATGTCAGGGGTAAATCTAGCCTGCGACTTGAGGTAAAGATCAACCATGGCCTTTGTAAGTGAGTCAGCAAATCCGCGCAGGATCGGCACCACTTTGAGGGCCGCAGAATTGTAGGTGCCATAGATCTGCGTTAGCGAAATTTCTCCAGGATAGTCCACCATGACAACGGGAGCATTTCTCAAGAATCGATCACCCATAGGGTGGCGGCCAACATCCTCTGGAGGATTACAGGCGCCAACGAACTGGATGCGTTCGAGAGTCACCCAGGCCCGGTCCGAGGTGCGCCAAAAGCCATTCTGCTCGACAAGCTGCCGCAGGAAGCTGATAGCTCGTTGGGTGCCATACTTGTCAGGAGACGGCAGATTGATCTCGTCGCAAAAGATCACCAACCATTGGCCCATTTGGGTGGGAGAGAGCACCAGACCATTCAAAGTTTTCTTGTACTCGCAATACTGCTCAAAGGTCTTGATTATGAGATCTGGTTGAGTGGCACTTGAGAAATTCAGGCCGACCGTAACCAGGTCGTCTAACGGGCGTAGAGCGCTGAAAAGTGTCATTGTCTTACCAGACCCGGGTGGACCACAGAGCATGAAAGGCTTATGTTCCGATAACCACGAAAATAGTACATCTTCGTGTCGCACAGTATCGACCGTAGGAATGATAACATTGGTATCGGTGATTTGGTGTGTCTCGAGGTCGACTAGAGGAACTTGTGACTGCCAGGCCACCCACTGTCCTTGAGGTAGAGTGACATTGTAGTCAATCAACGAAGTTGAGTGGTCGAGATTTGGAAGATCGACGTTGGTCATGTTGCCAATGAAGTCACCAAAATGTTTCCGGGTCGCTAGTGTGCCGTCCCCGACAAAACTCCAAACAGTTGCAAGGAGTAGCTTCTTTGAGATGAATGCTCCGGCTTGCTCGAGGTCGAGAGGAAATTCAGAATGGTTGAGATTGTACTCGAGCACAGTGCGACAAGCCTTTGCCAGTAAACTGAAGAGGCTGTCCAGAGCACGCGCCGGCGTGAACTGCATAATATGCTTGTATCCTTCTGCAGATGACAGAGCTTTGAGGAGGAAATCATCTCGGTTGATGAGAGCGCCGAGCGTCTCGACAAGGTGTCTTTGGGTTTCTTGCGCACGTGAAGTCATGCCTGTGGCTTTGATCTCGTCATCGAGTTCATCGAAGTTGCGGGTGGTCAAGGTCTTCAAGTAGTGTTCGATCATTAATGATGGCGTAACCGTATCATCTGAGAACCACACCATTCCGCAACGACTGACTGTTGCAAGAGTTGCATATTTCAAGCTTTCGACTTCGAACATAATGCGGACGTTGGAAGGCAGGTTTAATCTTTCACCGTTCGGAAGAGTAAGCAATTTGTTGTCGTCAAGGACGCTGTTCAAGTTTTCAACCCATTCTGGATCAACGTCGCCGTCGAAGACGATCCAGTGTCGCTTGCTGTCTTCTCCACGTAGATTGTCAACAACCTTTCTGAGGATGCCTGTAAAGAGACCATCGGTCCACTCGCGAGTGGTACTATCTAGGCTGCCGTAAAGTGCTTCTTTGGACATGACCTTCGGGTCAATGATGTGATGGACGCCTTCGATGCCTTCAACTCGCTGGAGGGCTTGTAAAAGGACTTTCCAGATGGTTGATTTTCCAGAGGCGGATTGCCCTACCATCATCACGCCATGATGTATGTTCTGAATCTGATACAGCTGCAGGATTTTGGTCATCCAGGCTTCACTTTGTGTAAGACCTTGTTCTTCCATGACTTGTTGGATGGCGGCTCTAAGTTCAGTCAGGCTCGCAGGAACATATGCAACTCCAGGAAAGTCTTCAGCTTGTACATCGACAAGAGTTTCAACGTCTTTTTTGATGAGCTTCGGAGACACAGTTTCTCGAATACTCTGAACGATGATTTCTGGCTCAAGAACCTGCTCTTGGTCCTGAAGGTCTTCTCCAGACTGTAATCGAAGTCGCTTCAAACCACCTGAGCTGACGAGGACACTTTTCAATGCACGCAGGCCAAAGTCATAATGGGGCTGCTTCGACAGTCGTTTTGCACAGTGATCGAAGAAGGGTACGACTTGCGATGAGATGGACTTGGCTTGTTTGAATCCTTGCGAGAACAGCATCACCTCCGCGATAAGCTCTCTGTCCGGCTTTGACATTGCGACGCTGCGGAACAGCTTCTTCAGGTTGTCCGGCAAATTGGATCGTCCTGCATACCCTGGATTCATTGTAATGAACAAGCCAGTGTTGAGGTTTACTGTCAGCCGTCGACCGACGAGCTCGATCTGTTCTTTCCGATCTTTGACGCTGTTCTTCAATCCCAATTGAATGTTCTGGATTTGTTGAGACACAGCAGAAAGAATTCTTTCCTCGAGGCGATTAAATTCATCAAAACATCCCCATGCACCGACCTGGCAGAGGCCTAGGAAGATTCGGCCCATAGCTTGGAAATCAAAGGTATCATCACAACAAAAGACCAGGGTAAACCTGCCAAGTTGCAGGCCCAATGCTTTGACTGATTCTGTCTTTCCTGTACCAGCAGGGCCGTATGGCGACCCTCCCAATCGCTGACAGAGCGCCTGAGTCAGAGTTAGGAAACACCGATCGGTGAGAGGAGTGCGGACGAGGCGATCAGGAACACCGAGATATTCGTAACCATAATCGAGAACTGCATTCGCCATCTCGATGCGCAAGCGACTCATGAGTTCAGCGTCGGGATCGTAGACGTAGCGCATCTGTAGCAGCCAGAGGTAATGAGTTGGTGATGCTGCATTTGCTTTCATGAGCTTTGAGATAACATCTCGCTGATGAACAGCCTCTGTGATAAAGTGCTCACACTTCTTCCGTGTCAATGCTGGGAGGTCTTGTAACACACTTTCCGCGAGAAATTCTAATAGTCTAACTTCATAAGCGTGCACTTTGGCTAGACCATCTCCAGCTGCCTCGAGAGCTTCACGTACGAGATCTGTCCACACAACCTGGGCAGCAAGTATCATGACTTGAGCTGGGTAGGTTGTGAGGTATGCGTGAAACTGTTCTACGTCAAGATCTGATGATGTGAACAGAGGTCGGAAGGTTGCTGCAGCCTCGGCCAGTAGCTCTGCAAGTGCATGTTTGACACTGCTGTCCAACGCCGTGAGCCAGTCATTGATCTTTGGGAGCTTTACAAGTGAAACCTCTCTCCGTAGTCGTACGGTTTCTCCTTCCTTCGAAGTGACTGCAGTGATGGTGTTATCTTCGTTGACCTCTGCACCAGATATTCCAGCGAACATCTTCTTGAAATGTTTGGCGACGCGCGTACTGTCATCACTGTTGCCGATAATTTCGAGCAGGTCTTCGTCGCCCACGAAGTAAAAGCGAGGGAATGAAACACGTTCTCGCTCAAGATACTCGCCCAGCGCTTTTTGAATCTTGCCCAGCAACTCAGCAAGGCGCTCGAGAGACTTCTGGACCCCTGGAATGCCGAGGACGTCCATCACAAAAGGAGACTTGTAGACTTTCTTCATGACGGCCGAGAACTCGGTATTGATGTTCGAAAATCTGCTGGACTCTGTGGGCAGAAGATGTTTGATATCATTGTTACCCGTGAAGACTCCTTCGAGGTAGACCCACTGTCTTTGGACGTCGATCCAAACATCGAACAAGACATGCACGCGGTTGAGCTTGTCTTCCCATGACGAAGCTTCCTCTTCAAACTCTTTATAGTACGGGGAATGTCGCATGGCCTGGAGAGAATTGAGGTTTTCGCTGCACTTGGTAAACAAGTCATCCCAACCTCGAATGAGTCGACATTTGTTCTGATAATTGACCAGATCCAATGAATAATTTTGCCAGGTATCACGCACTTGCCTGACAAACTCTTCCAGAGCAAGTTCTCCACGTGCTTGTATTATGATGTCCCGAATTGTTGATTCACTTGATGCAAGTTGAAGACCCCAAACATCTCCAAGCGTCATCGAAGTCTCCGAGTACCGTTTGTGAGGTTTAAGAGCCTTGTAGATCTTGATCCAATGGCGTTCCCGAACCGCATCGGATTTCAGGTCACTCAGAAGTGCGTTGGCTTTGATCTTTTGCTTGAGCTCGTTCTGAACATATTCAAAAGCAGCATATTGTCTCATTCGACTAGGCATCTCCTTGGTCATCTTGACGAGGCCATCAAGAGATTGGCGTAGCTTGCGAGGCTGGAGGCTGGCCCACGGAGTGTCTTTAAGTTCATCGATGCTCTGCCAGATTGTTGCCAGGGCAGACCAAACAGACATGAAATCACCAACTTCCTCCAGGGCAGAGGGCAAGGCGTCATTGCGTGACAAGGGCAGAGAAAGAGCGTCCTTGGCTTTGGACACTGTTTCAGCCTCGTTTTGAAGTTTCTCCATTCGGCTTTGGAAAGATCTCAGCAGCTCGGCGGCCTCTGCAGGGGGGATTGTGCCTGAGACTGGCTTCTGTTCTGCCCATTGAGCGACAACGTCTTGGATGCGGCTGTTGATGATCCGATCCTCGGCCGTAATATTTGCACGAAGGGCTTCGGTTTGGTCTTCGACGATCTTGCTCTTCCTGCCGAGGATGTCCTCAAACGAGTCCCACTCATCGCTAACTTGATTGGCAGAGAGCCAGTCGCTTGCAAAATTGTAACGCTGTCTGGTGAGAGTTGTCTGGCCTTGTCGGAAGATTTCCACCTCTGGCCCCCACAGCAAAGCATTTCGCTTGCACTGTTGGACGATGGTAATGAAGGCAACGGCTTGGGCAGTGGAATGTGTTTCCAAGGATTGATTTTCAAGCTCCATGCGTGCTCGCTTCATTTCATTGAAGACCTCGACCATGCGGTTTCCGAGAATAACACCAAATCTGCCGGTCACCTCGTATTGCCACTGATCGTATTTCTGGGTGATCTTGGCCTGGACTTGCTCATAGTCGAATGTCACACAACCCATGACCTTGCGCCCTTCAGAGGTATCAAAGGTTGAACGGGCGTGTCGGACTTCCTGCAACAATTGATGCCATTGAGCAAGATCATCCCCAAGGGTATCCTGGAGGTGTTCACTACGCAGATCCCACAGATTCTGGTAGGTGTACCATTCCTCAAGATAGGTCGACATCTCCGACACTCGAGCGCCGATTGCAGAATATGCATCCTGCAACACCCCGACATTGGCTAATGGAAGGTCAACAAACGTCAACAATGAATTTGTGACCCCGGCTGTTGCTGTGACCTGGTAGCGAGTAGCACGAATTTGGGGGAGATGGCACAAAATACTGAGCCAGTCCTCGAGTTGTTGGAGCCAGGAAGCCTTGACAAAAGCCAAGGGTGGGTCGATGAAGATCGTTTGGTTGTTCATCATGATCTCGATTACAATAGGGGCAAATCGCAAATCATACACAGTGCCCTCGGTGTGCACCAGTGCAGGCGCGGAGAGATCGAGACCGTCAATGGAGTTGAATGTGGATGTCCAATGCTTCAACGCTTGCTGTAAACGTTCGTTGAAGATCTCGCGGATCTGAAAATTGAGCTGTACAACCCAGGTTGACAGGTTTGCATAATTTCCGAGATCCATCTTGTCAACTGCATTCTGAATGATGTCCATCTGGCCTTGGAAATTCTGGGCGGAGTAAGGGCATGTTTTCAATTCTGACAAGGCTAGTTGGATGACATGACTGAGGTCTCGGATTGTTGCTGTCTTTTCCTGCAGTGTTGTGACTGCTGTAGCAAGATCCCGCACATACTGGACATGACGCGAATCGCTCGATGTCGATTTTGCATCTCTGTAATCAAAGGTGTGGATGAAGGTGTCCCAACGCAACGGGACGCCAGTCTCGAAGAGCTTCTGGACTTCCCTGCCATAACCAGCGAGCAAAGGGGCCATTGTGGGCATTTCCTGCACGCTTCGAAGAGCCGATAGGTAGCTGGCGACACTTTCCATCAGGCTCAAGGCATATGGGTACACCCGCTGGGCCTGTTTGGCCGTTGTCGCGATGCGATGAGGAATGTGGAAATTGAGCCAAGTCAAATTCCGGACTTCTTTGAATAGAGAGATCGCATGTTGATCAAAATTCACCACAAGCTCTGGTGTACTATTGGGATTTCGGCTTCGAGAGATCAGAAACAGGCGTCCTGTGACAGTGATGTCTCGGGCTTTGACGTCGTGCAGCCATGTCTCATAGATATCTCGTGTCGTGAGCTTTTTGCGGAACAGTTTGCTCTCGCTGTCCAAGATTCGTCCATCAGAATGCATCATCCAGTCTTCTCCTAGAACGGCCTGGACTTTGGACATGTAATTCTCGAGCTGTGCCTCAATTTGTCTGACCCACAATATGGCACCGGCAACTGGGGGGATGTCGCGTAACTGAGCCATCATCTGTGCCTCAGATCCGCCGTATTGCTGTTTGAAGCGTTCATGCAAGGCAGTGATGGCATTTTTGACGTTGTCGAGAAGTTGAGTCTGGTAAGCATTGATGGCACCACGAACCTTGGGTCTGACCAGGAGGGCATTGAACTTCTCGAATACGCGGAACATCTCGTTTGCAGTCTTGGCCTTGCCCAGACGGTCACGAAGGCGGGCAATGATGGAATCCTCCACCCGCGAAGTTCGTTCACTATATTGTTGTTCGGCCTGTACCCAGATAGCCGTGCCTTCTGGTGAAACATCCAGGATATCTACATGTCGCACGATGTCGTAGGCTTTTGATACCTGCTCGGCAGCATCAGCACCTCCGAGTTCTTCGATGATTGCTGCACCACCGTCATCGGAGGCGGCGACTCCGGGGCCCTTGGACCTTGACCCTAGCACAGTTGTGATGGTTCTCATCAATTGTTCATGCTCTGTGCGGAATCTTTTGATGTAGCTGAGGCGCTCTTGAGTCTGAGCGTGTTTGGAGGTGACCTTGACTGGAACAAAATCGGTGTTTTTTCGTCTCGTGATGTCCCGGGCGACTGTGGTGAAGCTCTTGATCTGCTCGTCCCAAACTTCCCAGACGGCGTCAATGGACCTCATTAATTGCTCGAACTCTGGCCATTCTAGAGACATTATGGAGCGGCCCTTGAGAAGTTGGTGAATCTGGAAGTCCATATCGGAAGAGATGCCCTCTACCAGCTTCAGCGCCCTCTTGATGGGATAATTGCAAACCCTCCATTTCTTGTTGAGGTGTCCAAAGATGGAAACAAGGGCGTCCGACACTTTGGCCAGTGAAGTGGCCGAAGACAGGTCATCGAGGGGAAAGTCTCGCATCAAGTTGTTAAAGTTTCGAACGGTTTCTATTGCGTCCTTGACCCCAGTGTCGGTTGCCAAACTCACAACAGCCTGTTGCCGGTTTGCGTTCTTCAAGATGTCGATGGTGAGGAGCACGTTGTCGGAACCTAGCTCAACGGTGAGTCTGTTGAGGGCGGTTTCGAGTGAAAGCCAGAAATTGATCTCTTGGGCGGCAGAGATGATAGGAGGGGCGTGCTTTGGATCGGCCAATTTGGTCAAGCCCTGGATGCTAATGATCCATTTGTTCACATGGTTCTTTTGAATCTCGTTCAGCACTGCCGTATCTTCAAGAGTGCGGTTGTCTATGAGCTGAATTGAGGGTGGGACACCTTGTGCTGCTGCCTTTTGTAATGCTGCTCGAACGACCTCATGGTTGTCAAGTCGAACCAAAGGGATATCGGTGTTTTGTCTCAGATGCAAGAGGCTCAACTCCAACTCTGCCATACGTCTCTTGGCCCCTGATACCCCTCCCTTTGCCTGAGCATCGTACCAGTTGCGATTAGTCGTGCTTTGTGACTTGGTATAGGCTTCAAAGTAGGGGCCGACGACGTTGTGGAGGAGGGAATAGACGACATCGTATGGCGACGCAGTGTGACGATCGGATTGACCCTCACTTTGGATGCCTCGAGATCTGGGGAGATGGATGACTTGAATTTGGCTTGCGATCGGTTCTTTGGCATCCAATGGTCCGGACAGCTTTAGGAAAGCCAGGGAAGCCACTGTGGTATCAAGAGGGGCGAGTTCGGATGAGAGGGTATAGACATAATTAATTTCTGCGTCGAGGTTAGGGGCTAGAGGGATATTCGAGGAGTTCGACTGACTGGGTGTGTCATCATGGCCATTAATCAATTCTTCTCTTGTGTCCTGTTGGGCATAAAGGGTCGTGATTTGAGGGTCAATGGCGAACTGAGCACACTTGTTGAGGGACTCTGCGTGACTAGATTTGGACAACAGGCTGCCGACGGCTTCTAGTTCTCTTCTAGCGGCACCAAGTGTGGTTTCTATGAGGCTGGCAATATGTTCAAGGACGGCGAGAGGTTCGGTTGATTCTAAAACGTCAGAGTCGGGAGTCCCATTGGGAGCAGTTGGGGACAGGACATCCATGGCGAAATATGTCGATTTAAGGGTGGCAAAGGTGTGAGCGTCACGGCGACGAGCATTTCAGAGGTAGTCTGTCGAGGCCGGACTGATAGGATGATGAAGGGGATGAAGGATGACGAAAGGGATTCTGATTGTGAATGAGTAGAGGGACTTGTTGATGGAGGGCCAACTAAGGCCAAAGTGAGTATTGGGGCGTGACTTTCCAAGGTTTAGGGACCAGCGTGACTCGCGCACCTGCAGTTGGTCCAGTTGGACGCGTCCAACAAGTAATAATGCTCCGGGCCGCACCTACGGGCCTGCTGGTTAAACCTGATTAGGTCAGACCAAGCCAAGGATTCAAGGTGAGGCTAAACCTGTTTTAAGCATAAGGCGCATGATTAACATGAACAATCTAGCCTATTATGGTCTAGTCCTCTAAGAGGCGTCTCGGGTCCCATTAATTCTCCGCGACAGCAAATACTGAGCAGACATTATTGAAGCCCAACTCACTCCCTGGACAATTTTTGTCTTTTGTTGGTCAGGGGCCTCGAAATCTGAGACGAACAGCTGTTCTCGCCAATTCTCCTTACATGTTTGAATTCATATGTGTGACGATATGTACTGATTAATGGTCAAATTTGTCATCTTACTTGTTTGGCAAAGAGACTATCAGGGTGGGCCTGCTAGATAAGTAATGTGCATCTTCTTGAGCAAAATGATTCATGCACTAGGGAATGGAGTCGATAGACGTTTGGTAGTAGATCAGGCGACCATGTTCTCGAAAAACATTGGGAAGGTGTAGGCTATTGCTCACCACTTGTCGACAACAAGCTCAGAGCCTTGTTTCAGGTTAGACATGCGAATAGCTGCCGCGAAGTGCAGGCGAGGGGATCGCTAGTCGTGGCATTTGGTGAGGACCCAATGTCTTGCCCTTTGAAGTCATTCTTCGTGGGCAGAACGCTGAGACTGAGGATGCCAATTGAGGTGTCTGCCAATGAAGGTCAAGATGTTCGGCGTTCTGTCTGAGCAACGCAAAGCGATGCGATGGGCGACGTCCTCTTTCTGCGATGGCGAGAGGCCACTGGAATCTCAGGGCCTAGTCTAGTCGATTCTAGACATGGGCAATGGATCGTATTCAGCCTGTGGCTTTGAGACGACTCTACTCCGTAGTGCATCTAGGATATCGTTGATTCACTGTCATTCACTTGGCAACCCCAGTGATTTTCTTGCCCCGTTTTGAATCGTTGGACGAATCATTCGTCATCTGCCGTACTGCCATGGCGTATTCGACATCTGGACCGTCAGAGGAGTCGTCTGACGACTTTTTGTTCTTCAACCAGCTAGTCTGGGTTCTGAGAGCCTGGGGATCGCTGGCCTCCCGTTGAGAATCCCCACGGTCGACGACTTGGAATGTATTTTCCTCAATGTCTCGATCCCGCGAGGCAGCCCTGGCCGGCTGGCCCAAGATGCCGTTCTCAACATGGTTGGTTCGTGCAGGTTTGGCCTCTTCCCATAGTGGCCGAATGAAGTCGTCATCGGGGCTGGGCATCGATGGGAGATGCCCAATGGGCTGTGCGTCGTCGCCTTTGGGAGGTGGCGTGCTCCAGCTGTTGTGATTCTGGACATCCTGCTTGTGTTGTCTATTTCGGTCATCTCCTGCATCCATGGCGAAGCTTCCGAGGCGGCTAATCTTGAAGGCCCTCAGCCTATCGAGGGCCGTCTTGAAATCGTCCAGCACCACGCAATCGGTCAAACATTTGAAGACAAAGGATAATTTCCAGAAGGGATTGATTCCCACGGGCAAGGCAGACCTGAGGGCAGACGTCACGGAAAGAACGTCCAGTACGATAAAGATGATGCTGAGGAACATGGCGCCCATCATGACGGCAAATCTAGGCGAAATCCGGACAATCTGGGTAGATGTGAGGTCGTACTTTGTCTTAATGTTATAGATGAGGATCAGGGCAGCCAAGATCCACCAGGGATCTCGACACAGGGCTTCCCAAGGTCGGGTGCGGAGGAAGAGGTCGTTGACATTATGAAAGTAGGTGAAGTTGGCGTATATCTCCACAACCCAGTATGGCTGCACCAGGATAATGGTGCCGATGAAGATGCGGCTCGCAGTCTTGTTCAAGAAAGGCCTCACCTTCATCCAAGCAATGACATTATGCAAGGACCACGATATGTTGAGGAAGATGGCGGCGACAGAGAGCCACCAGGCATATATGGGTGGGTTGAAGAGAATGAAGAATCCTTGCCAGTACCCGAGGACCAGCTGCAGAAACGTCAGTATGCCGCACAGGCCGAGTGGCAAATGGGACAGTGATGGCACAAACAACGTACCTCGAGCAAAATCAACTTATGCAGGAGTACTCCTCGGCGCATGTTTGCCAGAGTGATGCAAGACATTATGATCAGAGATCCCACCATGAAACCTTCAGCCCATGCTTCGAGAACCAGTCCCGCAGGATCTGTGGGTTTAGTAACTTCTTCCCTCCTCTTGCTGAAGGTATGAAATGCATTGTGCAGTGAACGGACCGGGCTCATCTTTGCGTCAACCACTGCAGGAATTTTTCTTATATCAAACCAGTCGGGACCAAGTTGAATGAGGAACGCCCATGACAATCGACCACCATGTTCTGCTACTCGGGGTGTGTCATCGAGTCGAGGATCGCAAACGGATTCTGAAAAGGCGTGCAGGGCCGCTGGAGTGGTCGTAGGATGGCGGCAATGTCGCAGGGCAAACCACTATGGGGGGTGTGGCGGTGCAGAGAGGCAAGATGTCGTTGATACTGGTGGCAAATTGAGGAAGAAGAATGCGAAGGGTATTGTGAATTGAGAAAAGGTGGAAGACAGCGGGTGTTGGTTCTCCACTGAATACTTCTGGTGTCTAATCGGCAGTTGCAGTGTGGTCGCTTAAGTAATGTGATGACGCTGATGAGTGTATGCGTGTGTGCGTGTTGGCAATTACTATGGTGGTTAATACCTAGTACTAGTCACAGTAAACCAAAATAGAGCAAAGAGAAAAGGGCACAGAGGGTTAAGAAGTTGGAAGTTCAGAGTTTGAAGGGCAAATCCCGGCTGGATGAGATCTTATGTGAGTTGTCTGAACAAGAATATCGGTCCGTCATCGACCAGATGATGACTTGAAAGTTGATCATGACCCATGGACCCAATTGTGCTTGGTCCGATTTTTCCTTGACCCTCATTTCTTGGTGCTTGAGTAGCTTTGGGCGATGGCGGCCGGGAGCCTGGGGCAGATGTGGAGCATGCCCTCCGCATTTAATCAAGGCGGCGTGGGCGGCACTGGCGGTTGAAAGGCGTAATGGCACCAATGGTTAGCGATCCCCCCTCAGCCTCTTGAACGCCTGGGATAGGTGGTAGACACGGTAGGTCGAGGGGGTCTAGCCAGGGAGGCCTGGTAAAATTGTTGCCAGGCCCTGAGCCGAGAGCGCCCATCAACCGGGGAATCGTTTTGAGGCTGCTCCGTCAAAGACACAAGACACACAAGGACTTTGTTGTCTGCCCCCAGTGCTGCCCTCAAGGGAAAAACCCCGGCCCCGGTCCCGGCTTCAACCCTCATTCGGGCTTAGATCTTCCTCCCATTGTCAAAAACAATTGAACGTGCCAAGACAGTGGAGGGGAGAATACTCCGTAGTCCAGAGATCTCGCTCAAACTTTTGTGACAAACCCTGGTTAATTCTGCGGCGCCTTCAATACAAGAAATAAAGTACTCGCCTTGGGAGGTACCTGCAAGGCCTTGACCACGGAGATATTCACGTTGAAACGATCGATGTACACAGGAGACTGCAGAGGTTGTGTGACTTTTCGAGGTGTCTACGATTATTGGTTAGAAGAGCGTATGACCTGGAATTAGGGGGGTGACACAGCCTGAGAGCCCCCCAGACTACCTGGGGCGGTCAGGACAAATGTGCCAGGACTGGCTTGCGTGACCGCCAAGATAATATAAGTAATGACCAGAATAATAACAGGGAAGTGTGAGCAATGGTTGGGCCCCTCAACCTCTAGGCTTGTGACACTCACTGCACCCATACACAATATGCAGCCCATAAAGACAATAGATTCATCAGAGACTATTTCTGCATGTTCCAAGAGAGACAATGTGTTGTCTGTGCTGGCCCATATGGCAATGTTCATTTATAGCTGGACTAAAATGAATGGTAAGCAAGACACGCCAAGATGTAGACCAGTACAATCGTTTCCCAGGCTCTGGTCAAATTTAAATCGATGCTGGATGCCATACGGACGACGCGTAGGCAACACTGTTCAAGGAGTCATGAGGGCCATTCTGGGTTGACCACAGTCACCATCAAGGCCTTTCCATCGCCTGCTCCATTGCAACACATGGGTCCGCAACGCTAGACTATTTCAAATGAGAAGTTGAAGTTGAAATGGCTATTTATTGTCCTTGGTGATCCTGGCTGCTGCAGCACGTCTGCTGCACAGTGCATACCTATCCCAGACACTCTGGTGGTTCTACAACATGCTCACATTCAACTTCCTTCTTCATCGTATTGCTATTCAAGATGGTCTCTATCAGCCGTGACAAATTGACAATCCTGACAGCAAAGCATTGCCTTGAGATTTGGCCCGATTTCAAGGGGCTCGTTCGATCATTCACGCGACGCGCGCGACTTTCAACCACCTACTTAGTCACTCTGGGTCTCACGCGGCCTGCGCCACCATTCTTGGTGTGGCGATGACAATTCCGCCTGGGAACGTTCTGTCTACGTACAGCCCAAGTGCGGGGGTTCTGGCCACTTCGTGGTCTGGTTCGCCACCAGTTCCAAGCGAGATCCAAAGCTTTGGCGGTTCAATCGTCTTTGCAGTTGCCCAAAAAGTGGCCCGGGGCAAGAACCCTTAAGCAGGTACCCAAATTCCCGTGGGCCCTTCCCGAGATCTGATTTTCGTTGGACGGGTTTCCCTCAACAACAGGGGCTACCAACGCCGTACCCAGACAATGGAGTGTGAAATATGCATCTTGTGGCTCGGTTTCTGGCCGGCGCTCGCACTGTTTCAACCTCTGTATCGTTCGTCGCGCGCCGCTTCAACAGGCAGAAAGACATCAAGATCAGTCCGCTCGCCAGGGAACTCACACTCTACCGTTAGGACGGGCTCTTTCCGCAGTTTTGCCGGGGCCCTTAGGGTCGATGAATTCCTCACTGCCTTCATTGGTCAATGGTCATGGCTTTCCCATTTCCATGCCAGCCAGGACACCAGCCCCAATGATGCCTCCATCTCGAGCTTCTCGTAAAAAGACGCTCTTGCCTCCATCTTGAGGTCCCGCCCGCATGACCAGGCGATCAATGAATCGTTGAGTCTGCTCCTTGAAATTGGGGTAATGTTGAATGATTCCACCGGTATAGGCTATAACAATTTCCTCGGGCCCTGCTCTCCAGGCTGATGCACCAGGGGCTGGGGAGAGACCGTCCCTCATATCTCGCTGAAGGGCGGCAGAAAGATGTGTCTTGGGCGACGAGGGCTTACTGTCCTCTTGTGCCGTAGTGTCTGGGAGAGAAGCCGGGCTACCTGGCTCTGTCAAGGCCACCTCACCCACCGTGGTCAAGAGACCAACAGTAGATGCAGCGATCAAACCGGCGGAGCGAACCTGGACCAAATGTGCGATCTTACGAAGGGCTCCTGCTGAATGTGGGGACCACCCCCAGTTGGACGATTCTGGAGGCGGGATCCGGCGTTTGAGTTCGCCGGCGAGTTCCGAGTCTGACCTTGCTCTTGCCACAACGGCGCTGACAAAGGTAGTGGTGAAGCTGTAGGCATGGACAATCGTCGCGGGGAGCGCTGACTCTGGCACTGGTGGTTTGTGTGCTCTAGTCATGTAGTCGAAGAATATAATTCGAACGAGCTCGCCAATGTAGCGGCCGCCCGTCATGTATTCAAGTGGTTGAAAGCCCGGCCGAGCACACTCCTTGTCCAGTTGACGGTCCCACTGGGTGGTGACGGCCTGCAACGGCCCACATGCTCCAGCGATGGTGATTTCGGTATTGACCACAGTTTCGGTGGCTTCTGGCTTATTTTTCCGGATGGATTGACATTTGGCAGCTCCAAGGCTGGAGAATTTCATGGGCACCGTAGCATTGCAACCTGTGCCGACAATGATTCCGGCAGCAACTCGAGAGTTGGGTAGCGATTTGACCGTGTAGGCAAGTGAAGCCAGTGTTGCAATGGTGTCGTTAGTGATGGCAGCGATCTTCAATGGTGGCAGTGGTCCAAGTTTTCTTCGTTTGGCGCGGGGCGAGGTCGCCGAGGGGGATTGGCGACGGGTGTGGCGTGCGTAGCCCTGGAGCAGGGTGGAACCAAGGTCGAGGTCAGAATTCATAGCAAAGCCTTTGCCCATGGGCATGAGACTTGCTGACGAGATGTCGTCTTGCCTGTTGCCAGGTTAGTCTGTAAGAATGTCACGATTGGGCCATCTCACATCATTGGAAAGCTGAAGGTAATGCCCATGGGGAGCTCGTCAGGCACAGCAACTTTGCCCGAGTCGGAGGTCAACCGGTCGTTGACGACTTCAGCAATGCAATCACCAATCCAGGCGAACAGATCTTCGGTTTTGTCCATCTTCAGGTGCTCACCAATGGGCCAGGCCTTCTCGAGAGTGCGGCGAACCCTGGGGCGCTGGGCATTTCGGATGGTCTCACGTGACCGTTCAGGCCCATTGTTAGAAGGTAGCGAGTCGTCGGCATCGCCCAACAACTCGATGAAAGCGACTCTCAGGTTGGTACCGCCGACGTCGATAGCAAGAAATTGGCCAGTCTCCTGGCCTGAGGGGAGTTTGGTGACAGGCGTGGGCAAAAACTGTTCGTCGGATCGTAATGCAAGTTCCTCATAGACCCTGGAGAATTGATAGGCAAGGTTATGGACTATACCATCGTCGATATGGAGGGGTTGAAGAAAAACGTCGAGATCCTGTTCGTGATCATCCGGGGGAGGGCTCCCATTGCTGACCGAGTTGACCGACGCGAGTTCCGACATGATGGGAAAGAGCGAGGGTAAGGATGCACAGGTCAACTCACGTGTTGGGGGAGAGCAGTCAGCATAGAGGAGGAGCAACAGATGGGGGCCCGACAATGCAAGCAGTGGACTACTTGGAGTTGGGCTTCACCACGGAAATCAAAGGATGAACCTGAGGACGGTTTGGATAGACAGTCAGGATTCGAGGATGGCGGTCGAGATGGCGATGAAACAAAACTCGCGGATCTTGGGTGTAGGGATGGGATGGACTGGAAAGTCGATTGCAATATTTGGTGGCTCGAAATGTTACCCTGCGCTGCCTGTGGCCTGTGAGCGGATGTGACGCTGCACGAGGAGTCAGAACAAGGACTGTGAGAGTGGCAGAGTGGCTTGTTGAAGCAGAGGTAGAGTTTTGAACTAGTAGTGGATGGACAAAGCCCCAACCAAAACCATCGGTGGCTAACTTCAGTTATGACCCTAGCTAGCAACTTACTTAGTCCAGCGGCATCCGGCCGAGGGGCCCCTGCGACGACCATCAAACACGTCCCGCGCAGGGCCGAGGACGCCCCAATTGGTGTCCGGAGGGCCAGGCCAGCTAGAGGCTGAAAGCTTGCCTCTGGACCTTGGCGCCAAACCATGCACCATCAAGGCCATAGACCATGGATGATGTACCATGCCACCATCACCATTCCACTCAGCATTTACCTGTGACATGCTCGCCCTCTTCCCAGTCTTGATATGCAGCACCACTGGACTACCTGCATCTGACCGAATCGCAACTACAGTGCAAGGAGCCACTAAATCTGGGGATCATGACCAGGAGGATCTGTAAGTACCACAGGTACCCCAAGTCCTATTGTGTTCCTTGTAGGGTCGGACCTCCAAAGGACGGTAGAGGTGGAGTTCCAGGGTCTGGATTGTTAAGCCGAGAAGGAAATGGGGCGATGGGGGCCACGAGGCACATATTAGCGCCTGTGGTCAAGGGAATTCCCCCGTTGTTACTTACAGTAGAGATGCCAGCACTCGTCAATCTCGACCTCGGAGTTAACCCACGCCCCGTAAAGCCTTCCTAGTTCACAGGCACTCATGTTCTTTTTTATTACTGACATATCTTTGTCATGGCTCAGTTGTTTCCTGCGTGCACGCCCACATGTGGCTTCAAAGTAGGTGGATGGGTAGGCAGTTCTTTGTGAGCAATTGCTCTTGGCTTGACAGACAGTAAGTCACTTACGTGTACATGCCCGTGAGTTCAAGTCGGGCAGTCAATAAAGGCACCTGCGTAAAAGTGGGCAGTCCACAGGCTCATTATATCACATGACTACATTAGTTGCACCAACCGATCTCATTGACCGCCCCACAGACAGCTATTGTGAGTGCGATGCAAAGATGAGAGCCTCGGGTATTGGTCAAGCATATGTATCTGTTGGTGGGAAAAGGTACTTGAGAACCACTGCACTTGTTACTTGAGATGTCATCGAGAATGGCCAACGACCTGACTCAATGGGGTCAAAACTGCCACATGGTTTACCGGGGCTCTTGAACGCATTTACCCAAGCCCTCTCCACTCATTCTTACCCACCCCCTGCTGGCCTCAGGTTACTCCGGGCGTACTTACCGAACTCGCACGACTAGGGTACTTCGCTTTTCCTCAAAGCGAACAGACAACCACCTTCAACACGTGCTTGCAGGCATAGCGAGTAAGCATACAGCGTGCTCAATTGCTATTTCTCCTTCATTCCCACTGGCTCTTTAGCTCTGCTTTACCCCGCCAAACTTGTTTGATCCGTTGATCATGCCTTCACAGGTTTTGGCATCGCAGCTTGGGGCGGATGAAGGAGTGGAGGCAACCCACTAGGTCAGACCACGCCCAGATCCACCCTTTAATTAATGGGGTCAGACTCCTTCCTGCTTCTCGCCGAGGAGAATCACCGTGCGATGCCATCACGCACGGTAGGTCTGGGTCAGTGTCGTTCGAGTAGGGCCAATTAACGATGCAAGGCGTGCCTTAATTGCCACCCCTCAACGCCCTTTGACCGACTCACTTTACGAACCCGAGCCGATCTGCATCGGTAGAGGCCATTATGACTCTTTTTATTGCATCCCAAGCCGCTACTGGCAGTGCCTGCAAGTAAACATTCTGGATCCAACATCATTCCAACATATTGTCAAGCGGTGGAAGTGCCAATAATGAAAAAGAACATATGATGCCATTGCGTCGATAGTGCTGCAAGACGTAGACTGATAAAGCAGCCTGCGCGTCATGGCAGAACAGGTGTTTGCGCATCCACAGTTTACCCACCATATCTGCTAGAAAAGCACCGAGGTATACAGACACTCCACAAGATAGATGGATATCGAATCCCAGGTCTTCCAAATCTTCACATCGTTCAAGATTCTAAAATCCCGAGAGCAGGATCCAACAGGCGTGACCAAGGCTGGGACGGGTAAATTGTCGTCCATAGCCGAAGGCCCTGCAGATGGGAAGGTTCAAACAAGACCTTGGCGACGGAGGATACTAAAGATAGGCTGATCGAGGAGAAGAACGGTGGTAAATTAGGTAGGTAGCCTTGGCCTCGTGGGAGGGCGGTGGGGTGTGAGATTTCGCAAAGACATGTGTGTATCAAGACGAGCGTTTCTGGCTTTCAGGCTTGCTCAAGTTCATCATGAGGTAGTGGTAGTACTGCTCTGGCAGTGATTTTGGGTGGTTCTGGACGAAGTTATTGCCCACGGGGTGCAGCCAGCAGGAAAGCCTAGATCTATGTCACGTGTAACAGGACCCCCAAATGACGAAATCCCCAAACAATTGTTCATCACACCCGAACATCACCTGCAATACTCTATCAATCCTTGAGCGTTGGTCAACACATGCTCATGCAGCCGTAGCCAAAATCGGTCATTCCGGATATTCCAACCTATCGTCCATACTCGTCCCAAGATGGCATCCGAACCAACCTTCACCGACGAGAAAACTCTCTACGACCAGCCTCTCGCGGAGAGACCACCACCTAGACAACATGGGGGATATAAAACACACTTGCTCACGCGGTCTATCCCTGCGATTCTAGTCCTTGTTGCTACCTTTACTCTTTTTCGGTCTTTCTTCGTCTGCCAACACCACTATGCACCAGGTGATTTCCCAACCTTCCCTGGTCCAGACGACACAAGCCATCCCAAAGTTGAGGTTGAAGTGCACGGGATGAGCAGATGTCCTGACTATGCGGATTGTCTTCGCCAACTTATTGTGCCAACAATGATGCTAGTCGGAGACAAGGTCAATTTTACGCTTTCTTTTATAGGCCGGTATGGATTTCTTGCGAATGAACAGTCCGAGACATAGCTTACACTCTCCTAGGGTTGACCCCAAATCCGATGCAGTCTCATGCATGCATGGCCCAGCCGAATGTCTTGGGAACATCATCGAGCTCTGTGCTGCCAAGGTCTACCCCGATCCCAAAATATACCTTGGTTTTGCCAACTGCTTGGCCTCGAATTACCACGATATTCCCGATCGAGATCTCGTCGAAGAATGCGCCATGGAGCATGCAATCGACTTCCAACGGCTCAACAGGTGTATCAGCGACGAAGGAGAGGGTATTGACTTGCTTCGAGCGAGTATACAAAGAAGCCAGGAGAACAATGTTACAAAAAGCTGCACCGTCCGACTTGCAGGGAAGATCCGCTGTATTCGAGATGGAGGCAAGTGGTATGATTGTCCAGGGGGCAGTTCAGTGCATGATCTCGTTCGAGAAATCAATCAGCTCTATAACGAGGAGTATTGATGACTCTTCTGCTTGAATGGCGTCTGGTTCGGCGTAAACTTCTGAACGGTACATGATACCCGGTGTCTTAAGAGGGTCTGCCAAATGTTGGCAACAGGCAAATCCATAGCGATCCTCGGTTGTGTCTGTAGCCCTAGTGTTTGATGAAAGAGTGTAATTCAAGTGCTTGTGCGACTTCAGATGTACCTGAACATATTCTCTCGCACTCCGCGCTTCATCGAGACCGGCTTGCCGTCTTCTAGTTCGACTCCGGCCTCGCCACCGTCGCCGGCAAGTCCCTCCATTGCTCGACGGACTTGCTCGTCTGTATCGGACCAAGATTTTGTGGGTTTGGAAGGTTTCTCTGGTGAGTCTGGTTTCAAAGTTGGCTTCGAGTCATGTGATGGTTGGATTACACCCTTTTCTTGCGATTGAGTGGATGCTAGACGTAGATTCAAAGGCCGGAAGCTAAAGTGGCATGCGTAAAGATGAGGGCCAGCTACCAGCACGCGCGACAGAGACATTTCGTGGGGCCGAAGGACTTTGGAGTTTGACCAGTCGTTCTTACTAAAAGAATGATTTCCGGTTTGTTTATCGGGGCATCTTGACTATTGTACATGTGTTCTCGGGTCAGAAGTCCACAGTTCATGTCGTCGTTGTCAAGTATAGGATGATGCTGCCAGGAACAGCCACGTGACCCAATTGTCGGACATTGTCCTCCAGCCAATCAAACCCTCTCAGTTGCCTGCGCCCCTCGCCAGTCCTTCATTGCATTCACTCACTCACTCACTCACTCACTTAATAATATCACCCAGTTCCAATTCCAGTTCATTTATCGTCCTCCTCTTCACAATCCTCCAAGAACCTTTTCGCACTTCAGTCCGTGTCTTTAGTTGTTGCGGGGTCTTTGCGACAAGCTAAGATCAGCTCTACGAAACGCTGTGTGCAGACGCCGACAAAGCCGCAACATGACTGCGCCGGGACAGTACTATGAGTTGTATCGAGGCAGCAGGTACGTCTTAGTGAAGGCGAAGAGTCTTTGACATCCCCCGCCCGTCAAACATAAGTTGATTATTGTGCGTATCTAGCATCGGTGAATCCCTCATTGATACAATCGATGACTTAATCAACGAGGGCCGCATCGAGCCGCAACTCGCCATGAAGATCCTATCCAACTTTGACAAAGCCATTGCCGACACCCTTGCGGAAAAGGTCAAGTCGAGACTTACATTCAAGGTAATCCTAGGATCATGTTTGTCAATTCGTTCATACTCATTATTCTCATAGGGACATCTCGAAACATATCGCTTCTGCGACGATGTGTGGACCTTCCTTGTCAAGGACGTGCGATTCAAGAGCGATGGCGGTCAAGAATTTACAGCAGACAAGGTGAAGATCGTGAGCTGTAATTCCAAGAAGCCTGGAGAGGTTTAGGCATGTGGCTGGAGGAATATGAAATGACAATTCTGGCTCCCATGGACATCCAGGGCAACGATGCTGCAGGGCACGGGTTTCTGTTTTGATTGCATAGCGGGCGGCGTCTACGGGTCTCTGGCGATGATGAACGGAAGGGCATTTGGTTCATCATCAGTGGCAGTTTGGTCATGTTTCTACACAAATAAATACGACACCCTAGAACTCGGGGAATTCTATCCCTGTAGGTGGGAACAGACTGGATACTCTAAAAGTGTATGATAGGGCATTCATGCAACTGGGATGTTGCTGAGCTTACAAGGCAACGTGCTGAGTGTTCAACTTGACGAGTGTGATCTTTGTTCTCTCTGTGCTGAGCCAAAGCCGCATGATGTGCGTGACTGCTTGATCGCGTGTCTGTATCTCAGGCAGCAACTCGTCCCTCGTCCCTCATCCCTGGTCCCTCCTTCCTTCAACTCGTTTCCCCGCAAATCCTCCATTTATCTCCATCCGCGTCAAACAAATCAAAACAACGTCTTCTTTGCCAAACAACTGGTCGCACTCGTTCAACACTTCACCCATCTACTCATCACCCCAAAAACGATCTATTATAAGCAGGTCATACCACATCCCAATTTACCTGCATTACACTCTGGCTCAATCTGCCCAAGGAGATATGAACTTCGTGACCATCACCTCTCATCATCCCGTCCGATCCCACCCCCCTTGATTGATCCACGACGCCTGCCTGTTTAGCCTATATCATGGCCCGCAAACTACCGTGGGCTGTCACAGAACGAGAATCTTCCTCTAAAAGACGGCGGATCGAGCAATCAACCAAAATGAAGCAAGACGATCTTGGTCCTCCCGCATCACCACAAGATCAAGATGTTGTCACACAGAATCATGACCGGGCAAGGTCCATAACCAAGTCAGATCGAGACATCAAGCGGCGTGAGCAATTCCAAATGACCAAGATTGTCTCTTCATTGACATAAGTAGCCCGCACACCTTCTACATCGCCTGCAAGAGGACCGCCACCTCAAGAGCAAGTTCATATATGATCCCATATCGTAGGATTTCTCCTAACCTTTGACAGGTCAATGCATGATGGATTCCAAGCCGATGACATCTACATGATGGTCGAGGATGAGTTTCAGACCGTCGCTCAGTCATACACGGCGCACCTACACCAAGCTGAATACAAAAGATTGATGAGAGAGGCACGGAACAAACCCTCGAAGCCTCTTCCGGAACCGGCCTCACCCATGTCCAAAACGGCCAAGAATAGGCTCAAAAGTGTCATTCTGCAGAAGAAGCAGAAGGATGCTCTGCGCCAGGTCATGGGTACCGATTTGCAAGACCAACAGGACGCGGATGATGTAGTTGATTTGTGGTCAGGCACAAGTCTGGCTCAGTTTATGTCAGGCAACAGTCAGGGGAAAACGTCGCTCATTGGATTAGAGCGAATTTCAAGCACGACCAAGGCTGGATCTGGTTTTGCGAGAACTGATGCAAATCAATCCAGATTGCAACATGAGCCTAGGAAGCAGTCGACTACTTCGTCGGCATTGTCCGTTACCCATCGCCTAAAACATGACCAGGATTCTTCGCATCCGCATCCGAGTTCCTCACTTTCCGTCCCTGCTCAGCCCGGCGCAAGCACGTCCAGAAGCCACAGAACCAATAGCAAGGACACCACCAAAACTTCATTGTACCTATCTAACGGAGAGGATGATCTCTTCATCAACCGACAACAAAGTACTGATGAGTCTATCCGGGGCGGTCCATCCCGCCTCAGTACACGTCTGAATCGAGGAGATGGCCGCAAAGCCCAAAATGGCAGATCGTCTATCCAGGAGAAGGAAGCGGATAGAAAGGCTCGACTTGCTCAGGTGCCAATGTTTATGATATGATAAATTTTGACATACGCCAGATGTCCATGATCTACCTGACTTAAGTATGGGGCTCAATATGGTTGATTGCTCGATGCTTACTCGCTTGAGAGCGTGATGTATATTCTCACTTGTCTTGGAAAATGTCGACTGGCTAATCACGCCTTTTCCCCATTCTGCAATAACTTTATCTCATCCCGCGGCAGTGGGATCAGGACCATGTTCCTAATGGGTTTTGATCAGCAACGGCACATAGTGTGAATTCAACCCAAGGTACCCATCGTCGTCTCGCCCCAATACGATATCCTCGCGGCGAAAATTTGTTGGAGGGCCCTTGCAATTCGCATTAGCAACAAATCGGCTGACGGAGGGTTTGCAAACGCACAATTTCCAACCTTCTCTCATGAGGCTGTGCATGCAACTTCCTCCTCAGCCAGTTTTTGCCCAGCCGAAGTCTTCGCCTGCTGACAACTTTGAAGGCATCCAAGGTTAACGACATAGCTCGTTAAGTGTACAAGAGGTCTTCTTCATCAACTTGAGTCAGCCGTAGTGGGACTTGCCAGCCTTCAAACGATGGCCCGGCCCATTAGGGGGATTCAAACTAAAAGGCACGCAAATAGCAGACTCTGTGCCATCAACTTTGACGCGGCGGTACTCCTTCACACTCTCGCCTACGACAAGCTGCACAATTTAGACTTGTCTGTAATCTTGCTATCCAACGGGGACAAGGTAGTAGACGATAGGCGAAGTACGGCTTTGAATATGAGTTGAAGTCGAGATTGGGGAGCAAGATCCAACGACGTGTCGTAACGGGGGACAATCAGATATGCTGCTACCTGCCAATGAGCCCTGGTCCCTGAATGCAGTCCAAGCAAGGACCTCATGCCTGCACGAGGCTTCGTGTCCGGGGTTTGGAGCAGAATCAGGCGCAACAGAGGCTGTCAGACCGTGTCCTCGGTGCTCACACCAATGGGATTCTTCGGGTTTCTTGAAACCTGACGGGCACACACCCATCGGGCGCCCTTGCATTCTTAGGTGGAACCCCGCCAACACAACCTCGAGATACACAAAGGCATGTCGATACAGCCGTCCAGCCGCTTTGTCGGGACTATAGCCTGCAATGAGCCGTTTGAGGCGAGTGTTGTGTTACGATACCGAGGTCGAGTGTGTGACTCGACGAGGTCCGACAAGGAGATTTAGACAATCATGCATTGAATCTCCGCTTCCGAAGCTGCACATGACTGATATGCACGGGACGACACCTGAAGGGGGGAGAATGAGATGAGATGCAGACGCAAGGGCTATTGACGTCTCACAAAAGACACGGCTCTGCGCGGTTTGGGCCGACGCAGACATGGCAATTTTGACATAAAGGAAGGCTTGCGTTCTGGCCAAACTTTGATGTTGGGGCTTTCAGAAGGCCATCTCGGGCTGGCACAATGCACAGTACCCAATACGGCGGCGGACCATCCTTTGCCTAGCGTTGGCTGTCTTCACGTTCTGGAAATTGATCAGCGAAATTGTGAAGGGACCTTTGAATGAACTCATGCATGAGCAGGACGGTACTGTCAGGGGTGTGTCTCGGGCGGATCGATTTCAACACTTTCTCCAGGACACGGGAAGCCACGTCACATACGGAGCGGCCAAGTCAAGTGAAGAAATTGTGGCTGACACTGCATATCGAAGAAGATTTGGAGAATATCTCAAGTTGAAGGAGAGCAAGGACAAATCAAGATATGTATCTTCTGCGGGAGAGGTCTCGAGGACCAATGGAACCAACCCAGGACTATATTCGATGCAATCATGACGAGGAGTCGAACGACGCTCAATCTTGCGATGTGTCGTTGATGACGTCGAGAGCATACTTTGCGTTGGTCTCACGCTCTTCAGTTGCAAAATCGACCACATGCTGAGGCACATCCTTGACGCGGTTCGTCTTGCTAGGGATGGGCTCGCCAAAATACTCGTACACGGGGACCACACCCTCCCAGATGGAATCTCTCACATCATCACGATTGAAATCCTTCAACTCATGTCGGGCCCCACCGACTCGAATCTTGCCACTACCACCGATGACCTTGACCTTGAGAATGCTGGTACTCTGCATCTCGGCGCCATCAGGGGGGATGCGAGTATGACGCCAGCGATCTCGCAAGACGGAGTTGGTGATTTGCTCCATTGCCCAGAGTTTCTCGTCGGCATCGGTGACGACGGTGGCATAGCCAAACAGGGCGGCGGAGCGATAATTCATGTCGTGGGTATACGGGGTCAGAGTAAGGACCAAGCCATCGACTTTGGTGGCTGATACGGTGACTGGGAGCCCGGCATGCTCTGGCGCTGTCGAGTCCCCGCCATTGGCAGTGCCACGGGAGGTGTTCGTCAATCGACTGCTGACGTAGCCGTGAATGTAAATGTCGAGGGGTTCGCCCAGGCCAGCAGACGGATGCTCCCAACTTGCAGCCACGCCGACCATGGGCAATGTGACCGGGAAAGGGTTACTAGGATCGGGTGTGTTGAATGAGACGTTGAGAACGGTGCTGGAGTTTATGATGCTGTGTATAACCTCGAGGTCGTAGTTAGCTAGAAATGAGCAAAGATTTGATTAGTTAGGTGTTCGTGTCTTGGTGAGAATGGGATTCGATTCCCATCCACTGCAGAGTCGAGGCTCAAAACGATCCAACATCTATTCCGGCTCGTTCTTGAGCAATCCTCTTGAGATTCCTCACACCAACACCTCCATGACGGTAGATTAACGAAGACGAATTAAAATAAGACTCACCGCGAACATTGTATCGATTGACCTTATTGACGGCGGTCTTGGGATACTCGAGAGTCCTGCCGGGTGGCATGTTGGTGGGTAGAAGTTGGACCGGTGAGAAATAGAAGTTGTGGTAGTAATTAGGAGCGGAGGAATGACCGGACCCAGAACGATTTTTCACCCTTGACTGAGGTGTTGTTATCGGTTCATCAAGCTCAATAAGGACCAAGAGTCTGGATAGCGGTGGGAGTGGTCGAAGAAGCAGCACAAGAACTATGTGTACTTGGTAGCGTTGATGTCCGAGGCTGGCAATATCACTTTCGAATCATAAATCTTGAAGAAGTATTGATTCTCTGCTGTTGACTTGGGATTCGCAGAATTTATGATTTATTCTTGGTATGACTGCGAGCAAGAATGAATATCAATGTTGGATCAACGAGGAGGGATTCATTGATTCTATGTATTTGTATCTATTCACGTATTAATTTAGGTGTTCATCGCCTATCCAAAATGTAATTCTTATCAATCGCAACTCCAAGTTGGGGAAACATGATATCTCTACTCCGAAAGAGGCATGCACATGCGAGGACCTTGTTCGCTTTACTTGTAGAGACCCGAGGGGTCTGGGCTTTGTTTGTACTGTATGGCAGTCGATGGATGGATACATGGTTTACATTTACGTCTCTCCTTCCTTGCCTGGGGGTGAGTGGGGATGGATATTAGTTTGAGATTCGATTCATTACGCTTACAGCCACACAGCATGCCGGAGGAAGGGCGATAAGAAATAGATCTAAGCACAGGAAAGCGAACGGCTGTTACCCGTGGCCCAGCAGGCAACCGTAGCGAAGTCGATATCATTACAGCATGTAAAGTACTCGAATTGTCTCTTGTGGGATCTATTATAATCAAGCGTGTGTCATTGGCTGATCGAGTGACTACCTAACGTTGTGTTTACAAACTACAAGTGGAGAAGTCCTGTTCTACTTAGAAAACCCAGGACAAACTAGAAACTCAATTATCCGAAGTCGATAGGCGTTCTGATCCTAGACAACTCATTGGTGTGTCACCTTCAAGTTAGTTTTGCTTCCGAGAGCAAGATAGATGGACGCTGAAAAGGGTAGGAGAGGACGGAATTTTGGTGGGGGAGGGGCATTCTCGGGCAATCTTGGGACTCGTGCCAGGGAGCCATGTGGTTCAATCTCTATTCTTATTTGGGACATGTTTGCCAGGGCATCATTGGATATTGGTTAGGGTGCCTGGATCACAGAATACCACAGTATGCAGTGTAGGTGTTCATCGTGTATGAGTTACCTAAGTAAGCGAGACGTTGATCCTATCTACTTTTGCCATCCACTCGATTAATCGCGTCTACCATATGTGGATACATATATGTAATATATATGTAGATGTGCTTTTATGGCAAATATACACAAAGCAGAGTTGTTGGCTGCTTTTATTTTTGAACATGAGTTGTGGTCTCTACCAGAGGTGGCAGTTGTTTTTTAGGGTTAGGGTTAGGATCGAGTGACTTACGTCTTGGTTCTGTAGCAGTCCTTGTAACTTGCAACCAACATGAAAGATCATACCTCTCTCAGATAGGTAGTCTTTCCATCTAATCTAGAAACCCTTCCCTGCCCTGAAAATCAAATTTTCTCTCTCGGTTTGACAACCCAAATAGCCGCGCCCTCAGCCAACAACTTGCCATCACCATCGACCATTTTCGCTTTCGTCTTCCACTTCCTCTTATCACGACTGACCAGCCAACACTTGATCAAACAAGCACCCGGAGTCGGAACCGGTGCGCGGTAATTGACATCAAGGTTTGCAGTAAAGAGAGCATCGGCCAAGGCATCGCCGCCAATCAGCCGACGGTACATGAGGACAACCTCGCTCTGCATTTCATCGAGTAAAGCACAAGTGACACCGCCATGGATGATCGATGGATGTCCATCCAAGCCCTTCTCGCCTAGCTGTAGCAACACCACTAGATCCGGTGTCGACTCGTCAATTGCAATATCCCCGCTTCCAACTTCCGGTGGTTGTCCGAATCGATGGCACAACACCACAGTGTGAGGGATGGTTGATTCTGTATTGATGGTTCGTGCGAAGAAAAAGTCTTCTGAATTGCCCGGTTTTTCGTGCCGTGACCAGAATGGCGTGATGGTGTATTTGGGGTCTGTCATCCAGGATTTGGTCCATGGCATCGATTCAAAGTGTTGGATTGTCTCGGTTGGTGGTTGATAATCGCGTGCAAAGTTTTTGACGACCGTCGCTCGGTCGGACCTGCGAGGATCTTGAATTACTGCTCGTTCTCTCATAATGTTGATCTGTCTATGCTTGTGTGTATCATCAATTCAGGACTCATAGACGTCAACTAACTTTCTAGACCAGTAAGTCAGTTATCCATCCCTGTTTGCTCTTGTGCTCCAACTCTTCACAATACCTCGGCATTTCCTACTCGGCATATGGCGCTTATTCACGGCGCTTACATCGATTATTTGCGTCGGCACATCACTTCCTGCAATTATCTCGACAGGAACAGATGATGGCAATATGGCTTGAGACGATGAATCACATGTCATTAAATATGGTCTAAGATGGCCGAAAATGTTCTCATACTTGGAGTAAAATCAACTGCACACAGCGTTATTCTACGCCGCCTCTGAGATCAGGCCTCAGTGACACTACAACTTGACCCTCTCCTGACTGCCACTCAGTCTTCGCACTTGCGGCCTAAAACTAGGGCTCGCAGCTAGATTAGAGGTCGAGGGTTGGTTCTCAGAGCTGGAGCCCTGCCCGCCGGCGTCGGTTCCTTCTGACATGGAACTTCTGGCAGAGGAGGGAATATTAGGACCCGGTGGCTGGGCCGATGGTGCTCGGCCTCTTATTCCCATGGCCTGTTGCTGAGCCCCGATTCTCTCACGGTTCAACAACCACTGAACCTGAGCCCGGGTGCTGAATAAGGCGGCGTTGGTGTGGGCTAAGTCTTCCTTGATTCGAAGTGTCTCATTCATGAGATGCATCGACGACCGGGCATCTAGATCTGAAAGTTGATTTGCGAGGGCAGAGATATCTTGCTCAAGATTCGCGACGTTTCCTCGCAGAGACTCATGTAGGGCTAACATGTGCTGTTGTGTTTGGGCGATGGTTGATAGGTCTGGGTCAGGAGATGGAGTTAGAGCTCGGAGATGGGCGGGCATTAACAGATCGCGATGTGAGGTAGCTGACGGGATATGGTCTCGTTCAATTTCCTCCACGTCGGAATTGTCTTCCGCGGATTGGTCTGATTGAGAGATTCGAGGCAAGATGTTCTCATTGATCAATTCATTGACCTTTTCAAATCCGTTTTCAAGGACTTCGTTGCGTACTTTGGTCATGTTCAACTGTTCTTGTAAATTTTTCAAAAGTTGATCCTGCTTTTGAAGGTGCAAGGCGAGTATGGCTTTAGAACATGTTCTGATATGAGACTCGAGATTTTCTGGCTCGATATCTTCCGAGCATCCAAATTCTTGACCTGGGCATATCTGATGGTCGTCAGTGTTGCAAACGTGTCCGAGAGAGCCATCGAGGGAGTCCCTGGTTGCAACGCGCTTGTCACATCTTTGACATTTGGCCCCAGTATTTGGACATTCTTCGTCTTTGTGTCGAAGCCAGTCCCCGCGCCCTAGTTCAATAACAGTACCACAGTCGCACTCCACATGAGTGGTGTGGATGCACTGGTCCGGGATAAAGTTTTTCCTGCTAACCAGTTTGTCGCACTCAGGATCAGGGCACTTTAAGCGTTGGTGAGGGCATTCGGTTGTTGCATGGCGCTGAACGAATCCTCTCGCGGTGACTTGAGTACAACCCTCATTTGGACAGTGCACTTTGATTTCATGGCACATGTTGACGATGAGTCTGGAGGCCTTGCGAGGGGAGGACCACAAAAAGGCTCGGCAGGTGGGACAGCGGGTGCGAGTATCGCTCGTAGCACCGTCTCGGTAGTCTGTCAGACATGACTGACAGAAGGTGTGGTCGCATTCGAGGACGACAGGATCGACAAAAGGGACATGGCAAATGGGACACATGAGATGAGAGTCATAGTCTTGGGCATAGTCGAGGGCGCGGAGATCGAGTTTAGGGCTTGGAGGAGATTTGTCGGTGGTGGGACTTGAGAGACGGCGAGAGAGGGTCGAGGCTGCGATGGGGGATCGAGGAGGAGAGATTCGTGGACGAGACCTAGCGAACTCGGCGAACAAGGTGTCGAGGTGAGGTTGGATGGGACTATGGAGGGGGAGATCTTCTGTTGAGAGTGGGGGGTGGGATGGAAGAAGAGGATTGTCGTCGTGCTCCATAGCGGGCAATGAGAGAAATTGTCATGCTGGTTGGTGAGGGAGAAGGGAGTATTGGATGGGATGGAAAGATGTGTGGCATTCAAGTGAGACTTGATACTTAATATATGTGAATCTGTGTGTGTTGGTCGAGACGATGTCGAATGTGTTGTCGCCAATCGCACCTTCGCTACAAATGGTTGCTGAACCCTCCTTCCTCCGTTCCTCCGCGTTTCCCACCACAAGCCTCATCACGTGCTGATTGATCCACTCACGTGTCACTCCAGCGCATATTTACTACTCGTAACGCTATACTCGATGGTAGTTGTTCTCTCCCCGTATCTTGGCACTTGGCAGACCGTGTCTGCGCGGAGTCGGAGCCGCAGTCTTTCACTGGTGCTGATTTTCATTACTCGTCCTCTTCAAACAAGCATCCCACAGCCAGTCCTTCCACCCACACACCACGAGGCCCAGGAAAACATTACCCGAGACCAGACTCGTCGTTCGCTTCACTTCAATTCAGACGTATAGTATATTACCTTTCTACTCATGGCCCCACCCGCTGTGTCATTAGACTCCCCCTACTGTGTCATTAGTCTACGCCTCAAACGATACTTTGAGGTAACGACAATGGAAAATGTCTCCCCAGCCCTCCATTCGGACCCCTATGTCCCCCGGATTCAAGACAAGCGTCTGGGGAAGAAATGCTACAAGGTTTGTGTTTGTGGTCTGATATAACAGCCTTGCCCGCCCTTTGAAGTCAACTTTCGGTGAGTCCCCTCTTGTTGAATTCCACTGCACACGTCTATCCATCATCTTCTCTTGCAATGGCCGAAGCAAAGCCCACCGACTCGGTGGCTCATACTCACTCGGAAGATGTCGCCAATGACCATTTCGATCTTGAGCATCAAAAGAATCTCGAGCACAACAACGAGAATGGTGTCCATGGTTTCACTGAAGACGAAAGCACCCTGCCAAAAGGCTACTTCTACAGTCCATACTTCCTGGGTTCTCTCTTTGCCATTGGAATGGGTCTATGGGCTGGTGTTGCCGGCTTTGCCTATGCAGCTCCAATCCTAGGTGTCATCAATGCTGACATCGGTCCCTCTCCATACTTGTCATGGGTCGCTATCGTCTATACCTTGTGTGTCGCCGTTGGCCTCACTCTCGTTGGCAGACTCACCGATTTATTTGGACGCCGATACTTCTTCATCGGAGGCGGCGTGCTAGGGACGCTAGGAAGTATCGTCTGCGCTACGGCTCAGTCGGTCAATACTCTGATCGGTGGCATGACACTGATTGGATGTGGAGCTGCCACGCAACTGTCTTTCCATTTCGTCACCGCCGAGCTCGTCCCTATGCGAGCACGCTTCTGGTCAGTTGCAGTCATCTACCTATTTTCCATTCCAGGTTCTGGATTTGGCCCGGCCATAAGCGAAGCATTCATCAACCGATACCCGGGAGTTGGTTGGAGGGGAACCTTTTACTTTTTGATTGCCATCAATGTCGCTGCTCTTGCCAGCTGGGTATGCTTCTACTGGCCACCTAACTTTGAGACGAAACATCAAAATGCTCGAAAGATGGACTGGATCAAAAATTTCGATTACGTTGGGACGATTCTGTATACGGCTGGTCTGACCCTGTTTCTCATGGGTCTCTCCCTAGGTGGTGGTGTTTATCCCTGGGCCTCTGCCCAGACCCTCACTCCTCTCTTGATTGGCGTTGCCTGCCTCATTGGCCTCGGATTCTGGATATGGTTCGCAACACCCAAGGAGCCACTGATTCCAAAGCATATTCTCCAGAACGGACCATTCGTTGCTTCTGCCGTCGTACTTGGGCTGGGAGCGAGCTGTTATTACGCGTTCGCAATTATATGGCCTCAAATGGTAGCTGTATTGTATGCTCAAGGCGATCCCATCTATGGTGGATATCTATCGAGTGTTGTGGGAGCATGTTTTATTTTGGGTCAGATTTTGGGAGGAGTATTTGCCAAACCAATTGGAAAAGTAAAGTGGCAGGTCGTCGTCACTTTGTCTGTTGGTGGCGCTTTGTTGGGGGGTAAGTCCTCACTCTCGATACGTTACGATTACCGACATGATACTAACACTGTGTGGCCATGGCATCATGCAATGCCGACACCAAAGATCGAGCCATTGGCTTTTTGATTGTCTCATGCGTGCTCATTGGCTGGACTGAATCAGTGTGTTTGACGCTGTTGACCATTTCAATCAAAGATCAACAAGAAATCGGAACTGCTGGTGGGATTGGGGCGTCCATTCGATCTGGAATGGCGACACTGTGCCAGACCATTTATGTTGTGGTTTTGACTAATCGACTGGCGACCACTATTCCAGCTCAAGTCCCAGCTGCGGCAATTGAAGCTGGTCTCCCATCGTCAAGTGTAGTCGACCTCCTGACCGCCTTTACAATCGGAACGCCTGAAGCATTTGCTGCGGTGCCTGGTATCACGGATTCGATCATGGCAGCAGCTTCATCAGCATATCAAGCGGCATCATCCGATGCATATCATACCATCTTCTATACTAGTATTGCGTTCACTGGCATCGGAGTGATCCTCAGCTTCTTCGTCCCTAACGTGGACAATCTGATGACCAAGGATGTGGCGACGAGATTGCAACACGACAAAGGAGCGGCGAGAGATGTCCCAATTAGTGAGAAGGTTGTCGAAGATTCTCAGAGGTCCTAAACGGAGGCAAATTTCTAGGAATTGCCAGCAACTCGTCGGTGTGTTGTCGTGGAGGCAATGGATGAATGAAACATTCTGTCTCGACAATTTGACTAGAGGCACATGTGACAATGTAATAGGAAGCCTGATGACACAGGTTAAAGCGATGTTACAATACCTACCTTATCTTGTGCATAACATGGTAATAATGCAATCCAGTGTCAAAACTTATGAAACTCATAATGTACTATCCTGTACTGTACTCCGTATATGGTTTTGGATAAATCTGCGGCTAATCATCGGAAGTCGGTCTTCGGCTTTGGAGTTCAAAGGAAGTTGCGACGCCAATGTCTTAGCGGATAAACTCCATCAACCTCGACAATCTACATACTACTCGCCTTCTAGACAGCATGATCGAGACATGAGTTGAGATAGACAAGAATCTACTGTTCTAACACACACTCATACCCAGCCAAAAGTCCTATCGACGACCAAGATCCTCCACTGATCCATATCCATCCATCCCTTGCCGTATCTCCTCCCTTGTTCAGGCGACCGTCAATCTACTTGAGACAGAGCATCCAGCGATAAACAACAATACACAAGCAAGACCATTCTCCGATTGCCTACTAACAATGTCGAATCCATCACAACTCCTCCTCCTCGCCGACCACATCAAACTATCTCTCCTGGAACGACAAAGAGCCATCTCTCTTAACCTCGACCCTAATCCCTCTACCGACTCCAACATCTCTCGCTCGCTCGAGTCATTCCGCGAAGGGATCGAATCCCTATCGACACGATCCTCCGATACCGAGCAACTAGCCCAGCTGCGCAACCAATATAGTCAATTATCGTCACAATTCCAAGGCCCCGAATCATCTGATACGACTGGGTCATCGACCCTAACCTCCCCCAACGACCCACTTCTCGCAGACGATTTTGCTCGAGCACAAACACGGAAATCAGGCGAGACGGGGCGGGGATCATCTACTACAAATAATAAACAAACAACAACGACAACACCGGCGAGATCGAAGAATGTACGGTTTAGAGATAACCCTAGCCAGGAATCGCTCGGGTCGCAAGAGGATGCAGAGGATACAGCGAACCGGGCGGCATTGTTCCCGGCGAAATATAGCGATGACGCGGAAGGTGGAGGAAGAGGAGGCACGGCGACACCAGATCCAACGGCGGAAATGACAAATCAACAAATTCACATGTATCATGACCAGATCATGTCGGAGCAGGATTCGCAATTGGATCGATTGGGTGAAAGTATTGGACGACAAAGACATCTGGCTATGCAGGTCGGCGATGAACTCGAAGGTCAGATCGCCTTGTTGGATGAGGTGGATCGTGGTGTGGACCGTCATCAGACTCGTTTGGACGGTGCGAAGAGACGGTTGGTCGGGGTCGGGAGGAAGGCAAGTCAGAACTGGGGAATGACTACTATTGTCGTCCTTATTGTCATTCTGGTCTTGTTGATCATTGTCCTCAAGTGAAGGATCGATTGTGCCGATTTCGGCATTTGGGCACCTTGAGGAGTTTGATGGGAGCGAGTTTGGGCCTTTTTGGTTGTAGTTTCTGGGAGAATTGTGAGAAGTGTTGCGATGCCGCATATGGCTGGCGTCGAGTTGGGCCTGAAAAGATCGTGCGTTAATGAATGTGGACTGCTTGCACGATCTAAGCCCCTTTTGAAAAGCGAGTCAAGGTTGAAGTGAGGTGAGAATGAGGAATGCCAGCTCCTGGCTTGATTCATCACGTCGTGTTCCTCGCACATGATCTATATTGAGAGGAGGGTGTGTCTCGGAGGCAGCGGAATCTACATCTATCAGGATATGGAATCGCAAGCGAATATGAATGACGAGTCTATTCTGGAAATGGCAGAATAGATATGCATCTCACACGAATCTTCAACCCCTTTGACATGCCTCCCTCAAATCTCCATTCGCTCAAGAGCAGCCTGCTCCCTTGAGACTCTTGACCGAACAGTAACCCTTGCCCTTGACCATAAGCTTGCCCTTTTTATCGCCTTCAACCTCGGTCACTGCAGCGTCAAACCCAACGCTCAGGTCGTCATCAGTGAAGAAGCCTGGCTGAATGGCCTCCCATTGCTTCTTCTTGGGGTTGAGTTGCTTTTCCGGTCCTTTACCCTCACCGTACTCCCATCCCTCGAAATACACCGCATCACCAGCTTCGCTCCCCGCAGGAGGGTCTACAAATTCGACTTTCCGGTCAGGGCCGTGGGCGTCCTCTCCTTCTTTGGGCTTGGGACTTGCGCACAAGACCATGGCGCAGGATTTGATACTTCTCATGTTGACGGGTTTCAAGTTGGCGACGGTAATGATCTTGCGATCCTGAAGTTCTTCGAGGGGGATAAGTCCGTTCAAGCCGGAGCAGACTGTCCGCACGACCTTCCCAGTTGCTTCATCGACTTGAGTGAATTCTGTTCCCTCGGGATCGCCCATGGCAATGGTGGACACATAGAGACTATCGGCGTTGGGGTGGGCGATCGCTCGGAGAATATGGCCGACTCGTAGGTCGATGAGGGCAGGGGACAGCGGTGCGACTACAGGTGCGGGCTTCGGGGGCTTCGGAGCCTTGGGAGCCTTTTCTTTCTTCTTTGTGGGCTGGTCTGTTGGCGTGGATGATGAGGCGGCAGCGGCAGGAGGGTCGGCGGGGGTGGGTGTTGAAGATGACATGGTCGAGGGAGTTGGGGTGGAGGGAGATTGAGGCTTCGTACGGCCGACAACGAGGGGTTTGTGTTGAGCGGGAGTAGAGGTGCCAGACGAGGCAGGGTCGGACATTGAAAGGACGGAGGCGTTTTGCGATGCGAAGGATGTAATTTGGATAGTTGAGTCACGAGTGAACTGCGGGGTGGTGGTGGAAGGAAGAGGGGTGGAGGAGGGGTTGGGAGTTCTGGAAGAAGTGGCGTCGACGACCAGGGAGTGAGATCTCTGGCACTGATGACGAGCTGGTGGAAATGGCGAGGAGTTGTGGTTGGTATGGGAATAAGACAAAGATGAGGTTTTGTTGCTGAGAAATGTCGAGATGCTCGAATTGGAGAAAATTTGTGGTGCGGAGGAGGAAGGCGACGAAGAGGGAAAGAGCGATTGTCGTAGTTGTCGTTGGGCAGGTCCGGGTGCACGTGCAGCCTCACATTCCCTCTGCTTCACCACCACAGCAGCATTATGATTACTGTGCAACGCGATGGTAACCCCTTGTCCGTTGAGCAGTAATCTGAACTGTGATCCAAGTTTGTTGCCAGTGGCAATGCGTGGTTGTTTCAATTTGTGCATCATTCAATTCTTGTTCTTTGAATGGAGGTGTATCAAGTATGTAGCTTTGCTTGTTTTGAGCAGCTTTTGAAACGATTGATCCAAAGATAGGTACTCCCACCTGGGTTTTAAGGGCGAGGGCCTTTAATTATCATTAGGCACGGGGGCCAGGGGCTTTCCCTTATTGGCATTGCACCCCTATAATTTCTTAGTACATAACGAATCTCCGTCTCTTCGCTTGTCACACCAATACAACCATGTATCACTCAATATCAGAGCAATACCAGGGTGTTTATCTCAAATATGGAACCATGTCTATACTCCTGCTCGTCACCCTTGCGCAGCGAGCCTTGTTGTTCTAATAGTGAAATAGTAGTGCCAAGACCCATTAAGGTTGCTAATACCCTCAAACCCCAAGCTAAGTCTCTGTATACGCACCCGCTACGCATGTAGCAAGGCGCTAGACAATATCAAGTCTTCCCACGTATAATGAGTAACAGCAAAACCTCATATCACAGCGTCCAGGTAACTCCACTACCAACACTGCATCCGACCTTGACCAGTATCTCATTGCTCCCTGGTCTGTTGCTCATAACGAGAAGATCTCTGAGCTTCTGATCAACACCCAAATCTCACTTGTCCGAGCTATCACCTGAACTTGGAAATATCAAATAAATATTTCTCGATGGCTCTGGTCACCGTCGCGGCGGCGACCATCATCAGCGCACCCCTCGATTTTCTAGGAAATCGAAACCGAATCTTGGAATCCATTCGCATTGCCAAAGACAAAGGTGCAACCCTAAGAACTGGCCCTGAGCTGGAAATCCCCGGTTACTCATGTCTGGACCATCACTTGGAAGGTGAGTTCTCTCAGCTACACTCTGGTCTCTGATACCCTAGAGCCCCGGCTAAAACACCATTCTGTCCAGGCGATACATTCTTGCACTCATGGGAGGTCCTTGCCGACATCATCTCAGATGAAGTATGTAAGGGCATGCTCATTGACTTGGGCATGGGCGTCCGTCATCGCAATGTTCGATATAATTCACGGGTCCTCTGCACTTATCGCAAGATTTTCTGCATCCGTCCGAAGATGGCCTTGGCCAATGACGGGTTGTATCGCGAGGCTAGACATTTTACTGCCTGGTCCAAACCCCGAGAAGTCGAAACCTATTATCTTGAGAGTGCTCTACAGCAAATCACCGGCCAGAAAACCGTTCCAATTGGCGATATGATTCTGTCAACGAGAGACACTGCCGTCACCTGCGAATCCTGTGAAGAATTGTTTGTTCCTTTGAATCCGTCCATCTTCACCGGTCTCAACGGGGTAAGTAGCCCTCCACTTATCCCAGTAGGACAAGGAGCTCCTCACTGACCTTAACTCTCCTTCCCTAGGCTGAAATCACCCTCAACTCCAGTGCATCCCACGCTGAGCTCCAAAAATTGAGAGCCAGGCTGGAACTCATTGCAAACTCTACGAGAAAGCTAGGAGGCATCTATATCTACGCCAATGCCACTGGCGTTGATGGTGAAGCCCGTATGCTCCATGATGGAAGCAGTATGGTCATTCAAAACGGCGAGGTCTTGGCCCAAGGCAGCCAATTCTCTCTCGCTCCCGTTGAGGTCACCGTTGCCACCGTCGATATTGAAAAAGTCCGCAGCTATCGCAGCAGTATAAGTCGTAATGTGCAAGCTGCACGACAGCCAGACTTTCCTCGCGTCGAATGCGATCTTGTCTTGTCTCACCCAGCCGAGGAAATCTGGCTGTCCAACCAACCCGAGATTTCTCACCCTAGACAGCTCAAGATCCTCGACCCTATGGAAGAGATCTATGCCTCAACCGCCGTTTTCTTGTGGCAATACCTGACAAGAACTAATTCGGCAGGCTTCTTCCTGGCCCTTTCTGGCGGCTTGGACAGTGCCAGTGTTGCGCTGTTTGTCTTTGGAATGGCTCGCCTGGTCATGATTTCTATCAAAAACGGGGAGACTACCACTCTGGAAGACCTGAGAAGAGTCACCGGCGACAAATCATTCACACCTACCAAACCCCAGGAGATCGTCTCTCGCCTCCTACACACTTGCTACATGGGAACCGTCAATTCCTCCAAAGAGACTGAAAGCCGGTCCAAACGACTGTCGGAAACGTTGGGCGCGTATCATTCCAACATTACCATCGACGAAACAGTGACTGCACATGAAGCTATGGTTCAGAAAGCTCTTAACTTCCAACCAAAATATATGATCGAAGGAGGTTCGCCGTCGGAGAATCTGGCCAGACAAAACATCCAGGCTCGCAGTCGCATGGTGATCTCATACTCGCTTGCTCAGCTGTCCACCACAGCCAGAAAAATGCCGCGTGCCGGCTCTGCTTTATTGGTGCTGGGATCGGGTAACGTCGACGAGGTAAGAACCATCGAGCCAAGGGCGATATCCCTAACAACTTCTCAAATATAACGCTAATCCCTCCGTTCAGAACCTTCGAGGCTACTATACCAAATACGTAAGTGTCCACGACACCCTTCTCTAACCTTTCACCTCCAATCATCACTTTTCTAACCACCCTTCACCTCGTTTTAGGACGCCAGCTCAGCAGACATTGCCCCTCTCGGCAGCATATCGAAGAACGACGCCAAAGCCTTTCAACGCTGGGCACGGCGGGAATGGGACTTACCTATCTTGACCGAATTTCTCGAAGCCACACCAACAGCAGAACTGCTGCCATTGTCGGCGGGAGTGCAGGACGACGAGTCCGACAGCGAAATGGGCATGACATACGCGGAACTATCGGTATTCGGCATCCTACGCAAAGTCGAGAAACTGGGTCCCTGGTCAGCATACCTACGGCTGTTGAGCGAGTGGCGCGATCGCGAAGGTTACGGACCGCGCCAGATTGCCGAGAAGGTGTTCAAGTTCTACTCGACTCAGGCTCTCAATCGTCACAAGACAACTGTCATCACTCCGTCCGTCCATCTCTCACCATACGATCCGGACGATAATCGGTTCGATCTCAGACCTTTCCTCTATGCTGTGCAGTGGCCTTGGCAGTTCAATAAGATCAGAGCCCATGTTGCCCGTTTGGAGGAGAGGCTTGCTCAGCAGGAGGAAAAGAAGGAAGAGGATGATGACGACGTGGACCCTTGATTTGCGATTCCTTCTTGTCATGAGTTGGTGGGGTGCCATAGTGCGATTCATCATCTGTCGATGATACTCTTCCCTTGAGTTTGTTGTCTGGATCGTCAACTGCACGTTTGAGGTTTCACTTCAGCCGCATGGTTTGGAATAGATGATGAGAATCAGTCCCACATGGATAGCGTGTATTTGCTAACTCCAGGACACCCGTTCGACGGCCACTAGAACTCTAGCTTCATACATAGCATTCTCTTGCGCTTAAACTAGTATCATTTGCAAATGCATAAGCTAGAAATACAGTAAAAAAAGCTGAGAGACGCGTCAAGATTCCACATGTGACAGTCGTGAACGATAAAATGGCCAATGAAAGCGCCTCCTGTCTCCAAACCTGTTATTTTGCCTCGACGAGGTCAATCATATCGTTCAGGAAGAAAGGCAAACGCTATCCCAACCCGATAAGCAATCACATCCATGTCCTCCTCCGGGTCATCCAGAGACATCATATGCTGATCGCAGAAGATTTGTGTATTGGGTCCATTGCCACAAGACCGACACGGGAAATGGTGTCTGGACATTGTTTCGAATCTTGCCCAATTGCTGGCGAAGACTCTTGGGTAAGCCTCTCTGAGCGACCTGGCTCTATCCGCTAGCCCTATTTGCCGATAGTTCTGCTCAAGAGTCGACACCATGCTCAGAGTCTTACTGTCTTGATCGCCGCGTACTGCCGCGCACAAAGTGACTGCCACTTCTTGCGCAAGAAAGCTGTACTGGGAATACTCCTCGGCTGTAAAACTTGCCTGGGTTGCATGATATAGCGCAACCTCGTCAATGGTGCGAAAGATCTCTTCCAGAATGGGACTGCCGGCAATACCAACTCGCAACTTGTTCAATTCTGCAGTGATGACTCTTCTTGATACCTTCAATGTTGCCAGTGCCTGGCCAAAATCTCCAAGGCAACGCAACAGGCGAGCACGATGGCGAAGGTACCATAAAGATGCAGGTATATTGACAGGTATGTCGACGGCCACGTCTGGTGGGGAGTCAAAAAGACTAGAGAACACAGGATCGAGGGAACGCTGCATGTGTGCGAGAGCCTCATCATATTGACATACTTCAATCAACTTCTCAAGATACTTTTGATTGATGTAGATGGTCATTGGACTCTTAATGGTCAAGGCGGACGCGTATAATCGACAAAAGTGACCCCAAAAGTGGAAAATGGATGATGCTGCTTGATTAATGGTGCAGATGTGTAAGAACTCGCAGAGTAAAGTGACAGGATGGCGAAGTCCAAGAGTCCGACGTGCAGTCGTGAAGGTGCTCTCACTTATCGTATGTCCGATTCGAGGGTAGGTGGGAATATTTCTAGGATGGAAAGCATCAAGGAGGCAGCTGGTTAACGTTCCGTGCTCCTGGGCGAGAACAGTCTCCGTAACATTGGTAGCACAGAGAAGAAAGGGAGCGGCTGGACTATCGCGGCCTTCAATAAGCATACTTAGCCCACGAGCCAAGTTCTGGTTGAGCTCGGATGGATGAATCATCTCGCTGAATGAGGCTCTCCTATGGCCAACGGGAATCACGTCAGGGGGAAGCCATGATTCGATGTAACCTCGACCTCCAGAAGCAAAGACGCGTTCGGTGAGATATGCTTTCACCGAAACGAGAACTTGATGACCACGCCGGTCAAGTGCCTCAAGGGCAGGAGACGAAGGTGCAGCATTGTTGATGAATGCATCTTCGATGTTTTGAGTCTGAGGCGCATGTGACGGGGTCTGCTGTCTGGCTAGCTTTTCCTCTTGAACAAGACAGTCTAACTGTCTTTTGTGGCGAGAACTCAACTGGAAGCCACGAATTCCTTCTGACACTCGACGACGCACTCGGGCCCACTTGACAGGGTGCCCATGGATTTTTGCATCACGGAACGTTGTTGACCCATCCGCTAGCCGTTCAAACAGGTTTCTGACATCTGCTTCATTGTATTTTTTGTGCACATCCCAACTTCTGAACCTGTCTTTGTACATTTTGGGACTAAATTCATTAGCGAGATCCAACTTGGAATTCACAGGGATGCTTACGAGGCAAAGAAGCCATGAGTGGCCTCCATGAAGGAGCAGACTTGATGAAGGGGTAGGTCCTGGTTCTGATATAGCTCAATAATCCGGGTCCGGAAGCAAACCCAGTCTGCAGCATTAGGAGGATGACTTGGTCGGCGCAGTGATGTCAAATCCAGAAATCCATGAGAGCCAACAGATTGAGAAGTCGGCATGACTTTGGAATATATGTGGCTTCTTGGATGCCCAAGGAAAGACTAGGAATATCGGATAGCGACTCTGGGGTCATACAGATCAGAGCATGCACCGTGATCTGCTCGACGAAAGGATGCCTTGGCGAATGTAGCAAATGTGTCGACACACGACATGGTCCAGCAAAGGACTGACTGGCTGGAGCGGAACAATGGTGTGGTTTCTGGCGGTGATGAGGGGATCTGGGGTTGACTCTTCGCAGGTTGACATAGATTTTGAGTCAGTGGCATTGCAACTGATTTATCCTCACCACGTAAGGATCGATTTCTCAATTCTTTGGAGTGATGCTATCGGGTCATGTGTTCCTGCATTCCACGACATCTATTGCCTGATGGGCCTACTGGGACTTTGTTTCAAGGCTGAGTTTGAACTCAGAATCTGGAATTGTTCCGCTGCGATGATGGTTGCCTGATGACGATAGGTTCGAAGAATGCCTGGTTTGTTGATGAGTGGTAACCGGCCACTTCGCGGAAGTAATGCGGAGAACATGGTTGCCTTTTTGGCTGCAGGTGCCTTCAGGGCGCTTGGGTTGAAGTGAAGCAAACATAATGCTGGAGCGAGACGCTAGAGAATGGCTTGGGATTCGAGAGCACTGCCTACTTCAGCACGGATTTCAATGTGTTTGGGTGCGAGATGCAGGGAAAACAAGGAAGAGGAGAGGAAGAAAGGGGCGCAGTGAGAGAAAAAGAAAAGCTTCGATGCGGGAAGGAATGATGAACGAAAGAGGAAACTACGATGGAGGAAGTCTTTTCGGAGGAAGGTGCATCCAGTAAGTAGTACATCCCCGCGTCCCCCGTCCTTCTTTGGCGATCACGGGGTCTAGGAAGTGTGTCTGGCACGTCATTTGTCATTTGTCCTTTTTGCTGAATTTATGCCATTTGTCGTGCTTGTCCCTATCGTCTAGGGACATAATGTGCCTTTTCTCTGAATCGTCGCGTTGCCACGAGAGCATTACGTCGGTCAAAGCAGCAAATCCGTCAATCATTCATGATCGTGGCCACATGCCAAGGCGAGGCCGCAATAAAAGATACCTAAGAAGTACAACCGGACGCCTAGCGCTAAACCGAGCAGTTTCCTCCAGGCATCTCCCGTGTCTTGATCGTTTTGTCAGTAGTTGTAAAGTTGGGGCGGCTGTCTCTGCCACGACGACCCCAGCATCGCGTCCGATGCACTGGTCAAATGTTCTCCTCCATCGCCGCACCGTGCAGGCGGACTCTATACAGACAAGTGTGATTGGCCCCGTAGTTGGAAATAACGCGCAAGATAAAGGTTTGCGCATGATAGCGATTTTCGTCTTGGTTAACGCTCAGATCCAAAGCCTGTACATGTGGTGCTTCTTCCGAAGCGTCATATTCTCCACGGCCAATCAACGCATAGTTCGACGTGAGAGGGGAGTTTCCTTGCATTTGCCTGATGTTCAATTTTTCCCATTCTGTGCTGTCGAGGTGGCCAAAGTCCGCCCACAACTCAACAGACTTGGGCGTGGTGCCTGGGGACAGACTCCCACCGCTTGGTTGATTCTCTATCACCAATTCTTTCGGATAAATCGAACCTGCAACACGAACTCCAAGACGCATCGAGTCTTGCTCCCTAGGCGCGGCCGATGCACACCAGCAATCTCCGACATCGTGCCATGATTTGAGCGCAGATTCTGGTGGTTGTGCCACATAGACCGTTGAACCGAAAAGCCGGAGTGCCATCCTCTTCAGAAGACTTGAACGCTTTTGCAGGGTTGGTGATGTGAGGGGAAGGATGACTTGAGCTCCATTGTTGGCTGCAAAGTAGTTGACTCTGCCCATGACTGGCGAGGGAGTATTGTGTGCTGATGTGGCTCGACCGTTACCCTTTTTAGACGTTTGAGCAGACAGATCCATGTATTGCCGCTTAAGAGCCTCGAGCTCTTTGGCTAGACCGTCGCGCTCAGTGGTGATTCTCGTGTTGATTTGTGACTCTAAGGATCTCATGCGGGAGTCCATATTGAGCAAGGCGTTGTTCAACCACTTCAGGTCCGCTCCGCCGCCTGCAGATACATTGGTCTTTGGATGCGGGGTCCGTACGCAGGTGCCGCAATAGCTTTGCAACGATTGCCCAATAGACGACGCAGTGAAAGGATCGCAGAGGTGGGCTGTGTATGTGTAACAGAAGAGGAAGCCCAGAAGGCAGGCGAGCATGATACCGGCAATTAGCGTGAATAACATGGAGATAATTGGTGACTTAGGGAGATCGCGAACTGCCTGGCCGCAGGCTGAGGCCAACTCCTGGACCCAATCACCCACTCTTTGGGTCATTATTTTTGATGACTGGGAAATGCTGCGTATCCCTGACGTGACTTTGGCCATGAAACGTTGCGGGAATGGCTGGGGCTTGTCGCGGATGGTGATGTTGGGACGTCGAAGACCGCGTTCATAGTTGTAACTATGATCGAAGATCCCACTAGGAAAACTCGATGGGTCAGTATCTTTGTGAGAAGCCTGGTCTGGTGTGCTCTGTCGAGAATTTCCGTCCTCTTCCTCGATCTCTTCCAGACGACTGCTATCGAGTGAATCTGCCCAAGCGGCAACTCGAACTCGTTGTGTCTCTCGTGCGTCCACTCCATCACTTGCTACCGATCCTTCACGCGATCGTTCACGTGAAGCCCTCCGTTGCGCTCGCTCAGATCGAGCATCTGCCTGAAGGTGAGCCTGGGCTTCCTCGAGATGGTTCTGCAGGTTTTCCTTGGCCTGTTCCACACCGGCATCGATGGTGTCGGCGATATCTTTGAGATTCATGCGCTTTCGAGCAACCAATTGCGTGGGAAGGACAGCAGTTTTACTGGAGCCATAAGCATATGACTGCTGGATCTGAACCTCAGGGAGTCTTGGGTTGTTGATGTCGGCCTCCATATGGCTGGGTTGTTGAGAGCCACCTCTGGGTGCTCTTCGTTTGGCCGAATCTGGCGCAACTGAAGTCTCGCCACGGACGGATCTGGTAGCTGGAGAGGCATTCCTGATGGGGGTAGCACTTGCTGCTCTTGCAGTAGATCGGCGTGGAGGCATCCTTGGCTTTATCCCCAGTTCTCAAGTAAATAAGCTCCCTTGCCTACGTCAATCATCTGACCGGTAGTTAAATGCAGAATAGACCTTCATCCGATTGGGGATTGTCGCGGAAGGTCTCAGAAAAGTGCTTGCGCGGGAAATCGGCTTCTTTGTCGAGTAGAATGGGGACGGTATTGTTGTGGTTAGAGATTCAGTGTGACTGGGAGAGACTTGGCCCGAAGTTGCATCTCGAGTCTTGCGTGAATAAAGTCTGCCGGAGTGCAATTTTGTCCTCTGATTGATAGGAAGCAGGTGGCGTGCAGGATCTTGATGGTGGATTCTCAGTAACGATTGAGGGTCTGGAATGTGATGTGCTTTGAGATGTTGAACGGCGGAACGCGTGCGGAAGAGGCAGAAATGCCAGAACGCGTTGGTCAAGGCTTGTTGCTTTGGTGGTGGGTGTCACGTGAGGGGTTTGAAGACTGCGTTTATGCCTCTCCCAAACCCCCCTTATTAGGGCGAAACTTGCGGATCTTACACGAAGTTATGGAGTAAAGGATAGCACAACTACTATGGCCTTTTCTCTACTAACGGCCCGTTGTCAAATAATGACCTCCTTGCTTTGATGAGTGAGTACTATCGTTTAGTCTGGGCTTTGATGCTGTTTATGCATGGGCAGATGGCAGTTTGTCGAAGAGAGGGGCAAAGTGCGTCCGGGCGTCTTCTAGTCCTCTTAGTAGAGCGGATTTAATGGACGCGATACGCAGCTTCCGGCGAAGATATCATCAAAATTCCTGCTGCGAGGATTGGAGTGTAGAGGTTGAAAACAAGAGTGAAACGTTGCATAGTAATCATTCAATCTATCGAACAGCTAATATTACAGATATGTCTTTGGATCTATCAAGGTCGTACAATCATCACCCGTTTCGTTCATTCCTCGTTCACACTTGCCCCTCTGTCGACTTCTCGTCCCCAATCGGCATCTCATCGTCGAATACTTCCTCTTCAGTCAGAACGCGGTGGGTGCTGCCCATGCTGAAACGAGAATGTCTGGTGGCAGGGACACCGGGCTCAGAATGAGCATCGCCGCTGTAGTCGCCTGGACCTTTGCTGCCGTTGGGAATGTGAAAGCGTCTATCAACCCTCAGAAGGAGATAAAGGTAGACCACCACTGTTTCAATAACAAAGTTGAAAAAGTAGAAGCACCACTTTGCGTGATACCACGCGGGCGAGGTCCGAGGTCGAGGGTTGCGGTATGAGGTACCGGCTCGGAAGGAGGCACCGAGGCAGAGCAACACCGCCGACACGAGTAGAATGGTAATCTTGGATCGCCACCGCCCGGAGCCAAACTTTTCAAGTCTCGTTTTCCGTGGAACGATGAGAGTAAAGACCACTAACGGAATTGGCAGGAAGGAAACAAACATCAGATATGTCCCGGCAGTCATTTGTAGGTCTCGGTCCACTCTTTTAATATCGGGGTTTAGAGTGTAGTATGACTGGACAGTCCCCGTGATGACGATCGCAAGCATGACCACGATTAGACCGTCGACGACTTTGAAGGCCACCGACACAGTTTTCTGCCAGCCGAAGTTGGGGTGTGCTGCACGGATGATGCGCTGGGCGAAGATGAGGTTGATGATGAACAGGATGATGACGCCTGCAGACACCAAAATCTGAGCTGCCATAGCGACTTGGACGTCGTCAGGGTAGACAGCCCAAACGATGCGCTAAAATAACATCAGAGAGGTTTGACGCATGCGAAGAGTGATCAAGGAACGCACCATCACCATCGTTGCTATCCGCGCTAAGCAAAAGCCATACATGGCACCACTCATGAGAAATTTATGCCCTCGTTTTCGATTTTTCACGAAGATGGTCTATTAGATTTGTCAGTATCTATCAGTGCTGCTGCCGTGCAAATGCTGCCATACCATGTGACCTGCCGCCGCAACGACAAACAGAAAGATGAAGACGCTACATATTGCGACATCAACTCCAACCGTTGGAATGCCTCCAATAGAGGCAATGGGGGAAGCATAGGGTGGGCCTGTCTTCTGGCTTGCCATGTCGATGAAGAGAGCTTTTGTTGTGGGTGGTTGATGAGAACGCTGTTAATTGTCGTGTAGTGATGTGTGAACATAAATGTCACGATACATGATGATGAGCCCGCCTTTTATCCATCATTGCTTGAGATGTAGACTTCCACTGCAAATGCAGTATGGCCCAGTGATCAACACGACCACGGTCGAAAGTCGTCCCGCTGCTTCAAAGAGTCGGGCATGACGGAGTGACATTCTGGCTGCACGACTATGACATTGACTTCACAGACTTCGGTCGGGAACAACATGCCACCTACCTGTTGGACTGTAGTGCGAGAGCAAAGTCAAGATACACCAATGACCAGGCGTGAGAGAGGAAGCAGAGTCGGCGTTTTTTGGATCTCGCGCTCCGATCACACCGACGACGAGGCCGTCAACCAATGGGAACTTGCCCGCGCAAGCGAGAGTGGAGGGCGACCGAGGGGATCTGATTGGATCAAACTACGTCGAATTGTACGATGCGCTATCGGCAGGGTCGGCGTCCTCGGGCACTTCTGAACCTTGATGAGTCAACCCAACTTAATGGCGATTAAGTGTCTACGATAGTACCGAGTATCGGGGTGCCTCGATAGGGTATTAGAGTTGGGTTCTGACAGATCATTGGAAATCCTACGATGCATCGTTGCCTTTCAGATAGTCGAACACGATGTAAGATGAGAGATTTCCAGACTGCAGGTACGGCACGTGCTATAACTTTTGGCGAGACGAAGGGAGGGTCGTACCAGTCACATGACATTGCGTCATGTTCCAGCAAACCCCAGGCAAGTGCGGGCAGAGCAATAATCATAAGATCGCGGCAGGTGGGGAAGGAATGATGGGGAAGACACATCCAGGCAGACAGGACATTCGCAGTCACCATCTAAACAAGTAAACATCCACATTCGACAAGTTTGATAAACAACGACTAATTCCAGCGTTACAAAAGCCATTGCTAAAGTTCAGACATTGTTTTCATCGTCCGAGTCATGGCGCCGACAGCTTCCAGTCCTTTGAGCGTTGACTCAATCCTCGATTATATATCCAAGAGCCTGCCCACCACCACCAGTGAAAGTGGCACGGAGGCTGCGCCGTTACTCAAAGATGCATATGCGGCCATCGCAGTCTTTTCTCACGCATGCATGCTTGCTGTCGGCTTCCGACTTATCGGTTTAGGTGAAGATGATCGATTAGGTATGTAATCGAGGTTTGCATTCCAGAGTGCGTGCTCATCTCATCTTGCACAGAAACACAGTCCAACCCCGACGAGGTCCCACTTCTTCCATCGCAATGGAATGCGTCTTCCTCATTCGCCTTTCGATATGCGCATTCTCAATCTTCCCTGGAGTACCTCGTTAAGATCAGCCGCCTTGGTACCAAGGCAATTGTGTTTGGAGTTGGGCTGGGAGATGACAAGACTGCCTCGTTTGAAGTCAAGGCTCAAGATTACATTTCTGAAGGCTCGTTGAAAGAGGCTACTGCTTCGACAACAGAGAGGAGAGCTGCACTGCAAAATGTGTTCATCTCCAATGGTCGCATCGAAGACCTTGCATCTTTGGTCAAGTCTAGAATCATCCAAAAGCTAGCCCCGGGCATACACAAAGCAGGGTATGAAGAGTCGTCCGCCTCGACGGTGGAGCAGACAATAAGACGAGAGGAACCTCGACCTCCAGAGCGTGATCCATTAAGAGACGAACAACCGCCGCCGGCAAGACCTTACCCTTTTGACGATCCACTCGCTGCTGCCCCTCGTCGACCTCACCCTGTGGGTGACTTCCCTCCTCCTGGTTTTGAGGATGAGTACGAGCTCCACAGACCGCCTCGGAGGAATCCTCTGGCTGGTCAGCCCTTTGGGGGAATTGGCGATAGGGATCTGTATCCCCCTGGTCTAGGTCCGCATGATCCACTGAGGATTGGCCCTGGCGGTGGGGGATTCCGTGGAGGAGGTGGAATGCACCCAACATTTGACGATCCTCTCTTCGGTGGGCAAAGAGGAGGTGATGGATACAACCCAATGGCACCACCAGGGGCCAGGTACGATCCGATCGGACCAGGGGATGGGCCGCCGCGCTTCCAAGGAGGACCAAGGTTCCCTGGTGGAGGAAGAGGCGGCGGCAATCCATTTGGGGGATTCGGTAGCGGGAATTTCATTTGATCAGATTTACGAAGCGATGATTATGATAGCATGGATACGGATAGAATGCTTGATCTGACAGCAAGGACAAGTACCAAATTAGGGATGGTAAAGAAATAGCATGTCAATTATTAATTGCTATGCAGACACGTGGTGGCAAAGACATGTAGGAACTGATGGAAGAGCGAGGGTGGCAATTTCCCGAGGACAGAATTGCGAAGGAGACTGGCACCATCTTCTGGAAGAAGTGCTGGTCGTCTTTGTCCTACGGAGAGAGAAGTGCTATATGGAGGGAGCCCTAAGTAGAGAGAGTGCCCTAGAGAGAAGTGCTATATGGAGGGTGCCCTGGAGAGAGTGCCGTGGAGAGAGTGCCTAGGAGAGAAGTGCCCTGGAGAGAGTGTATAGGAGTGATTTCTAGAGCTCTGTAGGCGATTTAGCGTTAGTTGCAGCTGCTTCACGCTACATATATTTTAATGATGTTAGGTCGGTATTCTGTCGGTCTTGAAGAGATGGCACATCCGGATAGATGAATCAAGTGTAGGGACCTGCGACAACCTACTGTTTGTACCGCAGGTTTGGTATCTAAGATAGGAACCTAGTTATTACTTTAGGTATATGAGCATCCCGACCGAAGCCTAATGAGGTGGATCTTTGGTGGGAATTGATACCCAAGATTTCATCAACCCAGGTACCTCCAGGCTGCATCGGGCATGATCCTAGGTACTAGCCTCATACCTATAATGCCTATGACGGAGGTTGTCTTGGCACAATCTTTGGTGAGCTCGAGCCTGAGGGTTTCAATCCAATCATGTTCAACTCCATCTTCCATCTTCAGTGCGTCTGGTGCGTCTGCATCTGGTTTGTCTGCGTCTGCGTGTCTGCGTCTCTGTCTGCGCCCTCAACCCGCTTCATTATTCCATGTCATTCATCCTTGTCTCTTGATTCAAACAACATTCTCACCATCTCGACCCTCGAAGCTTCCTCCATACACTTTCAATTCCATCTTGACAGTCTTCCCTCTATCCTTTTTCAAGACTTCTTTTCCACCTTTCCATCTCCACAGCCCTCCCACGCTCGCCCCCGACCTAACACACTCATCACAACAATCGCCAGCTCTCACACGACACTTTCATCTCCGACCTCACCCCTCCTGACCATCCACCGTATCTCCAGTACTCATCCTGACTGAGGCCTCACCCAGTCATGGATTCAAAAATGGACGTTGACGTGGGGAAACCTGCCCAGCCTCACGGGCTAAGTCCCGTCTCTGACCCTCAATCAATACCAACTCTCGATGGCTGGATTGAGAGCTTGATGGAGTGCAAACAACTGGCAGAGAGTGACGTTGCTAGACTCTGCGACCGCGCCAGAGAAGTTCTCGAACAAGAATCCAACGTCCAGGCCGTCAAGTGCCCCGTCACCGTCTGTGGCGATATTCATGGCCAGTTTCACGATCTCATGGAACTTTTCCGTATTGGCGGGCCCAATCCTGACACCAACTACCTCTTTATGGGAGATTACGTAGATCGAGGTTACTACTCAGTCGAGACCGTCACTTTGCTAGTCGCCCTCAAAATCAGATACCCCAATCGAATTACCATCCTACGCGGAAACCACGAATCGAGACAAATCACACAAGTCTACGGATTCTACGACGAGTGCTTGCGAAAGTACGGAAATGCCAACGTCTGGAAATACTTTACAGACCTCTTTGACTACCTCCCCCTTACCGCCCTCATTGACAACCAGATCTTCTGTCTCCACGGTGGACTCTCTCCCAGTATCGATACCCTTGATAACATTCGATCCCTCGATCGCATCCAAGAAGTCCCACACGAAGGACCAATGTGCGACTTGTTGTGGAGTGACCCTGACGATCGGTGTGGATGGGGAATCAGTCCTCGAGGTGCTGGCTACACATTTGGTCAAGACATCTCCGAAGCTTTCAACCACAATAACGGCCTGACGCTGGTCGCCCGAGCGCATCAACTTGTCATGGAAGGATACAATTGGTCCCAGGATAGAAACGTCGTGACCATCTTCTCCGCCCCTAATTACTGCTATCGTTGCGGTAATCAAGCTGCCATCATGGAAATTGACGAGCACTTGAAATATACTTTGTAAGTCTTTCCCCTCCCCTATCATCCTCGTATATCTACTGACAATCTTCTCAGCTTACAATTCGACCCCTGCCCGAGAGCAGGAGAGCCCATGGTCAGCCGACGAACCCCAGACTACTTCTTGTAAGCATCCTTGTCGGCAGACGTTGCCAATGTTCTCTCCAAGGCCGATCTCTTGCATCGAAAGACTCCAAGACTCCACGACACACACCATAAAATTCCAAAGACATCCGTGGATGGCCGCCATTCTCCATGCCACTACTCTCTCATGGTCCAATACAGGTGGACAATGTATGCTATGTCTGAAAAGCTTTCCAACCAAGTTCAACCCAATCACGTCTAGGTTTCATGTGCATGGGTTGGGGTGGCACAATGAGCGATGACTCAGGACTTGTGTCTGGGTTCCGACTGTGATGAGACTGTCTCTTTAATAGAAGCAGAGACATGGTCCATCAGTTGATGGACAGACGTCCCGATCTTGTACCTAGATTCTTCAAATGACAAACAATGACCACTGGTGTTGCATGGGTCCGATTGTTGATGCGAGTTGATTCTTGTTTTTGAGGGATGGACTGGTCTATGCATGCTTGTCCATGGTCTGACGGGTAGAGTTGCTCCGATAGAGAGACACCACTCACTAAAGACTAATAAATACATGATGTGGTTTCCGAACAAATCTCATCGTCCCGTGTGCTTAGAGAATAGGTCTCAACGAGGATTCCAGCCCACAATAATAGACATAATGCTGGAGCAATCACAATTCATTCGTGACTCGTAGACAGAGTGTCAACAAGGCCCCCATGCTTAATTTTAAGACGAAAACAAATACATTATTACCACACAAGGGAAAGACCAGCCTGTTCATAACAGACCACAGACACATGAATTACGCTCGCCTGGTCAAGGACTAGACCGACATGGTATATTACTCTACAAAACCCAATTGCGATTGACAAAAAGGGCATCAAATCCCACCAAAATCCCACCAAAATCTCTTCTCATGGCCAATCTTGCTGCCACTGCACATACTGCAGCTTCGAGGTAGCCGTACATCTAGATGACGACGCGAAACTCTAAACATATCAAGATAATGTATCAAACTCTGGATTGACCCAGCTGGGCGTGCCAATCTTTGCACGCAGGACGGGGCCGTACTTGTGCAGCAGAGCGTAAATGGGCATGGCGCCAAAGAAGACAATGATGCCTTGGCCGGCGAAACACCATGTCCAGCCACTTTGTTCTTGCCAGGGAGCGATGAAGAACTAGATTTAGGGAGACAAAGGTCAGTAAATGTTGGGTCTTTAAAACTGACTTTTGTAGTCGAGAATGAAAATATGATCATCATCAAGCAAAAAGGTTCATAACTTACCGGATCGATAAAAGCCGACAAGTTCAACAAGACGGCATAGAAAGTGACCATGCTCATACTCTGCAGTGGATAGCAATCGACAATATAGGTAGCGACGATAGTGTTACCCATCTGAATTCCAGCGGCAAAGAGGAAGAAAGCGACCTGGCCAACCATCCAGTGGTACATGCGGTCGACGCTGATGCCCCAGATGATGAGACCCAAGGCGCTGAGTAGACCTGCAGGGTAGATGAGCCACAGACGCATTTCAGGCATGCGAACACCGCCGTTTTTGGTCGCCATTCGAGTGACCAACCAATCACTCAAGGTGCCGCCGAGAAAGAATTCGGCAAAGAGAGTTCCCAAAAGCAGGCCGATGAACAAAAGACCCTGGATCTGTGGGCTGTAGTCCGGGTAGGCTGCTGGCAGCATGGTGATGACGCTGAGGATCCACCAGTACCAAGTGTAGCAGTAGGTCAGTACTGCAATAGACACTGCCAGGAACTTGAACGTGAATAGAAACCGGATCGACGCGTCCCACACCTTGGGGTGGCGCATGCCGGGCACGGGCTTGAGGTTCAAATATCCAAGTTTCTTCGTGCGACGCAGCGACACGGCGCTGGCATCGCTGCGGCGGCGGCCAACTTTCTCAATGTCGACGCCTGTCTCGTCGGATGTGGTTGCCATGGGCAGCTGCTTAAGCATGTGGTTCCGCGGATACAGCGTCTCAGGCATGAAGAGAGCCTCGAGGATCAACAGAACAGCGAAGAGAATTGCTAGAAACCACTGCACCCACGCGGTGGAGACGATATTGAGGAATCCTCCGAAGATGGGGCCTACCAGCAAGCCTGTGTCGATGGCCAGCACCCACAGACCGATCTTCTGACCCCTCTCGTGCTCATAGAACATGTCGCCGATGGTGGCCAGACCGACCGTCGATGCTGGCGCCACGCCGAGACCTTGGAAGAAGCGGCTGGCCATGTAGCTGCCGTAACTATGTGCTTCGGCAGCTCCAATCGTCGCGGCGAATGCCATGATCGACCCGGTTAGGTAGATCAGCCGGCGTCCGTAAATGTCAGCCAGTGGTGACCAGATCAGCGGGCCAACCGCCAACCCCAGAGCCGGGATGGCGACTGTCCAGTTGACTTGGGAATATGTGATGTCGAGTTCTTCTTGCAGATCCGGAAACGAAGCCACCGTGGTGGTGGTCAGGTATGTGAAGAGGAAATACTTGAACATGGTGATTCCCAGGATCGTGTTCTTCTGCATTCGACTCCAGTTGAGAGGGTCGAGCGGATCTGTCGTGGGTTGAGGATGTAGTCTGATGCCGTTGCGAACGACAACATTTTCAGCTACTGGGCCCTGCGGGCTGGCGATGGTGCCGTCCTCCTTCTCGGACAGGACATTGTTGGACATGACTCCGTTGCTGTCGTTGCTCGGAGGCACCGATTCCTTCTTTTCGTTGATGGGCTCCGACATGATGAACAGACAGTATCGATGGTACAGACAGATCAACAAGTGAAGGAAGGAAGTGTTTCATACGAGGGAAATATCAACCGACCTGGGTTGTAGCGAATGTATATCAGAAACGATGTGAATGAGAAAATACTAGCAGCATAGAGGAATATAGACGGGGGGAGCTAAGAGGGCCACGTTCTAGCCCCGTAAGGTACAAGGGACCAGTGAGGGATGAGGATCGTGGCAGACTAGTTGGCTAGTTCATAAGCAGCCGGATATGCTGACCAGGGTACTAGGATGCAAGGGTAAAACGGCATTTGGTAGTCGCTGAAACGAAGGCTCGGACTTGAACCCGGGCTTTTTTTTCAATCTCTTATCTTGTCTGCTCGATTCACGTAACGTGACAGAATGTCTGGTGCTTCGAAGCGACACATGGTAAGCCGGTGTGGCAACGAGAAAAGTGTCCGGTCCCTTGGTGCCATGAGCAGAAAATGCGTGATGTCTAGGTGAGAATGTCCGTGTTTTGTGTTTGGAACCATGATCGAGGTCGTCCAAATAGGCAAACAAACTACAACACTTGCATTAGATCCAGATTGGCGTCGTTTTAGTGAGCCGTTGAGTTGGATGAGGCGGATTCAGGTTTGATCTTGTTGTCTGGGGGAAGAGATAAAGAGATCAAGGCTGATAAGGAGCCTTGATAGGCCTACGACAGCCTGACGTTGATAATTTATATGCCAAGCTTTGAATGATCGTACTAGTGTGGAACGACTTATACGAGCTGAACCAATGAACGAAGGCGATCTGGTATCAGGTCACGTTTGGGGTGATTTTCCCCTGCAACATCCACTGTAATTAATTTACAGCTGGTACCGAGAACGACAGGGATGACGCAGGGCTGGGATCCACCAAAGATAAGGATGAATCCCTCGTCTCTATTGGCTCTTCTCACTTCATTTCCTTCTCTTCTGTACTGCAGATGTGGTTGGTCAATTCTCGACTTGCTTCTCCCTTCTCACTTGTCCAGTGTCAAGCCCCTTGGGCGTTGGGCCTTGGGTCCAGACAGTCTTTTTTACGTTTTGGTATTTGCTCACCCAGTCGGACAAATACGGCGTATGGTGGCGTCGTCATTATTGACCCGAATCGACATGGGTCTCTCGTGCCTTTGTTGTCATCCAAAAGCATGCCTAGGTGGAGATGCTGGGGCTCGATGCACTGTGAGACTTGTGTGAATCTAGAAGGCCCTACGCAGAAGATGCATATGCTGGGTCCTCGCTAGCCTTTGCTCCCGCACAATCTAATGACAACCTCAGCAATACCAACATCATATCTTTTATCTTCGAGATTCATGGAGAACTCCCAACGCCACTCCCCATCAGAGAATCAATCTCTTCGAAAATCAAGCTTGGTCATTGTTAGCTGGTAACCATGCGACGCTACAGCACTGCTGGTATGTGTGCAGAGCTTTTTGTACTGAGGTAAACACTTCTGACTTTGCCCTGCTCAATAGAAGACCAACATCGACGGCCTTCAATGGCATCTGCCGACAGTATCCAGGAGGCTCCCACTGAGACGTCACAACTTTTGCCAAAGAAACCCGATGATGATGACCAGTCCACGAGCCAGGAAGAAGGAGAGCTTCTCGATATCCTGCCCGAAGATGAGACGTCTTCCAGAAAATTGATCCTGCACGAATTCTGGGTTCTATTCCGTGGCTCTATTCCGGTGGTTATGGCATATACTTTGCAGAACTCGCTGCAAACCGTCTCAATTTTGATCGTGGGCCGAGCATCACCTCAGGATCTGTCGACTGCTGCCTTCTCGTACATGTTCGCTATGTGTTCAGCCTGGTTGATTGGCATGGGTGGTAGCACCGCTTTGGACACACTCGCCTCCTCGACGTTTACCGGCAGCAAGAACAAGCACGATCTGGGAATTTTGCTCCAGCGCTCTTTTATCGTTCTCACCTTGTTCTACATCCCCGTGGCTATTTTATGGGTCTGTTCAGAACCCCTCTTCAAGGCCCTCGGACAAAGCCATCAGTTGTCGAGAGACAGTGCCAAGTTTCTCACCTGTCTCATCCCCGGCGGCCTTGGATATATCTATTTTGAAACCATGAAGAAGTACCTCCAGGCACAGGAAATTATGCGTCCAGGGACATATGTTCTGCTGATCACTTCACCGATCAGTGCCGCTCTCAACTATCTATTTGTCTATACCGCCGGATGGGGGCTATATGCAGCTCCATTGGCCACTGGTCTTGGTTACTGGTTATCATTCCTGGGCTTACTTCTCTATGCAAAGTTCGTCGCTGGGGGTGAATGCTGGGGTGGTTGGACTAGAAGGTCACTGCAGAACACTGGTACATTCGCCAAACTGGCGATCCTTGGAGTCCTTCACGTCGGCTCTGAATGGTAAATTTCATTTGATTCTATTCTATGAATACGCTGACTCTTTCCAGGTGGGCATTTGAGATTGTAGCTCTGGCAGCTGGCAGACTCGGAGAAATTCCTTTGGCCAGTCAAAGTGTCATCATGACGGCCGACCAAGTGCTCAACACAATCCCCTTTGGCATCGGAGTGGCAGCCAGCGCCCGTGTAGGCAACATGCTGGGTTCACGCAACGCAAAAGGTGCCGCACGTTCTGCAAACACGGCTGCTTGGCTGAGCATAATCGTTGGAACTGTGGTGCTTGCGATCCTCATGGGCACCAAAAATCATTTTGCCAAAATCTTCAATGATGACCCCAAGGTGGTCAAGTTAACTGCCGATGTCATGCCTTACGTTGCCTTGTTCCAGATCGCTGATGGCTTAAATGGCAGCTGTGGCGGGGCATTGAGAGGCATGGGCAGACAACATATTGGAGCAACAGTCAATCTCGTTAGCTACTATTGTGGCGCGCTGCCTCTTGGTATCTGGTTGGCTTTCCACGGATGGGGACTGGCAGGTCTCTGGGTTGGTCAATGCATCGCTTTGTACCTTGTGGGCTTTGGCGAATGGGCGATCGTTGCTTGGAGCAACTGGGAGTATCAGGTCGAGAAGGCCTTTGAACGAATGGATACTGATGATCTGGTTGAGAGTGGTCAGGCTGGTTAGAGATGGGAATATATGGTCCATCGTGCGTGTATGCTAGAGGAATCTCTATAGATTGATTCTGATCTACGACCATGTGATGAGTTTGCTATTTGCGTGGAGTGTTCCATACTCTGTACAGCCTCTATGATGTCTTTATCATGTTATCTTCTCTCAGTTGAGAAGACCGTGTATCCTTGTCTGCAGGCAACATCGAGAGTTGATGCGATGGTATCAGCATGATTCAAGATACAGTACAGCATGTAATTCATATGTTACCGCTAGCCAGAAACAGTTAGAAGCAAAGCTATTGGCGATCTCCAAATCGACCTCCACTTGAAGTCTGATGATGGTTTTTATTTGTTCATGATATCACTCAACTGATAAGAGGCTACAGGCTCGAATACGGCTGAATGCCGTGGAGATGGGCATGGTTGACAAAAAGCAATCGGTCGGTTACACAGACAACAATTCCCGACCACTCCTGACTCGAATGGATTTGTGCGCTATGCCTGTGGCCCCGTCATGGTGTGAGGCTTGTCTCTACGCCCAATATGGGGACAAGGATGTCCGCGTCGGCCATGTTTTCTGGGGTGTCCAAGGGTCATATAGAGGTCATCGCATTGGTTCAGCTGCCCCATGTGTCGGAGCGAGATAAGTACCCTAGCGCTGAATGGATGCCGGGAGACAAGACACGATCGCGGTAGGCTGCTCTTGCACACTACCATGAGCTCCCCTGCAGCCAGAGCTCGACCCCTTCGTCACCATGTTGGAAACAGTGGTCTCATCGTTGGAAGTGGGGCCTTCTCCGGATACACTCTTGACCATACTCAAATAAGCAGCCCAGATGCAACATATGCATATGATGGGTATCCGCTGTGTCACTCGAAGACCGACCATTATGCATTGACCTGCCGACCGACAGGCCTGCTCGGCCGGTGCGGAGTGATGTTTACGTTGATGTGGAAAAAAAGTTACGTCGCAGAAATCATGCGTGTTGGAGCACGATCATATTCCAAAGTGCTCGGATGAGGAAAGGTAGGTGGGCTTGACGACATCGATATATCTCCCTCCCCGCTGGACAATTCCTGGTCTCTTTGTCTCTGTCTAGTCATAGCAAGCAGGATGTTGTTCACTTCAGTTGCCTTACTGGCATGTGCCAGCTGCGTTTTGTCTCATGGAGACCATGCTCATGACCAGACTCCTGTTTCTGGGCCTCACAAGTCTCTCTGGTACAATGCCTTGCCCGGAGATGGCGGCACCCAGGTATGTTTCTTCCAAAACCGCCAGTAATGACTCTCATAACTGACTGCGAACCAACAGGCCGACTCTGTCTTCTCTGGGATCTCCACCTTTGGTCGTCTCCCATATTTCCCATGCTTGGCCAGCGACGAGGAGAAGTTTGATATTGCTTTCATTGGTATGTAGACCGATCATGACTATGCTACAAGAGCAAGTCGTTAATAGACAATGAACAGGCGCACCATTCGACACTGGCACCTCATACCGACCAGGAGCTCGGTTTGGCCCAAGTGGCATCAGACAAGGTTCTCGACGTCTCAACCTTTAGTATGTTGTTATGTTTTCCCGCTCGAATGCTTACTTTTGTGTTGAACAAAGGCTCACGGAGACTCGGATTTAGTGGCGGGTATAATGTTCCACTGGCAGAGAATCCGTTCAACTTCTGGGGAAAAGTCATTGATTGCGGTGACATTCCAGTAACCTCGTAAGTCAACACACCTCCCATTTTATTCTCCTCCGAGAATGCTTCTTTGCATACTAATATTGTTCTTCTGGTCAGATACGACAACCACTATGCCCTTCAACAAATCGAGGACGGCCACAATGCTCTGTTGATGCGAACACCATTCACAGCTGCCAAGGAGCCTGGTATCAGCAAGGCTGGCAAGACTTTGCCTCGAATTATCACTCTGGGAGGTGACCACACCATCACCCTACCCCTGCTGCGATCCATCAACAAGGCCTATGGCCCCATCTCCGTCATCCACTTCGACTCGCATCTCGACACATGGAAGCCCAAGGTGTTTGGTGGAGCCCCCAGCAAGCAAGCCAGCATCAACCATGGCACATACTACTACCACGCAAGCGAAGAAGGCCTCCTTGCCAACGACAGCTCGATCCACGCTGGTATTCGCACCACACTGTCCGGACCCTCGGACTACGAGAACGACGGGTACTGTGGCTTCACGCGTGTGGAGGCTCGCGAGATCGATGAGATTGGCACCGAGGGCATCATCAAGCGCATCAAGGATCGTGTCGGCACCAAGAACCCCGTGTACCTGTCGATCGATATCGATACCCTCGACCCCGCCTTTGCCCCAGCTACTGGAACCCCCGAGACCGGTGGCTGGAGCACCCGTGAGCTCAGGACCATCATCCGTGGTCTCGAGGGAATCAATTTTGTCGCTGCGGATCTCGTCGAGGTCGCTCCGGCTTATGACACCAATGCTGAACTCACCACCATGGCCGCCGCCGACGTCCTGTATGAGGTCATGAGCGTCATGGTCAAGAAGGGTCCTCTGACCGTCAAGGCTACTAGTGCAGAGATTGAGCCTGCTGCTGAGTTGTAGATGCCTCAGCATAAAAGCTCAGAGGTAAATTGTCGGCATGTTGAGTTGTGCAGACTGATGGGTAGCATGGAGATGTCACGACGAGTCTCATATTTGTCACTGGACTGTGGTGTGAAAGAATGAAGACATGTAGCGAAATAGCTATGATAGAGGGGCAGATTGGTAGTGATTCTATTCATACCACCAAAACCAACCATTGAAATCAGTCTATTATATCTTCGCCTTTGCTAGCTCTTGGCCACGAGCCTTGACCGTTTTTCGTCGGACCCACCAGTTCCAAAGAATTTCCCACGATGCTGTGGTAGCCATGAGAGGAGGACATAGCAGCAATAATAAGCTCCACCATCGAGGACTCCGATCTCGGATTTTCTGCATAGTATCTGCAATCTGCAGTTTCAGATCCTCCTTGCTTCCATCATTGTACAAAACGTAACCTCTCCCGGCATTAGGGTTTCCATTATTTCTTGCCTCATTTCTGGCCGCCTTTTCGCGTACATCAACCTGACTTTTGACTCTGTTCTCGGCATCTTCTGCCGAAAGATGCGGGTCTCGCGATCGTAGTCGTTGTAATTGGATCTTGGGGTCTGTAACAGCGACGACGAGAATTGTGCCGCAGAAGATATCCAGGCCGGACTCAAACATTAGAGGAATATCAAGGATCACCCCCCAGTAGCCCATCAAGTAATAGTAAAGGACCGATCGAACCATATAGAATCTGACGGCTGGGTGGACAATAGCATTGAGTTTCTGTCGATCTTTGACTCTCTCTTCACTGTTGCCAAACACTCTCCTTCCCAGTGCTGGACGATTCAAAGGTCTTCCCTTCCCATTCGGTCCATCTTCTCGCCCGCCGCACAGCGGATCAGATGCTGGTAGAAGTAGATCTGGTGTGGAAGGTCCAAAGGTCGACACGATATGTCGATAGCCCCATGAACCTGGTTCCACGGCTTTGCGGGCAAGTAGATCGGCGTCGATTAAAGGTAGCGAGTAGGGTGGAGATGAGAGGACACTGGCTGCAGTTGACTTGCCTGTGGCAATTGATCCTGTGAGCCCGATGACACGCATGGTGTCTAATGTGCACCTGCTGGGCTCGCAGGGTATGAGAGAAGGGCAATGGGAGTTTTCGAAGGAGTTGGTTGTGAAGGATTGTTGGATCTTGTCAAGGGTTTGGAGGATTGGAAGATTGGAGACTTTGGAGGGGTCTTGCCTCTACAAAGGCCGAGGTAAGAAATGGCAGGCGCGAATCATAAGAGGACGCGGGGATAATTGGGAGGCAGGAAGGCGCGGCAACTCAGCCTTGCCCCCGGATGATCTTCGGGGGTTTATTCTTCCATTCCGTGAAGTTTGACATGACGAGGCTGGCATCATTTTTTGTTTGCTTCGAAGAAATATCAAACAAGCAAGACCAACAATCATCCTACAGGAGATACTCATCATGGGATGCAGGGGAGTGCAACGCGATACTTAAAGGCGTCCTTTATTTTGATCCTGATCCTCCAACCAGACTAACCATCAGCTGTCATATGACTCACTCAACAGACTTCACTCTTCCTCATGTCACCAACGTACCGAACGTCAACTAATTGACCACCACTCCTTACCAGGATCAATCTACTTCGCCCTGTAATGCGTGGCCGGTTCATATCCTTTTACACACAAACCTCGGCATTCCATTCAGTCTCCAGAATGTCTTCGAAATCACTCTCATTAACTGGCCCTGAAGCTTTGTTTCGCCAATGCCTTCTCGACTGTCGACAAGAAATGCAACATGTCCCCGGAATGAATGACCTTGTTCTGCGCTTTACAGGAGGATGGGTCCGGGACAAATTGCTGGGCGTACCAAGTCATGATATCGACGTTGCGCTCAGCAGCATGACTGGCTGGCAGTTTGGACAAGCCATGCAAGACTTCATGAAGGTCCATGGTCCCAATTACGAAAAGAAAGCCGCTGAAGAAGGGTTCAAAGCTCAACTCAAAGACATCCACAAGATTGCCGCTAATCCAGAAAAATCAAAACATCTCGAGACCATCACCACTCGAATGTTTGGCATCGACGTTGATTTTGTCAACCTCCGCAAAGAAGTGTACCTCGAAGACAGCCGCAATCCCCAGATGGAATTTGGAACGGCCGAAGAAGATGCACTGAGAAGAGACGCTACTGTCAATGCCCTTTTCTACAATCTCGACACCCAGGCGGTTGAAGACTACACCGGACAAGGGCTAGATGATATGGCAAGCAAGATCATTCGAACACCACTCGAGCCTTACCAAACATTCAAAGATGACCCGCTCCGCATCTTGCGATTAATACGATTCGCCTGTCGGCTGGATTACCAGATTGAAGAATCTGCGAAAAAGTCCATGGCCGACAAGACCATTCACGAAGCACTAAAGCTCAAGATCAGTAGGGAACGAGTCGGCGTTGAAATCGACAAGATAATGCGCGGCCCAAATCCTTTCACTGGCATGGTGTACATCAATCAATTTGACCTGTTCGATACTGTATTTGACAACCCACAAGGCACTGCTGAACCTCCGGACTCGAGCATTGCATTGGCCTCATATCAAACACTTCAGCGAATTCTAGACGAGAAATCGACCCTATATCAGCTGCTCAAGCCCCACAACGATCCAAAATTAAGCTGGCTTCTGGCAGCGTATACCCCATGGACTACATCATCGATGCTAGCGTACGAAGCTTCTCGAGAAGGCATCAAAGCTACAAACACCGAGAGCAAGGTCTTAAAAGACGCCATAGACTTTCGCCCTTCTATCCTGGATACTATGCGTTTGGTTGAACAAGGAACTGCAACACGGTCGGATGTTGGCATGACACTTCGCAAATGCAAGGATGCATGGCGGTCGCATATCTTGTTTTCGATGCTCTACGACGTTGCCACAAGTGACCAAGACCATGGGTTTGCCACCATTACTGACCGATATCAAAACTTCCTGCTGCACATACAAGAGAGATCACTCGAAGACGCCCCCAAACTCGCCCCGATCCTGAATGGCAATCAGATTATGACTGCACTGGGAAACCCCAAGGCCGGTCCTTGGTTGACGCGGGCTATCGAGGTTGTGGTGCGTTGGCAATTTGATGCCAGCGACCCTACAAAAGAACAGGCCGCTGAAATGATAGCAAGCAAAAGGGCCGAGTTTGGTCTCGATTGAGGTACAGTCTATAGTTTGGCCGACGCCAGCTTTTTCGCCCTCACCACAACATCTCTTGCCTCCTGCCGAACGGCCAGATCGGACATGATCTCCTCACTTCCTCCGCCAATGACGTGGACTCCAACATCACGGATGATCTGTTCAATTCGTGCGCCTTTTCCGGTCTTGGTATATGCGGCTCCGCCCATAATCTGGCGGGCTTCGCGCGAAACCTGCTCCAAGCAGCGTGTGCTCATGACTTTGAGCAATGCAGTCATTCCTCCAACATTTACCTCTTTGCCCGTCTTGCGAGACGTCTCAATGATGTAACAGAGCTGTTCCAGGAAGGCATGTGCGGGTTCAATCAAAAGGCCAAAGGATGCAATCTTGGCTTTAATGGGGCCGTGCTCAATCAGCTTCTTGCCAAATGTTTCTCGTTCGCAGGCATATTCGTAGGCATCAGAGGCGCACACCCGGGAGAGGCGAAGAGCGGCAGTAGCCAGAGCGAGTCTTTCAGGGTTGAAGTTGGACATGATGAGCTGAAAGCCGTGGTTTTCCTTCCCGATTATATTCTCAACAGGAACCTCGACATCGTCGAAGCCGATAAAGGTGGAACCTGGACATGTTAGCAGGGGAGAAAATTCAACGTTTCAAACATACCACTAGCATGAACACCCTGGTTCTCAATTCTTCTCGTCATGACGCCTTCTAAGTTCAGAGGAATGACCAGTAGACTAATGCCACCATGCCCTGGACCACCTGTTCGAACAGCTGCGGTACAATGAGTCGCCCAAATGCCATTGGTAATCCACTTCTTTGACCCATTGACACGATAGACGTTTCCTACTCGCTCGGCGGTGGTCTTGATGTTTGCAACATCGCTTCCACCGTCGGGTTCTGTGATGCCCAAGCAGAAACGATATTCACCTCTTGCAGTTTTGGGCAGCCACTTCTGTCTCTGCTCCTTGGTGCCAAAGCGACTAATGGGAGGGCATCCGATACCATTTCCTCCGCCCAACCCCCACATCGGACCACACCATCCCAATCTGTTGAACTCGTCGCCAACGATGACACCGCACCATGTGTCCCATTCATCAAATGGGATGCCCGCGGGGTGTTGAATTCCACCAGCATCTGCTGGGTCCATCACCGGGTGTGTGATGGCAAAGCCCAACTGACAGTGCCGTAAGCGGACTTCTTCTGGGACCTGTCCTGCAATCTCCCATTCTTGGGCATATGGAGCAATCTCGGTCTCAATATAGTTTCTCACAAATGCTCGCAGGCGGTGATGCTTCTCGGTATAATAGGGGTTCACAGGGAGATCGAGTTGAGGGAGGAGAGGTTCAGCAAAGGGCGCAGGAGCTTTGGATGATGCCATGGTTGCTGTGAGGTCAGGAGACAGAGTAGCCTTGTCTTGTCTTGTCTTGTCTTGGTCCTATGGGAGAAGACAAAACGCGAGAGGATCTGGAAAGGCCGGGACCTACATATTCTTCGTTTAAAGCATTGCTATTCACAAAGGCGGGGCGTCTCCGCGTCAAAGTGTTCCATCTACATGGTGTCCTAGGTTATGAGAAGTCGGCGAGTCAGCATCAGCCGTAAGTTGCCTCGGTTTGCTGGCCTTGGCGGGCCTAACCAAATGTGGATTAACACCTAGTCATGTGACTTTGAGACGACATCGTTGCAGATCAAGGCTGGGATCAGCAACGTTGATGGTCTGTGTTGACAGCATTATCATTGACCAGAATCGCTCAAGACTTTCTTCCACGTGGAATACACACATGTTACCGCACGACCAAACACCAATCACAGGACTACGTGATTGATATCCATATTTCCAGCGACGCTGTGGTGACAGATCAGTTACACAACCAAACCAGGATCTTCAACGGACGCGATCCTTTGTCCCACTCGTGTTGAAATAAAAGCCCCATCCGTCGACTCTTTCTGGGATTCATATCCTAGCCTAGCCATCATGCATTTGTCAAGCTGTGGCTAATGTACTCACCATCTACCAAACATGGAGTCCTTTGAGGAGTTCAATTCAAGCCAAGCAGATGATACAGGCAAGAAGCCCGAAGAGCGCCTCCAGACAGGGGATCTTCCTTCTCAACAATCAGACAGCACGACTCAGGAAGCTCACAATACATCATCACAGTCGAATCAGTACCCTCAAAATGTCAGCATCGATGCAACTTCCCTCGCCGATAAAGAACAGCCTGTTTCCCAAGATTTACCCACCTTATCAAACAATGCCCCAGAATCTCCAACACTAACAAACACCGCTCGAGATGAAGGAGACGATGAAGAATCTTTGGACCTGTCCAAGCCCTTCAACCGGGCTTCAAGCCGATCTCCTACTACTCTCCAGCGCAACAGAGGCGCCGTGGTCACTAAAGTCGGGGAGGAAGGCGTGATTCGAATGCACAAATTCACCTTACACGAGACAGCCAACAAATACTACATTGTGGGATCCGATATCCTCGACAGTGCTTTTCGGATCTTGAAGATCGACCGCACGTCTGAGGCGGGCGAACTGAATGTCATCGAAGATGACATCGTGTACACGAGGAAGGAAACCCAACAAATTCTCAACGCTGTCGACGAGGGGAACCGAGCAACCGGCGGACTCAAGCTCAAGACTAGCTTCTGGGGTTTACTCGGTTTCATCCGCTTCACTGCCCACTACTACATGATATATGTCACAAAACGGAGTCAAGTGGCAATGATAGGAGGACACTACATCTACCAAATCGACAAGACTGAAATCATGCCTTTGGTCACTGCAGCATCGACTCGGGCAAAGACGGATCGACACATTGAAGAAGCACGCTTCATGGGGATCTTGAACAACCTAGACCTCAGTCGATCATTTTATTTCAGCTATTCATACGACATCACTAGGACCCTACAACACAACATTATGCGTGAGCGGCAAGCCCTTCAGGAAGGTCTCCCACAGCCCAGAACGTGTTGTCACAATGACATGTTTGTGTGGAATAATCACCTCCTCAAACCGGCCAAGTCGGTCCTCAAGAACCCCTTTGACTGGTGTCTGACCATCGTCCACGGTTATGTCGACCAAAGCGCCTTGTCCGTCTTCTGGGGTCGAGTTGTCTATGTCACAATCATTGCTCGGCGCTCGCGCTTCTTTGCCGGCGCTCGATACCTCAAGCGAGGTGCGAATGATCTAGGTTATGTGGCCAATGACGTCGAAACCGAGCAGATTGTCTCTGAAATGCTGACGACATCGTTTCATTCCCCTGGCCCGACTCTGTTCGCAAACAACAAATATACATCACACGTACAGCACCGTGGTAGCATTCCTCTTCACTGGGCTCAAGATTCCTCTGGAGTTACTCCTAAGCCAGACATCCATCTGAACGTGGTGGACCCCTTCTTCAGTGCTGCTGCATTACATTTCGACAATCTATTCGAGCGATACGGAACCCCAATCTACTGTCTGAACCTTATCAAATCCAGGGAGCGGGTGCCGAGAGAGTCGAAGCTTCTGAAGGAATACACCACCGCTGTGGAATACCTCAACCAGTTCTTGCCCGAAGACAAAAAGATCGTGTATCACGCTTGGGACATGAGCCGGGCGTCTAAAAGTCGGGACCAAGACGTTATTGGCAGTCTTGAGGCCATCGCTGAAGACATTCTTCCGCGAACGGGTTTCTTCCAGAACGGCAACGACGTGGAGAGTGGACTGAAGATCCAAAGCGGGGTGGCTCGCACCAACTGCATCGATTGTCTGGACCGTACCAACGCAGCCCAATTTGTGATTGCTAAGAAGGCCTTTGGCTATCAGCTACAAGCTCTGGGTGTCATTGAGACAACGTCAGTTGAGTATGACTCGGACGCGGTCAATCTGTTTACCCACATGTGGCACGACCACGGCGATACCATCGCCGTCCAGTATGGTGGATCTCATCTCGTCAACACCATGTCGACATACCGCAAAATCAACCAGTGGACCAGCCACAGTCGCGACATGGTCGAGAGCTTCAAGCGCTACTACAACAATTCATTCATGGACGCTCAGAGACAAGAAGCCTATAACCTCTTTCTGGGCAACTATGTCTTTGCCCAGGATGAACCAATGCTGTGGGACCTGTCAACCGATTACTACCTGCACCACTCCAACCCACGCTCAATGTTTGGAAAGCGGCGCCCGAGTTATCGTCATTGGTACACCGATGAGCATCTCGAAAAGCCTCAGATCCCTCCACCGATATGGCCGCGAGAGCTGCGCGACCGACCTGTAGAATACTTTGACGACTTCTGGATCGAATACTACCGTCCGCTGTCGTTGTCGACTTTCAAGAAACTCTTTTCGTACAAGATCCGCTCCAATCTGAGGTATGTCCCGTTGCAGTCGTCCTCCGCGGGTAAGTTCGACCTCTCGCCATTCAAGGTGCGGACAGGTAACGAGAACGAGTCGGATAGTGGACACGACAAGCAGGGTCGAAAAGGAGTCAAGATCGTTGCACCATCAGACGACAGCACTACGGTTTCGACCGTTGACGGGTTCATCAAGCCGAGTTTACCGACTCCTCTAGAGCCCGCCCCAAAGCCATCCACGCTAGGACCATGGCTGGACGCGCAACAACAATTGCACGCGACACACCAGAAGCGGCAGTATACGGGTATCATCAAACAGCCGTCGTTTGAGATCCAGTCGCCATTCCTGCCACGGGTGCCCAAATTACTGACGGTCAACACCAGCGATCTAAGCAACTCGGCCCTACTGGGTCCACCCACGAAAGAGGAACTGGCACTGCAGGCATTTACTGCGCTCATCTCCAAATCCATCGACCCTCAAGTGCGGCAAGCAGGTGAATATCAACGATATGTGGCGCACCCTAGCACGATCCCATTGGTCGTGTCGTCCGACATTGACTACTCTTCAGCACCACTCGAGTTCCTGGAGTACCTGTCCAAAACGGCGGCCGATCCATCGGAACACAAGGTCCTGCGGTCGTATGATGACGAAAGAGGCGCCGTTAGTCTGACGATGGACGAGAGAGCAGAGGTCAGTCTTGATGACTACACCGAGTACCTGGCCAGTGCCGCCGTGGAAGAGCCTTTGACTGTCTTGGAGGAGGATGCCGGCAAGAAGAGATACAAAGCCTACCGCAAGTGGCTGAAGGGCAAAAGTCTGTTCAAGCAGAGGCCTGTGGTCGGTGAGGACATTGGTGATGTCGTAAGATAGGACTCGTAGACGCTCGCTCTTGGTATACTCGGTAGACGTGTCCAGGTTTTGCGATTTCTTTAATTAATGAATAATGGCTTGAGGTCCTCTTCCTGATCCATCAACTGGGTTGCTGTGTCCGTCCATTCTTTTTCGTCAACTATCCCAGAAAGACGCCGGACTACCTTCTTTAAGCCAGTCTCTACATCTCGCAGTGCTTCTCGCTTGGGCCACCCCTCATCGACACAGTTGAGCCAACAAGTGACGCAACCTCTCAAGATCTCGGCCCACCACTTTTGAGCGATCCTTGGACCACAAACAGTCATTATTGTTTCCAGAACGGATAAGATCTCCAACACCAGCTCGCTGGCTACCAGGACGAACGGGTCCATCAATCCAGCTCTCATCATGGGCAGAATTTCTTTGAGATATCGTACGCTCTCGATACCTATGCTGTTTATGATTGGAGGAAGCTGTCGAACCAGAAACACCGTCAATTGTACAGAGATGGTGTTTGTGAAGCTTTGACTGGCAGAGAGATGATTTAGAGACGCAAGCACGCCATGTCGAAGAACGAGTTTGAGATGGTTCTGTCGATTGATGTAGTCTTTGGACGCACGGTCGGGAAAGGTATCAGTTGGATGGTCTAAGCTCTTGATGTACCTAGCATCAATAGTGGACAGGAAGGCCGGGTATAACCAAGTCAAGACGAGGAGACTCTCGTCTTCTGGCGTCAGAGTAGGTAGGAGCATGAAGTTTGCACGGAGAGCGTCGATGAAAACATCAGCCAGTCCAGTTTTCTGAAGAATATTGCTCGTGGTGGATATCAAGACAGTGCATAATTGGTGCAAAAGTTGACATCCATTGGCTTTATAGGTTGGATCTGAATCATCAATCATGTTGAGGATGGGCGGGATGAGGAGATGAAAATGTGATTCAACGGTGGGCTGTTGAAGATTTGTAGGTAAAGCAGCGTATGACTGGAGGATGTAGTCAAGGAGTGAGAAGGTGAATGGCGTTTTCCATGGTTTCAGATTATCGTCAATCAACGGGGTGGTGAAACGAGCTCCTATCGATGGCTGTTGGGGAAGTAAATTCTTACGGCCAGTCGCTGTCAGGGCTGGATGTTGAGTGCGAGTGAAGAGAGGTTTGATGACCTGGGTCAAGAGGTCGAGAAGTGTGGTGGGTAAGGTTGAGTCATCTTCCGACGGGGAATGTGAGGAGATGATCTCGAGAGCATCTTGCCGAATCTTGGTGATTGATGGTGCTTCCTCTGGAGGGGAATTATCTAGGACGTTCAAAATTTGTCGAGTCTCCATTCTGGATAGTGTGTCATGGAATTGTTGGAGCTTGGGGCTTTGATCCAGGGCATTTGTCTGAAATTGATCATGCAACAAAAGTTTGGCAAGCAGGTTTCTGATCGGTCATTTAAGATGAGAGCGGAGTGTTGACAATCATTTATGGGGAGTTGCGAGTAATTGAACATAACTGTTGGAATTAGAGAGATGGAGGTGAAGATTTGGAGGTTGAATGACAGCCAATCAGATCTTAGTTCAAGGACCGGAAGGAGCGATGGCCCATTTGAGTGGATTCCTATTTCGGGCGCTCTTAACCGCATCGATTTAAACGGAAATAATGCTACAATACATGTCAGGCGAGGGTCAGAAGGGAATGGGAACTACTACTGTGTGCAACTCAGGAGCCCGTGAGCTTTGGCAAGACATCATTGGTATCATCATTTTGATCATACAAAATACATGGTACCTATTCAAAAGACCGAGCCATTACCCATGGCTCGGCTTTGCCATTTATCCTTCTCCGCCTCAAGAGCCTCCAGTTTTTGCTCCAATTCGCGGATCTTGTCCAACTTGTTCTGGCGGTGGCGTCGTGAATTCATGGTATTTCGAATTCGTTGGGCACCCTTCTTATCCGCCATATCCACAAATTGAATCTCGTTGCGGTATGTCGTGGATGGCTTACTAGGTTTTGCCTTAACAACACCTCGTACACCAACAGGTCTGCTGTCCAGATCCAAGATTGAGGTAGACCTTGGAGTGTTCTTGTCTGTGGGAGGGGAAGGCTGGACATTCAGTTCTTTCCCATCACTGACGGGGAACGACAGGGAAGAAGAGAGTGCCGGGGAAGTGGTCGACGATGCCATGGTGAATGAGTCCGTTGCTGGATCTATGGTCAATGGCATCGAGCAAGGTAGATCGCCAGGGAAGGACACGGCGAAAGGATTGAGGAAGAATTGCTCGGGAAAGTCAATGGATATATCATGACCCTGTGTCAAATCTTCCGCTGGTAGAGGCGGAGGAGGCTGGAAGAAATCCAGGTTTAATGGCGGCTGCCCCATGCACAAGCCCTCATCGAAGATGCCCAGGTCGAGCCCCTCATGGATGGTTGGGGCATACTCAGACAGGTGCGGGGAGAGGGAGGCATGATGGCTATCAAAATATGATGGAACAGTTCGCTGGTCATGATTGACCAGAGGTAGAGACCGTAGATGATGACTGAGAGAGTGGTCGGAACCCCGCGCGAGCCATTGCTCTTGGTAATGGTCTCGCTTATGGAGGCAGGAAGACGAACATCCTGGATGGAGCTGGGAATGCTGTGGTAACCATGTTGTCTGATGAGACAAGTTAAGGGCTGACCAAAACTTGGGGAAAGGGGAACGGCTGCCTTGCTAAGTGAGCCTGGCGCAAGGCGAGTTGGATGAACGAGGTAAGAGGGAGGGGAAGAAAGGAAGAGGAAAGTGGAAGAAGAACGACGAGATGGTGATATGAGCGAGGTTTGGGGGGCCAAGACACTAGGCTAAATTCGGTAACTGGGATTCGGCCGCGACCCCGGCTGAATGCAACGTCACTCAAAAAATGGATGACTCAGACCGATAGGCCAATCACAAGAAGATCTGGTTCGGCCGATAGTCACGTGATAGATCTGGATTGAAGCCCAGAACATATCTCGCGGAAATACCTCAAGCACTGCCTCGGGCTATAGCTACTCAGCATGATAGGACAAACGTATACATTAACAGAATGGCGGAGATATAGAGTGAGAATTTTGTGTACCGGCGTGTATGGGATCAGCAACCCTGACTTCACTTTCCCTCTGTTAGAGCTATACCTCAATATGGTTGTCCGCGTTAGTGTTCAAAGTTGTCTCAATCCCATGTAGTATCTCACCATGCCCCTTATGTGTTGGAATCTACATAAATCGATAGACGAGAGCTGATTCAGCAGGCCAACCGACGGTACATTCACATGTGTCTATCTCATCACGAAGCCTTTAACACGAAGGCAATTTAATGAACTCTACGCATTGAAGAATTGGTCTCCAGAAGAACGGAGATAAAGTCAGCCAATGTTCGCACGGTATGCCTGAAGGACAAGAAGCACTCCACCCGCCTCGCACTCGCCAGTTTCCAGATGAGGAAACCACCTTGAACAATATCCCCCCGCCCGCGCGGGCGAAGACAAGTCTTGATACTGATCACTTCGCTAAGGAATAATGGATGGGTCGAAAGCACGACTTCTTTGTCTACGCCATACCTCTTGTAAGCGGAAAGGAGGTCCCCAAATGATGATCCTCATCAGTATAAAATGACTGAAAATCACCGTCTTCTATGATCGAGCTCTTCACGAACAAACCAGAAGCAATGATGTGAAATCTTTAAGATTGTCCAGCCGACATCGGTTGAAGAATATCGTGAAAATATCTCATTTTGCCGATCTGAGCTCTGCGAATTGTTACGTTTGATCTTTATCTGCCTGGAAGGGAAATTCTTTTCTGATACCTTTATGCACAAGTGTCCGCGATAGAGTGTTGGGCGCAGGAGTGACGGTAAAAGTGTACCTTTAGGAGTGAGTACCTTGAAACCCCTTCGGAAACTTCCCCCGCCACTAAGAATGTCTAATGGGAGCCCTCGCTCTGTACGCAGCATGGTCAGTTGTTGGAGCTGCTCCCGTTATGTTGAGGGGGCTGCTGGGGCAGGAGCTGCCTACACAGCTAGGACATATCTTGTTCTCTTTATTCTCCTGCTGTCACTGCCTTATTTTCTGTCGCTAGATAGGCAATAGAGTAACTGTTCTAGGATACTTGTGGTAGATGACAGGTTTTCTTGGTCCCACTCACAATGAGCTGCTTTTCTGAGGGTGTGAAGACCCTTTGTCCAGGGAAGGCATGGCAACGGGCAGACCCCTAAGCCGTGGCCCGTGGACGCACGCGTAGTGTGAGACCAGTCTGCCTCGGCTTCCTGTCGAGAAGGGACGGGGTGCTATGAGATCGAGTCTGCCCAAGGATAGCTGCCCTGGTCTTCATTGATCACCAATGTAGACGCAATCAGAGGTACCTGTATTTGCGTTGCCGCTAATCAACTGAAATGTATCTCGTCGTTAGGCCCAGCCATGGCCACCAGCACTATCCTATAACCGTTGCTGTGATGGGCCTACCACTCGATGGACAGGATTCAATGGCGCCAACCTAAACCCTGGGCTATTCCGCTTTGAAAACATGGCGTTTGAATGAAATTTTCTCTACGCAAGCGCTAAGTCGAACTCGAAGGATCAGATATGCAATGTCAACTCATCATTCAACGTGTGCTAAAGCCATCTCGATGGTCTTGGCGGCGTTGTGCTGATTTCATTCCTGATAATCAATGTTGTCTTACTAGTAACTGTCCTTATTCCCCCTCCATTAGTCTTCTCTGCAGGGAAGTCCTACAATTCGTCTTGGTCATCCCCCTGCTGCCTCGAGAAGTCTCCACGACTACACGCGAACATTCACCCACTTTCTGACATTGAAAGAACATGGCCGACATGTCATGTATGGCTTTGACACATTTCGGCAACGTCGATGCTCGAGGACGCAATCACAACTTCCAAATTTAGCGTTTGACCAATGCTTCACCCTTTTCGCTCCTATTGTGATAGATATATCGTCAGTTTTCATAATAGTACTCAGCAGAACCTTGGGACATGGCTTACAAAGCAGTTTCTATCCTGTCGCTTTCGACACCGTCGAGGGGGTTTGGCTTCTTCGGCCGTCTGTAGGCAGTAAACCAGGGCCCTTCAAAGAGAGTTTCAATTTCCTCAACGGTCAGCCCAGAGACCTCGGGCACGGCCATGAAGACATAGATGATGGCGATAAAACACCAACTGGCAAAGAATATAAAGGCACCCCAGTTGTTGGTATCGGAAAGAAGAGATGGCGTGTAGAAGATCATGGCGTAGATGAAGAGCCAGTGCAAGCACTGAGACAAAGCACCACCAAATGATCGAATTCGATTGGGCCAAAGTTCGCTGCCAAAAATATACGGGAGGGCGAAGAGACCTGGTATTCCTCAAGTCAGGATTACAACTATTGGACTGATGCGGAACAGGGAAAGGGGACGGGTAGAACACAACGTACCGACGGCATATCCAAATGCGTGTAGGAAGATGAGTGCAATAGCGGCTCGAGAAGAATCTTCGTTGGCGTTGTCATCTTGTTTGAACTTGATGTAAACACCCAGGTAGATGTCAGATATCATCTGGAAAGCAATGCCGATGAACAACGACTTTCTTCGGCCTAGGGCGTCGACGAAGAAGAAGGATGTCATAATGCCAAACACTAATTTGGAAACACCATACATGCCACTGAGGAAGATGTTCTGCTGGGGTCTAGAGAACAATAAAAAAGGAAAACCGGTCAGCACATCAAAGGCCTTTTCGTGCAAAGGACGAGTGAGCTGGGGGATACTCACCCACTACTGACACCCAATAAGGTGAGAATGGGCACAAAGTAGCTTGTGACAGCATTGGCCCCGCTAAGCTGAGCAAGAGCATAGGAAACCACGATCTGCTGAAGCCGGCGGAGGTTGGCCTTGACCGTGAAAACCTCCTTGAGTATACTGGTCAATCCAGCATTGACCTTGGGTCCATGATGTTCTCGCTCGCGACGGATCGAAGTCTGAATATCGCTCAGCTCCTTTTGGACGAGAGGATGATCTCTTGGGAGGCCTCGAATTTTGGCGAGAGTCTGGCCGGCGTCTTCGTATCGTTCCATCAGAGCGAGCCAGCGGGGAGACTCGCAGATGAAAAAGCTGGCCACGATACAGGAGGCGAGGAAAATGCAGGGAGCAAAGAAGACGATCTGATATTGCAACCGGCTGTCAGGGATATTCTTGAATATGCCATAGACGCAGAAATTGGCCGCCACCAGGGCCATCGCCATGGCAATTGTAAACCAGGTGGTAAGCACGCCACGGATCTCGGCTGGGGCTATCTCCACGAGAGACATCGGCCCCGTCACCGTCAAGGCGCCGGTGCCCAAGCCTCCAAGGACTCTTGCTGCATACAAGCCAGATACATCAGGACTGGCCGTGGCAATCATTTGACCAAAAATAAAGACCGAAATGTAGATTCGATACGCCCACAATCGGCCGACACGGTCGTTCAAGAAGAAGGATAGCAGGGCTCCGATGGCCATGCCCACATAGGGCAAAGAAACAAAGTGCCTGATGGCTTTGGCATCGGTCGCCGAGCTAATGCCAAAATGGGCTCGGAAGCCGGGGAGACTTGCGACGACCGATGATGAGCCTTGATCCCATGCTGTGAAACCGGGGTCAGCTCACAATTTCTTCTCCTGTATTCAACGCAAAAAGGTCAAACGACGAAGACTTACTCCCTGGCATCGAGGATGTTGCGTATATAAGAGCAGAGATGGATAAATGACGGTTGAAAAGCTCTGGAGGCAATGCCCGAAGTGTTCTGCCATACTTGACGATGGATGAATCTGTCCACAATGTCTTGAAGCCCATGTTAGAGCGCAGGCGTTTCCGATGTCGATGTTGGCTTGCCTCGTTGTGGCCAGCTCTATCTCTGCCTGTCCATAGGATTACATTGTGCTGGCTCTGAACTACTTATACATGAAAGCCATTTTCCTCGGTCATTCAGATTAACGTGATATCTGCGGGCACTGCTGTTTGAGATTACAGTCGAGGGGTCTGAATGAATCTGGGCACCTCGGAAGCCCGAAGTATCTCGGAAGTTCCGCAATGTTTGCTACTTCCCCAGACTCTAGGCGTTGGGTTGAGTCCGTGACCAGTCCAGCCGAGAGGCTTGGAACTTGGCGGTCTAGACTATAGGACCATGTATAACCTTGCTATCTACGTGGATGCTACCTATCCATCATGGCGGCACCTCTCGCTTAATGTCGGACTCTGGCAATCGGTTCACAATGGCTATCGACTTTGGACCATTACTTTACACTAAGCTCTGATGTTATCAATGCTCAAAACCCTCGCTTAAATGTGGAGTAAGAAGATGATAACAGGCTCGGGAATTCCGGACATCAGATTGTCTCTGTGTAGATTCGGATGAGGAGAAGAGGTTGACCGATGAGGATCAATCTTATGCGTGGCACGTATGATGTATGCGGATCACATTGTCTCTATCCCTACAAGAAGCAAGAGGAAGCCGATAAAGCAATGCCTACAAGCATCGAACTGAACCCTCGTCAATTTGCCAATACATGATTTTTATCAATCAACCTGCGAAAATGGTAGCTCCAGAATCCCAAATCATCATAGTCGGGGCCGGCGTGTTTGGCCTAAGTACAGCACTATGGCTCGCCCGTGCTGGATACAAGAACATCACCATCTTTGACCGCTCCCCTTTGGACGAGGGCAAATACGATCCCTCTAAAGGATGCGATGGCGCATCGGCCGATATCAATAAGATCTTCCGCACGAGTTATGGTATTCAACAGCAGTAAGTGGGCCTGATCGAGCCAGTGGCTGTCTGAAACACAAGTTAAATTATATTTCCGGGCGCAGCTACGAAGAATTGGCCATCGAAGCCAGGGACGTCTGGCTGGCTTGGAATGAAGCCATCCGGCACAGTCCCCCATCCCAACTGCCTGCCGGATTGACTCCTGAGGACCAGCTTCTCGACCTCTGTGGCATTTTCTTTCTCGCTGCAGGAGAAGCAATGCCAGAGTTGTACCAGAAAAGCCTTGATTTGATGGAGAAGAGAGATGTAGCGTCGCGGAGAAGGCAATTTGTCAAAGTATCAACTCCGCCAAAGGGAGGCGATTGTCTCCAGCGCTGACACAGTGTGTTGTAACAGGGCAATAAGGAAGACGAAACACGTCTCTGCAAGATTGACTCGAAATGGGGAACGCCTTTCCATGCCTTGGACACCATCAATGGCCATGACACCTGTGGATTCCTCGACACTCAAGGGGGCATCATGCTGGCTGACAAGGTAAGAGATGGGAAAAGCACATACATACCAGAAAATCAGTCACTGATGGATCTTGCAGGCCTGTCTCTATGCCAAGTACCTATGCGAAAAAGCTGGAGTCAGATTCATCGTTGGAAGTCCACAGGGTCGAGTCGAGAAGTTGATTGTCCAAGGAGACGGATCGAACAAAAAGATCGCTGGTCTCAAGACATTTGATGGTCAAACTCACCTCGCTGACCTTACCATCGTTGCCGGTAATGACTACGCCGATCACTCTACATACCTGGTGGGGTTCGATCACTAAAATTTGGCTCTAGGAGGTGGTTGGACCGCCGACATCATCCCGGAGGCCCATCGCACGGTCGAGACGACAGCTGGAACAGTCTTGTTCATTGACATACCCAAAGATAGGAGAGATTTGCAGGAGAAATTTGATCCTCGATACTTTCCAGCTTGGGCTTACGAGCAAGGATCTGGCGAAGAGTATGATACAACAATGCCCTTATGCCCATTCCTAACAACTATGTCATTCACTGACCCTTTGAAGTTACTTCTGGGGGGGAGGCTTCCCAGCCAGACAAGGCCGACTGAAGTTCAACTTCCGTGGCACCAAGGTAGGTTGCTATTACTGACAGCTCATCGTTGGGCTGCTGGCAATCGCTCTGACAAAGGCGATTTCCCTTAGTATACCAATTTTCAAGAACACCCTACGGTACCTGGGCTGTAAGTGGAGTATTCTGGCCCCAGTTTTGATATTTCTGTGACTCGAGCACGTCCTGATCAAAACCCCCAACATTAGACGCACATCTACACCTCGTACCAGGGATACCGAGTTGTCCATCAGCACGGTACCTTTGAAAGGCGTCGAGATTCTGAAAGCAATTATTGCCGAAGCTTTTCCCGAGTTGGCGGAAATTGGTTTCACGGATACTAGAGTAGGTGATGATTAGCAATGACGACGATAATATTTGCATGCCTTACTAACAAGTCTTATGACATAACAGCTTTGCTGGTACATAGACAGCATTGATGAGGAGGTACGGACTCTGTTCTGGACTGGACTTTCTAAGAACTGGCACCGCCAGCCCATCTTACACGTTTCTTAGTTTGTGATCGACTACGTTCCTGGATACTCTGATACGCTCTTCATCTGCTCTGGAGGATGGTAGGCACCCTGCCTCTCCTTGACCGCGACGATTCAATTGACATGCGTGCACAGTGGCCACGGATTCAAGTTTTTGCCCGTGTTGGGAAAGGTGCGTATAGCTGCCCCCAAATGATCTTCCCATGCCATCTCTGACCGTGCCCACAATCTCTGTATAGCACGTCCTAAACCAAATAGAGCGTACAGTCGACCGATTCACTCCATTTTGGAAATGGCGCGTGGTCGACGCGGGTAGAGATTGCAACGGATTGGAGCAAGGAGAGACAGGCGCGCGAGATCTTTCCAAGGTTCGACTTGCCAAACGTGAGTCATGTTTCTATCCGTCGCTGGTTTCCCACGGCGATGAAAAGTGCTTTCGACTAATACAGCGCCGGCCTGGGTAGCTCGGGACTTCCAATTCGACAATCATAAGGGTTATGCCGTTCAGAGCCATATTTGATGGCCACGGCGTACACGTGTGAAGCGAGGAAGGTATGAGTGTCGTAGCACAGAACATGCAACGCAAGGAATAACAATGTCTACGACGTTCAGTTGTTATAGATCCAAAAGCCTCTATAGTATTGCGTTATGCAGAGGCGAAAAGAGAGAATAATGGAAGAACTAGAAGCGCTGGCCTCATGACCTTCAATTATTCCAACTTTCGGTCTTGATGTCCACCATGACAGCTCCATCGCTCCATCAAGACGTGTGCCAAAAGTCAATCAATTCCTGATGCGTGCAGTTCATGGAAGAAAACACATCGAAAGACATATCCAACGGCATGGTAGCATCGCTCAACCCTATCAAGTTTGGAAAATCGCCCGTCATCGGTGGATGGTATGCTGGGACCTAAAATTGTAGTGTTAGCCATTGTGGCTTTTGTGTGATTGCTGAGGCTCTTGCGAGCCTTGCTCGAATTGTTTGCTTACCGCGTCATCCACCTCCACCGACGTCGATGCCAGGAAGGGTGTGTCACCAGCTGCCAACGACTTGAGCATTCTGTGAAGCATCTTGATTAGTATCTCGGTTCTTCCTCACTATGGGGGAAAGCCACTCTAACGAACCTTGCAGTCTCGGAGGGGTCACTGGACATGATCTCCTGCAGCAAACGTTTCATGCGTGGCATCGTGCTACGCGTACTCCAGCTTTCATCCAGGTTGTCAGACTGACCAAGGAACGGCTCCGAAAGCTTTTCGAAAAGCTCCATGAATGGAGCCCCAGAGGGGAAATGTCGCGAGTATACGGCTAAACCGCTAGAGCAGGCCACTATTGCCCGGACAAAGCGTCGTGAGGGCAGAATGTCCGACTGCAGGGCTAGACACTGTAAGACCACAGTACCCGTGTAGAAGGTCTGGTACAGATCAACCAGCGCAGGATATGTCTGCGGGCTCAAACTCAAGGTTTTGGCTGTCTAGGGTCATAGTCAGTGCGAGTGTTCGCCGCGCCAGCTCGATGGCCGAGGACGAGGAGAAAGGGCCATACCTCGCACGCATCGACAGCTTTTTCGGCACACAGACGAAGCAGTCCAGGTTCAACGGCCTCCTGCATCAACACCGGGCGAATTGCAAGAAGGAGGGTTTGGAGATAGAACCCATGCCGCCTCTCGGCATTGTATTTTGGGATGATTGGCGACTCACTATAAGGCGCCTGTGCCTTCCATTCGTCCAAAGCAATTAGAATGTTCTGGATATCTTGTTGGGTTGGAGGGAGAGCACGCGGGCCATAGAACCGGCTCCTAGAAGAGAGACTTGAGTATAGCTTCGGGCTGGCATGGGAAAGTGGACATTTACCAGATCTCGGAAATCAGCCGGTACATTCGTAGATGATGCAAAGCTGATGACATCTGATACCCGGGTCAAGTTTTATCCAGATGCAGAATATGTGAGAAGCTCTTACAGTGGTCATTTCGACCCCCGACGGACTCGTGTCTCCAGCTTCCTGTTGGAGTTGGAGGGTTCGAATATGTTCATCATCGGTGCTCTCGACCCAGACGTCGACCGGCACCTTTTCCCTTTGTCAGCAAGTTATGAAGCCAACGCAACATAGGCGAGCCGCTCACATGAACATCGATATCTGCGTCCTGAATTCCGAAGGGGCGCTTCGCCATGGTGGAGATCACGCTGAGACAAGGTCAGCTGGATTGGATGGGCTTCCTTCAAGAATTGTGGTCCTCTACCGGTCAAGACAGTAGGCGCACCAAAATGCTCGCTTCTGTTGCTCTATGATACGCGGGTCTTGTGCGCTTATCTCCCGTTTACTCTTGCGATGATAGCCGAGTTCAATACATAGGCGGGTGATGATGCCTGATAAATGCCTAAGGCAAGATTCAGCTTCTGCTATATGCCACCAGGGTCATCAATCTGTGAATGGATGCAGCCTACCAAAGAGAAGGTCCTCCCTTTTTCATCGTTAGCCGGGACAAAGTCACGAGACAAGATTTCAAGAAACAACCTACCACAGCACGTGCATGGTATTGGCACATGGCGAGTAGACCTTGCACAGTCGTCAGGTTCTGTGGGCGGAGAACGGCGTGAAGGTACTTGAGAGCACGAGCAAAGTAGGCCTGGCCGAAATGATTAGCATGGAGCATGCAAAGTGTCGACGTGGTTCTTGCCCTTGCTGGAATCTCAGGGGTTTGGACAAAACCAGCTCCCAGAGCGTAAATGATCCAGACAAAGTACGCCCCTGTGTAGAGAAGGACATGTGAGACTCTGGTTTGAAAGTGGACGGTTCGTATTTGGATCCAGACCTATTTGTGCCTCCTGTTCATCCTGTTCTTCGGAATAACAAATGGTCTCACGTTGGCGGTGCCATTCGCGCACTCTTACCCAGTCCACAAGACACCATCTCGACTGGGTATACAGGTACGCCGACTCCAGCAGCATATTGGCAGTTTCTTCTGGCGGCAATTTGGGTAGAGTTGCAGCTTGTAATTCAGAATTGGTCGGTACACCTTGGAGCATGTTGAATTTCGTGAGCTCTGAGGTCGACTCGGGAGATTCAAGTTGAGGTCTGAAACTACTGTGCAAACTGTAAGCTCCAGGCATCGCATCAGGTGCGGATCAAACCTGCCTTTCCACAAGCTGTAGTCACAAGTCAGACTTTGTCCAAGTAGCAATACCGATCGGTTGATGGGATTACCTCTGGAAAAGAAAAGGAAGCAAGTCGTTCCAGGTCAGACGCTTCGCCAGCGCCTCCTCGTCTCGTCTCGGATCGCACGGTCCGAGGTTCTTCAGCCTGTCCTGCTCAGGTGTGAGTTAGGAAGACGGGTGCATTGGGATTCAGTGAGTTACAGACCTCTTCGTCCGTCTGACTCAGGCAAATTGCCTCTCACGAGTAAGGATTGAGGGCGGGCCACACGGAGCTCGGCTTCTAACGTAGCAATATGGGCTTCCAAGGATGCGACATAACAACACAACCGTCAGCGTTGAGTCTTGGTCAGGACGAGACAAATGCGCATACTCAGCACCTCGGGGAAGTGGATCCGTTGGCAAATCATAGATGCATTCTGGTGGCAAAGTGTCAATCAAGGGCAGCGAGAACGAGATGATGGTCTTACCAGCACCGGCCTTGATACAGGCGGCGCATTTGCTGTCTCTTGTGAGCAAACCACCGACCAACCCTGGATAATTCGGACGTACTCTTGGACGAGGCCTAGGAAATGGCATTTCAACTTTTTATTCTTGCATCGATGGCCTGATACGCCGTCAGCTGTGCGTGGCCCTCAAAGGTGAGGTGAGTTGAAGGGCTGGTGGTTGAGGTTCGCCATACATGCATTCGTACTCCGTCGGGTGGGTGCAGCATCGGTGTCATGCTTCTTTCGCTTGGTTGATCTCCTTGGGGCGTCTGGAGTAAGGTCCATAGAATTGCTTTATCAACCCCAACCGCTACTGTAAGGACAAGACAAAAATGAGTTGAACACTCCGATAGAGATGTGACAAGGATTGAAAGCCAGGGTCATTGGCAATGCCAGCGGAATAAGGGTATCTCTAGGTGCCTAAGATAATCACCTTGGCTATAGTCGCCAAGTGAGGCTTGGGGAGGTGGAAGCCTAACGATCCCGCTCCGCGTGCCCTTTTGGACGCTGCACATGCGAAGATGCTTGGAGATTCCACTTGATTCAATTACTGTCTATATCTCATAACCTGAATGGGATTACTGAAACCTCAAAAGCGGAACATTGGTCAGTCTGCCGTTGGCTTTTCAGAGTGTCCTGGGCCTCGCGCCTGTGTCGCTCTGCAACGAGCTGAAACAGATCCCTCGGGCGGCTTCAAGAAATAAGTTGACATGTCGATTCTAATGCTATCTTGATCTGCAATACCACCATCGACTTACCATCCAGATTGAAATGCTAGCCTTCGTTGTTCCAAGCAAAGCGTCCAAGCAGAAAGGTATCCACAAATCACCATTGTTCAATTTTGCGGAGATTTATTTCTCCGGAGGTTAAAAGATACCTACAACGCACAGCAAAGCACAACGTCATCTTGTTTTATCTCATCAACTCCCACGTCGCCATGTCATGGGTTTCCGAAGGAGACCAGTTGCTCTATTACTGTTGGGTATCACAATATTTCTCTTGATCCGGAGGTTTTTGTCTGTCTTCAGGACTGAAAGACTGGGATCAGTTCCAGCCTCCTTTGACATTCCAGATGAACAGCCACGACCCAAGGATGGGTATGCAAGCCATGCGAACGAGATCGTGATAATGCTGCCAGATACGGGGACATTACAGAATCCCCGTATCCAGCATAAATTCCCGGCCGAGACAGCCAGGGAGAAACAGACTCGCCTTACACGTCTTGACCACATCAAGGAGGCGACGTTACATGCCTGGACTGGGTATCGCAAGCATGCTTGGATGAAGGATGAGTTGATGCCGGTGACCGGGGGTCATCGCACCACGCTAGGCGGCTGGGCTGCAACTTTGATCGACTCTCTTGATACGCTCTGGTTGATGGGACTGAAAGATGAATTCGAGGAAGCCGTGCAGGCCGCGGCGACGATCGACTTTGACGAATCGGCAACCATACCCGTCAACGTCTTCGAAACAACTATCAGATACCTGGGAGGGCTGTTGGGTGCATACGACGTCAGCGGTGGCAAGTATCCCATCCTGCTTCGGAAGGCTCTCGAAGTCGGCGATATGCTGTACCTCGCTTTCGATACACCTAGCCGAATGCCCATCACACGATGGTCTAAGATTGGAGTCGAAGTCGCGGGTGGTGACACAGTCGTTGCTGAGCTGGGAACCTTGACCCTCGAGTTCACTCGACTCACCCAGCTGACCGGCGACAACAAATTCTACGACGCCGTGCAGCGAATTGCAGACTGCTTCGAGCAGCAACAAGGCAACACCAGAGTTCCTGGCTTGTTTCCACACACTGTCAATGCACGGGACTGTTGGTTTGCTGATGGAGTGACGTTCTCGATTGGTGGCTCGGCTGATTCTGTCTATGAATACTTTCCTAAACAGCATCAATTACTCCGTGGTGCCATAGGACAGTATAAGAGGATGTATGAAACGGCACGAGATCCTCTGCACAAGTACTTGCTATCAAGACCCTCCACGCCATCTGGTCAAGACATGCTCCTGGCGGGCATCTACAAAAGTTATGTCAATGGCCGGAAGGAATTCATTCCAGAAGTCCATCATCTTTCATGTTTTGCCGGCGGCATGTTCGCCCTGGCTTCCCGGCTGTTTGAACAGCCCCAAGACTTGGACACGGCGAAACAATTGGTTCAGGGCTGCATATGGGGATACAATCAAACGGTAACGGGGATCATGCCAGAGAGATTCCGATTCCTGCCTTGTGCCACCACCAACGATGACTCTGCATGTGCTTGGGACGAGCAGGCCTGGACCAAGTTGATTCTCAAGCACTCAAGTGAATTGTCCATCACCGAGCGAACTCTATCTGCAGAGGATCGTGTGGCAATTCTGAGTCAGAGACTTGGTCTTCCCAAAGGCATGCCAGACCTGGTCAGCCCGGAATACTACTTGCGGCCAGAGGCCATTGAGGCTATTTTTGTCCTCTATCGTGTCACGGGCGACGAGACGCTGCGTGAGACGGCCTGGGTCATGTTTGAAAACCTTGTTCGGCATACCCGGACTGAGTTTGGGTTCTCATCTATCCGCGACGTGACGAAGCCTGATTCAGCTAAGCTGGATAGGATGGAAAGCTTCTGGATCGCAGAGACATTGAAGTATTTCTATCTTTTGTTCTCAGACCCCAGTGTCATCAGCCTGGATGACTTTGTTCTGAATACTGAGGGACACCCTTTTCGGCTGTAAACTACATGACTGGCTGCGTTTATGATGGATAGCATAGGATAGGAATGGAATGCACAAAATTAGATATAGAAGGAACACGCGTCGCTTCATAGACAATCATTATTGAAAGGCAAGAGTGCTTCATAGTCAGCTGGTCATCAGAAGATCTTCCCTAGAACTTGCCTCACATCATCTGCGATCGGGGGCTCATTTGTCCTGTCTTTATCCTGTCGCTGCTGTCCAGCGTCTTTTGATCCATGGACATCAAACTGCCTCCACATCCTCTTGACTTCGTCGCCATTAGGTGCTACGTCGCCGGTGGTGGCCTTGGCCTGTTTTTCTTTCTTTCGCTTCATGCCTTGCAAGCGTCGTCCTTCCTCGACACCCTCGACAAAAGCCTTGGTCTCCTTCATGATGGTTCTGCGCTCCTCGTCTCTCCGGCCTTCGACCTCGCGTTTCTCCTCTCTGACACCAGCCATCAACTCCTCCCAGCGCATTCCACGTAGGTATTTCATGTTCCAGATATCATCGTGGTAGAATCCGCCTTTCTTGCCGCCGACAGGCTGTGCATTCAGCGTCTCGGCGCACAGGCGTGCCGTTTTCTTGGATGCAAACTCGATCCATCCTTCACTGTATAGTTGGCGCGAGTTCTTTCGCGAAGTTGATTTATGTTTGGATACCGGTGCTAGGAAAAGCCGTGTAATTGGGTGAAAGCCGCGTTGTAGCAGCAGGTTGCGAAGGGCTGAGGGTTTGAGGTACGGTGGGAGGGAGGACAAGTAGACGACACCCGGTGGTGGGGGGGACTTGTTGGCCTTTTTGGACTTGGATTTTGATGCTGATTTCTCGGCGGGCTGCTGTGAGGTTTCTTTAGTTGTGGTATCTTCAGGTGTGACGTCTTTTGATATTGAGGGTTCGGAGGGGATAGGTCGCTGGGGATCTTCGTCCTCATCTTTGTGGCTCAAGTGTGATCTGGCTACGGGTGTGGGCGCTGCCTTCCCTGAATCGCTGTCACCTTCGTCATCGGAGTTGTCATGGTCGACTTTGCGCCTCTTGGTCGCTCTTCTGCTTGTCTTGGAAATCTCTGCCGCTTCCGAGTCGTAACCTGCATCGCTATCGGATTCGTCGGAGGGGCCATGATCGAGATATGCGTTTGCTTTATCCGCGGCCATGTTGTATGGGTTCGTGGTTTCTCAAGTTCACTGAGGATATAAGTTATAGAACTCCCATTTTAGAGGCAGCAGATCACAATCTGGTCGTAAGTGGAGGATACCAGTGCACAGAATGGCTGATGTGAAGATGTGAAGATGCGGAGAAAATTACTTTTTTTGAGCGCAGTGAGTGAAGGCAAGGCTGCGCCTCAGCCTTGCACGAATATCTGATACCCGAGAAAAAGTGTGGGATTTCCACAATACCCAAATGCACTGAGCACTGACTGACAGCCAATTGTCTCTACACTCATGGATTGCTATACAGTCATTTATCCAGGCCTAATCATATGACACTGGCCAAATTCTAGATATCTTTTACAACCGTGGCGCTGGCTGGCCCCATTGAATCACTCCTTTTACTTCTTTTGTATTTCTCGCCAGCACATCTTCGACCTTTTCCTTGACACCAGCCTTGTTGTTCCACTTTCTTAGGACCTCGGCAAGAATAGCCCCTGCACCTTTGCTTCCAACCTTGTTGACCACCGCTTCAATGTCGGATTCGCGGGGCAAAGAGAAGATGGCGTGAGGATACTCGGTATACTCGGGGGCTGGTGAGCCCGGATATGAGGGAATCAATTCAATTGTTTCCTCGGGCGTAGGAATCTGGAAGAACTTGTCCACATCCTCCTTGGAGACTTGCGCCAGAGTATCGGGCTTCCATTGAGGCTTGGTCGGAGGCTTGTTGATCAATCGAGCAGACACCCCTTCGGTAAAGTCAGGGTGGGCCATAAACTCGGCCGCCATCTTGTGTTCCCGGATAAAAGTTTCTCTGATGTTCCAGTTTTTGCCTTCTCGGAGTTGCCGTAGAGTGACACGGAGACTGGTGGGTGAGCGGAGGGCAATAGTTTTCTCAGTTGCTTTGGCCCACTCAGCAATCTTAGCATCCGAAGATTCGACTTCTTTGCTCAGGGCGGACAGAATCTCTTCGACGGAGTCGAATTTGAACACACGGTCGATTGCCTCTCGTAGAGTCCCGGTTAGGTTTCCGTACTGCGCTTTTTCGTATGAGTCTGGGGTAGGAAGGTCATTGGTGAACTCGGAAATAGTCGAGTTGATGATTTGCAGTCGTTCGTTCAATGGCATATAATCCTTAAATGTCAATTCAGAAAGTCGTGTTGTCAGCTGTTGCAACAGCGAGCTGTCGAGATAATGGGTCGCAATACCGGCGTAAAACGCTTGAACTCCCAGTAGCCGTTCTGATGTGAGGGCAAGGTAGGTGCCAATCTCGCCGTCAAGGCGAGAAAGGAAGAAACTCCCTCCCACATCTGGGAAGAAGCCAATGGTGGTTTCGGGCATGGCGAAAACCGTCTTCTCCGTCGCAATGCGGAAAGGTGCGTGGACGGACAGACCAACACCACCTCCCATGGTGATGCCGTCCATGACCGCAATGTAAGGTTTGCTCAAAGTCGCAATGAGGAGATCGAGCTTGTATTCGAGGGCAAAGTAGTCGGCCGAGGCCTTTTGTCCCTCTGGTCCTTTCTTGTTCTGTTCCGCCAACTCGGCAACATCACCACCGGCGCAGAATGCTTTTGGGCCTGCGCCACTGATCATGACGATATTGGCCATGTCGGACTTCTCCCATTCTCGCAGCCGTGGAAGGATCTTTCTAACCATAGAGCCATTGAGCGAGTTGAGCTTCTTGGGTCGGTTAAGTTCGACGGTTCGAACGCCGTAGAGGGAACTAAATTGGACATCATCTGGGTCGTCACCGGGAAGTTCTTTGGGGAAGTCGCCGTAACGGACGGTCGATGAGGACATCTGCTGCAAGTCAGTACAATATCCTCTAGGACTCGGGGGTTGGCTTGACCTACGGCTCGTTGACCGAGAGTGGAATAGAGGAACGAAGGTCGAGAAGAATTGGTCAGGACTTTGGACTGAATCGCAGGTCTGGACGCTCGGAGGGCAGCAGCGTATTTTGAATAACAGACCTTCATGACTGAGTTGGAGAAGGAACGGCAGTCATGAACACCCAGACTCGTCAGTGGGAGCACAATTGGTAGGAGATGGCAGTTGGCCAGATCAGTAGTCAATTAATTGTTGATGCTGCTCGGATCTTCATATTCTTGGGGCCGATGTTGAATTTCGGACAAAGTTCCGGTCCGAGGCTGGAGAATGGGGAAGCGAGATGATCACGTGTGTAGCATGAAGAGTGGTATGCTTCGACCTATACATGTACGGAGGAGTGTCAAAATGTCTGTGCACTTTATTTGTCTTCTTGGCAGGCGCCTCATTGTTGAATCCTGCATTGCTCTTGCCTTGAATGACTCCGTCTTTGTCATTGGCCGAAGTGGCAAAAAGTCTGATAAATCCAGGCTTCTTTTCCAACCTCTTCCATCTTCTATCATATTTCATCTCAGAACGACCTCTTGTCAGTCTCTTGCGGAGGCAGGTCCTCTTCTCTTTATTTATTCAACTCCGGTTGCTAAAACCCAAGAAATCACAAGATTATCGAAGAACGACCTTGAAAATGTCGATGGATCTAGACTCGGTCGCTTTGCCGTCAGTCCATCGCCCGCAACAGTCTGCCACTATTTTATGTTGCAATTGTGGTGCGCCAATCGACGGAACCCAGTCGGCAGGTGCATTGTGTTATGACTGTATCAAACTCACCACCGATGTGTCTGAGGGCATCCAGCGAGAAGGCGTAATCCACACTTGCAGAGATTGTGAAAGATGGCTCAGTCCACCTTCACAATGGGTCACAGCTGCCATGGAAAGCCGGGAGTTGCTGGCTTTGTGTCTCAAGAAACTGCGGGGCCTCAACAAAGTCCGAATCATTGATGCTAGCTTTTTATGGACCGAACCCCATTCTCGCCGAGTCAAGGTCAAAATCACTGTCCAGCAAGAGGCTTACGAAGGCACCATTCTACAGCAGACCTTCGAGGTCGAATACGTCGTCGCCTACCAACAGTGTCCAGAGTGCGCCAAATCATACACCCCCAACACCTGGAGAGCCTCTGTCCAAGTCAGGCAGAAGGTCCCTCACAAGAGAACTTTTCTCTATTTAGAACAGCTTCTCCTCAAACATGGTGCTCACAAGGATACCATCAACATCAAAGAAGTCAAAGATGGTCTCGATTTCTACTTTGCCCAACGCAATCATGCCGAAAAGTTCGTCGATTTCCTGACCTCGGTCACTCCTGTCAGAGTCAAGAAGTCTCAAGAACTCATCTCTATGGACGTCCACACCTCAACGAAGTCTTATAAATTCACATATTCCTGCGAACTTCTCCCCATATGCAAGGATGACCTTGTGGCGCTCCCATTAAAACTCGCAAAGTCAATTGGCAATATTTCCCCCCTCTCATTGTGCTACCGAATCGGCACATCCGTCAACCTGATAGACCCGAATACCTTGCAGACCGCTGATTTGCCATCGGCAATATATTGGAGGGCGCCGTTCAAAAGCCTGGCAGATGTCAAGGAGCTAGTCGAGTTTATTGTGTTGGACATTGAGCCAACAGCCACGCAGAACGGCCGATTCTTTGGTGCCGAGGTGACTGTAGCACGAGCCTCAGATTTAGGCGTCAATGATACCACATACTTTTGCCGAACTCACCTTGGAGGTGTCCTCCACGCAGGAGACTCGGTACTCGGGTACCACCTCACAGGTACTAATTTCAACAACCCCCAATTCGAAGAGCTAGAGCAAAACAACACCTACGGTTCCACGATTCCGGATGTACTATTGGTCAAGAAATACTATGCCCGGAAGAAGAAGCCCAAGGCGCGCAGCTGGAAACTCAAGCGAATGGAAAAGGACGAAGGAGAGCTTTTGCCCAAGAAAGCCGACCAAGAACGCATGGATGCAGACTATGAAATGTTCCTACGGGACGTGGAAGAGGATTCGGAACTTCGCCAAACTCTCGCTCTGTACAAGGCGCAGCAGCAACGTCGGGCAGCGGACGAGATGAGCATGGCAACGTCGGCTGATGACGAAGTGCCTCAGATCAACATGGATGAGTTGTTGGAGGACTTTGATGAATTGAATGTCAACGATATGGAATCATGACCACCTATCGCCGCGACGGATTGTTAGGCATATAGCCTCGTGGAATGAAATCTGTTCATGTCACGCTCGCTTATCTTCACGTACAGTCACCTTTGTCGATGACGTTGTGCTACGTGGAGTGATTACTTTGGCTGCAGCAAGCCCGAACTTGGCCAATTTACAGTCTGGTATCTTCGACTTGTCGCGTCAGACAAGAAAGCCACCGAATTATCGCATGGATAATTAACAAGCCATTCGGTTCCTGGGTCTTTAATCATAATCTTGAATGACACCACCTGATTCCACACTTCGTTCGGCTCACATGTCTCTGCTGACAGGCATTAGAGACACATCTCGGAGTGGCGAGGCCTCCAAATCTCAACTCGCCTGTCCCGACCTTACATACTCTATTTCGGGGCCAAATCTTGATGACAAAGTCAAGTTACACGCCCTACATAGCTCACCCGAGGTTCATTCTTTGTCCTCGTGGCGACAGCTCGTCTAGCTAGTCATAAATCCCTTTTAATGTCACTACTGGACGCTACATCCATTGATATGCCAATAAAACGGCACAACCCCTCCTGATTCTGATTCTGATTCTTAATGAACACGCCCGGACAACCATAGTCCCTTTGTTCATCTCCATGCCCATGGGTGAGTTCTGGTCTCTCTTTCTCCCCTCGGCCGCGTAACATAGACGCGTGTGCCTGTAAGACCGCACTTTGAAATCCCCTGCAAGGCACGGTGCCAACCGAATCGCCTACACATACCTCAAAAAGGCCTTCGGCCTCTTGAGCCCAAGATAAGCATATTTGTAATTCAAGCAAGGCTGGGCTGTGGATTAGCAACGTTATCACTCCGGTAGAATTTTTTTCTTCAAGAGGCTATGGCATCCCAGCAGAGCCAGGTGGTTCAGACGTTTGTGACTTTGCCCCACATATCTTCTTAAGCAACATCTTCAGTATCATCACACACCATAATCCTCAGAATTATCATAATTATCATGCTAGCGAACCTTGATAAGGTACAGCGCATCGCGATTCTGGGCTTCTTCTGGGCAGCTTTGTCTCGCCTTACTGGGCGCCGCAGGGGGCCTAAAGTAAGGTTGTGACCTAGGCAAGTCTCCTGAGTCCAGCAAACAAAGAACATAATTATGTAGTAATTTTATAAAACGCCAACCGCCGCGGAGGCATTGGTCAATCGCCATTGCTAGGATAGGTTATTGGAGACAGCCTACAAATTGGATCGCTCGAGCGATCACCTTGTTCATTGATTTCGACGGTCTCTCCTATACAATGGCTTCTTCTATGATGGATTACAACCGTCGCATTGAGCAGGCTCGCCAAGTTGAATACCCACAGTTACATACGACCACATACCTGGATCATGCTGGGACAACATTATACGCTCAGTCCACCATTCAATCCTTTGCTCGAGACATGCAAACCAACCTCTACGGAAACCCTCATTCTGAATCGCCGTCATCGACGCTGTCGACTATCTCCGTTGATGAAGTCCGAGGACTTGTGCTGCAGCATTTTGGAGCTGATCCCAATAGCTTCGATGTTGTCTTTGTGGCTAATGCTACGGCTGCGATAAGAGTTGTTGCGCATGCATTCCAAGATCGAGGCTTTTGGTACGGGTTCCACAAAGATGCCCATACCAGTTTAGTTGGAGTTCGGGAGCTCGCGAGTGCAGGCCATCAATGTTTTGCCTCGGACAAAGAGGTTGAGTCATGGATTGAATCAGGTCTGGACATAGAGACATGTGGACCACGTCTCTTTGGATATCCTGCCCAGTCCAACATGACCGGATACCGTCCTCCTCTAGAGTGGGCTGGCCAAATCCGAGAGAAAACACAGTTACACAAGTCACGTACCTATACACTCCTCGATGCCGCCTCATACTTGACCACTGGCAGCCTGCACCTGAGTAATGCCAACACAGCCCCGGATTTCATCGCTCTGTCATTTTATAAGATCTTTGGCTTTCCGGATCTTGGGGCCCTGATTGTACGAAAAGACGCTGGTGAAGTCCTGCTGTCGAGAAGGTACTTCGGTGGCGGCACAGTGGATGTGGTGGTTGCGGTCGGGGACTCATGGCATCGATTACATGGCGAACACCTTCACGATGCTTTGGAAGACGGAACACTCCCCTTCCACAACATTATTGCACTGAAACACGCCATGGATGTCCACAAAAGAATTTACCAGTCGCAATCGCAAATATCAGCCTGGACAGCCCATCTTTCTGAATACGCATACTCAAATCTGAGCAGACTGGAGCATTGGAATGGAAAACCTGTGATCATTATTCGCAAAGATTCAAGAGCCCAGTATGGCCAGCCGACCAGACAAGGCCCCATCATCTCGTTCAACATACAGTGTCCTCGCGGCAAGATTATCAGCAACAGTCGCTTTGAAGGTCTTGCGGTGGCATGCGGTATCCACTTGCGGACAGGAGGTGTGTGCAACCCAGGAGGACTCGCAACTATGCTGGACCTCGATGCATGGGAGATAAAGCGTAATTTCCTGCAGGGTACACGATGCGGCGGCGAGATCGATGTCCTCGGCGGAAAGAGCACCGGCATCGTTCGTATCAGTCTCGGGGCTATGTCCACGGTTGGTGATGTGCAGACTTTCATCGACTTTGTACGTCAATTCTTTGTTTGCAGCAAAGAGCAGGCACCTGAAGCAGTCTCGACACAGAATCTGCCTGACCTAAAAGGTCACACAACTAGCATCACCCCTATAGAAGGGGGTCCGGAAATGCCAGTCCCATTTCAGGATTTCTACTCGCCCGTGGAAGCTGACAGGGAATATGCAACCTTGCACGAACAGTGGATCGTCGTGGACCCGATCACGAGGAAACGGTTGTACGGGTCTAAAATAGAAACACGCCTGCGGGAACTGATTGTTTATCTCGACACAGCAAAAGGTTCTATGACATTATCGCACCCCGAAAGCAACAGTGATGAGCCCGCTACTATCTCAATCAATATTCGACCATGGGAGCAAATAACGCCTCACTCTTTTCTACCTGACAAGACGACAGAGCCTGATGGTCTCCCTCACCCAGATCAAGAGGTCGAAAAGTTTCTCACCTCTCTACTAGGCGTGAGCAGTACGCTGGCCAGGCGGACCGAAAAGGATGATATGCAGGCTAAGTCACGCAGAGGCCGGCATATCTGTGTAGCTTGGTGGTGCAACAAAGAGATGAGGTCGGCCAAGGAGTTGGACGTTCACTACCACGAGCACGCCGCGGTGTTTTTGGAGAGGAGAGGCAGCCGGTCTTCCAATCGAGGTGGAGACCAAGGCTATCCAGAAAAGTCTCTTCTTGAGCAACCCTATTACAATGGCGGCAACTTGGACCCCAATATCGGCAAACCGGTGAAAGTGGCAGCGAAGAGGACTTGGCCTTGGGCTTGGGTGTGTGGGCTTCGTGAGAGGCGGACGAGGGTGGGAGAGAAGTCATAGTTCGGTCGAGATCGGGTAGCTAATTATGTGGACCATGGTTTCTTTTGAGGTGGTGAGCGAGTGAACCGGTTTGTCTACGATATACCCAGCATAGCATTGCATTACCCTAAATTATATAAAGGCGCGTTGCGAGGAGTTTGTTCATTTGATGGCGCGCATGTTTTATTTAACTTGTTTTTCTACCTACTCCAGCTATGAGGCACCGCACGCCACTGTAGTGCTCCTAGCTTAGTTACTCATGTTTATTCGATATATCTTTCACAGGTATAGAGAACGAGGAGGGGAAGAAAAGAGCAAAGGTCTTGGCGGAACTCAGCCGCCGCTCGGCCCCCTTCACCGTCAGCCTTGCCAACCCTTGCCTAAGAAAAAGGCAACTCGACTAGACGGCGTCTTTTCCTTTCAACGCCTATTTCAAGCCATGCTTCCCGGGGTTCGACTTTCCAGCCCCCAAACCAGCCGTGAATCATGACTGGACTTATCACCTTCGTCGGCAATTGGGATTGGGCCACTCGATGCGCTACACGACGGTTAGTCGAAGCGAGCGAACATGTCCACTTATTACAGGCGCTCAGGCCTTGTCGATGCATCCACGATGTATAGGCTATGCATCTTTATAGACGCACACGGGATGTAGGCTTCTAAACTCAAAACTGACTTTCGCAGATTGGATCCTGATGAGCCGGTCACATTATGTACGTTGGTAGACCGAGGCATTGATTCATTCGTCATATCCTCCAGAAATTGGTACACAGAGTTCGCCAACAAGGCAGCTTCACCAAGCTAGTGCGCCCGATCCGTGAGCAAACCGGTAAGGGCATAATCATGACTTCTTTTACTCCGTGGCTTGATGTGAGCCCAGTGGTAACTCAGGACTAATCTGGCAGAAGAGGGGGCTTTCGGCCAGATAAGAAGATGAATGTGTTTCAAATGGTTCTTCCTCTCTTCTCTTCCTAACAGTGTGTTTCCGTTCTAGAAAACCTCGCGTCTCATTGTTAGACCGGCCATACACAGAACGACATGGCCCACAACTCTTTGAAGCGTCCGTCCTTTGGCGACATTGTCCCTCTGGGGGCTCTCTACGATGCCAGGACTGACTCCTTCCTCTCGGACCAACTTCTACAGAGCTTTCCACCCCCGGCATCCATTCTCGTCACAGACAAGGCTTCAATTACAGTGCAACTCTCCGAGAGCCATACATATTATGATAAGCTGGCTCTGCTTGGAGCCAGTCCAGACCTGGGAGCCAGTTTGCTAACCGGACTCAATGCATCCAAGGCTTCAGCATGTTTCCTGACAGAGGATCAAGGAGCAGAAAGTAATCTTGCAGTGGCTCTGTCCCTCAGGCACTGTGTGACCACTGTTCACGAAAAGCTCAACTTTGGTGCCAATGAAGTAAAGGCCTCAATCAACTTATCATGTCTCCAGCAGTCGCAGGCCACCCATGTCGTCGCTGAAATCACATATGGCTTCCAGAACATAGTCACCTCCTCATGTATCAGAAACCCTTCTCAGCCTGGACATGAGATTAGACAATATTTGCACAACCATCTAGCTGCCATGGAAGATGGTATCCTGCGAGGCCAGGTTACTGACCCGGGCTCGACACCTGACAGAAAACCTACTGATTCTATCAGCGTCCTGCTGTACTCTGACCAAGTTGCATCAACAAAGGCACATCCTACCGACTTTCGAAGCGCAAAGGATTTCTTGTTGAATTCTCGTGACCATGCCGCAAAGTTCAATGGCGGCAAAGGTATCCCTCTCACATACACGTTACTCCCAGTAGAGTGGCTATCATTCATTGCATCGATCGAATTACCATCGACATCACAGTGGGTGCAACCTGATGCGGACTACTTGGCCGACTTCTTCGGCCTCCTCGAGGACAATATCCAAGTACGAAAGAGGCTGCAAGATTACTGGTCATATCTGGGCAGACACAAGCATCTTGTCCCACCGCAACATTTGGACGAAGTTACTGCTCAGCTCAACCGAGCAGTCGCAGTCACGAAGGAGATCAAGACCCAGTACGGCCAGCTATTGTACGCAGTCCGCTCCGGAAAGACACCAGCCAAGCAGCTATCAGGCCTAATCGACTCGTTCCGGAACGGAGGTTCTTCTCCAACAAGTTTGCTGTCCGTCGTCGACGTGTATACGCGGAAGCTGGCATTTATTGACCTAATGACGTCTAAGGGCGCCGTATACTTTCGTGATGGACAGCCACTAGATCTTCCCAAGGGCAATGTGTACACTCTTTACTTCACTCGAACTTGTATGGCAGACACACAGCTGTGGAATGAGAATTCAGGCCTGCTTGAACAGCTGCTGGACGACAATTCAAGCAAGAAGACGATTCGAATGGTCGACTGTGACGACTCATCGCGCAAGATTCAGAACGTGACGGTCAGATATCACCGAGATCGTCAGTTGATCACTGGTGACCTGCGCAGGCTGCGCCAATTCCTCAACGACAAGTGTCTGATGCGTTTTGACGATCGTCACCTTGATTCGTGGGGAGTCAAGAAGCCGTTGGAAAGAAAGCCGATGAGGTTGCCGTGCCCAGCGTTAACTTGCGATCCCCAAGCCGCGTGCAGTTGGATCTGCTCTCGATGCTACTCTCCAATCGACTATGGGTTCCAGGACGGGTATATGTACTGCGACTGTGGACGCACTCAAACACGATACTGGGCTTACAGGTGTAATGCCACTCATCATGGATCTGACTTTATGCGATACGACAACCGCCATCTGAGCCACTTGTTGAAGGGTCTTGAACCTTTCGAGGAGCTCAACATCCTGATCTTGGGTGAGACGGGGGTTGGGAAAAGTACCTTTGTCAATGCTTTTGTCAACTATTTAGCCCATGAATCTTTGGATGAGGCGATTCAAGCCACTGACATTGAGCATGTCATTCCTTGCTCCTTTGCAACTCAGACTATTGACGAGACCGACTCACAAAAGAAACTTGTCCAAACTCAGATCAAAATTGGGTCCGCAAATGATGAAGAGTTTGATGGCTCCAAAGGCCAGTCCGCCACGCAAAAGACGCTGACTTATCCAATCTTTGTCGGATCAACCATGATTCGTCTCATCGACACTCCAGGGATCGGCGACACTCGAGGGGTGGAGCAAGACCGGAGGAACATGGCAGATGTTCTGTCGGTTCTTCGAAATTACAAGGAGCTTCACGGAATTCTGGTATTGTTGAAGCCAAACAACTCTCGTCTGAACGTCATGTTCAAATTCTGCATCAAAGAGCTGCTCACTCACCTACACCGAAACGCTGCCCAGAATATGGTCTTCGGATTCACCAATACTCGTGGTTCCAACTACAACCCAGGCGACACTTTCAAACCACTCGAGGCGCTATTAAGTGAATACAAAGATGTCAAACTAGGATTGTTCCATGACACGGTATACTGCTTTGATTCGGAGAGTTTTCGCTACCTCGCGGCTCACAAGCAAGGCGTGAACCTTGGCAGCTTCGATGACTATGTCCGCAGTTGGGAGCAGTCGGCGACCGAGTCTCGGCGGCTTCTTCAACACTTCCGAGGGTTGGAACCTCATCAGGTCAAGAATACCTTGAGCTTGAATGAGACTCGCCACATGATTCTTCAATTGACCAAGCCAATGGCGGAGATTGCGCAGAAGATCCAAGACACCATTTCTCTGAATGAGCGAGACGCGGAACTTTTGCGCAACAGCAAATTGAGTAAGGTTGACATGCTTCAAAAGTTGACAATACAGCAGTCGTCTGTTGTTTTCACACCAGTGCAACGACCAAAAACAGTGTGCAGCAATGCCAAATGTATTGAGAAGGTGGACACTCTAGGGCCAAATGGGGAAGACACCATTCACACGAGCCTGTGTCATGATCCATGTTGTTTGACGAATGTTCCTGTTGAGAAGGTGGGGACACCCGAGTTGATCGAGTGTTTTGCGTTCAATCATACACCAAATTGTCTGAAATGTGGCCACCATTGGACCGAGCACAAGCACATTCTGTACGAACACAAAGGGACGACGAGAACGATCAAAGACCCCAAGGTAGAGATGCTGCTCAAGGACAACGCGCAGGTGACGACAGTGATCGAAGCTGCGATCAAAAGTAAAGAAGCCATGATTGCCGAGTTCAAATATGAACACAGGGAGATCCAGAAAGCAGCAGTCCAGTTCAGTCTTTGGTTGAAGCGACATTCAATCACCCCTTACAATGATGCCACACTGGAATACCTTGATCATCTCATCAAAGAAGAGACGTCCAGAGTGCAGGTTGGGGGGAATAGAGCTCGTCTGGATGCCTTTGAACAGTATCGCCGTGAGTACCAGGAATTGGTGAAGGTGTTCCAAGCGAACATTGGGCGAGGATCAGCTGAGGAGTCGATGGACGCCGAAGGAGTCGACAAGCTCATCAAGCAGCTATACTCGCTCAAGCACTACGGACAGGACCTTCGCAAGCTGAGAGATGTGGTGGTCATCGCACATGCCGCAACATATCGAGAACGTCCTTATCGTGTGAGATGGAACCGAGGATACGCCATAGGGTATGAAAGCATGGAGCCTGGATCTTATGAGCCGATCAGAATTTCCAAGACCTGGGAACGGCCACGAAACCCATTTGGATTTCTAGACAGATCCAGGCATAGCAGACATCAGTCAAGTGGGGCAAGAGATCCACACATCGACCCCTATAACGAGAAGGCAGGATATAACGAGAAATCAGTGTACGGGGAAGAGGTTAACGAGAAGGGAGAGCTTCAGCCGGAGATGTCGAGCCCAGGGCAAACAATAACTTCCGCCATGGCCCCTCCATCATATTTTGAGGCTGCAATTTCGCCCCAACATTCAGGGATTGGTTTACATGGAAGACGGTTGGGATCTCGATCATTGAGCAGTAAGTTGTCGAGCAAACTTTCGCTGCTTTTCAAGTAAAGATAAGTCACGTGTGAAGACGGATTAGTCAGGGTGTTTGGAGGGAAGGTTGGAGTTCTGCTGGGATGCGCCTTCCTGTGAAACAGGATGTATTCCGTAATTACAAGAGGTATCTTTTGTACTTAGCACTGCTACATAGTAATGAGGAAGAGGTGAAAGGAAGACGCGACGAGGCTGTCGTTTTCTTGGCAATGACATCATTTTTGTTGGTCTTGGGAAGTTTCAAAGTCCCTCACTCCAAATCGACGCCATCTGCACCCTTAGAGAATCTCGCAGCTTTGTCACCTCTCCCGAACATTCTCCCCTTCTCTTGCCACGAGGCTCAACAAACAAATGTCTCGTTTGGCCACGACGCACCGATTCTCTAATAAGATGGATGTGATTTTGAGAACTGCCCTGTAGCATCCTCTAACCCTCATGCGTTTCACCACCATGAATCAATCATTGATATCTATGCCGTGGGTATGCGCCTCGTGCGCGAGACGATTGACGTCCTCTGCAGCTGGCCTGCATTCTACATCCTCCCCGATCACTTCCCTCTGGCGCAATAAGGCCATTGGGAATCTCGGACGCCCTTCTAGACGCATGCTGCATAACTCAACCTCGAGGCTCGAATCCTCCGCTCCACGGCAGGCTGTTCCGCTCGGAGATTTCTACACAGACCTTCTTTCCACGCCACTTCCCAAGCAAGACCATACCGTCAGTACCCTACCTGTATTTGTTCAGTCTGGAGATGAGACAAAGGAGGAACGAGCTAGGAAGCTCTTTGGGACTATGGAAAGATATCGTAGTCAGATATCGGAAGAACCAGATGCAACATGGCGAACAATCAACGGCGTCCCTGTCCCACCTCGTCCGGGTGAACCAGACAATTGCTGCATGAGTGGCTGCGTACATTGTGTTTGGGATGACTACAGAGATGAGGTGGAGTCATGGGCCGAGATACTCAAAGCAGCAAAAGCTAAAGCTCCCAAGCGGACTACCGATGACGCGATCAAAGCAAATATGCCTCGCGCTGAAGTCAGCGAAGCAAGTGCGAGTATGGACGACGACGGAGGGGGAAGTGAAGGTCTATGGACAGAGCCCTCAACAGATCCGGACAGTCTGTTTCAAGAAATCCCAGTGGGGATCCGAGCATTTATGGCGACGGAGAAGAAGCTTAAAGAGAAGAAGAGGGCGAAGAAAGAACTGTGACACTTCTTTGAGACGAGCAGAATAGTGGCTTCAGGCGAGTAAGCTGGTACATGTCCAGCTAGGTATATCATGAGGACTTGCATAGGACGAAGCTCAGACAGGGCACCAGGCTGGTCAATCGGCGGAGCAGTCAATACTTGGAGCGATATCGACGACCAAAACGAAGACTTACGACTTATTAGAATCAGCAGCGACCTTAGATGATACCTACTCTGAAAGAGTTTATGTTCATTCAATAGCAATAGAGACATCACGTGCCCAGGCTACAAAAGATAAGGCATTCCGATGACCGGAGGACCATGGGGGTATCGGTCTAGGCTCTAGTAGCCCATAAGTTTAAGTAAGCAGGTCAGGTCTAGGCTCTGGTTGCTTATACAAATGGGGAACACGGGAGCACCCTGGACCCCGCGTTCCATGCCCATCGATGTCATCTTCTCCACCAGCCAGAGTTCGATCCCCGGCTTCTCTCTCATAATCCGCTGTCTGAGCTGCTATTTCCGGGCGAGTGATGAGCCCTCCGCAAAAGTGACAAAGGAATAACCACATATCAAGTCACTGATTTCATCCCCAGGGTCTTGATGCTTTACTGCCCCTGTGCCTGTGATTTCCAAGCAAGCAAGTCAAACACGAGGAAGTCGCCGTCACGTGCGGTGCATCCATCACATCGTAAGGAAGGACCAACACTGAAAACCTCAAATCGAGTAAGTCAACCTCAAAGCAAGGTTAAGGGATCGAGGGACACACCAGGTATTTAATGGGCATTGAATCGCCCAAATCTGGACTGTCTCAGCATGAGAATACTCATCTCTTCACTACGATCCATCTCCGCTATCCCATCATTTACAGTTCCCTTTGGTCCAGTCCCTCTACTGTCCAAAAGAAGACGACAACTACTCTACCCATCATACCCTGACCATCTCCACCGAACACTCCCACACGCAAGAATGTCTACATCAACTCCCACAGCCGACCCATGCAGCCCACGCCGACCGTCTCCTCCCACTCATGTCCTCGAAACAGCTCTCCAGGTCCAGGACGTGGTGGCATCGACCAAGTTCTACAAGGATCTGCTAGGTATTGAGCCTGATTTGAACACTGTGAGTAGCCATCCGAGACTATCTCCTTTGCAAAATGTTACCCAACCTACGACATCTCTTCTTAATCTCGCTAACATTGGGAATTCTTCTCCCTTCATCAGCCACGCATGTCCACCTTCCCCTTGGGAAATACTACACTCCTCCTCTTCCAACTCAATGCCACTGCCGACGACAGCGTCCTGCCAGAATCTCGCGGCACTATTCCCGGCCACGGGCCCAGCGATGATATCCTTGCACTCCTCAACCAGACTCAAACTACAGAAACCGGCTCCTCCCCGGCTTTCCTCAAACAGCATTTCTGTCTCGCTGTCCCCTCACGCGCCGACGTTGAGACCTGGGAAAGGTATATGGCAGCCACCGGTGTTCATATAACTGGTACTGTAGACTGGCCAAGAGGTGGTAGGAGTGTCTATTTCGCCGATTTGGATGGTAACGTTGGCGAAGTTGGAAGTCGTGGCATTTGGGCTCATTACTGACCAGAAAAGAATACATGTTGTCTAGTACATCTAACCATCATCTTCATATCTCGATGATTCAAGCGATCTCTCTGCATCACCCACCGCCCACCTCATTCAATACCCCACCGTCCAATTTAACCACCTCGCCATTGACATAGCCACATCGTGCAAGAAACACTACTCCCATAGCCATCTCCTCGTCCTGGCCTGCTCTACCTGCGGGCACCTCGTGACCCTTATCCTTAACCTTCTCATCCGGCATGTGGGTCTTATTTCTCTCATCACTCTCCTTCATTGTCATCTCGGAAGGGAAATATCCTGGCGCGATACTGTTGACACGAACACCAGTCTTTGCAAACTCCTTGCTCATCATACGACTCAAATGGACAGTCGCGGCTTTTGCAGCATTGTAACTAAAGTGGGCTTGTGAATCGCGCATGATGCCGGACATGCTGCTGATGACGATGACTGAGGAATTGTGTGAACGAGGTGCCTTTTGCAGTAAGGGCAGAAACGCCACCGTGGAGAAGAAGACACTCGTCACGTCCGTGTTGAAGGTCAAGTTCCAGTCCTCGACACTTTCCTGCCAGAGATTCTCCTTCATTTGGGCCGCGTCCTCCGTGTCAGGGTGGCCCTTGGCTCCAGACACTCCAGCGGCCGCAACCACCAGCGACAGATACTTCTCCTTGGAAGTGATCTCGGAACATAATTTCTCGAGGTCAGACTTCTTGGTCACGTCGCATGGTCCAATCGGGATGATTTCTCCGTTGAGTTGGTCTTGACTCGATTTCGGCGTGTGTTCTTTCGCAGCACGTTCCAGTACCTCCTTGCGTCGTCCTGTGATGTACACTTTGGCTCCTGCATATCAAATTAATGAGTATGTGGGATCAAGTCATTGGATCATCACAATTCAGAGACAAACGCCAACGAACCATTTGCCGCAAGAGCCTGCGTCGCCATTAATCCAATTCCAGTGCCTGCAGAGGTCACGTCAGTCACTTGATTTTTCTATTGGCAGTCTAGCCTTGTTCCAGAATGCATTTACCACCGCCAGTCACTAAACAAACATATCCTTTCATGGAAAATAGATTCTGCACGTGAAGTTCGTCGGTTGACGCCATGGCGGCGAAGTCCTTCTTACAGGGAGTTAGGTTCAAGAATAGGGCGAGGAAGAGAAGCAAACACTTTCAAGACACTCTAGAAGTAGCGCATTGCTCGACAAAAAGAATGTATTGTAGTTAGAATGTCGAGAGGAGAGAGATTCATATGATTGTAGTGAGACACCGAAATGCTCGTGTGGTCATAATGTGACGTCACAGGTTTGTGATGACACTCGATTGATTTCTTCATCGACAAAAGAGAGGCATCATCATCAACGGAATTTGTATCCGTAGCCTTGAAAACCCCTGTTGTTCGACAGCCTACACTGCAGTACCCTCCTCTATCTTCGGTTCACAAAGCTACTTGTCATTCTGTCCACCGTCGATACAGTGTTGTCCATTCTTTGCACATGTCCTTGTCGTAGATGGACATGTCTCGCTCGGAGGGAAGTGTGGCAGGTTGATCCCCCTGGTTTGATAAAAGAGGCGCAGTACCTGATGGACTAGCCCGTGTCGCAACGAGCATAGTCGTGGCTAAGCGGGTGTTCTTCGATGGCTAGATAGAAAACACCTCTCAAAGCCGGTCATGCTCTAAAGTTCACAGAATGAACTCAGAACCGCTGCATCCTGCATTGCAATGACTGCAGTGTATGTCCTGGGAGGCCCATAATTGGGGACCGTAGCTTTTGCTCTGGAACTCCTATTCCAGGATTAAATCTCGGTGTCACGCCAAGCTCTCTTCGTTTTGAAGAGATCCTTCGCGTTCCGAAGGCAGCACTAGAAGCTTCACTTCTGGAAGCAGACTTCAGAACAGAAGTGGGTGTCCTGGCAGAGCGCTCAAGTAGCCAGAGCCAGAGCGGCCATGGCACGGACTCCAGCTTCTGTCTTGTGTCCTCCAATAAACCCACTGGCATGGACAAAGACAGCGCCGTCCTCAACGGCATCCCCGAGGAGGGCATCCAGCTCGGCGTCTCTCACACCACGCCATGGCTCAGGAAGACTCTTTCGGTTCTCAAAGGCCGACAAAGACTTGCTAACAGCTTGAATGCGCCACTTGGATCCAGGCTCTTCTTTTTCAGGGTAGATGACATACAAGACTTTTTGACCCTCGGCAAGACCGGCTTCCTCTTCGATGTTGTAGAGATGTTCCTTCCATGGAACCCCGGCACGAGGCAGCGTGAGCAGTTGTCCAGATGGGTGATTGCTGGCTCTTGCGTCAAAGGCGGCTTTGACAATGCTTCGCGCAGGCAGCCAGGCAGTCGCAGCCCCGTGGAGTTTGCGGAGGAAGGAGTGGCCCATGAGGTTTGACGCTTGGGTGAATCGATAATCCTCCTCGGCCTGGGGTTGTTCTGCGGTGTTTCTCGATGCGGCGCCGAGAGCAAGAGGGTCATCGTGATTGAGGTCACCGACCAAGCTAGCAAGTGTGATTCCCCCATCTTTGAAGCGTTTTTGTATACCGGCAGCGGTCAAGGCAGAATCATCATATTTTGAAACTCCGTTGTCGTTGGCGTCGACGGCCTCGACGAAATCGTCATAGAGCTTGTTGTAGAGGAGAGTAACGTCAGGGTGATCGAGAGGGAGGGACACATGCTGTGCAATGATGGCCTTGCCAAAATGCATGTAGACCAATCCAGCGGAGGATAATTTGGTGTTGTGGTCAGGGAAGGAAGTGTTGAAGGTTCGCTGATGATGGTCGAAGCGGTTCTTAGACTCGTCGTATTCGCCACCAACATCGACCACGGTGTGGCAAGCGTCAAGAACAGTCTGGTCGCGAGTGCGAACCACTGAGGCGGAGGAATATTGTGGGAGCAATTTCAGCATGTAAACTGCCAGGGCTTCGTCGGCGTGGAAGTGGCCATTGTGGGTGCCAATGACGACGCCATCAGCTTTGACGCGTTTAGTCGTAGTTTGCGCCATTTTTACAAGCCAGCGAAACATAAACCACGGCAATATTGTGTGGGATATTGAATCAAGTTCAAGATGGGCTTGGAGGAGAAACTGCGTATACCATAATTCATCAATAAGAATTTGGAGTACCGCCGCTTTGACCTGGTCACGTGCGACTTTTACTATGGTCAGCAACAAACGATTCGCTCTGAATTTCCTACCACCAGACATGTGATAATAGAGGCAATGGTTGCAAAATAAAGAAGAAGTGCAAATATTAGTAGTACATACATTCCATGACGCTCCAGCTCATGAACCTATCGGGACTGTTACCTAAGACCTAAATCGTTATATCAATCGTCCTGCCCTCCGTAACAATAAAATCTGCCTTGATTAAGCGAGCATACTCTTGCAACCCTAGGCCAATGACGTTCAAGAAAGGCCATTGGACATTGCATCGAAACATCCGAGACCAGATGCGTAGCACATGGAGGGCCAGCTCCGGGATGGGCAGTGCGTCCACATATTCGGTCTTGTCGACACTTGTCTCATCTTCATCGCCCGACTCCTCACTATCGCTCGATTCCAGTGCTTCTTTGACGATGTGTCGGAGCCAGAGTATCATGCGGCTCTCGTTTTCTGCGGAATTTGTCAGTTTCTGAGACCACGACAGCATCTGCTCTGGCTATTTGCCGAGATGATCACCTCAAAGGGGTTGTAAAAGGATGACTTACTACTGATTGCTTCGGAGCGAGTGCCGTGGATTGCAGTAAGCCATTTAGATAGCAATACCGCACATTCCAGACTCGACAGTGCGTGCCGAATGCTCCAGAAAAAAGCCTGGCTCCTTCCCACAGACTCGATTCCAAGGCGAACCGGTAAGCTTAGTGCGTGAATCGCATACAAAATTGCTGGTAGGATGCGATGACCACGGCGAACTGGGGGTGACTTCATCAGACTTGTCGCTATTCGATTCTTGTCTCGAGTTTCTAGGCTGCGGTGTGGCCCAAGTAGAAGATGTAGCCGTACATACGCCAGACCAAGTAGTGCGCTCGAGGTGAAAGGGATCGGGCCATTTGCGTTTCGAGGGTCAAGACTAGACTCTGGAGTCTTCTGCCAGACCACCGTCCAAGATCTAAGGGCATACCTAATCAATTATGTCAGCGACTTGAATAGGTTACTTCTTGCAAGATGGTCGAACTCACTCCATCTGGTCAAATTCGTTGCGAGACATGGTGGAGATCTGATCATCTGTCGGGTTAGACACCTCGGATGCCAACAAGATTCTCTGTAATAAACCGTGTAAAAGAATGTAGTTGCCAAACGGTGTGGTCATTGGAATGGGTGGACTATCGGTCTTGGATGTGTCGAAAAGTACTGCCAATGCTTGTTGATAGTGCATTTGCTCCGAGTGCACTTCTGCTCGCGCTGCCCTCCATTCTTCTTCCGTGTTGGCCTTCCACTCGGCCGTCGTGCATGGGAGGCGGATATCAAATTGGCTGTTGAGCAGGTAGGGTGAAACGTTGTACGCAATGCTGAGGGTCTCGAGAAATGTGAAAGCGACGAGCTGGGCACGTCGTTCGCTTTCGGCACGAGCCCACTCTTTCCAGCCTAGGCCAGTGGTATCATCAGACACGGGAGTCAATGTCGCAATCTCGCGCAAACATTCCAGGACCACACTGGATAGACGAAGACTCTCTCGGAGGAGGTCAACTCCCTCCCAGGCTCCGTATCCCATGAGAGTCACTGCAGCTGCCAGGCACTGATGAAGAGCCCATTGCTCTTTCCACGAATCCTCTTTCTCCCCCAAAGTATTTGCAGCCGAAACCCTTTTCAACCTCCTGCTCCGGCCGTAATCACTTCCTGCTGAAATCACGGAAGCTGGAGATGTTTCAGATTGGCGGACCACGTTCTCACGGTATCGTCGCAACCTTTCCATCAGAACAGCTCTACCAGCGTGGAAGAGCCGGTCGGCATTGCGATGCTCAAAGACGTACTGTGCGCCAGTGGCCGCGAAAGCAAGAATCGCATCCGGGGCGAGGTCTTCAAACCTGGCCGTAGGAGCATGAACGTGAGGGAGATGGCTATGAAAGCCGTCGAGGAAAGAGGTCATGTACCTCGTCAAACTATGTTGCGAGGGGAGATAAAATCCGGGTATCACATCCCTGAAATCAGCTAGTTGGGCCTCGAGCCATGCTCTCTGTTCTCTCGTGATACTGCGCAGTGGCGTTAGAGGAACCTGGGCTGGACCAGTAGGTACTGCAGATTGTGAGCTTGCGAACATTGCCACAGCTGGATGTAGGCGACTGCCAGGATCTTGCTGAGAAGCGACTTACTAGAGCTGGCATCATCTCTCGTGTTCTGGTCGATCGGAGGAGGTGAAGGGAGCCATTGAGAGGAGCGAAACGGAGAAATCGGTCGACTTCCAGATTCAGCTTGCGGGATGTTGTTTGGGGCATCGTCTGGTGGTTCATTCTGAACGGCCATGGGCTGAAGCCGGGGGTCTACCAAGGGCTCATTCTGGACAGGATCGAAAGTGACAAAATCTGTGAGAAGGCCCATGCTGTCCATGAAATTGGCTATTTGTTGGAGGTGGGCATGCCCTTCTGGAGAGGTTTCGAGGAGGGTGTCAAAATCTGGCAAACTACTTAGCAACGCTCACACTTCTTTGGCCATCTTACCTACCCACGTCATCAAACGTGTGGCCCATCATGAACGGCGTTGCTGTGGGTGAGAAAGGCGTCGGTTGCTCAAGGACTGGTTGTGACTGGTGGCTCGACGGGTACGGTCCAAGTACATCTGGAGTAGGAATAATGTTCTGTCCATTATGGTGATTGGTGAAGTTTTGATGACCACCTGCAGGCCCGGGTTCAGCGACAGTCTCTGATGGACCAGCAGCGCTAGCTCGCATTGACGTGAGGGACTCTTCATGGCTTAGTCGACTTTGGAACCTCTCTGGATGCGATAAACGAATATGTCTTTTGAGCAAGTCCTGGCGCGCAAATGGAGCGCCACATTGACAACGGAAAGGCTTCTCCTTGGTATCTGTACTAAATCGTCAACATGAAACCACTCTTATTTTGTGATAGACACTGACGGGTTCTGAGATGCCGATTTAGATGCTCCGACCTCTTGAACGCTCTGCCACACCGGTGGCAAGTGAATCGGTCTGACGCATTCTCTGTTCTATCACCTGTGTCGGGCACATGGTTTCGTGCAGACCATGTTGAGAACAAAGGCTGAGCCATGGTCTAATGCATGCTTCCGCGTCCACAACATGAGGTCAAGCCATGATGAGGTTCAAAGATAATTATCGACGATGACATCTAATAATGTCGAGCCGAACCTGTGGATACTCTCGCTTTAGGCGTTGCCAAATCAGCGTTCTAGGCAACAAAGTACATTCGAGTGTTGTACAGTAGTGGCTAAAATCTCTTAAAGGGCACGCTTTCGGGCGATTCTGGGTCTGGGTCTGGGTCTTGAAACGGTGCATATCCAATCGACTGTATTGGGAGGGCCACCTCGTGCTGCTAGGCAACTGAGGGGCGAAAAGGCCCGAGGGGTTTGAGGCCCGGGGGTACTGACGTGGACTGACAGACACACTGAGTACTAAGCTAATCTCTTCCAGGGTATCATCAAAGATCTGCAATCAGTATTCCAGTCTTGGCCCAAATAATGTTTCTGGCTTCAGGATAAGAAGAGCCGCCTTGCAGTAGTGGTCTGCAGAGGACATTGCGGAGATGTGCTACTAGACTATCATGAGACCACTCACAAGGTTTCCTTTGATCATTCAGGACCTGACTTCGGCAAGGACGGCCCTGACGACAAGGGAAGTCAAGTGAAGCATCTCACGGGCCAAGTTGGAGACCACGTCCGCACTTTGCTTGGGCGGCTCCACCAGTTGGGGTCAGGATACATCTTTAATCTTCAATGCTTCTTTGGCCGGCTTGGTGATTCTGTAGATATCTTGATCATCACCAATCCCCACAGACTTCCCAGAGACAGTACACTACTCACGTACAATCGATTCATCATGGGCAAGAAACGCGTATTGATCAGTTATGGTGTTGACGTCGACGCCGTCGCAGGCTGGCTAGGCTCCTATGGGGGAGAGGACTCGGTCAATGACATCAGTCGAGGTAAGACTAATCAGCTCTGTAACAGAAGATCAAGTCTGATTCTCCCTGAACCCTTCAGGTATCTTTGCGGCCACTGTAGGAACCCAGAGACTGCTGGCCATGTTTGCCAAACACGACATCAAGACTACATGGTTCATCCCAGGCCATTCCCTGGAGTCATTCCCAGAGGACATGGCTGCTGTGCGTGATGCTGGCCATGAAATTGGTCTTCACGGATATTCTCACGAGAACCCATCCGACATGACTCTAGAGCAGCAAAAAGTGGTCTTGGACAAGACATTCCGTCTACTGACCGAGTTCTGTGGAAAGCCACCTAAAGGAAGTGTGGCTCCTTGGTACGTTTTCTATACCTGCCAATTTGTCCAAACACACTCAACATATATATTGACCTCTATTGCAAAACAGGTGGGAAACTAGTGCCGAAGGTGCTCAGTTGCTTCTTGATTACGGAATCGAATATGATCACAGTCTATCACATCACGATTGCCAGGCATACTGGCTACGAACTAACGACACATGGACCAAGATCGACTACAGCAAGCACCCAGATCACTGGATGAAGCCATTAGTCAAAGGCCAGGAGACAGGTCTAGTTGAAATTCCAGGAAACTGGTATATCGATGATCTCCCACCGATGATGTTTATCAAGAAGGCTCCCAACAGCCACGGTTTCGTCAACCCTCGCGACGTCGAGGACATCTGGCGGGATCATTTCGATTACATGTACCGCGAGTACGATGAGTTTATCTTTCCCATCTCTATTCATCCGGACGTCTCAGGTCGACCTCACGTGATTCTTATGCATGAAAGGTATGTTACCAACCCCCAAGATCAGTCAAGATAGTGATAACTCTAACCACGGTTGCGCCTCTTCGTCAGACTCATTGAGCATTTCAAGAAGCATGACGGTGTCGAGTTCGTTCCCATGGTGGAGATGTCCAATGAGTTCAAGAAGAAGAACCAATTTCCAGAGGGCGCCTATCTCCCTCAAGATCCTACAGCAGTCTTGAACAGGGAGCCACTTTCCAAGTGAAGCATGATAGAAGATGAAACCGACGCTTAGTCCTCTCTAATGGCATTGATAATTCTCTCACTCCATGCTACATCCTATTGCTATCTCAAGCAAGATCTTGTTATACACACCTATCAGCTTACAGCGGTCTATTCCTCAAATTTGTATCCACCTATGCGATAGGAAGATGTTAGTTTCGTGATAGAAACCCCTATCTAGCCGAAACTCCAAATTGCCTCTTTTGGCCACATAATCTCCACTTCTCGCTTGTGTGATACTTCTGAGGCTTTAGTTTGGCTCACCACAAACTGATACAAATTCAGGTTTGCTTATCGTGCTTGGATTGTGGCGTGTTCAATACCATTACCATCGCAAGTTGACAAAGCTTCTGCAGGAATCACGCGGCCAGAGGCCGAATCCGGATCGTCGGAATCACAATTCAGTGTTGTGCATCGTTCTCTCTATGAAGAAGGACAATGGACAAGTGTAAATGCTCTATTAGAATGTCTACCTACCATGCTAGAGATATAAATATGCTTTATTCATGCTCGGTCCTTCACCCTCACAGATGTGACTGCACCGCAGCAGTTGCTCTGCGGTCTCTTGCCTGCTGGCCGACTTGGAAAAAGGCTGCAGCTTTGAGAACAGTCTTTTCGTCCCAGCGCTTCCCTATGATTTGCATACCAACTGGCAATTGCTGCCCAGTCTCATCGTCCCTCTCAAAACCGCACGGGACACTGAGAGCCGGATGGCCAGTGACGTTGAAGGGACACGTATTAGAGCTGAGGCCAATGGCCGGGTTTATCCTCTCCATAATGCCGGTTCTCTTTCCTTCTCGTTTGAGCTCAGGGTGCTGGGATGCCAGACCGAGAGTGGTTGGTGTGATTAGAACGTCGAATTGTTTCAAAGCGTCGTCATATGCTTGACGTAGCTGGAACACCTTGCGGTGGGATTTGGCTTCAATTCCGGGTCCATATTTTTCTTTCAGAAAGGTACTGCAGAAGACCAGATTCATGACTGTGGGGTTTGTGTCTGACAGTGCTTCGTACATCTCCTGGTTCGGTGGCCATTGGAGTCTCATGTGAGGGGGATGATAAGATAGGTATCCTGGTGTTTGCATAGCAACACCCCAATCCGACATGGTCGCTCGCGTTGCTGCAGTCCAGATCAATGGTCCGTCTTTGTGCATAGGCACCGAGACGTCGACAACTTGGGCTCCCATTTCTTGGAAAGCCTGTTTGGCGGACGAGTAGACATGATCACTGATTCTTGGGTCCATCCCTGGTATTTGGAAAGATTCTTTGAGCAATCCAACTCTAAGGCGACTTCTCGGCGGTGACAGAAGTGAATCACATTCGGCAAAGGACTCGCGTAGCAAGGCTGGATAATCGAGCACATTATTTCTCAAAGGTGCTTCGGCCGTCATCCGGGCGTCGATACCATCGTAGCCAGCCAGAACCTGTAATAGCAATGCGATATCCTCCAGGCTGTTGGCGATGGGTCCCACATGGTCAACCATCGGTGATAGTGCCATGACACCTGTGTAAGGGATCAAGCCGTGAGTGGCTTTCATTCCATAGCAGCCATTATAGGCTGCTGGGAGTCGAATGCTGCCTCCTTGGTCACCTCCGATAGCCATGTCGATACTCTCACCAAAGCTGACACCTTTAAGCTTGGAGACTTCATTGGAACCAATCAAGGCACCGCTGCCGCTGCTGCTGCCACCGGCACTGTAACCGTACGCCCAGGGATTCTGGACAGGTCCATTGAAGGACGTTGAAGAAAGAGTTGATGCTGAGTACGTCTCACATGTTGTGGTTCCCTTGACTGTCGCACCGGCCTTCAGAACTCTAGACACCACGGTAGAGTCGATAGTCGATATAGGGTAATCGACACCTTCCCTGGACAGGAGACTGGAGCGGGTACCGATGGTGGTAGGTAGTCCTCCCACGGCAATGTTGTCCTTGAATGCAATCGAACGGCCTTTGAGAAGGTTGCTTTCGGGACTAGCAGCTAGAAGAGAGGTCCGATGACTCCAGGCATTGAGCGGGTTGTCTTCAGGCTTTGGTCTCCAGAAACGACGTTCATTCACAGTTGGAACAGGGACCAGGTCTGGATGAATATAGTCGTCTATAGTTTCGACGTGTTCATAAATTGCCTCGGCAGCTTGCAACAATTTCAAATATGCATCTTCGTCAGATCCAGCCTCGAGGAGGATATTAAACCTGGCTGCCAATGATCTCAAATCCTCGACAGTAATCTGAGACCTATGAAAATTAAAAAATATTCCATATGCATTGAGGTAATATCAAAAAGAGTGCTTACTTGAAGTCCGTGTTGGGCAGTGCAACGGTCGACATGTTGAGGCCTAGTATTTTTGATTTCAATGATAAGCCGACTGTGCAAATTGAGATAACGGAAGTGAGAAGCGCGAGAGATATAGTAAGAGTTTCCGGTGGGGTTCAGACAAGCAAAGGGTTAGGAAATCAATAGTGACCGAAGTAGGCCAGTGCTTGGCCGTCTCACAATGCTGGCCGAGACTCTCCTATATAAATTGCTTGTAAGTTTATCTGTCTGTTTATGCTTCCCAAGTGAGATGGTCACAGGAGGTTTGAGTGGCGAGAAATTGATTTATGGAGAGGCAATTGCCATCGTATTGGACCTCTCCAACTGAAATTCCTAGCCCCGAAATCCACTTCTGACCGTGCTTCTAGGCGGCTTGACTACCAAGAACGTTCGTCGGGGTATACCGGTCAGTCACTTGAGGTATTCTGATTATCAATACTAGGTATTCAAGTTGGCAATTATAAGACACAATAAAGGTTGCTGTTGTCGTTCAGGGTTTTAAAAGATCTCATGGTCAAACCTGGTAGCATCCAGCAACCCGCAATCAGAATGTCGACACGTCAGCAACCCTTGGTGCTCCATGCCCATAGCACTGGACCGAATCCATTCAAAATTGCCATAGCGTTGGAAGCATTAGGCGTTGAATACATTGTGAAGTTCTGGGAGTTTGGTGATGATCCTCAAAATGGTGTCAAGGGCGAAGCCTTTCTCAAGATCAATGAGAACGGCCGGGTTCCTGCATTGGAAGACCCTCGGACCGGAGTGGTTTCTTGGGAGTCTGGGGCATGCATGAATTATATTCGTCGGGTCTACGACAAAGATGGCAAAATTGGTCCTGTGGGTACGACTGAACAGGACAGAGTGGACTTTGAGAAATGGGAATACTTCCTGCTCACCACACTGGGCCCGATGACCGGACAAACGAATTGGTACAGGTAAGAGTTGATGCCTTGTCGGAGTCTTAGATGTTCGGCTTGAGACTCATTGTCAATCAGGCACTATAACAGTGTCAAGAATCCAGATGCCCTAGATCGCTACTCTGCCCAAACAATCCGCTGCTACGATGTTCTCGAAGCCCAATTGAGCAAGAGCGGGGGGGCGAGTATTCTCCCCGGCCGCATCACCGCTGTCGACTATCATTTCGAGCCCTGGGTGCGGCAACATGGATATGCAGGACTGAGCCTGGAGGGGCATCCCAATGTTGGTAGCTGGTTGAAGAGCATGGGAGCTAGAGCTGAAGTACGCGCGGCGTATCAGAAGATCATGAAATCTGAGCCACCAAAATATTGATGGACGTGAGGCCAATACCATCCAGCTTATCAGTTTGTAGCCCTTGACCAATGGTTCCATCACTCAAACTACACTATTGAAGCGATGCTGTACACCTCTTGGACATCTCTTCCTTGAACAGTCTGGCTCCGACTTAGGCCATGCTAAATTACATCAAATCATGACTCAGGTTATCTATGGAGCCATCACCAGAAGCCCATGACGCATGGTGAAGCTATCAAGGTTTGGGTAGTATTGACGCATCCCAATGCTAGTCTACCATCAAGAGCAGGGATGCTCCAAGTATCCCGATTAGGAAATTTGGGGATTGGCTTGGCAGAAGTGCCCGAGTCGAGACATCATATTCACGTCACGTAATAAGAAACACGGGCCCAAAGACAAAAGAACATGACTGTGCTGCGAGTTCCCGCGTGATTTGCGGGTGACACACGGAGGAAGTGGACGCGTGCCCCCTGGCCACATGCCAACCCGATCTTGGTAGGTACTAGGTAGTTTCCCAGGATTATAGACATTTCTGGCCGTTGTATTTCTGGGGACATGCCACCCATAGTCTAGCTAGCCATTACTGGCACACACGCGCAATGAGATGATGTGAATGTGAGATGATACTAAATTTCGAAGAAAATGGAAACTGATCCAATATTTCATTTCCTGTAAAGTTTGCAACCCAAGCCCTCTAAATAGTGAAACATCACGAGACCATCTCAAACTCAGTCTATCTTCCACCAAGTAATATATCTAGTTCAACACGGTGCCGCTGTTGTCGGCGCAATCAAAAGCCTTGCCAATCTGTCCGTTGGCATAAGCGTCAATGATGGATTGGATGACAGAGTAGGTTCCTCCAATTGTCATGAACAATCCAAGCACGATAAGGAAGGCATGGATAGCGTAGAGGAATTTCTGTAAAATAGTTCCCTTCCGGTAGTGTGGGTGGTCGTAGCACCACAGCCAGCCAGGGAGAGAGATTGCCACAGGGGCGAAGCAAAGAGTTCCAGCGAGTCCCAACAAATAGTTGAAGATTGGCACGGCAGAAGAAATCAACCATCCGGCAATGGTAATTCCAAAGGTGCTTGCGAGCCATGTACCCCAGTTGATCAGACTGTTGTCTTGCAGATGGTGAGTATTCCGTAGGACGCGGACAAAAATGTACTTGGCACCGATATGGACGTAGAGCGAGGCTGAGATGGCAAGCCCAATGATGGCAATGCCGTAGCTGACCTTCTTGAGGGTGGGGCCAGCAGATCCTAGGGAGGGAGTGGCGACCCATCTTCCACAGTAGTAGTATACAACGACGGAGAAAGCCAGGTAAGCCGAGGTGACAATGCTCATAGTGACATAGACAGCCTTGTTATATTCGCGTGGCTTTTTCATCTCTGAAATGACGGGGAGGAAAGCGGCCGTGGCAGCACTTGAGACAAAAATTGCAGCTGCTGCGGTCATGCCTGCAACGAATGTTGGGCTGCCGATGACATGGTAACCAAGATCAAAAGGGCCAGTTTGAGGTGCAATGGCGGGCCTATCACGGGTAGTCACACCAATCTAGAAGGGAGATTCAGTCAGTGTCGAGTGACTAGACAAAGAGGACGTATCTGGGACTACTCACCACAATCACCATGACGGCTGTAAATACGGAGATGGTTCCGACCCAGGTGAGCCATGCGATCTTCTCGAATTTTCTCACACTGGCAAAGATTGCGACAATGACGGCAGCGATAAAAGTGAACCAATTGGTGCAGAGGGAATGGTTGGACAAGGCGTTCAGAGCAGCAGAAACACCAACGATTCCAGAACCAGCACAGATGATGTAGGCAGCAATGAACAAGAAGCCGACCAGCTCCTTGACAACGACGCCGCCCACGAGTTCGGCCATGTCGGCAATACTGTGGCAGCCGGCATGAGAGTTACGGAAGTTACCCTGGATGATGGCGCAGTAGGCATTCAGGAGTGTCCACGCGATGATGTTGATGGCACCGGGAAAGGCTCCTAGGGTGTACATGGCGGTTGGGATTGATAAAACACCGGTGGCAAAGATGACTGGACATCGAGGTTAGGAGACATGCGAAGGAACATGGAAGTCTCCAGACATACTCTTGAAAAAGATCATGGCAGCATGATACCAGGTGACTGTGCGAAAGTCGACCATGCCTTCGCCCTTCTTGAAGACCTCGAACTCATTCTCAGCGATAATTTCTTTGTCCACAGTGCCGATCATATCCTCAGACATGGCTGGCCTGACCTCGTCGGCAGACGTCTTGCTTCCACCCATGGCGACAGTGACTTCTGGTGAATGGTGTGGTGGAAATGAGAAGGGAAGTCTGCGATCGAAATTGTCGTTTCTCTCGTTAGAACAAGTATGAAGATCTTGTTCCCTTTGGTCGTTGAAGTGAAGGCTAACTATATATCATTATGTCCAAGGGCCGGGCAATGGATACCTAGAAAGGTAGATTCGGGGGAACCCTGGGGGCACGATTACTGGGTCAGTTCTGACTGGTTATGAAATGGATTCAGATCATCTGAGGTGTTTAGAGGGTCCACCGTGTGGAGCAGGTGGCAGTCACCAGGGAGAGGTGACAAGAAGCCGAATGGTCAAGGTCGATCTTATCAACAATAGCACTGGTGGCGATGCACTCCAATTTTACGGAAAGTCAAGCATTTGAGGTCTCCAACTCCCAGTTTAGTACACAGACAGTGGACGCTCAAGCCAATTGTCGAGGTGCCGCGACTCGAGCCCGTGAAAGTCAGTGGCATGTTCAATGACACGAATGGCTACCCGAACTCAATGTGGCAAGTTGGAGATATCTGATAATCCGAGGGTCTGGTCGCTGGTGGAAGATATTGACCCGCTTGAATGCTTCTGGAATGATAAGACATCCTTGCCAAGACCAAGGAAGTACTCAAATCCGGCCTCAAGATACGGTCTAAGTCGGATTTCAAGACCAAGGAGGCTCATTTCACATCTTGAGCCACGAATCCCATCAAGTTTCTATTAATAATCGTCTACCGACCAGATTTTGCCGGACATCAACTTGAGTAACAATGTCACCGGCGACTTTATTCCCTGGAGTTGCGGTGATTACGGGTGCTGGAGGAATAGGTATGTCTTGGGCTTGTCGAGGGAAGATGCATTTCTAACCTGGTCGAAAAAGGCATTGGAGCTCATACTGCATTTGCATTTGCGGCGGAAGGATGTACAAGAATAGCTATCACAGATCTGAAGGCGGACTTGCTTCATCAGACTACGGAGAAGATCAAGGCTCTGAATGGATCAGCTGAGGTACTTTCGGTGGCAGGAGACGTAACAGATTCAGAATTTGTCGAGTCATTCATGAAGAGTGTGGTTGAAAAGTTTGGACGAATCGATTATGCCGTCAACTGCGCTGGAATCTTGGGCAAAGATCAGCGGTCTGGGGAGATGGATATCTCATCATTTGATGCCATCAACAATGTCAACTATCGTGGATGCTGGATTTCATCACGAGCGCAACTTCAGGCAATGGTGCAACAGGACCCACTCCCTTCAAGCAAGCCAGGGCGACCAGGGTCGCGAGGAGCGATTGTCAACATTGCGAGTCAACTGGGAATTGTGAGCCGGCCCAACGCACGTAAGTAGAACTCTTTGCAAGACGAGTTGATGGCAGAGTGTGCTGACATCTGGCAGCGGCATATTGCGCGTCCAAGGCTGCGGTGATTGGGATGACCCGCTCAGATGCGATTGACTATTCGAAGGACGGGATCAGGGTCAACTGTGTCTGTCCAGGACTAATCAAGACAGCAATGACAACAGGGACCAAAGAGCTTGCTGAGTTGATGGAACCTGCCGTGCAGATTGCTCCAATGGAGCGAATGGGACTTCCTGAAGAAGTAGCAGACGCTGTCCTGTTTCTGTGTTCAGAGAAGGCATCGTTTGTGCAGGGACATGCGATGGTAGTGGATGGCGGGTATATCATCAACTAGGATCCATCATGTGCGTACGAAGTATATACAACAGAGATTCCAGGAGGGGCGGAGCGGGGTGGAGGGCGGCACGTGGGAACTCCATACATATTGCACCTTCCACGCGAGCAGAGGAAAGAGGAAAGAGGAAAGAGGAAAGAATGGTGTTAATGGAACAATAATGATCCGGCCAATGGATGATGATGCCTCAGGGTAGTTTTACCAAGATTCACAGAGCCACGAGAAGCCAAGTTGCTGGATGTCAGGACATGATAGCAGGATAGAGCCTTCGGGAGATTCAGTCAATACTCCGTAGTATGTTTGAAGTTTAGTAGGGTCACACCGCCAGGCCCCACGTGTCACTCACGCGTCGTCCGTCATCTGTCTGTTTGTCTACGAGGATGTTATGAACCCTGGAAAAAAAAAAGAATCTTGGTGTGGGCTGGGTGATTCGGTGAAAGGCCGAGGGGCGTAGGGGGGCACGTCCCAAAACTGGGGGCTTGATGGATAGGAAGCTAGGCAGGTTTAGGGATAGCGGAAGCCTGGAATCACTCCCACCAGGCCTAGAGCCTCATCCGCACTCTTAGCCTTTGGGCCCGAGGCGCCTTGGCCCACCTGGAAATATCCCCGGTGCCCCCAGTACCTCGCATTTTCTAGGCGGTGAGGGATGTTAGATGCGTGTTGATCGCACGGAATAATATCATCAATGCCCAAGCTGGAGTCGATATTGACACACACTCACACAAGAACCTTCATTTGCCTAGACGGAGGAAGGCAAGAGGAAGCGTGTGTAGTCTTTAACATTGGCTCGCAGGTGGCAAATCTCATCATTTAGGTAAAGTGATGTACGTAGTACAATCGAACTAACAGAATCACCACCACCAGTTCGCAGCTTTATCAACAGGGAAACCACAAGCCTGAGAAGCCCGAACCAGGCTTCAATAGTGGCCTACTAAGTAAGTACTACTAAGTTGGCTGGATACTAGGTACTTTACTCTCATTCTTAATCATATAAATTAGCCCGAGTTCCTGTTCATCCAACATCTCAACTGCATTTTTTATTATCCGACAACCTCAGTAGTTGATTACTTTACCCTTACCCCGGGTGCCCGGTCAATCTGGACCATCCACTGGCCAGAAGTGTCAAAAAAGCCAAAGTGCCAGGCCACAAGCGACATTCCTCATCTCTTGCCGTTCCTGCCCAGCCCTGCCACTCCACAGTCCGCCTGGACCTTGCGTGCGCCTTTGCCTGCGGTTTGCCTGCGCTCGGAACAGGTTCGCTGCACACGGCACACTACTAGGTACTTACTACACGAGATAAAGCATACCCAACGAGATCACAGCACTACAGCACCACAGCACCACACGCCATCACCATCCCATCGCCCCTTGTTGCCTTCAAAGCCTCACCGTCACCTCCTACTAGTCATTGTCATCTCCATTTTCTACCCGTCTAAAGTCCTCTATCATCAGACATCAACCTACGTCCTTGTCTGCAGCCTCTCGATCATTCCCCTCGTGGCATGTGACAATCTGTCCCTCCACTGTTAGCGTGTGTGCGACTGCCTCCACTCGATCGATTTTCATCAACACCAACACAATCTCAAACTCCCCGATCTCCCACCTCCACTACCACCGCAAGCCCTCAAGATCAAAGATTCCTCTTCGTCGCCAAACCCCTGCGCACATGCACGACCCCAACATTGTTGCTTCACATCTCCTCAGAACCTCCGCCGCCCTCGCCCTTTCTGAAAACCTCCCGCTTTCACCGCTCATTCCATCGACCGAATGTTCTTCTTTCGCGCCCTCTCCTCCCTCCTCTTCCTGACACTCATCATCCTACTCATCCCCCTCACCTTCGACATCGGTGGTCGCGATGCCGGTCTCGCCTACTCCCTCTCCATTGCATCCTACTACTTTGTAGTCTCCATCTTTCGCATCGCCACCCCTGATTCCTCGACCTTTCGAAGATCAATCGTTAACATTCTTCGTGGCTTCCAATGGGTCATACTCCCCGCCCTGTGCATTTGGGCTCTAGGCAGATTCTCTATCGACGGCGATAACAACAGTGGTTGGGTTGAAAGGACTTTCAGAGCAAAATACTACCCATGGAAGCCCGATACTACCTTTTGGAATGCCATTTTGGGTCCTGAGGGTCTGGTTGAGAACATTGCTATTGGCGGCTGGGATCTCCTTCTCCGCTGGTCTTCGCCAATCTTTCAACTGCTCGAGGGTTTCTGCAGTCTGCTTGTCATCCAAGCACTTGGTCAACTCTCTCGCTGGCTCGTCAACCGCAGTGAGTGGAGCGACTTTTGGTTGCTGACCTTGCTCGTCTCCGCCGCCGGCGTCGTCTCCAGCAGTGTCTACTTCCTCTGGCGTGTCCTACAATTCCCTGATATCTCCAATCTGGATTCCACCCTCATCGGCATCGCCATTGCCTCGGCCATCTTTCTTTGTGCCTATGGTGTTGTCTCTGGCCGCGGCACCGCAGTCGAGTCTTCTCTGCTCTTTGCCTACATTGTTCTCTGTGTCTACCAGATCTTTACCGATTACAAGCCCAACGATGTCTCTGCCGCCGAAACCGCTTCCTCAGCGCCGGACTTCCCCCCTCTGCCGCCAATCATCATGTCCTCCTACACCGCCATCATGCACGCTCTATCCACCTTGCCTGGTGCCCTCGTCAACACATTTGACTTTACCGCTGCCGCTTTCAAAGCTGTCACCCCGTCCGTCCTCATCTCGCTCGGCTACCGCCTGTTTGTCTTCTATGCCTCCACCCGCATCATTCCCGCTATCAACGAATCTGGTGCCCGGGCCTTGAGCATGGAACCCAGTCTGGACGATTCCAACGCCGGCAATCAATTCCTCGCTTTCCTCTCCTGGTTTTCTCCTAGTATCCTCATTGCCGTTTATACCAGTCTCCTGATGCAGCATTTCGCTACCACCATGGGTGGATACTCTCCTGGTCTGACTGAGTCAATTGGCGCTTGGTGGAGTGGCAATGGCCAGCCAGGCATGAATGGCAATCTTTGGAAATGGGTCAATCTGGTCGGCACCATGGGATTGTACGCCATCGAACTGTGGCTGGGCAAAGAGGACGACATTGATGGCGGGCACTGGAAAGTGGATTGAAAGACCCAGCCGACCAAGAACCAATCCATTCTTTCCACTTGGGTGCAATGCGTCAAACGCTAAGAATCTGCAAGGATAATGAAATCTCAAGCCCTCCCGAGGTTGACCTAGCTATAAGGTTGGTCACACAGCCTGCTCCTACGAGGTAGCCAGCGCAGGAAAACGGCCGCTTCTATCAACCATCACCCTCAAAGAAGACACGGCCGGCCCCTGCCAAACTAGTGGATATCATTCATTCCTCGAATCGAACCCTTCTGGACTTTATGGCCAGTGTGCGACTGGAGTTCGAATTCAGCAAACAAAGGACGAAACCTCTCTGCGCTTTTGCGCCTTTGCACCTCCGCACTTTATCTCAGTAACTGGTTTCAAGAAAGTGCTGTGCCCATGATTGAAACCAGCTACCACTCAGAGTACCAGATAACTTCTGGATTTCTGGACAGGGTTAATCGACGCTGCAAACTGGCCAAGATGAAGGAGGACAGTCAGCATGAAAGAAAGAAAACGAGCATCACAACGGGCTAGACTGTCTGGGGTTTATGTAGACAGATAGGACAGAGATCGGAATTGCATAGCTTGGACCAGATGATACGGGAGACAGAGAGAGAGATATGAAAGTGTTGATGATCACATGACGATTGAGTCATATTTCAGAGTGCAGTCAGTCGCAGAGGACCTCAAGATGTCCTTGGACGTGAGGTGTGGACCTGGCGTGCATTATCCTCTTCCTTGCATGGCTTCGATCTACGAAATTCTGGCACTAGAACAAGAACAAGAACACACTGCGTGACTGCAAGGCAGGGCATGGTATGGCAGTAGAAGATGATTGCTATGTGGACTATCCCATCGCCCGGCTTGGCCTGGCCTTGTCATTCTCGCATGCTACTTACAGCATGCCATGGCAGAACGAACGAGAGCAAAACACGCCATCCATATCTCTCTGACTTTGCATCCATGAACCATTTTGTTTCACTTCGTGCCCTCATCTACCATGTCAAAAGCCAACACCGCCCAGGATGAAAAGAATGTCTTGATCATGTGACCATAATTTCTGGCCCACCACGACCTCTCCCATGTTTGACAGAAACCTGATGCAGTCGGCTCCAGAGCTCCAGCCACCAGCCCTCAGCAACTTGGTCCGTCTGGTTTCCATGTCCCATCTGACCCCAGTCCACCTCAAGTCGTCCAATGATTGTTGACAAACGCCGGCTTAACTCCTGTCAACTCCTGTCGCCGTTCCAAAACGTGACGCCCTCGTCCCTCGAGTGGTGGGTCTCGCTCAAAGCCTCGTCTGTGCCATGGTATTGCAGAGACATCTCCATGGCAAACACGTCTCCACCAGTCTCTTCCCTCACACTCCCTGCGGCGAGTACGGATAGACATATGCTCTGTCGATGACGAAAGAGCCCTCTGGTGGCAGTTCCATAGTCACAACCATTCCTCATTGTCGACTTCCCCCTAGAGTATCATCACACACATCATCTGCGGATGGGGATACCTGCTTGGGCGTGCGGGGAACTAATACTGCGCTCCAGGATGTTTCTTTCGTCCCCATTGGCCTTGTCCTCTTCATTGCCGTCTCTCTCGTCCATGCTAGCATGTCGAGCCAGGAAACTGCTTTCTTTGATCGGGCTACGACCACTGGCTCCAGGCAAACCTCCTCCTGGGATACCGTTGATACTTCCTCGGTGCAAATTGGCAGGGCCTGGGTTGTCTGGAGAGGCGGCAAGGCCAGGCCCTCCTGGAAGGCCAACGTTGGACTCGGTGCGAGAGACGATATGGGTGAGTGGGCTCATATGAGGGATCTCATCTGCTTTCGGGTGCTCGGTGCCAATAGTGGTGACACCCGTATCCGAGGCTTTGCCTGCTTTGGAAAGGGCATAGTCCCCAGAATCGAAATACTTGCGTTCCTTCTCAAGGTCAGACACGGTCAACAAAACCACTCAGGCGCTTTACCTTCAACTTGTTCTGCAAAAGATCCTTCTTATTCGGTAGCTTTCCATACAAGCGAAACAGACGCTGCTCATCCGCAGACAATTTCTGACCATGTTAGTGTTCCTGTCCGTGTTGTAGAGTGGAGAGTAAGAACCCACCGAAACATCGATCTTGTTCTTTTGATGGGGATTCATGGCTGTATGTCCAACGCAGGTATACCGCTACAGGGAGAAAGACTCCGTGCCGCAGCGAGAAAAGATGTATGTATTCAACGAAGAGGGACTCCCTCAGGTTTGGGGTTGGTTCTTTTGTGCCTCTTCTCAAATTGAAGGTATGCTAAGGGAGTAAGAGAGCTTGGAGAGGAGGTTCGCAACGAGGGCCTTTGAGGTCTTGAAGTATGTGGGGGATAGGATATGTCGGCAGTGTCAAGGAGGTAGATGTGAAGGAGGAGGGGTCGATCAAGGCCCGAGCGCCGGTTGTTGTCAATGGCAATACCACAGTTCTCAAGTAAAAAGACAGGAGTCGAATCGAAGTGCTATAGGACTTTGGGATTCCAGCAATGTTTGGAAATCCTGACAGACAGGGTCTCTGAAATTGTGTTGGACAATCGATTGAGTAGAGGGAAAGAGAAGGGATGTGCCAAAGTGGGGTCGATAGCGAGTCGACAGGAGGCACGACAACGCCCAAGGGAAACTAGAGCTTTGTCGTAAGGTTCGGGAAGTAGAAGTGGTGGTGAGGGTTCGAGCGACTGGACAAGGATTGGGAAAGGTGTCGACGAAGATGGAGGATGGAGGTTGGCTGGCTCTGGAGAAGGCGAACGGGAGGACGCAGATGGAGTCTAGAGTAGATCAACTTGTGAGGTGCGGGAGTGAGTCTTGGACGAAGAATGAAGAAGTGTTGTTGGTTGGTGTTGCTAGCAGGAGCCACTGGCCAGTAAATCGCCCGCCGGGACCTGGCACCTCCTTCCTTTTGGCCTAGCCTCTCCGCGTATGCGGGAGATGACGACAGCCGCCCAATCAACGTGTTTGCAGTTGGCCAGACTGCCGTCACGTGAAACATAATTATTGCTAGGCTCCGGATCTTCTTGAACTAGATCGAATATGGTTAGATTCGTCTAATCCTACGCATATTCGCGGGGCCAACTGGTCGAATTTTATATGCATATTTGGAGTTGAGAAAACCTCATTGAACGCCTAGGCCAATCCGACCCAGACTGATTTACCTCAGAACCTGGTGTCATATCAATCATGACTGGGTCGACTCGGCCTGCCTACACTTTTGTGGTCGAGCACCTTGATCCTGAACTTGGCCCCTGGTCCGCGCTCGAATACAAGACCATCGCTCAAGAATCGAGGGCTGCCTCATGTCGATTCATTCTTTCATCGGTGCCTGATTCTCTACTCAAGTCTCAGGATCTTGAAGTACTTGTAGCCAATGGTGCAGAAGGCAGAAATGACTCGGTTGAATCGTATTTTGCCGACCGCAAAGACAGGATTTGTCTATTAGATCCGGCAGCTAAGCAGGAATTAAGCCCTGCTGATGCAGACCAATTTGATGTATTCTTGTTTGGCGGCATTCTGGGTAGGAGATCATCTTAGTGACTGTGCAAGCAATACTCATTGGTTTCTCTTAGGAGACGATCCCCCACGAGACCGAACAAGCGAGCTTCGGAAGAAAGGTTTTACTGGTCGGCGCCTAGGTCCCAAGCAGATGACTACCGACACGGCCGTACGAGTCACACGTATAGTCGTACTGGAGCAGAGTGCGTTTCGTCCCAACACTATCTCACTTCACTGCTGACCATCTCACCAGCACCTTTGGATAAGATCCCTTATGTTGATTTTCCCGAGCTGAAGATCAACGAGCACGAGACTACCGAGATGCCATTTCGCTATGTCACTGACAGAAGTGGCAAGCCAATCATGCCACAGGTACTTCATTTATAGGGCATCTCCTCCAAGTCATGTGCTAACGCTGTCGCTTTAGGGAATGGTTGATCTCATCAAAGCTGATGCGGACAAAGCATTTGATGGTCTTGAGTTCGCCGATGAGGTCGATGGCATTAAAGCCTTGAATGTTGATCGGTCTTAGAGCGCCCTATAAAATCAGAATCTTTGAACCATCTATACACGATGTGCAAGTCCTAAGCGATCTTGGGTGCTAGCCACGTTCCGAAGGCTGTCGCACTTGGGTGGTTTATGGTGACCAAGACTAATGTCTATTGATACTGGCTTGAAGTGAATCGCTGGCCTAATTCGGTTGGTATATATTACACTCGATCGATACGCATACCAGATTTGTGTACCAGTTGTAGCGTGACATATACAGCGGATCATAGATACCCAGAAGTCTACGTTGAATCATTTCTATGTTCTGACGAAATCTTGACCGCGGGGCGTGCCGCCTGAATTCAAGTTACTTTTTCTCAAAGCCGTGGGGCGGGAGAGTGACTTTCTGTGGCATTGATGTGACCTTGTCTCTTTATTCCATGGTCTTTTTTGCATGACTGTAACTTGACTTACGCCTATACACAATCTTCACCACTTCCTCTTTCTCCTCTGGCTATTTCTCTGCCCGGCGGCACCCTCATTCATCATGGTAGAAAAGGTCTATGCTACATATAATGATGTAAGTGCCAATCGCGTTATCTCAAAATTAAGGCTCGTGATTGATGGCCATGATTGACTTCTAACTCGACCACCTTTGTCTGTTGCACACTCGTCCAGGAGCTCTTCACTCACATTTTGCGACAGGTTCACAAACTCTGCCAGGATTCGGCACCCAAGATTTTGCAAGATTTCCAACCCAACCTCATGATTGCCATTGGTGGAGGTGGATATGTTCCCGCTCGAATTCTAAGGTATGGACAGTCCAACCTTTCCACCACCCTACGTATCTACATAGACCAAACCACAGTGAAAACTGACTTTCATTCCGACTCTAGGTCCTTTCTCAAACAACCGGGAGCCCCTAATATTCCTATTCAAGCCATCGGTCTCTCCCTCTACGAACAACTCTCCGGTTCTGACCCTGTTGAGGCTCCCGGCACCAAAGTTACCCGAACACAATGGCTCGACTTGTCGTCTCTGGAGATGTCCAACTTGATCGGCAAGAACGTCCTTATAGTCGACGAAGTTGACGACACACGCACGACGCTCGAGTACGCTGTCAAAGAATTGGAAAAAGATGTCGAGGAGGCCAGAAGACAACAAGGGCGGACGGAAAAGACCAAATTCTCGATATTTGTTCTGCATAACAAAGACAAGCAGAAGAAGGGCCATTTACCGGACGATATGATCAACGACAATCGGTACCTGGCTGCCGTCACTGTGCCTGATGTTTGGATTTGCTATCCTTGGGAGGCTACCGACATTGACGAGCATGATGCTTTGGCGGCCCAGAAAGGCGTGAAATGATGTCCTTTCATCGTTTGGTTTTTTAAGGTGTGATCTTCCGTTAGGGGCATGAACATAGAACACCGCAACCAGAAGATGCGCCCAAAATATCTGACCCAATGCCATGTGTTCTTTTTGGACTTTTCAAGGATCTAATCCCAGCGGACTTTTCTTGCGTCCAAGTCCTTTCTCGCCTTGTTCAGCTGTACCTGCAACTCATCATATGCCTCTCTTGTGTCATTGAAGCGTAATACACCAAGCCCCAAACGGCCGAGTAGATATGCTGCAAGAGAAATCAAAGCCCAGAACGGCAGGACTGGAATGATCTCAACCTGGATCTTCGTTGGTAGGATCGATGGAATTGGCGAAGACTCCATCAGAAGTGGCAGAGCAAGAAGTAAATATGCCTGTCAAACAAATGATGAGCAAACGGTGTTGATTGTGGACATTACAGTCCATGTGGACGATTTTAATACATACCGACGACACCAACAACGCGAAAGAGATGGTTTGCGCCGCACGCGTCATTTTGACTGTCGAGATGTTTGGAATGACTCTCTGCGAATCAACAAAGTGTTCGAAGTTTGAGGATGCTCCGGATGAGTGACTGTAGGTTGTCTGAGTTGAAGAAGATGTCGAAGCAAGACTGTCTGGTTCCTCACATTGAAGAGGACAGACATGCAATGCAGGAGCGACTGGACATAAATGTTAGGAAACGACGCTTGCATCTGTGCTACTATAGTCCTCTGTACTCTTGGCATCTCTACGGTGCATCTTGCGATTCCAACATACAGTCAGCCTGATCAACCCTGATTGAACCCCAACATCTAACAGGAAAGCCTCTACGAGACTAGCTGAAAGTCATATCAGACAGCATGCTGATTGGGTACCGAAGTCGACACTGTCTTCAGTATCCTGATGCCTTGTAGGCAGGGCTTATGGTACGAGCCTGTTGAAAAGCAACAGGTGGCCGTCTCCCTGTCCTACTGACATTCACCCTCATCATACTTTGGGCCAGGCAACTATCAAAGCGAGCCTCACCTATATTTGGGTGACATCGCTTACAAGAGTGAGATTTCTTCTCTCTAACAGCCGGCACATAGTGAGTGACTGGGCTCCTCCCCCTCGAAAATTATCAACACCGGCACTTGAAGATACCATGTCGGTCCTCACCCCGAACCAGGCCTGTCACGATCTTGCTGATGCTATATCTCAACTGTCCCGTACTGCCTTAACCAACAATAATGACTTTAAGCAACTCATTCAACACTTGGTGCGAGCCGCTGAGAGCCCCAGCAATCCAAAGACAGGGCTTACTTCTGCTATCCAAGAATTATCCCAATATCTGGCTCGACATGTTAGCAAAGACACAGAAGACGGTGATGCCATTTTCACATTACTCGCCAACACCACACGTGACGTTCCCTTTTGGAGACCTCTGTTTGGTCTTACTGTCAAAGCCCGTGCCGAACAAGACCGCCTCCACGTTGCCGGCATCGTTGCCCCAGATTGTGTTGTGGAAGTCGCCCGGCGCATCGTAAGCAGGAACCCGGCGCCAAAAGTCGGCAGTCTCAAGGCCAGGGCTGCCCTCCGACTTATTGCAAATTGCTGTGCCGACAATGATATCAACCGAAGCGTCATCGTTCATAGAGACGGTGTTGCAGCTCTTATGCAGATGGCATATCTTCGACGAGAATGCGACCTGTTGATGCCCACCTTGTACAATGTTTGCGTTGACTATGATGAACCTGCCATGGACGCTCAAGGAAAGCCGTGGCCGGCTCTAACACAAACCAATGACACCTCTGAAGCATCAGATGATCCCATTGTCAATGCAGCAGAGCAGAAACTTGGCTCTTGGTGGGAACGGGAGTCGGGTCTCTCATCAGTGGAAACGCTACTGAATGCCAGCTCCGCCTCAGACCCTTCGTCATTAGCCGACGTTGTTGAAATGGCAAGCCGTGTATCGGTTTATGGCATTCATAATCTCATCCACTACCTCAGCGACACCGATTCAGACGACATAGTGGAAGCTAGCTCGCTTGGTATGGTGCATCAACTCATCAGCACGGGAACTGAGATTGCCCTTTTAGACTCTGATGGCTGGATTGCCATTCTACAGAGCATCCTCAACGTCCTGTCACAGAAGAGTGTTCATGGTGCAGTCCTCAGTATTGACGGTGCGCTCTGGCAATTGATCAACCTACCTTATCTCCACCCGACCGATGATGACCTAGAGATGGACGCTTTGATCGCACCCTACCGAAAAGCGATCCTTAAGCTCGTCTATGAAATTTCCTCACTTGAGGCGTACGGTAACAAATTCAATGCAGACTCTGATTTGGTCAAGAGCTGCGTAGCGACGCTGGAACACTCCCAAGGTCTACAAAACTCTCCTTCTCGGACGTCAACTTCACCGTTTCCCAACACTCTATACGCTTCTGTTATAGTTCTATTGGCCAACACAATCATCTCGCCTGACCGGCTAGAACGACTACTCAAGTCATTCCCTAACCTTGTCCAAAGCCTCATGAGAATCATCGTATCATCGTCTGCCAACGCTTCAGAACTCGTGCGTCCGACAATTGATCTCGCTACACGACTCGCATTATGTGCGTCCGGACAACGACAACTGTATTCGTGCCAGTTCCTAGAAGCGACAAAAGCACATCTTGGCCCGACAAGTCAAACAGATACAACGAGAATCGAAATACAGAGAAACATAATCGATCTGGCAAGATTGATTATCAAAGGGAATGCAACTTATCTCGACACATTGACTCATTCATTGCCGAAAGGTGAAGAACGTCGGAATATCAACCAGGCGCCCAACAAAGACGCCAGCTTCATATCCGCTGCCATCTACCTTTTCCAGCATACCCCCGACACGGCCACAAAACTAGCCATCTCCCGATTGACGATCGAGATCCTCCGAACACTGATGTCTGGGGTGTCAACCACCCCCACAACCACATCTGATCCTCCTCACCCTGAGAGACCTGACATGACAAGCGCAATGGAGAAAACCCTGGAATCCGTCTTCCCTCGGAGTAATCCTCAGCAAACACATTCTGTCTCGCTAGCCGAAATGATCAGTCACATAATCGAACAGTCTATATCAGGATCATCAGATTCAACGAAGACGACGCAGCAGCCGCCATCATCCTCATCTGCGAACCCAGAACCTGAGGGCTGGTTTGGTTTGGCTCTCCTGTCGACATTCCCCAAGTATCACGCCAGTATCCTCGATGTGCTTTCAAGCAATGACTCTTTGCTAATGAAGAGGTTGCGACATATTGTTGCTGAGAATCTCCCTGCTGTGTTACCGCAAATCTCTCCTACGTCCTCTACGTCCTCTACGTCCTCTACGTCCACTTCCATGACTACAGAGGAAAGATACAACCTAAACACACAGAGCAGTAACCTGTCGCACCCGCCGCAGGACGCAAGACTTGCCAACATCAAGGTCTTGGTTGTTCGTATGGTGCAGAACTCTGCGGCTGCTCAAAATCGCACTCTAGAGTCTATGCGCAGTGCAAGCCTGCATAGCGAAGCAAGCCAGACCGAGAGACTAGGAAATACCTGGCAGGAGCTTGAATCTGTGGCCGCCGATTTAGGAGTTGATTGGGTCATGGTTTGAGAATCTCTCCTTGTTACTGCGGGTATCACACGGATTCATGAAAGTCAGGGCCGATATGAGGATTTGACATTCGGACATTGGAAGTAATGACACCATAGTCTACTGAGAGACTTGCAGAATAGAAAGGTGTTTGTCTCTGTCTGCACTTCAAGACATTCCATCAGTTGCAGATGGATCTCGCCCCATGAAGACCTTGTACAGTCGTCTTGAGGCCATGGGTCCTAACTTCCTATCATTCCATGCCCCGTCCTTGTTAGCACTTTTCCGTAGGTCCTGAAGAAGCAAATTTCCATGCTTTTCAAACCCAACCGCAAGATCACGGACAGATGAATACTTGTCTAGGATTCCATAGGCCATGCTCGGCGTCACTCGTTGAACTTCCTGCAACATTTTCGCAAATGTTTCGCGAGAATTGTCGCCAGTGCGAACTTGGCCTCGATCCATGCAAAAGGATGCGTTTTTCAGATTGAAGTCTACTTGTGCCAGGCGGTAGGGCCTGGTGGATAGGTTTTGCGTCAGGGCGGAGATCTGTGCGGCTGAGTTGGAGGCTGAAGTGGTGTGCTGAACAAGGATGGGTTGATGCGCTAGTTGGAGATGCAATAGCATGTCTTCGAGGATATCTGCTGTGATGAATGAGAGGTCTATCGACGATACTGCCGATTTCTTTGATTTCCTCGACCGTGCCTGGGACCCTGTAGGGACGGAGGTAGTGTTGTCACCATCAACGTCGACCATCTGAGCCCTCACTGCGGCCGTATATTCTCGATTTTTGGCATTGATGTTCCTCTTCAGCCAAGTGGTCATACCCTCAATCAAGTAAATAGGTATACAATCTGGTCCGCCTATGCCACGGAGAAGAGCCACATGGGCATCCAAGTTGGCTTTCATTTCTTCGACTGATGGCTGTGCGCTTTCTGAAGAGGCAGATGCGGGAGATGCAAGTAGCGTGGCGAGGTCTGACCCAGAGATATGGACTAATAAATGGCCTTCATCAATGGTACGACTTTGTGAGGCAGGCTCCCACTGGCCGTCCTGATCATTATACCTTGAGACAACTTTTCGCCGCCACTTGATGATGCGCCCTTGAGGCCGGTGCCCTGTTGAGTTGTGAATTAGGTCGACTTCGTCTTCGATGTAATTGAGTTCGATGTTGGCCAGCTTCATATACTGTTCGATTTGATTTCCAATGGATGTGCCTCGAAGAGAGCAAGCCACATCTACTATCATTTCTGCTGCAGAGTCCTTCTTGTCGATTCTTGATTTATTCACCTCAGCCAAATCGGCAGCTCTTTGCTTTTCCTTTGATTTTTGCTCTCGCTCAAGACGTTTTCGCTCTTTCTCAGCTTCCTTTTCCGCATCTTTAGTTGCTTTTGCAGCTGCACGGGACGCAGCCTTCTCTTCTTTATTCGATTCGGTAAATGACTTGGTTGGTTTTGTTGTTGTCCACACTTGACTTGAGGAAAATATAATGTCATCCAAAGGTTGCTCGATCTGTTTGACCTTGTCAGAAGCCCTGGGGTTCTCAATTCTGCTAGCATGAGCCTTGAGATTTGACTTTTTGCCAGTATCCTTCTTCATTAATGCGAGTAGCTGCTCAGTCCGCGTAGAGTAAGTTGGCCTTGGGCTCGAACTTAGAATCGCCGAGGATTTGGCTAGATTCGAGTCATCCTGTGCGTAGCGTTGGAGCCTGTTTGCGACGGATGTCGGTTCTAACGGGTTCACTCCCCTAGATTCCGGGGCGGAGGACGAGAATGTGATTTGGTCATCATCATCCCAGATTGTTGCAGCGGGTCGCTGAATCTGTGGAAGTGCTTCTGCAATGAGAGTATGAATTTCAGGTAGCTCATCTCGATCAGATATATCGAGGTTCGAGGAGCCTGGAAGTGTCCCTTCAGTCGTAGTAAAGGTTGGAGTGATGCGTCGTCTTTTTGCTGAGCGGTCGGATTCAATGTCGGAATCCGAGAAAATCTCCAACGAAATGGCTTCAGGTAGTCTGTCTACCACTTCCGGCGAAGCACCAAGCCGTTTATTAGGCGGTGGTATGGTTGGCCGAGAGGAGGGGATGGGTGGCGAAGAGGAGATTAACTCGATGATTTCAGGCATCATGGATGTCCCTTTGCCCTCAGCTTCTGAACATACAAGAGACAGTGCTTCAGGTGGGCTTATCTGGCCCGTCGAGAAACATCCAAAACTAGTTGAAGTGGCTTCAAGTCATTCATTGTTGCACATCAGGTTTGAAGTCGGTAGAAATGGAAGATGTCATGGAAGATCCCCAGTTTGGGTTTCCAAACAATCTTGGCAACAACGACGCGTGATGAGCCAAAACCACTTTACGCGTCACGAGTTTCCTCCCCGCCTCAAGCCTTGCAACTATCAAGCAACGAGTACAACAACTTGCGTCTGTCATTTTACATCGAGTAGTGATCAACATACACGACGAAACTCTAGATAATTACTTTGACGTTTACATCGGCGTCTGGATGCATTCGCCGAGCCCGGGCGAATTCAGTTAATCTAGTGTCGCTTTTACCCTTTCTTGACTTGATCACAAGACCCACCAATGCAGCAACAAACATCAAGACCAGACCGACTCCAACAAAGATGTCATTGCTTTCCACAAATGTACTGCGCTTATCGGCGGTCATCTTTTCAATGGCCCGATCAAAGTTGATAGCCATGATTTTGTTGGAAAATTGGTCCGAGGCTCTCAATCTTCCATTGCTAGCCATCTCCTGCAATGTTTGAGGGCTCAATTCATGTAAAACTCGTTCTATGACGGCAGTCCATTGATCCACCTTAGAAACGTCTCGCAGCCACCCGGTCTCCCCTTCAACAATGGTCTCTAGTGGACCGCCTGTATTTGAAGCAAGGACTGCAACACCCTGTTGCATTGCCTCGACTGGGACAATGCCAAAGTGCTCGTTCTGGGGCGTATAGAGGAGAAGACGAGCGTTTTGCAGAAGAACTTGCTTGAAAGGCCCTGGCACGGAAAGCAGGAAAAGGACTTGGACCTCATTTGGAATGGCCAGTGCGGTAGGGACGGTCTTTGCCGTGGCGCTTATCAGACCATGGCGCTCGGCGAGATCAACCAGCTCCTTGTGATATTGGACATTCTCCGTCACTCTTTGATCATAACCACCACAGATTACCAGTCGTGTGCCCTTACGCTTGTCGGGGGCCAGAGCACCGTAAGCTCGGACGGCCAAACCAACGTCCTTTTTGCGTTCGAACCTATTGATGCTGAGCAAGATCTTGAACTTGTTATTCCAGAGGACCTCCTTTTCAGTGGATGGGCTGTTCTCAAGGTTGACACCTGGATAGACAACATCAAAGGCGGACTCCATTGACGGCCAAAGTTCTGAAGCAATGGCCTTTGTGAAATTTGAGTTGACCACCAACTTGTCACTGGCACTCATGCTCCAACCTTCAAAGACATCAAATGGCAGTCTGTATGATTTTTTGATGAGACCAACCAGGCCCGAAGAGCGCCGATCGGCGAGCAGCTGATCAGGAAAGTGGCAATAGAAGAGGGTTCGTTGGCGTCGAGGAAACAGCCACCTCAGTAGAGGGACGCAGGCTGAGAGCTGATCAACCAAGAATACATCTGGCTTCAGCGCCTGAAGCTCGTTTCCAAAGATGGCAATGGAGAAAACAAGATGAAGTTGACGAAGAATGGCAAGGAGAATGTGAAAGCGATTGAGGATGGTGGGGGGGAAGAGTGTGTTGCCACGAACTCTAACGTCTAGGGTGCCTGTACTCACATGGAGGTCAACGTTGGAATAGGGTACTGAGGTGTCAAGGAGCGATGGCGTACCATCTCGAGCCTCGTCGAAACAATGGGTAGGATCGCAATGCGAGGTGAAAATGGTCACCTTGTGGCCCAGGTCTTGGAGGCCGACTGCGGCATCAATAATCAACCTCTCAGCACCGCCAATACCAAGGTCGGGGTGGAAGAAAACGATGCGTTTCCTTGGAGATTTGGCATCAAAGTTGGAGGCATGCGCCTTTGATGACATTGCGGACACTGATCATGAGTGAGCAGGAGTCGTCACCGGCTCCTGGGGTTGTCGATATCCTCAGAGCTGACCAGTCGCACATGTTTTGCTTATAGAAGGTCCCTAGGTGGGGAGGTACTCGGGCTACTTTCCTCGGCGAGAGATGAGCTTGTGCTTCGCTGTAGTCGTCAAACAATCTGCGTCAGAAGTGACAATACTCCGCTCGCATTTTCTCCTTTCCCAACGTGCCAACCTAGAGCCAAACCAGGTTAGACTGAATTAAGCGTGGTGGGCAGCATCCCTGCAGCTTCCTGCACAGTGGCCGATCAAGTCAAGAAATTTGTTGAATAGTCGTGACTGAGCCCCTGCAAGTTGGCACGTTTGGCAATGATGACGGGCTAACTCGCACAACGACGATGAGTCTACTTGACTGAACTCTGAACGCAGATAACATTCCTCTATTGCACTCTGTCTATGAGTTATGTCCTCGTCTAATTTGACATTAGCAAGTGTCATTATTGATGGTGCGACCAAACTGGGCGGATGGCAGTGGAATGTCAGTTCTTGGGTTGGGGAATTTCGCGAAGATTGACAAACAACAACGCTCATTGGCTCTAATCAACGCGTCAAGCTGATCCTAGACTGATTCATCGCCACAGCGCTTTCACGGTCGGCTGTTGGTAAAATTTATTGTGGGCCAATGCTACAGAGTGCCGCTACCTCCCTGCACGCCCTGCGCCTTCACGGAGTCAGGTAGACGGAAAGAGTAGTGTCAGTGGAAGATCGAATGACTCTCACATTGTCTAGTAATCAGTAGTGGTGGTGGTTGTTTGTCCGCCGCCAGCCATTTTTAGCTTATGGCCTGACTGGCGATTGATTGCCCGCGTCTGCGACTGCGACTTGAAGTACGGACATACGACTCCATGGTAGTTCCTTCCAACTTTCATTCCTCCACCTCTACAACAAAATCTTTCTTGGATTGTAGGCAGGTGCACATTCGTTTATCCCAAGGTTGCACAGCGCCACCGTTTCTTGACTTTCTTCTTGACATTTCCCTTCTCCATTGTCCTTCTCCATATTTTCTTGTCACGTCTCATCTTCCAAGATGGTGTGGGTAAGGATCAACGTTCATTCAGCAGGCCTGCAAGGCAGCCAGGTTGGCAAAGGCTTGTGCTAACATCTCTTCAGTTTCCCACTCTCACCACTGCGCTGTTTGCGCTCTTTGTCAGCAACGTCTTCGCCGTGTCCCCACTCGTTGTTCGTGGAGCAGACTTTGTCAACAGTGTCGATGGCAGTCGATTCCAGATCATTGGCGTGGCGTAAGAAACTTGATACCCTATTCAGGAGCATCGTGGGTGCTGACACAAGGACTTCTACAGTTACCAACCCGGTGGTTCGTCTGGTTTCAACCCAGAGGCCGGAGTCGACCCTCTGAGCGATGCCGATGTCTGTCTTCGGGATGCCGTTCTCATGCAGCGACTCGGTGTCAATGCCGTCCGCGTCTACAACTTGAATCCCGATCTTGACCATACGGAATGCGCTTCCATCTTCAACGCCGCCGGCATTTACCTCATCCTCGATGTCAACAGCCCTCTTCCCAACCAATCGCTCAACCGAGGGGCACCACAAGAATCATACAACTCGGCCTACTTGGAGCGCGTTTTCCAAGTGGTGGAGGGCTTCATGCATTTCAACAACACTTTGGGATTTTTCAGTGGAAATGAAGTCATCAATGAAGATTCTGTGCCAGATGTCCCAGCCTACATCAGAGCAGTGACTCGGGACATCAAGGACTACATCGCGAAGCAAGGATCACGGGAGATCCCTGTCGGCTATTCTGCTGCCGATGTCCGCCCGCTCCTGATGGGAACATTTGACTACCTATCTTGCGCTCTCGATGATGAGGCCAGCTCCAAGATTGACTTTTTTGGTCTCAACTCATACTCATGGTGCGGTGATGCGAGCTTCCAGTCCTCGGGCTATGATGTTCTGGTCCGTGACTTTTCCAACACCACCATCCCCATCTTCTTCTCGGAATATGGTTGCAATCAAGTTCAGCCTCGTACCTTTACCGAGGTTGGCGCTCTGTACGGCGAAGAGATGACAGGGATATTTTCCGGTGGTCTCATCTACGAATACAGTGAGGAACCCAACAACTATGGCCTGGTCGACCTCAACACCAACGGATCTGTTTCAATCAGAGTGGACTACAACAATCTGCGTGAACAGTACAACCAGATCGACCTCGACCACATCACAGCTGCTAACTCCACTGCGACGGCCTTGGACGCTCCGGCTTGTGGTCTCGGCGTCGTGGCTGGAACCAACTTCAGCCAGTCTTACGACATTCCTGCTCGTCCGAGCGGTGTGGACGACCTGATTGAAAAGGGTGTCTCGGGCAATTACCCCAGTGGAACCGTGTCTGTGACCAACCGTGTGCCTGACCATATCGTTTATGAGCAGAATGGACAGGAGATGACTGGACTTGAGTTGACCATCCTGCCCAACGATCAGAGCAACCTTCCTGGCAACAACACAAGTGGAAGCACTCCGGATCGGCCTGCGGGAGGATCGCCGTCGTCGACTTCCGGTGGTAGCTCACCTTCCCACACAAATGCGGCCGCCAAGATGGATGGCACAACAATGGGACCTGTCAGTTTGGCAGCACTTTTGCTTGGTCTCTTCATGCAGCTGTGAGGGTGAATTGGTGATTCAAATGTTAGTATGGGTTATTGACGACCGACAGCGAGGTCATAGTTGGTGTGAGGGGTTTTTTGCCAGGCAATAGCATAGTCAAGTCTTTTTCGATGGACATATTGCAGTTGGCTTTGCTGGACAATTCGCCACACACAAATGATATCATAGAAGAGGATCAATGAGATGCAATTTTCATGTAGATGGTTTACGTTCAATCATGATCCAGAAGGAGACGTGGTGAATTGTCACAAAGCTTGTCGCTGAAAGGAAGCCTAACCAGCATCGCCTTGACCGAAGTCTACTTGTGTGGTCGTCTTTGGATGCGGCAAGACTCGGACGGGCTTTTACAATTGACTGACATCATGTCTGCGTCCAAGTAGATGAGTTGCAGTTCTCCAGGCTCAAAAGTTTGTGTGGATGCCAGCAGTCACCCCTTGTTGTTCAGTAAGTTGAGGAATGAGATACTAGTGGGTATGTGCGGTGGTAGAGCACCAATGTATCTTGGGACAGCTCAGACGATCTCAAACAAGAATTGAGATTCGGACAAATTAAAACTTTGGCAAAAACTTTGACTGGAGATGAGGGTATACGGAGTACTGGGCAGGGCACAAGTTGTGGAGGTTGCGGCCATTTACAGAGACACGGCTAAGTGCAGTGCAGTGTCACGTCTCGTGACTCGTGTATGTGCTACAAACTACCTACAGGACTGCCACGTCGGGCGCGTGCGTGTACCCTTGATTCTTAGAGGCTTTGAGAGTCCTCTTCCCAGTTCTAGACGGCCTGTCACCATATGCCAACCTATACGTACAACAAGACAAAGGGTGTGTGACCTCAAAGCTGAAGTCGATAAGATTTTCGCGCTACTGCCGCTACTGCAGGTCACGACTGCCCATCGGACCAATGATCAGTCGCGTGGCTGAAGCCCTGACGTCGTAATTGTGGCTGTAGCGTCACCACCCCACCAATCTGGATCGACGCTTGGGTGGCGTTGATTCATTCCAACATCTGCGATCTGCGCCCCAACGTCACTCACAGCAAATCCTGCTTCTGTCCAGCCAAAACATCCAGACTTTCCAAAGCAAGGACCAACCAGCCAACACAGAATGCATCACGACCCTGGTTACCGCAAAACTACAAAGACCATTGCTGCCCTTCTGGAAGATCCCTTTTTCTCTTCCCCCATCGACACGTACGACACACCCGACACACACCACTCGACATCTGCCATCTGAGCCAAAGCCTCGCTCCTGGTCAACATTCTTGTCATATCCCGAGTTGTCTCTAGACGAATCCACATCTCACCATGGCTCTCGGCGGTGCCATCCTCCGCTTCAGCCAAATCGGCGTCCGTGGTCTGCAGTTCTGCTGTGCCGCCATTATTCTAGGCATTTACTCCTACTTTCTCGCCGTCCTAACCAACCATGATATCAACATTCCCACCTGGGAGAAGGCTGTCACGGGCATGTCAGGCTCCGCGGTTCTTTACACCATCTTCGGATTCCTCTTCACCCTTTGCCTTGGCGGCATCGCCTTCCTTTCCTACATTGCCATCTTCCTCGACATCTGCTTCATCGGCTGCTTTGCTGCCATTGCCTACTATACCAGACACGGCGCCAACTCCTGCCAGGGTATTGTCAACACTCCCATTGGCACCGGCCTTAGCAACGAAGAAGCCCCTGGTGCAGGTGACTGGGGTTATGTCTGCAGTCTGAACACCGCATGCTTCGCTGTTTCCATCCTCGGCATCTTCCTCTTCATCGCCAGTGCCGGTCTTCAATTCTTGCTGGCTCGTCGTCACAAGAAGGACAAGGCTTTCGGCCCATCTCCCAACAACGATTACACTGCTGGACCTGGTCGCCGACCATTCTGGAAGCGCAGCCGCAAGGTTCAAGATACACGTGACGCAGAGGCTGCCACTGCACATGCCGGCCACCATCATACTCTAGGCCGACACAGTCACGAAACTGGTATGACCGGCTCGACGATGCACGGCGGAAATGTCCCTCTTACCAGCGAGCCCAAGTACGGCCAACCTGGGTATGGTATGGAGGGCTACAGCGCTCCTACAGGTGTAGCACGATAATCGTCACGTGTTGTTCTTGGCTCTCACACTCTGGGCCCCCAATGAGACAAAAACAAAACTCGTCATACCAAAGCTGCATCAATGTATTGCACAAACAGATATCGACAGTCAAGACCAGGATGTTTGGCTTGTACCAACATTACCACGATTTCCATTGCGTCTATCGGTCTTGTGAGCGCGGCGCAACAGTAACAGGAATGAGTTATATGACAGTACGCTAGAAAGGTCGCTTATCAGCACCATTTCATACTTAATGTTAATTATTGAAATATTGAACCTGCTCTGCTACTAAAAAGTTTTCATCTGTCTACTTGTCGATGGTGTAGATACCAAAAGATGACACTAACGAAACATTCTATCGAAAAGGCCATGTTATTTCTGACTAACATATGCATAACAAGCTTTACATGCAGCTTTAGGCACCCGGTCGAAGCGAAATGTTCGTGTTTGTATGCATACCAAGACCAGGATATACGAGGTTGTCAAGAATCCGAGGTTCGTTACTGTATGTTTCGCTGGCGTCCATGCGTCCCACCGGAATTCTCGGATCATGTGCAGCCGAATCAACGTCTCGCTTATTGTTTCAATTTCATGCCTCTTTCATCCAATTAATTCCACTCCTTGCTCTTCATTTTCTTACTGCTGTAGGGCCATCTTCAGCCAGCATCTTATTGCAGAGCCGCCAGAGCTTACTCACTCATCCCCGTATCTCAAACCTTTGTGGGTAGATGTTGAGCATGACACCAGCCAATTCAATTCTGGCCTGACCTGCAGGTTGGGACCTATCTGATGAAAGAATACCTTTGGGTTCAATGTCGACCATGGAGAAACACACAGATGGCCCAAGTACAGGCAAAAGCTCAATTAGACGGAAGCCAGTATTGCAGGCAACCCACAGTGACGATCTCGAACAAAAACATGTCCACACCCCTCAAGATACCCTGGACGAGCAGACGGCAGTATTCCAGGCCATGTCGCTCGAACCTCCACCTGGACTTGTCGAGTCTTCCTCCAGCCAGGCATCGGGTTCCACATATGGTCCCACCTATCACGGTACCCTGACTGAATCCATCCCATCCACACCCACCACTCCACTCAGTCCGCCACTAGCTTCCCCAGATGAACCATCCAAAGCTGGAAAGTTTTTGAAGACTGCAATGCAAGACGTTCGTCACTTTGCTGGAGGTCTCATCAATCATCCCTACGAAGCGACCAAGCATTACTCAATACTCCGTCATTCTCACGGCCTGGTCTACTACTCTGGCCCATACACGAGTCTAGCTATTACCATCTTCTCGGATCGGGAAATCCCCCAAGACCGGACCTTGTGGTTGCAGCGTCGTGGCTTCTCTGGTAAGACGGGTTTAAAAGTCGGAGGGTTGCTAGGCGCCAGAAGTTCATGGATCGACATCACCCCAACCAGCCAAGCCACGCCTGATCAACTCAACCCAAACGACGAACGTGCCTGGCAACGCGATATCGAAAAGTTCTTGAGAAAAGCCCCCAAAGAGATTCGATCTCACCAGGTACGCGAGACCGACGTTCTCCGAATCCCAAGCGAGGCCGACGATGGCTATCTTCGAGTGGTTTTGTGTACCGCCGCAGGAAAGAAAGTCCTTTGCGGAAGTCCGATCTTTCGTCTTGCCTCTTCCTCCACCGACTCCAGCTCCCTGCGGGGAGCATCATTGTTGACCATGCCTGTTGAGGTTGGGATCCGCGTGGCCTCGGCCATGGCAAGCGCCGCAGCAACCACGGCATTATCACCTGTAGCAAACACGGCCAAGACGTATGCTACCGCCCAAGTGTCTCGAGTCTACCAACCAAGCGCTGTCGCCATGCAAGCATTCTCTTCTGCAGTAGACAGGAGCGGAGTGACGGATCGATTGAGTGATGCGAATAAGCAGTACTCAACAACTCGAGAAGCTTCATATAGTGCATTACATCAAGACAGATACGACGCTCTAGCTCGGCCTTCAATTGTCGGACCTGACACGGGGCCTGAATCCCCGTTTCCTGTCCGGTTCAGCGGGAAGGTCATTCCTGGCGCAGGAACCAGCTCCGCACAGTTCAATCTTCCGACGGCCAATCTATCTGGAGTTCCTGACGACATCCTATTTCGGTACCACGGAGCGTATTTCGGCTGGGCTGAGGTGGAACTACCTAAGAAAGTGGCGATAGAGAAGAACATCCCCAAGGAATGGCATCAGGCGGTAATCTATATCAGTCCTGACCCCACTGGCCGCAAAAGTGTTGTTCCGACCAACACCGTTCGCGTCTACGTGATGCACGAGTTCAAAGGTGAAACATTTCTAACGGCCAAGTTGTCCGTCATGCTGATGGGGTACATGCGGGAGATGGATCAGGTCTCACCAATGCAAACACCCGACGTTGAAGCACAGCTCTTCGACATTTACAAGGATCTTGCCGTGACTGCGGCGAGTTTGGCCAGACCTGAATGGCAGGCAGAAGCTACGTTGAACCGTCTCAAGTCCGCTGCATCCAATCGATCGCTCAACGAACGATATGTTGATCTTCGCCAGACTAGCCAGAGACAGATTGACCGTATCCCTGTGTATCGATTGGGTATTCGAACCGAAGGGGCAGATTTGAAAGACCGCCTCATTGGAAAGGGCGGGGTTTGGATATCACGGCAGACTTTGACTCATGCTTCTACTGTTTGAGGTTATGGGTTTGTGCGCGAATCCCGCTGGCGTGTATACTGGCGTTTAAAGCTTTAAGAGAGAGGAGTTAATTCTACGGATATTATTAAATACTTGGTTCGAGATACCAGATTACTTGGGAGTTCCCAAAAACATTTAGAGGACATATTTAAAACCATCTAATATTGACAATTTAATAATCATTCTGAGCATACCTTTTGATCGTACTCTTACCATTCAAACACGAGAAGCTTAGAATATAGTTCTTATGGGACGATACGAAAATAATAGTTCACAGTCAATTCTTGTCGTCGAATCAAGCATTCCGCCATTTCATTTTCCACATGCAACCGAAACAGCCGAACCCAAGAAATTATATTCTCCATGTCACATTGCCATGCATAACCCACAGCTGTTCACACATTCAGTTGAATAAACATATAAAATAATCAGGTAATCGAAGACAACTCATAAGATCCTACACCCAGTCAAAGAAAACGACTCCCATCCTTGGCCCCAGGCTGCTGTTTCTTTCTTTTTGCTTCCACCTCCTCCCCCCACCTCAGCCTTGTGGCCCCGGAGTTCAGTGATACTTGTGCCCAAAAAATGAAGAAAATCCCTCTTGCACGGTATCTATTCACACGTCTAGCTCAACACAAAGTGCAACATATGCACGGTGTACCCGGAGACTTTACACTTAAGTCTCTCGACCACCTCTCACCCAGCGGGGTAAAATGGATCAATTCATGCAACGAACTGAACGCCGGCTACGCCGCGGACGGATACTCGCGGATCCGGGGTCTAGGCGCATTAATGACCACCTACGGAGTCGGCGAACTCAGTGCAATCAACGCAATCGCCGGTTCATACGCAGAATATGTTCCTGTCGTGGGAATAGTGGGCACACCGCGTCGGGAACTTCAAGCGACGCGAGCGAATGTCCATCACACGTTGGGAGATGGGCGTCCTCGTGTGTTTGCAGAGATGGCCCGTCATGTTACGGTGGCGCAGGCGAATTTGATCCATGATGATGAAGAGGCTCTGGTTGAGGCGGTGGATGATGTTCTTGCTACTTGTTTGAGGGAGAGTCAGCCGGTTTATGTCGAGTTGCCGTGTGATATGGTGGCGAAGCAGGTTGATGGCACGAGACTTGATACGACGACTCTTGACGTTGATGTCAAGAGCGATGCGCGTGCAGAGAAAGATGCGGTTGACGCCGTGTTGCAGAGATTGGGTGCTGCGAAACAGCCGCTGATTCTCGTTGATTCAGGTCATGGTGTGCGTGGGTTCCGGACGGAAATCAACGCTTTCGTCCAGAAGAGTGGGATTCCAACGCTGGCTATGCCATCTGGGAATGGATTGGTCGAGCATTCGTTGAGAAACTTCTACGGCGTCCATTCCGGCCCTGTCGGTCAAATCGACACTATGCCCTACGTGAGCGGCGCCGACGTTGTCCTTGCCATCGGACCAATGTTCTCCGACACGCAGACTCTAGGCTGGTCGGTGGTTCCAGAAGCAGACAAGATCATCACTTTGGCAAAGAAATCGATCGAGTTTCCTGGTCATGGTCATGGTCATGGAGGTCATTCGAGGACGATCAACATCAATATCCAATCTTTTCTCACCACACTGACCGAGGCTATCAACCCGTCGAGCCTCGCTACACCCGATACGTCCAGTCTGGGTGATTTTCGAAGCATTGCCCCTGCGTCCGCTGATCTATCCGCTCCTATCGATCAGACCAATTTCTATCTCCATCTTAGCAAGTATCTTCGACAAGGTGACACGGTCTTATTAGCAAACGCAACCCCAATTCTAGGTGGACGTGACTTGGTTCTCCCACCGAAAGCCACCAGCATTGCATCAGGACAATGGTTCTCCATTGGACATATGCTTCCAGCAGCGCAGGGGGCGGCGCTGGCACAGCAACAGGGGATTCAGGACCAAGAAACTACCACCACCACCACCACCAAGGCTACTGGTAACGATGATCATCACTTAACCCCATGGACACTAGCCACTACACCGTGTCCCCCCATCTCCCCAAGAACAATCCTCCTTGAAGGCGACGGCAGTTTCCAAGTCACAGCCCAAGAACTCAGCACTGCCATCCGGTACGGCATCCCTCTCACCGTCATGATCATCAATAATAACGGGTATGCATACGAGCGACAAATCCACGGCATGCATGAAGATTACAATGACCTAGCACCCTGGCGATATGCGGATCTGGGCGCGAAATTCTTTGGTGCGGATGATTATGGTCCGGAACATAGACAGGCGTATCCCATTTGGACGAGGAGAATCTCGACGTGGAAGGAATTAGATGATACGCTGGCAGATGAGGCGTTTAACGAGGCCAAGGGGTTGAAGGTTCTGGAAGTTGGCATTGGGAAATATGATGTGCCGGAGAAGTTTAAGAGTGTTTTTCAGGCGGCGGGGGAGAAGTTGGGGTGAGAGCCCAGGATAAGGACGAGGGATATGAAAGGATATGAGAACGGACATCTTTTGTAAAGTCAGTGAGGGTTCATTGTGTGGAATGAGGTGGATATAAGAGGTATATGTGCAATTTCATAACGAGACGAGAAACGAATATTAAGCATTCAACGTAAAGAGCAGAGACTGACATACCTAATATAGTTTTAGGATATAAAACCGACATCATCAGATGAAGCTGAACGGATATGACTGAGGGACTGTCTCCTCATAAACGTTACACTGATCGATCTCACGCTAAGTATAAAACGCAACTTGTCCCTAATATCCCATGCATTCAACATGGACTTTTCGAAAAGCACTTTTGTGTTTCTGTTGATCCATGTTGTCGTGCATATTGTCCTGCTACTATCTGACATGCATGAAATCCCGCTGAAAAGATTAAAACGCCCATGTTCCCACATGCTCGCTCAAAAAACATGCAATAATCGATAAACAGAGTGAAAAGGAAGGACCAGGCCAGACTGCTTGGTCACCGTTTCAACGCCATTGCAAGTCAAAGCTCGCTCTACGACTTCGACTTTGATTAGTATTTCGGCGGGAAATTCGCCCAGCCGCACTCGCAGATGCATGAGACATGGTTCTACTGGTTCTGCTGTTTGTTCTCGACAAGGACGCATTGGTACCGGAATCGTCAATCGCATAGTCGTCGGCTTCTGTGTCTGTGTCGCCGCTTCCGGCTTCCTCGTCGATGACATCTAACAATGCATTGTCGTCGTATTGGACTGCCACTTGGTCTCTAGCGTCGAGAAGTCCATGAATAGGTTCATCGTCGCCGGCGCCGTCAAGTCCACCAGAGTCCATGTCAGTTTGACTCTGCAGTCGTGGAATTTTCAAAGGCCAGATCAACAGCCCCGGGAAGATGGCGACGACGACGATGACCAAAAATGTGAAGCGTAAACTCGCGTTGTAAGCGGCAATGACCTGGGTTTTGTGCTCTGGATCGAGGTGACGAATGGCTTGGACGGATTCCCGAACGGTTCGGATGATGGCGGCTTTGGTTTGTGGGTCGGCTGCCGTGACGTAGGAATCGAGGAATACAATTAATGCATTCTGAACTAGCCAAGAACTCACGGCGACGCCGAGAATGGAACCAAGGTTGCGGAGGAGGCCGAGAGTGGTGCCTACCACGGCTTGTTCATCTTGAGGATTGATAGCAAGGACCGAGATGGTGACGGCAGGGAACAAAAACCCTTGTCCAATGCTACAGAATGGAATCAAGAGAGGGACAGCCCAGGTAGGAACTTCGGGAGACAGACACGCCGTGACCAAGACGATTCCCATAATCAGAATGATAGTTCCAATTGTCATGGGTCCCTTCATCTTGCGCGTGTAGGTGATGTAGTAGCCTACCAGAACGGCAGTGATACTAATTCCAAATAGCGGAGATAGAAGAAATATGCCCGAGGTGGTGGGAGTAGTCTGCCGTACAGCTTGGAGGTAGAGAGGGATGTTGAATAGAACGGTGTTGATGACGATGGCGGCAAAGAAGTTCGACCACATTAGGTTCCCGTTGGGTTTGGTCGAAAGATATGGAATTGGAAGGATGGGGTATTCGGCTCCGCGTTCGATGAAGTAAAGAGCAACAGCAGAGATGATGAAAAGAACGAGACTTGTGATTACCAAAGGGTGTGTCCAGTTGAAGACATTCCCTCCGAGGTTTACTCCGAGAATGAGACAAGTCGTCATGGTTGATAAACCCACGGCTCCATACGAGTCGAAGCTGGAAAATGCTGACCCAAGGCTCGTCCCCCGCGTTTTGGCCAAGTTGGGACCGAGACCTTTTGGAACAGCAATGTAGGCAAGACAACCAAAGACAAGAATAAAAGGTAGTTGGAGGTAGAAAGCCATTCTCCAACCAAAATGATCACACAGAAACCCACCAAGGGCGGCGCCGATTCCTATGCCAAAGCCATAAGCCATGTTGAAATAACTCTGGTAAATACCTCGATACTCGATCTTGACCAAGTCACTGGTCAGGATTCCGGCCATGGTGGTCACTCCGCCGGCACCCATACCACAGACAGCTCGAGCAGCGATGAAATTGCCTAAGTCTGGAGCAGAACCACACCAGGCAGTGCTGCAGAAAAACATGGTAATGGCGAAGAGGTAGACTGGACGACGGCCAATGGTGTCACTGATTCTGCCGTATAATGGCTGGAAGACGGTTGAGGTTAGGTAGAAGACGGTGCTGAACCAGGATGCGGCGTTGGATGCATTGAAATAGGAGGTGATGACAGGATGAGCACTGGCCATCAACGTCGAGTCGAAAAAGGCAATGATGCAATTGAGGAGAATGCTGATGAACAAGAATTTGAAACGAGCGGACGAAATGGGTCCTCGATGATGTACTTCATGGTTGTCATGGCCGGCGAGGGCTGCTTGGTCCGAGGGTTTTCGCTTTGAAAGCAAACGAGTAGTTTCTGTCGCTTGAGAAGGGGAACTTGGCCCTGGACTCTGGGAAGACGAACGAGACGTGGAGTGGACCAATGAGGGTTTATTGGTCTTAGGTTGAGGCATGTTGATGTTGGTGACCTCATTTGCAGCAATTGGCACAATCGAGGATCAAGGCAGCGGCGGCGAAGAAAGAGTGATCTCACAGGTGAACATGTTCAGAGGAACAAATCAGACATGCTTTCCTCACAGAACAAATCTCATGATGCAAAGATAGAGAGTGGACCGAGGAGTGTATGTGTTGTATGCGGTCAAGATATGGTGCAATAGCGGGAATACCTTCAGCGAAGGAAAAGATACATTTACGCAGTTGATCAGGTGGAGTGGTAGTTCCTCTGCTGCAGTCTATGTCACCGTCTATGGTAACCAAGGACTTCTTTGCATATCGATCACCAAGTGAAAAAGCCTATTATATATATCGTATTCATATAGTAAGTGAATCGATGTTGATGGGCCAATATCAACATACCTGATATAGGGCCGATTTAAGCAGCCAGTCTGTGAAACAACATCCGCTGCCATACACATTAAGTCTGACCAAATGGCTTAGGATAATATCCGCCAATGAGATGCGCCTACATGGTCCTGCTGTTTCTATTATCCAATGAATCGCATCTACGCCACCCATGATCCACCTATCTCTAATCGATTAGATAACGGATATTCACGCCCTTTGAGGAAGGAGAGACGTCCAAGTTCAAATTGTCAATGTTCTCACCGTCGATCCGACCATTTTGTTTGTTATTTTCTAGATGTACATTGTATAAATTATCCCTTTGTTTGGTGTGGACATTGTCAAGATGATTGCCAAGGCTCATTCACCCCTTCGCATCGCCTTTTTGGAAGCCGATACTCCGTTGCCACAGACAAAGGCCAAGTTCGGAGGATATGGCGGTGTGTTTGAATATCTTTTGACCGAGGGCGCAAAGGCTTTGAATCGTCCTGATCTCAATCCGGAGACGGGGTTTGAGTTTTCCAGATACCAGGTCGAGTTGGAACCAGAGAAATATCCCAATCCGGCGGAGATTGATGCCATTTTAGTGACGGGATCAAGTAAGTCTATGTCCTTGCATTCCACCTGTCATAGTGTCTTACATTTCATGTGTTAGAACACGATTCATTTGCCGATACACCATGGATCAATAAATTGGCCGAATTTGTGGAGATGATTCTGAATGAGACCAACGTGAGGGTGATTGGAGTGTGCTTTGGACATCAGATTATTGGGCGAGCATTGAAGGCTCAATTGGGTCGAAACCCTCAGGGCTGGGAGGCCGCCGTCAACAAAGTACAATTGAGTGATCGAGGGAGGGAGCTCTTTGGCGTGGACGAGCTGGTAGGTGATTGAAGGAACGACAAATCTACGGACCAATGATACTAACTTGAGACACGTGTAGAACATCCACCAAATGCACCGAGATATCGTGTTTGAATACCCACCTGGTGTCGAGTCATTAGGCTCGTCGTCCGTGTGTCAGGTTCAAGGCATGTATGTGCCCAAGAAGCTCATGAGCGTGCAAGGGCATCCCGAGTTTAACGAACAGATCATGACGGAGATCATTGCGACACGACATCAAATGGGAATCTTCAATGACGAGGCGTTTGCGGAGCACAACTCCAAGGTTGCATTACCACATGATGGGTTGGTGGTTAGTCAGGCGTTTTTGAAATTCTTGTTGGACTAGAGAATTTCCATCCAGGTCGGTTTTGTCGCTCACAGCCATACAATCAATATCTATGCATACATCCCTTGCCCGGGTCAAGAGTCGTTTTGCCTATCACGAAACCATCCGATCTGCGTCGGCAGCGCCAGGCGGTATCCTTCCCTCGGCGAGATCCTTTTCTATCCGTGTGATCTCTGCCAAACTCTTTGCGTTCTTGATCATCTCTTGTACCCTCTTCTTTTCCGAGTCGGTCAACTGTGTGCGGACGCCCTTGCGAGCTCCCGAGTCAGAGTCTCCATTCGTCGCGGCTCCCACGGTAAAACTCTGGGCAGTCGACTTGATGCCTTTGATTTTTCTCGCCAACTCGGTCGGCTCTTCTCTTGTTCCCAAGAGTTCTTTTGCTTGTTCTCGCTCGGCGTCTCGTACGCGTTGGAAGTCGAGGAATCGTAGAGAAGGGACGGACCAGATGAGGTAGGATCTGTAGTGCTGTACATTGGGAGAAGCGTGAGTAATTTTTTTTTGAATTGGGCGGGTGGAATAATATCAGCTTCAACCTACCTCTTTTCTCACCACCGGATTGTCCAACAAGCTCAAATGTCTCAGAGAGCCCAACGCACTCAGGCCATCAAGGTCAGCCAGCTCTTTGACATGATTTCCTGACAAGACCAGCGTTGTCAAGTTGGGCACTTGTTCAGCGATTCTCTTATCCACGCTTTGGATTCGATTCCGCGCTAGGAGTAAAGTGTTGAGTCTTGGGGAGAGGGGAAAGCCCGAGAGGGAGCTGATGTCATTGTCTGTAAAGTCGATAGCGTCCTGGGGACCAGCGACACCGAGATTCTCGATGGTGGGGATTTTATGGCCTGCAGGAAAACCGACGAGGGTCGAGGTCAATTGAGATTCATGCAAATGTTATGATTTAGAAGTAGTGTGGGTTGCAGAGTCGATCAATCCATTCAAAACAAGTGTAGTATCTGCTCTTTTCAGGGGAACGTACCTCGTAGGTCGAGTTCACGCTCTTTGATGGGGTTGAGGTAGGAGAGAGAGTTGTTGATCAGGTCGGCGGTCAGCCTCATCTTGGGAGATGGGCGGTGTTTTTAATGGGAGGATCAAGAGGTAGTTGTCATTACGAGGAGAGAGGTACGACAGGAGAACGTATGGGATACGTGGTTGACAAGGAGTGGTGGATGGGGTGAGACCGAGTTATGGAATTGATTGTGTATGTACGTATATTCAATTGAGATTCTGAGATTTTGCGCATGTGACGTGATTGGGTGAGAGGAATTGATGCCTCAGCCTTGTCATTTCAGCCTTGCGCTCGGCGATTTGAATATTCCGATCCGGCTGCGGCTTCCAACAACCGCATATCGGCCTGTCATGGCTGTATACGTGGTATCTCTAAACGCTTGCGATCCTTCTCACACACCCTCTTATCCTCCGTCACTGCTACCTAACGGTGATGTCCATCATATCCAGGGCTGACTGATCCCACTAACAAGTTTACCGCCTGCCGGTGAACAGTGGACTACCCAAACAGGATTCAACTCTTTACCTGGACAGGAAGGTCATGCAGGCTACCTTTCGTAAGCGCAAGGTGCAAGACCACATGGCGCAAACAAGGGACATACGAGGCAAGGCGGCTCCATTGTTTGCAGAAACCGTGGCTTCTTTCAAAGCGTGCTTGGGGTCCACCGCCATATCGGTCCTATCATGTCTATCTTCGATGGTGCAAAAAGAGGGGGTGAAGGGAACAATAGATAAGTGTACCTTTCACTATAGCCTATCAACAGGGGCTACTTCGGGCTATGGTTGTACTTGCATAAGCTAGCGATCAAGTGTGAAAGATGGAGTGCATGAACTAGTGTGCTGCGAGATATCGCTTACTGTGGGGAAGAGCGCGTGGTCAGCAAGGGATGGAATGGAATACCTTTGTTGGATGTATAGTATATATGTACGCATGTTGGGAACCCGTGTTCTTGTTGAAGTGTACAAATTAGGATGTCTAGGTAAGGAGGTAAAATTCAGATAGACGATCACAATTGTGACATGTCTTTTTTTCTCCTCTGAAGGAGATTGATGGGACTAGACACAGGGTTAACGAAATAACCCTTTCAACACAGACTAAGAATCCCATCGTCCAATGCATGACTCGTAGGCGATGCGAGCGCTCAGACATTCGCTACTCGGGAGGTGGCATGGACACGCATGGGTCAACATAAGTCCCTGTCGTAACAAATGCCATGAGGACCAGCGGATCATTCCACCTGCGCCAAGGCCGAGATACGCCGACCAACGGCTGTTGACAGTGGAACAGATAGCGTCCCTACCAACAAATCTTGTCGACAGTTGGGTTACCTAAGGGACCCGACAGTCACGAACACCGTATGATGGAAGATGTACTCCTCTTTTGTTCTCCACCGAAGGCTTACCCGACAATATGGCTCATCTACGAGTACATACGGTCGTACTCGTATACCGCAGATACTACTGTACCTAGGTAGCTGAAATGTACGGAGTAGATGCCGAGGGACAGGGTAATCAGAAAAGGCAGGCAGGTTGATCGGTATCAGCTCGGGGCATCACTGTTACGGATTTTGTTGTTGCAGCCTTGTTCACACCACCCTCTTGCGACTGCGCTTTCTGTATCAAGTGCGGATAGGGGCATACATATGCAAGAGCTGCAAGAAGCTGCAAGAGCACCTGACTAGAGCAATCTCTAAGGGCACCTGCCTGCCTAGGCTAGGTACTTATGGGCCAACAGGCAGGAGCCTAAGAAACTATCCCAATTCCTGGACGCCAGTAAAAGTACCAAGTACTATAGGCCCTCAGCCCCATGAAACCACCACCAGGCGCCCTACGCAAAGTCACTTCCCAAAGATGTGATGAGTAAGAGGCCAGCGACAAGGATGATGCCGCAATAATCAACACAGTACTTCCCCCAGATCTGCAACATAAATGGTGTATCATTGATAATAATAGGTCTAGCTCTTTGGTGATACTTCAAGTTGATATATTTGTGTCGTTCCTACCCCAGGGTTTCCATGGGGACTTGGGAAGGATCAACCCAGGTAAGAGTCGCACCTTCCACCCCTTGAGACCTAAATGTTGTCTCAGGAATGGCAACCACGACCCTGTCACTCGCAACTCACAAAGTACCTCCTCCTTCCTCCTTCCTTCCTCGTTGCATGTGATGTGCAATCTCCCTCATCATCTCGTATAATGCAGCCTGGCAGTGATGCGAGGAACTACTGTCTACGAATAGACACTGGCTGCTGGTTCATCGGCCTGGTCCGTCACTTGACATGTGTGTTAGCTGCAAGAAAAAGCAAGTCTTGATATATTTTTAAACCTGTCTAAAGCATTCATCTCGGCAGGCCAAAGCCACGTACGTCGGTGACTGGTAACCTCCGTTGGATTCATGCAACAGCTATGTAGCATGCATCAATCAATCATGTTGTCCCCCATGACTGGAACCTCCTCGATGAGGTCTTTGATGCTCTCTTGCTTCCTTGCCCAAGGGACTCAGCGAGGGTCTTACTCATTCCTCATCCACAGTATATTTCTGTACAATCCACTTCCTCCTCGGCAATACCAAGACCGGAGGAAACGACAAGCAGAAAGACAGGCAAGCAGGCCACCCACAATATCTGACATCATCATGCTGTCCTTAGTGTAATCACTGTCACCGAACATGAATAGCGTGCGACATACAGCAGCCGAGTGGGTTGAACCAGCTCTAGGATTTTCCAAAGGGTCACGAGGGTGTCACCGTGGTGGGTGCAAACTCATGCTCGTAGAATCTGGTGCGCCCTTATCACTTGGCCGTATTTCCACAAACACAAATGACTAACTGGCACACACTGGATTCGTTGCCATGCAATCTACGGCTAGAGCCAATCATGCGAGTTTATGGCATAGCCGCGCCGCTCTAACCGGTATGCTACCAAGCCAAATAGATCCAAGTCGACCCGGAGAAAAAAATTTAGAATTGCATATCCATCAGATGATGCATGGAGACCATAGTGATCCAACAATGATACTAAGGGGAGATCTATGTACCTTGGTCACCTTGTTCGTGCTTGTCCGGTTTTCGATGGTGCGTCACTTGTTCGCTTGTTGGCTCGTCGCTTGTCGCCTTGTCATCTCGTCATCTAAACTCTCGGAAGGATTGCAGATGTAAAAAGCAAGCAACACTTTGAAGCAAGAAAAAGGGGCGGGGGGGTTTAATGTCCATCACACTCTGCTGGTCGCATGGGTTTGATGGCTTCCAAGAGAAATCCAAGGCCATCGATCGTCAGAACAAACAAATGTTGTAACAACAACATTGAGGGACATTGGGGGAGGCGCAGGTGTCGTGCGTCGAACCAAGGCCTCAAGACCACCCCCCGTCACCCCCGTATGTGGCAGGATTGGAGGGATTGGCATCCGGATTGGTAACATGATCTTATATGCCACTCGTCAATCATCTTCTGATTCGGGAAGGCTGTGGGAAGGGAGTTTCCTTAGGACATGTCTTGGTTCGCGACAACTCGTCTTTGTTATTTGGTCGTATACGAAGGTTTTCTTGGTTGGCTTTTGCTGGAGAATGGTGGCCGCTGCATAGGATCTGCAATGTCCCTTGTTTCTTGAGTTCTTGTCTCTTGGGTCCAAGTCCGTCCTCTTCCACCGACACGGGTACACAAGCACGGGCACAGGTACAGGTACAAGCACCGACCGACTGGCGATCGCGTATTCTACAGTGATAGTTACATCTATAGGTTTATAATACTTATTGTTTGTTGGGACTTGGGAATAAAAGACCCCGAGACCCACGTTCGTGGCGAACAAAATAACCTTGTATCCTTATTGTCGCCTCTCCGGGGAGGCATTTAACAGGCATGACAGGGGTGAAAAGTGAGGAGGTGAATGGGCTGGGTTGAGAAAAGCATTCATTCCCACCATGGCCTATCTCCCGTCCAGTCATTAGCTGAGCACGGGCGGATCGCTTTATCTATGGGATTGCTTGGCATATTGCCAAGACTACCCGTGACTCGCTCCGCTCATTGGTCCAAATCGGGCTTATCTTTGACGGCATCTTCACTTTAGTCCTACTTACACCATTCCAACGACACACCTGCTTGTATCCCCATGCCTCCTATAGGTCGGTTTCTCCAGACCGATTGTCTGATGGAACTATAGTGCCGTCCCCGACCAAGATGCAAATAGTGAATACCCAAATCATCAAATCATCCCCCTTCTTGGCCCCAAGTCAACTCTCATCCCATCCCATTGTCCCTTTCGCCCTGGATTGGGCCCGGCCCACTATGTCCTGGACGCCCTGGACGCCCTGCTCGCCTCTCACACATCCTCACACACGGACTACGACGCACACAGACTTTGGCGCCCTCGCCGCCCTCGCGCCGCCAAGCTGCCTTCAAGCGAGTCCGTCATGACTCTACTTTGGGCCAGGGCTCCACCCTTGCTGATAACAGACTTGGCTCCATACACTTCTTCCATGGCCCCTTCGTGTGGGCATTGTGGGTTCCTGAATCCCACCCCCAGCTGCCTGTGCGTTTCATCAACAGCGAACGTCAGGCGGCTCATACAACCATTGCCTTGACAAGAATTATATCGTCAAACATCAAATCTACACATATCAACGCGCCAATGCAAGTGGGCCCTGTCTCCATCGTTAACCCACACTGTCTTCTGAGGCTTCCCTGTTGATCGGTGCTTCTCCCGACTTTAGCCTCCGTGGCCCTCCACCCGTCGCAAAGGTGGCTCCTTGGAAGTCGGGTCGTGCCATCCATGCATTCCTCATGTCTCCGTCCTTCGGCGACATGGCAAGATATATTTATCCCGCTCCAGCCCTGTTCCTGGTTGCGATCCTTCTTGTTTTGATTTCTTCTCAACCCATTTCGACAAAGTCAACAGACAAGCCAGTGACTTGCAAAGACCTGTTCGACAAAGGCAACGACACCTCACAATGGAATTTGTACCTGTAAGGCTGCTTCTTCCACTCCACCCTCCCTCATGGGATGCTAATTGTATCTCTCTAGCCTGAATATGACGAAGCCCATCCCGAGGGTGGCAACCCCCTTGAGGTTGATGTCAACGCTCAATATGCTGGTTTCGAGTTCCACGCCGCATATCTCGCCCTCTGTGCCTATCTTGTCTGGATGATTATCCCCGGTCTGGCCCTGCTGTACGGTGGTTTGGCGCGCCGCAAGTCGGCTCTGTCCATGTTGTACCAGGGTTTCGCTGTCATTGGTGTAAGTCGCTCCTCCGCAAGACCAAGCGTTCAACCCAGCGACTGACGAGAGACTTCAGGTCATTACCTTCCAATGGATGTTCTGGGGTTACTCCCTCACCTACTCCCCCACTTCCGGCCCTTTCATTGGTAATATGAAAAACTTCGGTCTTCAGGATGTCACCGCAGCTCCCATTGGTTTCCTGCCAGAAATCCTCTTCTGCTTCTACCAATGCCTCTTCTGCGTCGTTACCGTCATGATCGTGGTCGGTGGCGCCTTCGAGCGTGGTCGCGTCATCCCTGTGCTCTTCTTCAGCTTCTGGTGGGCCACCATCGTCTACTGCCCTATTGCATGCTGGACATGGAACGCAAGTGGATGGCTCGCCAACCTCCCCTCTCTCGACTATGCTGGTGGTGGACCGGTCCACATTGCCAGTGGTTGCTCCGCCTTGGCCTATGCCTTGGTTTTGGGAAAGAGAAAGCTCCGCGAAGCACCTCACACCAAACCCCACAACGTTTCCATGGTCTTCATCGGCACGGTTATGATCTGGTTCGGTTGGTTTGGTTTCAACGTAAGGCATACTTCATTCCTAGACTCGATCGCGATTCACTAACAAACGTAGGGTGGTTCCACTCTCAACTCCACTGTCCGATCCTTCATGGCTGCGTGGAACACCAACGTTTCCGCCGGTATGGGTGTTATCGGATGGAGCATCGTTGATATGATCCGCTACAAGGGCAAATTGTCCACCATCGGTGCCTGCGAAGGTGCTATTGCCGGTCTCGTCGGTAAGTTTTGGTGGTATCACAATTCCCTGTGACCTTGACTCACTCTCACAACAGGTATCACTCCTGCCGCTGGTTACGTTTCCGTCTGGTTCGCTGCCCTCATCGGTCTTTTGACCGGTATGGCTTGCTCTTCCCTCAAGAACATCAACAAGTGGATCCGCGTCGACGAGGGTATGGATGTCTTCAAGCTCCACGGTGTTGGTGGTATGATTGGATCTTTCCTCACCGGTATCTTCGCCTCGTCCTCGGTTTCCGCCCTTGACGGCGGTACCCTTGCCCCCGGTGGTGTCGATGGTGTCGGCGCTCAAGTTGCCCGCCAATTGGCTGATATCGCCTCCATTGCTGGCTACTCCTTCACCGTCTCCTTCATCTTGTTGTGGATCATGAAGTTCATCGGCATGTACGTTCCCTTCATGGCTCTCCGAGTCAGCGAGGAGGCCGAAATCCGTGGTATTGACTCCGAGGAGTTCGCCGAGGAGGAAGAAGTCGGTGATTGGTCCATGTTTGAGAGCCCCAGCACTGCGACTCAGGGAACCACCGCCGAGTCGAAGCTTGTCTCGACTCCTCCCAGCCCTCCCCCAGGTCTCCAAGAGGAGCAAAAGCCCACCACTGCTTAAGCAGATCCAACCAGGAGGAAGCGACGGTCATGTTGCTAGACAGACACAACGTGGCCTGCGTGCCAGATGCCATCGCAGTGCGATGGTAAATGCCCTATAGTCCCGGGCACCAGCTTTGGACGTGGATTTACACACACATTGATTCCCCAAAATACCCACATTAATAGTTTATAATTTGACAATCTGCATCCTGATATTGACTATAATTTGGATCTCCTGCGTCGATCGCGTCCCGAGGGCTGCGCTGCCTCTGTCAAGGATGTCTGGGCCTCGTCGAACAATTCTTGGTTCAACTTGGCCGCCAATCTCAGAACTCGGGTGGAGACCGCGGCTCCATCACGCCGGTTCTTGCCCTCGCGCCTAAACTGTGAAATGTTCTCGATAAAGTCCCATAGTCGCCCCGACGCTTGGAGATCACCCGTGGACGGGTCTCGCGCTGGCATCCAGTCCGGGGCCAATTGGATCGTTGGCCCGACTTTGGCATCCTTGCTCTTCGCCACTATCACAATCTGCTCCTCTTGGAAACGAGTGAAGGCGTTCTTGAGGGCTTCCTTGTTAACAGCCTCGAAGTAGGATAGATCGCCCTGGTGATACAGAGTCCGGCCTGCCAGTTGGGCCATATTTTGAGCCTTTTGCATGTCGATCCATTTTATCGTGGAATCCACAGGAGGAACAATAGCGAGCAGAGACACGGCCCCAAGCCAGGCCGCGTCAATGAATGGCCAGATTAAGAAGCAGTAAAAGTCGAAGTTCTCGCGACCGTGTTTACGTTCGGCGTTGGAGAGTCCGACAATTCTGTCGCTGTCCTCCGAAACCTGCAACACATCTTCACGCAGGAGCCCTTCCATGGCAACTTCCAGATTGTGCTGCAAGCCTTGTCCGGCGGGGAAAATAAACTCTCCCCGGAATAGTTGTGACAGGAAGGTGACTTTTTCGGTGAGCTCGGATTCTTTCAGGCTCTGGTGTACGCTCCCTCCACCTTGTTTGACTCGAGTGTATAGTGATGCCGCAATGAGGGACTCGGAAATGAACAAGTGGATTGTCATGTTTCTGTAGAATGACAGCTGAAACCTGTCGACGGCATAATATGTCTCCTCGGCGAGGCCGTCAATTGTGCCAACGAGCTTTGGTCCGAGAACTTCTAGAGCCCGCTCGACGATGTAAGATGTTGGCATACCATGAAAGTCGGCGACCTTGCCTCTATTGGCCCTGGTTCTTGTACACAACCAGTCCACTCTTCTGACCAGTTCAGATTTTCCCACACCACGGCCTCGAAGAGTCAGAAGCACAGTGCCAACAAGGGCAGTCGGCATGATGACAGCAACCGAGTTGATGTCAGAGAGAACCTTGTAGCCCAAAGTTCGCAGAAGCCGGACCCTAGCATCAGAGTCTCGTGAAGTCGCAAAGGGATGCTGCGGTTTTGATACATCGTGTCGATCCTGCTGTTGGTGCAGGAATCCTTTCAGACTCCACGGCTCACAAAAGCGGCAATCAATCCTACCCAAATTAAGGGCGAGGACAGAAGAGGAGGATAAGAAATCAGACAAGTTTTCCTTCTGCTTTGGTTTGCCCAGCAACTCGCTGACATAGGAATCCACCTCAATGACCTTGTCGTACTGCAGAGACACCGGACATATGTAGACATCGTCTGTCCGACCTGACAGAACCGAGTCGAGATAAAAATCGAGGATCCCAAAGCGAGGACCGAGGAGTTTGCCCGTCCGACTTCTAGTGCCTTCGATAAAGCATTCGAGGTTGAAGCCTTGTTGAAGCATGGTGTCTATGTATGCCTGAACAAGCGTCTTATAGAGTTGATCGTCGCTGAAGCTCCGTCTAATCCACATTGCGCCGAGACTTTGCAGAAAATTGCCCACGACGGGGAAATTGAGGTTATCACCGGCGACAACGACAGGAAGAGTGAGGCCCAAACGGTAGCAGATGAGGTGAAGAGTCACATAGTCGAGATGAGAGGTGTGCCGTGGGAGGAAAATGATGGACTGCTTCTTCTTGGCCGCTTGTGTCGCAATCTCGCGTAAACGCTTCACCTCAGCCTCGGAAACGTGAATGGCGCTGTAAGCTCTAGTGAGGAGTTGGGTGACCATGTAAAAGGCGCCACGGAGGTAGGGTTTGCTCTCCATCTTGCACATCATATAATCGAGCATGCCATCAGTGATATCGAGTAGTTGGGATGAAATCTCGTGCCTTCTCTTCTCTCGCTCTTGCGCATACATGGGGCTGGTAGGATCCAACAGATACTGGTCTTCTTCCTTGCGCAGTCTTGCCTCAGTTAAATCGACGATCTTCTTCTTGAGAATTGTAGATTTCATGGTGGCACTTTTCAGCCTGGCGGTATAGCCTGGATAAAAGACACGTTGTCCGACAACGTTGTCGTAGCTCCGCCAGTCGACACCTCGCACGAAGAGAGAAAGTTCATGGGCGAAGTTGATTGGGTTCTTTCTCAGACGTGCCATTCGAGTCAAGATGCTCTGGTCTGTATGGTCCTGGGCGTCATCGCCGTGTGAATCATGGTGCAGAACCTCTGAACGAACGAGGTCTGCCATGGTGACCGTGGAATAGAGGGGAGGACAACACGGTCGGCGAAGGCTAGATGGAAGACGGTAGGAGAGGAGGGTGATAGGAGTGGCCCTTGGGTTTCTGTTACTGAAGGTGTCGCGACATGGCCTTGACCAGATATTTGATGCTCAAGTGGCCGCGATGAGGTTGCTTGAAGCTTTGACGAACGTGGAAGGTGGATGTTGGTCTCGACTGAAAGAGGAAGGAACGAGTGGTGTGTCTACAGTACAAGCTGCAAAGTGCAAGTGCGGAGGCGGGACACCCACATCGCAACTTCCCCAACTTTCTGCCCCACGTGATCGCCCGGCGAGCCTCGTCCCCATCGCCTTCGCCTTCGCAGTGTTCCATCTTCTTCATTCAGGCTTCCAGTCCAACCTCCTTCTTCATATCGACGAGGTTGAAGGATTTACTGAGATGCCACTGACCTATTGGAACGATGCGAGGGTCTCCGATTTGTTCAAACCCCCGTCGTTTCCAGTACCTAATATTGCGATCTAGCTCAATGGCGACGCTCACCCATAACGAGATGGAATTCCCACTACTCATCTGGAGTAATCGGTCCTGCAATGCAGCGAGGCATTGTTCGACAAAACCCTTGCTGCGATACTCTGGGCTCACTTCTGATGCAGCAGGGCCTATTTGCCAGTGAAGACATCCAAGTTGTGAGTCGAATGCTGTTGGGTGTGCCTTTTCCGGCCAGGGTTTCGCTCCCACCATCGCAATAGGAAGCTGCTTGTTCCACATATCTTGGACGACAGCACAGATACCAAATTCACCAAGCGATTCTGTCAAATCATTGACGCCCGAGAAGCGATCCAGAAATCCATCGTCCCCATCATGCTTATAGACCTCGTTGATCATAACAAGCAATGGCTCTAGAATGCTGTCGCCGAGGAGCTCTCTCGTGGTCAAGACTCGTAAGGAGAACTGTGTCGCCATTTTGTGATAGAAGGTAAGAAGAGAAGAGTGGGTATGACTTCAAGGCTAGGGGAACTTCATTTCTCAAAAACCCATACGGAAATCTGCCATGTAGTTTCAATTACTTGTCTAGTTTTTTCAATGTCGTATCCGGACCCTAGAGCCCTTGTGCATGTATCTTAAACATTTTATCATTGATGACGTGACATTCGCGAATCCAAAGATTTGTCCCCACCATAATCGCGCTATCACGTGACTCGCCTTTCTCCTCCCTCCAACGTCCAACATTTCTTTCAGCTTTCAATCATTATCTCGACTCCCAGCCAGCCACTACCTCCTCCTCTATCGACCTACCAAGACTCCTCCCTGTACTATACCTTCTCTGACTAGCGACAACATTTGTACTTTTACTCCTTCAAGTCCAGCGCCTTCCACTCCGATCCCTTCAACCAGGTTCATCCCTCGAGATATCCAACCCTTGTCTCCTTAGTCACCTACGATGTGCCTGCCCTGAGCAGACATGGGTGCGTCCTCCGACGATAGATACGGTGTGGTCCTGGATGCAGGTTCATCTGGGACTCGAGTATACGTGTATAAATGGGAAGACAGTTCCGCTGCAAGACAAGACCCCTCAACCCTCCACACCCTTCCAGTACTCAAAACTAAGGACAAATGGACCAAGAAAGTTCATCCTGGTGTTTCGACCTTTGGCGACAACCCGGAGGATGTTGGCCACGACCACCTTAAGAAACTCCTCAAACATGCTCTCGACCACGTCCCCAAGAAAGCCGTCCCCGATACACCTATATTTCTCCTCGCCACGGCGGGTATGCGTCTTCTCCCCGAACACCAACAGTCCAGTCTTCTACGCAACATCTGCTCATATATTCGCTCTGAAACCAAATTTCTACTACCAGATTGTGATTTGCACATACAAGTAATACCAGGCGAAACAGAAGGATTATATGGTTGGCTTGCTGCAAATTATCTGGTAGGCGGATTTGACAACAAGGAGGATCACGACCATGGTAAAGGCCATCATACGTATGGCTTCCTGGATATGGGCGGCGCATCCGCCCAGATCGCATTTGCACCTAATTCCACCGAGGCCGAAAAGCATGCCAATGATTTGACCTTGTTAAGATTGCGGACCAATGATGGCGTCCCTCAAGAGCACCGAGTTTTTGTTACCACGTGGCTAGGATTCGGAGCCAACGAGGCAAGGAGGCGCTATATCGATGACCTAGAACAGTCATACGGTGTCGATGGCATTAAGGAACTTCCTGATCCTTGTTTACCTCATGACCTCCGCATGACTCTCGATGGAACCATTTTATCGGACGATAAAGATGCACCTTCAGATGAACACATCCTACTCGGGACTGGCCAATTCGACGAATGCCTCAAGAGGACCTTCCCACTGTTAGAGAAAGACGTCCCCTGCCCGGACGAACCCTGCCTTGTCAACGGAGTCCATGTCCCCGCGATTGATTTCGATGTCAACCATTTCATCGGTATCAGTGAATACTGGCACACGACTCATGAGATTTTTGAATTGGCGCACAAGGACAAGTCATACGATTTCAACACATATCAGACCCGAGTTAAAGAATTTTGCGAACAGGATTGGTCCGTCATCGAAAAGGGCGTAGATGACCACACCTGGGGGAAGGATGTTGACGAACACACCGCGCTCGAGGTCTGTTTCAAAGCCAGCTGGTTGATTAATATGTTACATGACGGCATCGGCATTCCACGCGTTGGTCTGGAAGACACCTCGTCAACCAACAAGAACGGAACGACGGAACTGATCGAAAGTGGCAAAGATAAGGGATTCCTGGACCCGTTCCAGGCCGTCAATAAGATCAAATCCACCGAAGTCAGCTGGACTATGGGCAAAATCTTGCTGTACGCCTCAGCTAGTATCCCCGCGGCCCATGATGGCGATCTCCCTGTCGGTTTTGGCTCCAACGTGCCCGGCATCCCTAAAGATTTCCAATACCCCAGCGGTGGACGGCTTCAAGATGTTCCTGACTATACACCGACACCAACACCGCCTCAAGATGATTCAAGCCAAAGTATCACTGATCGCGTCCATTCAACCCTTTTCAAATCCGACTCGCCACACCGGCTTCCTGGCTTTATATTCTTCCTCTTAATCCTCATCATCGCAACTTTTTACTTGTGCGGACGCGATCGACGTGCAAGAATTCGAAATTTCTTCTTCGGCCCGACCTCACCTAGCTCCAAGAACAAACCAAGCGGCCCATTCTCATTCCTCGACAAATTACTCGGCCGACGTCGACGAGTCGGCCGCTTCGACATTGAAGACACCGCTGCTGAGACACGTCTATACAACGACGCCGACGATTTCGAACTTGGCAATATGTCCTCCTCTTCAGACGACGAACTCCCCGTTGATGCGTCTGATGCATTTGGCATGAAATCCAAGCCTAAATCGTCCATGCCCAACCCCACTTCTCGACCTAGCCCGAGACGTGGCCATAGTGGCCGTCTAACGCCCGTCGCTAGCGCAATGGATCGTCGTGGTTTAGTCGTCCGTACTGAAAGTCGCGAACAACTTGGTGGTGATGGTGCGTTGGGGTCTGTTTCTGCAAATGGTCGGATTGTCAGTCGTAGTGCAAGTCCCGAACAGGCACGGTGATACGCAGATGTACTTTATGTCTCACTCATGGCTTGGCTCGATAGGGACAATGAGAAGAAAGAAGTCGTCGATTCTTGTGCGCCTGTCTCACTCTATAGCTTCTGTGGTCTCGCATCGCAATACTTTTTCTTTGCGACGGCGCCACGCCTCCCGCACCCTGTATAGCTAGAACAATGATGTATTTTAGCGTGTCTAGGAAATTCCACAACCACTTCAAGTTCATGGGAGATACATAAACATCAATCTATACCTCCTGAGCTGGGATGATAGTAGTAGGTACAGGTATATGAGCATCTAACGCTATTCATGACGAACAAAATTCCACCTCATTTTTAAGTCGTCGCATGGTATACTGTACAGATAATGGCATCTGTATAAATGCGAAGCCTCAACCTCAGGTATCTACAAAGCGGGCTTCTGAACCACACGTCCCTGGACATGAATCCAAAGTATACAGATATCGGCTCTTTCAATCGCCATCCAACCATATCCTCGCTGCTGCTTTCCAGTCTTACTGCTACCAGCACCGTCGTTAATCTCCTGAAGAGCCGCGACGATCGGCTCCCTTCTTTGGCAAGTTCAAACTCAATGTCACGCCCACTGGCTCAGGCAAATTGAATTCAGGTATGTCTGATCCCATGACTCCATCTTCTTCTCCAACTGGTTCGCGAATTGGTCGAAGTAACGTACTGCTGGTTCCTCCGCTGCGTCGCTTTTCTCCTGCGCCCGCCGCGCCCACACCAGATCCATTTCCTGTTGTTGCCCCACTGCCAACGACAGGTAGGGTGGCGGTAACCTCTTTGAAAAATGCTTCTAGACGTTCTCGATCACGGCAGAAGCTTTCGAGGTCATCTTTGATCTGTTCTGGCGTCACATAGTGTGAGAATCCCGTGGCAGCCAATGCTCGGCGAGACCCAAAAGTGTCGGCAATCACTCCGGGATAAGGGCTTGATGACGGCTGCGCATAATCGACAGCAGTCGAAGAGGAATTGGCGCTGGCACTCGGTGACACCACAGAAGCAATGCTGACCGGTCGAGTACGAGGACTGGAGAACGGTCCAAACCGAGGTGACGCAACGTTGAGGCCAATGATGCCAGACGCAGACATGTTTGTTGGACCTTGCATCTGTGCATTCGCTGGTGTTTTCATAGCCCCTAAATTGCCGTTGTGTGGAGCCATCGAACTATTGTTGTTCGGGGCCCGAAGCATGTTTGACGATGCGAGATCCCGTGGAGCATCTTTCTTAACATGTCCACCCTTTGATGATTCCTTATTTCCCGCAAGCCTGGAGTTATACAACCGGTTGGCCAACAGCAAAATGTCCCCTTCATCTGTGATTTGTGCCAAGATCACACCACTGCGATGCACGAATTGTGTATATCGATATTCGAGCTTTCCCCAAGAATATGCGATCTCCACATTTTGGGGGAATTCGCCGATACCTTCAATGTCAAGAACAAAGTTGAAGTGCTTTAGCAGTGCTTTTTGGTAGAGGTGAATATCCGAACTGAGTGCGGGTTGGGGGCCAAATGAAGTCGCGGTAAAGTAAACGTTGCCAGTGACAGTGCCGGTACGTTTCGGAGGCTCAACCGCGAGCTTGATGCGATAGTATGCACGGAAAGGCTCGGTCTCAGGCACCTTGCTTGCTTCTGCAATAGGAACTTCGACGAGTTTGAGTCCATATTTTTCTGCTTGGGTGGTCCAAGTGAGTATTGCATCATCGACCAATTTTGAGGTTACATTCAGCCAGGAGAGTTCGAGATGATAGCAATTTTCTGGGTTATGAAGGCGGTCGTAGTGGAGGTTTATCACCTCGGGTCGATTGGATCGTTTGCGGTGATCGACATCGATACGAATCATCTTCGAAAGTGTGATCGACCGTCGCTTCTTCTCAGACCCTAGACCCTTAGTGATTTCTGACGCTGAGTTGTGGGCTTGACCTTGAGATACAAGATTAGACCCAGAACGCGATCGGCCAGTAAGAAACTCGCGAGAAGGATTCTCGTTCAAGGGAGTGGCAGGAAATGATCGATCAGACTTGCGGCTTGAGGGAAACCAGGATTGTCGCGGTTCTGATCGTTGAAAGCGCCAATCTGGGTTGATGGAGTAGAAGTAATTGCCGTCTTTGAACCTGTGTCGACTGTTGACATGCTCGAAGAGTTTTTCCTTCATCAAATCGTTGCCAAATTCTACCGCTTCTTCACGGGTGTCAATATCTCGGAAATTGTGCACGAGCCAATTTGTAAAGTCTTCTCCCTGGAAACAACTGTAATGAAGTCGCAAGTGCCACCGTCGGTTCTTGATTTCAATGCCCGTTTCGCCCTGAATGGCCTGGGCGAGTTTTGTCATGTTGAATGTGTCCCTCTCAAATTGCTCCTCTTCTGGCAGAAGCCGCGTTGGTTGAGATTCACCCGCTTCTTCGGCAGCCAACAACTTGTCCAATTCTGTTGCGACCAATTCCGATGGGTTGAGCGTTTCTATTGTTATCCTCAACGGGTTTTTATCTTTGTTTTTCATATTGCTGATGCGATTGTGAGCGGGTCTCCTATCTTCTGGGGGCAGGTATCGAGCTTTCTGCCACATCTGCGTCAGTATGCGAATCCCTCGTAGGTGGATTTCTTCTTCATTCTCGTCGCTATCTGCTGCAGTCGGCCTCCAGCTATTAGTTGGAGGTTGAACAGGTATCAACACAAAGCGGGCGCGCCAGAAGCGGAGTTTTTTGGCATCAATATCAGACTGCTTCTTTGAGTCAGCAAGATAAGCATCGGCCTGCTCCCATGGATATTGTTCCGCAAACCCGCCAAATTGCATTTCTCGAATTTTGTAAGTAGGTGACAGGATTGTTCGAATATTGGGTCGATAGATTATTTGTACAGGGAAAGGTGGCTGGACCATACGCTGCTTGCGAACATATTTGAAAACGCGGATACGGTCTGCTTCCTGCAGGGATATCTTTTGAATCGTATTGCCCATCGACATGAAGATGAAGACACCGTCCGGACGGACGAGATTAGGCGTGAAAAAGGAGGAGCTATCACATGATCCAGGACCGACAGCATCCACGAGGGCCGAGCCAACGACCAACTGGTACCCGTGAGCAAATCTCAAAGCCAACATTTCTCGAAGAAGGGTATCGCGTGATTCCGGGACCTCCTGAAGATCGTCATGCTCAACGAGAGAAAGGTCGTAGGTGCTCATTTCATAATCCGTCTCGAGCCCTTGCTTGGAAGGAAAGTCTTCAGTAGTAAGGGGAACCGACGCAGGTGTGCACAGTGAGCGCCATTTCACCGTGGCTGCGCGGGGCTTGCGTGGATAAAGATGCTGCCATCTTCCAAAAGTCGATTCCCTTTCAGGATGTCGTTTCAAGGGGTTAGAGGCATTGACATTGCGGATAGATACTAAATTACTGCGTGGAATGGAGCTCGCGAGTGAAGTGGCCATCCAGCTATCGGGACGGCCAAGGCTGCTAGAGAAGCATTCGCTACTTAGTCCAGACGACGTTGTTGAATCCGAGTCCGATTCTCGGTCATCCTGAAGTTCGATCTCACGTGGATCGAGTGACGTGGGTATCACCTTGGACGGAGGCTGCCTTTCTCGAGAGTCGTCTTTGTCGTCGTGACTTTTGCGTATGATGGCATTGATCGATATAGGCTTTGATGGTGTTCCAGTCGCTTTGCTGTGTGGGTTTGTCGGCATTCTCGAGAGAGGGGAGACTTCGTCAATACTCATGTCTCCAATGGTGCTCTTCATAGACACTGATCGGATGCTTGCAGCTGATGTTGCCACCGTAGGCCGAGAATGGCCAGGGTCCCTCAACAAGGGATGGGCCTGGGCGTTGGTGACGTTGACCTCAGTGCTTGCTATTGACCGTATGGGAGGAGCTAGTCCACGCAGAGAATAGTTCAAGTTCCGATTCACTCTAGGAACTTCCGGGCTTTGACTTTGTTTCAATGGGGTCGATGCGTCCGCCGAGGCAAGAGAAGGCAGTTGTGGTCTGAATGGCGAGTTCAAAGTCTTCTTGGTTAGAGACTTTTTGGCAGGTGATAGAGTTATAGACTCTTCCACTGTTGTTGGTTCCTTCTTGGAATCTTTCCTGGTCTTGGAGGCTTTTGCTGAGACACCAGGTAGACCAGAACCTGGCCGTGAAATAGAGAGCTTGTTTGTATGTGGCGGTTGCATAACAAAAAGGCCCGCATCGTAAGAGTCCATGCGGTCGAAGACGTCGCCCAGCGCTTTTGCATGACTTGATAGTAACCCCTGTCTCGAATATGACAAGCCTTCACTTTGCCGCCGGTGGCGAGACAAGGTTGGCGAATGGGATAAACTACGGCTCCCGCTCGAGCGCTTACTTTTAGACCTGAGACGTGTAGTGGGTGGTGGACGACTTGAAGTCTGAGTTTCACTCATGTAGGGAATACTCATGTCCGCCATGCCGAGCTCCATGAGACCCATCATCTGCACTTCGTACATCCTCACACGAGGTTGAAACCGTCCTTTCTTTGTTTTCTTGGGACCAAGCTTGTCCCGCAAGTCATCGTCGAGCAGCTTCTGATCCTCAAAGTCAGGTTCACCAGACCAGTAAGAAAGATCAATCCACTGTGGAATTCCGTAATGCCAGGCTTGGACAAGCTCGCGGCTCTGTGCCGACATGAAACTCGTAAGATAGCGAGTGCCATTGGACGCAATGGAAGACAACGCAGGAGATAGCTTCCGGGGTTGTGATATATCAGCATGATAGGGACCGGGCCCTGACCTGAGAGGACTTGCTGAGAGTGCTGCCAGTGCTGGACTGAGGTTCTTTCCATCATTTGCAGTAGGATTGCCGTATTTGAATAAGGGTACGGAATGGAGAGGCATCTTGGACAGACAAACAACATCTATGCCAACACCGTTATTGGTCAATGTCTCCGAGGTTAAGTTCAACAAGTCCCGATTGACCTCGAAGACACCAGTTCCAGCTGTGACGACAGCGATGGAGACGCCTGTTCTGATCAAGTCTCTGTCCACGTAATCGTTTGAAAACTGCGAACAGGCAATGTTGATTGCCTCCAGGATATTGCCTTTGAGCGCTGTGCTCGGTCTCCCTGCTATTCGAGTCGCCTTTGGCTCTTTGTCCTCGAGGTCAGGAGTAACGGCGGTATGTAACGAGATATCTCTCAAGAAGACACGAAAGTCCTTTTTTAATTCATTCAAGATCAGGGTCCACTGGGCGCTGGCCATATCTGTCACAACCACTCTGTAAAAGTCTTGGTATTGGCGAGACGTCATGTTGGCAGTTCCAGACTGTTGCTCTACCTCCAATCTTCTGTCCTTGTTCCTCGCGAGATCGATGTGATCGTACTCCAACCGGCCGAAGAGAACGATGCTGACAAGATGGTGAACATCGAGTTCAGTCCAACGTTTGAAGAGGTCAGGGAGGAAGCCGTTGATAACGCGGTTGAACATGATCTCGCCACTGCCTTCCGAGTCGAAGTCCCACATTTCACTGGACATTTGGACAAATAGGACGTAACGAGCTGCCTCGCTGCGGAAGACGGGAATTGTCGTGCCTGAGAAGTATCCGGTGGGCACTTTATGACTGTTGACGTGTATGGATTTGACGGTCAGTTTAATGCTACCGAGAAAGGTGATTTTCTGCCCCGAATAGATGGTCTTGCCGGCAAGTTCTTGTCCAACAAGTCGCCACATGTCTGAGCGGGCAATGTAAGCATCTCTGAAGCTCAACTCGACGTGAGAAGCAGTGTGTTGTTCTAGAGATGCCAGGGAAATGGAAACGGTAGAACGGGATCGAAGACCAAAGGCTGAAGCGATGTTGCTCTTAACCGAGACTTCTAAGTTGGCTTGCTTTGCTCTGAGTTCGGGTGGAGGGAATGTGGCGACACACAGATACCTGGCATTTGTGTCGAATCCATTTGCACTGAAGGCGTTGGAGGTGGGGGGCCGCCGCGAGTCTCGCGGCTCTCCCCCGGGGGACTGAAAATCACGAACTTCGGTGGGAGAATCCAATGGGGAGATCTCAACTAAATCTCCTTCCTCTATGCCTGTGCCTTCTAAGACAGACTTGCCGATCAAGACATCCTCGGTGGAAAATGCATCATCATGCACCCACAATGTTGCTGGGACGGACAATTCTGATGGAGCTTGTCGTGAACGAGTGGTGGACAGTGGTGTGACGACAGGGTTGGGTCTCACGGTCGAGCCGCTGCTGCTTCGACGACGACCTTTGCGGTTGAAGGCATTTGTAGGCATGGCTGAAAGGGAACAGGGGGGCTTTCCCTGATCACAAGGTCATATCAGAGAAGGGTGATGCTGGACATGGATCTCTCCCACAACGCATTAGAGGCTGCTGGGTTGTCATTATCGTTGAGCCAGTCGTCTATTAAAAGATATTGGTACGCGTTCAATGAGCAATTCATCAGATTCTCGGTGAAGATTTTGCAATCTTGAAGAATGTGGGTTGATGCTTGAGAGTTGGAAGGTGCGATGGACGATGGACGCGGAGTCCGCTGGGGATGCAAGAGCGAGTGGAGCAGAAGCGGAGGTCACGTGTGCCAGAACTTCTGGACGGAGTGCCAAGCCCAACGGTGTGTCACGTGCTCCACTACTACTCCTCTCCTCCATGACCTCCTTGTCTGCTTCATACCAATTCACAGGTTGCACGCGGAAAACAGGAAAACAAAAGGCATTATCGAAGAATGAATATCTAGTAATACATTGATTGGATCATATCGGGTATCTTCGCTAACCACAAGATTCTGCCAAAAAGACAAAAAGAGCCTCGTTCATCTCGCCCACCGTGTTGGTTCATCAGTCGTCATATGTACATATCACCATACACTTCGCGTTTCCACGTTCAACAGCCATTTCTTAACCCCTTCTCGCAACACGTTGTCCTGCTTCAGTTCTTGGGTGAGAACGACATCGTCAATTTGCATTCTGCCCTCGGTGTTTCGATGGTGCTTGGTCAGATCGTCGTTGACACTCTTGACAACCTCCTCCAAAGCACCCACCACTGCATGACGGCAGTCTGACTGTGAGAGGATCCCAGTGTGCGCATACTCTCTCGACTTGGCAGAGCCCGCAATGTCGAGAGGTTCAGATTTGATCGAGTCGCTGGTGCCTAGGGACACTGCTCTGGAGTGGGCCCTCGACGTGTTGACTGATTTATGCTTGACTGCTTCGCCTTCGTTCAAGACTCGCTCAATGGCATCAGTTAGGATCGCATCACAATCCATCACAGTCTCCACGATAAACTCTTCCGAATCGTTTTCCCTGGCTGTTCGCTGGCTCGTGTCGCCGTCAGTCGGGGTCTCGCGTAGTTGATGAGTGCTCTTCCTGTTCAAGCCATCAATGCTACCTGTCTTGCGTCGGAGTGTGAGACGCTGAATCGTAAATGTCCGCACATCAGCGAGAAGCGTTGTGCACACATTGACCCAACGGTCACCATTCTCGGCAATCTCCACAAACGAGTTGGAAATGTCATCAACCGGTGTCTGTTCCCGCAGCATGCTTTGCCTGACATCACGTTGCAAGTCCTTATAATATTTCAGACCTTGCAAGCTGAAATCCTCGTGATAGCGCTGGAGGTACCCTGCAACATTGACATTGCTCCTCTGATTCTTCTCAATCGTGTGGGACCTTGAACTACATGAGGACACAACTCCATCGCTGAAAACGGATGACGACTGATGATGCAAAGACGGAGGAATGGACGTGGTCCTATGGTCACTCCACCCTACAAAACCAGGCATGTTGATGTCAACATCGATCACACCATCTCTGTCGTCCACGGTCAGTCGAGGTGGCGCAGTCTCAGTGAGAGTCTCAGGCGCTCGCTTGGCAGCGACGGTGGCCGTCTCCTCGAAAACCTCAATGGATTGTTGCCCAAGAGAGTTGGCTTCACTGACCATCGACTCCAATGTGTTGTATTTGCGACGCTGGATAGGCACTGATGTTGGTGCATGCGGGCGGCGAGTTCTGAGGCTGCCGGAGCTGGGCTGCGGGGTTTCCTCCAAAGTTGGCGCGGGCAGCTCCTGTTTGCCCTTCCAGAGTCCACTGACATTGCTGATCAGTGAGCCCCATTTGGCAAATGATGGTGTCGCCAAAGTACTGCTAGTACTATCTCGGCGGAGTATACGGGCGAGATCAGCACTCGCCCCGGCCTCTTCACCGTCAGCAATCGCGTACTCTGGGAAATATCCGTCATGTTTGACGGTAAAGTGAGGCACTGGAGTTCCTGCATTAGGCGTGGCGGTCGAGCTAGTCGCGTTTGTTTTGTGCCGATGGCTCAGGCCTTCTCTGGGCGTCACAAGGGCTTGATGGCCATCATTCCTACCCTCGGCAATGATGTTGGCATGGGCAGATTGTGGGTCGGTCCGAAACGCCTTTCCAATGCCTCCAATGCTTCCACTGGACGAGGCACTGGTGGAAAGCCCGGTAACGTCACGCCGTGGGAATGTCAGAGTCCCATCTTTTGCCACGGTGTGGACGTGGCGGCGCGACTGGCTGTCAAAGAGACCTCTGCCGGCAGGAGACGAGGACATCATGTCCGGCGTCAGAAGGGGCGATCCAAAGTCAGCCCCAGATTTGAGCATTAGGCTAGCGTGTGAAGATCGAGGCAGAAAAGATGCCAGTAAGAAGATGAAGCGTCTTGCGGTAGAGCGATTATCACAGATGACCACTGTGCGAGAAGCTAGATTGTTTGGCCGGGATTTGCCCCGATTCATCGACTTGAATTGCTTGCGATACCAGTCTGGGCTCAATCTCTCAAGCCAATCGGTGTGACTGCCAAGGAAGGCGGTCAATAGGTTGAAGAGGAAGAAATTTTGCGGCTTGTTACCGCTAATACGCATGAGAATCCGCGCCTCGTCTAACCAGTGGCCACCATTATCGAGACCGAAGCCGGTCTGAACCCGAGGAACACGGAATGCGTAGGCCACGCGCCACAAGGTCTGTTTGATCAGAGACTGAAATTGGGCATTGCGGTTGATCACACAAGCTGTCTGGAGATAGACGTTGCGCTGATTGGTGCGTTGCTCGGCAGGTCCCTTGGGTGCCTTCGCAGCAGATGAGATGATGGCAAGATTCACCTGCTGAAGCAGGGCACTAACTTCTGCACGGGCTGCCTTCTCAACCACACGCAGACTTCGCAGGATGACGTCCCAATTACTAACAATGATATCGACACCTTTGTCGCTCAAGGTTGTGCTCGAATCGAGGGTTTGCAGATGTTCAGGGATGACTGACAAGAACTGCCATGGAGACATGTAGTCCGAGCCGTATGAATTGGGTGTGCCTGATGGGGTGAAGGATGCTCTGGATGACGGCCGAGCACCTGAAGTGCCGGGCCGGGTTTCAGGACCAGGGAGGTAGCAGATGAGGCCGACCGCGAAGATGGGGGTCTTCTTCTCCACAATCTTTGGTTTCTTCGCGATCGCTGGTAGATCATGGGGGTCCTGCGGCGACAATATCGGGCGGATACCGTCCAAGAGGTCCGTGGACGAACTTCTGTGTTGCCTGATGTCCTCCTGTGCGTCTGGCAAATTGATGGAGAACATGCGAGTGATCAAAATGGCGTCTCGGGGTTCGGACTCAATTTGTTTTGACGAAGCAAGTCTCCGATGAGTATAGATGGCTTGCGTAGCCGTACGAGAGCGAATGAGAGGAGTGCGCGTTTGGGCAGGACTGCCTGGGACGGCGGATGGGGTGCGCGGAGCAATGTCAGTGGGCGAACTGCGATCTCCGGGTAAGAAGTGCATCTTGGTGCTCGAGTCGAGTTTTGTGGCGCTGCTTACGCCAAACATACAATCGAGAACATTGCCAAGGTGATCTGTGGTTTCTGACTCCTTGGTCGTACCAAAGGAGGAAGTGCCCGATATGGTTGAACTCCGATTGCGGGCATGCTTGACTATGGGGATGGGGGCTTCGCCGCGTGAAGCAGAAGGGGTAGTGGGTGGCGAGACGTTGGATCGATGTGCGGAAGTAATAGCCGAGTCTGATGCCTGCGAGTCGAACAAGAGTAAGGGACGATCGTTAGCGCCAAAAACGTCCTGTGCAACAATGAGCTGTATGTCTTTTGCTTCGTTCAAGTCGAGGCCTGAGCTATCGTCGAAGGGTGTTGGGCGATGGGGAGGAGAACCAAATGGAGTGGTAGGCGGTGAGATGGAGTTCGGCCTTATATCAGGAGAGTGAAACTCGGGCCACAGCAAAGAGCGGGTGTGGGATTCATCGGTAATGCTTTCGAGGGGGTTCCCTTTCCCATAGCCTGGCAAGAGCCTCCCGAGCATCTTGACTGGAACGAAGCAGGTTTAGACCGTGGCGTGCGGTCGGCAGCGATAGTCAAGGATCAGGACAGAACAATCGACATGTGCCGGACTGGGAGGAGGGTAGAAGGGAGGGAGCGCAGTGGTCGAGAGCCGAGGGGGCGTTGCCGCAGGTGGATGAGCACACAAGACATCCTCCTGAGGCCAATGGGCGACCACAACCAGGTGAAAGAGAGATGGGATGAGGAGGTAGAAGTATAGAGACGAGACTAGGGTAGTTCCAACAAGATAAGGACGTTCGTCCGCTTGTCTGTCGCGGTTCTGACTTCATGAAGGACATCGAGGACGAAGATGAAGTTACGGTGAACGGTAGAGGCTAAACCTACTTGGGACTAGTATGGGATTTGATATCAAATTCGCGCCTTCTGATTCGGGATTCCCTCAACATCACCTCAACGTCTGTCCATCCATCAATCAACAATTCTCCATTACCAAGATATATCTTTGTCGTTCTTGTTGTATGTTGACGTCTAAATATCTCGGTCTTGTCCACGGGCTAGTTGTGCACCATTACAACGGCAGAGTTTGAGCTGAGTGCATCACTATCACAAGCCTCTGATTGGTGAACTGCACATGGAGTCCCATTTCTAGTCACTACTGATTCGGTATGTCAAACCCTGAAGCCTTTGAGAGACCCCGGGTACGGTGATTTCACTTCTAAGCAGAGGCGTTTTATCTGGCTTTGTTTCTCTGAACAGACACTATGGTCAGCTTAAAGCTGGGGTAGTGGAGATCTTCCTTTGTGAGAAGACTAGAATCAGCCTGGTCCCAGACAGCCTGCGACTCACCCGCACAGTCTTTGACATGAGCTCACCTTCCTTAACTGTTATCTCTGCTCTGGCCATCACCTCTCTGGAATCTGGCTTGTCTCAGCTATATTCTCACATATACTTCCTTTGCTTGCAATTCACACTACGATCTGAGTGAGCGAGTCAGTGAGTGAGTGGCACATGGCAATGCATGATGCACAGCATGGTTCGCAGGCCACATCGCATCGTCCACAAGTGGTCTTCCTGCCATGTGATCTCTTCTGATCTCTCGGCACGCACGCGAGGAATCCTCCCACTGCCTATATATACCTCTATCTCTCTCCTCTGCAGAGTTCCAATCAACTTCTCTCCTTCTCCTCCCCTTCTTCTTTCATTCACACTCTCTTCTGTTGTCTTCTGTTCCCTTCTGTTCCATTCTTCCCAAATAACTCCAATTTGCCAGAAGATCTCCTCTCCTACTCCTTTCATTGTCGTCTGTTTAGCACCATCATCTTCCCCAGATACCTGACGAGTCCTCCGCAACCTCAGCGTTTAACCTTGCCCCAGCCTATCGTCTCGATTTGAGGCCTTTAATTATTGCTATTTTGTCCCTCGCTGCCATTTTCCCTCCCACAATTCATTGTCCTCATCACCGACCTACCAATCGAAAGTTCCCATTTTGGACATGGCAGTTCAAGAAGGGTATGACATATATCATCCCATAGAGCTAGATGACTCCGACGATAGTTCTATGATCGATCAATCCAACGTTAGGTTGACTTCTCCATCTATTAAGATCGAACAGGAAGAGGAGAAAACACACATTGATCCAGTGCCATGCTCAGATTCAAAGCCTTCCTTCGAAGATCTTGCTCCAATCTCCACCCTCTCAGCGATCCAACAGACCGCCGCAGTCCAGGATTCCAAGACTCGGGATCCTCTCAAAAAAGAGGGTCCAGCTATCACTGCTACTCAGCCCTCCCCTAGCTCTGTCGAATCTTCTATGGGTCCAGACGAGGAACCCCTCTTCTTTCCTAGCACGACGGCCCCTGCCAACACTGAGCTCACCACAGAATTTCATTCTCTTCCTGTTGACGGTTCCGACATCAAGTCCACGACCAGAATTCCCGCAGAACGTGACGATCTAGGTGCATTCGAGGCCCTCCGGTTGTTCAACGAAGGCAAGATACGTCTAGCGGAGGAAAACCAACAAATCATGGATTCACATTCGGACCATGATGCAGGACAGACTAACAGATTTGAAAAGATCAAAAAAGAATACTTTCGCAAACGTGAAGAGGGTACTCTTACTGATATAGACGACATTAGATTCTTGACAGCACAACGAGATGAAAACCAACGTCTCAGAGAACTCAAAAACAGCCGTGAAGAAATCCCTGAGATCGATGCAGCTCCTCAGCCAGGACTGGAGTCTGGGGGAGCAGAATTCTACAGGCCCGCAATTCCAAGCCCACCTATGCCGCCATTACACCCGAAAGCCCGGTCGAAGCCTGCTTCCCGTAACTACGTTAATGCTCAAGAGACTCGTGATGCCATCGCCGTTGGCGCTGCTCTTCAGTCCACGAAACGAAAGGCGTCCACTATCAGCGGAGTCACAAAGGTTCAAAAAGGACAGCCACGGATAGGTGCGAGACGTGGACAAAAGCCCAACCTAAGCAATCTCACTAGCCTGGGGCGATCTGATATAATTCAACAGGCTCAAGCAAATTCCAGCGCACCTGACATGCCGCGTTCCAGCGCGAGAGACAAAAGAAAGGCTTTGCAAGAGCTCGTCGCCAGCATTCCTTCAGCAGACCAACACCAAGCCAAGAGCGATTCAAGGGCCCTTCTGGATGCCACTAAGAAATTTCGTGGTAAGGGCTCAGTGAGACCGGATGGTCAAGGAGGGTGGCAGTTGAAGAACATGAAATCGTCTCTTCATAACCACCAGTTACTGGGGGCGGCCTTTCTTCGGGATCGTGAAACCGGCAAGCAGATGCCCCTTGGAGGTATGGTCTGTGATGAGATGGGATTTGGAAAGACTGTCCAAATGATGTGAGTAGTGGCATCCTACTACAATCGTCGTCATGCTAATACCTCAAAGCGCGAATATTCTCGATGGACAGCCAGAGCCCGGCAGCGCTAACAACACGACGATCATTATTCTTCCTGCATCGCTATTAAAGCAGTGGATGTTAGAGCTTGAACGACATGTCAAGCCTGGGGCCCTAGGAAGGATTCTTTGTTACCATTCGGGGGCACGAATGGTCAGCAACAATACTTTGGAAGATCTACGCGCATACAACATCATCTTGACGACTTACTCCGAGATACAAAGAAGTTATCCGTCCGCGGATCCGCCAAAAGAGTTGGTGTCTGAGGATAAGAAGAATGCCTAGTGGGCAGAATTCTACCGAAAGAATGTTGGCCCGCTTCACCGGATCAAGTATCATCGTATTGTGCTGGACGAAGCTCGTAAGCCTCTGGTCTAATATATTTGAGTTGGATAATAGACTAACACGTTTCAGATCACATCAAGAACCGACATTCAAAGACATCAATCGCGGTGCGAGCACTCGCGGGAGAATACAGATGGATTATCTCCGGTACTCCGATCTTGAATTACGTTGAAGAGCTATTCGCCTACTTCTCCTTTCTCCGAGTTCCTCACACAGGTAATTTTGAGACTTATTGTCACAACTATTGCAAGAGATCGGGCGTAAAAGAGCTCGACATGTCGCGTCTCCATAACATCCTGAGGGCTATTATGCTTCGTCGCACTCATACTGATACTATTTTCAATGCTCCAATAGTACAGCTACCAGAAATCACATATCGAACTCACTTGGTCGAATTCAATCAAGTCGAAAGAACGATCTATACCATCGTGAAGCAACGCTTCATCCACGATATCAACTTGATGTACCGCGCTGGAGAACTCAACGCTCGCCCTGGCAATGTCCTAGCACTGCTTGCTCATTTGAGAATGCTTTGTTCTCATGTCTTGCTTTGCCAAGATGTCTTGAAGCGCTTGCTCAGTGCCGGCAACATTGAGAGCCTTTGGCGCATGACCAAGAACGAGAGTGATGTTGCAAAGCGGAAGGAAGCTGGAGACTTCGTCAAGAGGCTTCGAGGCATGATTGCATCTGGACACAATACTGTCCCCACACGTAATTCTACGCAATCAACACCAGCTACAGCGAACTCTGAGATTGATGAAAGAGACGATGGCCGGCAATTTGGGAAGGACTTTGAATTCCGAAGATTTCTGCAAGACCTCAGCGACAGTGAACACTGGACCGAGCTTCACCTTCGCACTATCTGTTCAGCATGCCGCTCGTACCCAGACACCCCAGTCTGCACGTCTTGCTTTCATATCTACTGCGAGGAATGCATCGCGTTGATGAAACTTGAAAGTGAGCAATCAGGCCAAGACAAGATGTCTTGCAAGGAATGCGATACCATTTTTGACGAGACATGGCCCACCGAAGGTCTTGCGGAGCTCGGTTTCTTGAACAAAGACAATCGGAGGAAAGCCGGTCTTTTGAAAGAACGACGCAAAGAGCCTATCAGAGCATCGCGGGGCCCATTCGAGTCGCGAAGGCTTTCAGGCAGAGTGTTCGACGATGAGGACTTCGAGAGCAAGCCCAAGTCTCAGCACTGGATCAAGCTCATGAACAAGGGCAGTGTTTTACCCTCGGCCAAGCTGTTAGCTACGAAGGCAGCTATTCTGAACTGGCGAGAAAATTGCCCCCAAGAGAAGATCATCATCTTTTCACAATGGCTCGGCCTTTGCCACATCCTGAGTCAAATGTGTAAGGAAGAGGGGTGGGGCTGTGTGATGCTCAACGGGACAATGTCAATGGATGGACGCGACAGATCCATCACCCAGTTCCGTGACAACCCAAACACTATCATCATGATTTGCTCGCTCAAGACCGGCGGAGTGGGCCTCAACTTGACCATGGCATCGAAAGTCATCATCCTCGACCTTTGGTTCAACTCAAGCATCGAGGCACAGGCCTACTGCCGGGTATTTCGCATGGGCCAGAAGAAAGAAGTTGAGGTGCTCCGCTTCGTGGTCAGGGATAGCATTGACGACGATCTTGTCAAGATGCAAGAACGCAAAAACGCAGAGATCGACAGCGCAATTGGCTCCGAATGCTTGGAAAAACGCGCCACCATCAACCAGCTATTGAGTCTCTTCGGCGAAGTGTCCGAAGACGGAAACGATGAATTCATTCTCGTCGAAGACAATTATATGGACGACAACCTTCCAATGGAGGATCGCGTGCCTCCACGACCTTTTTGAACTCGGAGGGAGAAATCCTGATTTGGAGAAGTGTGAGCAACGAAAATGGGCATTACAGGGGATTGAATGAAATTGGTCGAGGGGATTGAGAGGTGTCGCTGACTCGATATAGCGAGGCTTGAAAGAGTGATTGGGTTTGGATGAATGCATCGGGAGCGCTCCTTGCTTGCTCATTGAACAGTCCTCAATTTGGTTTCAGGAGGGCTCTCAATGCAAAATCGAGCATTGGTTCGCCTTAGTACTTGTTTCTTCTCTTTACAAAGCGGCGAGTTTGATGATCATTACTAGCAGGACTCTTGCAAGTTTGGTTTGCTTTAGCAATTGGTACGACGAGGATCGCCTCGAGAAAAACAAAAAACTCCAAAAAAAAAGGAAAGAAAAGAGAAAATAAAAATAAAAAAAAACTGTTGGATTGATATCTTCGCTTCCGCATCTTCCCTCCGTCTCCCTCCTGTTCGCCCCTTGTCGCCTGATCTACGGGATTACGTCTCATCAGTGGAGATTCATTCGTCGACCAGGGAAACAAAGAGGGAAAGCAACGACAAAATGCCAACAAACTCATGACAAGAAGCAAAAGATGTGTAGATCTGGCAAGAATCGTAGAACCATGACATCAATCCTTGGTTTCTCTTATTCAGAAGTTCTGCTCCTTCAATTCTCAATCTTTTTCCTCATGCAAAACGCTGAGTGAACCTGGGTCCTAACCTGACCTGACTGAATGGGGTATCAATATATCGTCTGTCTTCCCTGACGTGGCTTCGCCCAAATCCCAGAAAATTCCCCAGTCCTGAGTAACAAACGAAAAAATATTCCAGTCGGCTCTCCCTCAGACCCTCTTTGATCGAAAGAAGATGACTGGGTGGCTCGTCGTGTGCATGTCAATGCAATGCTGGCTGTGCTGCGTGCCTGCTGGCCTGCCTATCGCTTGCGCCTTCGCTAGAATAACAATAGTCGATTGCTTGCAGTCTCCATTTCAATGCTGTCCAAATTCGTAGATATTTTCCTTTCTTCGGTGAAAGCTCCAACACTCGCATTCCAATTTTACTCTCTCATCTCCCATGGCCACTGCACTACTTTGATCAAGCGCCAAGTGTTTTGATTGCAGCTTTCCTCCTCTCCAAGACCTCACTTTTCTTGACTTTGGTTCTCAATGCCTCGCTTGCGTGGACAAGCGCATCGATACTGATTGCATGATTGGTCATGTTGTGATTGATGTATGTGTATACCTGTGCGGCCGAGTCTAGTGCCAAGATCTGATTCTCATTCAATTTCAGCAAAGCAAGCGCTAACTGGAAAAGAAATGAAGAGCTTGTGCCGTCGTGTTCGTTCTCTTCTTTTTGAATTTCCGGTGTAGTGGATGTGTTCGGAGTTGAAGGAGTGCTGAGGTTGAGCGAGGACATGTCGACCCCCAGAGTGCGCGTTGAAGGTGTGAATGTATATGGCATGGCGTCAGAGCTGTTAAGGCAGAGACTGGAGGATTTTGTCAGTGGGCTAATCAAGGTCATCGCATGCAGGGGTGTCATCTTACATCACATCCCAAACCCGATACAAGGCTTCCCCACCGGTCAAGACTCCAGTGTACAAGGATAGGAACCAGTGAAAGGCACATGCTTCCAGCTCGACACCCAAGTCGTCCAGTTTTGCGCTCAGCTTCGGCAACACCTCTGCAACGTATTGGCGAAGAACAACCTGGTCAGCTCGCGCAACAAGCAGTGTTGCGCTGAAGTATTGGCTGGGCAGGATAACATCGATAATTGCCACGAGCAACCAGAAACAGTCTTCTGCGGTCGCGCAAATGAGCAACAATGAAGCCGTGATGAGATTCATCCCTGGTACCAACAGTCAATCTTAGATTCAAAACACGTTTGTCGGGAACATACCTTGACAATAGCCAATTCGCGGGTTGTGCAATGAGTATGCTCTCAACAATTCCTCCAATCGCTGGACTCCAGGCCCGTGTCGGAAAAATACATTGTCTGTCAGGGTACGCCCAACATCGGCTTTGATTTGGCTGGCAATGACAGGATCAATGTCTGTTTCATCCTGTGAACGAGCAACAAGATCTTCATAATAGCCGGGAATTCGCAACGCAGTTGCCCCGGAACATTCACCCCAAATCTTGGGGCGCAATGAGACAGGAATGCCTGACAGAACTAAACTCTTAAAGTGCAAGTATTTGCTTTTGGTTTTGGAGGAGCGGCCCAGGGTTGCAATGCCGATGAGTTCTCCATTCACAACGTCTGCCTCTGGCACGTTGTTGGAAGACCGCTCGGCCGCGCTACTCGCTCTTTCGGCACGAACTCTGCGGAGAAAGTCATTCCAGCGCGTCGCTCGATCAGTTTGCAAGGCGTCGTGCAATTCAGTCAATTGCTCGAGGAGGACCCTGGCAGGTCCAAAATCGTTGGTCGTGTCCGTCTCTGAATCAGGAGTGAAGTCACCAGACACAGTGTTCACTGTGGACGGCAGAGTTTCGGTAGTCAGACTGGTGGTGGGCAACGCCTTCTGGCCGGACACCGAGATTGGACCTTCACGTCGTGGGGGAGTAATCGTGCCCGCCGCATCAGCTGTGCTCACGGTAACCACTGCCCCAGCCGATGGCGTATGTGACAGGAGTTCTCTCGGACGTCCAGTTGGAATTGTAGTAGACACCTTGAGGTAGTCTTGCCATGACTTCTTCGATGTGTCCTCGTCAATTGAAATAGGTGTTGACGGCCGCTCCGCTAACCCCTCTGATTGAGGGCTCTCGCCACTTCTAAAGCTTGCAATGGTCTCGGCTGCGCTCATTTTGTTCTTCTTGTGGTGCCGTGCTTGTAATGCTTGACGCTTCCTCTGTTTCTGGTCGTAGATAAAACCATATCGATCAGTCAGTAAGCCACTGGTATCATTGTACTGGTTCGTCATGGTGGGAGGCAACAAGGAGCTTTCAATCATCGAGTCCAGCTCGACAGTAGGCGGAAGGCTGCTGGCATTCGATTCTTTCCTCACATGATTGGGACTGGCAGATAGTCTGCTTGCAGTGGGCGCTCTTCTAGGCGGCGGACGAGGCTTTGAATTGTTGCTAGAGGGTAGTGATTGACTGGACTTGTTACCATCCTGCAAAGAGCTGATCTGTGTTTTGGACACATTGGCCAAGGATGATTCTGCCTCGCTAGCAGGCGAGGCGACAGCGGCATCTTGGCCCAAGGATGATGCTCGAGAACGACCGTTTGGCTTGCCGCCAAAAATCTGTGTCCAGGAGGCAAAAGAGCGACTGGATTGGTTAGAACGGACACTGGCTTCATCACCCAGCTTGGGCTTTTTGATCGGTTTCCCACCAATGAAGTAGCTGGATGACTGCGATGGTGCGGAAAAGATGCTCTGCAGGGCGGAGACCTTGTTAACGTTGCCACTTGGTACACGTGGTCGTAGGGTTGCGTCCAAGTCTTGACTGCTCTCGCTAAGAATGCTGTTCGCCCTGCTCGCTGTCCGGCTGTCTTTGACCGTCTTGCTTTCTCGAGATCCAGTCCTACTTCTGTTAAAGCCCGACTCCCAGGCAGCGATGGATTTGGGGTCACCAGGATCTGCTCCAAACTCAAGAGAGGGGAATGCTTGCACGGGGCTATGGGACAAGATCTCGTCGGCCATGGCCTCACTCATCATTCCATCAAGAGATGTCGAGGGCTTGCCAGCACTAGTGGGTTCAGATTGTCCGAAGGGGTTTGGGACGGTCGAAGCTTGTTCCAATCGAAGCAGTCTCTTTTCCACATCGGCCGTTGAGACACTGGCTTCTCGTAGGAGTTTCTTCATTTCTCTTTCACGGTTGTCGGCTCGTATACGGAGTGCTGAGATTTCTGCATCTCTCTGGGCAAGGTCTGAGGCATACTGACGGACTAGTTTCACAGCACCAGTCCGGGCCACCAGTCTTTCGATATGGTCGTCACTTGCAAGATGCAAGGAACCAGGAATATCGGTTGAAGAACGAGGAGAGTCGTCAAACAGAGCATTTTGTTTGTTGAAAGACGGCGAGGCATTGGTCAAGCCCGCAAGAGTTGTCTTCCTATCCCTTGCCTTTTGCGAAAACGTTCTTGTCGGCCTAGGTAGGGTCTCATCTGTTGCTGTTGCTGTTGCCGCTGCCGCTGCCGCTGCCGTGGACGGTTTGGTTTCAGGTTCGGGAAAGAAGGAGGGAAAAGAGGTTAGGGCTGGGTCCTCAGAATCAGCGGATCGGTTCGAGGTTTTTGAGCCATGGCGTTTTGGGACACCGCGGATAGTTCTTGGTTTCTTGATGTCGGTGGATGCGTGAGAGGCCTGCGAAGAGGATCGCCTTGAATTATTGCTCCCTCGATCGGACATGGCTAGGTCCGGTGGAAGGAGCTCAACTTGTATAATCTGTCAAGGAATCATAGAATTCCACCCGCATCTTTATTCTTTAGAAGTATTGGTGGCGGAAGTTGGATGCAGGAAATGGTGGTGAAGAGTCTCGCTAGACCGTTACTCGCCGTAGGCTAGAACCTTCCAGACAGAGGCAGACTTCGAACTGTGCAAAGATGCAAAGGAGAGAGACATGAACCAGGACAATGGTCTGCAAGAGTGAGAGAAGATGGTCGACAGTGAATGTGATCTGACAGTGTTTGCAGACAGGTAGAAGGAGAGTTGGGCATCTCAGGAAATAGGCGGGCAAGTGCCGAATGCTCGTGTGATATGACGACAATGAAAAAGGACCACGTCGCAAGTGTCCGACATTAGCAGCTTCTAACAGGGCCTAATTGAGCGCCGCACGTCTGGAGTAAGGGGGACAGAAGGACAGACGACAGGGGGTGTGTCAGCGGTGGGTATGGAAGGACAGGGAAGGGTGGAAGTGTGCGGGAGAAGCAAATCCGTGGGTGCGTGGGTGCATGGACGCATGGACATGGGTTCCAGGCCAATCGATGGATGGGAGAAGATGGGAGGCGATGGGAGGAGAATTGAGGAATTGAGGAATTGAGGAATTTCAGGGGGAGGAGGAGGGGGGACAAAAGATACAGCGAAGCATTCAGGGCATCTTCACTATGGCCTTAATGCTTCGCTGGATTCTCTCAACCTCACGTTTTGTGCCAAAGTCAAATGACACAAATGACACAAATGACACAAATGACTGAATGACAGGTCCCCAATGCAGGCAGTCACGTTCCATGGTCACTCGTTCCTTCCCTTGTCTTTCTTACCAACGACGACATCAGCCTGTCCAATATCTGTCCAATATCTGTCCAACATCTGTCCAATATCTGTTCCTCAACAGGCTACCAATCCTCTCGCTTCTACCGTCCTAGAACCAGTCAAATGCGACGAGGAATATATGGTTCATTGTTGAGGCATGTTTGAGACTGTCTTGTGTCCCCTTGTTTCTGTTTGTTCAAGGCTGGTGGCAATCTGTTGATTCAACTATCACGATCCTGCATTGCAACGACTGCCCTTTGGTCATTGTGTTCTCTGCTCTCGGCATGAACCATGCATAAGACCATGATCTCACAGAGCGGTGCTTCTCTTTTCTACCTCTAGTCTGGTCTTGTCACCAGTCAACCAATCATTCATTCAACATGGGTCAAGGCTATTCCATGACCACGCTCTCCGCAGCGTCGGCCAGTCTCAACGCCCCAGAATTGGCGGACTTGACTCCCGAGAAGACCCTTGCCTCTGCTCGCTTTATGAAGAGCATTCGAGCCAGGAATTCTCAGGGTTTTGTTTTTGTCAAAATCGTCATGAAACCATATCCCTCCTTTGATGTTCAAGATTATATTCGTCAGATCCTTCAGGAGCGTCGCACTCTGGCCGATATCCCAAATGCACTGGGCTATCAAAAGCTTGTTGAGTCGGGAGATGCGGGGTTTCTCCTTCGACAGTACATGTTCAGTTCCGTCTACGACCGTCTCAGCACAAGACCTTTCCTCGAAGATATTGAAAAGAAATGGCTTGCCTTCCAGCTCCTCAGTGCTGTGCGCGACTGCCACGCTCGAAACGTCTTTCACGGCGACATCAAAACCGAGAACCTCCTGGTCACCTCTTGGAACTGGCTATACTTGACCGATTTTTCGTCATCTTTCAAGCCCACCAATCTCCCAGAGGACAACCCTGCCGACTTCTCCTTCTATTTTGATACTTCTGGTCGTCGAACATGTTACATCGCTCCAGAGAGATTCACAACCACAAGCGTAGGGGATCTACAAGGCGAGTTGAATTGGGCAATGGACATTTTCAGTGTCGGCTGTACAATTGCTGAGATCTTCCTTGAAGGACCCATATTCTCCCTCAGTCAAATCTTCAAGTATCGCTCCGGAGAATACAGTCCAGAGCACACACATCTCAACAAGATAGAGGACCCTGAAGTTCGCGCCATGATTCTCAACATGATTGAACTAGATCCTGAAAAGCGCTACTCCGCTGAACAGCACTTGTCCTTTTACCGTTCCAAGATCTTCCCAGACTACTTCTACAGCTTTCTCCATCAGTACATGCTGGATCTGACCCGGACGGCGACGTCGGCCAAGCCTGTCATATTGGACGATACCAGCCAAAGTGAGTCTGATGACAATATCGAACGAGTCTACTATGATTTTGATAAAATCGCCTTCTTCCTGGGTTATGGTCCCATTCCCTCCAAACAATCCTTCAAGTCACCCAACGTCCTACGATCAAGCAACCCCGTCAAGATTCAAGACACAAATCCTGCACTCTATGACGGGAGTCTCCTCTTCCTCACCCTCGTCGTCGCTAGTCTCAGGAATACTGCCAAAGCCTCAGCAAGATTGAAGGCTTGTGACCTTCTTGTTGCTTTTGCCGAGCGTCTGCCAGATGAGGCCAAGCTTGATCGAATTCTCCCATACATTGTTGGACTTCTGTCGGACAGCTCTGACATTGTCAAAACTGCCGCCATCTATGCTCTGACCGCCATCTTCGAAATGGTTCAGACGATCACACCCATCAACGCATACGTCTTCCCAGAATACCTATTCCCTAGCCTGAGACAGTTTGTTCTCAATCCGAACAACGAGCCAAGTGTTCTCGTCAGGTCAGCATATGCCTCTTGCCTGGCTTCCTTGGCTTTGTCATCATCGCGCATTCTGGATATGATCCATGCAATCCGCGCTGATGGAAGGCTTCCGGCCCTGCGAGCGGAGGAATGGGCTCCAGAATCCTCGTATCATGGCCTGTACGATGTTGCCAGGGCAGAATTGATTCCCCATTTCGAGGAAGCAACAGTCGCATTGATCACGGACCCAGAGCCGTCGGTCAAAAGAGCTTTACTGGCGTCCATAGCTCGTCTATGTGTCTTCTTCGGAAGTACAAAGGCCAGCGAAGTCGTCTTGACGCACCTCAACACTTATCTAAATGAGAAGGACTGGATCTTGAGATGTGCTTTTTTCGAAGCCTTGGTGGGCATCGCCTCTTACGTGGGGACCTCGAGTCTTGAGCAATTTATCCTGCCAATCATGGTAGGATCACTGATTGACTCCGAAGTCTTTGTTATTGAGAAAGTCTTCCGATCACTTGCCCGAATGGCCGATCTTGGGTTGTTGCAAAAAGCTACAACGTGGGAACTGGTTGACATGGCTACTCGATTCCTTGTCCATCCCAGCTTCTGGGTTCGTGAGAGCGCTGTTCAGTTCATCGTTCTGTCTTGCCGATACACCTCCAAAGCAGACCAGGCTTGCATCGTTCTTCCTCGCCTTGAACCCTTTTTAAAGGGCAAGGTGACCTCACTGACAGAAGATCGGATCTTAGACAATCTCAAGCGGCCCCTGTCTAAATCAGTGTTTGACGCGGCGGTGAGTTGGGCTGCGAGAAAAGGAAACAGCATCTTTTGGACTGCTGCCAGCCGTGACGGGGCCTTCTCTTTGTCTGATCCGAGTACTGCGCAGACCCAGACGTCCTTCACTACCAGACTCCTGACGAGGATCAACCCCGCACAAAAGGATAAGGATGATCAAGCTTCACTTGAAACTCTCCGAAACCTTGGAATGACGGTCGACGATGAGATCAAGTTACTTGCACTCCGAGAATACATTTGGCATGTCTCGAATTACAAATCACATCGAGATTCCGATCAATTGGCCAAGGACAAGGATATTGAAGACCGAGACGAAAAGCATCGCATCCTCAACAATATTGTTTCACTCAATCAAATTGATGTGACACCTCAGAACATCTTCTTTGACCATCGCAGACCGGTTGAAGAGATCCGCAACCGCAACGTCGTCTCACAACCAAGATCACGACGTGACGAGCAGCACAGTCTAGCCGATGCGCTGCTAGATGCATCGACCAGTATCAACGAAGTGCCACTGAGGAACCATTCCCCATCTCGCTCAGCCACCGACGGTTCGCGCGCTGGTTCTGTCCATCCTATCAGCATCGAAACAGCCCAAGGACGGAATGGTCCGCCCTCGTTGAACATTGAGGAAGGCTCTCTCCCAAGCAGTCTCAATCTTACCAACGGAGGCCACTCTCCGGTAGGTATAGAGCGACTTTCCCTTCGCCGCAACACGCCCCTTGCACTCAGACATCGAAATAGCGGTATCAACCTGATGAATCGCAAAGACTCGTCAAAGGCAGATGCTGAAATATCCACCAATTCCGAGATTGCATTTGGCAAGGTCGATGGTGCGATATCTCGAAGAAACACCTCTGGGCCTTCGGCGCTATCGGTTACAGCCAACGTAGCAGACAAATCGAGATCAATGTCATCAAGTCCCGGTCGCAAAACTCCAGCTTACGAGTTGAAACATTCATACAGTGGAAATGATCCCAACATCCTAAGGTTGTTAGATCACCATTTCATGGAGAACTTCCCCGTCGATCTTATTGATTTTGGCCCACGGCTCACTTCGGTTGATTTCAAGTGGTCGATCAAGCGAGCGACAGATGCTCCGTCGCAGGGAGGAAGCAAAGCCGCCCAACAAGACGTCGCGTATCGTTCTGAACCGTGGCGGCCAACTGGACAGTTGCTCACGAGTTTCCACGAACACACTGGGGCCATCAACCGCGTCTGCGCGGCTCCAGATCACGCATTCTTTGTTACAGCATCCGACGATGGTAGCTGTAAAGTCTGGGACTCGAACAGGCTCGAAAAGAATGTGACGCCTCGATCAAGAATGACGCACCGCCATGCAGAAGGAGCCAGGGTAAAATCTCTTTGTTTCGTTGATGGTACACATACTTTCGTCAGTGGGGCTGATGATGGAAGCATACACCTAGTCAGAGTTGACTACAAGAGCTTGGATGGGGGAGAGAGCTCTAAGTACGGCAAACCAAGGCTGATTCGAGATTATCAAATCCTACCCAAGAGAACCACGCAGCAGAATGGTGATGATGAAGACGGCGTGGAGTATGCCGTCTGGCTGCACCACTACCGAACCCAGACGAGTCAATCAATACTGCTTGCAGCCACCAACAAATGTCGCATCCTAGCCATCGATCTGAAAAACATGGAAATTGTACATATCATGGAAAACCCAATGTCCCACGGCACTCCTACGACATTCTGCATGGACCGGAAACAACACTGGCTCTTGCTGGGGACGAGCCATGGGATCCTGGACCTGTGGGACTTGAGATTCAAACTCAATCTTCGGAGCTTCGGCATACAGACAAGCAGCAGAATCGATCGTATCCTGATACACCCGACTAAAGGGCATGGGAGGTGGGTGATGGTTAGTGCCGGTGGCGAGATCAGTGTTTGGGACATTGAAAAGCTTGTCTGCAGGGAAGTGCTGAGAAACAGCACATTTGAGGCGGAAGAGAACCTGCGGCCCTATGAAGCCTTCCTCACAGATGGTGAAACTGGAGAGCGGGTCTTAGGAGAAATGACAAAAGATGCAACCAATGATGCATTGGGAAGGGACGGAGTTGACGGAACGAATGTCGACAATGTGTTGAGCTCATCACCGTCGAAGAAATCGCCCAGGGTGGGTTCAAGTTCTAGGTGGCCGAATACTCTACCAGTGTCTGGGGTGTTTGTGATCTATGATCACCTGCAGAACACATCTCAGCCTGAGAACCCCAACAGATATGCACTGCTGTTTACTGGCGGAGCTGATCGAGCGGTTCGATATTGGGATGTTGGCCGTCCTGAACACAGCTTCATTGTCTCTGGCCCGATGATTTACAACGACGAGGGAAGCACGGTGAAAGCCAAATACGAGGTAACACATCCGTTGTACCTCAATGCAGGAGGACAGATCGCACTGGTTCAAGAGAGCATTCCAGATGCATCATCGACTGGTGATGCTAAAGCAGGAAACACAAGAGGGACACCTGCGAGGGTCTCACGGCGAGAGCAGTCCGGAGCATCAACTCCCAGCAGATCAGGACGGACTACGCCAGCAGTCACTCCTTCGGTGGGTGGATCATCTAAACAACGGACAACGCCAGGTCCGGTCAAGCCATTGCGACACACTATTATCAGTGCAGAGCAACAACATATCATTCGGACACATATGGACGCGATAACGGATGTGATTGTACTCAAGAAGCCGTATGGATGTGTGGTGAGCGTGGACCGAGGAGGGCACGTGTTTGTGTTTCATTGAGGATAGAGATTAGACAAGTGGTGAGATGGTCATGAATGACTATATTAGAAGATGATGAGATGGTGAGAATGGCATGGGTTGATCGATTGGACTTTTGTCTGCCACAACTTTAGATGAAGCTCGACTCAGCTCAGCTCTCCTTCTCTTGACGATCCAACCTCTGCATCTCGGCCTGTGCTTTGACAACCATATTCAGCCCTCTATCTCTCGCAGTAATAGCCTGGGGAGTTGGCAACCCAAACGCCTCATCCGACTGAGCAATGACTTTTTCCAACCAAGTACTCGGCTGACCCTGACCCCCAGTCGTAGCCTCTGCAGTGGACGAAGCACTCCTCCCCTCAATATTCATCTGAACATGTCTCGGATCATCTTCCCACACATCAGCAATACTGTGTCCGATATTGTTGAAAAAGCCTTTAATCCCTGCATTTCCACCACCAAACCCATACATTTCAAAGATCCCCTTGACAGCCCAGCGCGGTCCCAAACTCGCACGAATGATTTCGTCACATTCCTGAACCGAGACCACACCCTGATCGACCAGATGACATGCCTCGCGCAAAAGGATGAAACTCAATCGATTTGCAACAAACCCCTTGATTTCTTTGTGTACCACGATCGGTCGATGTCCACTGGCCAAAGCGGAGAAATACGTCTGTGCAAACGACACTTCTGCCTCATCTGTCCATGGCGAGGGAACCAGTTCCAGTAATGGCATGATATGTGGTGGATTGAATGGGTGGACGATCAAGAGACGGGAACGGGCGGAGGAGACTTTATCAGCCCATGTCGTCGACCCATCACCATCACCATCACCATCACCGTCTCCCTCACCATCTCTCTCTAACCCAGCCAACTGTCTACTCGCCTCAATCCCACTGGTACTACTCCACAACCGACACTTGGTATCCGCATGGTTAAGAACCTGTCGCCATAGATTCTGCTTGAACTCGACCCGTTCAGGACCTTGTTCTTGAACGATGGTAGCGCGTGAAACAGCTGATTCGAGACTATTGCTGATGTGTAGTCGGCCGGATTTTCGTGCTTCAGCGACGGTGAGATTGTGCCCGGAGAGATATAACGGTAGGATTGATGTGATGTGGTCTTCGAGATCCGGCCGGGGGTCGTACACGGTGATTTGGGCCGAGGTGTAGCGGAGGTGTAAAGCCAGAAAGGATATGCCAATGGCGCCGAGACCGATCAAGGTGATGCGTTCGTTGGGGTGGGGGAGTTGAGGGTCTGAGGAGGACATGGTTGAATGTGATAGGTATGTTATGAATGCTTCGTGGGAAGATTCAAGAAGTCGATCATTTAGATGAATATATTTACTTTGGGATAGCCGAACCACGGAACCTCGACCCTCGACCTTGGAACTTGAACTTGAACTTGGAGCTTAACACTTTAGTCCTTCTATGATATGCTTATGTTGCAAAAGAGTAAGAAGGAGGAATCAGTCAGTTAAGTTCAAGACAACCAAGGATACAGTCAACATGACGAATGGATGGATGGATGGATGGATGAACGAATTGATATCTCCCACCGGAACTTCAAGTATACCCAAGAAAGTGAGGAATGTCACGTGGATAGCTTCTCTGTGATACAAATAAACTCCAACTACTACTCCGTACAGGTCACTTTCACAGCTTGTTTCCACTCATTGACTTCACTACTGATGAAGCCGAGAAACCCCGACGGAAATCCGACAGAGAGTACTCAATCAAAGTCCTCGTACATGGTAAAGAGTGCTATAGTGATGGATCAGTGATTATGCCGAATTTATTCCTCGGTGTAATCCCCGCAATCACTTTTACAATATCATTACTCCAACATTCTTGTACATACTTCGCACTTCGCACCTCGCACATTATACACTTCAATTCAATCAATCCATTGACGATTGAATATTAATTCAGACCAAAATACAGTAAATACTGACTTGGAGCACATTACACCCCTTTTAGATTTTAAACTCTACGTGGGTGGATAAAATGGGAGAATCAAAGTCCCCGAGCTGCCCCAATCTTGGAAAACTTATGTCCAAAAGTCTTTTTGCTCTCAGTCTCAGCTCCTCCACTCTCAATCACTCAGACTCGCTCACATCCAGGCATCTGAGATCATCATCTTCAACCAAATAAAACCAAAAAAATGGTGTCGGATCAAAATTGCCTCAAAACCTCGCGAGGCTGGCTTTCTTCATATGTGAAAACAAATCCCACCCCGAAGCCATATTTCGGTCCAGGAAGCGCCCAAGCTCCATGCAAATTTCCCTGTCCTCTCTCGCACAACGAAACCCTTCATGTCGACGACCAAGAACCAACCATCTGAGTATGCTGCATTGACTGCCCCTCACTTGTGCTCTCATGCTTCAACCACACGGCTGAGCACAGAGCCACGACCGGGAGGAGGCTGCTTGACATTCTCCTCCAATTCGTTCTTGTTGGCAGTCCCACTGGTGCTTGCACTCAAGTGAGCTCGCTCCGCGTCTTCGTCTTCCACGATCTTGGTCCGGTCTGATCCACGGGTGTTGTGGTTCAGAGACTCTCGAGCCGTGTAGTTGGTGGGTGCTGTGCTGGCCATACTCAACGCTGTGCTCGATCTTTGATGGACGAGATCTGGTGTGGGAGGAATCGACCCTCGGTCACTTTGAGGTGTCAAGTGTCCCGTCCCACTGCGTGAATCCGATCCGAGGTGCTCCACCGGAGACAAGTTGCCGCTGTTGTCACGGCTGTGAGATGCTGAAGGAGCAATGCCGGCTTCTTCCAAATCGACGTCACCAACTTCCTCATCTTCTTCAATCTCGGCTGCCTCGTTGGCCAATTGAAGACTCTCCACCGCGGCAGCACACTGCTCGCTGATGTTCCGGATGATGTCCGCAATGGCATCAGTCTTGTTGCGGAGATGACGATCCGCCACATCAGACATGCTGAGTTCTGAGTAGCGCTTGCTCGACCTCTTGTTGGCCGAGAGGAGCTTCGTCTCCATCGACGGTGTCACGTCTTGTCCGTCAGCCCACAATCGCGATGCACGTTTGCTGCTGCGAGACGTGACATTTCTCATACCCTCACCCTCCTCTAGCTCCTCTTCTTCTTCTCCTTCCTCGTCCTCATCATAGCCTTCGTGAATGTACTCTTGAAGCTCCGAGGCTGAGCCAATGGACCGAACAATGTGTTCCATATGATGAGTCTGACCGGTGATGAGTGACCGAAGATGGAGGACAACCCGTTGTGCTTCGTCACGTTGCCGCTGAAGTGTTTGGTTTGTATGTTGCATGGCAGCAATCTCCTTTCGGTTGCGTGCACGTTCCTTCTCCAGATCCTCGGCGATACCTTGTTGCAGAACAAGGGCCTCCAACGCATTGTCGCGCTGTCTCTCAGTGCCAGAGAGTCGGAGGGTGAGACGAGCCGCGTCGTCCTTCTGTTGATCGATGAGTCCGGTAAGACGTCTGTTCTCACGCTTGTGTGATTCGATCTTGACCCGTAGTTCAGCCAATTCCTTGTTGAGGGATTCCACAAAGGCTTGGAATTTCTGGAACTGGAGTTTCCATGTTTCGACTTCTTGCTCCAGGTAGTTGTTTCGCTTGGCCACCTTGGCCAATTCGGTGTCCATGCGACCCTTGAGGTTGATAAAGTCTTGCCATGCTTCCAGGGCATCCCGCGAGTATTGATTTCGTTCTCGGACAATCTCGTTCATGTGTCTCATCGAGATCTTGGTCATCAGTGGCTTCTTGGTTGCACCACCGAACAAGGCTTTAACACCAGTGTTGCGACCCAGTTTCTCACACACATGATCCATGACGGCCATGACGGCATCTTGATTCCACCACACAGGGTCTTGAATACTCTCGACCTCGCCACGGAGGACAATGATCTGACCAGCAGGAATGAGCTTGCCTCCACCATAGGCAGACTTGAGGTGAGCAGGGACACCAGAAATGTCGACATCAGAGTTCAAGGCCTGAGTCAGACGGGTAGTCATCTTGGTCCGCTGTCCGGGAGTCAAGATATTGGGAGGATGGTCGGTGATGACCAAATTACGATCCAAGTCGACAAGGAGAGCATCCTTGGGGGGGTGGAACAAGGCTCGGCATTCTGTGGTGATACCCAGAATATATGGACCTGGCTCTTGAACCATCTCATTGACGTTTCGGGCATGAACGACGGGGACATAGAGACCACTCCACTCGTACACGCGGACGCAGAACCGGATGGTCTCAGCCGCGATTGTGAGCATGGCAGGGTGGTGACTGGTGAGGATGATGCGCCGGGTTGGTGAAACGGCAGCTTCGATCAGACCGACAATGTTGGGAATGGTCAAGCAATTGAACAAAGGCCACATGGAGAAATTTTGAAACCCAGTGGGGGATGATGGGAATTGATAGCACAAGGCATAATCTTTCATGTCGATCCGCACCAAGTCATTCAGACGGGGGGCGGGAAAGCTGAGAATGCGAGAGACTTCTTCGGCGTGGAACAGATTCGTGGCTTTGTTCCAATGAATCCACATGCCTCGTAGATAATCCCCGAGCAAGTTGTAGAGAGGATAGCGGGAGAGAAAACTCAAGCAGTAGGGAATCCAGTATGTTTCGTCTGGGACATCGCGATAATCGGGTTCAGTTTTGCGTCGGAGATCTCGAATGGTCTCGGCGCGCTTTTCATCGGCTCTGGACCAAACTCGTAGAGCAATGCCGTATAAAGTGTGTTGTGAATCTTGTTGCAAAACAAAGGAATGGTGTACGCAGTGTGGCTGACTTCGGCCAGTGCAGATTTCGACATCATGGGGAAAGCAAGCCTTGAGAATTGTTAGCAGAACGGTCTAGCAAGTCATTGGGGATAACGTACCCTCATGGCACTGTGCAAGGCTCTGGCAATGTCATTGTCTGTCTCGAGTCTGGGACTGCTCCCCAGAATCTCAGGCAACCAGAACTGACCAACGGCGCCCTTCATATGCTGAATCTTTCCATGGGTTGGTGGGGGTGCTTTGACCCATTGTGATGGTTCTCTTCCAACACCACATACCATATAGGCATGGGTGAGGGTTTTGGGAGTTGGTCTGTTGTTGACTTTTGCCAAGGTAGAAGGAAGAGGTTGTGTGATTCTGGAATGTAGAGAAGATGTCCTACTCGGGACCATGGTGTTGTCAACCTGTTCTCGAGTGGTGGGACGATTTGTGTCGCGAGTCTGGGGACGTGGTGCCATTGAGGCCATGGAGGTGTGGCCTCTCAGCGAGGGACCCATAGCGCAGGGACTGGAGGGGGAAGGTGACAGGACAGAAAAAGGCCTCAGCTTGCGGGAAGCTGTGGTCAAATATGTCAGACAGCCGTCGAACTGTTGGCCAATGCACTAGGTTTTTTGACCTGCAGCACTCGAATTTTGAAGACGTCGATCTTCAAATTGTAGATTCTCAAGTCTTGGATCGGTCAAGGTGATGGAGCACCTGCGTCAGGAACCGATCTGGGAGACGACAGACAACGCAACCCGATTCACAACGGGCAAGACAGAAGTTGGAAATGGAAAGGTAGCAAGGCGAGGAGAGGGAAGGGCCGAGAGGATAAACAAGCGTGAGGAGGTCGATCAGAGGGTTAGGAGATTGTTTGACAGAATTCAGGAGAGGGTCTAGAGAGGATAGCTCGCGGGTCGCACAGGCCTAAACATGGGGGAGGTGCCGAAGCGAGTGGAATCGTTGCAGGGCCGGTTGACCCAAGATGGACGGATGAGTGAATCAGAAGGGAGATCAGAAGGCCCAAAGGTCGATTTAGTGGGTCAGGGAAATGAGGCTTGCAGGGATGTGGCCACCTGAAGGAGAGGGATCAAGCATTACGAGGGGATTGCGCCCGATTGGTTTGTGTGAGTAGCCAGGAACGGCTTGCAAGTCTGAAGATGATGGGATGAGGGGTGGAGAGTCAGAGGAGTCAGAGAAACGCCAAAGTGAAGCAGAAGGGGAAGGGAATGATGAATGATGGGATTTAATTGATTGACTGTATATCCAACCAGATGACAGACAAGGGGAGGAATGACTGCGCAGATGGAGTGACTCAACATGTCGAAACAACCGTCCCCCAACGCCTTGGGTTTGGATGGCACTGAGGTGACATTTACGGGCGCGAGGGAGGTACAGACAGACACAAAATCCACAGGTAATTAATTGTAGGTACATTCTCGCAGAGAGAAGGACAACAAGGCATCGTCCCACCCATATCATTCTATGAGTATGAACCAAAGGCCGTATGTCATATTCGCGAGTTTGTTATTCCTTGGTTCAACAAGACTATCGATCCCGCGTCGCCTGGTATGGGTCCTTTTCTCTACAGTACCACTACAGATGCACCTACTTTTCTGTGGAACTGATTCTCCGATCAATTTGCGTCAGAGGAAACTCTGTTGTCTGGAAATCTCCATGCAGTTGCATCTCATAAACCAAATGTTTTTAAAATGCTCGCATGTTCATCGACCTCAATGCCCTTCGAGAGGAATGACTTGAGGAGGTGTCAACCTCTGCACAGGTAAACAAATATGGATTAACATGTCAACAGGGTCGTGTCCAATTTGAGTCCCAGACTTCAAGCCTCCAAGTCTCAAGCGAAATATCACTGGACAAAAAAGCTCTAGACTCTCATTCCTCTGCCGTGGACTGAGTTAAAGCGCGTGAGTGCCTACTTACGCCTACGGAGTAGGTACCTAATGCATACCCGCAGACTGTGCAGGTTGCAGTGCAAAGGGACCGCCGAGCCGCCTAAACGAAGCTGCTGAGGCTCCAAACTCTACCGGCGCGACTCCCAGCACTCGCTAAATGTAGATTGTACAAGCCTACCGTCCCTCCCGTGGCTATCCACACCCTCGGCCCAGCAGTGCCAGCTTCGTATGCGTATGGTTCCTGGATCCATCCAATTCTGGTTACTGCAAAATTTCTTTAGTTTTCTTTAGTTTCGTTTACACTGATGATTGTCAATGGCCCACAAAGACAAGTCCAGATTGGGTCGTGACGCGGGAAAATCAGTACTCATGTAGACAGGGTGCTGAAGCATGTATACATACATATGCGTACATGGTACATGCGTGTGGATATACACAGCTGCAGTGATTGGGGATATATAATGATTGCATCGAGGGACATGAATTATTTCTCTGTTCAAGACGAAAGACCAACCCTGAAACTACTACTCCGTATGTACGAACCTAGTACTAATGTCCTACGTGCCGACCCAAGGTAATGACTTGGCGCTTTGCACGTGATTGACTTTGTGCGCATGGTTCGGCAATCCAAGCAATTTAGGCAATCCTCACTGACTCTAGGTCTTAAAATTCAGTTTCGGGGCCCTGGAAATAGGCGGCCTAGCCTCCAGATTCTGGACGCTGGCATAGGTCAAAGAAACTCCCTCACCACACACCCCAAGGGTCTTTGTCTTTGGTGGCGGCCGATGTTGTTCACCCATTCTGCATCTTTCAGGGGGCGCCGGGGCGCCGCCAACTCTCCCCTTCCAGTTTGGTCTGCGTTTCTCCATCCTCGGCTCTCACCTGTTGTGAGACATTCGTGACCGTTAACCATGACGATAGCTACCATGTGTGCCATGTCAATGGCTGATGTAACTTCCAAGGATCAACTAAAGCCTCGCTTCGTCGTGGATGCTGTGACAATATGGCTAGCACATATTGTCCGCCTCCTTGGAACTGATTAGATTCATCATGACAGCTCGTAATTTTCCTGATCGCCATCGCATCCGTTGGAGAAAGCCACCCTCACTGGCACCTCAGGCACGCCCCTCAAACGTGACAGGTTCTCCTGCGATTTCTTTCCATGACGTTTCCACAGATTCTTCCCGCCCTACGTAAGACGAGCTCCACTGCATGCCACCTGTAATGGGCAGTATGGATGCAAGGGTTCAGCTCTTGTGAAAGTCTAATCCCCTCCTGCAAGACCAAAGGGATCAAAAGTCCAGAATCACGAAAAACCACTTGGGTTGATCGATGGCTTGCTGAATGGCCACACGGGAAAACGCGGTTGAGCCTGCAGCTACCAGTACAGGTGCGATCTACAGACTCCAATGTCGAAAATCCGAGGTATCAACGCTCGACTGACGCGACGACCCACTCACTCATGGTGCGAGCACCGCGTCTCCCACGATCCAGACCAGAAACCTCGTTTACGACTCGGAAGTGTTTCATGTTCAGACCAGGACCTGCACCTCTGCCTTGGCCATGTTTTTTGACAACTTTTCACCAACAACTTGAAGTCGTTATCAGCTTGAAGTACGGAGTACTGTCTGTATCTTTGAGTAGCCGTCGAGCCTTGTGGCATGTACATGTCATATCGTGATATCTATCCGGGCACCAGTCAATGCACCGTCAGAATCTGATAGAAAATTCTGGCAGCCCTTCTGGTAGTGCTTGCAGGTTGCAAGTCGCAGGGTCAGTCGATCGCCTTTGCCAGAATGGGTCATATTGAGACCAAATAGACCAAATGCAGTCAAACTCACTTCTGAATGAGGATAGGCTGGCACATGTCATAATTCTTACCAACAGATACATCGGGAGCTAGAATTGATTCCAAGGCCAGCGAGCCGACAATCCAACCAACTCCTGCACTGGTGACCCTCCCAACTCAAGGTGGTACAGCGGGAGAGTCAGAATGCATGCAGGTGCAGATAACCACGCGGAGTTCGATCGAGTCATATTTCCCAGGAACCGGTCGTCAGATAAGCGTGCATGACTTGAGTCACAGTCGAGTAAGCGAATGTCCCTGTGGTTGACGGTGTCTCGAAACTGTTCCAAGCCATCCATTACATACATGAACTACTGTCAGGTTGCTGGACATGCCGATGAGATACCCGAATATGCAGATGCAGTACGGAGTACATGCTTAAGCACCTACAGTAGGGAGATTCCTGCATATGCCCAGGTCTTACAATACCTACCTGACTGCTAGTAGAATTTTGTTGGTGGATGATGAGTGATATACCTCCCTACCGACCTGATATATATGAGTGTCTAAGTTCTAGTAATTAGGTCCCTGGTTGAGAAGGGGTAAGCGGGTAGTTCCTGAATTTGGGCGCCAATACTGGAAGTGAATCTGGGGCTTGGCTGCTAGGCTAGAAGTTGGCTTGAGGTTGACCTGAAGATCCCTAGCCTGCTTCCCCCCCAAAGCCCATTACAGCCTAGAACTGCCCCAGCCTTCAGAGCCCCCAAGTTGCTGATCCAAGCACATTCCTTCCCGAAAGGCCCTTCAACTCTAACCAATAAAATTGCCTGCGGGGATTGTCTTCCACCTTCCCTGCGTCACCGATTTTTTTTTTGAATGTTTACTGTTTCAGCGCCATGCCGCAATACTCATCCCACATGGAACGCACTCTCAATCCCACATAACGTCTCTACCTGTCATGCAGGACATGGGATCTGACACTCCACTGACAGACTTGTGTACCATCTGGTGGGTTCCTCCATTAACAACATTAGTTTGACCGTTCATTTCACTAACGCCTGCCCAATTGTCTCTAGCCATGCAAATCCCATCAAATACACATGCCCACGATGCCATGTACATACATGCTCGCTCCCCTGTGTCAAGCGTCACAAGTCATGGGCTCAATGTTCAGGAGTGAGGAACCCTGCAGCCTACCGACCCAGATCTGAACTGGCAACTGCGTCTTCGGTTGATCAAGACTTCAACTTTATATCTTCGGTTGAAAGATCCCTGTCCAAAGCCGACGAGTTGGTGTCAGACAAGGGCATCACTCTAGCCCCCAGCGGCATCAAACGTCACGACATCAAGCGGAAATTAGATATCGAATTGGAACAGCGCCAAATCACCGTCATCAAGGCTCCGCAAGGCTTGTCGAGATCTAAACAGAACAAAACACATTGGTCCGGTGCACAGAATGCCATCATGTGGACGACAGAATGGTTATGTCATAACGGTCTCAACCTATCAGCGAATGCCCTAGAATCAAAGACAGTGCGCGAAGTCTTTGTCATGACCTCGGGTCGAAAACTCGCTCAAGGGAAGCGAAAGAGAAGCGATGCTGGTAAAAGAGAATTAAATCATGAAACAAACCTGGTTTCAATTACTCAACACCTCGTCAAAGGAGACAATTCAACTCCAACCCTCCCACAAAACGTCGATCAAACACCGCCATCACCAGAAATTCCCAACGTAATCGAGTCACACAACGCTCCAGACGAGGAAGCAAAAAGTGAAACGACCATGGAACCAGTTCTTGAAAAGCCGAAACCAACCTCGTTACGACTTGCCGAACCTCCCATCCTCGACCCCGGCCTACATTTTTATCTACATAACCCACAAACCGCTGCAAAGTACAAATGTTTGATACCCATATCAGCTGACATGACGCTGCGGGAGGTGTTGGAGGGTAGGACAATTGTCGAATTTCCCAGCTTTTATGTCCGGACCGAGTCGCCGGAGACCTTGCCGGCACCTCTGATCGTGCAAGAGAAGTACGATGAAATTCACCGTGCCCAACTCCCCATCGATGTCCTACCTACTTATGCCCCACATGATACCACGACAGAGGTGGACGAGGGGATTCGTCCATCGCTGGCTGAGGTTGATGAAAAGAAGGTTCTGGAAGTGCTCCAAAAGGACCTGACGGGTTGAGAGCTTGACTTGTGAGCGTTAGGTGTTGGGTGTTCCTACATGAATCGAGTTTACTTCAATGATGATGACGACAATATTCCATACAGAATTCCATGATGTGTGATTCTCGTTAAAATCTTCCATGGTGTTAGTACTTATCCCCGAGGTCAGATACCTCCATATATGTAGAGCAAGGATATTACTCTCGACGGCCAATTGTCATTCTTATTGTCAATCTCACTGTTCAGGTCTAACCTATCCCAATTTACCCGGAACAAAAGGATGACCAGCAGAAAGACCACCACAAACAGCCCAAGCCTGACCATTCACATAACTCGACTCGTCAGAACCCAGGAAAAGAGCCACCCTCGCCACTTCATCTGCAACTGCACCTCTCTGAAGAGGATTCAACTGACCGATTTTCCTTTCTGTGCCTCGAGTACGGGCATTGTCGTACATTGGTTTCGTCATGCCCGTTTCAATCACACCGGGACAAATAGCATTGACACGAACACCCGTTCCTGAAAGCTGATAACTCATCGTCTGAGCCATACTCACGACAGCTGCCTTACTGGCCGAGTAATCGGTTCCACCAGCATTAGACCGGAGTCCCGCCACGGATGCCGTGCCAATGATACTTCCACCCGGGAACTCCTTCTGCGGCGTGGTCTTGCGCATGGCGATTGCCGCATGCTTGAAGCACAAAAACACTCCCAGTCCATTAACCCGCATCGTGTTCATGTATGCTTCTGGAGTGATATGTTCAAATGTATTGGGCACGCCCACAATCCCTGCATTTGCAAACATGACATCCAACCGTCCATACCGGGACATTGCGTCGTCGATCACGGCTTTCACTTGTGCTTCGTCTCCGACGTCGACTTTCATCGGGTGGACTTTTACGTCCGGGTATAGGCTTGCCAGTTCCCGTTTGTGGCGCTCGAGATGGCTGTCGTCATAATCGCAGATGTATACGGCGAGAGCACCATTCTCGGCGAATTGATGGGCTGATGCTCGTCCAATCCCAATAGGGCTGTTGGCTCCTGTCACGATGACGACTTTTCCTTGTGCCCGTTGTGCAGCTGATGGTCCTGCGACGTGGCGGATCTTGGGGATGGTTTCGAACTCGCCCTCGGAGGGGATGCCCTTGACGAGTTGCTCGGATAGGGCTGCGAGCCGGCGTTTGGGTACGGCTGTCATCTTGTGGTGGTTTTATAGATGGGTCGAGGGTATGGAGAGGTGTGGATAGGATGGGAGAAGAGAGAGGACAGTCCGTTGGGTGTGGGGGAGTAAGCTTGAAGCTAGAGGACGTGAACTGCTCGGTGAGATAGAGAGAGGGGTTTTTGTTCTTTGAATAAGCAGACAGAGAAAGCAGAAAAAATTCCCTAGTTGGTAGATATGAATCTGTGCATTATGTCCTTTCCCAAAGAACAACTGTTAGCCGTTGTATACCCTCTGGAACGGCGTTGCGTTGCTGATGTCTTCCCCATGAAACTCTCTCGGAACAGCGGAGTCGTCGAAATACCGAGGCATCTTTCTGCTTTGGGTGCGATTTCCGGGGAAGACAGAATACAGCGGAGTGTTGATGGGGCGATGGTGTTTTGTACGGTGGGCTATGGGGGCGGCGATATGCTGTTGTTTACAATGCAATTAAAGGAGTTGAGAGAAGAAAACACAGGCGAAAGTGAGGCATACAAGACCAATATTGGTTGTAATGATTTGAAAATTCCATCTGGCTGTACCAAAACATATCAACCACCACCACCACAACCTCCTCCACCGCCGCATCCACCGCCACCTCCACAACCGCCTCCACCACCACAACCTCCACCTCCGCCGCTGGAACAGCCATTTGAACAACTCGCACAGTTGCCGCTAGCACCCGCATCGCCATCCACATCGGTGGCTGAAACATCTCCTATGTCAGTGCATCCATCCACCCTCCCATCCATCACCGCAGAATGGGGACATGCTCCAAGGCCCGAGTCCGCCATATTGGCATCTACACCCAGTGCCGCGCCAGCGAAAATGCCGCCATAAGCAACATACCGAGTTCCTGAACCGACATGATGTGCCAACTCCCGCTGTTGTCGATCCTTCTCCGATTCGTTGACAACTCTAGGAGCCGGAACATCTTTAAGTCGAACTCGCCCGTCGCGAAGTTCCTCATACAGACGCTTTCGAACGGCTGGCTCATAGATTGCCCACTCGGCGATGAAGTATTGATGGTAGAGACCTTGGTCGAAAGTATGTGAAAATGGTTGCGCACGGTGGATTCCACCTAGTTTCAATCGGTCCACGGTGGGATCGATGGCAGAGTGTAGCCATTTGGTCGAATCGATGAAAGGTCCTACTCGATGCATTGCTGCACCCATCCTCAAAAGTAAGTTCTGTGAGTGGAGCAATGTCAGTCGGTTTCGAAACCAGGCGAAGTCCGACATGACCTCCTCTGCTCCATTTGAAGGTGCATACATGTACCGATCTCGGCAAAGATGCAGCGAGATGATACTCCACGAGTCAAAGGGGAATGCGAGTAGATGTTTGGCCATATTGCAATCTCCACATCTTGTGGGGTACCGGCCAAAGGCCTCAGTACAGTCCCAAGGAAAGAGTTCCTGGTTCTCGTACAGGTGGCCGCCGAATGCGCCAAAGTCGTACCACCATTCGTGAAGAGTGTCGATGATATCTGATTCTTCGTGACGTCCGTACCGAAATTTCAAGAGATACTCTTCTGTGAGTCCGCTAGGGACGTCAAACTTATTCTTGACCCTGTTGCGTGTGTATGACGTGGGTCGAGTTGCAAAAGAGACGAGATAGAGAGGGTGAGGCTGGACAGCGGTTGAACTGATATGGCTCGGGACAGGTTGAGGGTTGGTGAAAGGGATAAATTGACCGAACACTTGCCAATCAAGAAGCGAGTCGCAGAATGATTGACAATTGTTCTTGGTAGCACTCCAACGAAGCTTGGTGCTGGGATCGCAGAGGCGTTGGCTGATGGAGTATAGATAGATATCAACCCGAGGTTCGAGATAGCGTTTGACTTTATCAACCATATCGGTCATGACTTTGTTGACAAGTCCATCTCTCTGAGATCGAGACAGTCCGATGTCGTCAATTGGCAAGCTGAGTGCAGTGATGAAGGATTGGACGATGGATTCTTCCAGCTCTGATGTATATACTCCAGTGAAGGGAACGCCAACAACTTGTTTCATGATGGCTTTGTACCGTTTTCGACCACGATGCCGCTTGCTCTGGGACCAGACATTACGATCGACATCCTCGGAGACGGTGTATGCTGAGTGATGTTCGGGTTGGGGAGACGGCGACTGGCCTGACGGCGATAAAGTAGCAGGTTCTCGTAGGGTTATTAACGCACCACCCTTGGTACTAGTGAGAAGAAATTAGTTGGGTCTGAAGAGGAAGAACTAGGGACATACTGTGCAACGCCATTTTCAATCACCAGAGGTCCAACTCGAAGTGCCATATGGACATTTCCAAACGGATACTTGTCCACATAGCGTTTCATGAAGAATGGGATATCTTCATCAGCTTCAGCCTCCCTGACCTCAGCCGATTTCCCTTCTGTTCCCACACGATCATCCTCATCAACGAGGCTAGGAATGACACCCGTCTGTAATTTGGCTTCCTTTCTAGAAGACTTCTTTTGGCCTTTTTGATATTTGGCAAGCTGCTCGGCAGTCATGGTTGCAATCAATTTCTCCTCTGCCAACGGGACTCTTTTGCCGAGAGGCGTCTGCATTGCATCGTACTTTGACTCTGCCACCATGTCACCCAGAGATAACAAAGGGCATTGAAGGCCGCCCTTTTTGGTCGCGATGCGGTGGACATGATCCTCGCGGACGGGAAACAGGGTGAGATACTTGCCAGAACCATCCATGCGGACAGTTCCATCGCAACGACATATTTTGCGGCCACCAGCAGAAGTGATTGAGGTGTCCAAGATGCAATGTTTATGAACTTTGTAGATGTTAGGATCGCTGTAGAAGCGTTCAAAGTAGCACGAGTCACATATCGTCCACTCTTTGTCGGATTTGGGATCCCTGACTGGAGACGCACGGTACTGCGAACCTCGAAGTGCAGATAAACATGTTGAACAGTGCTGGGCAGCGAAGACCGGCACGCTGTCTCTCGTATAGTGGGACACGGCGACTGTATGAGTGTCAATTACGGACAGTGTAACCGTGATTGCAGCGACACTTACGTTGAGGAACACCAGGACGCCTCCAGAATGACCAGCCGTCGAGTGGTGGACGATGCTCAATGAGCTTCTCAATGTCCAGGAAGCCTTGAGAAATCAGAAAGAGGTTTCAACGCGAAAGGATGGTCAGATGGTAAAATACCGGCACTTTGTAACAACAATTTTGTTCTTCGCTCGAGAAGTGGAGTGAGAAGGCCCTGGTTGTCCACTTTGATGATGCAGTCAGTTTGTGTGAGTGGGAACGAGTGCATGAGTGGAGAAATATACTTTGGACTTGCTGTCTCAACAAGAGTTTGATATTTGCGCTGGCTACATTAGCGTAGATATCCTTTCCTCTCTCACGCAGAGAATTATCGTATGTATTCAGACGTGACCAAAACCGGTTGTCAATTATATCTTGCTTTTCTTGAGCTGCTTAAAGTTAGTGATGGTAGTGCGAACAGGGAGTTGTTAGACATACCATATCGTTTGGCTAGATCGCGAGTACCTTGACTAACTTGGTCGACAAAGGTGTCGAAACCGTGCACAAAGTCCTCCTCGGACTCAAGAGGAATGGGGTCAGTATAATCTGAGGCCTGCCATTCTTTGAGAGTAAATAAGATATTCTCAAGTTCAGTACGGACGCCGATCCAGTAGAGTTCCTTGAGCTTGACAAAAAGATGATCTTTGGCAGGGCCCACTTGGACCCATGGCTGATCTGGCGCCGAGGTGATGTTGCTACTGGCTGATGACTGAGACTGAGGGCTCGATTTGGAATTGCCCTTGCGAAGGCGATGTGCTGTGAGGAGGGCAGACGTAGTTGTGAAGATGGTAGGGGCCATGGGGCATTCGTAAGATGAAAGACGGCCTGCGTAGAGAATTGCTTCACGGCAGGGTTGTCGACCATAAAAGGGAAGGCATCTCAGTCAAGTCAAGTTGATCTCCTACAAGGTTGGAACAGTGGGAGGGGTTTGAACATGACAGACGAGGCTCTCTCGCCCTGCCTCAGGCTCATTCGAGACTGAGGTCTTGCATGAGTTTGACTGTGTGAGGCAGGGCCATGAAGGGTTGATTGTTCCAATCAAGTTTGGGGTCCAAAGTTAGTTGGCCACATGGGCCTAGAGGATGATGGTGCTGGTCATCTGTAGTCTGGTGAGGCTGTGTGAGGTTCGCAACCCATTTCAAGGCAGCGATTCCCAGATTTCGCCTGACAGAAGATTTTGGATTGAGGGGCGACTGGCCATCCCTGTTTTCAAGGTGATGAGTGACGATGGCCCCCATTTCCCCCCTTGTCTCATACAGTTTACCACGATGGCACAGGAAAGCTGCTGTATCAACATTGTTACCTTGGAATATCTCGAGGGAGAAGGTTTCATATTGTTGTTAGAATACGCATACTTAGGCATATTTTAGAGTTGAGATCAACCATAATCCAACGGTCCTGACGATTGAAACTTGGGAAAAGTAAGAAGACACGACGGAGGAATTCGCTCCTGTCAGACCAATATCAGGCAACAAATACATCTCAGCCTCAACCCAGACTTCAATCCGTGATACACGGTTGACAGGTTGACACCCATCTCTAGCCGACTGCCCATCTCACTGGTCGCTCATCTCCATTCTCTTGACGAACAAGGCTGATTTGTCCTTTCACATACTTCCGGGTGTTGTTCGTATGCTTCCTTCTATAGGGATTCAATACGAGCCTGACCAATTTCGGCTTTGCTCCATCACACTCTCTCAAAGCTACTGTGTCTTTTCTGGTTCATCTTTAGGAAGCTCCGATGCCCTGAAGCTCTATCCCCTTGCTCTGCTTCTGTTTGAAGACTTCTATTTCTCCATCTCTTGTCAAAATGTCGCTCACTATCGGATACCATCAACAAAATCTGCACGTCGCTAGTACGACAAGAGCCAGAACTCTCCGAGAAACTGTTGATCGACTTCGACGAGAATCATCAACAAAGACGTGGTTTCCCAGTACCAAAGAACACCCCTTGATACCTAACCCAGAACTCTTCGTAGTCCTTTCCCCAGCATTATCCTTCGCATCGACCGACATCAACACCACTGCAGCGTCCTCATCCAAGGATACAAATCACCAAGAGCCCGCCATACATGCACTCTCATTGGGAATACAAATCCCCAACGTCACTGAATGCGCCGTACATCTTGAACTCTTGCTATGCTTCACTGCCTTCCACCGCCGTGTAGACAACTCGACCGCCTTAGACAAGGCCTTCAACATCTTCCCTCGACACAAGACTGTGCGTCGTTATAACGACCCAGTCAAGAAAATTAGAGACCCAACATTCGACGTTCGGCGCAAACTCAAATGGCCTGCCGTCTTGAACATTGCGGTTGAACGATTTTTGTTGTGGCTCAATAAATTGGATACTACAATGAAGGAATCACCCCGAGATGAATGGTCGTCGTTCTTTCCTCCTCCAATTGGTAAGTCAAGTGCTCTATCATAAAGGGGTGACGAAACTGATTCCTTAAGATGTCCTTATGGTCTGGCATGCACTTCTTCTCAACCCAAGTCACTATGAAAGGTTGACTACCTCATTCAAAAATATCAATCATATACCCTTTCCATGGGCTCAAATCGTAAGTCTTTGCTCTTGGACTGTTGCTCTCCATTACTTATCATCACCCATAAAGTTTGAAGCTATCGACCTGAGCAAGCATTTCTTGAACCCGCCATACTGCGCAATAGCTAAATTCGAAACCATGACCGGGCACACGGCTGATATTTTCCAAGAAATCCAACAACACTCGACTTACACACCTATTGCACAGAGCCTCGCCAAAATGATTGAACCTACAATGCCCGCCGAGGAGGCTACGGAATTGGCGGCCAACACCGAATTTACATCCGTGCCTGGCGCCGACAAGTTTAGGAAATTGTGCGTGCCTCCAGACTCTGCCAGCGCTGTAGTCAAAGCATTGGCCGGGGCCGTGACACGACAATATGCCTTCTGCCAGAAAATGGAGCACCAGCTTTGGAGTCGAAGTCCAGTCGCACTTGAAACCATTCATCGGTCAAGAATCCGATATGCGCGATTTCTGAAGCTGTTTCAGTTGTACCCTAAGACCATGCTTGTGCCAACTCTGGATATCGACTTGGTTTGGCACACTCATCAACTCTCCCATGAGAAATACGTCTCCGGAATGAAAACACTGACCGGAACATTTGTCGACCATGACGACAAGATAGGCAAGCCAACACTGGACGATGGAATGAAGCGGACATCGGATCTATATCAAATTCGATTCGGATCCAATTATCAAGAATGCCATTGCTGGGAATGTGAGACCTTGACCACAGAGCTCGAGAAGGCAGCAGCCACGGCGATGGAGCAGGGTATTAAATATGATGCCATACAGGAAAAGGTGGTGAAAGATGTCAATTATTATCGTGTAGCCGAGCTGTCAAGGAGGGAGGGCAAGTTGCTTCCAGATCGCTATTGGTAGCAGAAGCCATATCCTACTTGACGGACAATAATTGCAGAACACTCAGGCGATCTTGTTGGACTTTGAATTCTAGCTATTGTTATTTTAACTCTAATCTGTTATCTTTGTCGGTGAAAGATTGTTGAAGCGACCAGATGTAAGGGACTCGACTCTAGCATTATATACTTTGCGGGAATGGACTTTGATTCTGCAAAACAACATCCTTGCCAAGTCAACAGGTTGGATTTCCAATGCCTGGAGGGCCAACTGATCGTGATGAAGTGTCTGTTTCAAAACCACCAAAGTTCCTACATGTTGATACTGTGGAAGAGGTAGAGGCCATTCATTTTGGTTAAAAGAGATTGATTGGGGTGAGGGTTGGTTTTCGTTGGTAGATTGCTCCACTAGTGTAGGAAGTTGATGAATCGATCGAAGCAACTGTGCCAGACAACGGATATAAGGCGCATCGGCGCGAGTGACGAGATCGTATTCATTGATGATGGATAGAGATAATCCTCTCTGTGGTGATGCAGGGAAGGTTGATGGCGACGCCGTGAATGACCCAGGCCCACTGACGACTGGTGGACTGCCAAAGGTAATACACGAAAAGGTGAAACGGGGCCCTGGTCGTCGAAAAGAGTCGAGTCAATTCAATCACGTCGGAATCATAACGTAGAATTAGATACTCACATGATCTCTCCGACTCAGAGAGTATCTTCAGGTACAGCAGCGAAGCGATAGCTCCTCCAGCGGAGTGGCCTGTTAGGATGACTTGAAAATCGTCGGACTTGTGTCTTTGTTCGTTGTTATCCTCACAGCACAGTTGATCGACTTGAACGTTGATTAGAGGAAGTAGAGATTCGGCTGCATTGAGGAATCCCCTGTGAGCGAGGAATTGCCCGCCTTGCCTGCTACCACCACCATCATGATTTTGGTCTTCGCCACCGATCTATCATGAAGACGTTATCATTCTGATGAGGTCCAACTCTACATCACGAGACATCTCTCTCCACAATTGAAGACCCCACTTTAAGTAGAGGAAACAAAAAGGATGAACTTACCCTGGAACCAAGATAGAACTGGCTGGGCTGACTATTCAAATTGACGATATGGGCAAGTGAGCTATCAGTGCCTCGAATGGCTATAACCACGATCGGAGGTGAGTCACCATCAGTCTCGTCGGGACCTAGTCGAACTCGAGTCACGGAAACGGCTTTCGTGGTCCGGCTCACGGACGGACTGATCCAATGTGTTTCCTGCAGGATACGTTTCCCATGCGTGAGGTATGTCGGTCGATCGGCCGAGTATACATTGTCTGCACATCGCCACGCGATCCCAACAAGCTCGACTTGATGATTGTTTCTAGGAAAGAGAACATCAGGGGGTATTAGGCTGAGAGGGAGGTGGGAGGGAAAAAAAGAGCATTATGGTTGCCCATACGTAGAAAGGGGGAAGGGAAGGGGAAGGGTAGTCCTCACGCATTCCAATAGGGGAATTGGGCGTTTTCGGAGACGCCTGAATTAGCATACTTGGATGCTTCATGGTCCAGGATGTCCAATTGTCGTTTGACCGAGTCTCGAAGATTACCTGGTACGAAAGAAAAAAGAGGTGGTCACCTTGAAGACTCTTCTTCTTGGAAGATACACAGAATCAGCCTTACCTTGAAGATCCAATTTCTCAATGGCGTCATCCAAGATACTTGATAGTTCAACAACTGCGGCAGAGGCGCCTTGCGAGTTGTCAATGAAAGTCAAACCGGAGGCATTGGGAATGGTTGAAGCCGAGTTAAGAGACGACTGAGACAAGGTGCGGATTGGTTTGCGCCCAAATCCGCGCTTGAGAAAGGCAGTCATGGTTGCGACCATGCATGCTAAAAGAACGAAGATAGAGTGATGGATGGACCCATGGAGGGAGTGTGTAGCTCGGTGGATATGTGGATAGGCATTGGTGAGGGTCAAGGACTGGAATGAGTGTGGCAGTGTCATGCAGGTGAAGCTACTGAAGCGAGCGTAGCAAGGATCGACCCTGGCAGAACGAGGCAACGGGCAAGACAACGCTTGACCAATCGGCGAAACAATGCTATAGCATCAATCCAAGAGTATGAAAAATGTAACAACTGGAATGTTCTACAGTGTCGTGTGTCGTGTATCGTGTATCCTGAATGCTTTGTCAAATCCTATACCATTACTCTAGTTACTGAAGATCTTTCTTCTTCGCCCACTGCAAATGCTTGTGGTATTTGCATTCTCGTTCACAATGAGAGCATAACCACCAACGAGGGCCATGTTCCAGCCTCGCAGAACATTTGCCACATGACTGGGCCTGTCGCGACAAAAACATCAGTTCCTCTTCGGCCTTCTTCTCGCGCTTGGCCTTGAGCTGGGCTGGCGTCAAGGCATTGCAAGCACGACAAATCTGCTGTATCGTTCCTTTGTTGGTGCCTTCCTGGAATATCTCTTTGTCGATGTAACTAGTGCGTCGTCGTCCATTGCTGTAACAGTGACAGGGAGTTCTTCGATGATAAGGGGTGGGATTTTTCAACCTTTCGTCATAATAGCACTTCGAACAACGCGAGATACACCGCTTTGTGTGAGCCAATGCTAAGCTAGAGATGTTGACATGTGGGATCTGACAACTCTATCATTCGTTAGACTAGTGGGAGGATATCTAGTCTGAGGGAAATCACTTCATACCTTGCAAACTTGTGACACACAGATCCAGCATTGAGTTTTGGACCCCGATTCACAACTCCATATTCGTAGTTGTTGATAAATATCAGATGATCGGCCTGCAGGAATGAGAGATTGATGAATTTCCTTGCACGTTAGATTCAAATGCATAATGTCAATGTAGTGTAGATTCGACGATATCGCAATCCGGACATTGCCATGTTGGAGTAAGTGAGCCAAGGCTTGCACTGATTTTGACTGTGGCCTTTTCTTCTCGTCAAATACGTCGAATTCTAGATCGTCGTCCTGACCTCGGTGGCCTCTCCAAAATTTGAACATGAAACGTTTGGCGTAGCGGCCTCGCAGAATAGACCAGGCAGGTGCTTTCCACAAGACAAAGATAGGCGGCCAGCACAAGAGGTAGTAACAGATATTCTTCAGCAAACCGGCCCTCTTTCTGGGCTTGGTTGTCTTGGAAGAGCGGCCCCTTCGATCATGGGAAATACCACAGGAGCCCAATATGATGTTGAATAGGGCAGAAAGCATGTAAAGAACGCTGCGTGAGTTAGAGGAGACAGACGTGTCAAACACTGTAGGCTCACCTGACTGCGACTTCAAATTGCCAAACCCTGACTGTGGAACTGCACTCCGAGCGCCAGTTTGTCAAAGTGGCATTCTTGTCTGAAATCACAACAAACAAACTAGGTGCCGTCGAATTGGGAGGATTTGCCATAATGAAGTCGGAGCAAGCCGATTGAGCGTGAGGGATGCTTTGCCCCTGAAGACCAGCTGCGACTGCCAGCGAAACAGCAATGACTAAATCGATAATTCCCAGTATATACAAAAAGGGACCAACAGCAGCAAATGTTGGAAGCCAAATGGCAAAGTTCCAGGCAAAACCAAAGATGCCCTGTCATTCATTGTGTTAGGAGGGGACGATCGTGGTGCATGTCAAGGGCTTACTTACCATGCCGGCGGCGAGCTGCCATGCAGGCATAAGATTGGAATTGTAGGGAGCATGGTGAAGCACAGGGAATTTTTGCAGTGTCTTCCATGTGGAAAGATTACCGAAGCCGACAATTCCCAGAGGAATGTGACAAGCGAAGCGTATGAGAGCGGATGGCCAGCCACTCATTGTCACGGTCAAGCTGAGGGTCGTGGTTTGAACGAGAGAAAGGTTTCATGATGAACACTGTCCCGTATTAACAGGAATGATAGTTTGAGTAAATGGAGGAGACATTGATCTGCTGATCAGGCTGAGAGCAGCTCGATGGTGGTGGGTGGTGTGGTGTTTTGCGCACCAACCTACCCAGGCAAATGAACTACTTAGGTGGGCACGGTGGGGTGCCATCAGGCTGTTTCAAGATTCAAAACCCATGATAAGCTGTACATCTGTCGGTGTTGACCTGGGGTGCCTGGTCAGGCGTCGAGAGCTAAGATATGCATGGTACTGTAGGGTAGCTTCTGGCCCCTCCGCCCGCAGCAACTCGCCCCGCCAGAATGGTTCTAGGCAAGGCAGTCTTGGTCTTTGCCGGCTGACTCTACCGACAATTCATCGCATACCATTGATTAGTTTGGAAAAACACTACAGGCAGGCAAAAGCCAACGCACATGTGATGAGACTGACGTCAAGTGGTGGGTCTGCGGCTTTGTATGGGACAAGGTTGACTGTTGACTGACATGAGAAGGCGAATATCATTTGAATTAGATCTAACTATGTTTCTAGAAGGGTTATTCGCCCGGCTCGACCCCGTGAGAGTATGCAATGAAGATCATCTCGTGCTCGAGCAGAAGTCCATGATGACGTATGGTGGAACAAACCAAACTGCGCAGCCTTGTCACGTGCCGATAAGAAATTCTTATCGGAGAAAAAAAGTCCAGATTTTGTCGCAAACGCAGACAATCGATGACACTGACAACATCCTCAATTCACAATTCATCTCTTGCGCAAAACCTCTAACCGCCATCACTCACAATGTCCAAAAGACCCGCCAATGAGGACGAGTCCCTTGACCCGCTCAAGGCTGGTCAGCGACCAGACGCCGGGCTCAATGGAGAACCCACCCTCGACTTTGAAGATGAATTTGAAGATGAATACGAGTCTGAGGATGAGATCATGGAAGCCGGTGTCGATGGGAGGCCCGACGCTGAAAGAGAAGCCGAACAGTCAAGAGATGCCATGGACATCGACTCCAACAACAACAACGATCAGACCTTTATTCCTGGCCGTTCAATACTCCAGCCGGGCATGACGCTAAGCCCCGATCCTTCCACCTACGAAATGCTACACACCTTTTCTACCACTTGGCCCTGCCTGTCCTTTGATCTTGTTCGCGACAACCTCGGCGATGATCGGAAACAATATCCCAGAACACTGTATGCCGTCGCAGGAACTCAGGCTGAAACGACGAAGGCCAAAGAGAACGAATTGTACATCTTCCGACTTAGTAGTCTGGCGCGAATGGAACGAGGAGAGCAATCGGATTCCGACAGCGATAGTGACGATGATGACGAAGCCTCCGACCCTATATTGGAATCAAGGTCGATCCCACTTCCCAGTACCGCCAACAGAATCCGAGCATTCCAACCTCCTGCCCAATCCCCAGACCTCAGTCAAATCCCTTCGACACTGACCGCCACATGGCTCGAAAACGGCCAAGTCCTCATCCACGACGTCTCACCATACCTACAATCCCTCTCCACACCGGGCTACACCCTTCCACCCAATGCCTCGAGACCTCTTAGCACATTGCGGGTCCACAAGACCGAAGGCTATGCGCTTGATTGGGCACCCACATCTTCCCACCCCCAGGGCCGTCTCCTGACTGGCGACAACAGCGGAGCTATCTACAACACGCAGCGCACTGAAGGAGGCGGCTGGGTAACAGACAATCGGGCATTTATCGGCCACACGGACGCCGTGGAGGAATTGCAGTGGTCGCCCAACGAGAAGTTTGTCTTTTCATCGGCCAGCTCCGACGGCACAGTCAAGGTGTGGGATGCGCGCAGCAAAAGCCGCAAGCCGGCTGTCGATGTCAAGGTCAGCAACACGGACGTCAACGTCATGTCCTGGTCGCGACAGACCTTCCATCTACTCGCCACGGGCGCCGACGACGGGCAATGGGCCGTCTGGGATCTGCGACAGTGGAAGCCTTCATCCGCCGACAGCCCAGCGGTTAAACGCCCTACCCCGGTTGCCGACTTCAACTTCCACAAGAAGCCTATCACCTCGATTGAATGGCATCCCACAGACGACAGCGTTGTCGCCGTCGCCAGCGCCGATAACACCGCCACCCTGTGGGATCTTGCCGTCGAACTAGACGACGAGGAGTATGGCAAAGAAGCCGGCCTAGGTCTTGGTGAAGGTGCAGAAAAGGTACCTCCGCAGTTACTCTTCATCCACCATCTCGAGGACGGCAAGGAATTACACTGGCATCCCCAGATGCCTGGTACCGTCGTTGTCACTGGGGGTTCTGGCTTTGGCGTGTTCAAGACAATCAGTGTTTGAATGTTCACGAGTAGGCCAGACAGGCATGTTCGATCGTCATGCAATCCTACTTCTCAGCCACGTTTTCCTCTTTTCTTCTGTTTTCTGGCTGTGGTGATTGCCCAATGAATTCATGTCCTCCTAATGACAAGTTGCTACATTGGTTTGCTTGACCACCACTATATCGCTGCTACCCTTTTGTTCTATCCTCTTCGGTTCTGTGATGCGATTGTATCACGTTGAACACTTGATCGTCATCAGAATTGTCAAACATGGAACCCTAATGTTGTGCAAGTTTCAACAGTGACCCTGTTGCCAAACAATCGTCACGTTTCTCCTCTGTCCCGTGTCTTGCCGTGAACAACCTTGCCTCTTGCATTCACTACATCTGTCTCAATTATCGGTCGATCATCGGCTGCTTGACTTACTTCGATGACTCTTCTGTTCTTCCGTCACTCTCTGACCACGTGTTCGTGACTGGGACATATGTCTATATATTCCTCTGCATTTCCACCACAAACGAGCAACTGAGCCGACCAACTAACCTACAATCACAATTGCAATCATCTCTCAACCTGAGTTTGCTCTCAGTCGTGTTTCTTTCCCGCGTCTTTTCAAGGTCTTCTCATCGTTGAGATCACCCTACCGCCCCAACACATGTACGCATTCCCAAAATCATCTCCGCGACTGAATTCTCTAGAGTTGTCATGGGAGCGCGTACTAATCGTGTGACATGAATCAGTGACATGAATCAGCCCTAAGATGCGCACCTATCCCAGGGACAACGATCAAGAGAAGGCCATGGGCGTTGCCCCTGTCGATGGAACTGGTCCGGAAAATGGCCATCCAACATGTCACATCCAAGAACAACCCCAGAGACCAGTAGCCAACCAACATTTTGAAGACCTCAACTTCGGAAGCTCCGAAATAGATCTGTCTTTCTCCTTCTCTGAGAACAACGTTCCTGAAAATCAAGTTACTGTCTCGCCCATCCGAGCCCACAAAAATGAGATTACAATCGGTGACACGCTCGTCACACAAACTACCCCAAATGTATGCCAGTCTTCGACCACCACTCACCTGCAAGATCGAACCAAACTATCCCCTCCGCGCCCACGAAATCGCCTAGTCAAAAACAACAGTCGGAGGCACTCCCAGCCGACAGAAGTGGAGAGCAAACGGACAGAAAGGCCGCCCCTCCCACCACCACCTCTGTCTTATGCCGATCGATCAACCAGTCTCGTCCTTCCTGCCGATCACCATGTCACATTCACCGAGGACGCTGTCACTCGACCTCTGACCCGGCCACGCACGACATCCTACTCCAAAGAATGGAGACAGATCGTGAAACAAAACGAGACCTTGGCAGGAAGAGACGCTGAAGGTCGAATAACCTGGGGTTTTCGTGCTGATTCATACAAGGGGTCAGTCAACCCCACGGCTATTGAATATCAAGAGAGCTTAGATGAGCCCACAAGGTCATATGCCCCAAGCCGCACGATTCAGGAACCCAGAAATGGAACAGTCTTGGACCTGACGTCACCAGAGAAGAGCCGAAATTCTGCTTCCTGGTTGAAAAAGATCTTTTCAAAGAACAAAGAACCTTCCCATGCCGCAGATTCAAGCTGATGGAAAGGGTATCAAGTCTCGAAGGTCCCTCTGGCCACAGGGGACTATCCAGTGACGTGTGGATCGACATATTAGTCTTGCGCAGAGATCCAAATCACGGATCCAGCAGCCGGTGATTGAGACTCTAGAGAAGGATATGCAGGGAGTTTAGAGCGGATGTTCTCATCGAATCATGGGGCCAGAGACTTCCTTGATCAGCCTTATACCTAGCAGCTAGTGAGAGGAGGGCATGTGGAATGACAGGTCTTTGTGTTACTTTACGGAGTTTTATGTTTCACGAAACTCCCAGCATCATAAAATGATCTGCCTTCCTGTTAACTTCTGTAGGACCAGGATTCCAGTGTAGTGTAGTGTGACATTTACTACCTTATGTCTTGGGCCTTGAGAAACAACATTGTTTGCTAAGCAAGATATCGAATTTGTATTGTCAACGTCGACCAAGCTCACGGAGACAAGTTTTGACTTGGCCAGGTCAAGGGCGACCAGCCTGCGTCTGAGCTTGAAAGGATACTGAGAATATCTGAACCAGAGGAAAGACCACTAGAATTCTCAGGAGAATAGGACAGTCTCGCTTCCCACCACAGCCTCGCCCCCGGTTCTTCAAAAATGTAATCCCACCACAAGAATGAAGACATGATGGCTTTGAAGTCTTGCCAGTCAGGCTCCCTAGATGACTTGGACAGTTGGAACTGGAGATTGAGATATCGTGCGAGAGTTCGAGTATACCAAGCACTGTGTGGACTGAAGATCGACGCGAATCCTCCGAGCATCAATGCCCAAAGTAGCACATTGGAAACATTAGGTGAGAGTAATGTCGACTGTGCAAGATCAGTGGTGGTAGACACAGTTTCAAACCGTTTGATCGCGTCCTTCAGTTTGTCTGCAAGTCTAGGCTTAACTTTCGTAGCAGCGGGTAAGGGAAACAAAACCAGATCGCTATAAATGAGAGCTGCCCAGCGACATATATCTTGTAGATGTGATGTCGGGTCAGTATCCAAGAATCGAAGCTCTTCGATGCTCATTAGCCGGTGATGTACTTCATCAGCAGCAAATACCAGGTCTGCCAATCTAGGTGCATTTTCTTGGTGAGTTCGATGCTTTTCTAGAAGAATAGTGACCTCTGCTGCTGATCGAAGTGCAAGTGACAGGTCAGGGTCTATTGGTGTGAACTGGAAGCATTGGTCGAAGCCTGTCGAGCTTTTCAAGTTCTCGTGTTCACGGGTAAATAGCAGGGATTCATAAACCCATGGGAAAGAAGGAACCACACCAAACCGGGTGGCAAATTGTAAGTCAGCTCTGTTACTAGGAGTCAGCATTTGGCGACCGGTAATGGAAGCATCTATCATACTCACATTTGTAGGATAGATCTCATGCCATAAGTCTTGACGGTCTGGATACCTCCGCGCCTAGTGACCATGTCCACAAGAACATGGTGGGTTTCTGGAACAACATCTAGTTTCCCGTATATGTGCATGTTAGATGCAGTTGCTAGTGGGGACAGACGAAAGGTCTCAGGCATCTGTGAGGTGACAGGATTGGCAAGCATGCCGGCCATGACCATGGCCATCAACAGGGCATCGGAAGAGGCTCCTTTCAAGCTTTGAAGCTCTTTCTGAATCAGGAGCAATCCTTCACTTTGATGATTTAATATCGAGATCTCCATGTGTGTTGGCAGGGGGGTGGTATTGCCCGACGCTCGGACGATATTGGCTGCGCTGGCAACTTGAAGATGGTACATCAACGGCCATTCTAGCCCTAACCGTCTCCAAGACGTTGTGATCATGGCACGATGGGATGAAGTCGCCCCGAGAATGAGCGTCGGATGGACATGTTCATATGCTGGGATCGAATCATGTCAAATTGCGTACTTATGAGACACATTATTCCGGGAAACCAACCATATTCCATGCAGTCAATCAAATACTTAGGTAAAACTTCCATCTGATGTGAGCCAAAAGGGTCGCTCTTGTGTTGGGGTAATAGAGACCAGGGGCTCGGAGGAATCTTGCTTTGTGTAGTCAACAAGGTTGAAGAACTGATGACAGACTTGGTATTTGTGGTCTGGTTGACCCAAACGAGATCGCGATTTGGATTCTCATGTCTTGCCTGTCGTCGTTGTTTATGAGAGACCCTGGCAGCATGCGACCGAGCCTGTGAAAGGGAGTTTTCGCCGCGGTTTCGACCCTTACCACGAGGCTCTTTGAACGCCACAAAGTGGAAGGATGGTTCCGCAAGTGAGTCCATATTGAACGGAATTGCACGTTGAACACGACGTTATCATATGGCTTGAGATAACATACAAGGTATGAACGAAGCAACAATCGGTATCAGATGAATCTTGCCGCGTCGAGAGACGGTGAAACCACTCATTTTGTACCTACCATGCACTGTACCCGTAAGCGAAGGTTTAAAGCAGAATCGGGATACATTTCGCGACTCACGTAATCAATGTTGATTGGACATCTTGGCAGTGATTCAGATCCAGTGCGAGCGAGCCTTGGAGCATCGAAATTCAAGAAAAAGATTCAAAGAAGCGACTGGCAAGATCTACTAGGAGAGATCTCCGTGACCGATATCACGAAAGGCGAAGACAGATGGCCAGTCCTGAAATTAGCGGTGGTCATGCTATATCAACTTGAGGCTCCCAATCTCCACTCCCACTGGTCAGCGAGTAGAGAGTTGAGAAGTTGAAATGGCTACGCTTGGCAATCATTAGCTAGGTACCTAGTGATGGTGTTCTGGGTCCCAGTGATACGTTGTGCGGATGTCACTCCTAGCATAGCAGAAGAAACGTGCTTAGCTATTGACCTCTTTCAACTCATTAAACCATCACTCAGCGGACTGTCGCGAGGGAATTGAGACCTTTAAACGATTCAACTCGCTAACTTGAACTGAAATCTCGCGAGCAAGTCGGTTCGAGTGAAGGGCTCTGTGTTGGGTTCCTCATACATTGAAATTGAACAAGGCACAATCGGCAATATCGGAATTTCGAGAAGGCTCAATATGGGAGCATCATGGCATTCCCAATCTCAATCCTGTGTGGGCTGCGCTCCTGACGTACGACTTACAGCATACAGTCAGATTCACCAATCGCCACATATCAAAATGCTGCTTAAGGACCCCTCAAGTTAAAGCCCAGTCAAAGGAAAACAATTCCGTTTGTATTGTCTTTCTCCCCTTGGAAGTCAGGGAGGGTAGTGGTGCTTATTTGATGCAGACAGCCACGTGTGCCATCATTTTAATCCAGGCGACATTCTGCTCAACTACCAGCACATCGTCCGATGCTTGGATGGTGCACTCGAGCTCTGGTTCAAGACTCTTCACCTCGCCGTCTGTCCATCCCTGCATCTTCAACATCCCCTCCATCATGCCAATCAGCGACTGGCTGAGCCTGGTTACCGAATCTGCCGTGTACGAACTTTGCTGGTCGTGCACTTCCACGTTCTGGAAGCCAGCTCGCTCAAAGACAGCCTTGATATGTGCGGAATCGAGCCAAGCCAAATCAAAGGGAAGATACGGTGGGGGACGATCCGGTCGCACTTTGATGGCCGCCTGCTGTACTGCCTTCATGTACCCAAGGTCTTTCCACGAAGTGATGAATGCTCGACCTCCAGGCTTCAAGGTACGATACACGTGCTTAGCAGCCTTGTCGGCGTCTTTGAAAAACAAGAAGCCAAAATTTGTGAATGAATAGTCGAAGTTGTCAGAAGCAACGTCATCGAGGTTCTCTGCGGCTAGCGTGAGGGCGGTGATACTGTCGGCAGGTATGTGCCACTGCTCTTCCACCTTGCCCTTAACTAGCTCGATCATGGGGCTAGCCGCGTCGGTGGCGGTAAACTTCAGTGAATTTCTCACATGGGGATCTGGAACGGTCGCAAGAAGCTCATCGATGACCACGCCTGTGCCGCACGCGTTGTCCAGAATCTTCGCATCGGCACTGATGGGTGAAGCGAGTTGCACTAGGTGAGTGGCGATTTGCCGCGTTGCACCCCCTGTCCCTTTCTCATAGACTGAGGCGATGTTGGCAAAGTGCTCCTGAGCCGACATAACAAACAGCAGAATTAGGCTTGGGGACACGATTTGTATGAACTGTCGCAATCGCTACGACCCGTCAAGTTACTCGTAATCTGTTTTGCTGGGCCATCAAGATGGTCTTATCACGTTTGTGTTGATTCTCTGTCGATTTTGAGGACCTTAAGCCACTTTGCGGGGGAGGGGGGAAACCGTATAAACAGGCGGAGTTGACCAAGCTGCGAATCTACGCCGGAAAGTTTTCTCCGAACATGGAGGAGATTAGACGGATGAGCTTTGTGTTCCTACCTAATCATGGACCGCACTGAGAAAGTAGGATGAGCCACAACCGCCCTGATATGTCGCTGGCAAGGACTAAAGGAACACACATGCAGCGTCTGTCGGTTTCAGGCACTACAATCATCGCTCAAGTCGCTGGACAAGGAAGTCACGGCAGATTGTCTGCCCCAGGCCCAGGCCACTACGGCTATAACACAACTCATCACTATGGCACTGATTCGGGCAATACGGACTGGATTGTTATAGACGTTAAAAGCGGCGGCAGGCTAAGACCTCGACCATGCCAGAAGCGGGGTGCCGCCTAAAACCGCAGCCAAAAGCCCCGGCACGCGCCGCCGAAGGCTCGGGACGGCCCGCATCGGAATATCCCTGCATCATGGTTCATGCGTTTTCTGTTGGTCATTAGGATCCAAAACAATCACGCAGCCATTGAGCGGCAGGACGATGTGATGGCACTTTATACTTGGTACCATCCAGACCTATCATCTGCATTTGGACTTCTTCATAGCACTCAAACGAGTTTCATGTCTGACACTGGAAACATAATCGAGAACTCTCAGTTCTCCTGTCGCAATGACATTATGACCACATTTGTATCAATTCTTTACACCAGACGCCATCCTGATTCATTTCGGGGGGAACGGAATGCTTCATCATAGCCCTGGCTTGAGTGAATGGCTCAACTATTGAAAGCTCTGATAGTAGTTCAATCCATCAAGAATGCATCCTCTATTACTATCGATAGAATGTGCCTTCCATCGTCTCCTTCCCCCCTCCTACCTGCCGTTCGATCCACATTCACCAAGGTCGGCCGGTCCTTCCTCTGTCTCTGTGCCTTGACACTTGCTAGACATCCTTTCTTTTTACCCTTAACTTTCATCGCATCTGCTCTTTCGTGACAAACGTCTTGCATTCATTACCAGTCAATATGGCAAAACACGTTATTCTTATCGCTATGCTGGCATTCATTCTTGACTTATTGGCTGCTCTGCCGCTGACGATGAGTACTCGAGGTATGTTTGAGACTACGCTCAATCGCCTTTGGCTAACCGCCCTTGCCAGCTATATCCTCAGACCTGTTAACTAAATTATCCTTCTTCGGACAATATGCGGCGGCTGCGTATTGTCCCGCGAACAACAGTCCAGGATCCGATCCTCAGATCACATGTGATACTGACATCTGCCCTCTTGTTCAACAAGCTGAAGCTCAATCCATTGTCGAGTTTGAAAAGTACGGTCTTGTCAAGATTCAAAAGTCTTATTGTTGATGATTACAGCGTGGGCATCTCAGATGCAACGGGGTTTGTCTCTTTGGATCATATCAACAAGCTCATTGTCGTCTCCTTTCGCGGTTCGAGATCAGTCCGCAACTTTATCGGCAATCTCAACTTCGTCTTGGCCCCCTGGTCAATATGTACAGGCTGCACGGCTCATCTTGGCTTTCTCGATTCTTGGATGTCCGCCAGATCCGTTGTTCTGGACGCTGTCACCAGCGCCAAAGAATCCAACCCAGATTATCAAGTGGTTTCCACTGGACACTCCTTGGGTGGTGCACTTGCTACGCTTGCGGCCGCTGATCTAAGAGAGTCTGGGCATGATGTCGAGTTGGTATGTTGTTCCTGATAGGGTGTATAAATCTGCTCATATCGAACCCCAGTATACTTACGGTTCACCAATGGTCGGTAACAGTCTACTCGCGCTCTTCATTACAGGCCAGTCCTCGGCCAATTTTCGAGTTAGTCATCTACAAGACGTCGTGCCTAAATTACCAGGGTATGCCTTTGGGTACGCTCATATTTCCCCAGAGTACTGGATCACATCAGCAAGCAATGCACCCGTCACCGAGAATGACATACAGGTCTCGACCGGTGTCATCAACTTCAAAGGCAACAGCGGGACGCTTGGAAACAGCGTGGAAGATCATCTCTGGTATTTTGACTCTATTTCTGGTTGTGGAGGCGAAGGGCTAGAGATTCTCAAGGTGTAGAAAGAACGATGACTCTGGCGAAGAGACCAGCGATTGTTGTAGAGTGACGGATGGCTCTTTTGGCCCGTACATACCAAATCCACACATTGTATAATCATCTGTCCGTCAGACAGCCTCCGTGTACTTGTCCACGGACAGCGGAGGCGTAACTTTAAGGCGCGCCAGATCCCTTAAGCAGTGAAATGCGCTCTCATATGAGTCGACGCAGCCCAAGAAGCCATACTTTCTCGCTTTGCGAGTGCTCAATGACAAAGCCCATCCGCCAATCACCGCACTGTCTGTCATGCCGAATATTTGAGCCCTGTCTTTAAAAGGGTCGAGGAGAAGACCATGTTGTTTGGCAAGTTTGTTCCACGCTTCGACGACTTGAGGCGATTCGCTCCATTCTAGCAGCGAGAAAGTCGATCGCGTTTTGCCCGGAGGACCATACCTACTCAGGGAAAGTTATTCAGTACAGCTCGACTACAAAAAGGACGGTCAACTCACCCTCGAGGATTCTGATCGTGTCTCGAAACACTTTCCCGATATTTGCTCTCGTCCGTCTCAGGTGGTGCGAAAGTCGTGCCGTACCATTGTGCCAGGTATGGCCAAAACCTGCCCCACGTGAATGGTGTACCGTCCTGGGCGTTGAAGGCCTCATTGCCGGTGTTAGGGCTCAAAGCCGCCCACTCTTCCAGACACGCATTCAGAAGAGCTGTCGACTGGCAATACTCGCGGTCCCAAGCCACATAGTCTCCCGGAAATGGGATGGGCCGCCCAAGGTAGGCATTGACAGACGCAAACACGGCCATCCCCACCAAATAATTCAACAGGTTATCCCGCACCGCGCCAATGATGTACGATGGTCGCACCACGTTCCACTGGGACCCGTTACGCTTGCAATATTCGAACAGCATGTCCTCCTGCGGGTAGTAGAAATTGTTCTCCAGTGTGACGCGGGAGTCTGTCTCGAAAGACGGACTTGTCGCTGGACCCATGTGGAATCCATAATGTTTGGCACCTGTCTGCAGTAAAACTCGACGAGGTTTGAGCTTTGCCAGTTCTAGTGCTTCTAGGAAATTTCGAAGTAACGACGCTAGATGTGTCACGTCAGTGAGTAAGTCGTGGACGACCTTCTAGCATCATTGCCTTACAATTGACCTCGGCGAGAGCGTCCGCGTTGGACCACATCCCCAGGATATTTCCCTTCTGGCTTGGTTGCATATATGAGAAAAAGAAAGCGTAGTCTCTGGTAAGTGTTAGGTATTAGTAGTCTTAATCAGATCAAAACGCTGACATACACTTTTGGAATCTGTTTCAAGTCCTTGGCGATCTCTGACGGATCTGACAAGAAATCTGCACATACATGTTCGACACGGCTAGCACCATCGCCCAAGTCTGAGAAGAAATAGTCTGGAGGTGGGCGTCGAGACAAACAATAGATCTTAGCCCAGCGTTCAGGAGCCGCCGCGAGCACTTTCAACATGTGATATCCAGATATTCCATTGGCACCAGTGATGATGGCGGTGAGACCAGTGAATTCTGAAGTTTGTGGGAAAGTCGGTAGGCCATGGAAGATGCCTCTAGAGACGACTGTTTGCTTTGTCTCGGCCATTTTGAATTGCTAGTGGGCTGCAAGACTATGCGGACTAAGGGATGTTGTGAATATAGTGCCAGTGAAAAAGAATAACCCGGTTTTGGACGTGGAAGTACTCTCTGAATGAGTACTGACACGTTCGAATGGTCGACAAGTTCTCAACTCCCAACATCTTTTACCTCTCAGTCTGCCCAGCAGTCATCCCCTCGTCCTTTCCTCGGTAGTAAGGGATTGCCATGAGGTCTTCTCCGTGTTGGGGATTGCGGGGAAACGGTTACGATATAGTATTATAGTTTAGTCGCTCCTTTTGCTCCTTCGCTCCACAGGTAATGTGGCTCTAACAAGCTTGGAATACACATTGCCTCTTGGTGATCCGTGGGGTTGTCTCACAGAAGCCGGGCATTGCTACGTAGCAAAGGTGTCCTGCGGGGTCAAATGAATGAGTTTATCAAACGCACAAGACATCAAAGCTCGAGGTTGTACGGGGATTTGGTCGATCCACCAAATGGAAGGCTGAGGGCCCCCTCGGGCCCATATTAGTTCGCCAGAAAAGCCGTTGGTGAACCTCTCTCTTAAAACACATTCAATACTACCTATCGTTTCGTATTTGTGAAATATGAAAACCAGAGCACAGAGCCAAGTCCAGTTGTCTTTCATATGACAACATCGAAACCCATGCAGCCTGAATTCTCAGCATCCTTACCCCGCGCATCATCAGGCGGGGTCGGGCGGAATTCAAACGCATCTGTTGGTGGAGAGTCGTGCGAGTCCAAGCAGAAATCACTAATCTTAGACTATCATTGGCTATGCCAGAACTTGAACGATCACGTCTTGTGCGGCAGTTGAGAAGTAACTCCTCTCCTGTGTGCCCGGGATCCGCAATAGGAGCACCGGCTAGCCTATCGATTCACTGTAAAATCTCAGGCCCTCTTTTCGTTAGGCCAACTAGGCCTAAAGGATGTGTGTCTCGAATAAGCATGGGGTAGCTGTTCCACGTCAAGTTATCATCTTTCTTCTTAAACCATTGTTTATTTCAGACGAGAGGGTTGCTAGTAAGACACGCAGTCGAAACATTTTGTCAAAGTTCCATACATGGCGTCTTCCGCCGATGTCTCCACGTTGTTTGTAAATGCAGGTGTCCCAGCCTTCAAATGTCCTGCTGGGACAAAGATGCATTTCCTAGATCTGGGAGCTCTTGAAGCAGATGAGGGTTGGTATGAATCGTCTGATCCAGTTCTGTTATCTCGACACCGATCTTGATTGCTGCTGTTGAATGTAATTGTGGTTCATCGGAAACAGCCTGACATGATACTTCGATAGGCTTCTGCGAGGTAACAACACCAGCCTTCTAAGCAATAAAAACCCTCCGAATAAGCGCCGTGAGCTCATTATTCTGGCTTGTCTGATCGAGTTCCCGGGATTGGGCTTGATTCTTTTCGAAACGGGCTGTGCAGAGGACCTCGAAGTGGTAGGTGGACGTGTTATTATTTGCTTCGCCACCGGTCCTTTTCAAGGGTCTATGATCAGCTCGAGATGGTGTTCTTCACAGGTGTCATCTAACTGACGATCAAATACAAGGCTTGGCCTGCGCCTCTAACCGATGTATTTCCACGCACAGTATATTCAGAACAACAGAAACTTCCAGCCGCAATCAAAGCCACTGGAAATGACATCAAAGACGTCAAGGCAGTTATCATTGGACATCTACACTTAGACCACGCGGGAGGCCTGGAACATTTCATGGGCACCGATGTCCCAATTTATGTGCATGAGGAAGAATTCAAGCATGCGTGCTGGGCGGTAGGAACAGGAGCAGATCTCGGTGTCTACCTTCCCTCCTATATGAGTCTGGACAAGCTCAAGTGGAACACCTTCACTGAGGACCATCTAGATCTCTACCAGGGCATCACTTTACACCATAGTCCCGGCCATACCCCAGGTTTGGTCATTATGCAGGTCAACCTGGAACAATCTGGAACTTGGGTTTGGACAACAGACCAATTTCATATCGCGGAAAACTATGAATTGAGTCATCCCCATGGTTGGTTGGCTAGAGACCATAATGCTTGGATCAAGAGTCTCAAGATGATTCAGAGATTGCAGCGACTCTTCAATGCCAAGCTGGTCTTCGGACATGATAAGGAGGTTGCGGCCAAGTATATGGGAAAGAGCTATGAATGAAAACGAAATCTATTCCTACATGATCATGTCTCGCTGAATGCGACGTTTGTAACGGTTCTAGCCAAATAATTTGTATACCGAGGGCGCGTTGTCATCCTTGTTATCATCAAAGACATTGATCGGCATGCAAGATCATTGTAGATCGCTTATTTCAGACTTAATTGTCACAGTATCTAGTAGTCTATGGACTTCGCGCAACAGTCCTGAATCTAAGTCCATCTTGTATCCATCTTCTAAAGTATTCAGCGTGGTAGGCCCATCACAGGACATATCTGAATTGAGGATTCTATCGGTGTTTAAAGTCAGCATAATGTCTTCTAGCATATAAATATCAGGACTTAATGACGATGGGGCCATACCTTTCTATCTGTGAGGTCATCCTCGTAAGCGTGCTCATATGCTTCCAATACACCCGATCTGTCGCGCCGGTGGTTGTCCCATACGCAAACATAGCGGTAGACCACCATCAACAGCACGCCGACAATTCCGGTAATGACCACTGTAAGAAATCCAGATGCATATCTTGGTGCATCCTCGGGTTTGAAGAGTAGGGGTCCGAGAAAGTTTCCTGTGCCGAAGATATTAGGCAAAAGATTGTGTTCAAAAGAAGCAGCACGTACCTGCGCAATAGCCAATAAATATGCCAGCTGAGTTCACAGTTCGTTTAGTGTATCCTGCTGTGTTGGCTAAGGTCAAACCCATCAAAATGGGATATGCAGCCCCAAATCCACATAGGATGTAGCATGCGAAGAGGAGTGCACCAAGGCTCCCATCCCTGGGCAAGAGCCACAAGAGCAGTGCAGCGACAATTGTCGTCATTTCCGTTCCAATAACCAGCCATGATCTGATATTTTTGTATTTGTAAGCAGCATATGACACGGCTAATTGCATAGTGCCAGCTACTGCTCCCATTGGCGTGGTCAAAAGCAGCGACCTGAAGACATCGTATCCAAACTGCGAGATGATGATAGGCACGAACGACGAGGCCGGTCCGTTTGCAATCAATATAAGGAACGAGATGCTGAAAGCCAGCCAGAATTTGATATCTAGAAGACATTCAATAGCCTGAGACGCCTTGAAATGAGTGTTTCGAACACCCGAGTTGTTCTGCTGAAGGCGGGCCACTGCGATATAGCGCTGGCGTTCAGTGAACCCCTTAGCGCGAATTGGATCCGGCGGGAGGAAGAAATAAATCACAAGAGACCATACAATCGTGAGACATCCAGCGAAGATATACATGTATCGCCAAGGAGACCAGCGGCCGGTGATATGGCCGAGGCCATAGTTGATGAGCGGGGCGAATATGATGGCGTACCCTGTGCAGCAATACCAGATTCTGTTGTCAAACATGATTAGAAATCGACATTGTCCTCACAGCAGGTGGAAAGTACCCACCCGATTCGGAACGCTTGCTCATTCTTTCTATAGAATTGTCCCACAATCATCATAAACATCGGACTCACTCCTGCTTCGAAGAAGCCAAGAAAGAATCTTTGTGCATAGAGCGCTTGGAAGTTGTGACATGCGGCAGTAAGGGCTAAGCAAAGTCCCCATACGGCTACTATAGCGGTAGCAACTTTCTCGATGGCATAGTGCTGCATCAGCCACATGGCAGGGTATCTAGGCAAAGATGTCAGTGGATTCTGCAATCCTTGCGCAGGGTCGTGACTCACGATCCTCCAATGAAGCCCAAATAAAAAATTGATGCGGACATTGAATATCTGTCCCCGGTCAGATCGAGGTCGGTGCGGAGTCCGAATATAGCCTGAATATATGGTAAGCACGACAGGTATCTTGCGACGAGAGGTACAACAGCATACAGCCTGAGAGAGCATTGACTTGTCGTAATATCTGCCATCGTTGTTAGAAGTGGAGGTTCTGTAATTGGATATCTCAAACAATGTGTTCCAATCATCGCAGGATTCGACTTTTGGGAGAAGGCGACATACTGAAGGCCATATGTGACGCAGAGAATCCAGAGAAGTCTCTTGTCGATCTTCCTTCGTACGACTTTCTCCTCCTCTTCTGTCCAATCTTGAGGTCCGCTATAGGAAGCGAGGACTTTCATAGCCTCATCATTGTGAACAGTGTCGACGGCGGCTTCAATCTTAGCAGTATCGGTATCGTCAACATGTTCGGCGTCACGATGACTAGCAATAGCTTCTTGAGCCTTCGAAGGGTCTGCCATGGTTATTGCAATAGTCGCACTATTTCTCGCGAATAGGTAGATTCTTGGCACCGTTGGTACCAGTAAGGAAAGGCGAATTGCGCAAGAGACGCCATGGAGCATCCATGTGAATTTTATTTGCATTTATAGTCTCCTATGTTGCCAAATGGGTGGCGTGCTGTCGATTGCTGAATAGAGACATTTTTACACCTTACCACCGACGCCGAGCGGGCCGCTCGGTTTTCGGTCTGTAAATGATGGTTTAATTCTGGGGAACCCGCAAGTTGAACCAATTGTGGCACACCCCACACATATGTGGGTCTTTGTAGTATGACTAGTCTCTTGATCCGGGGCACTCTGTCAGAGTTGGTCGACGGCAGCATGAGCCTGCTCAGTCGAAAAAGGATTGCCTGTCACACTTTGGCCCGCAGTCGGCTAGATGAACTTTAACGAAATGACCGGCGGCATTTGCCTCATATCGTCGGCTAAAGCCATGGAAGCTCGATCTTCCGGCTGAGAATGCTCTTTTGTGCAGAAGGGATGCCTTTCTCATCAATGAACGGTCAAATCTATATCTTGGCGGCTTTGCCATACCGACCGGGCCGCCAGTGGCCGAGCTGTGTTCAAACTTATATCTCGCTGGCTGCTCTGTTGGGAATGTGGTTTGCTCAGTGCAGTCAATACACCATCGACAGTATACTGCAATTGCACTTGGTCTTAAGTTCAAGAGTATTGCGCTCATGAAACTAGCTCTGGACGCAGGTGCTGAAGACCAAGCGATCGGGGTTGCTGTCTGCTTCGAATTCTTTAGGACAAGGGAAGATGAGATTAGAAGTACTAGTCCATCGTTCACTTCAACCTTCTTAGGCCTTCGCTATCGGCAATAACGGCGAAAGACTCGAATCAATAAGGCGCCAGAAGAAAGCCTCGGTAGGTTGGAGCTTCCCAACAAAATTGAATCTCTGGCACTCTGATCCTGCATTATACGGCACAGTGTCTTTGTGCTTTATGAAGTCCAAGTAGGACTCATCTGGATTCTCCGCTGTTGGCTGAAACACATCCTCCGTCGAGCTCAGAGAATCATCAGACTCTGAGACCGACTCTGGTAAGTCCATATTAACATCGCTCGTTATTGTAGGCGTCTCGGACGGATCGTCAAAGGCAAGTTCGGACAAAAGACTGGTCTCTGCGCTTGTCAGGTTAAACCACGATAGCACCGTGACGTTGTTAAGGAAAGCGTCTGGCAATTGTGACACAGCGAGCTCATTTGCATGAGCGTTCGGAAGTGACATAGCCTCAATTCCAGTGCCACGAGCTGGAAAGTGCAAGTCGCGTGGAGATATTTTGTTGGATTGCAAAGCCCTTCTTATTGCAGAATCAATGGCAGAAGACACGAATGCCGCAGAAGCGTAGAGGTCTCCTGCGACTCGGAGGACTTGGGTTCCGCGATGCACATTCCGCAGCAATGTTTCCGGTGCGTAATTGCGACGGACCTCGATTTCAAGGGCATGACATTGCATTGCGGCGAAGAGTCCTGAGATGGCTGCTAGAGGGACCAATTTGACGAAGCCACGGGCATCTATATCCCGAAACATGGTAGATAGTTCGATCGCGGACTCGTGCAATCTTGCTCGAGTGGTGACTTTCAAATGCTGAGGAAGAGAGAATCTATCATAGTGGCAAGCCCGGAAGAGGGAGCAGTGAAGCTTGGTCACCGTGCTGCAGTAGACAGATTTAAGGAATGCACGATGGAGTGTAATCAACTGAAAACTGGTCGTCGGCGAGTCTTCAGGATTTGTCGCGGTAAAATGTAGATCCGCAGGCAATGAATTGTGCCATTCCTTAAGATCGTCATCACAACGCATATGTTGAGAGAAGTCAATTAGTTCGTATCGATGCGCCCGGAAGTCTTCTGAGTTGTCCAAAGCCTTTCGAATCCCTAGCGTGCGGCCGATAATCTTGCACAGTCCAAGGTATTGAATAAACATGTTGGCTGGAAGTGTTTGCTTGCTTGGATCCAGGTACGGGATTTGCATGCCGCATGATCGAGAAATACGGCGCACAACGTCATATTCTTCCATGTCGTGTACCTGGAGGGACGGTGCATCAAAGTCGTCGTCCCTGAATTGGGGACTGCGATGAAAGCCCATGCAAAATAGTCGATCACGGCTATAGCATGACCACCAGATTCGCTTCAGGCGGCTTTTCTCTCGCGGTTGAAGGCCAGAGTAAGTCTCTGCTTTGTGAAGGCCGCCGCTTCTGGCCAAGGTGATGGCAATACCAAGCCAATGTTCGACATCCTTTGGTTCATTGGGTGTTTCGTAGAAGTAGCTCATTAATAAGGACGCTTGGATCATGACTATTCGATCGGTCTCAACGTCTAAGTCATGTAATGCTTTAACGCGTCGGAAGAAGACCTTCCGCGCCTCTGGTGTGTTTTTGAAATTATAATTCTGCATGATTCTGTCGTCTATGAATGCCAGAGCGACAAACATCACGGCTTGGAAGAGGAGGAGAGATATCTTGCCGCTCGATCCATGGGATTGGATTGAGGAAAGAAAGTGTTGCAGGTCCACACATGGTAGATAGGGGTGGACGAATTGAATGTATGCTTGGACTGCCAGTAGACATAAACTGGAATCCGGAATGTCTAAAGCGCCAACCGCCTTCAAATAGTTGAGATCTTCCATTGGGATGTCCTTGTCGACCTCCGCAATGTATGGAGGCAGCCTGCTCTTGTCAGACTCGTGATCAGCAAACACTGAATTTGGCAGTGCTGCCACTTTGACTTGTTTGACTTGATCTTCCTTGTTCGCGCTGCATGTTGCAGGGAGGGACAGCTTCAAGGTCGCTGAAGAATCCGGATAGTACCGTCGCTGGCGCTTCTTCCTTCCTTGGACGATGGCACATTCAAGGCCGCTTAATCTACAATTTGTACACGGATCGTTGAGCCCTAAGCTGTCGCACTTTTTCTTTTTTGCTCGACAGGGCAGGCAAGCCAATGGGCACCTTGGCTGGTTAGCCATGATGAGGATGGGCAGAATCAATTGATAGACATGTTCTAGGAGTATACAGAATTATATGTGGGAGGGTCGTACAAGACGGGAGAAAGAAAGAAAAGAGATCATTGTGCTTGTCCTTATGCTTGGCAAAAGCCCCGGAGATGTTCGCATGAATCTGTACAGGTCTCGAACATCAGAAGTCAATGCCGGAGCAGTCGAATTTCGAGTAGCCATGGGGCCGAGGGGGCCTCATCTGGGGTTATGGGGTGCAAAAGCCCCACTAAATAGCTGGTGCCTGGTATTTGTATAGCCAGGTGCCGATTGTATAGCCGGTGGCGTGAGTTGTATCTCAGCCAAGCAGGTTATGACTCGAAAAACCCATGTTGAAGAAAGGACAGGGTCTTTAATCTTAGGAACAAGCACACCCTTGATAGCAATTCTGAAGTTTTCATAGGCCGAGGGGACCTTTATACGGCGTAATAAATGCTCGAATGATGAGGCTGTCTTTTGCCGAGGGACGAGGCTGTAACTCAGCCTTGCGACAAGATATTTCCGACACGTGACCACGAATTCATGCATCAATCTCGTGATATTTTGTCTTGCTTCTGGAACATCTCCGTTTCTTCTCAGACGTGGCTCTGATTTCATATCTAAAATTCGACGACCCATTGCGGACCGTCAAAGTGATTTGTTGCAACAAATCACTTTGCCCAAGAGGAAATGAACAATGTTTCAACGGTAGCCCTGCGCACAGCAAGCCATTGCTTGCCTTTTCCACCATGTCTGGCACCCCTCCAAGCCAGTAATCCCTTCACTACAGCTGCGCCTCGTCCCTTTTCTCTTTTCTGCCGACTGATAGAGCCAAAACTTCGGTCGCAAAGACGGACATTCTGCAAATCAACGCAGTCATGCTTCCACCAATCTCCCCTTCGTTCGATCCTCAGACCATATGAATCGGACGGCAAACCAGAAAAAGGATTGAAATTTGAAGATAAGGACCTGGGCTCGGTTCAGCTGAGACTCGTGTTCGGGCGCAATGCTCCACCCCCGAACTACGCCAATCGTCTCCTACGTCTGTTGAATGCTCGACGTGTCGACGGGACACTGGACGTACCACTTCCCAGCGAAGTCGAGGCAGAGCTGGACAAGTATCCCAATGCGGTCGCCAAAGGTCTGGCATATCTACGAAAGGTATATCCGGTCGACGAAGATGCGGCTATAATGGCGAGGATTGAACGCGAGGACGATCGAGTGGTCAAAGACAATCCTTCAGAACTGGTGCAGCGTGGACAAGATATCGGACTTTACAAGGGCCCCCAGAGTGGGTACTATCAAGCGGAACTGAGCGAAAAAGAGGGAGATGTCTATGGGCGCAGTGAGCTGGACCGGATGAGAGCAGAGTACATTGAGCAGGCGGAGCGAGAAGAGGAGGAATTGCAGGCTAAGATTGAAGCCAAACAAGCCCAGGCACAAGAACAACAACAGATGACGGCTTTGGCACAACGGCCTGAACAAGGCGTCGAAACAGCCAAGGAAATACGACCGCCCAATTCGTTTGAGAAATGGGTCATGAAAGCTGAGAACCGTGCCACATCTAAGCTGAGTGAGGACTCGCCGGAAATTGCCAGTCGCACTCTCCTGAACCGACTGTTGCCGTCGTTTTTGTTCTTGTCGCTGGTGGTAGCCGGCTGCTATCTCATGTCGGAGTACTGGGTGCGTCCCAAACAAGCGGACCGTCTCTGGCCGAATCTGTCATTGGCTTGGGCGACCGTAGCCGGACTGATTGCTGCCAACACAGCTGTTTACGTGGCTTGGAGAATTCCTGGTGCTTGGAAGTGGCTCAACAAGTATTTTCTCACAGTCACAGCGACGCCCAGTCCGCTCAGCATGATTGGAGCAACATTCAGTCACCAAGAGTTTGGCCATCTCGCTCGTAACATGTTTGGCATTGTTATGTTTGGAATTCCTCTACACGAGCAGATTGGTCGGGGGGACTTCCTGGCTGTCTATTTCGCCTCCGGGGCTATAGCGGCATTTGCAGGGCTTGCGTGGCATGCATCTCGGCGCGTGTTTACTGCCACGGCTTTGGGAGCTAGCGGTGCATGGTTCGGGATTGCCGCGGCTTACCTGACGCTGCATTTAGAGTGAGTTATCATCAAGTTTAGCACTGAGGAGTGTTGGATCTGAGCTGACATGATTGCTAGTGATCACTTTTCCATCATCTTCCTTCCTAAGGAATTGGCCGAGTACATCAACGTGAGTGGAATGGTTCTGCTAGGAGGATTGGCTGTCTTCCAGGTGGCTGGACTGGTGAGAGCCAAAGCTGGAGTTGCGTGGGTGGACCACTTGGGTGGAATGGTGGTAGGAGTTGCCAGCGCCTGGTGGATCCAACACAAGCAGGACAAGAACAAGGCTGGTGTGAGAAAGTCGTATCCGCCTGGAGTGGTGATGAATCCCAAGTGATGATGATAAGGTATGGAGATGGGGAGGTATAGAACGGCCCCTGATATTCTGTACCAATGTATAACATAATAAATATTAGAACAAGATCTCGCCACAACATACATGAACAAGCTGTCCATGTTTTTAGAGCCTTTCACAAGTTTATATGTCGTGGAATATTGATCAATGGCGACAATAGAACTCGGTCGTCGTTTATCAAAGTCACGTTCTCTCGGCCCCGCAGACGTCACTTTGATTTGTTCATTTTTCCACCACGACTTTTTCCCTTCTTACAAACCCAACACGAGCAAATCAACCACTGTGAACGCCATGATACGACTCTAGACCATCCGACGCAACGAATCTGGTGATGATACTCATCTACACAGCTCCGCTTTTGCTCCCCATGTCCACATCTGCACCAACGCCGAACCCTACCAAATAAAACAACCACCCTCCTCTACCATACCTCGACCTCCCCTCTGACAATCTTCCACCATGTCTACCGAATCTTCTTACCCTCCCTTGCACCATGTTCAGACCCTGAGCCCCCCTACTGCTGGTCCAACCCGCTCCTGGCAATCCAGGCCCCACCCAGACCCCTCCACTCCTCTGCTCGCAACCGCTTCCGCAGATAAGACTGTCCATGTCTGGAGCTTGCGCGACTTTTCTCTCGTGTCGACCATCAGTGGAGGCCACAAACGCAGCGTGAGGGCTGTCGACTGGAAGGATTTTGGCACAAGGAGGAGGACCAGACACAAAACTGGAGAGCAGAAACCCGTCGTTCTCGCAACTGGTAGCTTTGATGCGAACGTTGGTATCTGGATCTGGAATGATGACCGGCGTGCGGCCCGCTTCAAGAATCCTCTTGACGATGGGAACACGGGCCAAAGAACGACTGAAGCTGGCGATAGCGCCATGACTGATACCGACCATACAATCGACCACACACATCCTACCTCAAATAACCCAGAAGCAAACGATGACGACCAAGACGAAGAAGACGAAGAGTGGCACTTTTCCACTTTACTGACAGGACCTGACTCGGAAATCAAATCCATCGCCTTCTCTCCGCCTCATTATCCTACGAATCTACTCGCGACTAGTTCCCGTGATAAATCTGTTTGGATCTGGGAGGAGGTTGAACCAGAGGAATGGGAGACCATCGCTGTGCTTAGTGAGCATACAGGAGATGTCAAGTCTGTCAGCTGGTGCGAGGGGGCAGTCAAGAGGAGATCTCGAGCGGCTAAGGGGGCCAACAACAGTACCAACGGTGTTCATGGGTCCGGAGATGTCGAAATGGGTGAGGACTCGTCACATGGAGCTATCCCTCAAACAAGTACTCAGAGCTATGAGGAGGAAGAACAGGAAGACACTATCATTGGGTCACGCGAAATCCTGGCAAGTGGGTCCTACGACGACACGATCCGACTATGGCGGGACGTGGAAGAAGAAGGCGACTGGATCTGCGTGGCTGTGATTGACTCACACAAGGGCACTGTGTGGGACGTCAAATGGGAACCATACATCAACTACACAGCACTCAACCTAACTGATAACAATGCCACAACATCCTCCGACCCCAACAGCACCATCATTTCTGCCTTTGAAGCCGACTGGGAACCACGTATCTTGTCATGCAGCGATGACTTGACGATACGCGTGTTTAGACGGGAACTCAGCGCCAACGAAAAGGCCAAGAAACGAGATCAGCAACAACAGACCATGAGTACCAGCGGCGCCCCGTTGGGCTTCGCCAGCTCCCGGCTCCCCAGCGTCATCCGCCCGCCCAGCAGTTTGGAAACATGGAAACAGGAATCCGTCCTCCCCGAAGTCCACGTCCGCAGCATCTACTCCATCGACTGGTCACGTACTACAGGCTTGGTAGTCTCGTGCGGTGGCGACGGTGCTATTGTCGTGTATAAGGAGGTACCCACCCCGGACAACGAGAGTAATGCCGTTACCGTCGCTGCTGCAGATGTCGATATGAATGGAACCACGCCTCAGCCGCAAGCCGCGATTGATGCAGCTGCAGGAAACGGTAGTGACGAAATCTCTTTCCCGTATAAACTGCGCAAGATGCAATGGGTTGTGGTCGCAATGATTGAAGCCGCGCATGATGAATATGAAGTCAATCATGTCTGTTGGGCTGACAGGAGGGATAAAGACCGTCGGTTCGATGGCGAACAAGTGATCATTTCGACTGGTGATGAGGGCCATGTCAGGATTTGGGCTTTGCCAGAACATTTATTATCGGAAAATTAGTGCAGGAGAGACTTACGATCCCACCAGGACTTGGTGATGAGGAAGATAAGATGATAGAATACAGTAGAGATGAGAATGGACACGGTGAAGATGAAGATGGTATCTGGAGAGATGACATGTGATCTGGAAATATGTCCTGTAAATATGTTCGTGTTACGTCCGGCAAGACAATTTACTTATGTCCGCACTCATGCGACCATTTCCCTCACGTCCGATCCATATACGCATCTTTGCGAGATTGTTTAGCCGCTTTGCGAGCTTGGTTCATGCTACCGCCGAGCAAGTTCAAGTGCTCGGTGCGTTCAGCCAGAGCCGTATCAGTGACATTGTCGAGGATGAAATGTCCCATATCGCCATTCCTCCACTTTTGGACAAATTGAAGCGCCGAGGCCGTAAAGTCAGGAGTCCCTCCTTTCTTGAGACGACCTTGTTTTCGCGCGAGTTTGTCCAAGACCACAAAGACATCGTTCGTGGGTTCGCAAAACTGGGAATAAAGACCCGGGTCCTGCAGATTGAGGTGATACAGTAGATAATCGGCGATCGTCGTCGGTGGAATAATAGTATCCTTGACGTTTCCGCAAAGTGCCAGTTTCAGCATACTTTCAGCATCTGGCACATACGGCACAAACACTCCGGGTGTGTCCAGGATATAGACTCCTTCGCGACCATCTTCGCCATCGATGATTTTCACTCCCGTGCCAACTTTACGTGTCACGCCGGGCTGGTCGCCTGTTCTCGCGGCTTTTCGTTTTCCGAGGCCGACATTGCGCAATGCGTTGAGGAGAGATGATTTGCCAACATTGGGCATTCCAACCACCATTAGCCGTGTGCCGAACAAGGAGGTAGATGCCTGCGAGTGTGTTCGAGCAAATTCGAGGACTTTGGAGATGGTGTTTCGAGATTTGATGTCCGTGAACAGAGATTTGGAAGGCGAGTCCCATTGGCGGATGATATCTTCTCGCTAGGTAAAGATTAATTGTTAGCGAGATGTCTGAGATCTGCAAAGTTTGTCTCTATCGTACCTCGCGGTCCTTGCTCGAGTATGTGCTCCCAAGATCCTGCTTGGTGTAGACGATCAGTCGAGGACGTTCGCCCAGGTTGGCCTCGAACAGTGGATTGCGTGACACGATGGGCGTTCGATAATCTCGACATTCAATCACCAGATCGATGGTGGCAACCATCGACTTCATCTTGGATAGACCGGCCGCATGGTGTCCGAGGTAGTAGGATCGTGGAACCGCTGACAGGTGAGGGTATACCTGTCGCGGGACAAAGGCCGTCATGGTGGTGATGGTTCGGGGTGAGATTGGCCAACAGCAGCACGTCGGCGCATTGTTGCGGTACCACCGTCGTGTATGATCTATACAGCCGGATAAGTGGTACTTGGAGTGAGTGGTCAACGAAGTGTTGACTGAGTTTCCAGAGTCGACGGATGGGAAAAAAGTTGATATCCAGATTTGATCGAGTCTGTCGCCGCTTTGTGAATTGCGGTGAGCTAGTGCATAAACCACATGTCACGTGAATAACTAGCGTAGTTGTTCACTAAGTGACCCGGCGCATGTCTTCTTCTTCAGCGACGATGAAGGAGAGGCCGATCAGGCTGTCGACAGGTCTCTGGACAAGGAGACTAGAACAAGAATCAGCAACTTCGCTTGTCTAATATTGTACAGCCTAAGCCCTTTCCAATGCCCTGCGCTGTCTTCGCCCGAGCCTATTCATTTATCGCCGAGGGGCTAGCTCATCAAGGCGTAGTCCGTAAAGACTGAACCTTGTCCACTCTCCTGGTTCTCGGTCTCGGGTTTTACTTCGTATATGAACTTCGTGTGACCGAACAACCCCTACCACCACCTCTAGCAAACATGAAGGTCACCAACAATGCGAGGATGTCTCTTCTCATCCTCGACATTTTTCCTACTAGGCGTGGCATCATCTCATCCAAGGCAATGAGATGGCCAGTTCACGAAAATACATTGTCGTCATAGGTGGTTCTTATGGAGGTGTCTCAGTGGCACACTATCTTCTCAAACATGCCCTTCCCCAATTAACGACTACCGAATCATATCAGCTTGTGATGGTCAGCACCGCGTCGAAAATCCTGTGCCGCCCTGCCTGTCCACGTGCACTTATATCAGATGCCATGTTTGATCAAGATAAACTGTTCGTTGACATTGTTGAGGTATTCAAACAATATCCCAACAACAGCTTTCGCTTCGTTCAAGGCACTGCCACCAAACTCGACCATACTGAAAGAAGGTTACTTATCCAACTTGCCGATGGAGTCGAGGAGTCGATCGACTTTCACGCCTTGGTAATCGCAACGGGTGCTTCGACGCCTTCCCCTTTGCTCGGCCTGCATGGTAGTGAGGACTCCCTCAAGGCTTCATGGCGCACATTTCGACAGGCGTTGCCAAATGCAAGATCCATCGTTGTTGGAGGAGGGGGTCCAGCTGGCGTAGAGACAGCAGGGGAACTAGGAGAGTTCCTCAATGGTCGGGCTGGTTGGTTCAGCTCGGCGCTCATCAATCCCAAAGTCACAATCACTCTCATCACGGCGGGCCCGAGGATTCTACCTATTCTTCGGGCTGATCTTGCGGGCAAAGCTGAAAAGTATCTCTCCAAGGTCGGCGTGACCGTCGTCAAAAAGACTCGGATCGAGAGCATTTCGCCCATGGGAGCGGGTACAGATAATATCTCCTCGAATGCAGAATTGACCTTGCAAGGAGGGGGGACTATCAAAGCTGACCTCTACGTTCCCGCAACGGGGACCAGGCCCAACACAAGCTTCATCGACAGGAGCCTCCTTGCTGCAGACGGTCGAGTGGTTACCAATGCCTCGACGTTGCGGGTGGATCAAGCGGGGGAGCGTATCTATGCGATTGGTGATGCAGGGTCTTACTCTCGGCCAGCCGTCCATATGATTCTGGATGCAGTTCCCGTTCTGTGTGCCAACATCAAGGCAGATTTGCTACGGGCGTCATCCGAAACTGGAAATACGGCGGTTAATATCCAGGATCGCACATTCAAGGAAGACACCCGCGAGTCGCAATTAGTGCCAATCGGAAAGTCCAAGGGCGTTGGGGCTATGATGGGTTATCGGCTCCCAAGCTTCCTGGTTTGGTTAGTTAAAGGGCGAGACTATTGGCTGTGGACAACCTCGAGGCTATGGAGTGGGAAACAATGGTCATCAGAGTCTTGACGGCTTTGGGTTTGGCTGACGGGTATACCTTCTCCAGGAGCCAGCCAACGAAGCGAAGGCATTTGCCCAGGATGGGCAACCATAAGGATGCTCAAGGAGGTATTGTTCAGATGGTTAATTTGTGTTCTTTTCATGGTTGTTGCTATTCTCTAGTTAATCTTCAAATTTGCCTAGGGAACATACGTATTTCCGTTTTGCATGGTACAGAACATTTCAACACAGCCTCGCTGTCTTACGGTGGTGTTTCGAGAGAAATCAGCCTTTCTGGCTTTGGCCATTCATTTGTTCACGTTCAGTATTATCTGACCTCCACTTTGGGATTCTCTTTCACTTGAAATTTATTGTATGTGGCTAGGCATTTGAACCTTTGACGCTGCGGTTCGTGGAGCCCTGCGGATGAATGTCTGGTTTCTCGTTTCTCCTTGACATATCCGTTGCGTCATGTTGCAACACAGTTTTGATCTGGACAAGGACCAACTCTTTCAAGGAGGTTGAACATCCTGTCACGGGGAGAATTACCAGTCTCTGTACATGTGGCAGACTCGGGTGCCACCTTTTCGAAAGAGTCGCAAGGCAGGGCGGAAATTTTGTAGGTGAAACCGTCAGAATCAGATCAATCACCGTCTGCGGGAGTGAGGTTGCAGTTGCAATTCTGTCTCTGTGTTGTCTGACTTTGTCACTCACAAGACCAGTGCGTTGTCAAAGTAAAAGGATTCAATCATTGCAAACCCATTCATTCTGAGATCATTGGAAGTTCGATGGCAGTTGGACAAGGTCGTCGATGCAAAGTCCAGGGGCAGCCGATGAGTTTATACATTACCACCTACGGGTCAGATCAGCACCATCTGAGCCATATCTGTACAGGGTTACTGATGGAATTAATCGCAGGAAAGGAAAATGCGGGGATTAGAAAAAGGGCGAAAGGATCATCAAGCCCAGGAATCCACTCTTGCGTCTGTCGACATGGCTAATAAGAACTACCGCTTCTCGACAAGGCATTGCGCAAAACTGTGGCACAGGCACCACGTTGGCATTAATCCACCCTATGTGTCATTATCCGTTATTGTAGACGATCTTCATGATTACATTCCCGGGTCGGTACGTCGTGGTTGCCCACCTGCAACCTGCCTTCACTCGGTTAACCGTGTCACCACGGAGAATTGCGCCCAGGTTATGAAGAGAGAATCGATCATCCGAGTCTGACAAGTGTGACCAGAAACGACCTCTCCTTATATCCAGTCTTGTCCTCACTTCTCTCTGAACACATAGTCTTCGAATGAGTGCTTGATCCCCCTCCCTGAAGCAGTAGCAAGTAAGAAGTATTGCCGTGCCGTGCCATACTGTAGAATTCAGTTGATGTTGTTCCAAGGATTCTGGAAAGATTTACCTTTTTGGGATATGAGGTCAGGCCAGCGAATCATAAGCATTTAATACATCTACCAATCAAGCTTCGCAAACTATGGCCCCACCTTTATCTCTTTCCTTTAACCATTTTTGGAGACGCTGTCCCGACTACACGAAGAAGAATGGCCAATCGGTCGATACTGCCGGGCTCCTGATGGACGCTACTGTATCTTGACAAGCTGAGAGATACCGTCACCATCCCTCCCTCAATTCGTCTTCCTCATCTCTGATAGTCTCTCTGCCGTTACCGTTAGTTCGAACTTGGAACCCAGCACGAAGAGACGGGACTACCCCATGCTTCTCGGCCTTCTGGATTTGTTTTCCAATGCTTGGTTTATCGGCTCAATTCGTACATCTTGTGTCACCATTTACCAGCTGCTTCCCTGACCCTCGACCCTCGACCATTGCCCATCCCACGATCCATCTTGGTCGTCCGCCACTCCGATTGATACCTAGTACCACCTGTCTCGGCTACCCAGTAAATTTGACCCTAAACCCAACTGGAACCCCTCTTTCTTCTCCTCAGGCCAACGAATTGTGGGCACCTTGCTTGTCCAACGAACCCTACACACGCTTTGGGGACTTCGCATCTCTCGTGGGTTGTTCCCTAGCTCGCGGTGCGATGCTTTTTATCAATCCGAGATACAGTACATATTCTTGTGACGTTCCCACGGTCTCTGTTGGGCCCCAGTAACCCTAATTTGGGCCGTTACTCCCAGCTTTGATCTTTGTGGCCTGATCGACCTTTGTGTATCGTTGTCACTGTTATCTCACTTCCTCTGGCTATCTTCACGTCGCAGAGCATATATAATCGCCTGTGTCATCCATTATAAGGGTGACTCGCGAGACCCCGACTCATTGATACTGATCTGACGTGCGTGGGTGTGCAAGCCTGCCGTGTCATTCAGGCTTCAGTCGCGTTTGAATCAAAGTACAAACAAGGTCTTGGTCCTTTAAAACCTTTCTCGGTTCCTTGGTCTTTCTATATATCTTTCTTCAACTCAAACAACTCGCCCAGCATGTCTCTGATCGATGAGAGGCTGATTCTATATGTGGCACTCGCCCTATGCGCTACCGCCATTACATACTTGAGCCTTGGCCAGAAGCACAGAGACTTGGTCTTCTCAAGACTGAACATACGAGGTCGAAGAGCGTCCACTGCAACTACTCCTCCTCGATCCTTGTCTCCGGAGAAGAAAGAGCCCCGCAATTCACCTCTATCGTCCGCTGAATATGCCACTGCATTCCCGCCATTGAACAGGGACGCTCTGGGAACTGTCTTTGCTTCCCTGCCGGAGTCCCAACGCAAAGCTGCTGGCGATCTCAAGTTCGACGAAAGCACCTGGACCAAGAATGTCATGACATTCGAGGAAGATTTCCGAACCTGCGACCCTGACAAGTATGTCTTTACAGGCACCAAGGTCAGGGAAGTGCGCGCCCTCGGAGATTTCCCCGACTATGCAACCCTAAGCGGTGTCCCTCTACCGGAACCATATCCTGAACACGACATCACCAAAGCAATGCCCCGTCCGTATAGGCCATTCCGGTGGCTGTATCATCAAACAATGTGTAAGTTGATAGCCCAGAGCAACGTGGTAACATGATCTGATCTTCGTGTCCTCCATAGCACTAACCAAAATGGAGACTAACTGGTGGATGGAACTCGAAAAGACGTATGTGGCACGCATTGCCCAACGCAAAAAGCTATACGCCGAACACGGAGAATCTGTCTGTGGCTGGCTGCCCGGATCAGAACTCGTCTGCAAAGAACTCATGGAGATGGTCCTCCAATTCCTCTGCGCCCGTTATCCGCAATACTTTACCTTGCATTCTGACAAAAAGACCTTTGAGAATAAAATCCTGGGAACCAAGCAGGACGTCTCTGCCAAACATCCCCTTTTGGTTTTGTTGGACAATGTCCCTGAAGACTTTGGCATCATGCTACGCAACCCGGAAACAGGGTATTATCATCTCCGTGCTGGTCTCATTTGCTCGGCATTAGGTTGGAACGTTGGTACCAAGATTGGGATGCAGCTTCACCAAATCCATGCAACTATCCCTGACTACAAGGAAAAGATGCAATTCAGCATGGATCGGTGAGTTCAAAGTCCGCTGCCTGTAGTGCAATGCTGGAAATACTAACAATTTACTTCATCTAGATTCTTCACTAAGATGCCCACAAATAAACCCATCCAACGCGGATCCTGGGGTCTCGAAGTCGACCAACCCCTATATATGCCTCCAGGAGATCCACACGAGAAGTACCGCGACTTCCAATCTCCGGACCTTGATACATCACGTATCCATCTCCGAGTGGATTGGCAAACCCTTCGACGACTGCCACTTTCTGGCGGTATCATCTTCAACTTCAAAGCCCTCTTCACCCCATTGGCAGAGTTCCGCGATGAAGCATATATCCCCTCGCTGGTGCTCAAGGTGATGAATGAGGGTAAAGAAAACCTGATGAAGTATAAAAATACATGGCACGTGGAACATGTCGTGAAACCAGCGTTGGAACAATACAAGCAAGAACAGATCGAAAAAGGAATGATCGAGAAGGATTGGGAAGTCCGAACGTTGGACGAATCCCCATATTTCCCCAATTGGGAAGAGAAATGGACCAGGCAGCAGGGGTATTCTCCAGGTGATGCCCGAACTGAATGAGAGACGACATTGGTTTCTTAGCGGAACACTATCATGTACAGGCATGGACAGGTCGAACTTGGATATCTCTCTTAGAGTGATGGTATACCGAGAAGGGGGTAATGCGAATCAACATGAGGTTCACGAACAATCTGGTTCATGAGAGGTTTAATAGCCTATACGCCATCTATTGCATCCTTTCTCCCAGAGGTATGGCACTGCTGGCTCTCAACAATCAACCAACAACATGAAATCATACGCATCTGTCACCAGGTAGTGAATGTATTTGCAAATATCTGTACTATGCGTTAGTAATGCAATTCTCTCCTGGGCGGAATGAACTCGACATCATCATTTTCCCAAAGTCTGTTTAACTCGACTACAGAATGACCCCTCCCCGCTTGATACTCGGTGATGATCAGCGATAGACAGCTAGAGGGGCCCTAAAGCACGCCCAACGTCGTCTCTCCAAGTCAATAAGTTTGCATGGGATTTGGGGTTCAGATGCACGAGGGAGTACCTAGGTAGTCGCGCGCGAAAAACCTGTCCTCCCTCGTCCCATTCTGATTAGCCGCTCGCCGCTTTGCTCACCCTCGGCTCACCTGCTGCTCCCGGATCGATCCCTGAGCGCTCCCTGAGGACTGCCTGAGCACTGCGTCCTTTGGACTTCTTTCTTCCTTTTCATTCACTACACCAACTTTCGTCAACTTTAGACGATGGGACCCGTTTGGGATGCTGGGGGATCCCAACCCGGCCCCTTTCTAATGCGCTCGAACTGCTCAGTCGTGCGCCTCCTGCGCTACAGTACTCTCTTGCACGCGTGGCAATGATGGATCTCCGCCCACTTCGTTCGAACGCCTGGCGGAAAGCCGGCCTTGCGTTGGTCCTCTGGGACATAAGTACGCCGCCCTTCGCTCACTGCATGCTCCCCCTTCCACTTGGTAGTTGAGGCTGGAAACTTTGCCAGAACGTGGTTTGCAGCCGTCACTACAGCGTTCACGCCCTGTGTATTTCTCGTTTCAGGCTCTCATCGACTGTCCTTCTTCCTAAGCGTGTTTTCCCCCAACGAGTTTCCCTCTCCTCTCGGCTGTACTACTTTTGTGCTCGATGGCGAAAGGTCGGAAGGGCTTCTTCGACCGAGCAGAACAACGGGGTTCGGAGTTGGACAAGACGGGGATCGATGGCAAACCTGTCCATAAGTCTCTTGAAGATGGAACAAAGAGACGATACAAAGATGCTACGAACATATGGGCTGAGTATGGTCTTCCAGTGTCACCTTTCACTCCAGCTCTCCCGGTCTCATTCCTCTACGTATACTAACTGTACGCGCCACGAATATGCAGCTATTGTACCAAAAGCCACAAAGACCCCGTTAAAGATGCTTACGATCTGAAAACGCTCAAACACTTTACCAAGGGAATCGTCTGGGGCCTCGATGGCTGTGAGGGAGAAAATGATCTACCCTCGGCAAAATCCGCCAGACAAGTGTGGAAAGACTTTACGGCCCAGTTCCGCCGACAGAATGACCCCATTCCTCGCAATACGACGCTCTCTGTTACGAACGTATGTCCCGCCAGATAAGTTCCCTCTCCCTCCTTCTCTCTTAACATGGGCAGTACTCATTAAGTGTAGTGGATCAAAGAGCAAATTAAAAAACGTGGTCTGCCTGCTTCGAAGCGCCCTCGCCGTTACGCGTCGGATAACCACTTGGTTCATCTAGGGACCCAGCTCTGGGAGCGCGATTGGTTTGAATATAAGCGTCCTGGGATCCGGGTATCGACATGGTCTGAGACTCTCGATTACGGCTTTACCTCTGCACGGGTGGGGGAGTATCTCGAGTCAACTGCCCGTGCCAATTCCGGGCGTGGACTGTACCATCGGGTGAGTGGTTCTGGATCGCGTTTTGACATCTCGTGCCCCGTCCCCTCTGGCAGGATTTGCAATATCTTAACCATGACACATACTCAGGACATTATCTTCATCGTCTTCCGGAACGAGCATGGAAAGCCCGAGTTCGCTGCCCAGCTTACGCGGGACGCAAAGGGCATGACGTGGACACCGGACAAAAGGTAAGTTTCCCAGTCATCCGGAATTCAAGGTTCCCCATCGTCCTGCTAGGGTCTTTACTGACATCATGGACCGTCAAAACAGGCCAGAACAGGCGATCCACGAAGGCTCGGAGCTACGACCTTTCCTCTTGAACCCAATTCTCCCCAAACTGGCAATGTGTCTGGCGCGAGGTGCCTTTCGAGACTATAAAACGATAGACGACGTCTTCAATATTCCGGCACCACCCGAAAAGGAAGCCTATCAACTTTTCTGGGAACCCAGCATTTGCGACTGTCCTTTCTATGAAGGCGCTACAACCGAGATTGAGAAGGCAAACTCGTATAGCACGCGACTGAACGATTTAGGTCGTCGTGCGGACTATGTAAAGCCGCCCACGATCCATGACTTTCGAGCTGAAGGGCTTCATCTCATCGGTGGGTCCCCCTTCCCGGGCAGCGATATGAGGCTATCTTGGCGTTGTTGTGACTGCTTCTAATGAGATCAACTAGATTCGCTTTATTCAACAGCACAGAGAATGGGCCACGGTGGCCAATGGAACGAACGCACTCACCGCCAGCACTATCAGCCTAATAACCCCGGCACCGATGGCCAAGATGCGTATCTCAGAGGGAAGATTCGGACCATTGTAGCTGACCTCTTTCGTGGTATGACGGTAGCTCGCAACCCTAATCTCTTTCACTGTCTACCGGCGGAGAAGAAGGCGGAGTTGGAAGCGAGCCCCGAATTTACCTCGATGGACAGCGAACTCAAACTCCTGAAAACGCAGCCTCCGTCACAGGACCGCGACCGGCGCCGCCGTGAGATCTACAGGGACAGGCAGAAAATGAGAAAAAAGGGACTTCGTCACGCGCAGAAGGCTCAACCATGTGAACGACCCTGGGAAGCCAGGGCTGAAATCCGATCCATCGGGGGCTACCGCTCCCGCTTCCAGCGTATCCGCCACCTGATGCCCGAACGAAACCGCTTGGCGAAGAGCATGTTCGAGGTTGGTTGTCTGAGAAGCTCCGAAGGCCGTCAGGTCCTTCAAGACATGATCGCCCTCTACAAACAGGAGAAGGAGGTGACCGTCAGACTGGGGTTGGAGCCGGACAAGTGTCATTGCCACCCAACTGAGCTGAGCGTGGAGCCAGCTAAGTCTGTCACCTCCAAGAAACCTGGCCCGCACAAGGGGTTTCGACGTTGGCCAAGTAAAGCTGGCTTGGGGGTGGCTTTGTCTTCTACTCCAAATTCGACCACACCGAGCTGGAAGCACATCTATACGTGTCACAAGCAATACCTTTCGGAAACGAACGGCTTTGCCGAGTTGTGCTCTCTCTGCAACCGCTGGATCGTCGGATTGGATGCATGGGAACAGCATTGTCAAAGCCACCTCGTCGCGCCTCAGACAATCCCCATCCAATGTGACCCGCTCATTTATGGCGGTACCCTGGGCGCTTTCGGTTATTGCCCGATCTGCCTAGGCAACACGGAGCTGTTGGCGAGAGATCGAATGCAACAATTTACAAGACTGGATTATTGGATGTCTCATGTGACCAAATGCACCGAAGAGCTGGATCGGAGAAGCGCAGCAGGTTGCTCAATTCCTTGGTGTGATATCCCATGCGAGAATGCATTGAGTCGGCGATATCACCTCCAGGATGTCCACTGCGCACAGTTCAACAAGGGGCTCAAGCGATCGGCTCAGGATGTGACAGCAGAAGATGTCGACGAAATACCTTCTTCTAAACGCGGCCGTAAGACTCTCAATAACAAACTCACCACTGGCCCTGTCGACTCTTCGATCTCTACCGAGAAATATCAATTTATCGATGAGACACCAGAAACAACCAATCCGCCAAACTCGACTGCAGTCCAATCGCGCGCAATAGGAAAGCTACGAAAGAAGCAGAGCTCTGCTAAGCAGCCCAATTCCCTCGTTCCCACTGTGGTCTCTCCGCCGCCCCTTGCCAACTGTCCGACAGATGTCAAAGCTGGTATTGCGCTGCCAATGATGTCAAATAAGATCTTTTCCGAGGTCGTTGCAACTCCTGTGGAGTCAGCTCCCATCAAGCCGGTAAGACCCGTGTCCAGCTCGCCGACCCTCCCGCATTCAAAGGACACCGAAGTCACTCGAGATTCCTCTGAAGAGTTTGACGCAGTTACGCTGCGAACACTCATATCGCCCAGGATTGAGAGTTGGACACCACACTCTGACCTTTGCACTGGAATGGCTCAAGAATTCTCGGGCGACCCTTCTCTAGAGACCCGCTCTGCAATAAGCCAGTGGCTAGACCGCAGGCCAAGAAATCTTCCGCCCATCGGAGCAAACAGAGAAGACGACCGGACAGCAAGGGATGCTCTGGCGCTCACTGGCGATGGCGATAAATCTGCCGACCTCGATTCTGATTTATTCCCATACTGTTGCACAACCCCCAATGACGCGATCGGCTCCCTCGAGCCGGACGACGTCGATATCGACGCCGTTTTCAATCAGTATTTATGCTCGCCTTCACCCTCACCCCCGCCCACTTCTTCACCGGACGACATGACCAGCGAATTGAGCGGAGCAACGTTGTGCGATGCCAGACGTGATCCGTCCCGTAGTTACTCGGAGTTATATACGAGGACATCGAAGAGCCCGGCTCCGGAAATGTCGCCAGAGAGTGAGATAGCTCGAGATCGAGACGACCCTTGCCACTCGGCGAATCGGACCTGCATCCATCTGCGAGTCGGCCAGCCTAAAATTACACTTCGCCTTCGACTCCAGGGCAGATGCCAACCAAGAAAGAAGAAGAGTAAGGGACGATCAGGGAAAGAGGGGGGCAATCCAGGGACTGAGAGAGAAGGGGAGAAAAGGAAGGGGAGGCAGACCCGTCAGATCTGCCGGTAAGAGGAATGTTCATGGCGGGTAAGATCATCCGCTGTCGGTGTGGTATGGGACCAAACCAGGACGCTGATCATGTCATGAATGGCGGGTTTTGGAAGGTCTGCTGTGGCCCTACCGCATACAGTATACAGTGGTTCCCGAAACCGCCCTCCCTTTTGCTAACACATTGCAACTCTCTCCCCCCCAAAAGCTGAGGATAGAGCTGGGTCACGCTTTCCCAATCTGACATAGTTCGACTACCTAACTACGAATCATCAACGAGTGGATTTTACTATGGTATTTCCAATACCGTACGGTCCTGGTAATAAATTAATAGCATAAGGTGTAGGTTTCGCAGCACTAAAGCGCAAAACCCTTAGTCACCTATGAGTGACCTTGAACGAGTTTTGCCGCGGCGTTGAGATCTCTGAGTGTCATCTGTTCGAGTTTGATTATGAGGACGGGTATCCCCTTGGTTGGGTTTAGACCAGCCTTGCAGGCAGGACAGACAACGGGTTAGGCGAGTTTGAATACGTGCTGGTATGATATCTTGGTGGTTGGTCTCGCTATCATTTGACCATGATGCTTATGTCAGAGAGCGCTCGAGATTGAGGAAGACCAGAGGATGGCTCATGAGTTGCAATTATCAAATCCTTCCACAGCTTCCTGTGGGATTCGCTTGCTTCGTCGCCTCTCAATCGTGGGAGGACGATATGACTTTATGCAGACACATTCACAAGCATCAGCCGAAATTCTCTACCTCAATACTCTCGCTTGAACCACCTTAGATGCAGCGCAATCAGGATGACAGGCACAACGCTGACAATCTCGCCCAATCCAGCATACTGTGGCGGAATCCGCGCGTTGACGAAGGCACCCGCGGCCAACAATATAGCGAACAAATTGTAGACAAATGACCAGGCGAAATTGAAGAAGATACGATGTAACGCCGCTTTCGACAGATCCAGTAGCACCAAAATCCCACCCAGGGATGGGCGCACAAGGACGACGTCGGCAGCAGTCTGCGCCACGTCGCTGCCACTGTTCATGTGCACGCCGATGTCAGCTTGAGCGAGCGCCACCGCGTCGTTAGTCCCGTCGCCGCAGAAGATCACAACTTTCTTCTCATGCGCCATCAGGTTCTTAAGATACACCTGCTTATCGCCAGGCGTGCATCTAGATCTCGCATGGCTAGCCGGGATTCCCAGCTTAGCGGCAACAGCTTCGACGGCACCAGTATCATCACCGCTGACTATAGAGATAGCGATGTTGCGCTTTTGAAGCTCAGTAACGACGGAATGGGAGTCTGGGCGGAGGCAGTCGGAGAGGCCGAAGACAGCGATGAGTTGGTCGTTTATTGCTACGCCGAAGACTGTGAGACCTTTGGCAAGGAGATCTTGGACCTCTGTGAGAGTCTCGGCTGAGAGCCAGCGGGTATTGCCGCAGCGAACGTTCGCGCCGTCAAAAGTGCCTTCCACGCCTTTACCGGTGACTGATTTGGAGTCCCCAATCTTAGCAGCATCAACACCCTTTTCTTTGAGATAAGTTGATATTGCGGCGGAGACGGGGTGTTTGCTGTCGCAGGTCAAGCCGAGAGTGATGGATTCAACGAGGTCGTCCTTGTTGGAAAGATAGACTGCTTCTGCGACAGACAGTTCACCTTGAGTAAGGGTGCCGGTCTTATCGAAGACGACGTGGGAGACATTGCGGGCAGTCTCGATGGCCATTGCTGACTTGAAGACAACACCATGCTTTGCTGCGACGCCTCCAGCTATGACAACGACCATGGGAACGGCAAGGCCGATTGCGCAAGGACAGGAGACGATGAGGACCGAGATCGCGTATGTGATGGCGTTCACCACTGCACGGCCGCTATTTTGATGTCGGACAGAGATGCCAATGGCAACCCAGATCGCGAAGGTTACGATTGTGAGGATCAGGATGACTGGAACAAAGTAGCTGGCGACAATGTCCACAAGTTCTTGGGTCTTCGGTTTGGAGAACTTGGCTTCGTCTACCATGGCCGCAATCGTGCTAATCGTGTTGTTGCCAGGGAGATGTGTCAGCCGGACAACGAGGACACCTGAGCCGTTGAGCGAGCCTGCGATGACGGCAGAGCCTGGGTGTTTTTCGACAGGCAGGGACTCGCCGGTCACCATAGACTCGTCGACCTCCGTCATGCCAGAGACAATCATACCGTCAGTTGTGATACGAGAGTCGGGCGTGACTTTGAACAAGTCGCCATACTGCAGAAGACGAGCATCGATCTCTCGATCGCCACGGCCGTCTGCGTCGCACAGCACGGCAGTTGCTGCCTGGAGAGACCTAATGGAGACCGACTCCACTGCCCTCTGTCTTGCAAACGCGCTGACCCAACGTCCAAGCATGATCAAGGTGACGAGCAAGGTGCTGGTTTCGAAGAACTCCCCGGTCGGCAGCGGACGACCAGCCACCTGATAGGCAAACGAGACGACGGAGAAAATATACGCAGTTGAAGTGCTGAGGACGATGAGCAAGTCCATCTCAATAACATGAGTGAAGATGAGAGCTCTCAACGCGCTGGGGTAGAATGGCCCCGCGATGGCAACCTGCACAATGGTGGCCAGAACCAGTGAGGCGCTGCCGTAGACGATGGGTCGGGGAGGGAGGGAAGCCCAGGCCAGCACAAGGACAGGAATGGTGAGAATGGAGGAGAGCAGAGTAATCCAAGCAGTATGTCGAACGTGTCTTTTTCCGCTCTCAAGTTCCGAGGAACCTCGAGGATCGGCGAGTGTCAAAGGCTTGTTGAAACTCTTCTCGAGAAGTGTTCTTACTCCAATGATTTTGGCGTCATATTTAATGCGTACGATGCGCTTGTCGGCAGCGATCATTTGAGTGACCCCGTCTGGATATTTGCGTTCAACAAAGGCCTTTGCATCATCGACAACAACGTCAACTTCTTGTCCTTCGTTGTTGAGTCGTTGACAGGCGAAGCCAGTGTTCTTTTCGACAGCCTTGATTACCTCGGCGACCGGACCGGCCTTTTCGTCAAGGTCGAACTCGGCTTGTGACAGCACCAGACTGGTACGAAGATTGCAAACTCCAGGAATATCGTGTAGAGATCTGAAAAGTTTAGTCTCACAGCCAACGCATGTAAGTCCCTGTACGTCCAGGACAACGTGCTCAACCGCCAAAGAGCCCTTCTCAATGTCGATATGATCTGTCACCTTTTCATCGTGTTTGGCAAATGAAGAAATCTCATCTTTGGAGCCGGAGCCAGAGCCGGAGCCAGAACCAGAGCCAACACAACAGGCATCCTTTGAACATCCATCCTGGTTGGAACTGACAGAACCGGGGCAAGAAGCGTTAGTTGCTTTCATGCCAGTAATCCCTTTGTCGGCTCCAGTCCAGCAAGACTCAGGAGCGGATGGTACAATCTTAGACGTTTCGTCGCCGCAGCAACCGTCTTCCTTCGCAGTGGAACATCCAATTTTCTCTGAACCGCAGCATTTGTCTCTTGTAACCCCAGAATGATTGTCTTCCTCGGTAACCAAGCAGCAACTTCTGTTTTGCTTCGAAGCGGAGGGGACCTTGAGCCCGCGGCAGTTGATGTCCTCAGAGGCACCGCAGTTATCCCTTGTCGCAACGTAACAGCTAGACTTTTTCTCGGTATCGCCACACTTATCGTCGTTTGTCCCAATGCGGCTGCATTTCTGCTCGGCACCGCCACAATCAGCTTTGCTTGCACCGGAGTAGGCACCATGTCCCTTCGTGCTACAAGAATTGCCCTGCTCCTCAACACCGTAGCTATCATCTTTCTTCACAGTTGAACATCCCAATGTCTTCTCGGAACCACAGCGTTCGCTTTTCTTTGAAGAGCTCTCGACATTATCGCCTCCACAGGATCCCTTCTTGATACAATCGCTCCCATTCACATTCGTATTTAGAATCGACGACGAGCTCGTCTTCCTGGCAACAGCCGTTGTGCTCCAAGTCTGCACGGGCCTACCCACTTTGCAACACGGTTCGAGGTTGCGCGTTATAAGCGCTTTGCAAATGCAACCCACTTGCTTGAGGGTGGTAGCGAATTGTTCACGGGCGCTGCGGGAATGGGTGCCACATGCCCCTTGCTTGCGCTTGCGAGTTTGAGGGGGAAGGACGGAGGACTCGGGCTCGTCGGGAGATGTTACTACTTAACGAATTAGCACTACTCAATTAAAGCATCGCAAGGGGTTAAATACTTTTGTCACGGCTAGAGCTTTTTGTCTCAACTGCGCCGCATTCCAAGGTACATTGCCGACGTGCCACGGTCTCGAGGCAACTCTCTGTAAATTGAAGATTCATTCAATACAAGGTTCATTCTAGGTTGGAGGCAGAACTTACCATCGCAACAAGGCCCAGCATCTGGGCGGTGCTCCCAAGTGACCCCATCAGGGTGGCAGGCAATGCACGGGGCGAGAGAGGTTCGAGAGGATTCCATAAAGTCGAGATGACCGAATAACGAAGGTCGAATGAGTTGTCGACGCGAGAGGCAATAAGAAACGGCGGGCAGCGGAGTCAGAAAGTGGCTTTTGGATAAAAGTGAAGCAGTGCTGCCCGTTGCTTGCTGGGATTTTCAACCCCTCTCAGGCGGAGTCCGAGCGATGAAATGGATCAGTCAGCCCAGCAGTCTGTCATTGAGAATGTAGCCTTCGTTAGTCCGTCTGCGAGTGGCATTAGCTTCTTCAGAGCTTGCACGAGTTCCAGGGAAGGAACCGATTTTGGGGAACCTTGGACCCAGCAAAAAGCAAACGGAGCCAACTCGCCAAGACTGCGTAAGATGGCTTGGACGTGCACAAGTGGACAGCTGGTGTTTGCCTGTGTCTGGGGCGGCAAGAGCGTAAAGCCACGCTGCAGCTAGTGGAGGACTTCTGTGGTGATCGCATTCCTTGTCTTTTACACGCCACCGTACTAGGGGGTGTCGGCTGTTCTTCAATATGTGCGGAAGTACCCAACAGGGGTACTCTGGTGCACGAGACGCATTGCAGACACTGACTATTTTGCAAGTTAAAATTAGTTTTTTGAGTAGGGTTGAGTAGGGTTGAGCAGTTCGAGCAAGTTTGAGTTGAGCGGGGTTGAGCGGGGTTGAGCAGCGTTGAGCAAGTTTGAGCACATAAACATCAAAGCAGCCACCTCCGTACACCGGCCAAAATCCGCCCAGTCACGTAATGTAGGGTGGCGCAGACTTAGCAAACCTAGGTAAGATCAATCGTACCTGTTTCTAATATGCGTCTGCAGCAGTTATTGTTGATTCATTGCCCTCTGGGACAACTCAGTGCAGTGATCACTAACCGTTCACCATCTAGCAACCAGCATCTAGTTGCCAGCAAAACATTTCGAGCATCGATCAAGTCATTGATGATTGTTTCAGACGAATGGCACTCCATCCACTTCACCCGCCGCCAGCGGGCCATGTCACGACGACTGTTCTGATAAACAACGTCCACTGTGCCTCCTGCCTCACCTACATCCAGGAGGTCCTCAGTACATTACAGCCAGCGCCGTTAACGATTACCGCGAACTATATATCACACGAGGTGACGATAGTCCACTCTCCCGACCACTCTGCAACTGACATAGCTCGAGCTTTATCAGACGCAGCATTCGAAGTGCAGAGTGTGCAGACCGAAGATGAATCTGGCCATGTTATCTACGAGCAAGATTTAGTCCAGACCCATCAAGAATGGTTGGAGCAGGCTGCTCAGATGCTGAGCGAACAAGCATCAACTCTGTCGCGGCACCAGACGGCAGCACATCATGAATTACGAGACGATGCCGGCTACCAACTTGATGAGAAACATTTAGACCACTGTGTTCTTTGTCAAAAGGCGAACGAAAAAGCCGAGACATCTCAGGATGTTATCGTGACCATCCCTGAGGCGCAAAAGTTTACAGCCACTCTCAGTATCACTGGGATGACTTGCGCGGCATGCATCCTCTCCATTAATGAAGGGGTGCAGGGACTCCAATTCTTGACGGATGTCAGCGTCAGTTTACTTACCAATAGCGCAACTGTCGCCTTTACCGGCCCGAAGGACAACATCGATCAGATTGTGGAGAGAATTGAAGACAGAGGATACGACTGCCACATCGAGAGCATCGTTGAAGTTGGACAACCACAGCAAACAAAAGAGCTAGTGGAAAGGACAATCATGATTAGAATAGCAGGCATGTTCTGCGATCAATGCCCACGACGGGTTATTGAAGCTTTATCATCACCGTTTCAGGGACGACTTGCTATTGACAAACCGCCGTCGTACGATGACCCCATCATCATCATGACATATCGTCCCCAACCCGGCATCATTACTATCAGAAGTATCCTTGCTACTATACATGGCGTCAGCGACCAACTCAGAGCCACAATATACCATCCTCCAACGATCGAAGAGCGCTCTCGAACTATGCAGCTCCGCGAACGGCGTCGTCTACTCCTGCGGCTTCTCCTTAGCTTCATCGTCGCCATTCCAACCTTCCTTATCAGTGTGGTCTGGATGAGCCTTGTTCCCTCGACCAACCGCGTACGAATATTCTTCCAACAAAATATGTGGACTGGTGCCGACACTCGCGCCGAGTGGGCGCTTTTCTTCCTTGCGACGCCTGTGATGTTCCTCGCTGCCGACGTCTTCCACACCAGGGCAATCAAGGAGATCCGAGCACTGTGGAGCCGGAATAGCAACGTCCCCGTTCTTCGAAGATTTTACCGTTTCGGAAGCATGAACCTGCTCATGTCCGCTGGAACGTCGGTGGCGTACTTCCCTTCGATCGCCGTACTTGCTCTAGAAGCGCAAAAAACTGGGCAACACAACAGGCGACTGTCGACATACTTCGACACGGTTGTGTTCTTGACGATGTTCATTCTCGCTGGACGCTACTTAGAAGCGTACAGTAAATCTAAGGCCGGTGATGCTGTCACAATGCTCGGAAAGCTTCGGCCAACCGAAGCTCTGCTCGTGAGATCCAATCCGGAATCGGAAGATAGTGAGTTATCTCTTCCGATAACTAATGGCGAGAGAATCAATGTCGATGTTCTTGAAGTCGGAGACGTTGTCCGAGTACTTCATGGCGTATCTCCACCAGCCGATGGCACGATCATCCTAGGCGATTCCACCTTCGATGAGAGTTCTTTAACCGGAGAGTCTCGGCCTATTACCAAGAACACGGGCGATCAAGTCTTTGCTGGAACAATCAACACCGGTAAACCGATTAATGTCCGAGTCACTGAAGTCTCAGGCGCATCTATGCTTGACCAAATCGTCAAAGTCGTTCGGGAAGGTCAGGCAAAAAGAGCGCCGGTGGAGAGAGTGGCTGATATCTTGACGGGATACTTCGTTCCCGTTATTACCCTCATTGCCGTATCAACATTTGTTGTCTGGTTTGGACTAGGCCAGGGAGGGGCACTCCCGGAGAACTGGCTTGATGTCGACACAGGTGGCTGGGCATTCTGGGCATTACAGTTTGCCATTGCAGTCTTTGTCGGCGCGTGCCCCTGCGGCATTGCCCTTGCGGCCCCAACAGCTTTATTCGTGGGTTCTGGACTGGCCGCGCAACACGGAATACTGGTTAAAGGTGGCGGAGAAGCGTTTCAAGAAGCTTCCGATCTGGACGTGGTTGTCTTTGACAAAACCGGCACGCTCACCGAGGGCGGAAACCCGACTGTGACAAACCATGATATCATTGCTTCTGGTGAGGAGGAGACGAAGGCCATCTGGGCAATCGCACAAGCACTGGAGGAGTCTTCAAGTCACCCCATAGCAAAAGCAATTGCTGCGCTCTGCGGAGGACAAAGCCGCACTACCATCGCCGACTCTGCCATTGAAGAACTGCCTGGTCGCGGTCTCAAAGGCACATTTACCATCCATACATCAGCCAATGACACCCGGTACGAGGCTGCCATCGGCAGTGAAACTTTCGTCTCCTCCCTTGGCACTCCTATAACTACAGACCAGTCCAACATTATGGCGACATGGAAATCCGCTGGGAAAAGCGTCGCGCTTCTGGCTGTGCGTCCATTGTCCCTCTCAGACAGGGACGAAACCACTTTTAAACTTGTTGCACAGTTTGCAACCACAGATTCTCTCCGTCCTGAAGCTGTTTCCGTCCTTTCTGCTCTACGTGAGCAAGGGTTAAGCATCTGGATGATCTCAGGCGACAATGCCATGACCGCTATTGCAGTTGGGCATCAGCTAGGTATCCCGGCGACCAATATCATTGCCGGTGTTCTCCCTTCGGAAAAGGCGGAGCGGATCCGTTGGCTACAAAATTCCGCCCCTAAACGCAACGGCAAGGCGGGAAGAGCAATGGTGGCTATGGTTGGGGATGGCATCAATGACTCTCCAGCACTCACTGCCGCGGACGCCGGAATTGCCGTCGGCTCTGGCTCAGATGTTGCTATATCAAGTGCCAAATTCGTGCTAGTGTCCTCAAACCTGCACTCCTTGTTGACTCTTATCACACTCTCCCGCACGGTTTTCCGGAGAGTCAAGTTCAACTTTGCGTGGGCATTGGTGTACAACGTGGCCTTGGTGCCAATTGCGGCAGGAGTGATTTATCCGGCACCCGGACACCCGAAGTTGAACCCTGTGTGGGCGAGTCTGGCCATGGCGTTGAGCTCGCTGAGCGTCGTATCCTCGAGTCTAGTTATGAGGACAGGAATTCCTATCATTGGGTTTAGAGCATCCAGGAAGACATAGTGGAGATAGAGTCCAGCAGGACTTTCAAATCCAGTCAGGGAGATCGCAGCTGGAGAAGACTTGTGATATTTACCTCAGGATGATTATTATCGCTTGTAGAGGGTATATAAACGAGAGGAGAATATATCTAGCACAAGGGCTGCAGTAACCCATGACATCTTAAACGGCCGAAGGCATTCAGCCAAAGTGATATTTAGATAGCTAGATGTGAGGCGTTGCCTCGAGCGTAACCTAAGACGAAAGGAGACATCTGTTGAGACAAACATCACCCAGAGGCCGGAAATCCAGCTACAAAACGGTTGTTCGGAGTATTCTGTCATGCTACGTGCCAGAGGTGTGGTAATTTTAGGCAAAAACAGCATGGATGGCATTTCCAGTGTCCTGTTAATATGTACATAGATATATTTCGATTAATAGATTTCACCCTGATTGCGGACTGGGAGATGTGTGGAATAAAAGTATGTCCATGCCCAGGGCATTTCCGGGAATGCACGTTACAAGGTCGCTTTTTATTACCAGGACCGTACGGTATTGGAAATACCATAGTAAAATCCACTCGTTGATGATTCGTAGTTAGGTAGTCGAACTATGTCAGATTGGGAAAGCGTGACCCAGCTCTATCCTCAGCTTTTGGGGGGGAGAGAGTTGCAATGTGTTAGCAAAAGGGAGGGCGGTTTCGGGAACCACTGTATGCTCCCCCACTACGATTTCGCTTTGGAGAGAGCCCGTTATGGAAGCCATCCTCTTTCATATCAACCTGCCGGCCCAAGTTCGGAGGGGCCGCTTTGGGACTTCAAGTGTTGGCTTGAGCTGGGGGGCCGAAATGGGTAGATATCTACAAGGGAACCCGAAAAGATCCTATCTTTATCCTGAAGTGGTGTTAATATTGACTGCTCGCAGAGCTGGCTTCTAACTCTCTGTCATGCTGTGGACCGTCCGGAATTTACACACGAGGGAAGAAATCTCTTCAACGGGCAGGAAGACACAAACAGGGATTGTGTTCCACGAATGGCAAATCGTCCGTCCAAGAACCAAAAGCGGACCAAGTGGAATCGGAAATGTCGAGAAAAGTTAGCGGAAAATATTCGTAAGATCCGCTAACGTCTGGTCGATGCCTCTGATAACGCCTCTGTAGACAGCAGGCTTGGAATTACGGTCGAACCCTCCCAGGTACGGCTCAAAACAAACGACGACGATCCATATACATGGGAAAAAACCGAAGCGATAAGTCACCTCTTTGCACAGAACCTGAGTGAATTCTCTATTAAGTCTCTCCAAAAACTGTGTGAATGTATCGACAATAACTGTGTCGCCGCAACTTGGAAGCCTTCCGGCAAGGCGCCTCGTGCGACCCTTCGAGGAAATATGCAGGTAGACAGCCCTGTTGTGCATATTTTTCACCCACGCTATCAGGCTGACTGGATATGTGAAAGCAGGGCCATTTCGTGAAATCAGACATGAGTTTCACGGCCAGGATTATCGAGCTCGAGAAGACCGAGGAGAGTTTAGCCCGCGAGCTGAACGAGTGGAAGGCACAAGCCAGCCTAGAGTCAGAAGGGAGACAGAAGGCAGAAGAGGAGGCGGCTCGAATGGAGATCGCCCTTCGGGAGGCCCGAGAGGATGGTCGAAAGCTCGAAGGGTATATCCAGAAATGGAAAACCGAGGCAAAGAAATCCAGTGACGATGCTGCTAAGTCTAGGGAAGTCATAGACGCAATCCTTGCATTGCTCAAGGACTTTGGTTCGAGCATTCAGGAGGAGTCCTTTGGCCTCAAACCGAGTCCTCGGACATAGGAATTCAGCAACTTCAGATACTTTGCACTATTTCGAACCTGAAAACTTGTGGGTTGGGGAACCTCGTTGCGTTCTAAGTGATCATCTGCACAGCGATCACTCTCCGAGCTCAGCAACTGGAAAAAGGGACCTTTTGGGCTCGCAGCCTGATTTGGCTCCCTTGATCTTCCACGTACTCCCATTACTTAGGGCCGTTTTGGGACGCTGTCACCCTCAATGGCCTCGCTAGATCACCAAAGACTGGTGGCTTACTAGACACCCTAGCTCTGCTCTTTTAAAGAGACACCGTACAGCACCGCATCCCGCTCAACTAGACTCGGCCTTTCCCAACAGGTTCTCAGGGAACTCACAGCTTTCAACATGGCTAGCTTGAGACTACTCGTCCTTGCCGTGGCATTGTCCGGCATCTCTTCCGTTGCCTGCCTCGGGACCGCTGCTGTCGAGAATTGGTGTGATGTCGAGGTCTATATCTGGAGTATTGCAAATGTCCCCAACGACACAACTAATTATCTGGAGCCAAATATCGGCAGCTACAACGAGACATATCGAGTTAACCCCAACGGTGGAGGCATCTCGTTGAAGATTGCGACGGTTACCGATGATTCGTTCATCACGCAGTTCGAGTACACCTATCACCCTGACAATCCGATACTGGCGTATGACATCTCGAATATTAATGGGTATCCGTTCGAAAACTGGGGCCTCTACCTCTCACCGTCTTCCGGCGACTGCTCGAGCATCACCTGCGACCCTGGCGTGGCGCTTTGCCCAGATGTTTACAATCAGCCACATGATGACTTTGCCGTCAAATCCTGTGACGTGTCGGCCAACTTGACTCTCACTTTGTGTCCTCCTCAAACCACATCATTAGAGGCGGCCACAGTAACTGTGACGACGACCGACTCCGGGGGCGATGCCATCCTGACTACTCTCGCGACGACCATTACTTCGGTTGGACCCGTGACTACATCTCAAGGCACACTACCCGAAACTGTTACCGTGGACTCAGAAAGCTCTTCCACGACCGCGACGACGACAAACCTAGAGCCTGTTGTCGTGACTTTAATGACAACAGACACCGCCGGCGATCCTACCTTGACCACCCTGACGACGACCATTACGTCGGTCGGGCCGGTGGTCACCTCTCAGGATACAGCATCAGAAATTGTCACTACGGACCCGGCCACCACGAGCATGATCACTATCAGTTCAGAAACCATACTAAGAGCCTCAGAGACGACGGACGCTGCTGGTCAACTTTCGCTGACCACACTCACCACAGTAATTGCAGTTACTACCCTGGATTAATGAGAATCTGAGTATATTATCTAAAGATTATCATCTGTCATTAGCGGAACACACAGCGCGAAACTAGGAACATTCACAAATTTGAAGGCAACGAGGTCGATGGGGGTGGGCGGCGCTGCTCTGGGGATATAGCTGCTGAACGGGTACGAACCTCTTGCGTTCTGCATACATAGAGTCTTTACTAGTAGCTATGCAGTAAATATTAGCTAGTTCGCATTACTTTTTCAACCATTCTTGGCGCCTCTGTTCATGGCAGAAACCGTGAAGCCCAACACTTCGCCATAAATAGTGTCGCCTCGACAGATGACACAGGCAAAGAAGAGAACAGAGTAGAGTTCATTTGCAACTTAACTTTTAGTATACTGCAGCAGCTCTCCACGGCCTAAAATTTCAGATCCGACCATTGTCAGGGCCCAATTTTGTCACCCGAATAAATTGAGGATGGGGTCTGTAAACGGCTCTTGATAAGTTGTGAGAACTAGATCCGGCACCCTTCAGGAGCCGCATATAGACCCTCTTTTCACATTAAGCCTTAGAGAAACTGCAAGTATATAGTACAGTACTTTACACAACTTCAATGTCTATCTAAGGAAGATAATGTCAAGGAAACAATGAGCTCCTCGTCACGATCCCTGCCGCTGATGGAATTTCCTAAGAACTCTCCGTCTTCCGCACCCGCTGCTGAGGTGAAACGGACTCCAGTACCCGAAGCGCATATGCAGCAAGCAACATATTCTAAAAAACGATATGTGACCATTCTCCCTCCAAAGTTGAGGGAACAGCCGTCTCATCCGGAGTCCAAGTTTCCACAGGCTCCTCTCCCACTGCCTTCGTTTCAGAGAAATGAGGCTCGTCTCCCCAGGCCACTTTCGACGAACCCGCCACGCTCACAATCTCGATATGTGGCGATGCTCTTAGAGCTTGATGAGATTCCACGTCGCCACAACTTCTATGCCAGCTTGTTTACGTGGTTGATCCTGGCTGGATACATTGTATTCCCGGGCACGTTTACCTCTCTCAAAAGCTCCAATTCGGTGCAAGCAGCGGCAAGCAAGACTCCTGCAGGAAAAATTATTCTAGACACCGTTCAGAATGCCTCGCTCCTCTGGATAGCAGGAGCTTGCTGTCTCTTTGGGGTCGTTGGCATCGCTCTGCTCTGGAAAAGATGGAAGAGGAACTACATTTGGTTGGTAAATAGAATATTCTTGTAATGACTACCCAGCCGGCAGCTGAAAGCAGACGCTGACCTTATGATATCAGGCCAACTTTGCTTAATGCCATTCTCGGTCTGGTCAATACACTGATCAATGTGTACACCGCTAAGGACGGGAACTGGTCCGTGACTGCGACCATCACGGTTACAATAACGAGTGCGTGTGCAGGGATCAGCTTGATTTTATTCCTGGTCTACAATAATTGGTTATTGTATCAAGTCAAAAAGGACCACGATACTCAGATCGGTAATGAGCGCGGAACAGAGGCGTCATCACGACTGGGATAATGGGCTCGGAATCTTCATTATCTAAAAGCGATGCAACACGGTGGAGGACGGAGGCTACTTTTGAACTATAGCATGTTTCTTCGAAAATTTGAAACGTATCTGGCGTATAGGTGGTCGAACTGCTCATGGCATCTTAATTATTTAGGGGAGAATAGCCTTCAGATACCAAGCTCCGAACAAATAGATCAAAAATCATTCTTCACAGTCTTGAATACAACAGTCTACCCAAGTGTGAAATCTTTTGTAAGGTTCCAGAAAACTCATCCCATTAGCTCATATGTCGTGCTTCAGCTGCCGTTGAATATACACTGAAGATGCCTCTGAAATCAAGGAAGATATTTCATGGACGACTGTTTGCATATGAAGTCACCAAAGCTCTTGTGTCTTTCCTTAGACGGGGTTTCTTTCTCCACGCAAACGTCGTGCGAGCTGTATATCTTTTGATTCTAAAGACGTTAACTAAGAATGTCCTCTCGTAGGAAGCAGAAATTGGCTCACGAATAGTAACTCGTTTTGCGTGGATAGCGCAGAGATTAGAATCTTCGAATAGGCTCGCAAGATATAACTCGAGAGCTTCTTGCAGAGCTTCGATTGCCGTCGACTGGAATCGAAAACCATCCCCTTGCCATTTCATCTGGGGGGTTCTCAGATCGTCTGCAATTTCACGGACAAGCCGTTGAAATGGACGTTTGCGAATAAGCAACTCTGTGGATTTCTGATAGCGACGAATCTCTCTCAGAGCAACCGTTCCTAGTCACCGTCAATCACAATTTCATTTACTCAAATACAAGACAATAGAAGAGCAAAGGACAACCCTACCTGGCTTGTATCGATGCGGTTTCTTTACACGGCCCGTGCTGTCAGGGAGGCGCTTCCCTGAGAGCTGATCTTTCGCAAGGCTTCTTAAGTTCCTCCTTGGGGCGACACCCCCAGTGCTCTTTCCTGTATGTCATCCTCAACATAAATCAGGGACAATAATCAAGGACAATCTTACGTGCGGTTTGTTTCGTCCTCGCCATGAGGGGACACTCGATATTGGACCCCAAAGCAATTTGCCGGATGAGGCTTTATTTAACCGTCATTAAAGGGTCCTGATCTGGCTCGCTCGTGTGACATTAATCTTTTTGGTCCCTTTTGGACTACTGGGACCGAATTGAGCTCCCAGAGCCCTTTTGCGCTCTATTCAACTGGTTACCTTAAATGTGAGCATCTCACCTCTGATGTCTGACCCAAGGTGAATCATCATTCATCTTCTGTTAGCAAGAGTGTCATCTAAACCGAAGTCCCTCGTGTCTCGTCCAAGCTCTGCCCCTACGGGTCGCTTTTCTTTGAAAATTCCTTCTTCTATTGACATGATGTTCTCCAACTCTATTGGCAAGACTGTCGTGGTTCTTCTTTGGTTGCAACGAATGTCCGTTGGACGAGCTATCCCACCCTTACCCGACAACCACGAGTTAGCATCGAACAATACCGCAACAGGTCTTGAGCCTCAGCGGAGGAGTGAGGATTGGCCAGTGAATGTCGCATTTACTGCTGGCACGCAGACGCTTGGCCTTGAGCTCCCACGAGATGGACAGGTGCACGACTTGGGCTCTATCGAATGTCTCGCACTTCCTTCGTACTCCATCGGCGACTGCAACGACATTAGTGTCTCTCAGATTGGTGTCACGTCAGGAACAGCACCATGCACATTCATGGGTATCGATGGGTTCCAAATCACCATTACGGCCAATGATAAGGGGTACATAGACGTTACTCCCCCGCAAAATATCGTCTCCGGTTCTTGTGGTTAAATGCAGAGGAGGAAAAGCTCGTGGCAGAAGGGTGATTCGAGTTCGCAGGCAGTGGAAGGAGGCTGAACGTGCCAACACTCACGACGAGACGAAGCGTTAAGTAGATTCCTGGCAATATAATCTCGTTTACATGCAATCTGATTCCTTTCGAAAAACCGTATAGGGGAAGGAGGAAGGGATGCCCACAGCCACTCCAAATGGCGGCTTCGGCCACTCTTCACACATCCTTCAATGAGTCTTCATGTGCTGTAACCTGCCTGCGAAGTAGAGTGCAGAAATATATTTGGAATTTAGCTGATGACGAAACGGTCTAATCCCATGCCTACATGAGCTTCCTGGAGAAGGGGAAACAGGAAAGCGGCTAGCTACATCGTATCATAAATCCCGGCATGAGTCGTCCGATGCTGACCAAAAGATGTAGAAATTGGGGAACGAAGAGCGAGGGTTTGTCACTGGTTGGAAATATTGAACATGGCAGTAGGTGAAAAGTTCATAGAAGAGCCTGCAGCTCAAGGCAGCAGGACTAACCGAAAGCCTCGAAGTACCATTGCCACCCACGACTCTCCCTCCTGTCTTCTCCTCTACGGGACCATTTCGATAATCTGGTGCAGATGCCAATTCAGGCTCCTGCTGGATACCTCTTCTGGCTCCAAAGTGGTATCATAGAGACTGTGAGAATATAAGAGTGCGAGTAAACGATGTAGAATCTCGGTCACTCGTCAGATTCCAACTCAAACCAATCTCCCTAGAACTCTTTTGGAAGGATAGGTTTCTCCTCTTCTGTGCTTTGGGTCAATCAACTACGAGCCATGGGCAAGATTGAAATCTCAACAGCGGAGGACTTCGAGAATTATCGTCGAGAGTTCAGGAAACTCAGTCGGAGGCTTGACAAAGATTTTAGCCCCGAAGACTGTGAAGATATGCTCTTTGAAGCTGTGGACTACGGATTCGCCTTCCTACTGTACTGCAAAGAACTTCAAAGCAAGCATGCTTCGAAGCGTCTCCGTGATGAGGTGATTACTATCAGCGACAGCGACAGCGACAGCAAGTGTTCATCGCGATAATCCATGCTCGGAAGCTGATTACTCTCAGGCGGCGGTGCAGCCCTGACCTCGAAAATCCCAGACGTGGCGGTCAGTAAGAAACGTGCACGAAGGAATAGCACCGACAGTGAAGGTATGGACAGTTCGGTGAGCCTGCATTCTCACAACTAACTTCGGTCTAGGCGAGGATAATTCAAAGCCTTCGAAAAAGGTGCGAATGAACACGACCAAAAAGCGTACTCGAAATATGATGGAAGACTCTAGTGACGGTAAGTTTGCGGCTGGATCGCTCACAGCGCTACACTAACTATTTCTAGACGGACAAACAGGGAGTTCTTCTAAGAAAGCTCGTCTGGGTGGACAGAAGGTGGAAGCTGCCAAAGTATTCAAAGAACTCGATGCGCTATTGAAGACAACCGTCAAAGGATCAAAGTAGGGCCGATTCTAGAGCTAGTGAGACAGAATACTACAAGGAAAAGTTCAGGCGGGGAATGCCGACGATAGGAAATGAGAAATTCTGCAAGCCCGGGATGCAAGGAAAGGACGAGAGAAGGGAAGCCGAAAAGAACCAAAAGAAAGATGGGAGGAGCGGAGGATCGACCAATGTACACTCGTTTCGCTATGTTACCGTATGTCCACCAAGAATAGTTGTCAGTTGATCTG